GAGGTACAAAGAAGTTGCCATAATCTTCATGGCTTGGTGGAGGCGTGGATTTTACGCGTTGGGCTGCCATGCGCGCAATACGCTCTTGCTGTGTGTCCGTGGCTGGCGATGCTTCGCGGGGTTTACTCTTCTTCAAGCTTGATTTGCGTCCATGACCGCTCGAATCATCGCTTGAGCTACTTCTTTTCACGACTCTAGCACTAGAGTTTGCGTTTTCTGCCGAGCCTGCCGATTCTGAATGTCTGCGCTGTTCCAACTGTTCCCAAGTACGTTTGCGTTCATCTTGGCGATACTTTTCATCATGTAGTGCCTGAAGTTGCCGTTCAATTTCCGCTTCTCGCTCATCAGGCTGAGAAGGCGCATCGCGGATGGACTCCGAAGATCTCCTTTTGCTCGAGATGTGGTCTTTGGCAAGAGCGCCAGCCACAAGTGCTCCGGCGCCCATGACAAGGGCAGCATCAGCAGACTTACGTCGATCTTTCTTCTCGCGTTTGCTGCCGGGCCTATCATCTTTCTTACTTGGTTTCCTTTCGTTCTCAAGCTGCTCATCCGTCAAGTTGAAGCTGACAGTATTTCCCAGACCCTGTGAAACCAGTTTAGCAGGGCTCGAATCTTGGCGAGAGAGTCTTAATCTGCGGCTTCCGGACGTCTGTGCATCGATCTGTCGATACGGTCCTAGATCTTCCAATGAAGGTTTGGTACGACGGTGATCTAAGGATCTCATATCTTGATCGGGCGGTGCATATGCTGACTCATTTATGAAAGGGATTACAGGAACGACTGGTTGAGGTTGGTGAAGGGGCACAGATGTTGAAGAAGCCTGGAATGGTTGCGCATATTTGTGGTATGAATCACGTCGTGACCCATCATTATCGAAAGACTCAGAATTCGATACCGGACGAGGCTCCAGTTCTTGCATAGGTGGCGGTTTGGCGGGAAAGTCTACAAATGGGTATACATCTGTTGTTCCTAGACTTGGAGGCAGCTTCCCGATATCTCCGCTTGGAGGTTGACTGTATGCGCTCTGACGCCTCGAACCGGCAGTCGTCCTATTATCGAAGTCTCCAGTATATTGATGACTCGGATAATGATCTTGAGGGTATCGAGGAGCTTGGGAATGTGACGGTCGGGTTTGGAATGCAGGCGCACCACTGCCATAGACAAGGCCAGTATCTGAATCGTCTGTATCATACCACTCTTCCTCTTGCACTGGGGCTGTGGTTTGCGCTTGATCCTGCATGTTGATGCGCTGCTTGTTCGGATATCCTGTGTGTTGACCTGTTTTGATGTAAGCATCACTTACCCGCTTACCTTTTGATCTCCTCCTATCGCTCTCGCTGGCTAGATCGTTTCCTAGTTTCACCAGACCCATCATACCGGCAGTCGAATCATACTGCCTGTTGTGACTATTTCCTCCGGATAGGCGTCGAGTTGATCTCTTTCTCCGAACCGTACCTGCACCGTAGGCCAAATCTGCATCAGATGACGAAGTGGATGCGTTTGAGAAGGTGAACAGCCCCTTCGGTTTCTTTCCCTTTCTCATGTTGGCAGACGGACTACTGAAGAACCCTGTAATGCCGGTAGACCCTGAATTCGTAGTTGAGAGGTCAACATAAGAATGCATTGGCGATACACGTTTCGAAAAGTAGTTCTTTTTTGATGGCGGAGAACGACTCCGGCTCCGGCTCCGGCTCCCACCTCCACTATCGCGTCGCAACTTCTTGTCAAGAGCGGCGGCTCCCATTGCAAGTCCTGCTGCCCCAACTCCTGCGGCCCCAACTCCTGCGGCCCCAACTCCTGCGCTCAGAGCAGCTCCTCGGGAGACGCCGCGCGAAGATGATGAAGAACTAGAGTCGCGACGTCGTGAGCTTTGCTTATCTCGGTGACGATAGGTCTTGCCAGATTTCGACTCCCGAACTCTCCCGGATGAGCTTCGTAGATCTTCGTTGGAAGAGAAATGTTTGTATCTTGCTGTAGACCTAGTTTCTCCACCTTGGAAACTGACACGGCTTGCAGCCGCAGGTCTTCCAGCCTTGACCGAGTATGTGTCATCAAAATCGTGGTTTGCCTTCAACACGGTTTCTCTAACCTTGGCAGCACCATAGCCAGCAAGACCGCCAACGACTACCTTTTTGGCTGAAGAGCGTCGCTTCCTTTCCTCGTCCGATGAATAGCGATATGTCTTGTCGACACGCGTTGTGCTGCCGTAGCGACTCCCAGAGGATGTCCTTCTTGGCTTATAGTGGTGTCTTCGTGGAGCATCTGCTGGTGAACTCATAGGATCGAAGCAGTATTTGCAGACTCCAATTGCTTCGGTATATTCCTCGTATTCAGCCACGGCTTTTGGATCGCGGAACCAGTCGACAAATTTTCCTAGTGGACTACGATGCTTATGCTCTCGTTTATGTTGCATCGGTGTGGGTCCACTGGAGTATCGCAGGGGGTTATTCATTCCGGATGATCCCTGATAATGGATATGAGAGTGCTCATTACCGTGATGCGACAAATATGATGCTCCGCTAGCCCCAGCAGCTAACCCAGCGGTTCCATATAAAGACGGATTCGCGTTTGGGAACGATGCTCCTGGACCTGCAGGGGCCGAATAAGACCCAGATCCACCGAATGATGCCGATGGTAATCGTGGCGGAGTTTGATACACCGAACCAGAATAATAATCTGCCGCAGCGGAAGGTAAAAATTGTGTTCCTCCACCTGGACCTTGTTGTGGCGGCCTACTTGTATATCCGGTGGGCGCCGGGCTCGACCTTGGACTAACACTAAATTTGCTGTGCTGAGTTGGACGGTCTGGTCTGTGATCAAGCTGTTGCGAGGGTTTCGACGGTGTGTGCTGAATACTAGGGTCATTCTGCACCGTGGAGCCCCCGAAATAACTCGCAGCAGCTCCAACCTGTCCCACGCTGCTTGGTTCCGCTGGAGGTCGAGCCTCGAGGGTCGGTTCCATTAAATGAGCCTGTTCGGCGCTGGTGACAATGTTTGGTTTATTAGGGCGCACACCGGGTTGGAAAGAAACGGATTCTCCTTGATCACCATAATATTCGGCGGCGTGTCCGGGGGAACGGAAGGTTTGAGCATAGGTGGACGGTTTCTCACCTGGGAATAGGTCGTCGGGAAGTGATGCATCGTGCTCACCAACAGCGCGAGCACTATCTCTCCTTTCTGACGGACCAGACCTGCGAGCATCCCGGCCATCAGGACCATCCTCTCCTCTAGGTCTTCTCTTTTTGCCGCCACTTTCTCCGTCCCTTTTGGAAGACCGGTATTTCGAGTTTCGATCATCTCGAGAATCGCGCGGCTCGTTGGTTCGATCGCGCTCACTGTATCTGCCAGCATTGTCCTGTGATATATCAATGGGTACAGGCTCTGCACTATATGCCGTAACATAAGTGGAGGGGGCGATGCGAGAGGATGCAACGGTCGTGTCGTCGCGTTCATCAATATCATCGTCACGACGGCTAGATTTCCGTCGGGAGGAAGTGGTGGAATCGTGAGTGCTATCTCGACGTTTCTCTGCCGGTATTGAAGTTTCGGGGCCGGCCCTCTGCCGGCCTGAGCTTGATTTTCCCATGGAGTGGGATTGGATCGTCAAGAGGTCAAGGCGTCGCGGGCATTAGTACTGAGGGGAAGGCTGCGGTGAAAACCAATGCTAGTGGAATGAGTTGGGAGAAAATGATTGTGATTGCAATGGGATGTTGAAACTATCGTAACATCATTGCAAGCGTGGGACTGATGCCGATGCGCGACGGTCGAATGAAGAAATCTCGACAAGTCGTGGATGGCGCAGGCTCAGGTGGCAGGGAGGTTGTGCTGGTGCCAGTATCCCCCAGTGTGCTCCAGTGTGCTCTTGATTTGCTTCGCTGGCAAATGATTGTCGCGTCCGCCGAATCTTGAGTGGCTGGGGATGCAGAACACTCAAGCCACCAGAGCCACACCTCCAATGAAGATGACGGGACAAGGCAGGTGACCAAGGGCCACCAGGGTTACTACGGAGGAATACTATCGCTGGCGGTGTAATTACTACGGGGCCGCATACGCAGCGTAGGCGATCCAGTCGCAGCTCACGTGATCCTATCTCTCAACACTTCAGCCCTCGCCTCTAGAGTCGAATTCAACTCTATCTGAACAATTTCGCCCCAGAGCGAGCCAGCCATTAATGGTAATGACATGCTCTGTGGAATAGTGCACGGACTAGAGTGATCATGGAGCTGGCCCCTTGTCCTCGTTCGTTTGCTCACTCGTATTCGCAGTATGCCCCTGTTTGGGCATAGCGTGTCCGTTGCCCGTCCCTCGATGCCAATCATGAATGAGGGTGTTGAAACCTAGGCGTTCGACCAGATCAAGAGATGAATGGGAACCTTGTCGAGCGTTCCCGTTGTCAAGTTTTCTAGGTCCTTCAGTGTCGATGTTGCCTCATCCTGGACGTCAGATAGAAGATATTATCTAACCAACAGATATGTGACTTCGTGTGCAACTGATATCTTCACCCAAATCCAGCCACCGTCTTCGGAGAACAGCCTGGTTCTAGACAATAGTGCCACTTCTTCCTGCATTTGCTCATTTACCACCTTTTAGGAGATTTTGTGCCATCCTTCTATACAGCTGGCCAGCCATATCGATCCCTGAAGTTGACGGACCATGGTTGGAATTGCACGACGCAGGGGTTGCGATACATGCAGAAAGCGGAAGATTCTAGTACGCAACCTTCCTCGCCGTTCTACAAGTGCATGCGGATGTGACTAATGCTAGTCTATAGTGTGACCTAGAGAAGCCAATCTGTTCACAGTGTGTGAAGTCTAATCGAAACTGCAGTGGCTATCGACAACATCCGATTTTTGTGAACTACCAAACGCCGAGCCTGGAAAAGCCGAATGAAACAATTCTTGAGAGCAATTCCAAGAACAAGCTGCAGCCACCGAGTGTTTCTCACCGCCAACGAAAAGCTGGACTGACTAAGAATAGGGTGAAGTCACCGACCTCTCATCATGGCCAAGATCTTGAGCCGGAGATCGTGCCCGTTCAGCTATCCGACCAAATCAATTGTAAGCCAGCCTATCGACAACAGATTCTCCATGTTTACCTGGATCAAATTGTGCCAAAAGCCGACCTCGGCTTGCTCCGGGAGAAGATGTGGATCAAAACCGTTCCATCTCTTCCCTATCTCACAACAGCATTGGAGGTTTCCGTCATGGCAATGTGTTTCGCCAAGATAGGAGACTTTCACAACGATGGTAGATTCAAGTTTGAAGGCCTCCAATTATATCATCGCGCTCTTCGTGAGCTTCAGTTGGCGCTTTTGAATCCGCAATTATTGTACGATGACCAAACCCTGGGGGCCTGCGTTGCATTGACACATTACGAGCTGACTCAATGTCCTTCGGATTCAGTGGTGCCATATATGAATCATATCGCCGGTTGTGCGAAGCTGGTTCAAATTCGAGGGCCACAGCGGCACAGGGATGGATTAGGCCATAAAATATTCACTCATTTTCGGGTGCAGGACGTGAGCTTGTTCTGTTATGGAAGCAGACGACTTTGCTGATCATTTTAGATACTGTTCAACCTCGATCTTCAAACCCCCACATTCCTGGCAGAGCCGCAGTGGCAGCGGATTCCCTGGCAATATACATCGAAGACGGCCTATGAAGCTGTTTGGGATCTGCTCAGTTTTGCCCCAGAGCTGGTGGGCAATGGCAACAAGCTTGGACAGATGGAACCGAAAATCCAAGCGATTGTTGCCACAGACCTCCTGTCGAAATGTTGGGAATTGGACCATGAATTGAAGGTCATCTATGATCAATTGTTGAGCGCAGCAGAAGAGCCTCTATATTGGACAGAGTTGGCCAGCAACGTGAGGCAACTCGAAGAAGGCGTCGTCTTTCCTCTTGCTTTTCGCTTTCGAGACCTCGAAAGTGCTAGCACCTTGATAATCATTTGGGCCACTCAAACCATCTTATGGCATGGAATGATACAGCTGCACCAGCTCATGCAACGTTTACAATCGGTGATACCAATGGGGCAGGAATCTAGGACCTTGACTCTGCGAGAACCGGGTCACCAGAGACACTACGTACCACCAGCTCTGAATATTTTCCAGTCCGTGGAGTATTGTACACGAGAGGAGTTCCTCGACTTGGGGCCGAAATCAATCGCGGCTCCGTTGAGAATTGCCATTGACATTCTCAAGCAGTATCCTGCCTATGACCGCGAGGTGTCGTGGGGACGGAGTATGCTGCAGAAGGTGCAAGCGCGATCACTTCGACTTCTCGGCTTTTATGTTGAGTCAAAGCACTAGGTAGTTACTCAGAGAGTGAATGAAGTTCAAGCTCTTGATTCGAATGTCTGTGCCTATGTGTGTTGTGACTCGTGACCGTCAGCCCCTGACTCCCTGGCTCACGAGTCACCAGGTGCAGTTAGGCTTGCCAAGCGCAGCCTTGCCAAGGACACCCTGGCTTCCAGCCTTCACCTTGTTTGTTCTTGCACGACAACTATTATGTACTACTGATCAGGCTCTCCTCCTTTGTCATAATCAAGTTTTGACTCACACTCATTACCCAGTCTCTCTCTTTCACCGTGGCGCGCCTCCTCCGGGAGTCCGACCGAAGATTGACAAAAATGACAACTCAATCAGGCCCAGTCATGGAGATTCTTGGCCGGGCAGCCGACGAATTCCACTTGATGAAGCCGCTATTGCCAACATACCTCCATCTTCTAGTCTCTGCAGTCTTCCCCATCTACACTGCAGCACATGCATCCCTGTCGAGGCCATCGTCTGCATCCGCTAAGAAAGGCAAGAAGAAGGGTGGGGGCGACGATGAACCAGACGATGCCGAGGACGAAGCATATCAAAAGATCGAAAGCCTCACCCCCTCAGATGCAATTCTCTTTCCACTTCTGGCCGGAGCGACATTGGCTTCCCTTTATTTCATTTTGAAATGGCTGCAAGATCCTGCCTGGCTGAACTGGGCCCTGGGGCTTTACTTTTCACAGATCGGACTGTTCTTCGCCATGAAATTTCTGAAAGACATGTTTTCGGTTGTACGCTCGCTCTGTTTCCCGACCGAATATTCTGGTGGAAAATCTCAATGGCGCGTCGACCTCAATGGACACCGTTACATTTCGGACCGCGGAGAAACCTCGACTGCACCCTTACCTGGGCTCTTCAGGCATATGCCGCTTCCTCGTTCGGTTTCCCGAGCCTTCTGGACGCTACAGAGTCTCCTGTACACAAAAGCGCAGCTGCACTTGCATCTCCACAAGGTCTTCACGTTCAAAACACCGGTGGATCTGCTTGATCTAGTGAGCCTCGTGCTTTCCTGCGGCATTGTCTATTATCACACTTTCGTATCTAAACCCTGGTTCCTGACCAATTTTCTCGGGTTTTCATTCTGCTATGGTTCCCTTCAATTCATGACACCATCGACCGCATGGACTGGAACGCTTGTCCTCAGCGCCCTCTTCTTCTACGACATATACTTCGTTTTCTTCACTCCGATGATGGTTACTGTGGCCACGAAACTCGATGTTCCCATTAAATTACTCTTTCCCCGGCCGGACGGATGTGTCTATCCTGTTGGGGCACCGGAAGGATCCAAGTTGATGGAGGATTATCTCCGATGTCTGGCCAAAAAGAGGAGCATGGCCATGCTTGGACTCGGAGACATTGTGGTGCCAGGAATGATGCTTGCATTTGCATTGCGCTTTGATCTCTATCTACACTACTTGAAGAAGGGGAGCCAAACAAATCCTTCCCGACAAGAGACGGCGGCGCAGGGTGAGACCAAGCCCGGTTACGTGAATGCACGGGGCAGGTGGGGTGAACGATTTTGGACGAGTTCAAGAGCTTGGTCCGAAGGGACCAGGGCGACCAATTTTCCGAAGCCATACTTCTACGCAACCATTGTTGGTTACTTAGCTGGAATGATAACAACAGTTGTGGTGATGCAGGTGGCTGCGCATGCTCAACCCGCGCTGCTATATCTTGTACCGGGGGTCTTGATAGCATTTTGGGGCACTGCTCTGGTCAAAGGAGAGCTCCGCCTTCTATGGCAATACAGTGAGCTTCCAGAGGACGAAGACAAGATGGACAAAGAGCACAAGGATGGAAAGGGTGAAAAGAAGCAACCGACGATTGCAAACGGACACACCAACGGGATAGAGGCCAAAGAAGAAGCCGCTCCGATTGATGAATACGAGGTCGAAAAGCCTGCTAAGCAAGTCGAAGAGCGTAAAAATCTCAACAAACAGGGCAAAGATTGCCACCGATTGATCTATTTTGCCGTTACTCTTCCCAAACGCACTGACGACAAGACGGCTGCCTTGATTGAGGCGGGAAATGACGACTCAATTATTGTTGGGACGGCTCAAGGTAATAAGCACAGCGGGGTCTCTCGAAGTGACTCTCACACAGTTTCTACGAGACGGGTGACAAGAAGTCAAGATCGAACGGCGACTGGCGAACCCTTGGGCAAGAAGGCAAGAAGGGTATGAGTGTGATGTGTATGGTTAAGCATTTTCAGGCAAGTGAGGGAGCATAGCGACATTAGAGGGACGACATTCTGCCATCCACAAAGGGTTTTATATGGGATCAGGCATTCTTCATTCATCTACTACCGAGTCCCTTGTCCTAGTTTTGTATTTCCTCCAACCAATGCAATGACCCGAGTAGCGGGATGTTCATGCGTGAACGAGCCATCTTATGCTTGTTCATTTGTTGAGCTCCGCAGCTTTAGCTTTCAATTCGTCCTTGGTGCCGGTTGCGGATGGGATGCCTGTCATTCAAGAAGGTCAGTGATATGTTCCCGCGCCACGTTGAGGGAGTGTCATGGTAGCAGAGTCGACTGTGAGGCTTACTGTCGGAGATCTGAGGACCCTTGCTCTGATGGTGATGAGCCTGAGCCTTGTCATGAATTGGGTGGTCAGAGGCATTGGAATCGCTTGACTCTTTTGCAACCTGGTCTGTCAAGCTGCCTCGCGGCTCAGAGTGAGTCTCTTCGGCAGGGTGGGCTGGCATGTTGGTTGAGGAAGCGTTGCAGTTTGGATTTAAGGCTGGGTTGTATTCGAGAAATGTAACGAGAAGTCTCGAGATGGGTATTGTGCTATAGTATTGAGATCTAGATAGGACGATTTCTTACACTTTGCATCATTGTACCAATATTTATGGCTGAGGTATTCCATTCTGTCTCTGCCTAATTGCCTGCGTGTGCATCATTTCTGCCATGACGTATTTAACCATTGATTGCAGGCCGCTCCTGCCTTCTAGGTTCTGGGAGGATTGTGGGGAAGGCATGACGAGATGTGCACAAGACGATTGGGGTGATTGCAGGGTGTTGCACCAATGGAAGCTGCTTAAGTAATCCTATCACGTGTGGGCGCTTGGTTGTATTCCGCAGTCGTCGCCTCGTCGCCCAAGCCACCGCCTAGAACCCGCCTGCTGCACTTCCTTTGGACACTCCCTCTAGGCACTTGGGTGCCTGTTGGCTAATTTCTTGGGGTGGCCAGTTCACTATTTCCGTGAGTATCATTCTCGGTACAAATCACCAAAGCACGGCTAACTTGATGAGGGCAGCTCTCCCCACTCCGAGGCAGCCTAAGTCCGTGGGTGACACCCTAGAGCTCTGTGACTTGCGTACCTCTGTACTCTGTACAGGCGGCGAGTCACCCTGGCGCCCATTGCATGCCACGCGGCTGCCAAAAAGGCAGAAGCAAATCGATCCATATCCACGCTACCAATGTCCATCGTTAGTCCCTGTACTTCGTACCCGACTTTCTATGTAATTCTCCAATCTTATCCACTCCATCTCTTCCTCCGACCGAAACTTCATACTCACTTCATTCGTCCCTCCGTATTTCGTGAGTGGACACTCTCCCTTAATCTGGACAGAGTGGAAGTCCTTTTTTCTAGTTATCCAGACTCAGACTCATTCTCATTTGGTCTAGCCATACCCATTGCTGCGGGACCTCTCCCGCCATGCCTTCCATCCTCACTGATGCTGATAAAGAGACTGTCAAGCGAACTGTCCCAAAGGCTTCCAACAAGATCCAGGCCGTTGCCGTAGCAAGGCTCTATGTCGCTCACCCCGATCGAAACCGATGGACCTATACTGGTCTCCAGGGCGCGGCCGTTCTCAGCAATGACCTAGTTGGAAATACCTTCTGGCTCAAATTGGTCGACATCTCCTCCTCCAACAGAGGTGTCATCTGGGACCAGGAGATCTATGACACTTTCCAGTATAACCAGGATCGCACCTTTTTCCATTCCTTCGAGCTCGAACAGTGCTTGGCCGGCCTGTCCTTTATCGACGAGAAAGAAGCGAGGCAATTTAAGAAGAAAATGGACGAGAGGGAAAAGAATGCTAGCAAGCAGACAAAGGCACAGCCATTTGCTTCTTCGGTTGGAGGAGGCCAGATCTATGTCCCTGGCGGCTCTCACAAACACCACAGTCGAGTAGGCAATTTTCTCCGTGGCCACAGGCACAGTTCAGTCCCGAGTCAGCCGCAGCAGCCCCAGTCTATTGTTCCCCAGCCTATCTACGGTTCGGGAAATTCGCTTCCAGCCCGACCACAGAGCAGTGCAGGCGGTGCTATTGATCTCTCCGATCCCACATGGAGGCCAATTCTGAATGAACTGCTCGAGATGGGTATCACTGAGGACCAGATCGAGCAGAATGCCGACTTCATCAAGAATTATGTCAAACAAAAACAGGCCGAGGAGATGGCCAATGGAATTGCCCAAGCCTTACCTTCACCTGGAGAGACAAGGGCAGGTAGAGCTCCTCCCCCTCCACCGCCTCCTGCAGCACCTCCGTCGAGGATAAGTCCCGAGAATACAGGAACGAGCTCAAGCCGAAGAGGTCCTCCGCCCGCTCCACCACCGTCTCGGAGACCTGTTGGTGGACGAGCTCCTTCGCCCCCTCCTGCCCGCTCTCCTTCCCCGCCTCCCAGAACTCCGTCGCCAGCTCCGAGCCCTCAACCAAGGTTCCGTGCCCCTCCGCCACTCGCAGACGCTGGTAAATTCGCCGGGAAACCTGGTCCTCCAATACACTCTTCAGGCAGGGACCGTGCCTCGTCCGCATCCCTCGCGAACCCAGGACCACCACCTCCACCTCGTCCGCCCAAGACGCCTGTCGACGAGGATCAACCACAAGGAATGTTCAGAGTTCCGCCACCGTTTGCCGGAGAGCGTAAATCCTCAGCTCCTCCACCACCTCCGAGCCGTGGTCCAGTGCCGCCGCCTCCGCCCAGTCGAGACAGCGCCTATGGAGGCGTACCACCACCGCTGCCACCAAAAGCAGCTGGGCCACCACCCAGTCATGCCACCGCACCAGCCTTCGTCCCTCCTCCTCCACCTCCACCTCCTGGTCGCAACAACGCTCCACCTCTCCCACCGCCCAACACTAGGGCAGTACCTCCTCCACCCACCAGTGCCGGGCCACCACCGCCTCCCCCTCCCCCTCCACCAATGCCATCCTCATCTGGACCTCCACTTCCCCCTCCGCCTCCGCCTATGCCCTCCTCTTCCGGCCCGCCCCCGCCTCCACCTCCACCTCCTCCAGGCGGAGCAGGGCCCCCTCCCCCTCCCCTCCCTTCAGGAGGAGGCGGCGACCCACACGACAGTCTCCTCGCCGCTATACGCGGCTCAGGCGGCAAAGCAGGTGGAGGGCTACGAAAGGTCAAAGACAGCGAGAAGCGCGATCGTTCTGCAGCGCAGGTACCAGGCGGCGAAGCCGCGGCCCCTGCCTCATCTGGAGGAGGTGGTCCAGGGTCACCCGCGGGTGGTGCAGATCAAGGTGGTCTTGCAGGCGCGCTGGCTGCTGCGCTGAGTCAGAGGAAGAAGAAAGTCAGTGGTAGTGGTAGGTCTTCAATACCCTTTTCTAGGGTGAAAATGGTCCTTCGTTTCAGATGTGTACTAATTCGGGCTGTATAGACGACGAAAAAGATGATGACGACGATTGGTGAGTGTCTGCAGCAAGGCCGCGTCCAACCTACGAAATCTAGGACCAGCAGAGTAAAGGCAGCAGTTGCGACCGGTAGTAACCCCGATGAGTAAGGAGAGGGGCCTGCTCCGAGTACAATGATGATTTTGCCCAGAGAAGTTTTTTTGATTCCCTCGATTTTCTGTCGCTGTCCAAAACCCAGCGGCCAAGACAGAGAGAAGGAGAAAATGACATCAGCAGCAGCAGTCGAATAATGCAAAACAGAGCCACAGAACAAACCAATGGCATGGCGCCCGGACCGGACCCCGTTAGAGAAAAAAAAGGAAAAGCTTAGCATTTTGAGCATAACAAATGCCTAACAGTTTTAGCCATCTTAGTGAAGGAGCAATGAAGCGGAGCGGAGCGAGGTGTGTGTTTGTGCGTTTTAGTGAATATACGAAAAAGTCAAGTGAGACCGGTCGCTCGCCGGCTGGCTTCCAATATCTCCTGCTCTATCCGCAAGAGCCTCTACTCGGATAATCGGACAAGGTTTGGAAGTTTGAAATGTTGAAACTTCGGGGTAATTGTGATTGTGATGATACGGTGCCTAGTAGTGGATGGCTATTTATTGAGTAGATATGTGATTCCTTCTCTTGCTCAAAACCTATTTAAGACACCGGCATCATGCTCCCAGCTCGTGTACGATAGTACTCGCTGTGAAGCATCCTGCCTAACCAAAGCAAATGCCACAGCGGTGGATCTTGCCAATGTCTGATTTTCATGAGTGGGATTGCATAACATATGTCCCCGAACCCACCCAAGTCTACTGATATGCGATATCTATGACATGGCTCCAAAGCGCCTGTATCCCCCGCTTGAACGCTGAAACAAAAATGACAAAAGTAGAGACATTCTCGAGGAGTAGGAGAATGTCGATTGTGATAGTAGTAGTACAGGATGGATGGTGGTGAAGTGCTAGGCATGATGCGGACCATCCTGGCCTCAATACCGGAGGGTTGCGTTCACTTATTGCCATGGCCATGTCCGTGATCGTGGTGCCGATGGTGGTGGCGGCCATGATGGCTACTCTTCGCGGACGCACCCTTCTCTTGACTCGCATCGGTCCTCGTCCTCGCTTCAGGGTCGTTTAAATCGTCATGAATCGCAGTTGGAGAATGCTCATGCACCGGTGCGTCCGCGTCGCTGCTCGTGTCGAGCTCGCCACCTCGCCGGTCATCTTCACCGTCGGTGTTGAGCTTATGTACTCCTAGGCCGTCCATACCTGGCCAGAGGACCGGTCCGGATTGAGCTGGATGGGTCGCAAAATTGGCACCGCTCCTTCTTAGTCGACCGAGGCGTTGTGCTTGACTTTCAACCGCCTCATTTCGCCAATTCCCTCTCCCGCCTGCGCTTGGATGCCGTCCAAAAACATCAATTCCTTCGCCCCACATCCGAACTTTTTGTACTTTCCGCAATTTCCGCATGCCATAGACGCAGATCATGGCAGATAGAGCGAAACAGATAACACTAACACTTCCGAAGGCGAGATCAGACTCTTCAATGAAGTTCTTAAGATTCATGCCGTAGAGTCCAGCAACGAGGGTGCCACCAGCCAACCCCAAGGTGCCAATGCTAAATTTGATCTCGAGTAGCATAAGCTGATTTCGATTTGCATCAAGAATAGCTTTGACTACCTCTTCTGTGTTTCGAATGTTACTGATCAAGAGTCCAGAAATCTCAACAATTTCGTCACAGATTTTGTGATAGGACTCCAACAGCATTTCAACCTCCTGATGATTATCTCCTTCACGAGTTTTACCAGTGGCTTTTCGCTCAGTGAGATACATAGTAGCGAGATCGTCATCGGCCTCCAACAGATCATCAATGGCATCCCGAACCAATCGTGCCTTTTGTTCGAAGGTACCCAGCTTTTTGGAATGAATGAGTAAGTGCCTCAACTTGTCTCGATCAATGTCTTCTTCTAGAGCCTGAAGGATGTGAGCAACTGGTTCGCGGACAAGGGCGAATTCGGCTTCCAGGCCTGAGGTGACCGAGATGAGGACTGCTTCAAGAGCGCGTAGTTCATACGGTAGATATGTCGATCCATTCCTCGGGTCAGGCTTTTGTCGGAGTTTGCCCTCCAGATCGTACATGAATAGTGATTGCGTGTAGGAATCGCTGCTACCATACGCATCAAAGACTAGGACGCGATCAGATTGAATCAGGACTCGAAGGTGAAGTAGGTTGATGAGAATGGCTGTTGGTCGGACAAGAATGTGAGGCAAGACGGAGGAATCTATCTTCCTGAGATCCCGTGGCAGAAGGCCATATTTGGCTATCAATTCCGACTTCTTAAATTCGCCAGATACCAGGGTGACAGACCCATTGGCATCGAACTCGGTGCAGCGAAGTTTCAGATCTGCACCGGTAGTATTTCTAGACAAGGTCCGCGAAAGATTGAAGAGCTGAGCGGACGTTTCCTCGTAGGAGTTCCCAGCGCGAGCGTCGAGGGGGATTTTGGATCGAGCTAAGGCTTGTCTATGGCGCAACCAGCGTCGCCAAAAGCCGGGTGAGTGGCTTTCTGTGCTTGCACTCCGAGATTGAAGAGGCCTTGGGGGGTGGTATTTTGGAGGAGGCAGTGCCTTGAAGGGCTCACGATGTCGATGCCAGATATCATCGGTGGCAGAAGATGTAGTGCGCGACAGTCGAGCCGACGACGTTGTTAAACCTTGATATGATTTCTGGTGGACGGGCGAAAGGCGCAGGCAACTGGGCGCAGGAACGAGGGCGGCAAGATCAGTTTGACATCGCAGGAAGCGCAAAAGAGTCTTGGAGGGAGCAACAGGCGTCTTCATCGCCTTGACGCGCTCTGTCTTTATCTCCTTGGATGGTGAGCAGAATCAGAAGCTCACAAAGAAAAGAAAGATCCCTTACTCCGCCCGCGAAAGTCTGCTAAGTCTTGGAAAAGTTCCGGCAAGGAAGTCGCCTATCGGGATCCGGGAATGGGCAAGCCTTGGCACCATTGATTGGCCGGAGTCCAGACACGCACGTTTCTACTGCCATGGGTGTTGAGCCCCCCCGTTCTTGTCCTAGAGATGGCAATTTGATCATCATGATTGGCCATGGAGATCAAGAATATTGGACTCAAGCCCACCCGCGTAACTGCCACGAATAGTAATACTTGGGAGCCCGGCATGAAGAGTTCAACAAGACTGCGACAGATGACAAATGGCTAGCAAACCCTTCATCTGATCACCACTTCCTCGCTGCACATTCAGACAACCTGTTCAGCAACTCCCTCAGCTTCCTCCTGGTCAGAGAGGCTCAAGATAGATGACTGGATTAAGGGTGGCTATCTATTCCAGCCAAGATACAGCCGATATACGGGGATCTTCAGACGAGGATCACGTGGCAGGGAAAAGGAGCCATGAAAAATGCGGCACTTCCCATCCAAGCTCAACACCTTTTACACGGACAGGTACCCTTCCTTCGAGGTGAAATACCAGTAGCCTGATCGGAGTCCATACTAAGATCGTGAGTCTGCAGTCGGGCTTTGCTGAGACTTCCTACTCTGGAGACCCATTGCAATACAGCCAACGCTCGCTTCCAGCGTTGCGATGGAAGCAGCAGAGCGAGCTAGCTGACTTCTGAGCGCGGGAGAGCATAACGAAAGCTATAAGCCCGACCTTACCTCAGTTACAATGAAAAAACACATAATGCCTAGTTCAAAACATGGCAAAGCATGATGTGGCTGGAGGCAGGTAGTCCTTGAATTACTCTGTTGCCTTGCCTGATCCCCAAGAGCGGCCCAACATGCAGACATCAAGCTATGTGAAGAGTATTGATATCAAGATAGGCACTCACTTGCTTACCTGGTCTGAGTTCAAGTAGCATTTTGGTGTCTGAGCACTTGATCAGTCGACTTAACCTAAGGTTCGGAGTCATGCATCCGATGCCTTTGTGCACCTACGGTAAATATCCATCGATAAATAAATGTGGCAATGTGGGTTGATCCCACGCCGAGGAACCTTTTGTGGGATCGACAGATCTTTGCATAATACCGATTGGCCTAAATCCATTATTCAAAAATGGTTAGTGTTCCTTTTCTCCTCAAGTGCTCAAACCTTCCCCAGCCTTTCCAACATCCATTTGCTCCACCCGCCGGAGCAAAACAGGCCCTCCACCGCCTGTCCATCATGTGTATGTAGAGATACTCAGAAGCTCCATTGTACATAGGAAGGACCGACATATGCTACTCTGGAAGAACTCTGAATGTCCGGTCTCCTGACCCAAGAGTAAGCATCCGCAGAACAGCGAACAAGTTTGGCTGGAAGAAGGCGGCACACTCAACGTCGGCTTGAGCAACTTATTGTGATAGTTGCCAATTGCCATTTGATCCCCGAAGCGACTGGACACCGCTTAGCTCTATAATGTTATTACCCCAAATCCATGGAGCCGTCGTTTCTCGGGGGCAGACTCGTCACAATGACCCTCCCCGCCCATGTCCAGGCATGCCTTTCAATACAAATCGGAAAATGACCCTAACGGCAGATATCAGAACTAGGACCCGAAAACCCCGCATGGAATGAACGGGGTGTAGTGCTGCGCACCTAAAAGTGAATGGAGTGTACGCTACAAGTCGAATAAATACCTGGCATACCTCGAGTCTTTTGGCGCCATATGACAACTACAAGTCCCAAGATTGCTACTGCCAATAGCAAAGCTACCCAGAAGGCTTATTTCAGCGTCAAGCTCCTCGCAATATCAATATGGGTCTTGGCATTTTAGACGATCCTCACCTCGATCATGTTCCAGGCACAGCCTTGCTGGCTGACATGATCGATGCGGAGGAGCACCAGTTCCACGGTCAGTTCAATGGCTCTTACCGTGACTGAAATACTAATAGAAGTATAGGACGTGATACTTCTGGCCTCAAACATGGCACTGGCCGCAACAAAGACATCGTATTGGTTCCCCAGCCTAGCGAATCTCCCAGAGACCCCTTGAATTGGTCTACGAGGAAGAAAGACCTACTATTGCTCATCATTGCGCTCCAAACGGGAGTGACAGGAGCTTGGGGTCCTATGATCTCGCCTGGATATGTGCAGATGTCGATTCAATTTGGAATATCCTACAACAAGCTAAATGGTGGGCTTGGATGGGCGATTTTTGCGATTGGAATTTCCTGTTTTGTCACCAATGGACTTTCCGTTAAATACGGTCGCCGCCCTGTGATAATTCTTGGCAATCTTTTACTCTTCATTTCGTCACTGTGGGGATACTTCGCACACAGTTATAACTCTCTTCTGGCGAGTCGGATCTTTGGTGCCATTGGTATGAGCCCATTCGAAGTTCTGACAACCGCAATTATCGGCGACATCTACTTTGTCCACGAGAGAGGCCTCCGCCTGGCGTTCTGGGGCCTCTGTCTTAGCGTTGGAGTTGGTGGAGGATCTGTCATTTCAGGGTACATCATTCAGGTGAGTATGTCCAAGCCTTTGGGAGGGGCATCAAGTATTGATGTGCTTGCAGGACCTTGGCTGGAATTGGACCTACGGCATTTGTGCCTGTCTATACGGAGCATTTATTCCGGCGATCTTTTTCTGGGTCCCTGAAACTGTTTATAAGCGAGATCCCGCATACAACCTTGATCTAGGGACAAAAGATCACACCTTCGACACACTGGATGCCAAAGAAAAGACCCCCGACGTCATGCAAGAAATCAAGGCCGATGATCAACAAGTCGAATCTACCAATCCAGGGGATAGGATCACAGTCAATGCAGTTTATACCGGTGCCGATGAAAAGCCTTACACATTCTGGGAGGAATTGCGAATTATCAGGGGCACCGAATCAGACGAAAATCTTATATGGATCATTCTGCGGCCATTCGGGATGCTCCTATTCCCGCAGGTGCTCTATGGCTTTATCACATATGGCCTTTCAACCTCGTGGTTGATTGTGATGATCAGTGTTATGGCACAACTCTTCAGCGCCCCACCCTACAATTTCTCAGTCTCTGCAATCGGCCTCATCAGTATAGGCCCTTTGATCGCCGCACTTCTGGGCTTTGTCGCTGGCCCTTTGAATGACTGGACAGTGAAGAAATTGGCACGCTGGAACAAGGGCATCTATGAGCCCGAATTCCGACTATCCCTGAATGTGCTAACCCTGATCTTTGGTGTTGCTGGCTTTTTCGGTTTTGGAGCTTGCTTACAATATCAGACTCCGTGGATCGGTCCAGTATTTCTATACAGCCTTATCTGGTTCGCCATGTCGTTCCTAAATATTGGGTAAGTGATTAACCCTCTATCCTACCTAACACCGACTAACAGATGGCCTAGTATCTACGGCTATATCACTGAATGCCATCGAAATAAAGCACCAGAGGCTTTTGCGTCAATCAACCTACGCAACATTTACTCCTTCGGTATGTAGTAAGCCCCTGACACGCGTGACTGCAAAACCCATATCTTCTATAGCAAGAGGCGCAGGAGATCTGATCACGTGGCCTAGCATGAATGCATTGATCCTCGCTAATCGTTGCTACAGGTATGAATTATTTCATTTCCGACTGGATCTCCAAACAAGGGCCTCTACAGGTATTTAGCACCGTTGGTGGATTGCACATATTCATCTGTCTTTTGACGATCCCTATGTGGATCTACGGTAAGCGATGCAGAAGCCTTACGGCGCGCAATCGCTTCTTCAAGAAGATTCAGGAGAGTTAGGCCATTTGGAAACGGGCTTAGATCACAGGAGGACAGGCAGGATGAGAAGCTCTTCCTAAAGATGTATCACCTATTATGTCATGTCGAGAAGTGAGGGGAGTGGTCCTGCTTGCAGATATCCCCTGTAGCGAGGAGCGGATTGGAGGCTCAAAGAAGTAAAGATACTGCTCAAACAAATCTTGTCTCTGCGAGAGTGGTTACGTTGTCGTGCACAGCTTTGTAGAACGTGCTATGGCGAAATTTGACGTGAGCACAACATTTTACTATCGTGCGCCGGGGAGGTAAGAAAAAAGCGATATTCTCTTAACGTGTTGACTGCCTGCATCGATGGAATAGACAAGAATGACCCGGTGATTGTTGCAACTAATAGGAATGATTACGAAAGGCTGTAAGATCAGGAGGGCTGCGGTGTTGGCCTGCCTCTGAAAATCAAAAGACGGCTATCAGGGTCAAATGACCGTCTGACACAAGAATCTCGATTAATTGTTGCTTCCATTATGCGTAAATATCAGCAGACTTGGCCAGTTCTTCTCGCCACTCCTCTTAGGACAGGAACATATGTAAAGATGCCGGCGGCAAGTTCTCAGCCGCCGGTGAAGCTCTCGCTTCCTCTGGTATGTATGATGATCCTCCTCCGTGGCCATTGCTTCCCGATTGGCTGGATGCCCAACGTTCCTCTCTTCTAACACTTGAAAGCAATTTCAACAAGAAATCTATCATCTTCTCCGGTCAGAAGATGTACTTGTCATTCTCGCAAGAGGTCTCGGACTCCTCAAAATACTGACAAATCTTCTTCACTCCTATGATGCTGCAGGCAATTCCCTCGTCATCATTGTTGGTGCAGAAGACCGCGAGAATGAGTGGATCGGTGAGGCTCTCGCAGAACACTACGCGGTTTCCAGGAGCCCATTGGCAAAAGGACTTCGTGTCATCAACACTGACAAGGCCACTGTATCGGCACGTGAAAAGATATATGCTGAAGGTGGCATTGTCTCAGTCACGAGCCGAATTTTGATCGTGGATCTTCTCTCGAAATTACTCGATCCTGAAACGGTGACTGGTCTTATTGTCCTCCATGCCGAACGTGTGGTCGCAACAAGTAGTGAGGCTTTCATTGTCAGAATCTTTAGACAGTACAACAAGATTGGCTTCCTGAAGGCATTTACTGACGCACCTGAACCATTAAACTCGTCCTATGCGCCCCTAGCGAGTATGATGCGAAATTTGTTCTTGCGCAAGCCATCCCTCTGGCCACGTTTCCACGTTTCCATTGCGCAAAGTCTAGAAGGCAAGAAGAAGGCAGATGTTATCGAACTCGAGGTTCCCATGACGTCAGCTATGCAGACGATTCAAACAGCGGTGATGGAATGTGTCGAGGCCAGTATTGGGGAACTCAAGAAAGCAAATACCGGCCTTGAAATGGAGGACTGGACCCTCGATTCTGCTCTTCACCAGAATTTCGATGCGATTGTACGCAGGCAGTTGGATCCAGTATGGCATCGTGTCAGTTACAGGACAAAGCAGATTGCAAACGACCTTACTGTGCTACGATCAATCCTGCACTCTCTCCTCAGTTATGATAGTGTCTCCCTCCTCAAATATCTCGACACTGTTCTTGCTACTCACTCTCCCCCGCCAGGCTCAACCCGGCAAAACCAATCGCCTTGGCTATTTTTGGATGCTGCCTCTACAATTTTTTCCACTGCGAAAGACCGCGTGTATAGTGGAAAGGCTGAAGACGGTGGGGCCTTGCCAACCTTAAGGTTACCAGACTCCCTCACGCCTGTTCTAGAAGAGCAACCGAAATGGGCAGTCCTTGCAGAAATCCTAGAAGAAATCGAAGTGGATTCTTACTTGAATCCCACGTTGAGAGACGACTCCAGCGACGCGGTCCTAATCATGTGTAACGACCAAAGAACATGTCGTCAGGTCCGGGAATACCTTCAGACCATGCATGTGAAGCCTCTGGCGCAAGACAGCAACAACGGAATGGCTCCTCACGTGGTCGAAGCTGAAGAAGAAAGGGGTTCTGCAGAGTTCATGATGAGGCGGAAACTTCGTGAGTATCTTGGCTGGAGGAGAACATTTGCGCAGGTGAGCGCTTCGCTATTTGAGGAAAATCAGAAGTCATTGAGTGATATCAAAACCCACTCTGGCACTGCGGTGGCCCGTCTCAACAGCAAAGCACCAGCCAACAAACGTCGACGTGTACGTGGAGGCGGCAGCGCAGGAATCAACCCGTCAAGAACGGCTAGCGGCGCAGTGGCAATTATCGAGGATCGAGCGGCCCAGGTGGCTGACTTGCTTGCTGAGTTACGGCCAACTGAAGCTGAAACACTTCAAAAGGAGGATGTCGTTGTTGACGATCTCAATGAAGCCAGCGACAGTTTCTTTGAGCTTTATAGTCCAGACGACCAAATCCTAGTGCATCCGTACGATGGAGACCAAGACGATCAACTGCTTGAAGAGGTCCGGCCTAAGCATATCATCATGTATTCACCGTCACCAGAGTTCATCAGACGCGTTGAGGTGTATCGGTCCAGTCACACAGAACGAAGTGTGCGAGCATACTTCATGTACTACGGCGGTAGTGTCGAGGAGCAGCGCTACCTATCGGCAGTGCGGCGTGAGAAAGATGCGTTCACCAAGCTTATCAGAGAGCGTGGAAGCATGGCTGTTACCCTTTCGGACGCTGGGAATGTCGATCCGCAAGAAGCATTTCTCCGAACCGTCAACACGCGAATTGCAGGTGGTGGCCGACTGGCAGCGACTGCGGCGCCACCAACTGTTGTGGTGGATGTGCGGGAGTTTCGATCTGCTCTACCCAGTCTGTTGCACGGTCGCAACATGCAAATAGTCCCCTGTCAGCTTACAGTAGGTGACTACGTGCTCTCGCCGACGATCTGCATCGAGCGGAAGTCGGTGGGGGATTTGATATCTTCCTTCAAGAACGGTCGACTTTTCAATCAGGCAGAGACGATGCTACAGCATTACAAATACCCGTTTCTCCTGATTGAGTTTGATCACAACAAATCATTCACGCTCGATCCCTTTGCGGACCTGACGTCGGTCTCGACGTTGAAAATGCCTGGTGGGGAGAACAAGGATCTGCAGTCAAGAATTGTCCTTCTCACACTTGCTTTCCCACGGCTCAAAATCATATGGTCATCCTCGCCCTATCAAACAGCGGAGATCTTTGAGGAGCTGAAGAAACAGCAAGAGGAACCCGATCCGATGAGAGCGGTACAAATCGGGCTTGCGGATGATGAAGACCCAGAAGAGAGAACTTTCAACATGGGTCCCCAGGACTTGTTGAGGACAATCCCTGGGGTGTCGAACAAGAACGCCAGTCGGTTGTACCTTGAGAAGAAGAACATCCTGGAGATCGCTAATATGAGTTTGGAAGAATTGGATCCTCTGGTTGGTCGTGAGGCGGGAAGGCAGATCGTCAGGTTTTTTACGCGGAGTGTCTTTGAGGATGAAGACGATTGACTGTTGTTCTGCCGGTAGAGAGGAGCGACAATACGATACAGGCATGACGATGCCCACATGAAAGGGCATACGCATGACTCGAGATGGAAGTAGAGTATGACAATAAACAATAAGAATAATAAAAACACAGGTGTGATTTATTGCAGAGCAAGCATTTTTGATTTGATTTGAAAAAAAGAACCATCTCCCGAACTCCCATCATGATTGTACCTATCAATGAATGCTAGCAAAAAAGGATGCTGCTAGAAGTCGTCCGTCCGTCATCCGTCGTCGATCCTCTCCGATCCATCAGATCCTGCCAACCCAGGCGTGGGGCCAGGGCAATTGGTTGTTTTAGATGTCATCAATGTCGACCTCCTTGTCGGAGTCACTATCCCTGTCCTCGTCGAACTCGACATTATCATCAACGCCCTCGTGGCCGTAGGTGTCAGTCTCGTTGATCTTGGCACTTTCAGGAAGCTCTCCATAGGCCTTGAGCGAACGGGCCTCGTCAGCAGAGTATTTGAGAATGACGTCGCCCTTTTCGTCCTGATAGTCGCGCAGGGACAGCAAGATGATGTCTCCTTGGTTGATCCAGACCTTCTTCCTCAGCTTGCCGCGGATGTGTGCTAGTCGCTTTTCGCCGTCAAAGCACAGCGCTTCCAGGCGGCCGTTGCCCAGCATCTTGAGGACTTGTGCATATTCTTGTCCTTCTTCTTTGAAGGTCAGCTCGCGCTTCTCGTTGTCGTTCTCGTTCTTTCCTCGACGCCTGTTCTTGCCACCCTGTTCACAGCTATTGGGTTAGTACAGACTTGCATGAGGGAGGTTGGGATGTTGGGATGTTGGGATGTTGGCGGGGGTATAGCACCGCGCTTTCGCTCGCCAGGCTGGGTACGGTGCGGTGTGGCATGTGGCGCGTGGCGGGGTTGAAACTGACCTTTCCCTTGTTCTTAGGCATGTTGAAGACTCTCTAGGAGTGTTGGGTGTGTGTGTGGGAGATTCGAGGGTGTGGGTTTGTGGTTGGTTCGAGGGACTTGAGAGTCGTGCGTGGTGTTATTGAGTGGTGATGGATTGACTGGGCTCTGAATCTGAACAATGAATGGAATGGAATATTGCATTGCGCACTCACGGCAGAGTTTCGTTTTGGTGGGGCAAAATTCATGAGTGAGTCTGAGTCGCACACTCGGACGAATCAGGCAACCAACGGATCAGGCAGCGCACGAGTCAGGCGGCGAACGAATCGTGAGAATAGTCATAAAAATAATCAAATTATCGACTGCCTCCCTCACTACTGCTACCACTACTACTTCTACTACCACCACGTCCTGCTCGTACACATAAAACACCCACCATTCCCATGCTTGTGTGATGCACATTACTCCTACGATCGCCTAGACCCTCCCTAGGCTTCCATCATGCCTCTGTCGCCCTCGTCGCCTCCGAGACCCTTTCTTATCCGGCCATGTCTCATCGCTACCCGTGGCTACAAAAGCTCTCCCACAGGGGCAGAAGTAACATCATGGTCAAATACGTCCCTTTCAAAGCCCCCTATGAAAACATCCTACCACGTCTGATCGACTTTAACAGTCCTTCCCATGTTTCTGCAAAGGAGCTTTACGACCGGATGCCCGCCGACCAACTCAACTGGCGCATTGTCACCAACGTGAGTGCGAAACAGGTCCCATATGCCATTCTGCGGAATCACACCAGGAACAGATACTACGCAGCCTTCAGCCTGGCCCTGAAGGAACAGGGCTACCACACAAATGGCAAGCTGCTCAAAGACGCCCTTGGTGCAGGACATGGACCCCAGCAACCACTCAAGGGAACCCTCGAACTCTATGTTTTCCACAATAAGGTCAATGACATGGCCTTTGATAAATTGAGAAACGACGCAGCGCTGGTTATTGAGGCTGTCCGCAAGCACCAGCTCCAGTTCCAGAACAGGTCACTAGACGACAAGCTCAAGGCCAACCCCAAAGCTCGTCAGGACCGACTCTTCTCCAAAATTCCCCAAAACCAGCAAAGGACAGACATCTCTCCGCAAATTCAAACAAAGAACAAAGTTCCACAACCCAGAAAACGAACAGCTCTGGACAGAAACAAACAAGTCCTTTACGCGAGAGGACAGTAAAGCGCATGACTTGATAGCGACATATGACACCATAACCCTGTACAACAATATAATTGATTTATCGTCTGTGTACAACAAAATGGCGTGGAGGGTTTGGACTGGCTTCCTGCATCGCAGGAGTTTGATCTGTGGAAGGGAAGGGTTAGGGTACTTAGGTAAGTAAGCCTCAGCTCACAACATCGCTGTCGTTGGCGCAAGGAATGGCGAAAGATGCACGAGCACGAGCACGAAGCTAGCTTACTGTGCTCGCTCTTCTACCGCTAGGGACTACTGAAATTGAACCGTCAGACACGTTATCAGTAAGTAGATAGTCTAGATCATGGCATCTAGCGGGTGACTATCGAATCTTGCAAGTTCCAACAATTCTACTTGGGACGATTCAGTAGGTGAGGCAGGGAGTCACTGAGTACACCAGGCTTTGCCCTGTCTGAATTTGAAGTGAAAATGGTAGAAGTGAATCTCAAACTCACTGACGAGATAACCTTTCTCTCACATCACACATTTTCTCTGGTTCCTACTGTTTCTCTTTTTTGGCCTTTTTCTCTTCCTTCGCAATGTCCCCCCTACCATCAATTCTCTGGTTCATCCCAACACCCACCGAATCCATAACTTGGTGGTGCTGGAATCAAGTTCACTCTCTCTCTCCTTCCTCCCTGCCTTCTTCCACAATCTCCAACACCCTCTCACCGTCATGGCGTTAATTGCGATAGAGATCCCATTCGAGGAGACATGTATCATGTGTCCTCGGCGAGGCAGCAAGCGGTGTCCTGGCTGCGGTGACGCACGTTACTGCTCAAAGGGTAAGCATACTCTCCTGGAAATCACCCTCCGATTGGACCAACATATTTCGTGAAGATTGCCAAAAGCTTGACTCGAAGAATTACAAGACCTTGTGCCAATCGTTCGGTGATGCGAGGCCGTCGACCGTACCAGATGGAGCTTGTCGGCGAGCGCTTTTCTTTCCCGGCGATGATCAGCCCTGCAGATTTGTTTAGGTCTAGAAACTGTGCGGTTATCAGCAATACCTGGGAACAGATATTGTAGATCGCACCTTCACCGCTCACAATAACATCCAAGCTCGTGATACCGGGCGCGACGATGAAGAAACAATAATCGTCCACTTTAAGGACGACACATCAAAAGACCCTCCCAACATTGGTGTGAGAATTTTCACCCGTGCTGGAGTTGCGTCAAAAGTCTTTCGAAGACCAATCTTAGTGACCAGAAAAGGGTATAGAAGAGGTTCCCGAGGCGCGATTGAAGAGATCCGCGACTTTGACATGCGCGATGTCCGGAAAGCTGCCGACTATTTTTGCTGTGCCTATCGCTCGACTATGCCACAATCGCAGCTCTCCGATGTCCATATACTTGCAACAGGCATTGCGTGCCCGAAAGACGTCAGCCAGCGTAACCTGAGGACTAACTGGCAAGAACGAGTGATCGACGACTGTGATCAAGTATACCAGTCGGAAGGCAGCGGCATTGCACACGTGCTGGCCATTCCCCTAACTCTTTGCCGCTTCAATCACCATGAGTGTGTTGAACAGGGCGACGTTGTGTACACTTCCGCAACAGACCATCTCATGCGAGACATCACATCGACTACCACGGGACCGCAAGAAGGCACTCGCAACATGCCTCGATTCCGTCACAATGATAGAGCATACGCAGGCACCCAAGGCTTTGGTTCTTCCCCAAACCACGGCGGCTGTATGAGTAGACTACTGCCGCTTGGGGCCATGTTGTTTCCTCGAGCACCCGGAATTCCTATCAGCACGGGATCGGTGGTGGTCGCTCGCGCTGACGGTCTTCCCTTGATACCTGTGCACCTTGAGGCAATCTGCAGTTACATTTCCGACAAGGGAGAGCCGCGATTAACAAACTGCATCTCCGGACTCAACTCTGGTGCAAGTATACCTCAGCGAGAGCAGGTCTCGAAACTCGATCACCAAGGCGGACTTCATGGAATTCTACAACGACCAGAGCGCCTCTAAAGCAACCACGGATCACTTGTGGCGTGGTCTACCCTCTCCGTACGGATGGACACCGTATTTTCTCGACAAGATGCGACATCTCGTTGAGACTGAGTAGCAATCAGACCATAGTACATGATTTGGACGTCTACAGCAAGCTGAATGCTGCATGAGTCATCAAATTTCTCCATAAGTCTATACCCCAGGTCTCAAACCTTGAGGAGAGATCAACCAGCAATTCCAACAATATTTTGTATGGTGAAAGGCACGAATGGGTTTCACAATGGAGATCCCATGAGTGAGTGTTTACACAAGCAAAACCCAGCCAAAAAAAAATTGTCACTAGTATGTGAGGGGGTGTGAGTACAACAAAAGTCTTGCTTGATTGCAGCAGAATGACTCCCAGCGGATCCGGAGCCTAATCTGACTAGGATAATTGTGGTGTGGGAAAATATGCATGTGCACACGTTGGGCTACGTACTGGAGAATGATCGCTTCAGACCTTGAGGGCATTGGAAAACACAATGGCTCTGTCGCTGTCGAGATGACCCTTCACGTACACATCGATTCTTGACTGTGTGATGAATTCAGTCTTGCTCAGACGGTCCGAATTTCATCTACCATTGATAAAAGGATTCTGACGAATCTGCCTTGTTCCCGTGTTTTCTCTTTCTTCAATGATACCATGTATTGTGGGTCTCTGCTACTCGTGACTCGGGCGGGCGAGCATGTAGTCCTAATCTTGCCTATAGGAACAGATGTGCCTTGGCGCCTCATGTTGCAGGATGACACGGCCTGGCCACATCATCACAACCTGACCAAATCTCCGAGTTCTAACATGGTCACTCAACCTCGGGAGTCTCCGTTATGGTCGCAGGAGAATGTCCAGATCCACATCCACATCGGCCAGGGCCTGGAGACTCGAGAAGTTCTGCGTCACCAGCCGTTGGCCAATGGTGTTTCGATGTCTCATAGTGTGATTTGCCTTGGAAGTGATAAGCTAAGATTCTGGTGTCCGGGCAGCCAACCTGAAAGACATCTGCTTCACAACCATGTGTCCCTGAGCTCCAAGCTCCTAGTCCGCGAAGGATATCATCTGGGAGCTCGTGGTGGCGAGACCTCGGAGAGGGCGGGCTGGAATATCCCCACGGTGGCTCCAAGTGGTCTCTAGCAATAACTTCTGCATGGCAGAGTTGTGAAGATGTCTGCGAAGGTGAGGTAGCTCCACCATCAACTGCATCGCCTTTCTCCGAATTTTATACCCAGTACTCACCGAGCGTTGATTGAAAAGCGATCAGAAACAGACTCAGTCTTTTCAGATGTCTTCCGAGTCATGTTCTCATTGAGAGGGATTGTGTTCTCAGGGGGGCTGAATTGATATAACACGAAGACGGAGTATTGGGACGGAAGCAAGATAGAGCAAGCGTTGAGGCATACATCCCAGATATATATATGTAAACATATGCAGGTATGGATATGCTCGCCAACGGGTTCGTCCCTCGAGGAGGCGGTCCCAACGTCTCCAAGGCAAGGAATGGCGAACAGCCCACTCCTCCTTCATGTTAGGTGGAATGGATCCATCACCATGTTTTGATGCGATCGGACAACACAAGGAGCAGTCGTATCGTATCAATCATTGTCAGTAGCGCAGAATTCTCTACGGAATGGCTGATGTCGATGAGGAAGAGGTTCTACTGGACGATGTTAAAGGCCTAGGGTGTTCAAAGTCTAGTTACTATTTTACGGTCGGAACAGCCAATGCTTAGCACTCCGAGCGTACCGCTTTTATAACCACTCACCTCCCCTCTAGGCTCACCTTCACACTCACCCTTTATCCTGAACCTGCTCCACCGCATGTAGCGCCAGTCAGGACCCAAGGATGGCAGCGCGGAGCCCTTTCCCTCTATCACGCCTTTTCGACTTTCGACCACTTTCTCGTCCCCTCGCTTAGACAGACCCTCCCTCCTTGCCAATAGAGTACAAAACCCCCCTTCCCGCTCTCTCGGGCCGCTAGCTCTCCTCCTCCTCCTCCTCCTCCTCTAGCAGAATGTAATCCCCTTCCCATCACGAATCATGAACTCCAGTCACCTCCAGCACCGCCATGAGCTAGCTGTGTCAGCAGGAGCTCACGGCGGACGAACTGGTTCTTACTCGTGCTCAGGCCAATGGTTAGGACATCAGTTATGGGCCGGGTAGATAGGACAGGCGTCCCGTCGCAGTAGGTGTCCTGTAATCCCCCCGTAGCCTAGGCGGAACGTCCTGGAGATCTCTGTCCTAGGCCCGTTGTCCCAGGACACATTCCACCCTAAAGCGGCAAATCGCGGGCTGTCCCTAAACCAGACATGCACAAATCGATCCCTAGGATTAGATTTGCGACTATCACCTTAGTGGGGGAGTTTGTTGAGGCCACTTTTCTGACTAAGCTGCTGCCTCCTGTCGGAGGCACTGGGAGGTGCCCTAGATTGGCCGCTAGCTGAAAGTCAGAAAGCAAGTGGAAGATAAACGCAATTCTACCCTGTGAAAGTGATAAAGAACGATTGTCTGTATGCACTACTTTTCCCACTGTCACAAGTTTCTTCTCAAAACTAGTATATGACACGTTCATTACCCACCCGGTCGTGACTCAAAAAGCGCCATGCAAAGTGCCCTGGATCCTTGCTTATAATGAGAATCTGTAACCATCGTCATCACCTCGCCCCTTGTAGAAAGCAGATATGGGACTCAGAAATCAGCTCGAAACCACATTGTTTTACACTGCTCCCAGATCCACTGACCTAAACGGCAGTGGTCGGGTGCAGGTCTAGGTTCACGATTGTTTAAGCACACAGTTCATCACAGTCCCTCGAAGAACAGGGCGTTACCTGAAGTCCCCACTACAACTTTTGTTTGGAGAGAGGAAAGGGTTGTGGAGGGATGAACCCTTGCTTAAATAGCTGCAAGCTCCCTAGGCGCGGGTACCGCCAAGAGGCTTCCCCGTCTTCGCCCCCACTGGCAGAACGCTAGGCAACCATACTCTCACTGGCCTACTCCGAATCATTGTTTGAATTGTTTTTCCTTTTCGATTTCGGACGACAATTACTATACGCGTAGAGCTATGCACCTTAATCTTCAAGATCCGTCTCATGAACCTTCCCAGGTGGATTCTCCCGGAAGACGGACACGAAAAGAAGAGGAGGGGAGAGAAGACGGAGCCAAGAGCACCGTATGTATCGTAGTTTATTTGTGTGAGAACTGTCCATTGCTATGTGCAAGCTCTTCAGACTTGTCACACTTGTACAGGTATTCCAGTTGTCTGATAGCAGCTATGCCCTGTCACCAGCTTTTCCCCCTGTTGAGAATAGAAGGAATTTGTTTGTGTCCACACGTTGCCCACCCAAAAGGATGTCGCCATTAACCTTGAAGGCACTCGTCTCATCGCTTGGGGTCTGTCTGAGGCTTGGTTCCTGGCGAGACGTCAAGTACGTACCCTTGACTCTGGTTGCTAATTGGATGCAGGAACTGATGATGATGCATGGACCCCACAACATAGACTTGAATGTCAGCAAAGTTTCACAAAAGAAAGAGCTGCTGAATAGATACTCAGACGAGATAAGATTGGCGATTGACCAATAATGACGTGTTGAAGAGCCAACAGGAGGCTTCGGACAGATCTTGGTTTCACCAGCATGCTGGCTACTGACACTCCGCACCACGAGAAGGTGTCTGTCCGTTGCGCGGCAAAAAAGAGCCAAAAATTGGTGCCACTCTCCCAGTCGGGTTCACCGGGGTCCACGAGCGACGCGGGCTGGGCTGGTGTGTTTGTCCTCTCGGTATAAGCAATGTAGTGAAGATTTCAGGCCATAGGTAGCCACCTTGCGGTGGACGAACCTCACCCTGTTCTTTTTTTTCCTCACTGAGGCACACCGGTATGGAGAGAAGAAAAGAAGAAAGAGTGAGAGGGAACGAAACACGGATAACTTCCCGGCACCTAAGTCAGAAGGAAGGCGCGAAACCAATACACGTTACGCCATCTGAGAATTTAGGAAAAAAGCAGGTGCACCACCTACACCCAAGTTTCAGCTCAACCTTAGGGCTCCTGAACAAGCAATGCCAACTTGGAAAGGAATTGAGGAACTTCATAGCAGCAAAAGTTTCGTCTTATTAGCACACCACCGCAGGCGCACAACTGGCCATGGATAGCCCTCGTACTGCAATTTCCATTAATGCAAGCATCATCACTCATGCTGTCATGATAACGCTCTTCCGTGACCAACTTCGCACTACTGAGGCCAATTGAGCATCGTGCTTTTGCATCATTCTTTTGAATAGTACTTCAGAACACCCAAGAAGTCGAATAGCCAGACCACGCCGCCAATCTGAAGATATGTACAGTACTGGATCAGTTGTCTCAGTTCTTCCTGCAGCGACACCAATCCACTTGCCTTCACCCATTTTCCCTCTTGGCTGCCCAGGCTGTGCATTCGCAGCGAATGACTCTTGACCACATGTTTCTGAATCAGAAGGCTTTCGGCTTTGGGTCTGTCCAGGTGTTGATGGCATCGCCAAGGCCGCGGACGGCCGAAATGCTGAGGTGAGGCTGCGGACAGCGGGACATGCTCCATGTCACTACGAGGAACTTACTGAATGGCAGGCGACGTCCTGATAACTTTGGGCGGGTAGACGATAGACAGTGCTATGCAGGGAACTCAGTCAAGCCGTTATGCCGCGTGTCGTTTCCAGCAACCAGATTACGATAGCATTCACGCCATGTTGTTGTTATCACTGGGCCAAAGGGAAAGAGGTATAGAGAGTAAGTGAGTGCAGCACGAGGCTGCAGTAACGGCAGACATCTTCACTGCCTCGAGAGTTTCAGCTGCCAGGCGCTCAGGCAGGTGGCATGGCTTCGAGCCTTGTGTAATATGGCGGAAGGCTGACTTAACGGTGCATGTGGAGAAATCATACTACGAATAATAGCTGTCAGAAAAAATCTAATACATTTCTTGCGGCAAAGCATTCTATTCTCTTCTACGGCTGACTCGGGCAAGGAGCAAGGCGTGACAGATGCTTGTATCACGTGAGTCACAGAGTTCGCACCCGATTCGGCTGGAACAGGGGTGAGCACAGGGCGGCATCACCTCTTCCGAATTGGGGATGAGTTAGGAGCAGTTTTTACTCTGCTTGGCACTAGCACGCATTTATCTCTCTCTTAGCACTCCCCAGAACTTAGCTCATCACAACTTAGAATGACTATGAACTACGCATGCTCCTACAGGTACCTCCCTAGTATTACAAGCCGGGTTCCCTTAGGATGTGCGTGAATGCGTGAATGCGTAAATCCTATCTCGTGCTCCAAGATTGGTAGAGAAGTAGTAGGCAATATATATACCGAGAGGGAATCCGAGGTGCCGAAAGGGGCTCATCGTCAGCTGTGGACTTCGTGGTGTCAAGTCGACAGGGCTTGCTTTTTGGGAAGCAGGGCCACAACGCTCCCCCCACTCCCCTAAAGCCAGCGGTCCAGTTTCCAGCTTCCCGCAGGGTGCCAGAAGGGCGGATGGAGGGCTTAAAAACCTTAGCCTCGAGACTCTACTCTCCATTCATTGAGTAGAAGGCAGGAGATCGAGTGAACAGGTTCAGTCGCCCCTAGTTCACATATGACAACACCGCCTACAGACGACCGACTTTTGTGGTTGTTTTTCTCGACCTTTTGAAGGCCTGTTTTCCAGCCCGACTCAAGCACACAGTTCGTCGAGAGTGAGAGGAAGCACTGATCCAGCCTGCAAGAACCATGACTGAGGCCAGTTCTTTTGTGCACGTCTTGTCAAAGGGGAATATCGATGAAGCGCGAGAATTTGCTTCCCCAAGTTTCAGCTTCTTTGAGACTTCCCGAGACGACAACGTCTTTAAGTTTATAATGTCGTGTAATGTATCCATTGTAAACGTCGTAGTCAAAGTTAGCCCAGTAACTTACTAACTAAAAACTTGAGGGTAGTATAACGTGGAGGGTTATCATCGAGTTTAATATTAGATAGGGGCGGTTAACTCAGTAGTAGTCTAATAGCTACCGCGTTAGCACTACCTCTAAGGCAAAGGCGGCAACAGCATCGGCTATGATGTTATCATCCGAGCTGCAAGCAGTTCTGACCAAAGTGGGGTTCCTTGATAGAGTGAACGCAAGAGTATTGGCCAGGGTGGCAAAAGTGTATAACGATTCGTCGGACTGTATTCTGAAATGCAGGTATCAGATTGCTAAAGAAGCTGACTACACTTGGTCCTATCCAGAGTAGTAATGAGTGTGTATATATAATGCTGGCCAGGACTGTGGACTGTCATATGTTGTTGTCACAGCCCTCGGTCCATGGCCTGGTCACGTGATGTAGTTTGTTCTCCATCGGCTATCCTTCCTTCATGGTACAGGTGGCTTGTCCTTGGCGACCCTTCAAATGACCTGGTTTGTAACATGTAGATGAGAAATCGGACAGTATATAGGATAAACCTCAAACCTAGGAAAGTTTACTAGTTAACCGACGAGGGAAAGGCTAGATTAAAGGCCATCGGCCGTCGTTTTGCTGGCAAGGCTATCATGGGCATGAAACGGATGCAGGAAAGGGGAGGAGAATGCCATCAGTCACCTGTCGAAGATTCAGCACACTTCTCGTGCCCGGACGAGCCACTTGACCGACGAGGAAATTGACGAAGTCCTAGTGCTGATGGAGGAGATGTTCTTAGCAATAGCGAAAGATCAAGAACGCAGCGGCAAGTTCAACGTATGGATGTACCGCGACTACTCGTATGCTGTTCGAACAAGCGACTCAAACGCCACGAGGGTGGCGGCACCGACCGCCAAACTTAGCAGGATATGTCTTGGCACTCCCTAAAGTCACATGACTCCATTTTCTGTGGAACGACGACGCGCATGCGATCCACGTGACAAGGCGCGATTCGTCCACATGGCCTCTAACAATTGTTGGCTTCCTCAATTGTATGCCGAGTTGGATAGTTCGAATCTCGCTCTCCACAGCTAACCAGACGTTGTCACTTGCGACTCGCACCCCTGTATCATCTTCTGAACCTACTGTACTCTCGTTACTGTTAAGATGTTGGTCTCCTTGACCGTGGGTAAGGTCGACGCGGGTGTTGCAGTTCTCCTTACCGAAGATAAAAGATTGGTATATTAAAACTTGCCTCTTGGTGTGATTTCGTGTCCTAACCAGATCACAGATCGAGTTTCCCTCCATTTTATTGCCATCGTCCATCACTTCTGGCTCAATTGTCGACATCACCGTCTCTCAAAATCACACGGCGGAGCAAAAAGCACAGGCGTCTTTCATCTCGCTCCAAAAACAGATCCTGAACACCTATGGCATCAACACTCCCACTACACCTGTTCTCCGCCTTCGAAATGCTACCCAGACCTCACTGGTTCTCGAATGGGAGCCCATCCAGCTCGCCACTACGACACTACGCTCACTGGCGCTGTACCGCAATGGAAGCAAAGCAGGCAATATTCCACGTCCATTGGACATGACAAGCACCAAGATCAGCGGCCTGGCTGTTGACACTGAATATTCCTTCTACATGGTACTAAGGACGAGCGGTGGCACGTACACAAGCAACACGTTGAATGTCAGGACGCACGACATGAATAACCTTACTGGAATTACAGTCACCGCCGGAGTTCTGCCGCCTCAATTGATGGACAGCCTCGAGACCGCAGTTGAGCGCATTGGTGCCAAACTGGTTGACACCGTCAGAATCGATACCACGCATTTCATCTGCACTGAAGGCCGGGGCCGGGACTGGGAGAAGGCCAACGAGATGAATATCCCCGTTGTGCGACCAGAATGGATAGAAGGTTGTGAACGGGAAGGCAAGATTATTGGAGTACGTGGTTATTATCTCGACGCCGACCCGAGACAAAGACAAATTGGGTCCAATCCATCCTTGCCCAACACTCGACCTTCCGGAGCCGCGTCCGCGGCCCCGACACCTCAACAGGCCAGTATCCCCTCGAGACCTAAGGATCCGTCGCCGCGAAGTCCTGGCCAGGAAAGTACTGTCAGCGGAGAACCAGGTCCCGAGGTACCGCCTACACCACCAGCTAAGGATCCAAAAGATCTTCCCTCCGCTCCCACCGCCGAGGAAGAGGAGGAAGACGAAACCGAAGAGGTTCCGACAAGTCCGACTGCGGAAGCAAAGGAGAAGCAGAGGGCCGAATCATCAGATGAGGAGTCATCTTCGTCACCACCGACACAACCGACAAGCAATCATCAAGCACCCAAAGTTGAGGATGGTAAGGAAGGCGCGGAAATGGAAGATGTTGCGCTCTAAGGGTCGATTGGGATGCCCACGAATTCACAGGTGATTATGTCACTTTCGGTGGATGACTCTCGCACGTACGCTAGAGGGGAGGAGCGTGTGACCCCGAATAACCACAATGTCTTGTTGCAGGATGACTCGACCTGTTCCGTGCTACCACTATAAACAACACCAATGGGACCTGCAGATCTATCGATCTGAAACGATTTAATGGTTAAAGTGGCTGGTTCAATGATTGGTCGAAGGTGCCCCAGAGCGAACCGTGCCTGGAAGGCTTGGCTTGAAGGAAAGAGGGCTGAACGAAAGGACCAGCCAGGAGCGCGGGACCCGGGAGCGAAGGGCGAATCCACCTCCGTAACCATATTTCGCGCACAGTTGACTTGGTTCTCGCAAGCGGAGCCACGCTTCGGCGGACTGGTGTCTTCCGCACCCTCAGCCTCAGCTTACCAACAATGATGCTATTCCCGCCTTCGACCTGCGTCTGAACGAACACTTTCCCAAAGCCCTTCCGTTGACATCGGTTTCTTGGCCTGGGCTGATGGTGTTTTGAAGTGTATTACCCTACTCCCCTTACAGACCACAGCAAAGCCCAAATCGAGATTTATCATGTCAGTCTAGGTGACCACGATTGAAGGAGCTCGGGTAACACAGTGCATGAACGTCGATTGCAGGTAAATGCAGCTGCAATCAATAATTCAAGGTTGTGCGCGGACGAAGATACGGCACCTGCAATGATGGTCAGCAACAACGAACTTGGACCAAAGCGGACGCCGAGAGCCTTTGCCATGTCAGCCCTTAAAACTTAAGCTAGAGGGGACTTACAGGCTACTTACGAGTAGGGGTAGAGGCCGTACAGGTCACGGCAAGGCGTCGGAGGACATCCTCCCAGTCAGCCGCATGGACCATTCACAACCCCAGCCTCGCGGGAGCCAAGCCTGAAGGTGGCCCAAGGCCTGCACGGTCAACGGAATTGGGTGGTTAGTTAAGTCCTCAAAGATGTCATACCTATCTTAGTGGCCCAAAATAGCCCGCACGACCCAAGTCCCGCCCCCACCACCGTTGCAGACTCTGTACATGCGCCTATACCCGAACCGTCCCTCTACCAAAGCTGCTGCTGCTGCGCACTGAGGCACAGCTGACCTTATTTTGGCTTTTCCCAGCTCGTGTTCAGCATTCCACATGGTCCAATTCGCTTGTCATGCTTTTCGTCGGAAGTCATCATCGCTTCGACGAGGGTGCTCGGGACTACTGTACGCTTCCCAATCAAGGCGCACCCTCGGATCAAGTTGCGAAAGGTGCACCGGCCCAATTTATCGGTCGTCCTGTCTATAAGACTTATTGCATGCCCGCCTCCTCCAGACATTTTCTTTCCTTCATACAAACCACTGACAACACATCCAGCTACAAAACCACTTTCATTATTTCCTTCGTCTTTTTTTTATTTCCTTCCTTCCTTTCTTTCCTAATCACATTCTTTACAGAATCTAATCAACTATTATACATTTCAGCCCTTCGGCAAATTAATCCAGTCAAGCCTTCGTCCACCTCAAAACAGTGATAGCAACAGCAACAGCACCGTCTACGACCAGCCCAAACAATTCTTCTATAAATTCACTCACTCAAAGCCTACATAAACCAATCAAATAAAATGGCCCGATCCAACGGTTTCTCCTCTGCCAACATCTTCGCTGCCATCCTCAGCCTCGGCGCTCTTGCCAATGCTGCTCCCCTGATCGCACGTGGTCCAACATACAACTACACCAACACCTCCGGCATTGTCCCCTCTGCTTCAGCTCCCGCTGCTCCCGCCGCCACTACATACAGCAGCCCGCCAGTTGTCCCATACGCCCAACCAATCGCCACCGTCTTCCCGGACTTCACTTCTCAGTACAACAGCAAGACTGGCGCGGTTGACTTCCACACCGCCAGTGGACTCGTCTCCCGCAGCACCAACAACGGAGGCGCAGACATCACCACCCTGGTGACCTTCACGCTCGGCGAACAGTACAAGTCCAACACCTGCCAACTGGTCTTCGACCTTGTGAGCCCCAGCTCCAGCGTCTCAGGATCCGCCAAGGCCCAACTGTTCACCTCGCTGGCCCCCGCGACCGCCGATTCCTCAAGCTGGCCCTCCGGCAACCTGCGAAACCAGAACCTCGGCGCGATCGACGTCGTCGCCCACGGCCGTGCCACCTGGCAAGCTGGCTCCGGCCCCGGTGCTACCGCCGACGGCGTCTTCCCTTGCTCCGCCATCACCGGCCAAATCTACGGTGGCGAGATCGTCCCCCAAGGTGACAATGTCCAGATTCAATGGCCTGCCGGCCACGACGGTGTCAAGATCATTGTCTGGTAAACAGACGGCTGTGTGCTGACGTGTGTACGATTCCTCCAAGGCACTATCCTTTTATTTTGACCTCTTTGCGAGCAAGCAGCATAGCATAGCGTTTCGTTTGGCTTGGGTTATAACCAGTTTCTGTATGTCTTCTGCAGCATTTCCAAACAGGATTTGATACTCAGCGAAGGTGTTCTTGTCTATTATGTGATAACCAGTACCAGGACAGATGGATGACTTTTTTTTGGGCATACCAAAGTTTTGATTTTTGATTTTTGGACGAGCGAATATCTTGGGTGGAGAGGAAGTGAGCAAAAAGCGAGCGAGCACCGCACTGCAACACTGTTTTCTTGATATGGATGAAATACTTCATGCGACCACACAGAAAGCAATCGTAGCTTAACTATACCAAACTACCATTCAAACCGCCGATATCAGATCAGGCGCGGAATCTATATTGGTCCCTAATATCGGATCAATTTCCCCTCCAAAAAGAAACAAATAAAGCAACTTGGCATCGTTGAGGTTTTCATCTTCTGCGTTTCCCATCCTTGACGCCCCTTTCCTCCTATCTTTGTCATAATGTGCTTCACTTTGCACCCAGCGAAGGACCCGCACCGTATTACTTGGTAGGAAGCAGGCGTATCACTTAGCGAGTAACGACTAGTGGGAAGGAGGACTTGGTATTAATACGCGGCAAGGTCGATTGTTATTAATCCTAACTTCTAGGTAGGTCGTCTCCGATCATAACATCATCTTTCCAGCCGCATGCCCGCTAATTGGGGAGTTTATCCTAACCGCCACCCAAATCACTGTGACCCAACCTCGACTGTCCTGATCGCTTTCAGCACCGCCAGTCTTACCATGAAGAAGCTATGAGGTAAATCCTGTTCTGTATTCCAGGAAAATCAAAAGTTGTATTCTGGACATGGCGGGAAGGCCCAAGCAGGTTCAACCCACTGGCAACCGGAGAGTCACGCTTTCTGCTTAGACACGCTCTAGTAAATCATTTTTTGGGTCCAGGCGAAGATTCAGATGCATGCCCACCGCAGGTCGGGCTTTCTTTAGTAGTCCAATCCAGGGCCCGGGGGTCTATAGGAGTCATAGCCTCTTCGAAGTCTGCTTCTTCTCCGCCCTTCTGCGTGCGGAGGCAAGCTGCGTTTTGGCCCCAGCGGTGGCGGCCGGTCGACGGTAGGCTTCGCTTTGTTTGGGTCGTTCTCGGTGGTTTTGGGTGGTACGTTTGCTCCTCCTTGCTGTTGATCATCGTGCGGTGCCGGGGTTGTCTTTGTCTCGATCAATGAAGTAGGTGTGGGAGGACCCGGAGGAGCAGCTGGCGTTGTCAGAGAATCCTGACGCCTAACAGTGGGCATTTCGTCATCAGCATCCATCGTTTTGGCTTCCTGACTTGGGCTTTCAGATATTTTTGGAAGATCGAGAGGATCTGTGTGGTAGGCGCAGATTATCTGCTGGGCACTCTCTTGGATGTCCAGAAGGTGCTTGCTCAATACGTTCGCCAACCGTTTCTTGTCAAGGACTAATAGTTCTTTCCCCTCCTGGAGGACCTCCGTTTTATTCTTCTCCTCCTGAAGCGATTCTCTGACAGTGCAGAGATAACTTTCTGAATTGATGAGTGCTTCTTCGAGTTCTTCGACCCGAGATTCAAGATCTCTGACTTTAATTGCCGTCTCAACGGCATTCTTTTCAAACTCAAGCTTAAACGTCGCTAAAGTCCGATTGTGTTCCTCCAGCTCCACGGTGGCCTGCTTAAGTGCCTCACACTTCTTGCGGTACTTTTCTATCTCCGTGTCTGATTTCATTTGGGCTTTTTCATGATCTTTCCTTATTTCGTCGAGTGTCGAATGGTGAGATGCCTCCTCTTGCTTCGCTTCTTGGAGAGCCTCTACCAATTTGGATCTAATTTCAACTACCTTCTGGCTCAAAGTTCCACTGGTGTTAGATAGCTCTTGAGTTTGAACTCTGAAGGCCTCGTTTGATTCTTTCAATTTGTCATTGTCCTCCTGAAGTCCCTGCTTTTCCATCACCAATCTTTCGTTGTCTTTGTTCAACTCCTCGCAAACCACTGTAAGCTTTGTGGTTGGAGATATCTCGTACCCGTATAGTTGTTCATGGTTCTTAAATTCGCGAAGACGGAGACATCTGGTGTGATTGCAGGTCGCTTCTGGACAAGGTTCAAAGTACTTGGACATGATCGCCGATAGCTTGATGATTGTAACGGAGTCAAGAGAAGTTCGAATTTGAAGACGCAAAATTTTTGTGTGTTCTGGCGATGCTCAGTTGGAGGGTGAATCCATAGGTTTAAAGATTTGGCTCGAGATCACCGGGCACATCCACAGGAGACATTTGTAAAAGTCTCTCAAAGATTAGGTACTTGGTCGAAGGATTATTGGGCACTAAAGCGCGTGCTTCAACCCAAGCCCGGACTCAGGTGTCTTTGTTCAGTGATGTTGTGGAAGGATTTCAAGATGGCTAGAGAAGAGGGTGATTGCATGCTGCAGTGAGTGGGCAGTGATTTGAGACGGACCCCAGGGCGGGGGGCATTTTGCACAGAACAGGTGCCAACCAGTGGCGCTCAAAATCCAATGTCTGCAGATTCTCAGCCTGACCTTCCTGCACTGTCCCGATTTCAGAAGCACTTCACCTTGACCTTACCAAACAGTCCAGGGTTGCGATTCCGGCCACTTTATTGGCATCTTTCTCCAGGTAGAAAGCACCCTACCTCATACTTGATGACACAGTTGACTTCTTCGCCATTTACCTTGGCTCGATTCTTTGTTGTGATGACCCTGCAGTCTAGCCGCCGTTGCGACCAGCCCCCCCCAGAACATCTGAAGTCAGGGTACTTTCAACGCGAGCCAACAAGGCTGAAGTATTGGCAGACAAGGTTCTTTGACCAGGCGCTTGAGACCTGGACAGAAAGCGGTATGCACAAAATCATATCGGGAATTGAGAAAAGTACCAGCATCCCCAAATTGAGGAAAGTACTTGCGAACATAACATTTTGTTACTTTCGAGCACCACCAGGCATTCCAGGTAGGTCAAAATAGTCAGTCACATGCCACTCACAGGTGGGTGCATGTGGAAGGTGTGTATGCTGACTCATAAATATTCGCGCCGCCAAAACAAAACAATCACGTGATTTCGCAACTTCCTGGCGTCGGAGTTCCATTGCGTCTGACGCGTCCTGTTGGCGGCAGGAAGCACTCTATTGAAGCCCGGAGCAAATTATCATGGTCCGTCAGATTCAAATCCTGCCTTCCGAACCGGCTGAATGTATTTGATGATAGAACGATGTCACGTCCTCAGAAGCGTATCATCAGCACAACCGATATCAGATTCACTCTTCGCCGCGTCTTCGGAAAGGAGGGGTTTCGCCCGTTGCAAGAGGAGGTCGTTAGAGCCGTTATTGACGACTACGATGTCTTCCTATGTGCGGCAACATCGTTTGGCAAATCGATCTGCTATCAACTTCCTGCGGTCCTCTCACTAGGAGTCACCGTTGTTATCTCGCCATTATTGGCTTTGATGGAAAACCAGGTACACGCCGGACAAGCACTGGGGGTCAAAGTCGAATGTATCAACAGCCGAACTCCCTTCACCGAAAAGGTTAGGGTCGAGACTGATCTACTCTGTGGCCATCCGGAGACTAAAATGCTCTATGTCACCCCAGAGCTCTGTGCAACCGAGCACTTCCGAAAACTCATTCTCAAAATTCACCGTCAAGGTCAGCTGGCGCGGGTTGCCGTTGACGAAGCCCACTGCATCAGCGAATGGGGCCACGACTTTCGGCCGACTTATAAGGAGCTCTCTTGGCTCAAGTCGACCTTGAGCTGTCCCAATGTCCCAATTGTTGCAGTGACAGCAACAGCAACAAAACAAGTTCGGGAGGACATTTTTAGAATCTTAAAGCTAGATGGAAGCAAGACAAAGTCCTTTTCTACCTCGACTGCACGGCCAAATATTCACTATGAAGTCCAGTACTTTTCCGAGTCAAGTCCCATGAATCACGAGGACGACATTTTTCCTTATCTTGTGTCGAGACTTAGATTCATGCATCAGAGGCGAATAACGAGGCTCAAACATCTCCGCCAGAAAGACGCAGACGCGTCCATGAGGCCGATCACCGGCATTATATACGTCCCATTACGTGCCACTGCAGACTCGCTCGCCAGCAGGTTGGCCGCGATCGGCGTCCGAGCAGAGGCCTACCACGCTGGTCTAGAAGCTGAACAAAGAACAAAAGTCCAAACAAGTTTTCTGCGCCTTGCAACCACGACTCCTCCCTTAATTCTTGACAGCGATGAGTCGATAAGATCTTCCTTCAATGTCATCTGCGCAACCACGGCCTTCGGAATGGGCATTGACGTCCCCACGACCCGCTTCGTAATTCACTATGGTCTCCCGCGAGGAATGGAGGCATTCACACAAGAGTCTGGCAGGGCAGGCCGGGACAACAAGGCTGCATCAAGTATTGTCCTGTACACACGGGAGGAGAAAGACCGATGTGAGTTCCGTGCAAGGAATGATGCGAACAGGGAAATGAACAAGACCAAAGCAGTGTCTCGCATGCAGTCTTTGAAAAGCATTATCGACTTTTGCGAGAACACAGAAGTGTGCCGACATAAATTAGTGTCCAGGTACTTTGGAGACAATAGTGGCACCGTAGAATGCTACTTTGCTTGCGACGTTTGTAAGGAGGGCTCTGAGAACTTGAGGAAGCGCAAGGATAGAGGACTGGCCACTGAGGAAGAGGCCTTTTGCTTCACGCAAAGAGAGTCCATCACTAATTATGACTACGACTGATTGGTTTCAAGGATGGTACATGAAATGATTCAAATATGATTGCTTGACAGCATGTGATACCCCCGGGGGAATGGCTTGTATTGATTATTGAAAACAAGAGCGAATAATCGTTAGTTGCATCTAAAATAAGCCTTGGGAATATCACTAAGTTTTGACATTGTAAAATCCACCACTAAAATCCACCAGCCACGATTTTTCAACCTTGCTGATATCCTTGATGTACACCTTATCGCTAGTCTCTAGCAGTTCGTGAAAGATCACGTACTGTGCCTTCCGGTTGAACATGAGACTAGTCGGATGCGCAAACATGGTGACCTCGCCTGAGACGGATCGAAAGCTCCCATCGGGCTGCATCTTGGCGGCTTGGGAGAAGAAGCCAGTTGTGAGGCACTGCAGGATATTAGTGGCCTTATCTCTGGACGGAGCGGGCGCTTTGGCTGAATGGTATGGATGGTCCGAGGAAGGCAAAGACAAAGTCTCATCAACTTTGACCCCTAGTCGTTCAAGATATCGGCGTAGCTGATTTCGTATGCTGACTACGCGGGTCATGGACTTGAAATTGATATGGTTGGCATGGCACCATTTCGCCTCCTTCTTCCCTTTCGTTATGAAAGACTGGTACACATTTAACAGAGTCAAGTGATCGCCTTCTTCAGCGGCAAATTTTCGGCGCGAAACCTCCATCGCTTTCTTCTCACCGCTGTGGTGGAACCAGATGTTACCTTGGAGAGACGTCATGGCAGAAATGGTGAGAACTTCGCTTTGACAGTCGAACCTCGGTTCAGACGAAGCCAGTAGGCACTTGGCCATCATTGGAGGGATAGACAGTTCCGCCATGCGGGTTCCAAGAGGAGTAGTGAGTTTGGCATAATCATCAACAGCTCCAAGTGAGTAAAGAAGGTCGAAGGCACGGACCATTAGCTGGGATGGGGGCGGAGAGAGAAAATCGAAGCGGACGACATTGTCAATACCCAGAGCTTTAAGCTGTAAAACAATCGGTGCGAGGTTTGAGCGTTGTATCTCTGGTGTCGTAGTCGACTGTAAAGCACTGTAAGACTGCTGTGTGTATAGACGAAAGCATTTTCCCGGCTGTGTGCGGCCTGCCCGGCCAGACCGCTGGATTGCGGAAGCTTTGGAGGTAGGAAAGGGTGTGAGTGTCTCGATATTCGTTGCTGGATTGAAGGTTCGAAGCTTGACGAAACCACAATCAATGACATATACAACTCCAGATATTGTGACCGATGCTTCTGCAATGTTGGTGCTGAAGATGACCTTTCGAGTGTCCTCAGCCGCTTCTGAGAAGACGTACATTTGTTCATCTGTGCTCAATCCGGCATAGAGTGGCAATGGCTGTATTGCTTGGGCTTGCGAAGGCAAGCTTGACGCTAGTTCCGACAATTTTTCGATTGCCATGTCTATCTCCTCTCGGCCCGTGAGGAACACTAAAATATCACCCGGTGGTTCTTGTTGGTGGATCGTAAAGGCTGTCTGCACAGCCCTCTCGACGTAGTCGTCTGTTGGCTGCTCCAGATACATGATATCGACAGGGTAAGTGCGGCCCTCGATACTAACAACCCTGTACAGATTTTCAGTGGAGTCCCCAACTTGAAAGAAGTCTGCGAATTTCTGTGCTTCGAGAGTTGCGCTGCTGACAATGATCCTTAAATCCGGGCGACGCTGTCTGATCTTTTTCAGAAGTCCTAACAGGATATCGGAGCTCAATGAGCGCTCATGCGCTTCATCAACCATGATGACCGAGTATCTCGAGAGAAGAGGATCGACTAACGCCTCGCGAAGGAGCATTCCATCTGTCAGGAATTTTATCCTAGTTTTCGCGGAGGTAACATCCTCAAATCTGATGGAATACCCGACCTCGTCACCGAGTTGACATCTCATCTCTTCGGCAACACGAGTGGCCACTGTGGTGACAGCGACTCTCCTGGGCTAGGAAATGGTCAAATACCATCTGACCAGAAAAATCAAGTCGACTCACCCACCTGAGTAACAGCGATGCATTTCTCTCCTGACGTCCATCCGGCTTGGTGGAGGAATTGAGGTAGCTGGGTGGTCTTCCCACTACCTGTTTGACCTACAAGGATTGTTACTGGATGGGTTTCGATTGTGTAGAGGAGGCTCTTCTTGTGTCGAGCAATCGGTAACAAGGCTGAAGGAGTGTGCAGAGCCGGGATAAAGGACAAATCAAAGTCGGCCATTGTATTATACGTGTCGGCACCCCATGTCAGCAGGCGACAGTCGTAGTAGAGACGATCATTTGCCCAAGTTGGATTGCCAACAAAGATACGGCCGGTCCACGCGTCGTGTCAGAGCAGTCCCGGGAAAGAATAGAAAAACAGTACGAGTCGGATGATTGAGCAGGTGCATAATTGCACTGCCACTTGGCGCCACAGCCGACGCGCCACAGGTACTCCTTCCTCGTCAGCCAAGGCGGGGCTATCAACGCCAGCAAAGACTGGGGAATTTCTCAAACAATTGCTCTGCCTGCAATTAAATCTCCCAATATCTCAACTTGTGTCCTCTCCTCTATCCTCACACAGCGTTACGCAAACGCCTTCTCCCCATCATGGACGAGGCCCGCAACCGTACGGTAATAACATGCTCCTCTCCCTTTCCACCAGCTTTACTAACTCCTCGCCGAACCAGCCTTCACCCGTCTCACCACTCAAGGCCTCCGATCAACCTCCCGAGTCTCCAACTACAGCCCGAGAATTGGATTTTGACAGTGATCAAGAGACCGGTACTACATCTAATCCCGCAATAGCAAAGATGGACCCTACCCCTCGACCTCCTCCCAAAGACGATGCTCCTCCTCTAAAGTCCCCAAGACCAATCGACCCCCGTGAGCAAGCTGAGAACACGTTGAGAGAAGCATTTCCCTCCATTGACATCAACGTCATCAAGGCTGTCCTGACCGCAAGTGGTGGCAACGTTGAACCAGCTTTCAATGCATTGTTGGGCATGAGCGATCCAGATTCCCAACGAGAACCAGAACCCCCAGCCAAACCTCCTAGACCAACTCAGCAACAACCTCCTACATCCACGAAATTGAGCCAGTTGGAAGCGGACGAATTATATGCGAGACAGCTTGCCGAGCATTATGGTGGGTCGGAGACACAGCACCGAAGGGGTTCTGGAGGAAGGTTCAATGAACATCTTCAAGGGTCAAGAGTTGGCCGACCTGGTGCCAACCCCAACCCCGATGAAGTTCCATGGCGGAGTTTCGTAGATGGTAAGCAACCAAGTTCTTCCCTTACTACCATCAAAACCATATCCCACTAACCTGAACTCCAGATGACCTTCCCGAGATCCGCGACAACATTCGCAAGGGTTTCCAAGAGACGCAAAAGACTGTGAACAGTTGGATAAGCGCCTTCAAGAAAAGTTTCGACGGCGAAGATGAGGATGACCCAGACTATCGCCCGCCACAACCGCCTCGTCCTGGCCAACAAGTACAAGGAGGAGGAAATTATCCGGCCTCAGGCGGCTACCCTAATCGTCGCAGTGCCGATGTGCGACGGTCTGCAGATATGCAGCGTTACGACGCCGACCCTCAACTCATCAGCGACGATTTCTCGAGGCTCGAACTTCGCGATGGAGAAGCCCCACCACGCACATCCAGCCGCCCACTGGCAAATCCCAACCTTTTCCGCTCAGGCGCTGCTGACCCCGACCGCCGGCCCTCCCCGGGGGGGAACCGCAAGGTATCGTTTCAAGACGGCCCTCCAGAGGAGATTCAGGACATGTACTCATCGGCCAATACGAAGCCCTCTCCCGCCACGACGGCGACGGCACCGTCGTCGGGAGGAAAAGCTAGCAAATGGCAGCCTCTCTCCACTGTGGATCCTAGCCCCGTGGCAGACAACGACCCATTTAGCCTTGGTGACAGTGACGAGGAGAAAGATGCCAAGCCTATCACACTCAAGGAGGATGATGCCCCTGCCCCTGCCGGCACAAGCACTACTGAAGAGGGTAACAAGAAGGCCACAACTGATGAAGACGAAAGAGTCAAGAAAGCCACTGACGAGGCGATTAAGGAGAGTATAGCTAGTGAGGCTAAGTGAATTTGAAGGGGATAGGCATGGGCAGTGCGGGTTGAGCATCCGGTCGAATGTAATCGGAAAGATCAAGCATCAATTCCGCGTGAACCCCTACAAGCAGGAGTCATTGTACCATGAAGTCTCGAGCTCGACAAAGCTCAGGTTTCAAGGACATACCACGGCCGCCGGCGCAAGCATTTGGATACTGGATGGGGACAAATGGGAATTTGCTTAAGAGACATGACAATGAAAACGCATGGATTCTATCGTGTTAGCAAGGTCTTTCGAATGGAAATCCAAGCCAGCGAAAGCCACTCTGCGGGCGATAGATCGTTCCTTTTCTCCACATCAAGCCAGCCAGCCAGCCCTTTTTCAGAACAAATGCGTTTTATCTATGTTCATCTCTCCATATCTATATCTTGACGTCGACAGCGCGTCCCGTGCTCCCTACAGCGTCCATCATCCACTCGATGCGCTCCTGAATCAGGGCGGTGCCTTCCTCCATGAACTCAGTCAGGGGTGTCCTGCCAGCCTTCTCTTGTGCGTACTTCTCGTACTTCCACAGGACGATCTGGTTGACGTTGAGGCGGGTCATGCCGGCGTCGACGCACTGCTTGAAAATGTCGGCGGTGAACTCGTTGGTCCCGTGCATGACCAGGGTGACTTTTCCGAGCGACGCGTCCCGGATGCCTGCCAGGCGCGGGAAGTCCAGCTTGATGTTCTGGACGCCGTGGTAAGGGCCGTGGACGTTGCCGATCGCGGGCGCGAGGAAGTCGATGCCCGTGTTGATGAACTGCAGGGCTTCTTCGGGTGTGGTCAAGATGCCCTCGAGGTCGCCCGTATCTTGCACGCCGGCCTCGCCGCCGTTGATGCGCCCGGGCTCGGCCTCGGTAGCGATGCCCAGCTCGTGGCAGAACTTGACCAGCTCGGTCGTGCGCGCCAGGTTCTCCTCCTTCTCGTAGTGGCTCATGTCGACCATGATGGAGTCGAATTTGCCCGTCAAGGCGGCCTTTTTGATGGCCTCTTCGCTCTGTGCGTGGTCCAGGTGCAGGGACATAGGCACCTTGGCGCTCCGGCACACGTCCGCGGCCAGGTTGACCAGGTTGTCGTACGCGTATTCCTGCGCCCACGGGAAGAGGAGGATCTGGCAGGGCGAGTTCTTCGCCTCGGCGGCCTTGCGGCAGGCGATGATCGCTTCGAGGTTGTAGCACACCACGCCCGGCACGCCGTAGCGGCCTTTCTCGGCGGCTTTGAGGATCCGGACGGAGATGTTTTGCGAAAGGGAAGAGGACGGCATCTTGGATTTCGAGTGGTGGGGAGGTGGGATTGACGGTCCCTTGGAGGGTGGTTCAGGAGGAAGTTGAACGCAACAGAGACAACACAGCGTTCGTCGAATCGTATCCGATCAATATACAACCAGGAAAGGTCGAATTAAAAATGTGTAGAGATGTGACAGAGGCAAGAGAAGACAAACGGAGCAGAACTCCACGTACCCAAAAAAATCATATATGGCAGTAGGAACTGGCTCAATTGAGAGCGGGACAAGGAATAGGATCGGTATGCCAACTCAATCAAAGGCCGGTCGGTAATGCACAGCGACTTCACAGGTAGAATGATGCCACATTTCGCATGGAAGAACGTATACATGCCCAGCTCGGCTCGTGGCGGCGGTGGTGGTGGAGGTGGTGGCCCCGATGATGTAGGCAGCCGGAGAAGGGACCGAGCCATGATGAGGGGAGGAGGGGTTATGAGCCAGTCCACCAGTCAAATGAAGCCCTGTGTGATGGATGAGAATGTGGAATAAGGATTGTACGAGTAAGAATGGAGCATACGAGGAGTGGCAAGTTGAACTGGTGGGGGATCTGTGGCTGTCGTCAATGAGAATTTACCCGGCCGGGCTATTTTCCAATACGTAGGAACTAATACATAATGGCGAACGTGGTTCCCATCGGCCATATCGGCCAAGATGCCGGCGCTCCACGTTATCACAGGCTGGACAGTCAGATCCAGGAGTGCTGGCAAATGTTTTTCAGGACTGGGAGGCTTGTGTCAGTCTCGCGTCAAGTACTGGTACCGCTGGTGATATGTAACATTCACTAGATAGATATCGAACTAGGATAATCTCTCTCATAGATGGCAGATGGCAAATGCAATGGTTGTTGAGCACCAACATTGGAAGCAATTAGCAGCCATCTCCATATCCCTTGATGTACTTGGCCCCTTCCTCTCCGTACCTCCCCATCGGCTACTGCCACGTCTTCTCCTGTTCTAAGAACTCGACATATTCCCGAACAGCGGACTCAAAGCTCTCCGGCGCCTTGAATCCGAGACTCAGCCCCAAGGAATTATCAAAATTGTAGGCCCAGGACTTGAGGATCCTGACCAGTGCTTCATCGTGCTCCTCCTTGACGTACTTCAATTTATCTTCGCCGCCGACTTTGGCCAGCGCATCCAGCATCTCCTGGATCGTGACGGTGAGTCCAGGCGCGTTGACCACGCGTTTATGCTTGGGCAGCGCGTCCGACGGCAGTGTCAGAGCGTGTACCAGGTTGCCGATCAGGACCTTTGGCGAGCAAACGTTCGAGGGGAAGTTTCGATCCTTGATCGGCACCTTTGCTTCAATCCCAGCCAGTGGTTCCCGGATGATGCCTGAAATAAACGCGCTGGCTGCCGGTGCCGGCTTCCCAGGCCGCACGGAGATCGTGGGGAAGCGAAGCACGATTCCATCGATCATTCCACGTCTCGTCATGTCATTGACTAGTATTTCAATCATGAGCTTGGCCGAGCCGTACGACCCTTCTGGCGTGGGTAGCGTCGCTTCAGTGACGACTTCGGGAAGAGGCTGGCCGTAGACGGCCTGACTGGACGAGTATACAACCCTGATGCCTGGTTTCGTCTGTCTCAGCTTCTGCAGTATTATCCTCGTGCTTTCCAGGTTTACACTGATTCCCAGGTCGTAATTCGCCTCCGAACCGGCGGACATGATTCCATGAAAGAGGTAGACGGCATCAAGGTCGGAGGTGATCACACTTTGGTCTTTTAGAAGATCTGCTTTGATCGTGGTGGCGTTTTGGGGGTTCTTAGATCCCTTGGGGACTGGCACGTCGACTATGTCCGTCAAGACTACCTGATGCTCTGAGTTTGAGAGCAGCTCCCGCGCCAGGAACTGGCCTAGAAACCCCCCGGCACCTGTGATGAGGATCTTCATATTGGAATTGTCAAATTCAGTGTAGGGACGCTTGCTCGTAGAGACCCAGGAGGTGGAACGGGGCAGTTGAAATTTATGGATAGAATTCCTTTCTTGTGCACAGGAAAAAACAATGACGATTAGGGAAGAGAATGAATATCCAGAATGACTTCTTAAGCCTAGAAAATATGGTATGAATCGAGCTAAAGCCCAAAAGAAATGAGACTACTTGGTTAGAATCCAACGGGCTTCCTACCGCCTAGGTAAGGATCATCAAATGAAGGCATCGTACGAGACCCAGTTTCAAACATGTCGTTCGTCGGCGTCCACCCCATTCTTTGGAGAAGAGAAATACCCAAGGTATCTGGGGTAGATCGGTCCACAAGCCGTGTCGGTGGTGTGTGCCATGACGCTTGGGGGTGGCAGGGGGAGTGGGGGGAGGCGGGCGTGTGAGGGTTTTATTTGGGCTGGAGCTCACCAGCGTCCTTCGGGGCATCTGCTTCCAGAGGCGCTCTGCTGAGGATATACCAATATTAACAATTGAGAAATGTATATCAAGGCAGCACAGCGATCGGAGCGTGTCACTCGAAGTTGTTTATACCTTCCACTTTCAGGATAGATCGAACGGCGCCCAAGATCGCATTTCGGCCATTTCTCTTTACAATATTACCTTTTCAACAGCATCGTAACCTTGAGTCACTATCCCCAAGTTCAGTATTTAAATCCGACGTCCGGGATTGTCGCGGTCGCATCCTTTGTGTCAGCGCGACATGTGGCTACGGCGGGAGTCCTATGTATGATGTTGATAGCCAAGGTCTAATGCAAAGAGCTCAATGCACCATGATGTTCGCTATTTGCTACCTAAAATACTAATATTGAACGTCGCTATTCGTACATGCGTTTTCAACATTTTATCGCCCATAATCCAATACTACCTGGTTAAAATCCCAATACATATCAAGCAGCGCCGCCCCCAGTTCAACGCTTCACTCAGGTTCCTCTGTAAACGTGATATTTTTCGTAAATGCCTTCAGTCAGCCTCGTCGTCTCATCATATCGCATAACCAGCTGGCGCGCCCGGTCTGACAGCGCTTCTATTCTCTGGGTCGAGGTCTCGACTTCCCATACGTGGTAGATGCAAAGTCTCATCGCTGGTGCTTCTCTCTGTCTTCACGATGCTGCTCGATGTCCTGATTGTATTCCAAGGTGGCTTCTCGTCAGCATAGACTGAGGCTTCATCTGAATCGCTCGGTGACTCAAGGCGGGAACTGGATCCCAGGCCATCGTGCATATCCTTAAATGGCCCGGGGTTCAACCCAGATCCGTATTCGTAAGAATGATTTTTATGCTGCTGCACCCTCCGATTCTCCATTGCCACACTTCCTTGAGAGCTGCGCGGGATATTGAATGGCTCCATGGATGGATCGAGCTGTAGGCCAACGTGAATGGTCTGCTGTGAACCTCGTGACTTGGAATCAGGCCAACTAGCAGGTGTCCCGGTTTTGCTCGGAGGCATGGGCCAATTTTCTGTCCATTGGTAGCTGCTTGTTGAGTTATGAGCTGGGGTAAAGTCGTTGGAGGGCAGGGATTCTGGTGGCTCGGTCTGCATTGCTCTGTAAACCTGCATCGGTATCATCTTACCATCGGCACTTTTCCTCATTTGAAAGTTTCTGGTTTCTTGGTTCCCGATATCCTTCAAAAATCCTCTTTGCCGTAATTCTTCACCAGTCCCGCTGTGAGCGACCCCAATGTTTCCCATGACAACACTGTCATGCAAATTAGAGGAGTCCTCGCTCAGCGTTTTGCCCCTCGAGCCCCTAAGTGATGGGTACCAAACTGCATCTCCCTTGTTCTTGGTGATACTTTCAATGGATTCTACAAAATATTTCTGAAAAAACGGCTTGAGCGCAGGTGCGCAGGCGGCCCAGATGGCCACGTATAATTCGACAACCGCCCAAATCCAAGTCTCCCAGAGAATCCAGGTAAAATCAAAGTCGGAGTTCAATAATTGATACAAAAGAACAGTCCTGACAATCCCAGCAGCGACTGCCAGGAAACCTAGAGCAAACAATGAGTACAGAGCAAGCTTCTGTCTTCGTGGTAAATCGAGGTTGTAGATCAGAAAGACTGGTATCAGGGTGCTGTACAGGTCTCCGAGGACACTGAGGCCGGCCGAAGCAGGGAGAGAAAGTCCTTCTGTGTTGCATCTGAATTCATGGGTGGTGGCCCAGACTGGGTCGAAGCTTTGCCAGTAGGCGTAAACGGGGTCGCAAATAAGTAGCAGTGTCATAAAAAAGGCGAGCATGTACACAACGTTGTAGACAATTCCCACCCATGTGGCAATGAGGAAGGCTTTGCTGAATTTGACACTGAGTCTCCGATAGAAGAGTAGAACGCTGATTTTGGTAAAGGTAGAGGCTGTGATGAAGCACCACATGGCGATCCAAACATTGAGACGATGGCCAGCAAATTTGGAGACAGGGATATCCCAGACGTGGCGTCCGCTGAAATATGTCTTGTTGCCAATAATGACCATGACTGACAGAGCGATGCCGGCAACGAGGCCGCAGACAATCAGTATATCGTCCACTCCCGGCGCTCTGGTAATGAAAAGACGTGAATAGGCTCTGGCAGCGCATAGAATGACGCCGATGGCGCTGAATATGATGCAGACATAGATCAATGCTGGTCCCCTGGTGTCGGGGTTGACATAGTTGGGAGTTGGCCAGGAAGCAATAATCTCTGGGGAGGCTGCGAGAGGAGTCAATATCGCCATTGCTGGAGAATCCGGAATGGAGAAGACTCACGGCGCAGAGTGTCAACCATGGTTGATATCTTTTAGTTCTAACGCTCTCAACCCAAGGCCACAGCTTCTTGTCAACCGTTCAGCCGAAACGGAGGCTATTCTCGGAAGTGCATGCCAGACAATCGGTTGATATCTTCCATTAAACTTTGTCTAGCTGGCTTAGTGTATCATGATTTGACAAGTACTCGAGTCATTGCCCTACGCACGGCCTGGGGAGAGCAAGCGAGGAGGGCAAAATGGCCTTGTCAAACAGTGTGATGGCTGCACGAGGACAAGATCGACCCCGTTAATGGCGGTCTCGACGAATGCGTAAGAAGGAAGGCAGGGAAAGAAGCGAAGGGTGAGAAGGCAAGTTGAGACTGAAAGCGACAGACGAAGTCCTGAAAGAGACAAGTCCATGGTCTTCGGCCTCTCTTGTACGTCCCGATAAGGACGGTTCTGACACTTGACAAGTGGATGCACCTGGCGGTGGTCGTGGTGGTGAACTTGTCCACCTTGAGGCAGTCGAGGTGCATGATGCTCCATAGTGGTAAGGTAAGACCCCTGTCCGTAGTGTTACAGGCTGACAGCCCATGCTCTTCGTTCTTCCTTTCTTCGAAGGAAGACCATCAGCTGTCAGAAAAATGGCCTAGCTCCTTGAACAGTTACTCTCCTGTCGGATCTGTACCGTGGTGGAGTGGAGGGTTGCGATGGACGTCGGGGCAGAGCGGGGCAGGGGAGGGGCGCCCTCGGGCGGCAGCAAAGGCACAGCGGGTGTTCCTGGGACCTGCATGATTTGACTGCTTAGTAGCTGCTACTACGGAGTACTCCGTTCTTGGTGGTCAGTGGCGGTGGCTGTAGTAACCTAGCAGTGGCAGGAGGAATTCGCCACACAATGCTGCTCGGTAGTCCTCCGTATCGGTACCTTAACGGGGTCACAGCTCGGGGAAGCGAAGCGAAGCTGCGGAGAGACATACAGCAGAGGCAGCGCTAACAAGTGCACATGGACTCAGAGACTACGAGAGAGCGGAGGAGGGAGGAGACATGATTCCTCGAACTAGCTTCGTCCATACGATCCACGGGCCCTGGTGATGGTGATGGGCGATCGGAGGGTTGGAAGGGTGGCTTTTGACAAGATTTTCCGACTCTTGAAACAGGCACGAATTCAACTGACGGGACGCAAGACCAAGGACAAGGTAGCATGTAGTCCGGAGGACGGAGTACTCTATACGGTGGTGAGAATGCGTGGGCTGAGGGACCTCGGGGGAATCCTCCGGGCCAGAAGATGAGAGCCCCAGAGGGATCGATGCTGAGTCTATCTAGGCGCGAAGTTAGTTCACAACACCGCCCGGGGCTGGGGGCGTCTCGTCTCGGGGTGGCATTCGCTAACGTAAGTCTGGCGGCCTGAGCCTGGGTGCCACCGTAAGCCTCTCGCTCGATGAAGTGATGGGTGGTTGGGCTCGATTAGTGTCATCAGGTCGATATACGTTCTTCTAACCAAGTACATTGGTTTATACAAGCATTTCAAAGGATATGGATAAGACATAGTATGTAAGTCATACAACCTTTGCATGCTCGGCTTCGAAGGACAGCCCTTCTTCGCTTAGGAAATTGCTCGAGACCTACTCTAGTCTGTGGGGGAGATCTCGGGGTGAGTTCTTAAGAAGCAGGCTTCGCTATCCCAGCATGATGTCGACTCAACCAGAAGTTTAGTGAGAGATGCAGGAGCACTCAAGCTGATCCGCGCGAGGAGACCTTGTCGCCAGGTTCCATTATCGAAGCTGAGAGAGCGCTAGACAGCACCCTGCATCAGGGATTAGTATCAAAGTTGGAAAGGATGGAACGCCTCAAGAATCAAGCTGGACCGGACTGGGAAGCCGCAAACTCGAGATGAATTTCCCAGACAAAAACCAATCCCCCCCGGCTCTGGCCAACATCACACGTGTTATGCATTAGGTTGTTCTTAAATTATCTTCCCCAGGTCTGGACTACGCAATACGGATACAACTACAAGCTAGTAGCTACTGGTATCTTCGACATCGAGGCAGTGCAACGGGCATCGAAAACCTGACGAGGTTGGCTTTGACCACATGGATTCATGTCCTGAAACCACGGACTGCGAGTAGATTCTACTCATCGCCTTTGACTAGTATCAATTCCTCCACGCTGACCACCGCTAAGAGGAGGGTCGGTTCGGTTCGCTGCTCGCCTGGAGCAGATCAAACAACAATGATACCAGGGCTTGCTTCATGGGTGCAGCCCCAAACGCGAAGAGCTCACGAAGTACTCGGTACAGTCACGGATATATTTCCCCGCCCTCCTGGCAAATCGTTCAATGTACAAGAAATATCTGGTCAATGTTGCAAACGCCGTTTCATGTATACCGACATAATGTGTTAAGTATAGTGACGGATGACGGTATACACGAAACGGCGTTTGCGACATTGACCAGAGGAAGTTGGAACCCCGAAGTACACGACACTCGGAGACCAGTAAGTTGGACTATGAGCATAAAATGATAATAGGATTCATTTTCGCTAGCTTACTACTCAAAAGCAATGCCACGCGATCCATTTCATGACTGGTTGTATACAAAGGATATCGAGCCATCACATCACTACTTTCAGGATGACATCGTTCGGGCCGACTGACGTTCAAGGGTTTCCCCGGGACAACTGCGGAACAGTAGTACTAGTAGTACTTGTCTACAACTTGGCAACGGGCTGTGACGACCCCACTGTTGTGATCTCGTTATAAAGCAGGCTAGAATGGCCGGTTAGCAAACTCGCATTGATGCAAGAGGAAAGAACATGTTTGAAGACGTACCTGGTCAAGAAGTCCGCGTAATCCTCACCCGTTACCTGCCCTTCAAAGTATCTTGCGGCAGTATGGTACTTATTGCCCTTTGGCGCTTTGGCAGAAAGCTCCTCGGCTTGCTCCTTCAGCAGTCTTAAAGCGTAGGCCTTGTTCACCGTCTGGCCGTCAGCCGTCTTGACTCCGTGCTTGACCCATTGCCACAATTGCGATCGTGAAACCTCAGCCGTCGCAGCGTCCTCCATCAAGTAGTTGATGGGCACACAGCCCACGCCACGAAGCCAGCCCTCCATGTATCCGAGTCCGATGTTGAGGTTCTTTCGGATGCCATCTTCCGTAATGGTGCCAGGCACATTCATGTTGAGAAGATCGTTGGCAGTCACGTGGACTTCTTCGCGGCGGATGTAGAGCTGGTTGGGCGTGGGCATGTATTTGTTGAAGACCTCGGCGGCGATCGGTGCAAGAGCAGGGTGGGCCACCCAAGTGCCGTCATGGCCTGCTCGGACCTCGCGGAGTTTATCTTGTCGAACATTCTCCATGGCCTTGTCATTGGCTTCTGGGTTGTCCTTGATCGGGATTTGAGCGGCCATGCCTCCCATGGCATGTACACCGCGGCGATGGCAAGTCTTGATCAAGAGACGTACATAAGCATCCATGAATGGACTAGTCATGGTGACGGCAGATCGATCGGGAAGAACAAATCCAGGATGTTGACGGAATTTCTTGATCACGGAGAAGATGTAATCCCATCGTCCACAGTTGAGTCCGGAAGAATGATCCCGCAACTCATAGATGATCTCGTCCATCTCAAAGGCAGCGGTGATGGTTTCAATCAGGACAGTTCCTCGGATGGTGCCGCGGGCCATGCCAATGTAATCTTGGGCCAGATTGAAGACGTCATTCCACAGTCTGGCCTCGAGATGGGATTCCATCTTGGGGAGGTAGAAGTAAGGGCCAGTCCCTCGCTTGACAAGCTCGAACGCATTGTGGAAAAAGTATAGGCCAAAGTCGAAGAGTGAACCAGAGATCGGCTCACCATCGACAGTGAAATGCTTCTCTTCCAAATGCCAACCCCGAGCACGGGCGATCAGCGTCGGTAGCACGCGGTCGGTGCGAAGTTTGTATTCTTTCTCCCCTTGTTTGAAGTCTACCTGTCTGCGGATGGCATCATACAGATTGACTTGGCCAGAAACCTGGGCGTCCCATGTGGGAGCTTGTGCATCTGTCGCAGAAAAGGTTAGCACGTGAATGCCAGGAGAGGACAGGAGCGTCGATTGTGGGTACCTTCAAAGTCGGCCATGTAAGTCCAGACATTGCTATTGAGCGCGTTGACAACCATTTTACGATCCGTCGGGCCGGTGATTTCAATGCGTCGGTCGACGAGTCCCGGTGCTGGTGGAGCACCTTTCCAGGCGTCATTTTCACGGATGTGCTTGGTCTCAGGGAGGAAGTCTGGGAAATGTCCCTTGTCAAGCTCCTGCTGGCGGATTACTCGTCTCTGCAGAAGCGCTTTCCTTGTACTGTTGAATGATCTGTGGAGGAGGGCGAGGAAAGCGGTAGCTTCGGGGGTAAGGATCTTGCGGAAGGAATCCTTGACGGGGCCATTGATGGCAACGCCTTCGTTGATGGTTTCAATGGTGGCCATTTTGACGGTGTATGTCAAGATACTCGCAGGAGGATGGCAGGAGAAGATGATGAAAAATGAGGTCCTCCCAGTCTAGACAGGGCACCGAGGCAGTTGATATAGTAATACGTCAGAACACGACGAAGACGGCGATTCCTCTCTCCAGGCCTATTACGCACATGCATCGATTGCGGTCCCAAGGCCGGCGGAGTTCTCAGGTTCAGAGAGCTCTTCAGCCAATGACACAACGGCTGGCATGCTTCCGAGGGTCAAATTTCGCGGTAAAGGGTCAGGATGGTGGGGACGGGGACGAGGATAAAGATCAGCTTGTGTGCATCATCGGACAGGATGTGGGGTAGCACCCATAGCCATTGCCTCTCCCTCCTCGCACTCCTCTGTTGTCGACTTGGCATCTGTTAAAGGCACACGGAAGCCCATCTCGAGCGGCTATCATCTTATCCATCTTCTCCCTCCTTTCCTCCGGCCTGCCCATCACACTCACAATGACATCGTTGGGAACATCATTTCCACTGGCATGATCCAGCTGCCGGATCTTGGAGCCGATTAAATCAGCAGACAGGTCGAGAGTTGTTACTACTCGTTTATTATTCCAGTTATTTACCAGCAGTGCATGACCCCTTGCTGGTACTTCCGGTGGGTCATTATCGATGGAGTGTATGTCTGACCTGTCCGAAAGGCCATGTTACCGGACCCTACCCAGCCACCATCACCCTCTGTTCATGTGAAAAGCCGAGGTTCAGTCCTGCGGCTAAGTTCCTGCACCGAGCACTTTTCAGGATAGAGCCAAGCAGCCTTCAATTTCGCCCGGCTCTTTCCGATGACTTTCTAGGACCCATTTCGGTGCCCTCGCCAACTCTCAGATTTTATTATTGTTGTTATCCTTATCGTTATTCCTCGGCCTGGTGAATCTATAGCGGGCAAAATCAAGAGTAGGAAGTACGAGGAGGAGAAGGAATATAACAAATCAACTAGATTGGTGTTATGGATAGGGCGAGATTGTGAATGGAATATTCCGCTTTGTCTCAACCCTTCCTGTTGGTACCTCTTCAATACCTGTCTCTCGAAGATCAAAGCCAGGCCCTGGAAATTGCCCTAAAATCTTGTTCTCGGCTCAAATTCAACATGTCGTTCAATTTGTTCTGATCCCGAAATGCCTTTAGATGTTGGATATTGAAGGCAGAGGCGGTCACATGTCGATTTCGGTGCTGTATAATTTTCGTTCTGATCCCAACCATTTTACCTTGTAGCAACGACCTTCTTTAGATCCCCTGTACTCATCTCGTTTTCGAGTACTTGAATCTGGCAAATTCATATATCGCGGTGATTGCCCTCCTGATCATGCCTTTGGCGGGCTGAAGTCACGTGAGACATTCTCACGTGGACTCACAGTGCTTCACGTGACTATGATATCACGTGAAGGTCCCACGGTAGTAGTGCCAAGCGCTATCAAGTGTTGCCCCGCGATTTCTCCAAAATTGAGTCCACGACCCAGAATTTTGATCGCAGGCCATCGGTGGCCACTGGTCGTACAATAATACCACACCAATTCCCGGAATTATCAACAAAGAGTAGACCCATACATGGACCATGGGGGACAGTGCAGAGCCAGGTTCTCCCGAAACCTTGGATAGCCAAATAACAAGATTTCAGAGCAGTTCCACCAGCATCCGCATCGAAGCCTTGCGTAAACTGCTCCACACGGTCCAAGGCTCTGGTATGACTCGTGCCATCATGAGATCTACGTTAACTAACCATTGACAACAGATGAGCCTGAGCTCCAGGCTGCATTGAAACTCCTACCTACAGTTCTTGCAACCTATCCACGTTATACAGACCGGAAGTCTCGACGAGCGGTTCAGTCATGCCTTCGAGCCTATTTGAACGCACCCTCTCTGGCTGCAACAGCTTTTCCTGCAATCACCAAATATATAGTCCAGCAGAGCCAGAAGGCCGTCATAGCTGTTGGAAGCGCCTTTGTACTCCTTGAATGGGCGTGCATTCTTCAGCAAGATAGCTCGCGTAACCAAAAGTTCTTCAATGCCACCTTTCCAGATGTTTCGCTCGCGGCTGCTCGCCTGATTGATAAATGTGAGGATGAGAATGTCCGTGGTGGAGTCCACCATTCTGCCCTGGTTATTGCCAGGAGGGGTCTTCGCGATGCATTCAAAGCCCCCTCAGTAGGGGCCCAGGGATTGGACCTTACTGTAAAGGCAATAACAGGTGCATCAGACCCTAGCTCCAGCTATGCCCCGTACTTGGGTATTGTTGCTGGCGTCAGCACACGAATACCTCAAAGAAAGAAGCAGCTGGAAACTCTAAAGAGACAGGTCTTGGAGTTCTATGTTAAGGCTATTATAGGCTCAAAGACCCTGGTTCCCCGTCACCAGTCCCATGGCCTAGAAGATTTCTTTTTGGAATATGCAACTGTCAAGGACCTTGCTGATATCGTGGTCCCGGCAATCGAAAAGGCTGTTTTGCGATCTCCGGAAGCAATTCTTCAAGGCCCTATCGTTGAGCTGGCCTCTTGCCTCCCTCCTGGCATTGATACCTCAGGCCTTGTCTTGTCAAAGCTCCTGAAACCCCTTCTATCAGCCCTTAACTCGACAAATCCCACAGTGCGCGACGGCGCCGGCAAAGCCTTGCTGACTCTAATCGCCAGGGGTGGAGATCCCTCGACCGTCCAAAAAATTGCGACTGAGATAGCATCGACGTTGAAATCATCCAAGACTGCGAGCTTTGAATTACGTGGTTTGCTTGCTGATGCTCTGCGTGCTGTGTCCCCGGAACTAACGACATCTGCGACTATTGTTCAAGCGCTGGTTCAAGCGGCGGCAAAGGAAGCGAACGAAGGAGCACTGAGAAAGGAATTGCTTGCCTTGGCACCTCATTTGACAATACTCATCTCAGCCTCAGGCATTGACAAGCCCCTCTCAGAACCACTCCTGAAAGGATGCGTCGACAAACGACCGATATTTCGAAAGCTCTGGCTCTTGTGCATTGCTAGCGTCCTAAAAAGCCTTGACCATGCACCATCACAAGATTCCTCAAAAGACTTCATCCGGGCAGGTTTGCGAGCTCTGAAAGATGTGCATGATGAATTTGCCCTCAACCCTCTTCCTGCGACCCAGAATGGCTCAGTTGCGGCAGCGTTCGGCCTTCCAGCGCTCCTTGACGCGCCAATTCTACAGCTCGATGATTTCAAATCCAAATCCTACGAACCATTGAGGCAACAGCTCCTCGTGGTCGCTCCCAAGATATCCGTTTTGGTCAACCCAAAAGTATATGGCCGGCTTACAGTGTCGGAAGACACCCACTGGGCACTTCTTGCCTTGATAAATCTAGCTCCGGAGCTTGGCACGGCCAACGGTGACGCGAAAGCGGCATGGGCAAGAGCACTTCTGCATCTCTTGATGACGCCAGATGTGGACTCAGAGATCCGCCGAGAGACAAGTGCATCTCTCTCGCTCGCTTACTTAAAAAGTCCTGCTGCGGTCGGCACGAGCATTGTTCTAGGTATATGGGACTTCCTCCGTGCGCGTGCCCAAGAAGTACCTGGTGCTACGAGCTACTCAGAACCACTGGCTGACCAACGCTTGTTACTTGCGGTAAAGTGCATCACTCCTTCTAAAGAAAAATGGGCGACCATCGATGAGCGGGTGCCAACAGATGCCCTGGAGCGGCAGTCCATTGCCACCGTTGCCCTCCTGAGGCCTGAGTTGATTTCTCACGCAGACTGGATTACAACTTGCCTGGCCACAGGCGTTGACCCTGGCAACTTGGCTGCAACATATCACGAGGCTTTCCTCTCAGAACTTCTCTCGCATTTTAGACATGATAAATTAGCACCGCTCAACAAATTCGAAGCTGCCGCATGTAATGCCGCTGCTACATTGGCCTTTGTCTCTCCAGATTCTTTTACACCATCGCTAATTGCTCAGTTTTCGAGAGACCTCGAATCGTCTCAGCTTAATGGGATTGGTCCCACGGAAGCATTAATCGCCCGTGCCCCAGAAGGAACTATGGTATTCGACGTCCTCGGCCAGCAGTCGAATGGTGTCCTCGACAATAAGAATCAGAAAGACTATGATGTTCTCAAGTGGGAGGAAGAAATACGTACTCAGTTATCTAAGAAAAAGGGCACACCTCAGAAGAAACTGACCGCTGAACAGCAAGCCAAGGTAGATGCCCAGCTCGCTCATGAGAAGGAGGTGAGACAAAAGATCCGATTGATATCTGGAAATCTCAGACGAGGTGCTGGATTCGTTCAAGGGCTAGCCAACGGTCCTCCCACCGTCGCGAAGATGTGGATGACTCCGGCAATCACGTCCCTCTTGAATGCGCTTGAAGTTGGTGCGTCCCTCATTGTTGACGATGAGCTGTTCACATCATATATTGCTTGCGCTACGCAAATTTCGGATCGGCTGGGTACCATGCGCCCGTTCATCGGAATAGCCACATTAAGGTCCTTGCGCAATGCCAGCGTGCCGGAACACCTTTCGAGTGAACCTCTTGCAGAGCTAGGCACCCGAGTATTATATAGACTTAGGTTTGCTGCAGAACAACGGCCTTTTGACACGGCAACGACGGCATATGCTCTGCCTCTCATCTTTTCGGTCCTCGAAAGTGGGAGAGTCGGCGATGTCGGAGACGACGATGCAGATGCGCAAGTTCTCCTTGCTCTCGAGTTCTTGTCGTTTCAGGTAGGGTCTGGCGCAGACCAATTCCTTCCAAGAGCAGACATCCTTCAGCACCTCATCAAGGCCATGCAAAAGTACAATCAACATTATCGAATCGTCAAAGACTGCTTACTCGACTTTAGCCGCTCAATTTCCGACAATCTGACCCCCAAAGAACGTGACATTCTTCTTGCTGCTACAACTTTGCCTGAGACTTCCACACGATCAGCTGTCCTTCAAGCAATAAACTCGGAAATAGATCTCTCAGATATCGATTACTCGGTCCACATCTGGATTGCGTGTCAAGACGAGGAGGATGAAAACGCCGAGATGGCACTGGCGATTTGGCAAGAACATGACTTTACTGTCACCGAGGAGATGATCGACAGAATACCAGATTTTCTCTATTCTCCCGCTCAATCTACTAGAGTCGCAGCTTCAAAGGCACTTGCACAGGCACTTGTCCAAGTCAGATCAAAGACCGATGAAATACTTGCACGGTTACAAGATTCATATCGATCTGAGGCAAAGCCGCTTGTTCCAAAGCGTAACAAGTTTGGAATCGTACAAAAAGGTGAATTGGTAGATCAATGGGAAAGGCGAAGTGGACTAGCTTTGGCCTTCAAAGAATTGTCATTAGTCTTGAGCACCGCATCGCTGATGCCCTTCATGGCCTTCCTGGTTTCAGAGGGCCCACTATCTGATCGTTACACAATAGTACGGGAACAAATGGTCAACGCGGGGACCGAGGCTGTTGCGAACCGTGGCAGGGAACAGGTAGAGCCTTTTATGAGCCTTTTCGAGAAGGTCCTGCAAGGGCCAGACCAGGCAACACAGGAGGCAGATTGGGTTAACGAAGCGGTCATCGTTCTTTATGGATCTGTTGCACGACATCTACCCGATGGAGACAAGCGAACTCAGAATGTCATTAGTAAACTCCTTGAGACGCTCAGCACCCCTTCAGAATCCGTGCAGTACGCTGTCGCAAATTGTTTACCTCCATTGGTGCGACCACAAAGTCTCGAAGCTGGGACGTATGTCACTTCATTGTTGAAGCAGCTCCTCGAGTCCAAAAAATATGCTGAGCGTCGTGGGGCAGCGTATGGGCTAGCCGGTATCGTCAAGGGCAAAGGAGTGGCGATTCTACGCCAACTTCGGATCATGTCAGCACTCAGGGCCGCAACCGAAAACAAGAAAAGTGCTGAGCATCGGCAAGGAGCGTTGATGGCGTACGAACTGATGTCGCTCCTCCTCGGGCGATTGTTTGAACCATATATGATCGAAGTACTGCCACAGCTACTCGGATTATTTGGTGACCCTACAACTTCAGTTCGTGAGGCATGCCTGGATACTGCAAAGACATGTTTTGCGAGCCTCAGTTCGTTCGGCGTCAATCGCGTACTTCCCCAGCTACTCGAGGGCCTGGATGAAACACAATGGCGAAGCAAGAAAGGAGCTTGCGATCTTCTCGGTGCCATGGCTTACTTAGACCCTCAGCAGCTTGCAACCAGCCTGCCCGATATCATTCCACCTCTTACCTCTGTGCTAACGGATAGTCATAAGGAGGTACGGTCAGCAGCCAATAGCAGTCTGAAGAGATTCGGAGAAGTTATCACGAACCCGGAAGTCAAAAGTCTCGTTGATATCCTGTTGAAGGCTCTAAGTGACCCTACAAGATACACAGAAGAAGCCTTAGATGGACTTATCAAAGTCTCGTTTATACACTATCTAGATGCTCCATCCTTGGCTTTGGTGGTGAGAATCTTGGAAAGAGGCCTGAATGACCGATCAGCCACCAAGCGGAAAGCAGCTCAGATCATCGGCAGCTTAGCCCATCTTACAGAGAAGAAGGACATTGTAACGCATTTGCCTATCTTAGTCACTGGTTTGCGTCTTGCATCTGTCGATCCTGTCCCAGCAACCCGTGCTACAGGCTCCAAGGCATTGGGTAGTCTCGTCGAGAAACTCGGCGAAGACGCGTTTCCGGACCTCATTCCCAGCCTCATGTCTTCACTTCGTACAGATACTGGCGCAGGAGATCGTCTTGGCTCTGCGCAAGCTCTGAGTGAGGTGCTTGCAGGTCTTGGTACTGCGCGCCTCGAAGAGACGTTGCCCACGATTCTACAGAATGTTGCAAGTCCGAGAGCCACCGTTCGAGAGGGATTCATGACTCTCTTCATTTTCTTGCCAGCCTGCTTTGGAAATGGGTTTGCCAACTATCTTTCCCAAATCATCCCATCCATTCTCAGTGGTCTGGCTGATGACATGGAAGCTATTCGTGATACTGCTCTCCGAGCAGGTAGACTACTTGTCAAAAATTTTGCCACGAAAGCAATTGACTTGTTACTACCGGAATTGCAACGAGGATTGGCAGACGATAGCTATCGTATTCGTCTTAGCTCCGTCGAACTTGTCGGAGATCTCCTTTTCAATCTGACGGGTGTGAGCGCCCAGGCTGAGGCAGAAGAAGAAGGCGGATCTGCGGCTCAAGCTGGCCAGTCACTTCTGGAAGTCCTGGGTGAGGACCGTAGAAACAAGGTCCTCTCTTCTCTGTATATCTGCCGTTGCGACACGTCTGGAATGGTCCGCGCTGCCGCCATTGCTGTGTGGAAAGCATTGGTTGCAACCCCGAGAACCTTACGAGAGCTAGTACCAACGCTCAGTCAGATGATCATTGCTCGCCTTGCATCCTCAAACATGGAGCATAAGGTTATTGCAGCAAATGCTCTAGGAGAAGTCATCCGAAAAGCGGGAGAAGGTGTTTTTGCTTCGCTACTACCTTCACTCGAGGAAGGCTTGCAGACTTCAACTGATCCGGACAAACGACAGGGCATCTGCATCGCCTTGCGTGAAATTGTCAACGCGGCACAGCCAGAATCGTTAGAAGAGCATGAAAAGAAATTGATAGCGATTGTGCGAGTAGCCTTGACTGACTCGGATCCAGAAGTGCGAGAGGCTGCCGCCGAGTCTTTTGACTCGTTACAACAGACGTTCGGCAAGCGCGCCGTTGACCAAGTTCTGCCGCATCTTCTCAACCTTCTGCGAAGCGAGTCAGACGCGGAACATGCATTGTCTGCATTGTTGACATTGCTCACCGAAGCAACAAGAGCCAATGTCATCCTACCAAATTTGATCCCAACACTCTTGACCAATCCCATTACAGCGTTCAATGCGAGAGCACTCGCCTCGTTGGCCAAGGTTGGAAGCTCTAGCATGACTAGGCGACTACCAACAATCCTCAATAGTCTTGTCGACAGTATTGTCAAGTGCAAGGACGAAGAGCTTCTGGAAGAATTGGAGTTGGCCTTTGACGCAGTACTGTCATCAGTCGATGAATTTGACGGCCTGAACACTGCAATGAGCGTGATGCTCACAATGATCAAACACGATGACCACAGAAGACGAGCAGTGGCAGCAAATCACCTTGCCACATTTTTTGCGACATCTTCGGTGGATTATTCTCGTTACAATCAAGATCTCATTCGCGTGCTTCTCATCTCATTTGGAGATCGAGATCAAGATGTGGTCAAGGCCGCATGGGCTGCACTTAGTCAACTCCAGAGCCACCTGCGCAAAGAAGAGATGGAAACTCTCGTTACTTCAACTCGTCAGGTGCTCCAGCAGGCTGGAACAGCAGGCTCAATACTCCCAGGATTTGCCCTTCCTAAGGGCATTCTCCCTGTCCTCCAGATCTTCCTTCAAGGACTCATGAATGGCACTGCGGAACAACGAGTCCAATCGGCCATGGGTATCTCTGATATTATTGACCGATGCGGCGCTGATGCTCTGAAGCCGTTTGTCACACAAATCACTGGCCCACTGATCCGAGTGGTAGGCGAGAGGTCAATGGAGGTCAAATGCGCCATTCTAGCGACACTGAATCAATTACTCCAAAAGATCCCTACCTTCCTCAGACCATTTTTGCCCCAGTTGCAGAGAACTTTCACCAAGTCAATTGCAGATCCAACTAGTGATCTTCTGCGCACACGTGCCACCAAGGCGTTAAGCACCTTGATCACATTAACTCCACGAGTTGACCCGCTTATCGCAGAGCTAGTAACAGGTTCCAAAACGCCTGATGCTGGAGTGCGCAATGCAATGTTGAAAGCATTGCAAGAGGTAGTCAGCAAGGTCGGTGGCAACATGAGCGATACATCAAGAGAGTCTATTCTCGGGCTTATGGACGTCCAACCAGACGCACCAGATGACAACATGATGGTCACTAATGCACGTTTGCTCGGGGCTATGATCAAAGTACTTCCGCAGGAGAAGACAATCTCTCTGATCAAGAGTCGAGTGATTGTCCAGCCCTCTACCAGTGCGTCAATCCTTGGACTCAACTCCGTTTTGTTGGAAAGCGCATCCACGCTCGTTGACGAGTACGCGGAGGAGACACAGCAAGTGCTGGTAGCGGGCATTTCAGGCAAGAATATCTTTGTGCAGCAAAATTCAGTGCTGGGTGCAGGCAAGTATCTTTTGTCTGATGGGGTGGTATCTGATAGCGAAGCAGTTCAGCCGCTGTTTGAGGCTCTTTCTACTGTGGTTGCCCCAGGTGGAGACATCGACTCCCGTCGGCTGGCGTTGGTGGTGATACGAACCGTGGCACGCCATCATGCAGAGCTGGTGCGAGAATTCCTTTCACTCTTGGTTCCACCGGTGTTCTCCTCTGTGCGTGATGCTGTGATCCCGGTCAAGTTGGCAGCAGAAGCAGCATTCCTGGAATTGTTTGGGGTGGTGGATGAAGAGTCGGCGGTATACGACAAGTACATGGCTGGGCCTGGCAAAGGACTGCCTATGGGTCAACAACGGCCAATGAGCGACTATTTCAAGCGAGTGGCTTTGAGGCTAGGGGCGCAGGCCCGTGAAAGAAGAGAAGCAGAAGGTGGCCAGGGCGGGTTAGGTCTAAGCTCTGACGAACAAGAGGACGAGAGGGAAGTGTGGAGTGTCGGAAAGGTGGACCTCAGCGATGTGGTGATGGATGAATGAATGAATGACTGACCTTGGTCGTTGAAATAGAGTGATAAAAAGAAAAACAACTAGAATCAACGAGATTGAACATCACTCTGCGGTGTGAGCTGACAGAAGATGCTCTCGCCGTCGTGGGGAAGCCACCATGGAGTCCAGGCAATGCCGGGATGGCAATACCTACCTGCCAAGGTACTTGGTCTATGGCCGGACTAACAATTCGCTGCTGAGCAAGAGCCAACAGCCATCAAAGCAAACAGCCACAAGGAGAGGACAGGTGTCTGCTGGAGGAGTTTGCTTTGATTTTCTTCTGATCGAACGTCATGCAAGCTCTGGGGAGATAGACGTTCGCAACACATTGACTTGATACTTGACGGCTGGCGGTTCCGTTTGTAACACCGCTCCGTCCGGATGTTCCACCGCCACCCCGGAGGCAGTCGGGAAGATGCATGCGAGGCGAGGTGAGCGGCAAGAATTCGATGTCGAACCTGTGGTGAGGGTGCCATGACTCTTCTGAACACTGGGAGGCTGCTTGCCAGTACTCGTAGGCAGCCATCCTTGCAGGACCAACCTTATCAATCCTTGTCTCCAACATTTGGTTTCCATCCCAGTGTTTTGTCTCAGTAGCAGCTTTCCTGGGGCATAGGCAGGGCCCACAGTCGGACGAGAGCGGGAAAGATTGAGCGTCTTCTCTGCAAGTATATCCATCGAAACCTCACTAGCTCCCCGGTTAGGTTAAGATCTTGGGAAAAGGAAATTTCTTCTAGCTCGTTTCCCTGTCTTCTAGCGCATTTCCTCTCAAGGAATTTGGGGTTTTGATCGTGGTTTGCGTTTTCTGCTGTGACGTTCGCAAGGTTCAGAAATGCTGGACTTGTCCAGGGTCTCCTGTAGGATGTACACAGGATGGGGGATGTAGGCTGGCTACCTTGGTTTGCAAGTGGACCCGACTTGATCGGGAGCTTTTTAGGCGCCCATGAGGCATAAGTCAAGGCGGGAATAACACGGCTGTCTGCAACGTGGGAAGATGATTATGCGGCCGACCCAGAGATATAGTGGGAATTCAAGGTGGCAGTTCTGGTCCAGATGAAGATTCTTGATCAGACGCTGGTGCCAGGGTGCCAGGGCAGCATCATGTGGTGCAGTGCAGTCAGGCAACGCCGGGCTTGGTAGTTATTGTCTCAATGGTAGGCATTGCGGTGAGCACCCGTCGTCGTCGAGGAAGAACCCACTTTGCAGACCAAATGGCCAGCAACACCTCAATCAGTAACGATCGACGCATAACTTCGATGGCGGCGCAGTTCCTCTGATGTTGGCAAAAGCAAACCCAGGTCTCAGGCAGCATTTAATATTATATTCCAGCATGGCAGTCGTTCAAACCCCAACTGGGCTCCACAGCCATGTCGCACAGATAGCCAAATGAAAATGCACAGGGCCTGAGTGGATGGGAGTCGATAGATAGTAGTGGGGAAGCAGATAAGCATAAGTGGAGTATGACGGACACAGGGTTACGAGTGCTCGTGCTCGTGCTTGTACTCGTACATACGAGTGCCCAGATACCCTGTCGTATACTTAACTCACCTCCCTGAGTTCGTTCCTCACACAAGAAATCATCTGGCTAATGAAGCCGGTGACGTGCCTGACGATCAATCGGATTTTCAAGGATGTTGTTACTCGTATGGCGCGGGTGGATACATTACTTGTTGAGGAGGTGAAGCCGTGGGCTGGATTGATTGCTTCGTTGCTGGTTTCGCTTGATGATGAGCTATCTCGTTATCGGCGTCAGCAGACCAGAGGCAGTGCTAAGTGGGCTAGAGAGGGAGGGAGGGGCCCTGGCGAGATGGTGGCGGACTGGGTCGAGTGTGTCATTGAAGCCGCTTGGATAATGGATGGCTCTGAGATCCGAGAAACTCCCCCAGATTCTTCTCTTTTTCTTCTCGTCGGGCGCTATCGCGTATCGATTTCCAGTTACAGTACTCCAAGGCCTAAGCTGCCAGCTAACTACGTTGAGTTAGCACTTGGTCGGTCCCCAGTCCCTTATCCCAGGCACCCCAGTGCCCATGGCTTCGGCGATAGATAACAAACGGCACGTTACCACCACCGTTCACGACGAGGTACTGGGTATTTACCCTAGAAGGAGTTAGTTTACTAGTTACTCTTGCTATACGGCAGACAGTACGGAGTACGCAGTAGTAGCCCTACAATTTCTGAGTTCGCTAGGTATCTCGTCCTCGTAGTTCAGTCAAGCAAGGTAAAACGTGACGAGGTTACATACTCAAGAAATACCTACCGGTGGATGTTCCGGCAAAGTCTCCCACTTCGAATGTCCTTCGACTTTGGCGTCTCTTCTCGTGAGTCGGACTTCCTCTGGGATGCTGGCTTGGGGAGAGGGGCCCCCTTGGAAGGGTTCTTCCGCCCTTCTGGCCTCTTCTGGCCTCTGTCCTTTGTGCCCTGTCGTTCCCCGGCCTTGTCTCTGTCTGTGTTGTCACCTTGTCAGTTGTCACTCATATCCCCAAACTCGGAGTCCACTGCCGTCGATTCTTACAATTTGGCGTGTCGGCCTTGGTTGAGGTTGCAGCACCATTCGCACTTTGTGCACGCTTGCACTTGCACTTTGACTTTTTCGACTCCTCCTCCTCCTCCCCCTACCCCTCCGATCTCCCCCCTGCTGCTTGCGTGACTTGCTTGAGATTTACCGTCTCAAGCAACCAACGGGCACATCCTTTTTATCTAAATTTTGCCACCTACCTTCTTGTTCTTACGCAATTCTTGTAGTTTCCTTCGTGTGCCTTTTCCGGTACCTGCTCTATTCAATTCTTCCTTCTTGTTAACGTCCATCGTGTCTACACCGCTGGTGTTTGTCTTTCTATCGCATATCCCCAACATCGACCGGCGTTGGCAACAACTGCAGAGCCACAGTCACAACTATTATTATTTCTTAGATCAGACGGCCCAGTTCAATCGTTACCCCTCCACCATCACCAGCCGTCTTCGTCCTCGCACGCTGCGCTCCCCTCGTTCTTTAGAAGGGCGACTGCGTCCATACTCGCTGGCCTTGTCATCATCGTATGGAGGTCCACATTCCTTCGCCATCCGTCTTCCTGAAGAAGTCTCCCAAGATCACACCGGCCGTTTCGGTTCCACCCAAAAAGCCCACTGTTCCTAAACCAAAACCCACCACTGCCGCCGCAAAGCCTGCCACCAAAGTTCAAGATGGTGCTGTGGCCAAACCGAAGCAGAGCAAGAGCCGGAATGGTATGTGATATATCCTCATCGGTCTTCACCTGGTCTGGTGTCGAATCCACAATAACTGTTGACTGACCATTTCTGTCCCTACAGGTTGCATGACATGCAAGAAGAAGCGTTTGAAATGTGATGAGACCAAGCCATCTTGTGTCCAATGCCAAAAGAGGAGCGTCCTTTGTGAAGGCTACAAGAAAGACTACAAGTGGAGGTCTTTTGAAGAAACAACTTTCAATCCTAAACCTGCTACCAAGAAGAAGCCCATTCGCTCCAATTCTTTCTCTGCCGATAATGTTTCCTCTCGGCCTCTCGACATTGTCGATGCTGGTCCCACCTCCAACCTCCAACTCAAAGACACCAGTCTCTCCAATGCCCATCCATCCAACTCGTGGTCGCCCAGCCTTCATTCTGCCTTCGCAAACGCCGCTCAAGCCTTCCAGGATCCCGGACATGGCTCCGCTTCCTCCACAAGCCCCGATCAGAAGGCCAACTTCACAGGTCCAAGACGTTCCTCGCCTCAGCTTCATCTTCCACCCGACGAAGATTTCATGCCAACATTTGACACCAATGACAATTCCCCTACTCTCTCTTTAGATGACACCGTCAATCCCTTTAACCTCTTCTCGAGTGCCGGAGTCGCCGAAGACAACAGTGTCAGGCCGTTTGGCTCTGGCTCTGGCTCTGGCTCCCCTCAACTGCTAGACCTTCTCCTTCCCGGCACCGACTTGAATCGGCCACCTGATCCCTCCGAAGTTCGACCCCCAATGTCTCCATTGCCATATCAGCCAAATGCGTATGATATCGCCCTGGACAACCTGGATATAGGAGAAGACTTTGACGAAGAGATCATGCGAACAGAGGCCTTCCACGGCCCTTCCGCTATGATCCCTATGGCTGGCCCCTCTGTCGATCCCAACAACCCCACCTGGAATTTGCGCAGTGGGAGCCCAACGCCAAGTGATGCGTCAACTGCCTCGTCCAGATCTAGCAACCTGACCATGCTCGCCCAGCCAACTCTGGATGCCTCATCACCAGAGATGCTTATGCTACGCTTCGACAGAAATACTTGCGGCATTTTGTCCATCAAAGATGGGCCCACGGAGAATCCATGGCGAACACTCATCTGGCCACTTGCTCGTGAATCACAGGCTTTGTACCATGCCATCAGTTCCATGACTGCTTTTCACGGGGCTGTAGACATCCCCAATCTTCAGCTTCTAGGCATGGCTCACATGACCAAGTCAATCAAACGACTTGCCGTTGAAATTCAGAACATGCGTCTGGATACTGCGCTCGCCACTTCCCTTGCACTTGCATTCTCTGAAGGCTGGGACTCTCACGTGTCCACTGGCGTTCAACACCTGCGCGGGGCAAAGATCATGGTTAACAATGCTGTTGTCAAGCATCGAAGGGATATGCAGACGGGACAGATGACCACACAAGACGCCTCAAGGCTGAAATTCCTTTGCAACACCTTTGTGTACATGGATGTCATTGCTCGTCTGACCAGCCTTGAAGAAAGTGTTGAGTTGAATTTCGAGGAAATTCTCGGCACTGTCAACACCCCCTATGGAGAACAGGCCGAGGTCGATCCGCTGATGGGCTGTGCCACCACCCTCTTCCCCCTAATCGGTCGGGTGGCCAATCTCATTCAACGCGTGCGCAAAATGGAGACAAACAGCTTGAACATTGTGAGTCAAGCAATGGAGCTCAAAGAACAGCTCCAGCGGTGGCAGGTCCCGAGTGCTGTTTTGTTTGAGAGGCCCGAAGATCCCTCATCCGAGGTCCAGCACTCCATTCAGACCGCCGACGCTTATCGGTATGCGATGCTGCTGTATCTGCACCAAGCCGTGCCTGAAATCCCAAGTGACCCACCATCAACGCTTGCGAAGAAGGTGCTTGTCACATTGGCGAGTGTTCCTCTCAGCTCACGAACCACCATCGTGCAAATATTTCCACTTTTTGCGGCGAGCTGTGAGATTACCAACCCAGACGACAGAAACTGGGTGATGACTCGCTGGGATGCCATGATGAGCAGACTCAAAATTGGCAATGTGACCTCTGGTTGGAATGTAGTTCAGGAGGTGTGGAGTCGGAGAGATGCCTTTGAAAATGAGAAAGCTAATCGGCTTCTGAGAAGATACAACTCGAGAGGGGTTCCTGGTGGTAATTTTGTGCCCCCAGTCTTGAGAAACCCATCTGGACCCAAGAGGAAAGGACAATCCGTCAGGTTCGGTGGTGAGATGGGTGACAGTTCCCCAGATGACAATAGTCAAATCCGCGGACAAGTCTTTGCTGATGAGGCTCATGCTGGTGGTGGGCGCCCGGCTAAAGCCCGTCGTATGACATTCAACTCAGCTAGCAGTGGTAGGTCGATGGATGATATGGATGTTTTGGGTAATGGTGACGCTGGAGGGGCCATGCCAACGTCTATGCCTCCCCTTACTCGTCGTCATACCGGCGATATCCTCAACGATCAATTGGAGCCTGAATACACTGTGCGTGGCAAGTTGCATTGGCTGGGCGTGATGACGGACTGGCATTGGGAAGGTATGTCGAGTCTTTTGCCCGTTGTTTCTTTCCAAGTCACATTGTTGCTGGATGTTGCCTTTCCAGTTTCCAGTATGGCCGGGAGAGACTTGGCGCATTGGCCTCGTGTGTCACATGGCAATCCTGGTGGTGCAATGGACTTTGTTGATTTCCAAAGGACTTGTTGCTAACGGTCCCTTCACTGTTTAGTCTTTCTCGGCTGATACCTTTACGCGCACTCGTGGCTGCAAGGACGATTGATGGTGCTTCTTGATCGGCGAGGACGAGTTTCTGCTTGGGGACGCCGATCGGCGATCAAGATGCTGCAAGATATGGTGGGTTTGACGCTGAGGACGATTATCAAGCGGGAGATGGTGCCGAGGAGCATTGTTGCGAGGGCTGGAGCTGGCGTTCGACGAGGACGAGGACGAGGACGAGGACGACGAGGACTTTACCCTGCGTGGACCATCGACGCTGACACTCTGGTGAGAGTAGCGGCGTCGGACGGCAGCAAGGTCCATCCAGCAGAATTCAGGCGAACGGTCCGGTTCGGATTCCTCACTGTCGCTAGGGCGGCGGTCATTTGGTCGATTCTCGACGCTGGCTAAGTATGATTTCATACTCTGGGCGTATTCTTCGAGTTCAGCGCTCAAGGGCAATCTCGACATGGGCTTGAAAGTCATCGTCGGTTTACTGCCAGCCATGGTCTTATTACTCCGGTTGTTGTTGGTAGGTTGCAGGGGCTCGTTGTTGGCGGCAGTCATGATGTCGAAACGGATTTTTGGTTTGGGAGATTTTAATGAGTTGCTCAGGGATACTTGCCAGGATCTCTTTTGTCGCGTAGGAAGATTGGTGATGTGACTATGGCCTGGTATGACGACGGACGACTGTGATCACTTATGGACCTTTTCGCCAGATACGACACAAGCAGGGCGTACGGTGTACGGTGTCGATTAAGATGTACGGAGTACAAGTGGGTTCTGATTCTATACTGCTGCAAGGACAGATGGCGAAGAGAATTGGCTGAGTCAAGCTTGGTGTTTTTAGGTAGTGAAATCCATTTAGGTGATTGTGAAAGGGTCTCGCCACCGATGATTGGATTTTCGAGTCAGCAGTAGATGCAAATCACCTGATAAGCTTGCAGATTCTTTCTTGGTTCTTTGGTGAGATACCTTTCAAGGTTTTTTACACAAAAAACACTCAAGTATATCTATCTATCAGACAGACTTTTTCTGCCGACAGCTCTGGTCGACAGGATTGATTTGATGGGGGGAAGTGATTGACCGCGAGCACCGAGAAAGCGGATCTTCGCAAGGGAGATCCACGAGAGCGGTAGCGAGCAGCGAGCAAGAAACGGAGACAAATCTCGAAAGAGAGGATATCTTCGTCTCGCTGGTAGAGTAGTGCTTTGCTTTGCTTGATTTGGTAATAAACTAAGGGGAATAGAAATATGAAAGGGGTAAATTAAATGAGACAAGTCGGGATGAGAAGGGATTTTGATGTTGAGCAATAGTGTATTTGCTCCCTTCAGCCAGCTAGCGAGCCCACAGCACAGCACAGCACGGCTCGGTCAGGTCAGGTCAGGTCAGGTCCAGGTCGGATGAAGGTCGGCAGAACGAGTGTCGCTCTGGACCTTTTCCTCGAATTTCTCTTCTTGTGCTGGGAAGTGGTGGGAACCTGAAGTCTTGGGAGGGACAACCAAAAGCTTGAGGAGGGGAGTACAGTGGCGAAGAGGACGGAAGTCCAAACTGAAGTGAGAAGTGGTGTGTTATGTTCGCGGGGAATACAAAACAAGGAAACAATCGTGAGGGTTAGAGGCCAAGAGACGGTATCTCAAAGCAATGGTGTCATCAGAGGAAAAATTTTCTCCTCTCTGGAGCTCCTCTTGTCCCTCACCGGAGTGGTCCGAATGTGCAAATTGAGCAAAGATATTATGAATCTGGGTTTTCCGGGGGGCACGAAGGTACTGTGGCTAGAGGCGGGAAGACGGAGGAGAGGAAGTGGGAACAGTGCAGTAGACACGGGCTCTTTTGATGGGGAGGACGGTTAATGATGACCGGTTTGTGGTGTTTGCGATATTTGAATGGAGTAAGAATATGGCAGGTATGGAGTCGGGAGGCATTGAATTAAGAGTTTTGCTTCGGGGGCGAGGTAATGGAGGAGGGGGGCATGGGTTGAGGGCAGTCTAACTAAGTAAGATGCTAGCATGGAACAGTTAATAGCGATTCTGTGGACCGACTGTGGTTGGATGTTTGGCCTTCTCGGCCCATTTTTTACCTTCCTCAACCTGTCAACGGGGAGGGGAGGGACGAGAGATCATAGGTACAGAGATGTGGGAAGTGCAGCCTGGCCTGGCCTGGCCTGACGCTTGGTCCCCCCTTCAGCTTCTTGGGCTAGTGTGGGTATCCCAGGCTCTTTTGCGAGTGGTGAAAGGCAGACCATCGCCGAGCATCGCAAAGTAAAGCAACGCAATTCTAAGAGAGCAGTCCATTCATCTTGCAACGCAAGGACATAGGACATACTCTGTTTGGAGTACGAGGTAAAAGAAAGTAGTACAACGAGCTGTGGCTTGGGGGTGAGTGTCACTCGAGGCGCATTCCAGAGACGCGCCGGGCTGGAGGCGGAGGAGGCACCTCTGTAGGACGAGGCAGAGGGCAGGTGCTCGTAGTAACTCGTAGGAGTAACTCGTAGGTACTAAGTAAGCAGGAAGCGATCCCTCCTGAACGGTGTCCACCCCCATCGGGCGGGCCACTGGAGGACTCGAGCAGCGGGAAACACGGCGCTGGGTAGCTGACGTCACAGTTGCAGGGTGAAAGCAGTAAGGTCCCCAACACACATGGAACACTTACGGAAGGTGGGACGAGGACGTTCCTTCATTGGGCCCGAGAGTCAAAGCAAAAGTAACGGTAATAGCAGATCTATTGAAAGTGTGGGGTACTATCGTGATCCTCCGTGCTCTGTTGCATGACAACGGAGCAGGTCAAGGGAATTGTTTGCATTTAAATGCAGTCTTCTCCCGGAGCGGGTCACGTTGAGCAAGAGGAGGGGCAGACGCCCTGGTGCAAATAAGATCTCTTCCGTGACGGTTAGAGATCTTTCTCCGATTGACCTGCCCGAAAGGGGCAAAGTGTGCGAACTGGACTCGACACCTCAGACTCACCAGGGATAGGATATCTCAATTGGGGTTAGTGCAAAGCGAGAATGAACAATGGCATTCTCCGTGCCCCAAGAGTCGGTTGCTAGATGTTGGCGAATAGCAGAGCCAGGCGTTGGATGATTGAGTAATACCATGAGGCTATGGCATTTGGTAAGACCGGACAGGAGACGCCAGACAACAGCCGAATCCCACGAGGATGGGATGGCAAGTGTTAGGGACTAGCGGGTACGGTGGGCTGTATGCATCTCAGGTGTAGGATGACGTTTTCCACACCTTCCACACCTTCCAGAGCATCACGGGCTCTTGCCAACCACTTTCAGTAATAACAATAATTGTGGGTACAGGACTCCCCCATTTCTGCTTCGACTTCTTACCAACTCCAACAATATTAATCTATAGGTACGACGCTGTTGTGCAGACTGTAATCACAAACAGGGACAAACCAAACCGTCTGTCAACCCTCGGACGGCCAACAATGTCTGGTCGAACCCCAGGCCTGCAGCCCATCTAACCCAAAAGTCACGTTTATCAAACATTCGCGGCGAACTCCCACCCAAACAAAGCCGCTGGCCTCTTATCTTTTCTCCAACACTACACCTCGCGGTGCCCTTCCATTTTGCCAGACAGACATTCAACCAAGGCCCTTCAGCCTTTCCCTGTCAGGCATATTCTTCCGTCTCTAGCAACTGCAATTGCTCAGATTGGCCAGCTGAAGGTCATAACGGCCGTCCTTTCTTATTAAAATACTCCTCTCTCCAGTAAAATGTATGGGGAGGACGCGGAATTCATCCAAGTCTCGCCTGCACGACCTCGCGCGTAGATCGCGTTCCAGTCTGCCACATGCAAGCTTAGGCACGGCGGCAGGGCAACGCTTACTGATGGATGACATTGATCACAAGTTTTAAGGTAGGCTGAGGGAGATAAGTCACAGTAAATATAACTGGACTCTGCCCTCCCTCGGGTTTCTTGTATTGTTATCTTCACCACCTCTTTCTGTTCTCCCACCTGCTTCTCCCCGCCTCCCTTGCATCAAGAGATATTATCTCCAAGGATCCCCTCTTCAGAAGCACTGGTAAGCTCCAATTCACGCAACAGCAAGCTCTCAACTTCATCAACCAGGCATGACCATCACTGACGTGGACAAAGTCATCTAGCATATCTCAAAATGGCCTTGCCATTCAAGCATTTCGCCAAAGCCCAATCCGATTTCAAGCCCCCGTTGATCGCCAACGAGAACGCGTTCCTGGGCGACATCGTCAGCAGCACCGACACTGAGAAGCCAATCACCTCTGGCTTCTACAGGCTCGAGAAGGGCACTCCCCTTGTGTACACTTATACTTACCACGAAACCAAGATCATCGTAGAGGGCGAATTCGACATCACCGACGAGACTGGTCAGTCTGTTCACGTAAGTTAAAATCTGCTCTTGAAGACAAAGGAGCCCTGTGTGGCCACTTTGTTTCCTTCAGCACTGGAACAACTTCGCTGACTCATGGTTCAATAGGCCGTTGCCGGAGATGTCTTCTACTTTCCCAAGGGCAGCGTCATCACCTTCACCACCAAATCGTACGGTCTAGGCTTTTTTACTGGCCAGCGAAAGGAGGGAGCCGCATAATCCGTAAATTAGCCCGGAGTTGGCAACCGAAATGCATATACCAACATTTTGAAAAGAAGAAATAAAACTACAATTCTCAACCTGTTCCCCACATCGGTATTGTCTTATTGCCGTCTATCGTTATCTCGCAATTCTAGGCTTGCTCCGCAATCTATAACTTGCAAAGTGATGCCAACTGACAAGAAGGAAAAGTACATCCGTATCAACTCGACCGCATCACAGGCTGGGCTTGAGGCTGCTCAAGTCACAGGGCCTCACTGGTGGGTAAACAATCCTTGATGAATTTCTCCAAGTGGTCAATCTCCTCTGGGTCGGCGGAATGAGCGAGGCCCCTAATTGTAACCGTTAGCCGTGCCTCCAAGAAGCGAAGCAAACCACACAGCACGCAGTCTACGCACCTGTACACTTTCATTTCGACCTTGTGGCCAAGCTCCTTCTTGAGGACCTCGGCTGTCTGTTGTCCCCAGGACAGTTTGACCAGCGGATCTGAATCGCCGTGGCCCATGAAGATCGGTGTGTCCTTGTTTGCTTCCGACGCCTCTTTCGCGAAATCCTTGATCTTATCGCCCAACACAAGGTAACAGCTCAGGCCGAAAATGCCGCCGAGTTTGTGAGGTGTGGTAATGCCAGTGAAGAGGGACATTGCGCCTCCTTGCGAGAAGCCACCGAGAATAATGCGATTGGAGGGTATCCCGGCAGAGATCTCATCCGTGATGAATTTGGTGAACGTCGTGCGACTGCGGAGGATGCCGACTTCATCATGCGCTTGTTTCAAGTCGTCGAAGTCGGTCTGTCAGGGGAAGATTCAGTCAAAGAACGGGCCAGGGTTGGGACTGCAAACATCGTCGCGGCGCCTTACGATATCGTACCATCCAGGCATGCTGTAGCCCATATTCTGGCAGATCAGTCAGCACTTGTAATCGTCGTATAAGAGCGCGATGAGGACAGTCGCTCGTTCGACGTACCACTGTGATGGGAATGGCAGGAGCATTGGGGAAGATGAACTTGACGTCTTCGAATTTCCCTCGTCTGCGCCAGGACTCGGCAAGGGACACCCTGTAGGAAGTACAACTGAATTAGTTCCTGAAGCCTTTCAGGACAATAGGGTCCGCTGCGGTCATACGTACCAGCCTGCACCGCTATAACGGTTATATCAGTCAATATGCAATTCGTACGCCAATGGATCTATTTTCAAGAGTTTTTACCTGTCGCCCAGGCCGTGTGCCATGATCACCGTTGCCGTGTGCTTCTTCAGCGCCGGGACGACAAAAGCGGCCTTGTTAGCCATGGCGCTGTTCTGAGATGTATACCAAGAGACAAAGGCCAGAAATGCAAAGGCAAGCGTGGACCAGAAAACAGCAGGGTGAACTTGAGTCCACATTGAAATTGCGGGCAGCAACATCTGTCTCCAACAGAGGAAGCGCAAGCTCAGGTGCTACTGTAGGTGAACCCCGCCCGAGGTTGCCGCAGTCACTCCTAGCCCCCTCGGTCACTTGGCTGCTACTGACACTGGAGTGCTTATGTAATGATTTTCTCCTTCTCCGAATCACTCGCACTCGGCGTTCAAATTCACGCCAAGACTTATATAGCACATTCGAGACTGCCCATCCTCCAGAGCATCAGCGACCAGTTTGGACGTTTTACCATCAACACCTCAACGCCAGGACGGAGGATAGAGTAAGCATTCTCCATTTCACCGCCGTGTGGCCCTCTCCCCGTCGATATACATATTGTGCATTGGAGATTTACCAGCTAACAACATCACAATAGACCACGGTCCAGCTCTTTCATTCCCTTGTCCGATAGCTTTCAGCCTTCTTCACTCCGGTGGAGCCCTGAACGTCGCTTACTGCAAACATGGATCAGGAGAAGTTGAAGCGCATGCAGGCGCAGGTGCGAATTGGTATGTCTCCAGCCCGATTGGATTTCAAGCTTGGTTTGTGCGCAGATTCCAGAAATGGCTGACAGTTGCCTGTACAGGGTATGTAAATTCCTGAACTTGCTCCCACGAAGTAATCAACGCCGCGGCATGTGTGAAACTGGGCTTGGCCCGTCGGAACGAGATGAATCTGAATAGCCACTAACCAACACTTGCTACAGAGGCAAAGGAACACCCCGGAGAAAAACCAAGAAGGTCCACAAGTCGGCTGGCACAGATGACAAGAAGCTGCAGACGTCGCTGAAGAAGCTCAACGTTCAGCCTATCCAAGCTATCGAGGAGGTCAACATGTTCAAGGAGGACGGCAATGTTATCCACTTCGCTGCGCCCAAGGGTAAGTCGGTGGGAGAGACGCCTTTTGCCAGAAAGAGCACACGTGCCCAATTGCTGACCGCCTTACTCACCAATAGTGCACGCCGCCGTTCCCTCCAACACTTTCGCAATCTACGGCAATGGAGAGGACAAGGAATTGACCGAACTCGTTCCCGGAATTCTCAACCAACTCGGACCCGACTCGCTTGCTTCACTCCGCAGACTCGCCGAGTCCTACCAAAGCTTACAGAAGAAGGAGGGCGGCGAGAAGAAGGATGGTGACGACGATGACGACGAGATTCCAGATCTGGTCGAGGGTGAAAACTTTGAAGGCAAGGTGGAATAGCTGCGTCCAACTTGAGGAAGGACGAGGTCGCGCGAGCCTAGATGAACCCGATCCCATTTGGCCAGGCTCACGCCGAGCGTGCCTGTCGCTCATCTATTTCCCTTCGCATGCTCTTCCCTTTGCATAAAAGGCTGCCATGCAACCAGCCATGTAAAGTGCTACCATCATCATAAAATCCAAATGGAAAGGTTCCCTTGGCAGAAAAAGACCCATTTCAGTGCAGCCATGGGGGATCCTAATATCTAAGTCTGAATTGTACAGTGTGCATGTGCAAGGACCAATGCATACCCAGGTAGTCAGTCATTAGTGCCTCTGTTGTGATCTCGATGGAAACCGCAACCCGCTGGACAATGTCCCCTCTCAATCGTCCTTTATCCCACAAAAATCCGTCCCGAGCCAGCCATCAACGCCATGCCAAAACGACCAATACCAGCCGTTAGCTGGGTCCCAAGCACCATTCTCCTTGAGCAAAGGTCCTTCTCCGATGATTCCATCACTAGCCCCTGTTGTTCCCTTCTTTCCACCCACAAACCAAGATACTATCGGGATACTCCTAAGAACCCGCTCTCCAAAGGACGGCTGCGGTGGTAATGCTTCTGATATTGGCCGCAGAACCGCCTTCTTCACTTTGATGTGCGTCATGTAATCTGATTGGAAAGTTCGGTCTTTTACTTGGCTCGGAAGTTGAGGTGTAGAACGAGAGCGCAAATTTGACGTGGCGGTGGGTGACTGAGGAGGCGAGATGGCTGTGGCTGTTGCTGAAGATGCTGTGGTAGAGGTTGTAGAAAAATCGTCTGATACACCCGGTTGGCGATATTGAAGGTCTGGTAAAGTTTGTGACTTTGGTAGAGTCTGATAGGCTCGCTCGAACGCTGCTAGAGCAGATTGGGACCCCGCGAAGATATTGGCAGATTGACCAGAACTCAGCGTGCGAGCCTTCCGGCTTGTGTCAGGTCTGATCAAATCGGCGCTATCCTGGCCGTCAGGGCCTACGGGTAAAGGAGCATCTGTTGCCGGTCCCTTGCCGGTCCACATCTCACAATGGACTAGGTAACCATCAATCTCAACAGGACTGTAGTGGATGGCTCGCTCTGCGGCTTGGTATGAATCAAATGTGATCTTGATCCAATGTTGACCACCCATGTAAACTCGGCTCTTCTTTATTGCTTCGCGACTGAGATTTTCCCGCACAACTATTGATGATCTGGAGAAGGCCAACGGGGAGTTCGAAGAGAGAAAGAGGTTAGGGTCTTCCCTTGAATAGTCCTCGCAGATTATTCCCGGCGAAACAATCCTTTCAAACTTGGACAGAACTTTCCATTCGGATTTTTTGCCAGCGTATCCATACAGCACGCACTCGGTTGGGACAGTATCAGGTTCTGTGCTCCTGGGTACATCTGCCGAGGGGGTGTTGAGGGAGCTCTTTGTTCTCTCGGCCTCTCGCTCTTGCTCCTGTGTGAACAACTTTCCAAACTCCGAAACTGCTGAACTCTCTTTTTGCCGCAAGGGCGTAGTCCCAGTTCGCGGCCTTGATGCTCGTGAGCCTGTAGCTCTTGTACTGCGGTTCCGACCGAAAGGTCCAGTTTCTTCTGGTTGTCGTGCATATCGTGATGAACTAGAGAAATCAGAATCACCTTTGGCACCAGAAAACTTTCCGAAGTCCATGACAGGCAGACTCACTCTGGATAACGGTAGCCCCATGGCAGGGTTTCGCCTTTTTGATCCCGTGCTCGTTCCTCTGGAAGGACAGAGTGAATCTCCATTTTGTTTGCGCCCGCGGGCGTATAATTCACGGGCAGTTGACCAAGGATTTCGGGCGCAGACGACCACCACACACCACACTTGTTTCTTGTTGTGGCAACGCAGAAACGTACGGGTGAACAGACCGAAAATCGGTGGGCGGTATCATGTGCAACAGCAGGAGGCAGCGAGTGAGCGTAAATAAACAATGAGTGGGTTCATCAAAAACTTCCCACTTCAAACTTCAAATGTCATGAGTGGACTTTTGGGAAGGAACGCGTCCTCGCGTAGCCACACTCCCGTTACTTACGACTAGGTAGCACGCACTACCAAGTCATGCTGCCTTCCTGTTCAGAACTGTAACTGCCTCTAGTAGTGTACTAGTCCAAAAAGAGCTAGCTCTGTCGCCTCCACGCCTCGCCGCTTTTATGAACGGTATCCTTTGTGCTCGGCTATCGATGTTCAAGTTCTCTGATTGTGACCTCAGCAGCACTCTAACAGCGATGAAATCAACGACGGAAGATCGATCTAGTATGCGTGAAAGCGTGACGATTAGACCCCCTTGATCTATGCCATGACAAAAATGTTTCTTTCACCCCCTACCAGCCTGGAATTGGATGTACCTCTTGAAATGTGCAATTGAGAGGAACCTGTCCGAGAAGCAGCATAATTCGTCTGATTCACCTGGGTGATCAGCTCACTAGCTTTGAGGAAGTGAATAGCAGGAGCAAGGCACCGTCCGCGCTAAGAAAAAGCTTCGATTCCTTTCTGAGGCTAGCTATGAACCGATCAATCGACTGTTCCTATCAAGGCGTCAGGAAGGGTATAACCATTCATCTACGCCTTCAAAGTCAAGCTCAGGGAAGCGATGAGGGGATCCGGCTCCGAACAGAGCTTGCCAGTCAGTGCCCGAGACTCCCACAATTCCCAAACTGTCGTTGTTCTCCACCAACATAGCATTGTGGTCGCTAGCCTGGGTGATCGTCAGTTCATCACGTCTACTGCTTAGCCCACTGTGCAGGTCGTATTGAACGTTGGACGTTGCTTGCGACTGTTTTTGGAATTGCACTAGCAAATCGTTGTATACGTGCAGGATGGCTTCTGCACTTGGCCAATATGGCGATACTGCTGAGATCGCAGGAAGGACCTGTCGAAGTCGAGTTTGAGCCTGAATTGCAAGAATTGCCGCCCTGTTTCGTGCAGCAGTTCGAGCCTCGTGACTGATCTGGAGAGCAGTCGCAAACAATGAGGTCAGCGCCGTAAACCAACACATAGAAATTGCATTTGCAGCTATTATATCGTCGAAAAGCTTTGAAATGGCAGTGGCAGCCGCTTGGCATGTGACGTTGGAGTTCAACTTCTGGACCGGATCGGCATGGGGGAATAATTCCTCTGGCAAGCGGTGAAGATGTAACAGTGCTAGGTTGTAATGTAACTGAAGCTGCAACGCCCAGAATCTTTTGGTATTGGACTTCTCTATCGGCTCGGCCAAAGCCGTCGGTAAGTTGAGATACCATGATACGAGTTTTCTGTCGACGCTTTCTTGTGACACCTGAAAGGATTCGGGGGATGTAGCATATCTTCGAACTGCTCCTGGACTGGAAAGCTTGATGATGGATATCATGATATGACAAAGTTGAGTATTTTGGATACAATAATCAATATCGACTTTCCCGTTCACTTGGCCATTCTGCTCAACGAAATCGTCTGTCTGCAGTGGGGTTTGATCAATCTCATCCAAATCTATCATGGACGGTCTTCCATGGTGCAGACTTGACAACACTTCGACTTGGAACAGGGTCCACCAGATTCTTCTATAGATCCTTCGATCTTGCTTAGGCATTAATATTGGGAGTGCTGTAGCTAGATCACGGTGCATCCCGAGTCCAAATGCAACGCGACACGCAACCCCGGCCCAATAGTAAACGTTCGAACAAATGTCATCGGCGCCCTCAAGGTAGAACATAAAAAGCAAGGCGGCTTGCACAACGTGCATACGATCATTCTCATAATGCAAGTCAAACAATGCCTTGGCCCTTCGATAGATTACCTTCTTAACTTGAGATCTCCGAGGGAAAATGTTGGGATGCTCACTGACATGAGCTCCAGCGAGGAGGACGGCCTGAAATAGTAGAAGGGGCGGAGGGTTGTCAAGACTCCTGTACTGTCTTCGAAATTCCGATTCATCAACGATAGGGAAGCCAGGATGGATTTTGCTAAAGAAGGACTCAACTAACTCATCTCTCACCTTATGTATCGGTAAGGCACTGAGGTCGTCGACAAATGAGTTTGAGTACCACTGAATTAATGGCATTGCTGGAGACGGCTTCCATGGCATAGTAGGTCGTACCGATGGAAAGGGGAAATGTAGAGAAGAGGCATCAAACCCTACCTCATCGACCAGCTTCGCAAGATTGGATACGGAAGTTCCAATGTAAGCAATGCGTGTATACCCTTTATCTTGAAAAACTTCCCAATTTGACTTGTTGATTTGGTGGAAGAACCGAGACAGCGCAGTTTTCGCCATAGTGTCTTCGGGGATGTCACCCTCGCTTGATACATCTGGTCGCAGTGCTCTATCTCGTCCCTCTGCCAAGGAGAAGTCGCCATAGTCGAGTCGTCCTGGAGGAAGCTCGCTTTGCTGACCGAGAAGTTCAAAAGCCACTGAAGATGTAGTCGGTGTGGGTGACAAACCATCCTGTGACTTTGCAGACTGCCGTCGCTTCTTCAGTCTCCTCTTCGCCTTGTGTTTCTCTGCTAGTTCGAAGCTGATAGATGGTCAGGTCTCGCAGCCATCTACCTAGCTACATTCGTGGCTTGACTAATCATGGTTGATAAGACTTACCTACAGACAATGTTACTTTGGCGACAGGCTATACAAGGGAGGCCCTGATCAAGGTCGCAGCGAACTTTTCGTCGGTAACAGACATCACAAGCCATTGACCGTGGTGATTCCCGTGGGCTACACGGCGCAAAATCTGAAGATAAGCATGAATGTGATCGCCGATGTAATTACCCATCATCCTATCCAGTCCAGGTTTGGTTAGCACGCTTGAGGCTTTCGTCGCAGGGAAGGAATGCCGAATTCGAAATCTATTTATCACTTCGCCACTTGGCCCATTATTCAACGTCAGCCTCGTCTCTGCCCTTGGCTACAATACTTCATGTTCGGGGCTGATTTAATCTTTGCCCATTCAGCAGTATACCGATCTCATCCGTGCTTTTGCTTTGGCGATGGGAAAGTACAAAGCAAGTCTACCTATCTACCAGAGACGGACGACCGGAATTTCGGATCGTTGTAAGTGTTTTCTTGATAGGAGGATATGCCCCATTTTGCCCTGGCAGGCCTCGAGGCCTTGGCTATGATGGAGCCATACTAGGTTGGAAATGCGCAAGCGTGGAAGAATAAAGCAAGCATGGGAACAGCCAGAGATAGGGTCTATCCAAAATCTTGGGCGTCTGTTCTAGTCTCAATAGTCCTCAGCAAATCACAACCATTCGCATTTCGATCGGCTCTTCTGGAGCCAAAGGTTGCGTTACAGACGGTTATTCAGATAGGTCAGGCACGTTGCAGCTCCGCCTCTAATCATACCACGTCCGACCGAGCTCGGTGCCCCCGAAGATCAGGTCACGTGTCACCATTTGCTAACGACTCTGCTTCTATCTTCGGTTGACCCGATATAAATAGGTTGCGACTAAACAGATAAGCAGCCCAGGGGATTGATATGCCCACGAATCATGGTTATCTCATGTTCAGATACTTTCCGAGCTTGCTTCTCTGTACATTGAATCATGGCTCTCGCATCCTTGGATCAAAAGGCATAAAGACTTCCAGCAGTGCGGCAGCTTGTGAAGCCAGGAATGTGTCCGAGGTAAGATTGCAGGGACATCGGTAAAGCATGGATTGGCACAAGATTGCGGAAAAGGCGCAGCGTCGAGCACTCGACGCCATTCCCCAGTCATGGAGATTACCAGCTGAGGCATTGCCAACATCTTTGAATGCCAGTGTGATTGATGTTCCTCAAACATGTGGCCTTCTGAATGCCCGTCAGCTAGAGATTACTGAACTTACAGCAACGGAACTCTTGTCTCGCATTGCAGAAGGACAAATGACTAGTGTCGAAGCAACGGAGGCTTTTTGTATTCGATCGGCCATCGCCCACCAACTGGTAAGTACATATATATGTCTTGGATATCTAACACGGTCAACCTTTTGATGGTATTTCTCAGACAAACTGCTTGACATCGTTCTTCCCGAAAGCTGCATTGCAAGTAGCAATAGAGCTGGATGCTCATTTCTCACGCACGGGCAGGACGATTGGGCCATTGCACGGACTACCAATTGCCATCAAGGTAACGTTGTTTAGACTCACTCTGCCAAGGAAGACATTTGACAATGTCTCAAACAGGACCAATACAATGTCAAAGGTGAATTATCTACTTTGGGTTATATGGCCAACCACGAAAACTTTGCAACGGAGGATGCAGCAATTGTGCGAACCATTCGAGAATCCGGTGCAGTCATCTTCGGGAAGACCACTATGCCGCAGACTGGTATGGCCGTTGAAACGACCAGCCCTCTATGGGGCACAACGAAGAACCCATACAATGCCCAACTTGTGTCCGGTGGCTCTTCTGGTGGAGATGGAGTTCTTGTTGCCATGAAAGGGTGCCCGGTATGTCCCTCATCGGATATTGGTGGCTCAATTCGAGTGCCTGCAGCTTTCAATGGGCTTTACTCGATCAGACCAAGCGCGGATAGGATCTCGAAAACAGGCGTCATAGCCACTCTCGGCGGTCAGATATCCATTAAGACTTCTTGTGGTCCAGTTTGCCACAGCTTGGCCGATGTGAAACTTCTTGCAAATATAGTGAATGCATGGCCTCAGATGCAGTTTGAGCCAGGCATTGTCCCCATGCCTTGGAGGGTGCTCGATCCACCGAACAGAAAATTGAGCTTTGGCCTACTCGAATACGACGGCGTGTGCATGCCCCATCCGCCAATTTTACGTGGGTTGAGAGAGACAGCAGCTAAGCTGGCAGCTGCTGGCCACGAAGGTATGAATGAATTCCATGTATCACTAGACGTCCGAATAACTTGCTAAAATTAAATATAGTCGTCCCTATAAAACTACCATTCGACTGCTGGAAAGTAGCCCTCACCACATGGGGGATATACTTCCAAACAGGTGCTGTCGAATTGAAAGCACGACTGGCAGTAGGAGGAGAGCAGATGATACCGTCACTGGCCTATCACCTTCAGGCGTTTGGCATCAAACCATTATCGGCATGCGAAGCATTCGCCCTCAATCGCGATATGCTCGATTACAAAGCTCAAATGAGCTCCTTCTGGAATTCGCCGCCTGGATCCTCGAGGCCATTTGATGGGCTCATCGCCCCAGTTCACCCGTCAGCCAGCTACCCTCATAACTTCCCGTCCTGGTGGGGCTATACCTCTCTTTGGAATATTCTGGACTATCCCTCTTTGACTTTACCTATTAAAAGGTTCAAGGTTTCACCTGAACTGGACGCCAAGAATCTGGACTATCTCCCATTAGATAACCCTTTCGACAAGCCAACCTACGAGATGTGTACGTTCCAACGTTGTGGGGCAAATCTGAACTTGGACATTCGAATGCTAACAGGTTGACCAGACGACCCCGAAACCTTTGCTTCCCAACCGTTATGCATCCAATTGGTTGGAAGACCGTTCCAGGACGAAGAAATTACTGCAGTCGCAGAAGTCGTAGATGCAATCATCAATAGCTGAACACCAACTTTGACCAAGACGCAGAAGGTTGACGGGGGTTTCCTGGTGGGAGTGTAGGCTCTCCCTTCCATGCTGAAGTGACCTTCACGCTTCCCGCGAGTCATTCAAAGATCCCGTAGGCAACAGTTATTGCACGAATTAAGACTGTTTATGCTATTATCTGGCCATCCAACCGCCGTCGATAACTATTGTTTGTCCAGTAAGATAGGTACTCGCCTGGCTGGCTAGAAATACAACCACTCCTTTAAACTCGTCTGGTTCACCCCACCGCCCGGCCGGAATTCGAGTAGTGATTGAGTCGTAATAGGTAGTATCTGAGTTCGTTCGTGTATCCAAGTTCATGTCGGTGGCAATGTAACTAATTCAATATCAGTAGGCGCCAGATTGATCATTGATGTAAGGCAGCCACCACCACCCGTCTGCATGTGAGCAGGAAAGCAACTATTCCCGCGTCAAGAGGAAGAATGGGAAAGGTATAATTACCCAGGAGCAACAGCATTGACCCGAATTCCCATGCCTGCCCACTCATTACTGAGCGCTTTCGTGAGCATGTTCACCCCTCCTTTACTAGCCGCGTAGGCCACCATGTTGACACCTCCTTGGAACGAAGCCAGGCTGGCCGTATTGATGATGCAACCCTTGATCCCTTTGTCAATCCAATACTTCCCCGTATCCTTACATAGCTTGAAAGTGGCCTTCAAATTGGTCTGCAGCACCTCGTCGTACGCATCGTCAGGGAATGTATGGGCGGCGAGCCGGCGCTGGATCCCTGCCACATTGACCAGAATCTGAAAGTCGTGCTCGTCCCTAATCCGTTCAATCAGTCCCTCAATTTCGGAGGGCACGCCTAGGTCGGCGGTGTAGATGCTGCATTTGCGACCTATCGCCTCGATTGCGTCTTTGGTCTCTTGTTGGGTTGAATTCCTCTGCCGGAGCAATATTGACAAATTAGTCACGGAGTCGATCTCTTGCGGTATTGCATCCCTAGGCCTCGCGCTTTGAAAGATTAAGATGCTCTCCTTACCAAGATCAATACAATGTCAGCTCCCGCCTCAGCGAGACCGAGTGCCATCGCCCGACCAATTCCACGAGCGGCGCCGGTGACAACCGCCGTTTGGCCGGCAAGACCGAAAAGATCCCCCATGAATTCGATTATCCGTATGCGTATTGTGGAGTGGGATCGGGGTCAATTAACAAACTTGGAATGGCTTGACGATTGATGTGCGGCGAGTGACCCCGAAGATAAGTTTACTTCATACGGTATTCTTAGATCGGTCGAAGTATTTGTCTAATGCCCTTCGTGAAGGGGCATTTTGAATATTCGTAATGGAGCGAATCGGGCATCTTCCCGGTGTGCTTCGGCTCCGAGGCCACACGTATGGGTCCTCGACGGACATGACCAGTCCCGAGATGAAAAGTTACAGTGAATATTACAAGGCTCTCCTGGTTTAGTCTGCTAAAGAACGGTCGTCAAGATAAGAAGAGGGATATATGGGTGGAAGCAGAAATTCTATGATGCAAAGTTCCCTGCACAGTCCAGCATCAAGGAAATCGTTGGGCTCAACCAACTTCGTTAGATAATATTGCTCAATGGCAACGAGCGTTGTTGAGATAATGAGGCTTCTGATAAGCTACGCAGTTATTTGAGCCCCCCGAAGGTCACTTGAGTTTTAGTTCTCTTCATTGATAGCAAGGAAACAGCACTAAACTCGGAACCTGAAGCCCCGTTGGGCACCGACGGCTGGGATGCCAGACTCTGCAGTATCAGTGTGTGCATTGATGGCATCCGCCACATGGATACCACGATCGAGCTTTCGGTTCAACCGAACAAGAATGACTCTTAAGCAAGTTGCCGCAAGAATAACCAGGATTGCTGCGGCGGTGTTGACTGAGTAAGCAACCGTGAACTTCGGCCCCGCTGAGGTGGGATACATGTAGCTTGTCCAGATGCTCGCTGTCTGTGAAGAACCACTGATAAATGCAATAGCGGCAGCTCTTTTGGCAGGCGGCCGAGGAATTGAATTAGATATCCATGCTAGAATTACCACATAGCCGGTGTAGATGCCAGGGATTATGACCATTATAGCAAAGTAGCGCGGGCCTAACCCAGTTGTTGTGGCCAAGATGATATTGCCGATGGCAGTAAAGACACATGGGATGGCGATGTGGAGGTATCTTTCACCGCTCCGATCGGCGTGCCATGCATTCAGCAGAGAAGTGATGGTGCATAGGACATATGGAGGAACGGTCAGGAGTAGGGTTGGAATCCTGCTATAACCAAGAGTGCTAACGACTGTAGGAAACACCAGCGTTACTCCTCCAGAGACCGTGATTCCGAATAGCATGGTGACCTGAATCACAGTGAGCTGGTATGATCTAGGCGAGGAAAGGGGCAGTGGGACACGCACAAACGTATAAGTCTTAGCATCCGTAAGGGCAAGCACGAGCCCATGCCAGAGGCTTTGCTGCTTACTGTCGATCCAGTCATCTTCACCGACATCTTCTTCGAGACGCCATACCGCAAGCTGAATTTCTTCTTCTGAAAGCCATTTGGTTGTCCTCGGAAAGTTTGGCAGAATGAAGTAACCGCATACCGCAATGGCCACTGTGATAGCGCCTTCAATTATGAACAACCACCGCCACGCCAGCAATCCGTGGACCCCATCCATGCCGTCTACGATACCAGCAGCGATGAGACCAGAGAATGCCCCTGAGATCAAAGCCCCCGAGTACAGAATGGCAGTGCGAAACCCAAGCTCGGTGCGTGTGTCTCCAATACTTTGTCAGATGTGTTACAGACATGAAGGGAGAGAAAAACTCACACCAGCATGAAAGAAAATATATGCACCCGGGCTTGACAAGGTGTTAGATTATGACTCGGGAGGTGTTCGGTCGGTGGGTACTCACAAAGAATGCGGCTTCAATGATCCCAAGGAAGAGCCGACAGACAAGCAGCCCAGTAAAGTTCTGTGTCGCGCCAGTCGCGGTAGAGATCGTCCCCCAGATTATCATTGCCGTTGGAAGATAAAGTGCTGGCTTGCCAATCTTGTTGAGAAAGATGTTCGAGGGGACTATAAAAGGAACTAGACAGACTGCATCATTCCATGAAATAACGGTAACTCACCTTGCATGACTGTGTAGCCGGCGAACAAAATGCTGACGGCTGTCTACTTCCATGTAAACATCCAAGATGGTTTCTGAACAGGATGCAGACAAAAGACATACCAAATACTCTGTACTTGAGAGATTCAATTCTTTCTCCATGCCAGCCAGCCTCGCAGCGGCAATGTTATTGCGATCCAGATAGTTCAAGATATACATGATCACAATCATGGGCATCAGGCGAAGGTCAATTTTCTTTCGCAAAGCAGCCTCTGCCTTTTGCCTCTCCTCTGGGCTCATTTGACGAACATATTCAGGGGGCTGTAGAGCCTGGCTTTTCCCCGGGGAGATGGAGCCTACATTAGAAGCCACGACCTCGATTTCTTTGTCGTCTTTTGCCGTAGCTGGTATGTTACCATCCATGATGGTAGATGCTAGTCTTTGGTCTGCGGCTGCGCGCTTGCTTTACACGCCAAAAAAAAAAATGACGAACCCCCTTTCTTCCTGGAGCAGAAGAGAACCTTCGAGTTCCAGGGATTTAAACGCAACGAAGGAGCCATTAAGTACCACGATATTGCAGTCTATCTGGACACCTGCTTATCAGGTCATAGCCTGTACACCAACTTGTTCTCCACTGTGGATAACCCATATTAGATGATGCGGGGATTCAGAATAATCGGAAAAGATAAAGAAGATCATATGCGAATGTGGACATGTCCATTCGGGCCCTCCGAGCATTCCAAACCAACGTTCCGATTGTCAGGATTGGAAAGCCGGTGCTCGGGTGGTCCGACTCGGGTCGCCTTTGTTCGCGGCACTTTGAAAGTTGATAGCATCCAGTGAACTGAATTTGTCGCTTCCGTGATCTGGGCAATCTCTGTAAATATGCAAAACGGATATCGAGAACTGGTCAATTGAAAACCCTGGGTCGAAAGCATGATGACGTCCACGAACTGACCAACATTCAGCCTCGTCGAGACACACTCAGTTTCACGAGGCATCATCACTCTGGAAACTCATTGGGAGTGAATGGCGAGAAAGTTGTGGTCAAGGAAGGTATCTTAAGCCTCATTAATGCAAGGCAACATAAGTCAAGCCTGCGGCGAGATTGTAAACAAAGAAGGTAAGACTCAAGTCAAGGTAGGATTGTTAGCGGCTGGGATCCTCAGCATATGTAAATATTCCTGCAGAATGAATTTTGTCAATGGGAGCTCTTGCCTCCAGGACTTCACTCAACCTCGCCATCTCTTCTTCATCAGCAGGCTTTATGGATTCATTGGGAACATTCACCCTCTGGAGAGATGGAAAATATGATACCATGGTTCTGAGAAGATCAGTCTTTACGATTGGAGAGCCATTGAAACCGAAACCGAGCGGTACCAGTGGGCGTGCGAGATTGAGAACTTCGACTAGACCGCCGTTACTAGGAGACATGGGTAAGTTCTCGATGTTGTCCTCGTCTTCCAAAGAAATTGTTACGGGAAGTGTCAAGGACGTGATGGCGGGAAATCTTGAGATAACGTGACGTAAGGCCAGGACCTCGATATCAGTCGATGGCTTCCCGATCTCAAGATGTTTGATGGAACTTGCAAATCCCCTCAAGTCTTTGAAAGCCCAGAAAGGGATGTAGCTGTAACATTCAGGAATGAGCAGTGTTTGCAGGGTGGCTGGCAGACTTTCAAACAGTTCATCCCACCAGCCGATATGCTTGCACATCTTCAGGGGCAATTGGAGATGTTTCAAATGCCTGGGCCAGCAGCCTTGGGGGAATTTGCACTGGCTTCCATCTCCAGCGGCGTCAGGTGGCAACTTCAAATCTGTCAGATATTCTAGGTGATTGATGGAATTAAGGATGCGGTTCAGACTCAATCGGTAGCCATCTTGAGATAGATCTAGTATTCTTAACCTCGAAGCCTTAGACAGCGGAGCAAGAGAGCTGATCCTAGAACAATGTTAGAAAGCAGCTGTAGCGCCAGGCGTCAACAAGGAGGTTTATCGCACCCAAAAGTAATGGCAGGAGCGGCGAAGAACTCCAGCGACTGACTTGTCCTTCCAATAAGCCGAGCAGTGAGACTTTTGGAACTTTCATATGCAAGTCCCCTGAGATCAAGATGCTTGACAAATTCTTCCAGCCTGACCCTTTTTGCTTTTGCGGTCACTCCTGTGCAGATTGTTCTTGTAAAATTCTCGAAGGCGGAAGGGATGATTATTGGCTTCTCGTACAGATGCCTGTTGTAGACGGAGCACCATGACTTAGAAACCAAGGTGCAAGCAGCCAAAGTGGATTGGCTAGTGGCATTATGGGTTTCCTTGATGAAATGGCATATCAATTCGAGCACCTCGACAGGCAGCGGAACTTGATCACCACGATAGTGTGGATTCCCAATTTTCATATCTAGGGTCTTGCTGGATCTCCTGTTGCACTTCCCATGTACTTTGAAGTCCTCATATTTGACATCGGAGATGTGATTTGAACGCTCACGCTTGTGTGTCTTTGTCCATGAATGATCGTACTGTAAAGTGGCGATTTTGGAGGACCTGTTAGTCGTTTTGACGAATTGCTGGTGCTGACATAATTGGTTGGGATCGGCTTTTCGGCCTTGGCCCGAAAAGTTGTTTGCTTTCGAGACCGCAACCTCATTTAATCCTCCTTTCTCTACACAAACACCATCTTTGTGTGCAATAAAAAAGGTAGGTCGGGACAGCTTGACGCCCTCGGCTTGATGCAGAGGTATTCTGTGTGCTTTGGAACAAGATTCACTGTTGCAAACACCACGTGATTGATGAATGCAGCTTGACCGCGCGTTGTCAAAAAGGAAAGGTTAGAAGGCAAGCACGCCTGACCACAGTATCGAACACCACTGGCAACGTGATGAATTCAAGAGACTGCCAGCCTCCAACGCTCCTTCTCTCGCAGTTTGGAACGTGCGTGTGACTGTGCGTGTTTCTGTATCTTCTCCATCACTCGCCACTACCCCCTAGCCACTTGTCCGTCTGCTCATGCCTTCTCTCACTCGCTGGGCAGGGCAGTCGCTTCCTCCTTCAAGTTTGTCACGACTGCCACTTCATTCTGGAATAGCAGCCCCCCCTCGCGACTGCCCACCTAATGTCACGTCCGTCCCACTTCTCTAGCTCTCTCCCTTATCCTGCGCTGCCTCCTCCTCCTCCTCTGGTTATCAGTTCCGTTTTGAATCCGGCTCAGACAACTCCGCCACCGCTCATCACTTCCTTCGGTGTCTTATCTGGCCGAGTCTTTCCTGTGGTATCAAATCTGCCATCTCGTCGATGTTGGAGGCTGACACTGGTAGGGTTTTGCTATCTCAGCTTGTCGATCTCATTTGCTCTACATTCAACCTTGCTTGATCGGCAAGATTTGTTGTAAGATCCGCAGACCTCGATTTTGATCCAGCTTACACAGACCACCAATGTCGCGTTTTCATGTCTTCATCTAATTTCACAACCATGTTGGGTGCAAGGGCCCGAGCTGCCGAATACAACGCCTACAAAGCTGCCACTGCCAGGCAAGCCAGCCGCGAAGCCGAAGAACAGAGATCGCCTCCCAAACCTGTTCCTGTCTCCCTCAGTGCGTTCACCAAGAACCCCTTCCCAAACCGCAATAAGGGCAATAAGGCCTGGGTTCCGCTGATCCTTGAAGATACCCCCGAACGCGATCGTACTCCCTCTTCCCATCATGATCAGGACACCATGTCCACGCCTACTCGTCAAACAGTACGCGTCTTCGGTGAGAGTGATGAGTCGAGACCAAGATCACTTATTCCACCTGCCCCAGAGCTCCAGTCGGTCCGCGTCAACCTTCCTGATGCCCCTGCTCATACCACTCGTCAATTCAATGTTCAGAATCATGATTACTCTGCCCGACTGCTGAATCCAACACCTCGAAGAATTCAACCACATTCTATTCTCCAACAGAATTACCACAACCCCTCTTCCAGCATCAAGGCAACTCCAGCTAACCATGCACCCTCGAATTTGTACCCAACCTCCAATCAATTGTGGTTGAATGGCTCACAAAGCTTTCCCGTCGCAGGTCGTGACCCTGCTTATAGCGTTCACCCTATTTTTGCTTACGGGCCCGTGATGGTTCCCGATGATATTAGCCCAGCGAAGCAAGAGAACAAGTTGGCGATCTTATCTCAAGCGTACAACGGCCCAGCGTCAAGCCTTAGCCAGACTCAACAGCAGTTTCCTGGGACCCCTCACTTCGAGAATACTGCAACACTTCCGCACTATCCATCCAACCATCATGGAGATGCCCCTCCAGCCTGGCTGCTCACACAAGAGTTTACCGGCGAGACAGAATGTCGCTTGCACCGATCAGCATTCCCAAACACGAACTCTGACTCATTGGCTCGTGCAGATGGGGAACTCTTCAATAGTGCACTACCTTCAATGACTGCAATCGAACACCATGCATCCTACCCCGAAACTGACTCTTCAACTTTCGGCAGACCACAAACAATTTCGTACACTGCAGACTTCACCCCTCTGCGACCAGGACCACTCTCTGTCAATTTACCAAACGAGGAGCCATATGACCGCAAGAGAAAGATGCAAAACTTTGTGGCCGTGCAACAAGCCTTAGCGAAGACTAGCAAGACTGTTCTACACAATCCAAAGTTGCATCGCAACAAGGTCGAGAATGACTTAACTGATGCTCGACATAAGCAAGACTTGTCTTCTGAGGTACAGCTAACCAAGCGGCATCATATGTCACTACACATTCTAAAGCCACCCCCCGGGCTGGAGTCACAGTATGCTAGCAGACCCATACTTCCATTCGATACCCCAGGTGGAGACGTCGATACCCCAACCTATGAAGAACTTCGAAGAGGTTTTGATGTTGGTTCATCTGATTGGCTTGAGCTGAGGCCTGTGACCAAGATGGAACGTACGCGAATGACCAGAATGATGAAATTGTGTTCCACGGTCGAAGATGTCGACAGCCCTCAGGCTCTTACCGACAAGTTTTCTACGATTCGACTCAGAGGAGTTTACAGCAGCGCAGAGGGCATCAACCCCGGCACAAGGTTGGCGAGAGAAGCAGTCAACCAGATTGCTAAAGATTATCTTGCCAGCAGACTCTTACAATTAACTACAAACGAAGATGGCATTTCTAGCTGCGAGTCGGGGATCGCTGAGATTGAGAGCGCATCAATAGGTGCTGTTGGCAACATATTAGTCAACATGAAAGCATCGACTGAGTTGAGCGGGAATGAAGATGACGATGTTGGATACTTTTCCAAATACAGACCCGCCCCAGAGTACGCAATTGAGAGAGTAAGGCTACTGGCTGGCAACTCGGGGAATGTAAGCTATTTCGAAGAGGAAACCGGTGGTTTTTACAATGCTCCTAGCAGAATCGCGCGAGACCCAAGATTCCGACCGGCGAGTAAAGAGGGGTTGAAGAGCAAAGTGAACGACGAATGGAAGATTCGGCACGATCTGTATGGTCGAAGACGACTATGAAGCAGCAAAATCGACCCACTCGAGTGAGAGTCCAAGAATGGATGGTGGTGTCAGAATTCAGGACACAGTCAAATGATAGGCCACGAGGCAGCGACGGAATCAGAGGAGATATGCTCCCATTGCACAAACGATATCTTAGATAGTAATGCTAATAAAGCTAGTTATCCCAGGATACCATTACCATCGGTGAGGCTCCGTACTGGATCACGGAACTGAAGTCAAGGCATTGTACCACCGAAGCTGAGAGAAACGGGGGTAGCAAGACCCTGGACAATTCACAGTGTGTTGCTCTCAAGGAGTGCAGCTACCACAATTCCATTTGATTGTAACGACGCGTGCCGCCCATTTCCAGACCCATGGGCACTGACGCAGAAGTGAACCCACGGCGCCACCTCAGCAGTCCTAGGTTGATTGAAGCTATAGATCACCAGATGTCTGACGGTGGCTTCTTGAACCACCAAGAAGTCCCGTGCAACATCGCAGCCAGGGAAACAGAATGGAGGCTCAGGCCCATCATGATGATCAATCAATAAATTGCCGCTCCTACTGTTCATCGCCATAGCTATACTGTACACGCTTACTTCATGACTCAAATTGCATGATGCACTACAATATCAATCTTGTTGGAGGATTTGGACTGTACAACTGTACGGGCCAATCGATACAGGCAAGTCAGCGTTGTTGAGATTTCTGTCTTCTTTTATTCTATGGTCACCGTTCTGGTTTATGTAGACAATTACTAGGCAAGATGACCTCCTGGAGCCCGTTTTCCATGATTCCAAAGCATTCCAGAGGCTGTGGCACTGACTCATTGATCGTTATTACGAGGTTGTGTGCCTGTTCCGTCGATAGTCACTTTGGCGCCAACAAATCTACTCCTGTCAAACTTGGATCATTGCCGCAATTCAGACAGTCAGCCTCGGTGTGTCACTGATAGTCTGCGGCTCCAACATCCGCCAGCGTGTTGTCCGATGTCTCCTTAAGCTCTGAGTGCCTTTGGGTAGTCCTGCTCACCGCATTTTCCAGAAGCTCAAGAAGAGCCTTCCCCCTTGCGCTTTTCTCCATGCCTTGGTATTCCCATATGGCGAGCAGCGTGTTGATACATGTCAGGCTGGCCGGATGCTCGAACCCCAAAATTCTCACCATCCCCACAACGACCACCGCTTGTATCTGCTCCGCCTCATCATACTTTCCCTGATCCCTCAGCACTGAGGCGAGGTCGCTTATGCTTATCACCGTGTCTAGATACTCCTTACCTAATACCCTCCCCCTCACTTTCACCACTTCTCGATGTATCTACTCCACCTCGTGATACTTCCCCTGATCGCTCAGCACCATGGCGAGGCTGTTTATGCTCATCAGCGTATATGGATGCTTCTTACCTTGTACCCTTACTTTCGTCGTAATCATCGTACGATACAGATCGAGACTAGCATTCAACCGGGCCTGATCTCGATAGGATGACGTAAACCTAGTCGTATTATTATAGCTCGTAATACCTTACCCGAGTCGATGCCCGTCTCTAAAGAAGTCTTTGTCCGTCAAAAGAGTGGCGTCCATATGCAGAAGAATTGACTGCTTAATCGTGGCATCGCTATCCTGGTTTGCGAAAGTTCGAAGAGAACTGACGATCATGTCGACAGCTTCGTAAGTATAAGCCAGCTCGGCTAAGAGAAGGCGTAGATTCTAACTAACTATAAAAAAGAGGCCGCACGGTATAATTCAGTTATCCTAACTAAAGATGAAACAGCGGTATACAACAGAAAAACCTTCCGGTAGGAATTAGCCGCCTTAACGGGAAAATTTTTGGACGAGAACCTTTTTTACGGCTCATTCTCGCGCCGAATCTGACAACACTGAGCGTATGTAGTGGAACCACTGGTACGACATTCCAAGAGATCAAAGCTCCATCAACACGCTCCACCATTGAACCTTGGTATCCGCTCGTTGGATGGAATGGACTTGTATACCATTTCAGGGATGTTGGCATTACCACCCCTGCCGCTCCGCCTCATAATTCAGCACAATCTGTTCGCGGGCCAACTTTAACTCAGCTCTTTCGAGGAATAAGTCGAGGTCTGTGACACACTCAGCCTCGCGTGGCAGAAGACCTAAGGTAAGGCTGTGATCGCCCATCGGCCGATCTTGGATACAAAGGCAACTTAAGCGAGTCAGTAGGTTGATGATTGAGATCACTCTCCCTTTCCACTATATATTCTCTGTTCGAATTTTTATACAAATTAACTAGGCATTTGATCCCCAGGAGGTCCCTTTCCGTGATTTCAAAGCATTCTAAATGCTGATATAGTAGCGCTCCCGTCGATCGATAAACGAGGTGTTTGGTACACAAAGCGTGTCAGTTAGTCACGTGTTTGTAGAGTTAGTATGCGCTAGTAGTGTCTTGGCGCCAATAACCGACTCCGTAGGACGTGGTGCAAGATACTGCTCGACAAGGGAGCGGACATCAATATTAAGGAGGATATCATGGCAATACCCCCCGAAGCAGAATCAGATATGTCCAACGTTGCCCCGTGCCTACAGCTCTTGTATTATATAACATGACCAAACTTGGCGTGCTCGTAGAACGTTAAGTTGATGAAGGATTCCCCACACAATCCCTTGGTACGTTGAAAGTAATTTGTAATTTTGGTTTCTTCCATCATACCCTAAAAGTTGGTTGATAGATCGATCCCAGCTTATTCAGAAAGTCAGGGTTGACGGGATGCTTATTGATGTATTTTCACCTACCAAGCATTATGCGCAGATTTTCGAGATAGCGCCACCTTTGAGCAGCTGAGCGGGCTGGCTGAAATTATCGGGGCATATTGGGACGAGTCATGCAGCTCAGGTAAAGCGAGAGATCCATAGCAGGAGAAGCATTGCCAAACTGCGTTAAAGAGAGGGACCTAAGGCTTCAGAACCAGAGATAGTGATATGACCGCTGCGCACGCTGCGCATGAAGCTCTTGCTGCTTCAACGAGTGATTCCGGGCTCCAGCTAATTGATATCCACACTGCTCTGGCAAATTCGATTGTTCTAGCTAACTAGAAGCTCTCTACTCTGAATAGGCTGAAAGAACGTATGCGAACAGGGGATATATCGCAAGACTATTCATCTCTGCTCATTATAAAGATGATGGGTGGCAACAAGATTTATGGCTGAGATGAGGAGAACCAGCGAGCCTTACAGGCTGGGCGATCTCGGAGTCGGAGAAACTCAATACCCGCCCCGAAGATTCACCCGAAAAGTCATGGAGTCATGTTGGCAAATACTGCCCGCGTCAACCTCAATTTCAATAATCTATCCTTCAATTTGTATCGCCGCCCATCTTCCATCTACCTCCTCATATACGTTAGAGCCTGCTGGTGATCACCTACGGTTCTGTAGAGCCCGCCAGCTCCATCTCCTTCCTCCTCTACATCCAAACGGCTATGGTGGCCGGCTACCTGCGGCCGCAGCTGGTCCGAAGCTCCAAAGCTGCTATCGAATGCGCGATTTGTACCCAGCGCCTTTCGCTCCAATTCTCTAGATTACGATTTCCAAGTCGTCTCTCTCCTTCAATAGCGAGATCATATGCCACCGTAAATCCTGGTGATCCGAAGCCTCCGAAGAATAGTTCACAAGGTGACAATAAGTCTTCTGGTCACCCCACGGAACCTCCTCAGAAGGAGCCGGACAGTAATCAGAATGACAACTCAGGCAAATCCAAATCAGACCGGACAGAGCTCTCTCCTCTCACTGCTCAGGAGTCCAAGCAGATTGATGACATGGCAAACATGATCAAGAGTGGCCTACCGAAGTCTCAAGTCCGCGCCATTGACGAAGCAGTCGGCTTGATAAAGAAAGGTGGAATCCCTGCGGAGTTGCGACAAATATTGGACGCCCAACAGAAGGATCCGAAGCATCGAATTGATCTGGCAACAACCGTCCGATTAGTAGGCGTTTTCACCAAACTGTCTCGGATGAGCCCCGAAGAAGTCCGAGAGAAATACGGCAAGGACGCTCAGCAGAGTAAGCTCGAGTCGGAGAGATATGAGACGGAGGAGACGCCTCTCTTTGAACAATCCAACAAACAAAAGAACCGTGAGCAGGGCGATAAAGGCAAAAAGAAGAAAACGGAGGGGAAGCCATACACTTTCGATCTAAAGCTTGATGCAGGCACTACTCTTCTCAGCTCCTTCTTTGCCTACTATATCTATCGAAATCTTTTCCCTGGCGAGTCTTCAAGAGATATTACATGGCAAGAGTTTAGAACCACCTTCTTCGACAAAGGACTCGTCGAGAAACTCACTGTTATCAATCGAAATCGTGTACGCGTGGAACTACACCGAGAAGCTGTCGCAAGCATCTATCCGGAATCTCCAGCCATTCGCCCCAACTTCTACTACTATTTCTCCATAGGTTCAGTCGAAGCTTTCGAGAGAAGGCTAGATGAGGCACACCGCGAACTTGGCATTCCCAGTAGCGAGAGGATCCCTGTCGCCTACTCTGACGAAATGCCCCTGAGTGCAGCCATCTTCTCCTTCGGACCTACTTTGCTATTCGTTGGAGCCTTGTTCTGGCTATCTCGGAGAGCGGCATCTGGTGGCGGTGGTCAGAGCGGCATCTTCGGCATCGGCAAATCTAGGGCGAAGCGATTCAATCATGAGACTGATATCAGGACCAAATTTTCTGATGTTGCCGGTATGGATGAAGCCAAGCTGGAGATCATGGAGTTCGTTTCTTTCCTAAAAGATCCTTCCAAATACCAGAGCCTGGGTGCTAAGATTCCGCGAGGTGCAATTCTCTCTGGACCACCTGGTACTGGTAAGACCTTGTTGGCAAAGGCAACGGCTGGCGAATCTGGCGTACCATTTTACTCCGTATCTGGTTCGGAGTTCGTCGAAATGTTTGTGGGTGTTGGCCCATCTCGTGTACGAGACCTGTTCGCCAATGCCCGGAAGAACACCCCATGTATCATCTTTATTGATGAGATCGATGCCATCGGAAAATCAAGAGCCAAGTCAAATTTTGGGGGTGGTAACGATGAACGCGAGTCTACACTGAACCAGATTCTGACCGAGATGGATGGTTTCAATACTTCGGAACAAGTCGTTGTGCTTGCCGGGACCAACAGACCGGATGTTCTTGACAAAGCCTTGATGCGTCCTGGTCGTTTTGATCGACATATCTCAATCGACAGACCCACCATGGACGGTCGAAAACAAATTTTCAAGGTTCATCTGAAGAAGATTGTCACTAGCGTTGATCTAGAGTACCTCACTGGTCGTCTGTCGGCACTAACGCCTGGCTTCTCGGGTGCCGACATCGCCAACTGTGTTAACGAAGCCGCATTGATCGCTGCTCGTGCCAATGCTACATCAGTAACAATGATCCATTTTGAGCAAGCAATTGAACGTGTCATTGGTGGCCTGGAGAAGAAGTCTCTGGTTCTCTCACCCGAGGAGAAGAAGACTGTCGCATATCATGAAGCAGGCCACGCTATTTGCGGCTGGTTCTTCAAATATGCTGATCCTCTATTGAAAGTCTCCATCATTCCTCGCGGTCAAGGAGCACTGGGTTATGCTCAGTATCTTCCTGGTGGGGGTAATGATGCATACCTGATGAACGTCAAACAACTTATGGACCGTATGGCTATGACTCTCGGTGGGCGTGTCAGCGAGGAAATTTGGTTTGAATCCGTCACCAGCGGCGCATCAGATGATTTCAACAAGGTCACACGAATGGCTACAGCAATGGTCACCGAATGGGGAATGTCACAGAAAATTGGGTATCTGCACTACAAGGACGACGAGCAACGTTTGCATAAACCATTTTCAGAGGAGACCGCTCGGAACATCGATGCTGAAGTCCGTCGCATTGTGGACGAAGCCTACAAACAATGCAAGGACCTGCTCCTGGAGAAGAAAGATCAATTGCAAGCCGTGGCTGAGGAACTATTGAAGAAGGAGGTACTGGTGCGTGATGATCTGGTTCGCATTCTTGGCAAGAGACCCTTTGAAGACCAGGGAGACTTCCACAAGTATTTCGACAATACGGAAGGGAAGAGTGCACCGTAAGTTTGATGTGAGCTGGCTAAAACGGTTCCACCTTTGCTAATATTCACAGGCCCCCTCCGCCTACAGAAGAACCTGGCCCTTCCGGTGCCATTCCCGAAGAACCAGCCCCAGCTTTCAAGCGACATGAACAATGATCGCCAGATGTCGAATGTCGGCTCTTGGGACGGAATGAGGGGTCTCACTTGGGATCTATTGTACAGTTTCGCACTATTGCACGGTAGAATTGCATAGCGCCGGCGTTTCTCGGGATCAGATTAACTCTCCTGACCTACTCAAGCTCAAGCAGAGTCGCATGGCATGAGGGACGAGGAGGAACGCGCGGCTCAAAGTGTCACAACACGATAAAGAAAAGTGGGTGGGTGGCAGAAAGTTGCAGCAGCGATGGGGGCGTCGAAATCCGCCCGGGGGTCTCTACGGTATCGTCTTCTCGAGCCGACTGGCCTGGGAACGTAAAGAAGAATAGCCAAGCCTCAAAAAAAAACATCTCTTCTCGCATCCTGGGCTCTTTTTCTTCCTTTCTTGAGTTTCAACCTTCCGACGGGATGAGACGACAGCGGCACAGATACGTAAATGCAAGGGGGCAGGAGAGCTCAAATAATTGAGGACTAAGCGGCGAGGACGATGTTCTGAGAAGGGAGCAGAGCCCATTTCACTTCTTGGTGCCTGTATACCTACCTACCTACCTTATACGAATTTACTTGCACAAAGCACGTTCCTTCACTGGCACAGAGCGGAGATTTGGCAGCCGAGAGCTTTTCAAAATCGTGCTCTCTGTGTATTTGGCTGTGTTTTGAGAGGGCGAATGGAGAGACGAAAATCAGCAGCAGTTGCACCTCAGAAAGACGAGGAACCTTAGGAAGGAAATACTGAATGAAAAGAATCGCTACTTTTCTCTACTCCTGCTTTCCGCCATCCCTCCATTCCTCCGTCCATCCATCTATCTCTCTTGTGTAGTTCGTGTCATCGTCGTCTAATTCAATCTTAAAATTGATCCAGATTGTCGCTCGCATCTCACTCTACCTCCCACACATTTCCATTCCTCGCCCGCGCCCGACCTTTTTCACGGAAATCTCAACAACGTGACCTACACTCAGATCGCATGGTGAATGATAATTATTGCTTGAAGTTCTTAGCGTACCCAGGCCAGTGCTTCTCCAACGCCTCGACGGTATCGAGGATACTTTGATCGTAGGAAGTAAATCTCTCCACGCCAAGCGCACGCAGGGCTTTGGTACTCACAAGACTACTCTCGCCCTTGACGAACCAGTAGTCGGGCGTGTAGCCCTTGCCAGGCTCGCCGACGAGTATGTCGCGCTCGGGGAACCTCTCGCGCAACAGGTCGGCGGCGGCTTGAGGCGGTGCCTTCCCGTTGGCCAGGAGGTACCGTTGTCCGTTGGACTCCGTGTTATGCTCGGCCGCCCAGACATGCATGCGCGCCACGTCCCGCACGTCGATGTAGCCGGCGCCGCCGATTTGGGGTGGCATGGCCTCGGCTTCGCCCGCGTAGATGCGCCAGATGGGCAGGAGGGTTTCGTTTAATTTGGCTGGTGACGCGGGGAATGAAATCGGCGGGCCGGTCACAACTGCTGGGTTGATGGCGGCAACTGACCATGAGGGCTTGTTGGTCGAGACCCAGTCCCAAAGAGCTCGCTCGGCGGCGGACTTGGATGCTCCGTAGGCTACTGGTGCGGTAAAGTTTTCACGGGCGACAGCTTCGCCGGACGTGTTCCAGTCTGCTTCGGTGTAGTCGTGGTCAGGAGCCTGTTTCCATCGGTCCACTATCGCGGCGACGGATGACGTCACAACGAATGCTTCGAGTTGTGGGCCGGCGTGGTATTTCGCTGATTCCAGGATGGACAGGTTGCCGCCTATTGAGGGCCCGAAGAACTCATCGACGGTCTTCAGGGTGAAGTCGACCGGCGAGGCAGTGTGGACGATAGCATGGACTGCTCGCACGGCTTCGTCGAATGCACCTTTGGCCACAATATCTTTGATTTCGACATGTTGGTATTGAGACTCGTAGCCCTTGAATGCGCCAGCGAGAAGGTGATCTCGAGCGGAAATAGAGCGCGAAGTGCCTCGTACGGTGTAGCCCTTCCGGAGGAATTGAAGGCCGATGTGGGTGGCTATGTAGCCATTGATGCCCGTGATGAGCACGACCTTGGATTTTGTTTCCTGAGGCATGGGCGAAGTTGGGCGGGAGCGGGACCTAGACCGCGAACGTTCCAGTGAAAGGTAGAGGTGACTGAGTCGCTTTGAGGTCTCTATTTTGGCGGTATTGATGGGGTGTCGTTCTAGAATGGGGCCTTGATATATACCATGTATCTGGGTATTGAGTTCCCACTGTGGGTAGAGATGGGTGTCCGGCTACTTTGGCTAGACGATCCACAGTATTGAGACTTTGTTGATTCTATTGGCGCCTTAGGCTTAGGACTGGGCCCAATCTCATGCCGAGTGGCCAAGCTTGTCCAGGGGGCGAGGGTGCTGAGAAATCGGTTTCCTTTGATGGCTTAATTTTTGATTATGTCGAGTGCCAACGGGTGAAGATCTTGCCTGCAAGTATTATTGTATTAGATTCGAGTTGTGGGTGGAAGTGAGGAGAAGTCTGAGAAGCGTTTGAGAAGAGATTGAGCCAGCCATCTGATGATATAGGAGCGCTTTTCGGGTTCTTTTTCTTTTTTCTTCCCTCTGACCTCCGGATTTGGAGGCTGTGCAAGTGAATAAGCACAGAGCGACATCTGCCACCACCAATCAATCCGAACCGCTCAGGCGCCCCTGCCGAGCCTCGTCTCGCATCGCGCCTCGAACGTCCTTGCATGCACAGCCTTGACTCCTGTCGGCGAATTCAGGAACCAGCCCGAATTATGGCATTTGATGCGGACGCTGGCCACCTTGTCTAACGGAGTGATATACTGTTCTACCGGCAGTTGTTTTAGTCTAATATGTTGTATTTCATATCTTGAGCAATACTTTGCGCTACCGACGATGATCCTTCGCGGGGCTCCTGAAACACCTATCCCATGATAACAGCCGTCCCACAGGCAAACGAACCTCAATCTTATCCCATTCAGTATCCAGCAGTCGCAAGCTCCTTCTCAGTCCATTCCCACAACTTCCTTCCTGCCTCGACGTCACTAGCCCACTTGTTGTTTCTCAATTTGCCCACAGGTGTGTAGTAACCTCCATTGGCGATTTCAGCCTTGTCTGTTCCAGCCGAGGCCCATAGTTGGTTGAAGGCACCATGCGCGATGTCCTGAAAGATCAACGGGCCAAAGATCATAGCTCCATACCTCACAAGAAAGTTGGACTCGGTGTTCGGAACGTACAAGTCGGTCTTGATCATACCCGGATGGAGAGAGACACAGGTAAATTGTGGATGTCGGCGAGCGAGTTCAGCTGCAAACATGATGTTGGCTGCCTTTGATGCACCATACCGTACCCACGGGCTTGTAGCTGTCAGTTTCTCCGTGGAGAGCATTGTAGCGAGATTGGGAGCCATGTTGTGGGCTTCTGAGGACACTGAAACCACACGCACGTCGGAGGAGTGTTGGCTGGCGGTTTTCTCGAGTGTGGGGAGAAGAAGTTTGGTGAGTAAGAAGTGCCCGACATGGTTGGTTCCAAGCTGGATATCTTGTCCCGATGCTGTTTTCCCGGGTGGCACGGCCATGATTCCAGCATTGAGAACGAGGATGTCTAGTCGCTCGCTATTGCGCATGACCTGATCGGCTGCCGATTTGACAGAAGGAAGTGAAGACAAGTCCAATGGAAGATATTCGATGTCCACATCCTGGAGATTTTGAGACTTGATAGAAGCTATTGCGTCTCGGGCTTTAGACTCGGTTCGAGAAGCCATGAAGATCTTTTGTGGATGGTGTTTGGCGAGCTGCAGGATTGTTTCTTTGCCGATTCCATTGTTTCCACCAGTAACAAGGATCACTTTCCCCTCAAGGGATTTAATGCCCGTTGCAGGAGTGAAGGTCGAATTGATTGTGAATGGCCACATCGATGCTAAACCTGGGTGGTAGACCTCGATACCGAGTAATGGGCGAAATATGTATGGCAAGGTCAAGCCAATTGCAAAGGCAAGGAGGTCAATGTATTTTGCTAGAGGATTTTCCACCAATCGTCTTTGATGGGTGTTCGTTATTGAGATGAGAGCTTGATCGTCTTCAATCTCCTCCTCCGAGGAGATGCGCTTTTGTAAGCTTCCAGCATCATTCTTCTCTCCAGGGTCGTCTTGTTGTGACGGCATAAACGCAACAATATCCTCCCGCTGACACGAAAAGAAGCCGTTCCGTTTTAGGCGTTGAAACCCTTCTTAGAAGCAAGTGACTAAAGTCAGTGATTCATTAGGGACGTAACCTCCAGTAAGCGCGAAGGAAGTGCGGCCTTCAAGGGCAGATCTCAACACGATACGTCCGTACGCCTTATGGCCGGGTGGGGACTTTCGGGCGTTGCGGGGATCGGGTTACATAACATGTGACATAACCATTTTCAAGTCGAGGATTGTCACGTGCAGAGCCTTGTGTCTCGCAGGAATCAGGAGATATTGTGTTCCTCGACGCGTCAATTAAGACCAGGAGCTTGGCTATTCTTTACGCTGATACAGATATCTAACGTCTTTTGACATCAATTGTACTTGGCATCCACCGGGTTGACAACGCTCATTAAGGCCATCCCACTAACGCCCATCGCTATGCACAACACAAATCTTTCGTCGTTTCTCATGCTCAATAGCAGAACCCTTCAACGTGAAGGAAGATGCCTTGAGCGCCAGTGCCTTTATGAACAGCACGTTCATCACTCAACGCAACAACGCTACGTCGAACATCATCCTGCAGCCCTTGAGGCCCACAAACCACGACTGCACTCTCACCCTCGGCTTCTTCCAGAACCTTGCGGATCAGACTCCGCGGCTTTGGACGGCCAGAGACAAGCTTGAGTCCTGTGTGTGCTGAATGGGGTTCTAATGCCGATGATTTACCGCCTTTTTCATTGACGGAGGATGAAATCGAGTCATCACTAGAAGATGTTGGTCGAACACAACAGCATGACATTGGGGCTGCGTCTTCATTGGCCGCTTTTTTACAGCAACATCCACGGCTCGCATCAGCAGCAGCATCGCCGTTTGAACCAAGTGACTGCACTTCGACCTTTTCATCCAGACCAAGTTGATATTTCTCCTCACCATGGAAAACTGCTGCCGAAGCGATTTCTGCGGGTCCATGTTCCGATGGTTCACATGGAACGCTGGCCTTTGAAGCGTCTAGTTCTTCATCGCAGGTGATGTAAATGCTGAGGTCGAGGTCTTTGTTCAAGTGGCCTTCGCTTGTTCGAATATTTGCGACGTCAGAGAGAGCATTCTCCAACTGTTCCTGGAACCAGCAGAGCCTATCCCGTGCCTTTATCACCCACACAAAGCGTATCTTCCTGGTCACAATTGCTTTTGACCCACCCACATTATCTTTCCAGCGCTGGATGATGTCCCGCATCAAAGGCACCGTGAAGGTTGCTCCAGTGCTCCCTGCAAGGAAGACAATACTGTCGAATTGTCGAAGTGGCCTAATTCTACCATACGGTCCCTCCATGCCTACAAGCTTGTGGCCGACAAGGCTCGGCTCATCATTCGCAACGCGCTGGTAAGAAGGAGCACTTCCGCTATTCGGAAGTAATCGGCTTTTCGATGCAAATCGATGAAACCGTTTTGTCCCACCTCTGCGAGCTTGGACAAGAAATTCGAGCTTCTCGTCGCACGGCAGGGATGCTATGGTGAATGGATGGCTCTGTAATGGCACCACTGTGTGACAGGAGAGGAAGACATGCTGGCCCGGGCTCCATTTCAAGACAGGCTTGTCGATGGTGATGCGAGTGATGTTTCCAGGAAGAGGAGTGAGTGTGGCTCGGTTGGCCCAAAGCCAATGTCTCCCTGGTGATCGGCGATGGAGAAAGGAAAGATTGGCAACGGCAGCGACAGCGAGTCTCGCAGTCCGATCCAAGAAGAAGATGCCTACGCAAAACCAAATGTAGGTCTTGCCATAAGTTACATGGGTGTAGATTGAACCAATCAAGCCAGCAAACAAGACTAAGTGAGAGATGACGAACACCTCGTAATTAAATCGCCTTATCGGGGCGAACGAAAAAGCAACGATGGCAGTCAGGATACACCAAGAAGCAAACCCAGTCTGGGTCAAACGGTCCGTTGACAACTTAACTCGAATGTAATCGTATCGGGCCCAGCTTCGAAACCAAAACATTAGGTGGAAGGTGGCTGTAAGCCAAAGAATGCGAGCGACCCATCGATGTAACCAATTGAGGCGCTCGTAACTCATCCCCGTCAGGCAGCCAATGATATTCTGTTTGCCAGCCAACAGGAAAATCAGCGGTAGTTGAGCCTGAGCAATACAACCACACCGATAGGCAATGTCTTCCCAGCTCCATTGGTCGCCGGTGTCGTACATGTAGAGGCACATGACGGTGATAGTGACCAGATAGGAGAGAACAACAATGAGTTTCCCTGACGGGGGTGAGCGAAGGGTCAGCCATCCGAGGCGGTAGGTTGGGAGGGAGGCAGAATTGGTCTCGCGGCCGAGAGCGGTTACTGTGGCATACAGAGAGGCCAGGAAGAACTTTGGCTTCGCGTTGAGACTCTGTTGGCGTTGCCAGAGGAGGATGTTGTCGAGGAGGTTGAGCAGTGCGGCAAACGCTATGACGGATCCAATAACAACCCAATACATTTTCTGCATGTAGAAGTAGCCCGGGACACCAGAAGTAGTGCCCATACTCCCCATGTCCATGTCGCCATGGCCATCATGGCGAGGATCGAGGCCCATTGCGGTCCGATACGAAACGGATTTGTCAATACTCTGGGTTGGTTTGGATGGGAGAGAAACAGGCCGGTCAGTAGTATCCCCGGCGAGTGCTCGATGCTCGGTATACTGAGTGCCAAGAGAAGCTCAGGTGTCTACCGAGAGTGGGAGGATGGTTTGGATCATGTCTTTGTCGAATCTGAGGTGAACCGACCAGATTGAGAGTCCTGAGACGTGTTGATGAAAGAAACGAGGGTGAATGCCAAATAGTGATAGCCTAAGTACTCCGTGCCAAGGGAATGGAATGGTACGCAGACTCACAGTGTTAGATAAATAACCCTTGGAGCTGTTCAAACGTCACGGGGAGCATGATGAAAACAACTAACTTGGTGGTCAGAAGGGTGGAGGAGTAAGAAACGTGAGCAAGTGAGCAAGTGAGCAAGAATCTGTACCAGTAGTGAGGGAGGAGTCGAGCTGTATTCCGTACTGCATGGTCTATCTTGGTGGTGGTGCTCGTACGGAGTACAACCTTCGACCCAGACTCCTACGAGGACGTGCGCTAAGAAAAGAGAAAATCGTGCTCATTGAGGACCAGCAGGGGAGCGATTGGGGTGAGACGGGGGAGGGTGGAGTCAGATCGTGCTCGGCGCTGGGATGTGACAGGCGAGAACGGGGGCCTTTCTAGAGGGCGACAGGGGCATCAACTCCCCCAAGGCGCCACCCGCAGGCGCTAAAGGCCTGGCCGGCATGGGTGTGGCTTGGGAAACTTGCTCAAGAACGCCAATGCCTAGGGCCCAAGGTCACCTCCAAGCATGTCTCTGTACGGTAAACTGCCCTCCGGGTCCTGACAATAATACTTCTGACTTTCCTTGTCCCAGATACCGGTGTATCCTGCTCACACAGCACAAACAGAGCAGGTGCCTCGTGCGGATCGGACATATGGACATATGGACATATACCAAGGATAGATAAAATCAGACGCGGTGCTCTTCTCACCACTTCCGCTGTGTTGCACTTCGAACCCGATCACAACTCGACTCAAGTCAATTCATTCGCCCTCTCGATTTAGCCACAACCAAGCATAACCACAACCACAGCCCCAACCGCCATGTCTTTGTTTCCAAGGCACGATGACCACTCGTCATCTTCATCCGAAGCAATGTCCTCCATGCACATGATCATGACCTTCACCAACTCTCATCAAACTCCTCTCTACGCCGACTCATGGACCCCCCAATCAGCCGGTGCATATGCCGGAACCTGCATCTTTCTGGTGCTCCTCGCCATGATCTTGCGTTCCCTGTTCGCAGTCAAGACCATCTGTGAACATAGGTGGGCTGCAGCAGCACGGAACCGTCGCTTTGTTGTGATCAAAGGGCTGTCGACCGAGGCGGGCAGAATCGATCGTGATCCAGATGCGAAGGTCGGCTCGTTGGTCACGGCACAAGGTGTCGAGGAACAGGTCAAGGTCGTGCAAGCTAGATCGAGACCTGTCCTACCATTTCGTTTGTCTGTCGATGTTCCTCGAGCAATCCTGACCACCATCATCGCTGGGGTGGGATATCTACTGTATGTCGTCCTCCACTGTGCAAGCTACGGATCTACATTAACCGTCATCTAGGATGTTGGCTGTCATGACAATGAACGTTGGCTATTTCTTATCAGTGCTGGCAGGCGTGTTTGTTTCCGAGTTGGCTGTGGGCCGATACGTGCATAGTGAGGAGCATGACCATTGAAACGACCTGATATGTTGTATGACTACAGTGATGCACCCCGGATGTTGCTTTGTGCTACGAGTCCCTTCAGCAGCGACACAGACTAGAATCACATTCTGTAACAGTCTCTTCGTCTGCCCATTCTTCTAAAGAGGCAACATGCCTCGCTGGACCGTTTCAAGTGGCCCGGCCCTGTCTATAGCTGAACTGTCTCAATGCTCACTGTCTCTGTTGTCCCGCTGGCACTCAAAGCCGAGTGCCAAGCCAGGCCGCGGCTGACCGGCAATACAGCGAACGGAGTGTACCAGTAACACCACTCTGCTCCACCATGGATTGTCGAAAATTGAGCGAGTTTCTCGGCCCAAGATCCCTTCTTCTAAGTTCTGACCACGCCAATTCCCTATCCAGCCATGGCTGAAAACCCTCTGCGTTCATTTGTTAGCTTCGCTCGAACTAAACAGGAAGGCAAGGGACCAAGGGACCCCAATAAGCTCCGCTAAGCAAGCTAAGCACGTCCGCCAGAAGTGACAAGGCCCCCTAGCTGTTGCTTGGTACTGCCACCCTCCTCATGTGGCCTTCCTACCGAGTACTCGATACCATGGCCCTCTTATATTCTGTGGAAGAGGGTCTTCTTTTGTGCATCTACCTCTCGTACCTCTCGTCAACTCACCCTTCCGAACTCTCCTTCTCTGTCTGTTCGAATATTCTCTCTGTGTGATCCAACCGGCCTACTCGGTAGGTTTACCGTCCTTACAATGGTTCCTCAGTCATTACTCGGTCTTCTCTCCCTCCCTCTTCTTGTCTCTGCCCATTTCCACATGCTGTATCCCACTCCACGGAGCGACGATGACGATACAGAGCCTACATTCCCATGCGGTGGCTTCCCGGTCTCCGACAACCGCACCGCCGTCTCCTCGACAGCCTTTCCTTTGGCTTTGGAGATGGGTCACGACCGAACCGTTATACAGGTTCTTCTAGGCCTTGGAAACAACGTCGGTGACGGGTTTGACATCACATTAAAACAAACATTCCAGCAACAGGGTGAAGGCGCATTCTGTCTCCCTAGTGTGCAGATTCCCTCTGGGTTGAATATCACCGATGGCACCAATGGAACTCTCCAGGTTGTCACTGACGGAGAGGGTGGCGGTGGTCTCTACATTGTACGTCTCTTTCGTCCCATGTTGAAATCTCCCTAACTCCCTCTTTAGTGCGCAGACTTGACCTTCACCTCGTCACCCACCGTCCAAATGCTACCCAGCTCTTGCGCGAACGGTACTGGTATCACCGCTTTCCCCCTCTCATCAAATGTCAACGCCAATCAGACAAATGGCGACGGCTCGCCACAGGGAGGCTCGGGTTCAGCCTCACCCTCTGGCTCGGGGAGCAGCACTTCAAGCAGTACCGCAACTGGTGCATCAGCTTCCCCCACAAGTAATGCAGCCATCCTTACTGCGGGGTGGAGCTTGTTGGGAGCAGTAGTCTTGGGAGCTGTCGCCTTGATGTAAAATACTCCCCCGTGCAGGAAACCCGAGAAACGCGACCAATCATTGTCTAGTCATGGACTTCAGCGGTCAGAAGTATAAGAGCGATTCAAAATAAGATCACTCATGCAGTGACCATAGCAGTTTCTGAATTGTTCCATTTAAGTCCTTTTTCTTAAGTCTTCATGGCCATGTATCTAGCTTGTTCCACTCGCCGAGACTCTCACTCGGCTGTGGCCCGTCCGGTCCTCCGGCACCCTCAGATAGTGTCCAGATCTGTCTTGTACTATTTGCAGGATCTGTTAAATCTACCACTTCGACCTGCTCGGGAGTAATGACGGCCACGCGAAAGTTCTTCCGCGCCAACGGCTCATCGGACAAGTGACCCGCTTTCTGACCTAAGGCTTCGCCCGCCTGTTCGTCTTTGCCCCCTGATAGTGGCTGACCAGGCGGAGGGTTCTTAAAAGAGCCGCGCATCTGAGGAGACAGGTTTTCAAAGTTGTTCTCGACTTCACGCCTCCATGACCATTCCTTTTCCTGATGGGATTGGTTGGATTGGTCCCTTGCTCTCATGTAACGTCCTAGCTCTGCCTTGACTGTGACAGTACCAGAGTTTTGTGCCTCGTCTCCACCTTCAACATCATCAGCCGCAATGAGCCAGCATCTACCCCGGATGCGCCATTGAGTCTTGGTGCCTTTGACCCAGTAGACGGCCTCGACAGGACCGCCTCCACCAGTACCTGAACGAGATTGTGCCAAATCTCCTTTCCCTTTCCCAGTGGCAAATATATCATAGACTTTGCTCATGCGAGCATCAGTAGTAAAGGTTGGGCAATCCGACTCGTAGATGGCAGGATTTTTGGTCAGTCTATTATATTCATTGTGGGAAAGGGTGGCCCAAAACCCGCGGTGAATGCAATAACGCAGACGAGGGAGGCCGGAAGGCGTAACCGTGGCTAGAACAAACTCAGCGCCCGCGCCACCAGCTTTATCGATGTGCTCCTGGAACAGTTCCTTCCAAGGCGCAACGGTGCTTTGTGTAGGGTGCGCAGTGTGAGCCATGGTGGACATGAGATGAGCAAGACGACGAACAGAACGGAATGCCAGCTTGGTAGAGGGGAGCGGAGAGAAGACGTTCAGATGGGATTTGGCATTTTCAAGAAAGAATTCGATTGTTCTATGTATACATCCGTGTCATGACTGATGACTCTGTTCATGAACATCATGGACATCATGGACATCATCAAATCGGTAATGACGTTGGGTTCATTCTGCCGAACCATTCTTGACCGCCTACCGTACCCACTCTTCCCCGCCTAACGTTGTACGTCGGAGCCAGTAGCGACTGTTGAGATTAGCGGTTGCCCCAGGAAACATCCGTTATGTTGATCCGGTCCGAAAGCGAAAGTGATTTCCAATTCACCTTTCACTTTCTTTCTCTGACCCTTTCGATCCAACACTTCATTTATTGTCTTAACCTATACAGGTTATGGTCAGCCTCCATCTGGAGTCGATCCTAACATTACTAGTCCTTCTACTAGTCCACTGCAGCCTTCATCTACCCATTGACTTGATTCTTCCAAGTACCAAGTTCTAACTCCCATTCTTCTTGCCCAGCGCTCTTGCGCACCCTACCTTGTTGACGATCAGTTCACTATGGCAGTCAGCAACCCACTCTCCCCCAAGTCTCATCAAGACCTCAATATGGCCATGCCTATTCCTCCACCACTCCTTCACACTCGTGCTGGGAATGAGCTGTACGATCGTCCTCAGACTCCTACCTCTGCAGGCCATGGCTTCACCAGCCCGGTCCAAACCCCTCAAGGCAGCCCCAGCAAGAAGCAATTGCCCCCCGGTGCAAATGACTTGCCAAATGTGTTCGACAATGCCATGAAGCTAGCTCCTATCTCCCCAACCAAGAGTCAACCTAAGTCCCCGTCTAAGCTTGACAATGTTTACAAAGACCCTTTTGCTGACACTACCATTCAACACTATGGCCGTTCCGAGAGTCCTACTCGCCAGTCGAACAAAGAGAACGCACCAGCAAGTGGGGTCAAGTATGGCACAGATGCACATCAAAACCACGCTGCCATGTCAAGGCACGAACAATATCACAAGTCTGAATCGAAGAAGATCACAAAAGGTCTAACTGCGGAAGAACTCGAAAAGTTACGACTTCCAAAGGTCAAGCGACTGGCCAATGTCACTCAATTGTGTATTTACCGATCTGTTCCCATAAACTTCTTTCACTGATCATCTTAGATTTCCTCGATCATTACTTCGACCTCCTTTCGTACGTCCACAACCGTCAGTCAAGGGAAACCCAATTCAAGGCTGCATTCCCTGCTCCACCAGACACCCCTCGGGAGGAGTATGACGCTGCTCTTCACAAATACCTTGGTCGAGAGCGCGCTAATCTACGCAAGCGACGAACACGTCTCCGACACGGCGACTTCCAAATTTTGACCCAGGTTGGCCAGGGTGGCTATGGACAAGTCTATCTCGCTCAGAAGAAGGACACTAGAGAAGTCTGCGCACTCAAAGTCATGAGAAAGAAATTACTTTTCAAACTTGACGAAGTGCGACACATTCTAACTGAACGAGATATCCTGACGGCTGCCAAGTCTGAATGGTTGGTCAAGTTGCTTTACTCCTTCCAGGACGATGAACAGATCTACCTTGCCATGGAATACGTGCCAGGAGGTGATTTCCGAACTCTACTCAATAACACTGGTGTGCTTCACAACAGACATGCACGGTTTTACATCGCTGAAATGTTTTCCTGCGTCGATGCCCTCCACACCCTTGGCTACATTCACCGAGACTTGAAACCAGAGAACTTCTTGATTGACGCTACTGGCCACGTCAAGTTGACTGATTTTGGTCTTGCGGCCGGAATGTTGAGCCCCTTCAAGATTGAAAGCATGAGAATCAAACTCGAGGAGGTCGGCAATACACCAGTTCCCTTTGGAATGCAGCCTATCGAAGACCGTTCTGCAGATCAGCGAAGAGAAGGTTATCGTTCCCTTCGAAAGAGGGACGTTAACTATGCCAAGTCTATTGTCGGCTCTCCAGATTACATGGCTCCAGAGGTCCTCAAAGGCGAACAATACGATTTCACTGTCGACTACTGGTCCCTAGGTTGCATGCTTTTCGAAGCTCTCGCTGGGTATCCTCCATTTGCTGGCGCCACCGTTGATGAAACCTGGCAAAATCTGAAGAGATGGCAACGAGTTCTCCGCAAGCCCATCTACGATGATCCAAATTATTTCTTGAGCAAGCGTACTTGGGACCTCATTACTCGCCTTGTCGCTTCTAAAGACCATCGCTTCAAGAACATTTCTGAGATTCATAAGCATGAATACTTCGCCGAGGTCGACTTCAGTTCCCTTCGCGAGCAGAAAGCCCCATTCGTCCCTGAACTTGATTCGGAGACTGATGCTGGCTATTTCGATGACTTCAGCAACGAGGCCGACATGGCTAAATACAAGGAAGTGCACGACAAGCAGAGAGCGTTGGAAGACATGGCTGATCGAGATGAAAAGATGAACAAGGGCATGTTTGTCGGCTTCACTTTCAGGTAGGTAAATTCGTTGTGAGATTGTTTTCCATATGGCTCTAACATCCATGACAGACATCGTAAACTCGAGACAGAGGGTGGAAGCCCACGCAAACGAATCGAGACAGATGGAACATTCGGAACGATCATCTAGAAAGCGCAAGCTATCTAACCGATACGATGTCTCTCGTTATCCTTGTCTACGAAACGACGTTAGGAAGTGTACGATGATGGAGTGCAGGAATAAATTCCGATGAGCATATCTAATGGATTGGGTGTAAAGCAGTTGGCGTTGGCGTTGGCGTCACGAATGAACCTATACTTGGGGTATTGGGCGTGTGAGACTGATGAGTGAACGGGAGACATTGCATTTCATTGTGTGATTCATTGGCAGAATGCCACAGGACCAGGCGATTCCTTGAGGAACAGGGCTTTTGGGGGAGAATAGTAACTAGCAACAAGGTTCACTTGAGAGCAACTGGCTCTCTAATGCCCACTTGAATCAATCTTGTATCTGAAACAGTGTTCCTGCCAGAAGTTGACTGATTCAGTCTGTCTTGGGAATATGATCTTGGTTTCTAGACATGTTCGCGTCTCAAGCCATCCATCCTACAGTAAGCCTGCAAGCAAGAACCATCGGGATGACCAATCAGCTGACGCTAGTCTTCTCGACATTGTCCTTTGCCTTGTTCTCGAGTTCCTCGTGCTTCTTCTTCAGTTCACCGATCTTCGTCTCGTGGAGCTTGCTGGCATCCATGCCCATAGCCCTCATCCACTTGGGATCGATGTTCTCGGCGTCCAAATAAGGGCTGACATCCTCCTTATTAACGAGCGCGCGAACAGTACCCATGCCCAAAAACGCCCACTGGTTCTTCTTGCCGGGACCCAGATATTCGATCTCAAAGTCCTCGTAGCGCGGTGACCGGATAGCCTCGATGTAATGCAGGCTAGACCCGGGCCAGACAGCATTGACGCGTCCGGTCTCATTGTTCTTGTACCAGGAGCGACACTCGTCGACCCAGACGGTATGGCGGACCCACTCCTGGCAGTGCTCGTTGAAGGCGTCGGTGACGTCCTGCTTGGGCGCCAGGCTGGCAATGTACTCGCTCTGGATCTTCTTGATGATCTGCAGCGCGTACATGCTCACGTACATCAGTGGGCCCATCACGCTGCCGTTCTCGACCGGCCAGTTGGGCCCGATAAAGGTCAGGAAGTTGGGGAACTCCGGGATCGCGAGCCCCAGGTACCCTTCCGGGCACACCTTCCATTTGTCGGCGAGGTCGACGCCGTTCTGCCCTACGATCGGGAACCGTGGGCGGTAGGAGACGTCGAACCCCGTCGCACACACGATCGTGTCGACCTCGACGCGCGTGCCGTCTTTGCCGATCACGCCGGTCTCATCGATTTTGACGACTTCGGTGAAATGCACGTCGACGTTGGGTTTTTGGATTGCTCTGCGGGAGGGTGGAAGAGGACTGGTTAGCGAGGCACTCTATATACACACGCCGTTCTTGACCTACTCCATGTACGGGTCACCGGGGGTGATTCTGCGACAACCAATGCCGAACGTAGGCGTGAAGCCCTTGACGAGTCTCTCGTCCTTGATCATCTCGGCCATGCGGGCCTTTAGCGCAGCCTGGCCCTGGGCCTGTGCCTCGGCGCCCTTGTAGAAGCTTCCCCAGAGGCCGTTGACCTGGTCCTCGATGGACTTGGCGTGCTCGACGAGCTTGTATGGGTCGCGGAACGAGGCCTTTTGTTCGTCCGTGTACTCGTGGTTCGCGCCGAAGTTGTCTGCGATCTGCACGAACCAGACACCTGTTGAAGGGAGATGGGCAGAGTGTCAGTCTTCAGCTCCATATACTAGACGTTCGGCCCTCGGCCCACGGCTCCATCGTCGGCATCATCTCTGGAGGAACAGGGATAGGATAAACCGGGGGAACATACCAGTGCGAACAAAGACATCGAGGTGCTTAGCGTAAGGCTGCATGTTGGGAACGGTCTGGATACTGCTCGCCCCCGAGCCAATGACAGCAACACGGTCATTTTTCCACTGTTCCTTCTGATAATCGTCCGGCCATCTCGCGGTGTGGATGATCTTGCCCTTGAATTTCTCCAACCCTTCGATATTCGGCCACTTGTAGTTGTTCAGAATGCCGGTGCCATGGAGGAGGACATGGCATCTCTCTTCGAAGGTGCGGACCGTCGAGCCGGTCGTGGGATCTGTCTGCTTGAGCTTGACCAGCCATTCGCCAGTCTGCTGTTGCCAGTAACAGCCGATGACTTCGGTGTTGAAGGTCATGTATTTGCGAAGTCCCCATACCTCGCACACCTTGTCCAGGTATTTCCAGATGTCGGGGCTGTAGGAGAAGAAGCGAGGCCAATCGGGCTATGATGCAGCGCAAAGCCGACGCTCGTGTCAGCGAGCTACTTTTGCGGAGACATGACAATGGCGGATGCCTCAATCGATAGGGAGACCAACTTACATTCAATGCGAATGGATATGTATAAGCATGGCTGGGGATATCGCATGCACAACCTGTAGGATTGTCACATAGTCAGTATACGGTGCAATGCCACACCGCGCACAGTTCCTCAACGACTTGAAATGGTGTCGACGCCGATCCAATGCCTCGATCTCCTCGGTCAAATGCTGAATACGGGACTGATACCATACCCAGGAGCATGCGTGTGACCTGCATAGGCGTAACCGATACATCCACCATTGGCAGCTGACGGAACCAGTAATAAAATCTATGAAAATGGAAAAATCAAGAACTCACCAGGATACCGATTTTCTAGCCAAGTGCCACCGATGTCTTTGTTTTTCCTAAAATGCTATCAGGGTCCAAGAAGCAATCGAGCCCAAGGGAAATTTTAGCAACGGACTCATAGATAACGTGCTCGACGTTCTCACACAGCTTCTGGATGTGGTATGCGTTCATGATCCCCGTGACCCCGGCACCGATGGAGAGCACGCGGATCTTGCGCGTAAAGGGGCCATGTAGGATAATGTCTGCGTGGCAGCCCTCGGGCCGAGGCCACTCGTGTCAGCAAGGGCCAAATTTCATAATCTGAATGGGAATGGAAGCATGGTGTCCGGATCTGAAATAGAAGCAGGCAACAATGCGACACAAAGGCCGATTTGGAGCTGTTGTGACGGTGATGAGCGCCAAGAACGGAAAACACATCATTCACATGATGTCAACGAGCGAATCCGCCTGGAGGCCTGATACCTTGGGTTTCTGAGGGCTGAAGAAAGTGTGTCGAACATGGCAGGGTGACTGATCGTGGGCAAGTCAAAGACAGACGTTGGACTCACCTGGAATTTCATACTCTTCCTTTCGTGGAACCTGGTTATTAGCATATCCATCAGTAGCCCAGTTGGCCATGGCATTGATGTCTGGAGCCATTGTTTAGATGGGAAGGAAATACGATGTGGAATTGGAGAGGTTGTAAGTGCGTGGAGCGATAAGAAGAGAAGCAAGTGAGAAGAGTTTGAATAGAAATCTTCACGTCTCACGTCAGAATTAACGACGACGAACACCGTGCGTGACACGAGATGCGGCAACAAAGCTGTGAGACAAAACTAGAAGTATGATGGAATCAGTGACCGCCTCAAAAGTGGGTTTCTCCTAATCTATCTATGTCAGGCCCGAAAGTTGAAATGCTCTGAGGACCAGTTCCTGTAGTCCTGATAGGTTCTATTAATTCGACCATCCGAAGTCCGTGTGCGTGATGGCATGCGCATCCTGCTGAGAGTCGACCAAATGAATCTGTTGGGTGCTTTGTGAATTCGCGCCATGGCGACGAAGAGCAGGTGGTCCCATGCGAAGCGAGTAAGAGTTACAGAGGGAGGATTTGTTTGTCATCACTGTGGGGTTGCGGGGAAGTACTTGACTACTTCTCTTTCCTTCCTCGGTCCAAGTTGGGAATTTTGCCCCTAGGCCATGTCATCCGAGGTTTAGAGTCCCGCCATGACCAGACTTTGTCGAGTAAGTAATTCTTAGGCATGGATGAATGGAGCGATAGAAGGTGGGATGGTCGTGGTCACTTAATTCAGCCGTGATCATTGTTTTTCGTTTAACATACCCCATATAGCATGACTGCCTCGGTGCTTATTGCCACCTGTAATTGGCAATTGTATGAATTCGACTGCTCGAAGTAATCAATTCCAATCCAAGGGAATTGCAGGGTTTCCTTAGTAGATTCCTTGTACGGATAGCTCTCTCGAGCTTCGACCAACAGCAAGTGTAAATTCACCCTCGGGCATAATCCAATTCTGTCGAACAACAGACCAGAAGCTCAAATCCTTCCTAGTCAGCGTGAGGTTGACGAGTTGTCTCTCACCAGGCTTGAGCTCAATCTTCGTGAAATTGCGCAAGGACTTGACGGGATTAGCAATAATCTCTCCGGTCGTTGGTTCTGTTATCGATCCGGGTAATGTGACATAGAGTTGAACGACTTCCTTTCCCTTGCGGTTTCCTTTGTTAGTCACGCTAACCTGAACTGCCACGTGCTCTTCGTATAGTGATGGGTTGCCTCCTTCTGCACCTCCAGCCGGACTTGGTTCATGGTTGAGATCATATCCATCAGGGTAAGGGTATGAACCTTCCTTGACTTCGCTAGTGCTGGAGATGTATGGATAGATGTATTTTCGCAGCTTCTCGAACCCGCTTGGTAGCAATGCACTTTCTGCCGGAGGAATGCTCTCATTGTAGCTCGGCGGGCTATGGGATTTTGGACGCGGTAACGGGAGTGCAGATTTAGGTTTCAGCTCAGTAATCGATAGGTCCGAGATGTCGAATGTGGTAAACGATAATCCATGGCCGAAGGGATAGCGAGGCTCAATTCCTTCGCGATCAAAATGTCGGTAATCAACATACATTCCTTCCTTGAAATCAACCTGAGGAATAAAAGCATTCGGATAGTAGAGTACTGGAGCTCCTGGGCCATAGTCATCGAGACTCTTTCCAACGGTGTAAGGAAGTCTTCCTGACGCATCAACGCGGCCGAACATAACATCGGCCAGAGCATTCCCGCTCTCCTGACCGGGTAGATTGGCGAATAGAATAGCCTTGACTGCAGGTATATCTGCAAACTGTTCGACGATGATAGGACCAACGGAGTGAATGACAACCACGACAGGCCCGCCACAGCTTTCAGCGACACTAGAGATGAGAGAAGAGCCCCGTTTTTGAAGTTCCAAGTCATTTCTATCAGCTCTCTGCGTTTCCCAGAACCGATAGCCTTCGCCGGAATCAGCGTTGCCGAAGACAATGCAAAGATCATGTTCCGCAAGTTGCTTCTTCAGGGTTTTAGACAACTTGTTGGCGAGGGAGCTTGTAACATCGACAGTAGACAAGTCAAAAGAGGCGTTTATAGCCGACAGAGGATCTACCAGATAGGTGAATTCCGTGGCCCCAGATCCCCAACCCACAGCAAGAGTGCCTTGGTTGCAACCTCTATCTTCACAGTGGTTGGGACCTTTCCCAGGACCCGCATCTTCACCAATGATGGCCACTTGCTTTCGGCTGCGAGAGCCTAGCTGCCCAAGGGATGTGCTCAAAGGCAAGATATCATCATCATTTTTCAGCAGGACGATGCCTTCGGCGGCAACCTGACGTGCGATTGCTCGGCTTTCGTCGTCTTCGGTGTCAACAAATTTATTAATAACGACTTTTTCTTGCTTGGTACTGCTTCCTTCGTGCAAATGACCATATTCCTCATTTGTCCATGACGAGAAATTTGGAATATGCTCTTCCCACGAATCTTGTCCAAGTTGATACCACGCAGCAACAACACGGGTAGCCATATCATTGAGTCGAGATACGGGAAGGGAGCCATTCAAAACGGCCAAGGTCAGTTGACTACCCCAAAGAGATTTCCCATCGATCCAATGGAGGCCATCTCCAGGCATAGACATGTCTAAACCTGCAAGCGCAGAAGCGACACCACTCCGTTGAGCCAACCAATCTGATTGGACAAAACCTTGGAAGCCAAGCTCATCCTTGAGGATTCCGTTCATGAGTTTACTGTTGGCACAGGCATAAGAATTGTTGACCATCTGGTAAGAGCACATGACACTGGCGACCCCGGCTCTCACACTTTCAGCAAATGGCCATAGGTACAGCTCATGTAAGGTCCGATCATCGATATTGGAAGAGAGAGCCTCTGGGATACCCCATTCAAAAGATTTCCGGAAATGCTCTTGCTCATTCCCGATTAAATGTTTTGCGGTAGCGATAATACCCTGAGATTGAATGCCTTGAATGGTCTCGTAGGCAGCCACGCCTTGGAGCACCGGGTCACTGCCAAACCCTTCCCATACTCTTCCACCAGCAGGGTTTCTGCCAAGGGGACCCATGGCTGGACCCAGGAGGACATGCACACCTTTGAGCTTCGCCTGACGAGCATGGGCGGCGCCTCGCCTACGCATCAAGTCACGATTCCAAGTGGCACCGACGGTGATTCCAGCAGGGAATGAGGTGATATGGTCAGCGAATCTGATGCCAAGAGGGCCGTCCTGAAGACAAAGCGCAGGAAAGCCAACATTGGTGGCAGGGGCAGTGTTGCCGACACAGAGATCTTGAGCCCATCCAGTGCCTGTAGTAATGTTGACCTTCTCGATAAGGGTCATACGTTCAATAAGCTTCTGGGCCTTGTTGTAGCTCACTTGCCATGAGGACAAAGTTCCTCCCAGAGGGGTTGGATACCACGGGGGAGACTGGCCATTGATTTGACTTTGGCCGGTCTTCCATGCCCAATATCCACTCCCGCCGATGACGGAGACCAAGGCAACCGCTATAAGGAGACAGGAGGCAATGTATGATCTGGAGAGTCTGTGGCCGGCGAAAAGGCGAGCATATAGTGATTTGGGATATCTGGCAGACTGGGTTGATCCAGAGGGGCCCAACAGAGTGGCATGACTCTGGTCGGGTTGGTCCTTTACATCGTCGTCCGACAGATCTCCGTCATCTTGGTCACCAGTGCCAGCAGGATTAATCACAGGGTCATAGCGGACTTTTGAATGTGTCTTGGACATAACTATCCTTGTTACTGCCCTTGATCAGAAGTTGTTCGGACTCGGTCAATTTAGGGGTGACAAAACTGGCGGGAAAAATAGGATGGAACCAATCACCCGCAGCCGGGAAAACAGTTAGACAGGCGGCTAGGCCGGATGAGGAGTAGGGGCACAGGATGGGCCTTACCGGCGCGAGACGGCAGTGAGGAGTACGAAGGAATGGGTCGTGGACGACAGGCCAGGGAAAAGCGTGTGGCCGCGAAAGGTGGATTCCTTGGTCGGCCGAGGCCGAGGCAGCGATCGGGCCTCTATCGGCAATGGAAGTTGGAGGGATGAGGGGATAGGACGGGGGTTTGAGGTTTGTTAGACCGCAGCGGATGAGCGCTCAGCGTCGGGTAGAAAAGCCGTGAGAAGTAAGAGATGAGGAAGAGATTTTTAGGCGCTCGGAGTATGTCGTAGTGAGTAGCAGTGGCAGTAGTGAAGCGTAGTCGGTAGTCAGTAGTAGGAGAGTACTTTGTAGCAGGCACCGTGAAACAGATACTGGGGGGCCAGTCACGGTGGGCAGTGGACCATTGGGAAGGAGCAGCTGGTCGTAGTCAACAAGACACTCGGACAAGGAAAAAACGAGAACTGCAGCTTCCCTCTTTTATTTATTTGAATATTTTCCATTCTCTCTCTAATATACCTACTCACTCCCCTATTCACGCCTCGTCACTTCCTCTCCACTCTCTCTACTCAGAGCCCCGTGCCGTGGCATCTGCATTTGTAGTGTGACAGACTTCGTTGTTGCTTCTCGCTCTCCGTCTTGTCCCACTTCCACTTGACCAATTCTCCCAAATCATGCTCGCAAATTCCACCATCAAACGTCTCCCCTTGCGAAGATTGGCTGCTGGTGCCGTAGCTGTACGAGCTCCCGCCCAAGCAATCCTCCGTCCTTCCTCTGTCGTCCCTTTGCAATCCTCCAGATTCCCGAGATTCGCATCCGCCATGTCTGCTCCCTTCTCCACCACCACTTCCGTGAAGTCTGGTGCTCCATCCGCCACTGCAGCTGTCGAGTATGACCCCGAGGTCTCTGATATTGCCAGCTACGTTCACAACTTCAAGATCGACTCCGAACTCGCCTTGGACACCTCGCGCTACATCCTGCTCGACACGATTGGCTGTGGGCTCGAAGCCCTGCGATTCCCTCAATGCAGTGCTCTCCTCGGTCCCTTGGTCCCCGGTACCACCGTTCCCAATGGTACACGAGTTCCTGGAACTCCATTCCAGCTTGACCCTGTAAACGGCGCTTTCAACATTGGTGCTATGATTCGATGGCTCGACTATAATGATTGTTGGTTGGCTGCTGAGTGGGGTCATCCCTCTGATAACCTGGGTGCTATTCTCGGCGTAGCAGACTGGATTGCACGAACAAACAAGGCTGGAGGAAATGTTGCTGGAGGGAAAATCCCCACCATCAGAGACGTTCTCGAGGCAACAATCAAGGCACATGAAATTCAAGGCTGTTTGGCTCTCGAGAACTCCTTCAACAGAGTCGGTTTGGACCACGTTCTTTTGGTCAAGGTCGCTTCCGCCGCAGTCGTCAGCAAAATGCTAGGTCTCACTGAGGAACAAACAAAAGCTGCCGTGTCTCAAGCTTTCGTCGATGGCCAAAGCTTACGTACCTACCGACATAGCCCCAACACTATGTCCCGAAAGTCCTGGGCCGCTGGTGATGCATGCCAAAGAGCTGTGAACCTAGCCTTCAAGGTTCAACAGGGTCAATCCGGTGTCCCAACGGTTCTCTCTGCCCCCGTTTGGGGTTTCTATGATGTACTCTTCAAGGGCAAGAAATTTGAATTCCAGCGTCCTTATGGAAGCTACGTCATGGAGAATGTCCTGTTTAAGGTTTCCTACCCTGCCGAGTTCCACTCTCAAACCGCCGTTGAGGCCGCTCAGAAGATTTACAAGATCCTTGCTGATATGGGCAAGTCTGCTGCGGATATTAAGGAGGTTACTAACCGCACCCACGAGGCCTGCATCCGAATTATCGACAAGCAATTTAAGCCTATGGATAACTTTGCCGACCGTGATCACTGCGTTCAGTATATGGTTGCAACCATGTTAGCATTCAACCGCCTGGAAGCTACCGACTACCTTGATAGTAGTGAAGCAGCTTCTTCGCCCCTAGTCGAGAGCCTGCGCAAGACCATCAAATGTGTGGAGGATCCTCAATTTACCAAGGACTATCATGATCCAGCTCTAAGAACCATCTCTAATGCATTGACTGTTACCTTGAAGGACGGCACCGTTCTTGATGAAGTCGTTGTCGAGGCACCCCTTGGCCATAGACTGCGACGAGATGAGGCTAAGCCAGAAATTCTGGCCAAGTACAAGAGACATTTGGGCCACCACTTTGATGATGCCAAGATCCAGCAGCTCCTGGCTCTCGGCACTGATGCTTCTAAGCTTGATTCCATGGATGTTGACAGCTACCTCGATCTATACGCCAAGGAGAAGATGGAATGGTAATTGCTTCTACCTAGTTTTGCGATGTGTATGGGCCCACATGGGGATGAGCAAATTGTACATGCCGGCGCCAGCGATATCATGGTGGTGCTCAGACATTCAGATATAAAGAACCGGGTGTATATCTCGATGGTTTAAAAAAATAACAAGCGAAAATTCGAATTACAACATCGGCTCAAGTACCAATCATAAGCCATCTCTGCCAAGCCTACCATAAAGAGCCGCATGTCTAGAATTTTACCGACCCAGCTTAACTGGTGCCAGTAGTCTAGAGATAATTATGGCAAAAGGGCAAGGCCGAATGGTGAGTGCTACCAAGTCGCGGCAGAAATTCCGCATTCAAACTTCGGCTTACCTAAACCTTAAACCATCGCAGCGAGGGCCCTGGAGCACGCCACATGAGAGCCAATGAGATGCTTGTTGTATCATTGAGTGTAGGAGATTCTTGCATTAGATTTCGGGACTTGTCCCCTGCCTTGTGTAATCTATCGGCCGGGTGTTGGAAATCAGGTCAAGTGAAGGGGTCAGATCCGAGCATCCCATTAAAGACAACCAAAGAAGCTTGTAATTAGACAATTCAATTCACGGTCGCATAACGTTGAGCATCCTTGGCAATTTGCAATATAACTCGCAGCGCGAGGTGGCATGGTCCAAGGACAAGGACAACACGGGAACCCCAGCACGAGACTACGGACAGCGGCCATCGTAATAACTGTCGGAGTCCTTCTGCTCAGCGTCCTCTTTGCGGCAGGCCTGCAGGATTTAACACCGCTCTGCACATCGTCTCCCGAACGTGAAGAGACAGGAGCCGCCGTGGCAGAAGATTCCGTCCCTCGCATGCTCAAGCCTATCAAGTCGCTATTTGCGAGTTACTGGGGTAGACCAGTCACCACAGCGAGTACAGCATCAAGCACGTTTCAAACAGCACATGTGAGCGACCGAACATCCCCAGGCATGGCGAGCAAAGCACCCGTCTATTTCGTTTCTCATGGCGTGAGTTATCTCTCCATCGCATTTTGCTTGCTTGTAATCAGCTGCTGAACCAACGACTAACCATCTCCTCCCCATTTTCAGGGTCCAAACACAATGTACGACAACAAACACCCGGTATGGGCTGAACTGCAAGCGATAGGCCGTGAAATCACGCAAAAAGTGAAGCCATCGGCCATCGTTGTCTTCAGCGCGCACTGGCAGGCCCAGCGACCCAACACGATTGAAGTCAACATCTCGGAGCAGGAGCCCTTGCTGTATGACTTCTACGGCTTCCCCAGACACTACTATGCCGAGAAGTTCCCCAACAAGGGGTCGCCGGAACTCGCGCGGAAAATCATGGGGCTGTTGAACGACAATGGGGTTCGCACGCAGGAGGAGGAACGAGGGCTGGACCACGGCGCGTTCGTCCCGTTCAAGGTCATGTTCGACCTCAAGGAGAACCCGGTCAATGTGCCGATCGTGCAGGTCAGTCTGTTCGATGACGACACGGATGCCGAGGCGCATATCAAGTTGGGCCGGGCGGTGCAGAACCTCCGTGAAGAGAACATCGTGATCATCTGCTCGGGCATGTCCATCCACAATCTACGGCATTTCATGATGGGAGGAGGCAGGAGTGGAAATCTGCCCGGCTTTGCGAATTTCGACCAGGCGCTCAAGGATGCGGCCGAGACAAAGCCTGGCTCACATAGGGATGAATTGATGGTAAAGCTGCTGCAGCGGTCAGATGCCAGACTTGCACATCCTACCTTCGAACATTTGCTGCCGGCTCACATCGCCGTGGGTGCTGCGGGCGAGGACAAGGGTAAGCAGTTGTTCACACTGGTAGAAGGACCCCTTGCATGGGCACAGTATCGGTTTGGTGAGGTCGCCGCCGCGAGTTGAGAAGTGTCTCGGTGCAGGGTAGATGGTGGGCCATTTTTCAAAATTCTTCCTTTTTCATAGTATTGGGGCGGTACCATATGTACAATTGTCATCACTTGTTTGTAGCAATGCGGACACAAATTTCCCTGTATATATTGTACAGTCCTTTCGGCTCCAATCTCCAATGCGGAAATTGTTTGTGTCTATTCGCTTTTGACGAGGGTGGTCACTGTATCCTCAATTTCCTTGTCCGAAAGTCCTGCGTTGGATCTGTCAGCATTCCCTACCCAGCTCCTAAGTCCAGTGTGTTCGATTCTCACCTGCTAATGACTGCGACTTCTCCTTTCCCAATCCTGTAGATCAATCAAATCAGTACTGTGGGTATTCGTCCGCCGTGATTTGTCCCGGACGTACCATATCTTGCCCAGATCTTAGGGTCTACACCGGTGGCTTCGCGTATTAATATAGGAGTATTTGGGTTGTGGTGCTTCATCGTAGGGTACGCTCGCTTCAGGAAAGTCCTGTGTGGTTCCGGTTAGGTCCCATTTGCGCAGAGCTTGAACAGAGAAGTACGCCAGGAGAAGGACCGTTACGACATACCTTGCTGCTTCACTTGCCTGACTAGAGCTGCAGAGATGGAAGCGCACCTCTCGGAGGCCTTGTGTGAAGGCGTACTTGGTTGCCATATTGGCTGAGAGATTGCCCAGTCTTCGATCAAAGCAGTTTGGTGAAAGGACGTTCTCGATGGCACGAAGGTTACAGGAACCTTGGACGTTGAATCGAGCTTGCAACGCTTGCCGCTTTGAAGTTCGCTCGATGCTCAATAATAAAGCAGCAGGAGAGAGCATCCCAAAGGAGTCCGCTATGACTCGGACGGAGATTAGGAGCAAGAAGGAAACATTTAGCCGTGGGACCTCTGAAGCAGCTCCTCAACCCCATCCCATCCACCATTACTCACAGGTCACTGCACGAGTCACACTCCGATCGTGAAACGGCATTCACTCCCTTCATAGCAGTCTCTCTTACCGGCCTCATTGCACCCAGTCACGAAGGCGATACTCTCCTCTCCACTCCACTCTCTTCCTTCTTCTTTCTCGCCGACCTAAGATCCTCACGCTCCCAACAATCTTGCTCGCTCGCTATACAAAAATGTCCTCCCGCTTTGGCATGCGCTTTGCGCAACAAACCTCACGACCATACACTGGCTTCACCGCTCACATCCGAAACCCGCTCTTCAGAAGGTTCCAAGGCACCGCGTCGAACCCGGCCGCTGAGGCTGCGCAACCACAAAGTATTTTCCAGAGACTATGGACCAGTGAAGTCGGCGTAAAGACGGTACATTTCTGGTAGGCTCCTTCATCGATATATATACATATTCCGCCGAATTCCTCTTCATCTCTAGTAGCAGCCTGACAGATGATGGCCTAGCCGGGGCGATGGATAAGAGCATTTAGAGAGGTGGTCGCTAACATTTGCTGTTTGCTTGAATCAGGGCGCCAGTGATGAAATGGGGCGTGGTCCTCGCCGGTGCCTCCGACTTCCTTCGCCCGGCTGAGAAGCTGTCCTTGACTCAGAACCTTGCCCTCATGGCCACCGGTTCCATCTGGACACGATGGTGCTTCATCATCAAGCCCCAGAATATGCTGTATGTATCAACCCATACCCCCCTCCAATGTATCTGTGTGTGACTTGAGACTAATCAAATCGACTTGCCTTGGTTGGGATTACAGTCTTGCAGCCGTGAACTTCTGTCTGTTCCTCGTTGGGACCACCCAGGTTTCCCGCATTTTGCTCTATCAACAATCGATCAAGGGTACCGAGGGTGCGATCAAGAGCCTCGAGCAAGAGGTTGTGGGTGCTGCCAAGGACGTTGAGAAAAAGGTCGAGCAGAAGCTAAAGGTGTAATGTTGTGCTCGGAGGTTGAGGGCGGTAGACCTGTGTGGAGAGAATTTCTTGGAGATAAAGATTGACCGGGCATGAACCGCCCGCGAGGGAACTCCTTCTGGTTTGTACATGGATCCGAGCACAGTCGACGAGGGACGAAGACTTGAGGAGACCTGCAGACTGGGCACTCGTCCAATTCTTCCCAGAAGGGCGACCGACAACTCTACAAGATCATGGCGATGGAGGCGTATTTAGGTCCGTCTTTCGTCCCTAGATCTCACATTAAGTTATCATCATTGATTCTTAAAAGTCAGAACCATACGGAATTCTAACAAAAAGACAAATGTAAATAATGTTTTGCCTTGTTTCCTCCACTAGTACTATTACAATGGCTGCGTGAAATCAAGTCGTTCCAGTGAGCCGGTCATGCTTATATTCGCTAGCGACCCCTGGCTGGAGCGCTTCCGTCTTGATTCGGGCCTGTCACCAGTGACTTACTCGTACGATGTTGATGTTGCTGTTGCTGCCGAGGGCTTGTCACTGGATGAAGAGGAAATAAGATACTAGTCTACGAATCAAGAATGCAGGAGCGAAGTTGCCAAGGAAATCTGCCACCCAAAACAGACGAGCCATGTCTATTACCATGATCATGAGTAGGAAAGCGGGTCTGCTGTACAACATATCATCAACTACTATTAGATACAGCGAAGCCCTGCTCGTCGCAAGTGTTTGGTGGAAGTAGAGGCAAAGGCAATGGGATGGACATCGAGCACAGCCGTGAATTGTGAGATAGTCATTCATGACGCCCCAACCAGGCAGCTGGCAAGGTACGGCGCTCCGACAAGTATTCTGTGCCGCGACAAGGAAGATTCCTTTCCATTCAGGCTTCGAGTAGAACATCCCCTCTAAGAATCCATGGCATTATCAACGCTAGCATCCTCACATTCTTCTACGTCTATTTCTACCTCTTGTCACTTCTTCTCCTTCTTCTCAGGCGCCCCCTTCTGTGCCTTGTTCTTATTATCTCCAGTGTCCTTGTAATCACCGCCCTGGGCTTCATAGCGGCGAGCCAACTCGCCCGCTTTCCAGGCGGACCATGAACCTTTGCCGCCTCCTGTAGAGAGTCTGTTAGTAGTTTGACTCGGAAGACGGGGGCCAAAGGTCATGCTCCGTGTTTCAAGAGGGGAGGGGGGAGGGGGGGCTTGCCTTTTTCCTCGTTCTTGACCACCTCCTTGATCTTCTCGCGGAGTTCTGGGTTGGTGGGCTCGCCTTTGGAGCTGGGCATTTTGCGATGGCTTACCTCGAAAAGAAAGCAGCGCAGAACGGGGTGGATAGCAGTGCCTCCGGCCTCGACAAAGTAACTGGCGGTGGGTGTCGGCGACGGATCCAACACGGGTTTGATATGCTCGCAGAGCCGTCCCGAATGCTGGCCGGTAATTAAAGGATATGTATTCCCCGGCTTCAATCACGGGATGTTGGAGGAATTCAGGGCTCCAGCCTGCGTATTTTGCTTCTGCCGCGAGTCTTTTGAGCCTGGCGTTGCCGGAATAGCACTTTTCGGACTCGGGGTTCTCGAAGTGGTGTTAAAAGAAGAAGTCGTCGATGAGGTGGAAGTCGAACTCGTCCGCGATTTCTTATCCGACGATGAGGACGAAATACAGGGCCGTGTGGAAGACGATTGGGAGTCTCGCCTCAGGATCTCCTGTAAGGAAGCTTGAGCAGTGGAGCAGTTCTGACAAGTAAGTGTATCGCGGAACGTGGGAAAGCGGAACATTTTGGCGGGGGAATCTGGCATGATTGGGGCTTAGGTTTTATATGATGGAGTTGGAGGATATGGAGTCTATCAAGTGGATATGGAAGTGCAGATGGATATGGTGTCGTCTTCGATTTCCGTTTTTGTTCGAGGGATATCTGGGTATCCAAATGGTACCTGGGTACTTCGTGGATTACATGGGTCAATATGTGGCAGGTCGAAGGATAAAGGGTATATTGCAAGCGGGTTGAATAATGATGATATGTGGCTGATATGGCTGATTGCTGAGGGCTCCCCAGGGAATGGTGAAAGAGATAAGGGAGTCAATCTTGGATGGAGAAATGTAGACGTCACACAAAGCATGTACCACTCGAAGCGTTGATTGGTGGTGTTGGACGGATCGGGAAAGAAATGTCGATCGAGTGGGTTGTGTCGGTGTGATGGTGGTGGTGATGATAGGGGCGGAAGTGGGAGGACAAGGCTCGACAAAGAAAGTGGGAATTCATTGGTTATAGCCGGGGACAGAGCCTAGTCTGAAGGGACATGAGGAGAGCAGGCATGAATGAATGAATACCTTATCCATTTATCATTCACCGGGGATCTTTCCATGTTCGACACATACCTTACCTCAGTACCTTACTCGTAGGTGCAGGTGAGGTTTCAGATCATGGTTGCGAGTAGTAGGTGCGACAATGGAGATGTCAGACACGACCAGACGAAAGCTCTGAGAAACCCCACATAATGGCGATTCGACTGCGAGGCGAAAGTTTGGAACGCACGCGGGAAATGACGCACAGAAGTCTATCGAGGTCACCAGGTACAAACAACGATACAGGAAAGAATCCAGATGCGGCTGACGGGTCAGCACTCAGGACAGGAGACGTGGCCGGGGATGGGGATGGGGGGGATTCCTCGACGGTTCGAGTTAGATTGAAGAGCAAGCCACACGAAGCCCGTCAGCCGAGAAGAAATCAGAAGAAATCGATGATTACTATGGGATGGACGAGGGGAGGAACTTTGACATCGGTAGTCGGCAGTGGAAGTCAGATCCGTCCAAAGAGAAAGAAAGAAAGGTAAAGTCATTCGCAAAAATACCAAGACACGCACGGAAGAGGTTGTTCTATGGTTTCTTCGGTGCTCGAGTGGACGGGTGGGTGGCGACGCATCTGATGAACTTCACCAGGTTAGGTAATTATGAGATCTCCCTGCACTGCCGAGCCACTTAGGCGAGGACTTCAAGCAGCAGCATCCCGCCTCTTGGAAGTCCATTGGAAGTCTCGCCTGAGGTGTAGCAAGAAATACCACCTCAATACCACGTGCGGAGTACTCCGTTCGAGGTGTTGCCGTATTGTGACTGGGGCGAGCAGTGTGACCCCTTGCCCACCTATCTCACATTTTCCAACAAATGGACCCGCTCGTGACTTCCGAGGTTGGTCGTACTCTGTAACTCTGTACAGCACAGTACAGTATCCGTACGACGCACCCACAAAACCGTAACAAGGTTGCGGCTTCCGAACCATTCAAATAGTGCCAGTCTGGTTTCACTATCCCAACGTCATGTCTTGCGTGACCCACAATCCTTCTCGAAGCACTTGGGAAGTTGGGACAGAGCACCCTTATTTCTCCATAGTATGCACCAACAGACCGTTCAAGATCCATCTTCGTAGCATCCCTACATTCATCGTTGTGTACGATACTGTCATTGATGAAGAAGCGGATAATACGGGGGCAAAGATATCACCATCGTTCTTAGGCAGTCTGTTTGCTTGGAGTTTCGTGTTCCATTGCGACCAACAACAATCACTGTTCATTACTAGTAGTCCTGTAAGAGTCCCTCGTGCTATGGCCGCCTATATCACAAGATCGCTCAGCATAGTCAACCCATGGCGGTCCTTGCCCATCTGTGGTCAACCTTACAATGTGTAGTTCGGGAAGATGATAATATCACGCACAACCGAATCGAATCGAACTCATCGAACTCATCGAATTCATCGCCGTCATCGCCGTCATCAATCATATCCCGCATATCGCCAGATCACATCACCGTGCACTCACCGTCATTCTTGACGTTAGTTCTCGAAACCCTGGTCTTCTGTTGCCTTTGGCCTCCCCTTTTTAATTCTTCCAACCGTTCCCTAGCCTTTGGAAAACTCTGCGCTGTTTTTCAGATGTTAGTGACGGCAACGTTGCATGGAAACAAACAGTCAAGGAAGAACTTACCAGCAGCCCTATAGTACCATCGCTTCGCCTCCTCCACATCAACTCCAGTCCCAATTCCAACCTCGAAGAAGTAGCCCATTGCATATTCAGCTTTTGCAAGCCCAGAACTTGCCGCTTTCCTGGCCCAGAGGAACGCCTCCGTGTCACTCTGAGTAAGAAGTGGCTCTGACCCGGTCAAATACCAACCACTAAGCGCCAACTCCGACTGGTGTTCTCCTTGGGCCGCTGCCCTCGTATACCAAGCAATACTTTGCCGAGCATCGATCGGGCATCCAAGTAACCCATATTCATATGCTGATCCTAGCCGGAATTGCGAATACTTGTACCCTAGTTCTGCCGCTTGTTGAAACAATTGAACAGAGTACCTTTCGTCCTTGACAATATGATCAGTCGGCGTCGCGGACTCGTACAGCAGGCCCAGCTCATGCAGGGCATGCGGGTTGTCTTTGTCCGCCCGCTCAGCTGCTCGCTTGAGCCATGAAACCGCCTCTCGAGGGCTCTTCTGCTGGTTCAGGTGTCCTTTGAGCAAAATCATACCCATCTTATACATCGCCGGTGGATCTCCTAGCGTCGCGGCTCGTTTGTACCATTGCACTGCTTTCATGGGATCTCTTCGTGTCCCTCCTCCATCTTCTTGTCCCAATTCGCAGCACACCGCCACTCGGTATGCACTCTGAGCATGGTTTAATTTCGCTGCTGATTGGTACAAATTGAACGCCTCGCGAGGATCCACGGCCAATCCCAAAAGTCCTTGTCCATGACAGTCGGCCAAGTAGAACATAGCTTCTGTATAGTTCGCTGCAACCAGTTTCTTCACCAATTTATGTGCATCGAAAATGTACCTTTCCCGGTTCTTCTGCGTTTGTTTGGCATCCGCCGCTCCTCCCTCATCCGAAAGTACACGCGCCGCCTCTACCAATTTCTTCGCGAGCTTCAACCCCTGCGCATAATCATTAGGGATTCGACTATAAGCCTCACGCAAGCTGGTAATTTCTTGCAGTGTAATCGTGCTGGGCGAAGCTCTACCATTCGACACCGGTGCAGACCCTTGCCGATTTGCTGGGGCTGGTGGAGGTGGCCCTGGTTGTGGTCCGCTTGGCCCGCCTGGAAGTGCGTAGCTGTTATTGAAACTGCCTGTTCCCTGCCTCACTGGCTCCGGATGAGCTGGCAACGCATCTGGATTATTGCTAATTGGAGCGGGCGTACCATAATGACGTACAGGCACCGGATGGGCGTTTTTCGAGTAGCCAGGCTGAGGCGGCCCAGGTGTATAGTTATCTTGAGATGTGGTCCTTGCAGGTGTGCCCTCTGCATACTGTTGCTTCTGTTGTTGCTGGAACGGCTGGCTTGGAGCTGACTGGTTCCAATTCTGATTATATGGTGCGTGGACAGCTGCTTCCGGTGGACCTCTCCCATTCTGTTGGGGCTCCTGGTCGTATGGATTGCCCATGTCAAAACTTCTTGCATCAGGTGGTGATACATGGTTCACCTGCCCTCGGGGGTTCTGGCCCTCGCTGAAGGAACGATATCCCGGCACTGTGACAGGCAATGGTGGTGGGCGTGGCATGATGTTCAGTTGCGGTTTCATTCCATTACGGCTGGCAGCTCGAGGAGGGTACTGGGAATGTGGATGCTGATGTTGAAACTCGTCAAACCCATTATTTCTCCCCGGCCGCTGATCATAGGCTCCCTGGTAGCCTTGCTGGTAAGACCGATATCCGTCTTGCATGGTTGTTTCATTTCGGCTTGGTGTCATCGGGCGCTGGTTTATGCTAGGCGGTAGATCGAAGGAAAATTCGGCCAAGGGAGACACCAACTCCTGGGGATCAGACTGATCGATTCTCCCGTTTCCTTGGTCGGGATATGACCCCGGAATCTGGTAGACGGGTTTTTGATATGCCCGCTGCTCGTGCGCTCGTGGACTCGAACCAAACAACTCGTCCACTTGCTCATTTGGGAGCGCTGGAATGGCATCAAAGTCGGGCATTTCATTACTCCTTGTTTGGCTGAGACCGGCTGGAGGTGCTCCTCGATAGCCTACCTGTTCTACATGGCCTGTAGTCATCGCGCGGGGAGGAGGTTTAAGCTCTTCAAAGGTAGCTGCCTGTTGGAGATTGTTTCGGCCACGAGGGTCAATTGGAGATTGATGAGCCATGCTCTGTGGAATGTGATCTCGATGGTAGCCTTCGTCAAGACCATAGTCATCTCGATAACCTCTAGATGGGCCATACCCATCAACTTTGGAATCGAACCCGTTTTGAGACCCATATGAGTCCATCTCGTTGTATTGACCAGACTGGGGATGGCTTTGGGGAGGGGGGCCTCGATTTTGTGGAGGAGGCCCTCGACTCTGTGGTGCAGGTGCAGGTGGGAGTTGCTGTTGCATGGGTTGCTTGGGTGGGCTTGCCCTAACTCCCTGTAGTCGAACCTCTTGGTACTGGCGACTCGCCTCAGGAGATTGGCGGCCGGGCAGAGGGACCTGAGATTGATATGGAGGAGTAGATATGTTAGGTCGACGGTCGTGCGAAGTACTGGGCCTTGGTGGATCTTTTCTAGAAGCCGGTCCCCTTTGGTCATGAGAGGTCGATGGTCTCTCAAGTCCACCACTATATCGACGATCACCAATGTTTAGATCTTCCATTGCATTGTCCAGACTTGCGTGCCTGTCTTTGTCGCTTGGCTTCTGTTTCGGAGGGAATGCACCAAAGGGGTTATCCCATGCTAGCATTTTGGGAGAGGTCGGCTGAGGCAGAATTCTTTCACGTGCTTCGAACTGTTAGTTTTCCGTCAATGGTTGACTATTGGGAAGTACACTTACGCTTGGGTCGATGCTTAGGCGTGGACCTTTCAGATCTCTGGTCTCGAGGCGCATGTCCATTGCCGTTGGAGTGAGATGATCCATTCTGCTGCAGTGGAGGCCTTCCCGGCCCGTTGTTGCTTCGATAGCGCTCATCATATTGATAGTTGCGACTGGCAGGTGGGCCTTGCTCATACTGCCCATGACTGAACTCACTCGCATGGACGTCCCTAGAGCTTGAGTAGTTCTGTTGAGGTGCAGCCTGCGAGTACTGATTGTGGCTCTGACCCTCCCATTGGTCTTGCGGTTGGTACTGAGCCGGTTGATGCCCTGCGTTGTAACCATTCTGGCTCTTTGGGTACTCGTTGAAACGTTGGTACTCGTGGTTATACCCAACTTGAGCTTGCCCTTGCTCTTGCGATTGCCATTGTTCGTTTCGGCGGTCAGGCTTATATGGTGTTTGAGCAGCCGTCGGGCCTTGCTGCCATTGCTGACGGTGATAACTACCAGCCATGGTTGTTGAAGGAGCAATCAGCGGCGGAGTTCGATTGATCGGTAGCTTGGAAAAAGGGAGAGGTTGCGCAAGGTCGTTTGAGTAGATGAATGATTCAAGTCTCTAAGTGAATTATGTCTTCAGCGACCAACAGCTCTACGCCGTTACAGCAGTACTAAAATGAGATTCAAGGCCACCCAGAATCACAGGCCATTGTCATCTGGAGCGAACGGAAAAGGCAGTGAAGGGGGAAGGAAAGGCGTCAAGGGGACCAGGGAAAAGCTGGCGGTAGGAAAGAAGCGATAGTACTGATGTTTGGACTTTTGGCGATGTGCCCATAACAGTCGTTGAGCGGTACCACTTGTATCTTGTATTGTGGTCACTGGTGGATGAGCAAAGACTGACTGTGTTAAATTGTCGAAGGTGAGTGAGCTTTTGCCTTCGGCGCAAGGGCCGTTTTGGGGCCACGTTGGACTGGGCCGGACGGGCAGGAGCCAGGGCTTAGGGACCAAGGAAGGAGCCACCCGCACCAGCAGGACCGGACGAGGGACAAGGGTGAGACGGGAAGCTGCCCGCTCGCCAAAGAAATCAATCACTACTGAAGGGCATCAGCAGAGGCCAATCTAACGTAATCTCAGAATCACGACCTCGTATACTCCGTACATATGTGTTCAATGCTTCGGAGTAGGGATATTCTCTGGTCACTACGGAGCTCGGAGTACGACTACTACGACTACTACGAGGGCTTCGCAATGCGGTTCCATTGCGGAGAACAAAGAGTCCTTTGCGTTGCCTCAAGCCAGGCACAGACTCATGATTCGCCGCAACCAACCTCCAATCCTCTGGGCTTCAGCACGATCTCCCGCTAAATGACGCCTGCATTGGCCACCAGATCCCTCGCAACGCGCAAGCATTGGCCCAGGCCGGACCAGACGAATGTCAACAGGCTGTGTAGCCAACACTTGGGATAGTTCAATCAAGTATTCGTATCCTCTTCAGAAGGCCAAAGTTCAGAATGTGACCGTCCAGCCCGTGTTCTGAGTCTTGACGTGTGTTCCGCATCCTCTGACACTCTTCAAACAGCCTTTCTAGTGGTGGGAGAAGGGCCATGTCTGAAACCGAGGGCGTCACAAGACTGAATGTTGCATTTTGCAGTGTGGCTTGACCTTCATCCTGCGCCACAACTGCCACAACTGCCTTCCCCACCTGCCTATCGTTCATTGCCTAGGGTGGGGGCCCCTTGCCCAGCAGTTATAAGTTATCACCCATCGCCCTTGCCGTTGGCCGTTGATCAAACAAAACAGTGTGGCTTCCGAAACATGCCCCTCCACCCTCTCAATGCTCCTGTCTAAGAACACGAATTGCTGGTCCAGGAATCGCCCAGGTTGATCCCTCAAATTGTGATATCATTTTCCATTTGTTGTCACCTTGAATTTATCGGCTTGTAGATACCCGAAGTCGCACAAGCCCCTTATATTTCCCACACGCGCGCTTGTGTTAACAACCCGGCGTACAACCCCTCAGCCCCTACATGCCCTCTATGGAGGACACTGTACGGAGTGTACAGAAGCTACTCGGAGCTGCATACTCCGTACATCGTCTCTATCACCACTGACAATCATACTCGTACCGCTAACTTCTCAATTCGGATCTAGTCCCTTCCGTACTCGGACATGCTGCCAACCCGGTGGGTCATCTCCATTTCTGCTCCAGGCCAGCAGCTACTCTTGACTTCCTGAAACCCTGCGATCGCTATCTCAATTTCCCCGAATGCCACTTGCTGGTATAGTTCAAGGATCCCCTTTGTCGCTAGAGCGAGCACGTGAAAGAGCCCTTGAGCAGCAACAGCATGCGAGTTCCGCTTCGGCGGAAGAAGCTCAGAGAAAGTGACACTATCGTTCCCTCTCCTCTGCTCCGTTTCTTCGAGTTCCTCGCTGACTTGCTCATCCCTTCCTGCCCTTTCTTGTATCTTCTCCTGCAAGAACCCCAGGAAGTTACGCGCTTCATTCTCCAACGTCGCCGTGACCCATTGACTCTGCTGTGCAATTTGTGTGGTCACAGCTGCAGACGGCCCGTATAGTTCGAAGTCCACATCAAGACCGGCACCGAGTCGTTCGTCCAAATTGGCAAACTCGTCGTTGTCGAGCGTGAGCCGTGATGGATCAACGAAGTCCTGACTCCCCAATCTGGAAAGTCCCCGCCCAAGCAGAGGGCTTGCGGATGTCAGACGTGATCCTCGTCTTCCGAGAACGGAAGGCGGGCCCAACTCCATGCCTCCTAGCATCCCACCAACGCTGGAGCTCAATCTCGCCATCAATCCGCTTCCGAGAGGTTGGACTGAGCTTTGACGAGATGCGGAGATGTTCCACGGCATGCCAGATGAGTGGTCTTGCAACGATGGAGGTGCATGCCGTCCGACCTGACTCTCAATGTTCAAATCATCTCCCTGAAAGACGACACCGTCGTCACCATCAGCAACCATTGTGTTCCCATCTTCCGGCCCGCGAGCAATATCTTCGTGCGGCGAGAGTCTGGCTTTGACTCTCCTGTTGTCTTCGCCAGAGTTCTCGCCCCTTTCAGATTGACTCCGTGATCTTTTCGTGCCATTTGTTGATCCATGATCTTGAAGCATCGCCCACAGGGACTGCCCACTGAAGACCGCAAGAGGATGGGGCTCGCTGTCATTCCCAAAGGCAAATGCAACCCTTCCCAAACCCTGGCCAACGCTCCAGAGTGCCGCATATTTCCTTGCCTCGCTGTGCGAGAGCTTTTGTTGCTTGACACGCCGAGCAGCCTGCATGTTGACCGCGTAGTTTTCATTCCATGCGTGCAACACCTTGTTGCTTAACTCTGTATATCGGTCGGGGCGTAATGACTTGACGCATCTTGCGCGCTGCTGTGGCGCTTCGGCTGTTACTGGATGCTCGTCAATGGGTAGAACGGATGAGGTTGGGTGTTTCGCGTGTCCTGTTTCAATGGTTTTCTCTTCATTCAACGATGACCTGGCAACAGCTGGCAGGAGAGGCTCGTCATCGTCCAAGGTGGGGCCGTCATCATCAATCAGAGTGATTTGCTGAATGTCTCTCTCCCTAGATTCGACATGCTCAGATGCAAGCATCTCATCGAAACCGACTGAAACAAGATCCTGACCTCCCGCTCCTGATATTCCTTGGCATGGTATTTGATGCCCAGGATCATCAACGGGGCGGAGGATGCCGTTGTCGTCAACGTCGAAGATGAGGTCGTTGACCAGGTTTAGCTCATCGTTAAATATGGAGGGCACGTGTTCTCTTCCGGTAACAGGTCCTGCAACAGAACTTGTCCCTGGCCCGGGGAACATCTCAAAGCCTCCAACAGTACCGAATGATGGGATTGAAAGATCAAGGTCTTCCTCTTGCTCAGGATCCAGGCTTAACAGACTTGTCGCAGCACTTTTTGGAGACAGGAAACTTCTCATGTTTGATTCGTCGGAGGAGAAGCCGAAGGCTGTGAGGTCGAAGTCCATATCAAGATCTGGCATGAAGATAGGGTCTTCTGCAATGTTGAGCTGCTCGGGCCTGTGGAGTAAATGTCAGGTCGCAATCGCCTACATTGCACCATGGAACCTGATGCGAGGCTCTTTTCATCGCACTGACCTGGTATTGCCGACTTCTGGGTCTAAGTTCATCTGCCTGAGGACCACTTCGGTACCGCGCATCTTATCTCTGAGATTGGTGGCATCGGACAAAACGTAGCCGCATTGTTGAGAGTAGACGCGTGATACTCCATACCTGAAGACGCAAGCAGGGTCAGATTGAGTTGCCAGAAGAAAGAACAAAAGAGGATGCATTCAAAGAAACTGACAGTAAACTTCCTTGCAACCGCAGTGCGAGTGGCGCCTCGGGTTCTGTGATGGTTTGGCATGCCTTGGGTAGGTTCACGTCCAGAATCGCACGACGTGTGATCTTTTTCAAGGCGGACTTACTCCCGAGAGTTGCAACGAGCCTGGAACAGTAGGTACGGTGGGTTAGCTTGAAGCCCTTGATTCAACGGGCCAAACAGACAAGGTATGTACCAGATTGTGGCAACTCCATATTGCCGGTTGGTAAGAACTGCAGGAAGAGAATGGTTTAGCTTCAGCACGTCCACGATAAATGACTTGGAAGAGCAGTATGTTTGGTGCGGTCGCGGGTCGTTATTCACAAGAACACATGGCTCACCTTCGTGACTGTAGAACATTGTTGCAGCCTGTTGTCCATCCAGCCAGGAAGGTGGAACGGATACCAGATGGTGTGCGATAAGTGAACTGCGAAAGGAAACTAGACAACTTGTCCAGACACGCCAAACTTGACTGTCGTCGAGAAGGAAGAGGAAGAGGAAGAGGAAGAGGAAAATAGAATGATCTCGATGTGGAGGGCGGGAGACAGGAAGCAGAAGAGCGTGCGTCAGGTGCTCGCAGGATCAGCGACTGAGTTGCTCGTGTTCTCATGACGATCTTGAAGGTGAAGCATAAAATCAGATGCAAAGCAGAATCCCAAAGCAGAATCCATAAGCAGCGGCGTCTGATCAAAATGGTCAATCACATCTATCCTTTCTCTCTCGTTACCTGCGCTGCGCTTTCTTTTCCTTGTTTTTCTAGAGCCCGTGATTCTCTTTCGAATCTTCAAGCACCCCAGCCTCCTTCCTCCGAAACCCCATGTCACCTTGTCCAGTCGAAATTGCCGAAGCTGAATCACAAGAGGCCAAAACAACAAATCACAACAGCAGCATTGCACCTCCGACTCTTTCCTGCTCCCACGAGCGGGTCGAAACAAGCCTATACATCTACGCACTGTATGCGGATCGCAACCCTTGAAATCAAGACGTGTCTATGACCCAAGTCTACCTTTGGGAGTTGCTATACAGCGGCAATTAGTGTGAAGAGAAAACGAGAACCCGGGTGTTGAAAATGCCCGTCATAGTGCTTTTTGGGAAACAGATCTGTCTTGGGACATCATCCATAGTGGCTGAACCTTTTATTCTAGTGGAATCCCTTCGTACTCGCCATAGCCGAGTGCGAGGTTCATATTCTCTGTCAGTGGTCAGCAAATGTGGTTCTTCATTTTTGGGTAGAGGTGGAGCTACTTACGAAGGCATTGTGTAGCAGCGCCCTTCAACAAGTTATCAATCGTTGCACAAATCACCACCCTCGTTCCACTCGAGTGAACAGCGAAGCCTCCCACCTCGACGCCGTGGCGATGAGCAATATTCTTGACCAGAGGTGCTTCACCGATCACTTTGAGCAACTTCTCGCCCGCATACCGATCCTGATAGATGTTTCTGATGTCTCGCGAGGTCATCTCTTCTTTCAACGGGATGTTGATCGTATGGTGGATGCCTTGGAACCACACAGCCACATGGGGAATAAAGGAAACTGGCGTTCCGAGCCGAGTGGAGATCTCACGTTCGTGAATGTGATCTGTCAGACTGTAAGGAATCAGGTTGTCCGTCAGATTATTAACATCATTCTTTGGACTTGGTTTGGTTCCCGCGCCAGAATAGCCAGAGACACCGAATACGGTCGGTTGTCCTCCTAAGTATGGCACCAGTGGAGCGATACCGATTTGCGCTGCGGTAGCATAACATCCAGGGTTGGAAATTCTGGTGGCTTTGGCAATTGCAGAGCGGTCCACCAATTCCGGGAGGCCGTATGTCCATTTAGGATCAAATCTATAATCTGCGCTGAGATCGACGATTACACTGTTCTTGCCGACTTGGTCAATGGCATCCACAAACGGCTTGCAAACTCCGTTGGGTAGAGCCATCACCCAGCAATCCACATCACCGTTCTCCTCCATCTGTCGCACATCTTCCACGCTCAGGTTCTCATAAATAATGTCACGTTTGTTGTATCCCTGCAATTTTTGCCCAGCCAGTTCTCGCGAAGAGACATGGCGTAAGTCCAAATGGGGATGTCGGTTGATGAGATCGACAAGCGCCTTTCCAGTGTAGCCTCGTGCACCAATGAGTGCGACTCGGGAAGGCTCGCTGTTTGAGCTATTCTTTGCGCCCAAAGGGGGATTTGGATTCGTTGTGGAGTACATACGGACAGAAACAGCTGGCCTGGCCAGGTACTGAGAATTTCTTGCTGCTCTCAGGGGGTTGGACTGTGTCGAGAATGATCTCTTCTGCGTTTGTCTGCCAGGTTGTACACTGGAATTTACCGTATTTGACGCGGCTCTGGCAGCTCTCTGAAGCTTCGATTCGAGATTGATATCACCAAACATCTGGCGACCATGTTTCGTGAATTCGACCATCAAGTCCTTGACCTCGTCACTGGATTCAAGCCCATACCAGAAGAGAACTTCGCCATCCTTAGAAAGACTACCATCGGCCTTGTCGAAGAACCAAGTCAGGTTTTCGTCGTCTTCTTTGACCGTCCACATCAATTTGGGATAATCTTTCTTGATGGCAGCGAAGATATTGTCTGCCACATTTGTAAGCCAGCCGTTTTTGGTGATGGTCAAGGTTGCCAAATGAGCGAGAGTAGTCTGCCCAGAAGCTGGGAGAACAAGGGCAAATGCTTCCATAGGCTCATCGAAATAGGCACCAAACTCTTGCTCACGCAAAGTCTTGATGTATCGGTCGACAACAGCCTTGGCGTCCAGTCCTGCTCGATCGCGAATAAGCACTTCCTTCAACTGTTCGAGATCTTTGAATTGGTCAACAGAAGAACTCTTGTGGACCTTATTTCCGCGGCGGATGAGAGTGCCAGCCCCGGAATCTGTAAAGAGCTCCTTCTGGAGGTCTGCTGGGTGGATAATAGCAACACTTGAGGTTCGAGGCAAATCTGTCAGGAGCTCTTTCATCTCCTTGATCTTCAGCCTTGTGCCATGTCGAACCCACCACTGTGTCATGAGGTGGGCATACTCCTCATCTAAATTGATGGCAGAGATCTTTTCCTTGGTGTCGCCGTTGAAAAGGCCACCCTTCTCGGAGAGATAGACGATTTTTAACGGCTGAAGAGCGCGAGCCAACTCACCAGCTGCAACATCTGCATTGACATTCAGAACCTGTCCTTCCGGGGACTCAGCCATTGAAGTCAAGATTGGTAGACATCCCGCTCGGATGGCTGCCTCGATAGGACGTTTATCCACATGGTTAATCTTGCCAACTAGATTATATTTTTCCTTGTCCAAGTAGCATGCGCCGAAGACACCAGAAGTGATGGGTCTAGCTCGTACACCGAGGCGTTCAAGTTCCTCTACCAATCGTAAATTTTCCTCCAAGAACAAGGCTCGTGCAATGCCCAGAGTCTTCGGGTCGGTGACTCGAATGCCATCCTCGAACTGCGGCTCAACGCCTGAGTCTTCGATTATTTTGTTCAACTGAGGCCCTGCGCCGTGGACAACAACAGGGTAGAGCCCGACGTGATTGAGAAATGCCAGGGCAGAGGACAAGGTTTGGAGATGCTCGGTCAAGATAGCTCCACCGACTTTGATGACGGCGAACTGCTGTGAGGAGACCGAGCTGAAATGGGACAAGTACTGTTGAACCTCCCGCTTAGAGCCAATGTTGCTCAGGAGCTGTACCACTGTGGACCTCGTTGAGGGCTGTTCTGAAGGAGAGGAGTACGCTCGTCGATTAGACAGATAATGTGCTGCCAGAGGGGTATAGGAGGGTCTGGCGAGGCGTAAAGCTCGAAGGGATCGAGGAAGAGTAGAGGAAGTTGTCGCGCGAGCCACCGCTCGTGCAGCAGTAGCAGCACCCATTGCCGACATCGTGCTGTTGACTCATGCGGCAGCTGACAGAGAATTTGAGAAAATGACTGGGGAACGTGCGAGACCAGATGAAGAGCAGGAAAGAGTCTGTATGCTTGGAGAGGAGAGGCAGAAACAGCGAAGTGAGTCGAACCAGCCTACAGCCCAGTATATCTAAGGAGCACGAGAATAAGAAGTAGGATCGATTGGGAATGCAGGGCTTGCAGACAGTTTTTTTCCTCGCTCAGAGCAGGTGCGAATGCTGATAGGACTGCTGAGAGCACGACACAAAATATTTGCGGGGTGTATGGGAGGTCAAAGAGCGGTGCCCACTGCGCACTGCGCATTGCCCATCCATTCCAGCCAGTCCAACCCCAACCCTGCTTCTCCGACAGCCCAAGTGGCCCATTGCCCATTGCCCGGCGCCCACTGAGTAACAGTGGGAGCCCGCAAGCTCCAGTGGCGCCCTAGCGAGTAGACCGCCGACCTTCGGACGCATTCTTCCCTGTCCCTGCAGGTGAAGGAAAAGGAAAAGTAGACAGGAAATTTTCACGCTTTTCCCTTGCATACACCAAATAGTGTCTGTGCTCGAGACCCCATGCGATTACGCCTACTCGTACAAAGAGCTCATATCTCCAACCATGTGACGGTTCTAGTTTTTGTATTTTACCATCGGTAAAAGCGGACAGGCTAAAGAAACCTCAGCTACCTATGGCGGAATACCCATATCAACCACTCCGGATCCGGACTGTTTCCTTCTTATGTTGCAAAGGCCACTGGGGAAACCAAATAGAACGCTGACGTTCGTTAGAGTCAAGTCTGCCAGGTCTTTTTTCCATATCCGGCGCCGTACATGTCTAGTCATAACTACCAAGATTAGGAGGCAATAGAGAAGCACCGTCAGAGGCATGCGCAATAGACACAAAATCGAGAAAAGCCTTGCATGACCATGGGATCAAGTAATTGATAATAAACGCCCGTTGTGGCAACAGAATCCGTGGTATTATTGAAACAAGTAGTCCGTCAATCCTTCACCCATTTGACGCCCTAGGTGCTGTGCAAAGCCCCTCGCTTCTTTCGCTTTCTCTTTCTTCGTCACATGTGCAGTCACTCCAGCCCTTGGGAGACTTGATGTTCATCACATTCAATCAAGCAGCAGTTTTTATGCCTCCCATTGCGAATGGTGATCTTCCTCAAAAGACGAAACTTGTACAAAGGCAAGGCCCAAACCAACAAGCTGCTTTCGCTAGGGATTTTGATTTCCTGGGTTCATTGTTGTGCTTATCCCGATGTCTAACGGGTGGCAACCACTAAGAGAGGTTAATTATGAACAGCATTGGGTGCCAAGGTTGTCAACTCACCTGCGGGGACGATGATAACAATGAGAAGGATAATGATGCCAACAATCAGACACATGCGCATCTTCATATCCTTCCACCACATCTGCTTCCTGACACGGTTGGCTCCACGTCGGAAGCCTTGTGCGGAAGCTGCGAGGTTATCGGTCTTCCCTTGTAGCGTCTCAATGTTCTCGCCTCTCCTCTGCACGGATTTGATGTTCTCTTGCATAACATTGACGGTATCATCGATTTGCTATCAAAAATCATCAGTGGATGTTCACATCAAATAGCCATATTTGATCGACTATAAGCAGATGCGCCATCAACTACTTGGAGAGTAAACAGCCAGAAAGTAGACCTCGACAGGCCTAATTTGATGCAGGGATGGCATCCAACCTTGGATGCTAGTCGATGAGTCGGCGGACTATAGTACTCTAGGCACTGCAATTCAGGTGCGTTTCTCCTTGCCGTGTTGATGGGGAGCCTCGACGGGAGGAAATGTGGCACTTACCGCTTGCAGAGCCGCTGTTCTTGGATTACCGCCAGCTTGTGGCTGTCCACCGCCCTGGCCATTGGAGGGGATATAAGGGTCATATGGTTGTTCTCGGTCGGCCATCTTCACAGAATCGGTAGCGATGGGTGGAAGATGTAAAGGGGCTGCGGCGCTGGGTTGGAGGCAGAAGGAAGGGGTCAAGGGAGGGTCGCAATAGAGATGATGTGATGCTCGGGGCGATCAAGAGTTGCTAAGTGTTGAATTGAGGATGGAATGAAGATGCGGATGTGAATGGAGGTTGGAAAGCTGACGCTGGGCTGGTAGAAGTCAAGTAGTGAAATGGATCTGGCGCTTGATCGTCTTCAGTTAAAGCTGCGAGCCTGAGCCCCCGAGCCTGCGACAAGGGAAGTATTCTTTGCAGTTCTGAGACGCCACCTCTGAGTGTTTCAGGGCACGTGATAAACCAACCTCCTGTTCGCGGCAACCACTCGTAATCCACCACCTCAACTGTTCCTATTCTAGGCGTCCGTTCTTCAATTCCAGTTGTTGAGGACAACACCCTGATTCCCAGTCGCTCTGAAACTTTTAACACTTTGACAGTCTCAGTTGGGTTCAGAAATACACTCACTGCGATTGAATACCTCTCAAATGTAACTCGTAGTTGCAGCGTAAGCACCCTCTTGCACGTTCAGAATTATGTACGAGTTCTCAGCCTCCTCCCATACAGTAACTAATGCCTCGGACGCCGTGGCAACTCTAAGCCCGCGAAGGGCGGCTGACAGATGCTCATCACAGGGAAGCGAGGCAGTGCACTGGGCAACAGTCTGCACCATGACGACGCAGACCGGACACCGTTTGGTCCAAGCCCGAGCCCCAACCTGCTGCAAAGGCTGCAATAATTCAGCAGCCTAGCTCATCCGTCCGCTTCCTCGCGTGGGAGCATGTAATAATAAATTGCTCAATCTTTTGATCTCTCACATATGTCATTCCATTTGCACCCGATGAATCATTATACTTACTATGGAGTACTTACAGTAAGTATCCCTTTAAGAGGTGTAGCCAATTGGCAATGCATTCCCACCCATCCTAGACGCCATGTGAACGAATAAAAGCAACGCAGGATCAGATAGTTATTCCACTACTGTACTGCTACAGTGATCTTCAATGGCTCCAAGCAGCACTTTACTTGAGTCCATTTACGAGTATGCCATGTTCTCAGAAACATTCTCGTGTGACGTCACGTGATTATCATCACGTGCCTTAAGACAGAATCGAGATTCTAGCCGCATGACAAACCCCGTTGACCTTGGAAGGTTGGGACTTCTTCTCGGCCCGCGACTTCCTCTTTGTTTAGCCACTGGCGGGTTCGTCGAGGAGTGCTATTGATTCTATGCTATGCTTGTGCTCTTCTTGGCTATGGAAGCTGAATCCTGTCTCTCATCTCCTTCACTTTCTTCTCTAAATTCGCAAACTCTTCCCTTCGCCAGAATGTACCTTGTTTCTGGTACATCGATGCTAGCTTTTATATACTACCTGCCGTAATGGCGTGGTCCCCGAGCACCTTCTTCCTTAGTCTCCATCACGTGTTTAAATAGTCTTTCTCCCTCCTCCAATCGATGTTGATATGAGTGCGTCAACGGTAGGTTGTCCATGGTAGATACGGTTAAGTGATGCTCAGCCGCAAGTGCCCTCTCCATCGCCTCCGCGACTTGTATCTCCAGCGTTTCGGCCTCTTCATATCGCGCCCGGTGCCAATAGATTAACGCCATGCTGCCGGTGTCGATTAAGGAGTCAGGATGATCCTCCCAATAGCCTCTCCTTCTAATCGCTATTCCTTGTAATAATAGTGCTTCGGCCTTATTCAACTGACCCTGATTTCGCTAAGTGATCGCAAGGTTTGCTGTATTCGTCAATGTGGTATGGCCTTCCTCCCCCAAGAACCTTTTTCTTAGTCTTCATCATTTCTTCCTGCAGATTTGCAGCCTTATCCAACCGACCTTGATCCCGGAACGTCGATGCTAACTTGGCTACGCTCGTAACGGTGTTGGGATGATCTTTGCCATATACTCTGATCTAAGTATCCGTGACTCTGCGCTTATTACCTGCAACCCGAATTCCTCAGCCTCCTTCCATCGATCTTGATACCAAGATATCGATGTTAATTGGATAAGCTGTTCAGCGTTAAGGAATTATTCTCCACAAGCTTTCTCAAACTCATCCCCAATACTTCCACCCCTGGTTCTTCGGCCTTTTGCAACTGGTGTTGACTTGTATAGGTCGTCGCTAAGTTGGTCATCCTGATTAGCGTGAGGGGATGATCTGGACCAAGGAGAAGTTTCAGTCCTTCTACAGCCTGTTGAAGGTGTTGTTCGACCGCCAACCCATGACCTTCCAATTCAATGCTTCTCCAAGATCATTGTAGGTCAGCAAAGTTTGAGCGTCTGAAAAACCCAATATCCGCTCGCTCTCCCCATTCCGCCACAAATCTATGTGCTTCTACCGCTTCGTCGTACTTCCCCTCGACTATGAAGCATAATCCCATTTAACTGAGGACATAATATCGCGCAGGGACACCTTCATCTTCTTGGTCATCACCAAATCGCCTTGCGTGGGGTAAGTATGCCGTCCAGATGCTTTTGTGCTGTTGAGCCTGTGTCAGAAAGCACTCAACTATTCGTTACAATAGTCGTTCTAGTCCACTTGGTTAATGATCTCTCAGTCCGCAACCAATTTCGTCCGACCAAGTGCGCGAGTCGATGGAGATCATGAGCCTCCTCCCAAGCCGTTAGATTCTCGCTACTGTCTGCCTAACCACAAAAGAGTAGCCCGTCAAGACGGCAATGGTTGTGATGGCCTCCACGCCCGACCTTGTTTCTGGCGAGAGAGATCGCGGAAGGGACTTGTCGTTAATACACACCATGGAGGGAAAACCTCCGCTGCGAGCTCGTGGCGCTCGCGCATGTGACTAAATGAGACAAGCTATGCCGTAGCCACTGGGTCTCTAAAATTCGGGTATCGAGTCGAGCCCCCAAAGCTATGACTCAACAGCTCGATTAATTCCTTTTCGGGTTGGTCAAGGAAGTCCAGATATTCCTGTGCAGGACGCTCACTCATGTTCAGAAAGGATGCGGCCTAAATGATGGCGAGCGGGAGGTAGGCTAGCTTCTCTAGAAGCTTTGATGTAGCCGCATAGTCGTCGGCTATTTTGGGATTCCTTAGTGCTTTAGTGAAAATTTCGATACCTCTATGTGGCAACATCGTAGGTCACTCGGTTACTTCATTGCCGGCAAGAAAAGCAGTGACGCTTGGTGGTCGAGTTGTGATGATAATGGAATCATTTGTCATTCTAGGTAAATGATAGACTTGTGTTAGTGAGTCTGGCCTGTGTCTGCGTGTAGTCCCCACAAAGAATTGTCGTCGGCAGTGTCGAGAAGTAGGAGCCATCTCTCCGTGCTGGTTGATGAATCACTCAAACTCTGTTTGACAAGATGCTTTATATCAGCCTTGTCGTTATCAATTCCAGGGATCTGGAGCCTTTGGCCAATCTTTCGGAAGTCCTTCTCGAAGGTAAGCTGGTCAATAGCTTCAATCCAAAAGATCTATTCCCACGGACGTGTTGACTTGATATGGTAACCAAGTTCTAGCGCCGGACGGCTTGTGCTCATGCCTTCTAATCCGTGAAGTGACAGGATTCGGTGCTGACCAGACTTGAGTCGCTCGATTTCACCTTGTCGGCCAATAAATTCTGGACCAGAATCGAAGGGTTTGTATCATATGGGACTAGGCAATTTTTCCGTAGTGCAAAAATAAGCTATCATTAAGCACATATTACCGACTGAGGGAAATCTACATTTCCCTGCGGGGTGATCTGGAAAGACCCATTCTCTCAAGAAGGCCTTCAAACAGCAACCGGCCACAGCCGCAGCGTAGGGTTGCCAATCTTTGTTCTTGGGGCTATCAGCATAATCACACGCTGCATGAATGATAATATTTGGATGTTGATCCCAAAATCATATTGGATGACAACAGTGTTGAGCATCTCATCTATATCGTGCTTCGTCTCAGGATGAATTGGCACCATACCACAAAAACCCACCGCTAAAGCAAGCTGAATGTTGACAAACTTGTTCGAAAAACATATGCCCCAGCCGCGGCGCTGGTGTTACCCATTCCTGGCATATGAGCCAACACTACGTAGTGGTCTCCAATCAAGCCATTTGTATACCAGTTTGGTCTCCTAGTGCCTTACCATAGTTTCTGCCTTTATCTGAACAACTGCGGTCGAACGCGGCCCATACGTTCTTCGCTTCCAACGGAGGGGCGCATGTGATGGCCACCTTAACTTGGAGCGCTTTTGAGCAGCTAAGGTTGTGGGAGATGTCATGACCAGTGGGGTGAGCCAGGATCGTAACTAGCCGCCAAAATTACAGCAGAGGTCGCTGCGTGGCACGGTATTGTTGAGGAGGATACGTTTGAAGGTCGAGACTGATGAACATGTTGAGATCGGGGGAGTGTAGGGCAGGCTATATAATAGAGCGGCGAAGCTGGCCCCCAAATTTACAGCCTGACCTTGACCAATCCTTCTCAGCCTTGACGCGCTGGCGGCTTGATAAAGCGGGGTGTATGTAGCCTTCGACATCGTGCTTGCAAACACATATCGAAAACTAGGATTCTAATGGTTTCAAGAAACAACAAGGGTGTCTTCAAAAGGAGCAAAGGAACTCGACAAATTGCATCCTTGGTGCAGCAGAATGTCAGGAAGTTCTGCCATACCAAGCCTAAATATCTCCAAGCCAATTTCAGACATTCTATTTTGTCAATCGCTGCCAGAGGCTGAAAAAGAGGGAGAGGATTGGAGACAGTCATGGAAAGGGGTGCCCCACTAATTAGCGACGCATCTAGCCGAAAGCGGAAGTCCATGGGTGGGATTACCCAATATGCACGTGACTCCCACGTGATCGCTATTTGAAGTCATCCGAGTACTCCTATGTACGTACTACTAATTAACTATTGGGGAACTTACCTGCCTGCCAATCGGTGACTTGCTGACTTGCCAAGTCTGCTTGGAGGGCGAAATGTCATGCATCATCAATAAATGCTAAGATGCCTACCAACTCTAGTTTTGAAGGTACTTCAAGTCGGTATCGTACATGGTCCAATGTACAGCTTCCTGGGGCTTCCGCATCACTCTAAGGCATAATCCAGCGAAACTTCATCACGGCCCTTATCCAAAGGCTCCCTCCCACCTCTATTATTCCTTCTCAAGCCCTGGGCGCCGCATGCACACCAGTCTGTGGATCAACTCCTTTGTCTTTCAGACCCTCAATATGGCGGGGAGGGGCGTGATGTACGCAAAGATGGGGGCAGTGTAAGCGTAGCGCAGGACGACTCCACACTCGCAATTTGCAACTGCTGACAGACTGCAGCTTCATGGTGTTTGCGGTCGGTGGACCAGCTCTGATGTACTAGTAAGTAGTCGCACCGTTTTCGTAAACAACATCATATAGAATGCTCAAGACTAACCATGGTAACCACCACAGTGTCACCCCATCAGAAGGCGAACTGTTCAAACGCTTCAACCCCGAGCTGCAAAAGAAGAACCTCGAGATGCGCGACCAGCGGATACAGAACCACGAGGAGTTCATCACGCAATTGAAAGAATATAGCAAGTCCGACAAGCCCATCTGGGTGGCTGCCGCAGAAGCGCAAGAAAAGGCTCGAGAGCAGCTGATCAAGAGACAAGTTGAGGAGCAGGCGGTCCAGAATACAATGCGTCAAGAGATGAGAGCCCAAGCTCAAGGGAAATGAGATCTTCCACTCAACATGATAGCAAGGTGTACAATGATGTGTCGGGCGGCGTCCTTGGTAGCATATGTAACCCTCGAAACAAACGATGATGCACGGCTTACTGTGTTCATGATAGGAATTCTGCTTATATTGATGGTTGGAACACTGTAGGCGTGGGCAGGCCTTGCCACCCCCGACCTCGTTATCTAGGTATCTTCTTGCAACAGGCTTTGTTGCAGGAATTCCGAGCTCTCAAGCTTCGCGATGCAACGCCACCGTTATCAAATGCCAAATACCACAGAACTGGCTCCACGATATTTGGCACAGCCCATGGAATAACATGTCTAACCATATTAGCTTGATCTAGCTAGCCAGCTCAACGCCTGAATAAATGCCGCTCATACAAATGCGAGTCATGAATCATAAACGCGTTTCGACCGCTTGCCTGTTGTCAAGCAAAATTTCCGAGTCTAAACCACTAACCACCATGCGCCTCCCACTACCACGAATATTACCAACACAGTCAAGATACCTGCGCCTGCCTTATCGGCGGTAGTCACGGGTTCTTGGTTGAGGTCCTCGGGGCCGATAGCACTATTTGTGCCGGCATTGGGATCACCTTGGCTGGTTCCACCGGTTACGTCCGTGACAGGTCCCGCGGAGTATTCGATGAGATTGGACTGGAAAACCTCCAGAGCTGACATCTGTTCGCCAACTCCGGTCCAGCCATCAAAACTTTGTTGAGTCCATTTCAGACCACACTGAGTACCGCTCGCCCCACCGGTGCAGGTTTTGGCGGCAGCTGTGGCGGAAGCTTCCAAGATGGGCTTCAGTAGGGCATATGTGAATGGGGCTCTCACACAGGCCGCTGCCATCCATCTGGCAAGATAAGCTTTGAAGGAACGCTGGTCAATATTGCAAGTATCGATGTCCTCGCATGCAACCTCAAACATGATGTTGTCTCTGACAAAGATCTCTTGAATTCTACCGATGATGCCTCGAAGACGGCCTTCCCAGAGTGGGTCGCCACCAGTCTATGCACTGTGAGAAATCGACCAAGGCAAATGGAGTGAGGGTAACTTACGTGATTGTACATGTTGGCTGCTCCAACAAGATACGTTCCTGCGTTGTACGTCCACTGGATGTGATCAAGCTCTGTGCAATTCAAATCATCATCACTGCCGTCAAAGAAGTTGTAATCGGCATCCATAAGACCGACTGCAGACGTCCATTCCCAGACTCTGTTTGCCCAATCGGCATAGGTCTGGTTACCGGTGTAAACGGCAAGACGTGCACCCATGTTGAAAAAGCAACCGTTGGAAATGGTGTTTTTGTAATTGTAACCGTTGTTGAAGGCGAAGATCTGCCACTTCAAGCCACCACCACAAGAAGCGAGATCCCATCGAGCGGCCTGTGTGTTAAAGACGGCTTGCACTAGTGCTAGCCACTGTGGCTGGTCCGGGGGAGGGTTAGGAAAGTTGTTTTCTGCAGCAGAAAGAGCTGCCATGGCCCAGAAAGCCTGGTCATCGTTGCCTTCGGTCTTGGTTTGATTGGGAGGCATGAAATCCCAATCCGGGCCGACTTGATGAAGCATAGCTTGAGTGGTGATATTATTATGGGTGTCGTCACCGGTAAAATACCAGTAATCTATCAATGCTCCAAACATGGCACCAGCTTCCCACCAGAAGTAGGGAGCTGGCAAGTTACCGGGGACATCTCCAGGTCGATAGCCGGTGTAATATGAGACCATCTCATCTGCGGCGATTTTAGCGGCTGCTTTCATCGAGTCCGGGCTTGATAGATCGATATCAATGGCGAGAGCATTTTGGGCAGCGAATAGTACTGATAACAGCGGGAGCATCGATCTTCTTCGGAAGGGTTTCATGTTGGAGGGGTGGAAAGATGTAGGAAGGGTTGGAGTGGCACAGAGCCTATTGTCTAGCAAATCGATCCGTCGCTGTCGTAGACTCGATGCTGGAATAGCAACTCGTTTGTTGGTTCTCGGTTTGGTATGCAAATGGACCCCTGTCAATGACGTGGGGGCGATCTTTCTTATCGCAGATCGGGAGATTCGTGGACCGATTTAGGGTAGCGAATGGTAGCGAGTGGTAGCGAGTGACGAGGGTCTGTCAAGCGATCATGAGTTTCCAACGGCCGAATGAACGAGTGTAGGACAGACTAGAAGCAGGCAACGAGGAAGTCGTCTTTGGGTGAAGGGACAAAGAAATTGCAATGAATCAAGAAAGAAAGGTCGAGATCAAGATTCCTTGCAGCAGGTTTGCACAGGCTTTTAGGTGCATTGGCATTGGCTTGTGCATCAAAACTTGGGAATGCTGCGAGTTTGGGACAACCTTGAAGTGGAACAGGGTAAACGGGTCGCGGCGGAAGCTGGAGCACTACGAGTACAATGGTACTAGCTGGGTTGGGTTGTTTAGGCGGTTACAGGTGGGTTGTTGGATGACGAGCACCCCCCTCCCTCTCCCTCTTGGCCACGCCTGATAGAGTCATCGGTGACGACCACATCACCACTTTCCCCAGCCTCCCGCCTTCCACATTGCAATGCAAAACCAGGTATTGACTGCCTTGCTGTCTATTGATTGCTACCTCCTTCAATAATAAATATTCAATACGGACACCATACGGAGGACAGAAGAAGCTGGCTGGCTTCCCCGCTCCCTCCACCAGCCACATTCTCCCTTCCATTCTTATCCATCCGCAGCCCATGACTTGCTTGCGATACTGTACTATACCCGCTTCGTATCACCAAGGTACCTAGCTACTTGGTAGCACTAGTAACCTTAATTCTTGTGCGGCCTTCCGTCTCCTCTCTCAGCCGCCCAGCCTCGTGCTAAGGATTGCCCAGCGCCAAACTCGACGCTTTGTCCCCAGTTACCACGTCAGCTCCCACTCCTCTTCATCTTGTTTCTGCCTTCCAAACAATAACAAGAAGACTTCACAACTCTCGGCCTAATTTGCGAAACACTTGGTAAAAGAAAAGCTCTTTTCATTCCCTTCTCCCTATTCCTGCATCGCCGTTCCTCGCTCAAACGTCCCCCGTACGGAGTCCTCATCACCATTGCCATCCCTTGCTGGCCCCTCCGGAGTCTTGGACGTCCGATGCTCCATAGCGTCCATGAGTACGGATGGCTACTCGTGTGTGCCTTGTGCATGTCTCAAACCATCCCGTGCTCTTGGACGGCAGTCAGCTGAACCTCCCCTTCATTCATGCATGTCACCAGTGAGCACTCCAGGCTAGTGGATCCCCTCCCCTTTGCACAGCCTTCTTCAGTGCAATGTCTATCATTCCTTGTGTGTATCTTGGAAAGGCTCCTGGAAATCGAGCCAAGGCTGTTACAACATTCTCTCCTTCAGGTTCTGGCTCTCACTTTGCCTGATCGTTCAAATCGCCTGCTTGGGAAACCGTGGAGGTGAGAGGTGTCGCCTTGGCTATTCTTGCGCCGAGCTTCTGGGTGAAATCGGAGCAGAAGTATAGAGGTTTCAATGTTAATCCTTGCTGGAGCTCTCTATCTTGCGACCCCTCCGAAAGGTTCGTACACTTGTAGCCCCGAAAACACCACCCTTTACCAGTTTCCCAGAGGAGATCTTAATCTGTCATGAAGCAACCCGACTTTCATTTTGGCCTACCGATCCGCTTTCAAGGCTGCCGACGACCAAATCTGCAACGTGTTGATTCAAGTTGGACGCAGCTTTGCTCGACATTCAAGTCTGCTGGTCAGACGATCGATCCTTCTCTGTTTCAAGGCTAAATGGTCCTTGCACTGAAATTTGAAAAATGAGTGCTCCTTATTGTTTGACGGTCTAACTACGAAGTCACCGACAATGATACATAGATCGGCCATATGCTTGGGGAAAGACTTGCATTTCTCTGTGGATCTGGAAACGCGAAATGGTTCCATACGTCTCTAAACCCCCTTTCTACCTGCCACCTTCCATAAATGCTTGTGTTCTTCCGGGCCCTCGCTCTGATGAACCAGCCTGCCAATTCCATACAACAGCGAGGAGCTCCAGTTGGACAGACTCGTTCCACACCACTACCAAAACCTTGTCAAAAAGCGACGGATATGCGCAACAAGATTGAGTGATCGAAACCAGTGATTCAGATTGGCTACGTCCGCAGCATGCCGTCGCGCAGGATCGCCACGGAGAAGAAGTCCATGCTGCTCTCACATGAACAACTGAATCGCTTGAAGAAGTCTACGTTGGCAGAACGGACCAAACTTTGGGGCAATATCTGTATGCTGTTTGATCCTTTTCAACCCTGTCAAGTCAGGAGAGAAACCCGTGCTGCAACGCAATTCCACATTCCATCCAACACTAGGAAGGGGGCGCTGGTCCTCGACGAGGGGCTTCTCGTGTCCTATCACCTACATGAGAAGATTTCTTGCCATTGGCGATCACATCATACGGTACCAAGTATCGACTGAGGGCCTTTACGACACCAGCAAAACTTACGCACAGGGCGAGAAAGCCTACTGAAGGAATCGGAGATCAGGCTTTCAGGACGGGTTTCGTCGCATTTAATGGTTTATGGGGATATATTTGTCCAGCGCCACGTAGCGCGTGGCCGGTCCCGTGGATAGCTTCACAAGGAACATTTCTAATTTTCACCTGGTACTCCTGTCTCTCCACGTGGTTAACTTGGGCGACTAAAAGCGCGGGAGGGCGGAAGTACATCCTGTGCTGCTGGCTCAGCGTCTACTGCGTAGTAAAGACGGGTGCCATTGATAAGTCATGTGGTCTCACAATGCATGGAGCATATACTCGGTACGTATTCCTAATCGCGTAATATCAAACTCCACAAGCTCTCCGGCGCTTGGAGTCTCTTCCCGTAATTTTTACAACCAGCCAGAAATCGAGTTACACTGGTAGTCGCCGTTGCACTAGCCTCCCGTCCTCCCAGTATCTTTCCAATATTTCACATCCGCTCGTCATGTTGTGATTCGGAAATGGCCAGCGGGGCATGAAGTCTGAGGAAGCTCTCGTGTGACGACTTAGTTTCCTCCCCCTTGCTTTAAAAGCTTCAATATTTCGCTTTCATCGTCACCCACCACAGCGCGAGCATTGATCCAGTCGACCACGACAGGCCTCTTGAAGGTATCGCCATCCGCCGCCAGCTTTCTTAGTGCATCACTCTGTGATGCTGCCCCCTTGACCAGCTCAGCTGGCTTACCACTGCCTCCCACGTACTCGAAAATGTTTTTGAGCTGATCGGCTGTGGGCGGGGATTCGGTGATCTCAAGCTCGAAGGGGTCGCGGGAAGCGTACTTGGTCTGTTCGCTGTGGTCGGAGGCTTGGTCTTCGGTTGCAGTGGCGGAAGCAGCAGCCGATGCTTGTTTGAGGATGGTGGCCGCTCGTACCGAGGATGGGACAGAGGACTTGTGGAAGAGCGTGATCACGTCGAGAGTTTTGCCCTGTCTTCGGTTAGCCATTGATCGAGCAAGTTGTGCATGACAGGTAGACACGGAGTAGACGGTGGGAGTTGGAGGACATGCGGGAGTCGTCACTCACGGCTCGAAACATATTGCTAATCCAGCCTTTCATAGGCTTTGGGTGCATGTCAATGGTTGAAGGTGTGAATGACAAACAAACGGAGTCAATGTGGTGTTAAACTTGATGTCGACAGCTTGGAGCTTCGGCGCAGTGGGTGGCAGGTTGTTAGTGGCGCACGACGTCATTTCCTGGGATTGAGGCGCCCGTTGACATTGGACGTCCTACATTTAAGTCTTGGCAGTGCCAAGTCTTTTTTGTAAAGTCAAAAGTTGTCTCGAACGTTCCTTCTGCTTCACAGTCTATTTAAACTTCCATGCACGATCGTGCTGTGATTTTCAAAGAGACTTCAGGTCAAAAGGATCCTCGTTTCTTCCCATCTTCGCGTGTGGCTGTCGCCAGGCTTTGAGGCGATAAATGATGTAACCTTTGGCAAAGCAGTGTCGTATATCGACAACATTGCTCAAGTCTTGCAAGGAAATGATACAACGCATCGGAAAATCATTCAGCCTGATTGCCGTGGTTCCTATATGTCAGGCCACTTCTTGATGCGAACAACATGAAGACCAACCAAGTACTATCATCCGAGGCTTTGAGTCTTATTGATCTTCCCATAGAAGTTCGACATGAAATCTACAAGCATCTCTTCTGTCACGAACCCTCCCCCCTCAGCTTTGCGTCAGTGCGGAATGCAACAACGCTCGCGGTTGGTTCAGTAGATGAAGATGTAACTCCACCCATCTTCTACACCAGCATTTTCCGCGTCAACAAGGCCATTTCTCGCGATGCACTACAGTTTGCATATAGTGCCAACTCGTTCACGCTCACTAGCGATATGACTAGGTTCTGCTCGCTTGGTGACATCGCTTTGACTTCCATGAAATCAGTCCGGCTTTACAACAATGGTTTCCGCCCAAGAGAGGACTCGAGGCAAATGTGGCATACTCTCAGCCATCGTTGTCCAAACCTTGAGCAATTGGTGCTTGAACCATCAGGCTATATTCTGGTGCAGGTGATACCATATCTTAAAGATTTTTTGCGGACGGGGCCAGAAGAAGAGTCTCGGCCTGAGGTGCTTGTCGATCTGTACCTGCTGGATCGACATTTCTCCTTTGATTTCCCTGATCGTGATTACCGCCAGGCTTTACAGGCCTTGAAGAAACGAGTGGCACCCGATGCCTGGGATGGATTCTTGAAGCCCAAGCAGGTGATCATGAATCTGCCAAAACACGTCAAACAGGTTCATCTGATCGCAGATGTGAGTCCTGGAGTAGTGCGAGCCCTGGATGAGGTTTTGAAGGACGACTCTACGCTCAGGCTTGTGAGGATGACCGAGACACTCTTTCCTACGGCGGGGAGTCAACGCGTAGGCCGTCAGACGCGATTTTGTTACTTTTGGAACTCGACAGATGAATACTAAGGCTGATTGCCTGCATTTAAACCTGTTTTGAGTGAGCATCGACCTCAATGTGACGAAAACATGGCAAACTGATATCCAGTTCCTGGCCCTCTTCCCCAACTAGAGAGAAGGAGTAGGTACAGAGCATCGCCCGACTTAGGTACTCAGCCAGAGACCTACGATGCTCTGAGCGGGGACAGGCCGCGAGTACAATGGTCACTTGGCGCAAATTCACACATAAGCCTTCATTCCCCGAGGCAGACTGCTTCAGAGATTGATGAACGCGAGCGTATTTGGGAAGGGACATTATACCGGGAGCAAATGTTGGCATCAACGATCTTGAAATTTGTTATTGGCAGCGAATCTGCATACCTGGCAGTTTTGGAGCCTGAGCGTGTAGTAATTCAGGGGACTTTGATATATGTATCCAGCTTTATTATCATAGGTGATTTCGTACGAGACCGCAAATGCGAAGAACATAAGAAGGAAGAACAACCAGCGCTAGGGAGTTCCTTTGCCTGTCCGCCCGCGGTGGTCTGCCTCCAAAAATTGTATTCAGGGACGCCTTGTCTTCCCCTGAGACGGGTAAGCCACCATGCACACGCAAAAAGGCCGATGAAGACCTCGACCAGCTACGGAGTACATACAAGGTCGACGCTAAGTGCGAGTGACTCTTCACTCGTTACAAGTACCGAGCACAGCGACGAATGCACCAAGGGTAGCCAACCAAAGGCAGAGCGACAGACTCGCACTGAGCTTCACGCACCCCGCAGGGAGTCCATATATCTGCCCAGCATACTCAACATCTCGAGGACATTAATTAGTATCAGAGCCTAGAGGGAACCGCCAAATCTCCGTAATTACATCTATCAAGCACACGGTGAGGCGGGTCAGCAAAGCAAATGAACAGCACAAGCATTGGAAGTCTCGACCCTCGACCCTCGACCCTCAACCCTCGAGTGTTCCGAGTCGCTCGACGTTGCGATAAGACTCGAGGGAGGCTGAAGGCTGGCGCGGATGTGGCATTTTCTGGGTCTTTGGGCAAAAGGGCACTTGGGTGGGTTTGGTTGGGTGACTGCGACGGTGGGCGCGCACCGGAAGTTTCCTTCCTCAGATCCGTGCAGTAGGGCAGACACCGGCATGGCCGGCCGTGAGGTGCTCGGTAGGGGAAGAGGGGAAAGGGTGGGCACGTCCCACAGGGGCTTGCAAGCGCTGGCTGGCCCAGGTTGATTGTTGACTCGACTCTTAGCCTTCTTAGGTGATGTCGTAGGGCTCTCGGGCGCTCCAGAGAGGACCGTTTCGCAGGCCAGCCAGGCCTACTCGTCCTGCACCTCTGAGTCTGCCAGCGACAACTGCTTTGGGCAGGTCGCTGGAGCGCTAATTAACTGTCATTCCTGAGTCCCCGTGCAGCCCTAAGCAAGGCCCAAGGGGCGCTATACTGCACCCCCAAAGCCAAAAGCGAACACACCCCTTCACCCACGTGCTCACTGACCAAACTCCATGGTTAGATCGCTAATTCCTCTAGTCAATGATGATTCTGAGGTGACATCAAACATGTACAAGCGAGAAAATCAGTCAACTCCTTGCCTTTCATGGAGCTGGTCCATGTGAGGATTACCACCAACAGAATGCAGTTCAGTTGCTCTGAGAACTAAGGAATAGTACCCTGTGCACCCAGCCGCTTGTACACACCATACTCCACTTGCTGATCAAAGTCACGAGATCTAGAGCGCAGGAGCAGTACGTGAGGCTATGGATCGGCAGGATCGGATCATCTTCTTAACAACGACCAAGCGAAACGAGGGCAATTCCCAGATATGGAAGCCTACTGAGAAATCATTCATTTCCACACCTGGCGACCAAACCTCAACGTTGCAGTTGCTTGGGGTGTATCGCAGGATGGCAACCAACTTGCGAAAAGCAACAAGCTACAAAACTCCAGGCTCAGCTCTCCCACAAGTCGCAACCCACAGCCTGAGTGTGAAGGGATCTAGTGGGGACAGTGATTCCCTCATGCAGCCTGATGACGGACGATCAGGACGAGGGACAGCACGCGAGATCCACAAGTCTGGTCCCTCAGCCTCGCCAGGGTAGTTGTGTACTCCGTAGCTCGTAGCTTGCTACACGATTGAGCGTGTATCATCAAGCGCTATCCGTACACTTTGACAGTGGACAGACCTTGTTAATGCGAAACGTACGCCCGAGACACTTCTGGCATGGTGGACGACCGTTATCGATGATCGCGACAAACTTGGGGACGAGCAGAGCCGAAATTGCTTGAGGCTTGAGGGCAGACAAAGAGTTCACCCTCGCATCAAGCATTCTGGTGCTCCAATTTGAATAATCATCCAAGCTCAATCCCCCCTTGATGATCTCGCTGATCATATACGAGGTATGTACTCCGTAGCGAGCAGGAATATCAGAAAAAGTATATGAAAATTTGTTTCGTGTTTTCACGCAGCATGACGGAGAAATTGTCGTGGATAATCTCCGACATTGCGGATGACAAGGGCTTCTACATAGCTTCTGTGAGATAGTGGGCGCGGGTGATCGGAAATGTACGAGTACTGTAGATTGTGAAAAATGAACCTCGTGTTGCCTGATGAGACTCAGAAACAAACATCCAGACCTCGGAAAATTTGGTGGACCTCTGGTGGAGTATCAAAAGCACCATTTAGAGCCTATCCAGCATAGGGACCGCAAACACGATGGTCTGAAGTGCTGGTCATCAAAGCGGCTGTCAATTCAATAAGCCGAGGACGCGATCTGCAGGGGCACTTTGTGGCGATCTTGAACCGGAATAGTGGTTCGGTTAGGAAGCCTCATAATTGGAGCCCCTAGAATTGACATGCAGCATGAGTCCCACCAAAGTGTTCAGTCGGCCAGGGATTACCGCGTGACAAGCCTAGCTTTGAAATTGGATCCTAAGAAACACTAGGTTTGACGTAAAGCGGTGACTGATGCAATAAAAAAACGACGAATCGCATCGCACGTGTAGCCACGGGACTGATCAAGATAGGCGAGGAAATAGTAAGAAGAGGCTGTGATTCAAGTGTGGACAGTGAACATTGAAGAGACCAAGTCCTTGTTCGAAGTATTGCAATCCCGAATACCATGTATCCGTAGATGCTGGGTGCGGGTTTGCTGTGTGATGGATGAATGTACGAGATACTCATACGGCATATGGGTGAGGATTATCAGGATATGCCTCGTGTTGAGTTAGCTTAACTTTCACCGTTGGCCCCAGAATGCTTCGGCAAGCTTTGCCCTGAAAAGCTGCCAGCCAGTGTCAAACTCCCCAATCCGTGGCAGCCTTGATGGCCACAAAGAACGGGCCGTCCTTCAAGATGCAGATCGATCGCTGGAGGTGGCCATCCGACACCGGTGGCGGTTCTGCATTGAGAATGCGGCTGGCTGAACTTCCAGGAGAAGCAGAAGGAAACTGAAGTGGAACTGCATGGGGACTTTGTTTGGGCTGGAGGGGCTCTTACAACATGCTGGTCTGAGACCAGGGTGGCAGGAGGGGTGAAGAACAAGCAAAACGCCCAAAAGTTGAAGGCGCGTCCACCCGATCAGGATGCATCTTTATGATTCTGGGAATGGTGGTGAGCAAATGGTTGGTGGCAGCCACATGGATCTGGAGATTGCATGGTGGCCGCAGAGACTTGCGTTGCCTCGAGTAAAGCTTGCCGGGTCGCATGCACCCTAACAACGTAACTAACCTCTGGGTGGCAAGAGTCTGTGAGAATGTGAGAAGGGGCTAAACAAGGTGGTGACCCTGGTGGGTCGCCCAGATGGCGGATGGCAAGGTTCATGGCTGTGTGCTAGCCTTGACAGTTGGAGCTTGGACCACACTGCAAAAGCACTGACCTCTGCACTGAGGACGGAGTACGAAACACAACAATGGATCGCCAGCCTGAAGAGGTTCTCGGGAGACCAAACCGTGAAATCGAAATTAGGGGAGAATGTCTTGAAGTCAAAGATTTACTATTTTCGAAATTATGGATCTGCCTGTAAGCCTGTGCAGCGTGACAAGTCGATGCTCAAGGTAGTGATGAACGAGAGGAAAGCTATGGTCTTACACGTTAGCACTTCTTCAATTATGCCGCCTACCTAAGTGCGAGGTACAGTAGCACCATCAGAGTCCGACATAGGTACAGTAAATACTCGGCAGTAGTGGTGCGCGGACTCTAGGATTCTGTACCGGGTTATTCTGTATGCTGTCGAAGACGCCAAGCAATGGGAACGACCAGGGAGACGGTATGGGTCAAAGATCGGATCATCCAGAATGACGGACTTGTGACAGACCGGAAAAGATCCGAGGCGATGGTGAATGGATGGATGGATCAACCTTCAGCGTGATGAGAGAGAACTGGGGTTGAGACGCCAGAGGAAGCGTTTGGTGGTTTCCTGCGGCGACTCCGTGTGCAAGCGCAAGATTTAACCCGATTGAGTTGTGCGGTTTTCCATCTGCCTGGGCTTTGATTTGGACGAGGGGACTAGGATGGTGGATACCACTGAGTATCACAGATGTGTCCATGTATCCATGACAGTCCACCTGGAGTACTAGGGCGAGATGGGAGGTATCAGATGGCGAGATAGCACTCCGTGCTACTGTCAAGGTTACGGAGTAGTGAGGTCTTGATTCGACTCGATCACGACTTGGCTCGCATTGACGGTTGAACCACGAACCTGGATGGGCTTAGATGCAGCATACTATCAAAAGGTAGGGTCCGAATGCCAACCGCAGCTCCCAGCAAGTAATAATACGAGAGAGACCCAGAGGAGGAGTACGAGTAGGACAGCAACACTCGTCCATGATTCAAGTACGAGGAAGGAAAGTGACAAGGGGGGGCAGGGATCAACCGATCCAGTTTGGATTGGGAGTACGGAGTACGGAGTACTTAGTAGGAAGGAGCATCTGAGCATCTATCTGAGCTTGGGGCCCGTGGGCAGGAGCGACTGACCCGGGGCGACTAGGCTGTACAGGGGCTAGCAGGTGATGGTCAGCTTGGGTGCAGGCAAAAGTGGACCCGTTCCTCGTTTGACCAAATGGCGCGTGTTCCAGTTTGAGATGCCAATCATGATTTACAATAATAAAAAGGATGATAATGACGAGATTCAAGGGAAACCCCTGGAGCCCTGGAGCCCTGGAGCCCGGAAGTTCCTGAATTAGTACATGCCTGTTTCTGATCACACATGGAGAGGGAAACATGTATGTATAGAGAGAGCGCGCACGCAAAGATAATCTGCGAGGCCGTGACGGCTGACGAGACGGAGGGGATTCAAGCCGAATCGCCTAAGGGGTTCCTGATTAAAGGCGGCAGGCGTCAAAGCCAGAAAAGGGTAAAGGTAAATGAATTTAATTACTACGAGGTAACTAAGTCTCTAGCTGGTGGTTTAACCTGGACTTGATCGATTCAAAATCCTGCTTTTGAGCTCTCGGTACTAAATCATTATTAATAATATGTTGCATTTTGCGCTTATGAATAGCATATGGGACGGCGAGTTACCTCGATGGCAATGTAGATTAGGTACTCGTACAATTGATGTAAAATGGAAACACACATGTACCGACATCTATGCCTCTGATGATCAGAAAATGCACACCCCCATTGAATGCGAGCTGCGCCCGAGGTGATGATAATAGCAACTGATGATATCAGTCCTTTGCACCTCAGGCTCCCACGCTGTGGTGGCTGAAGTGCCACACCTAAGCTTGCCTGCGAAAACTTAAGCTGGAGCCGCCCACATGCATTCAAAGCTCAAACTCAACCCCCTCGTCTCCACGTTCTCTGGCTTCGGTAAACAAGAGACACCATCATCACTAGTTCGGTCTTTTAGTTTACTGGGGCCCGGTCTGCGTGTTGGGCTTGGTCTGCCTGGTCTCCTTGGACCCGGTGTCGACTGTGGTTTCCCAAGTCTCCCTGGGGACAGTTCTCATCATGTCCCAAGGAGACAAGTCGTGCCGGACAGCGGGACACCGAGGGCTGCAATCCCAGCGCGTGCATGATCATCCGTCCCTAAACCGTGCCGATGATCACGCCCACGACCTTGTCCTTGTCCGTGGTCTCTCGTCCCATGTCCATGCCCAGCTAGCTTTGCTTATCCCTTGCGGTGCTGTAGCCTGTACCTCATCATCCTGTGCTTTGTTGCTGCTATCTCGTCTCTTCGCCTCCTCTACCGAGTAAGTTCGGGAGCTTTTCAGTAGGTGAGTTGTGTGCATGACCACTGACCAGTGATAGTCTCCATCCCCTACCATTTTTCTCATCACCTTGGTTCCATGCTATTTTCAGTAAGGTCGTGCTTCAACATCTAATTTCTCTGCCATCCCGTTTAGGCCTTGGACTCTCCCAGCTGTTGTTTGGTCCAGAGTCCAGAGCCCAGACTCCCAGACTCCAGACCTCACGCCTCTCACCTCACTCTTCAGCCCTTCATGGTCCTCCCACCCATTCTGATGACTCCTTGAACTGTGAGCACTGAGATCGGCCGGGGCCATCCACCATCGAAGCCGACACTCGAGCCTCCCCTACAGGCTCCCATGCACCCCTTTCCCTTCTCTGGCCTTTTCCTCTCTTACTCCAATCAATCCAAGGGCCCGACTCCTGGGTCGACCAAAACATGATGAGTTAGTCTCCCTGGTCATCCGTCACAAAGGAAACTTTCAATTCAACTTGGCCTTTCACCCCCCTGCCTTTCTTCGTGTCCGCTTTGAATCCACCCACCTCTGATTCCCATAACCCATGTCTTCATCCCCCAAGCTTCAAGCCGCCATTCCTCGATCATCCTAGCTCTTCTGGTCTCCGCTGTCCATTTTGGACAAACTCTCCTCTTTTTAGGCGAACCTGGCGAAAGGCCGAGTCCAGCCAACCGGACGCCAGCTGCCCGCTAAGAACGCCATGTGCTGCCCCGACCAAAAGGATCGTGACCTGCCATTCTCTCATTCTTTTTGAATTCGTGCCCTCTTTGACAGCCTCATTATTTGTCTTGAAAGGTTTCTCAACACATATCGGCCTTCCTTTCCACTTGCTGTGTCTCTTGCATGACACTTGTCCCTGTGCATCCTGCCACTTGACAATCACAGCCTGCGCCGACCCTGTTCTAACATCGCACTCTCAACCAGAGCGACCCCGAGCCCCACGCCGGTTTGATAGGGTATCGGGACTTTGCAAAGGGACAGCCAAAATTCCAAGCCGCCGCCTACTCCACCACCATCACCAACACCACATTTCTTGATATTCTCGTCTATACCGGACTTGAGAATACTTGATCCCTCGATTTCGTAGTTTTCCCCTCGACGCGAATCCACCAGTTCTGGTTCAAGTCAGGTGTCTATTGTCACAACTTCGTCACAGATTACACCCTGCAATATACCACCCCCAAGTATTGCGAACCACCGCAATATCTGTTCCACCGCCGTTGGATAACAGCTAAAGTTTGTTACTCAGACCAGTATTGACCTGATCTCTCGCTTTGGCGGTATATCGCAGCATCTGTGCAGATACCCAACGCAAAGCCTCACCCTGGCGTCCGTTGCAGTGCCCCTTCCGATGGGGACGTCCTTGGATGCCCTCCATGCTCCTTCCAGCTTGACACAGCGCCGACAAGCAGCCTCCAATTTACCAGTATTTGAACTCCCACCTCCAAACCTTCAGTTCAATCAGGTGTCGAGTCAGAGGATCCCGCCCCTGGTGGGAATAAATACATCCCATCCTCCCTCGTCGAGTCTTGGTCAGCTCTTGACTCCACCGTCCAACTCTGCTTCAGAGGGCGGTTCCTCGTCGGGGCTACCGACGGGAACAACACCCAACGGTGCTGCTGTCCCCGTTCTGCCCTATACTCCAACATTTTTCAATACTGGAACAACGCCCACTGGCTATCATACCGGCTACACTCCCCAGCCATGGCAACATGGAAATTTCCCTCCGAGATCCATGTTTTCGCCCATGCCTGGTCCTTTGATGAGAAACAACACAAATTCGCCCACTGCAAACGAAGGTTCCGCTCTGCCACCTCCCCCGTATGATATTCATTCGGGACACGGCTATCATGCACCGCCTCTGGGACTGACGTCTCCCGTCAGTGCCACAACTGCACATCCAGGACCCCCCAACCTCATCTCCTCGATTCTCCCCAACGGTGTTCGTCCACAAAGCCAGCATTCTCCCGTAACGCCTGGAGACGGCACCTCCAAAGCACAAAGCCACCCCTCGCTTTTCGCAAGTCTATCCAGCTCCGCGCAGCATCCATCACTATATTCTTATTCTGGCCCGGCTCCGGTTTCCCAAAGTCCCCATCCGCATTCTCTATCTGCACCTCGAATTTCTCCTGTTCTTCACCACGGAGCAGTCCCGCATTCGCACCATCAGGCACCTTTCATGCGGCCACCTCCACCATCATATTCGTTGCCGGCCATGCCTGGACCGATCATGTCCAACGTCCACAGTCCAGGGGCACAGATGGCAATGGTGGGAAACATGAATGGAGGAATGCTTCCCATGGCATTCAACAGTGGGTATGCCGCTAATCCACAGTCTATGTACGGACCACCGCGGACCAACACACCACAACAACCGTCAACTCACGATCGGCCATTCAAGTGCGATCAATGTCCTCAAAGCTTCAACCGCAATCATGATCTGAAGCGCCATAAAAGGATTCACTTGGCCGTGAAACCCTTCCCTTGCAACCACTGTGACAAGAGTTTCTCTCGCAAAGATGCACTCAAGGTGAGTCTTGGTCTTTCCAACAGGGGGATGGCGTGACGCTAACGAGGATACCAGAGACATATCTTGGTGAAAGGCTGCGGCAGTGGACATTCTGGTGACGGCAGCAACCGTGAGGATGGTATCAAGTCCGATTCTGCCAGTGAGGGAGTGAGCGAGAGCCCAACAGCTGCCATGGCGGCATAATATGTGGTTTCTGTGCCATTTGCCTTTGGCCGAAAATCCAGGCCCTTCTTGCCCCTCTTGTTGTACAATATTCTCCATCTGCTCAATTGTTTGAGCATTTTACATTGGTTATGATTTAATGGCAGGCTTTAGCGACGGGTTGGGCAGCGGCTGACAGTGTTGATGGATATACTTCACGAGATGGACTTTTCCCTTAGCTCTTTGTTATTCACTATACCCAGGGAAAGGACGGCATAACAGGGCTATCGAGACCAGCCTTGGCAGGGCGCTGGCAGAGAGCAGTGGCAATCAGTGGCCATGAACGAGCCTCTTGAAAGAGTGGGTGGTTTCGCATAGCCTAGATAATGATTTTGGGTTCCAATGGGCCTTATGCGGGGCAATACAAAAAACAATAGGCTTTGGTGGCGGTTTGCATTCTCCTGTCTCTGCCCAAGCCATGGAAATCAATATGGGACTGAAGCCAGCGGCCACGGCGATATCGACCAAGGTACGGGTAGACGGATGCTACGTTCTAACTGGTCGTGGTGAGGATCCCTGCCGCCATGTGATGTGGCTTTGAAGGTGGCGTAGAATGCTTGAGCCTGTTCTGCGGAAGGCGCCGTAAAGCACGGACAAGGATTTCAAGGTGCCGGGAGAGCGAGCCTCAGCGCCAAAGAGGAGCCTTTTCTCGCTTAATTTAGGTAAGCCAGCAGCCTGGAGATCCCTGCGGGAAGACTCCCTCCCCTGAAGCTGGTGGTTTTTTCCGACTGCTGTGTAGACCTCATTCGGCTTGCCGCGCTTCAACAAAGTGTACGTGGACATCCTCATTCAAGGCTTTCATGTTGGGACAGCCTTATAGCATATCACTTGGTCTCTTCTACGAACGATTAAGCCACGCCTGTCCTACTTGTTATGAGCCGCCTCGGAAGTGTCAAACTACGAGAATGCCCTACCCCGCATGACAAGAGACAGAAGGCAGACCTGCGCGGTGGCAGATTACAGTAATTTTGCCGAGTCTAGCTGGCTTGGCCAGCGACTTGACTCTGTTCAGCACGGAATTCTCCGTATGGCGCCCTGCGAAGAAGTAGCTTGCCGTTGTCAACAACACTAGTATCCCGTCCTCTGTGCTCGCTGCGAGTTGCAATTCAGTCCAGTGGACTGCATCTTATGCCAACGTCCGCTGGAGGCTTCGTCCCTGTGTTTATCTCAAGTCGCAAACTGCATGTGTAGAACTGTAACAGAAGCACTGGGATGCCGGTTGTGAAACACTCACTCAGCGTCGACGGACATCACTCATCCCACAAGAGAATCACGCCTGGTCTGCGTGAGGTTCCTCGTACAGCTGTAACACCACAACGTCGCCAACAGAGCCCATTACGTTGACAGCTTTCGGGGATGTATGGTGTCCATGTGTGCGTGTCTGTTGCCAGGTGCGAGGTGGTAAGGAGTGTTCACCAAGAACTTGAAGTTCTCTGGCGGAAGTTTATGGTTGATTGCTAGCAGAGGTATGTACCTGCCCTGGAGGATAGATGGCACTTCCAAAGTCCCAAATCGAGCCCAATGTCATCTGCATGAAGCGTCCCCGTATGTACTATGTACTATTGCTCGTACGATAGATAACCAACACTTGTGCTGAGCCAGGCTGACCCGATCGTCGGAGAAGGTTTACCTCTTCTTGCGATCGGCGCTACTCTCGTCTTCCCAGAGTCCTGAGCCCTGACCCACCACCGATCGATCTCTCAGATCGTCATTGACAAGATCTGACTTTCCACCCTCTCACAGGCACCGACAGGCCATCCGCTTGCTGCTTACTGCACCTATCCGCATTAGCTGTTCCAACCACTACACGGCCAGGTCAATGATGCTTGTGTGCCACGTTGTCTCGCTCAAGCCCATCAACGACGTTCCGTCCTCTCCAGTCAGCCACCCTTCAGGCAACCACCGACTGTTTGCTATGCTCTTTTCCATTCGTTGCCCCACCGGTGACCACGTCCACCGTCGAAGCTGTCATGTTTCCATGAATTTGGTGATTCCATCTCGTAGATCTCCCCCAAGCTCAAATATCCCTGACCTCACCAAGAGCTTTCCATGGTTCCCACATGCTTTCGGTCCCTCCTTGGCTTATCGCGCACCAGCAGTACATTTTCCGAGTGGCAGCTACTGCTGCCCTTCACCAATCTTCATGATGATTGTTGTGCTGCCCCAAGCTAGAATCTCAGGATCATCCGAAATAGGATCGCCAGTTCTTGACATTCTTTACCAGGCCTTCACTGATTCTATGGAACACTTCCTCGGACCTCGCTCTCATCTCTTTTGCTTTCCATTAACATCGCAGGCTTTGTCATCACTTGAGTCTTCCTCCATTCGGCGACACTGTCACTTTCTTCTCCATTTCCATATCTTGTTGCTGGGCATACCTCAAGTGAAGCTGATTTCATGGTAGCTTGGGAAATCGGTGTTTCCACGTCGCAAGGACAACACCTTTCAAGCTAGGCGCCGTGTATCATTCAGAACGAGCGAGGATCATTTCAACTCTCTTCGACCGTTCATCCTTCCACCAGAAGACCACTACATCAAGCCCATTATCTTGTTCTGTTGGCGTCCACCCATACCAAGTGAAATGACTCTACAGAAAGTTCTTATATACATCCTGCGTCGCGACCTGCGGTTGGGCGACAACCCCATCTTTCACGAGATTCACAAATTATTTCAGCAACCCCAGAACCCATTCACACATGTCCTACCCCTATATGTCTTCGCCGCTCAGCAGATCGAGGTCAGTGGGTTCCTGAAAGACCCTGCCAGTCGCTCTCCATATCCCGAGGCACGATCAGAAGTCGGTCGGTTTTGGAGGTGCGGCCCTCACCGTGCCAAATTCCTGGCCGAATCTGTCTGGGATCTCAAATCCCAGCTCACGAAGTTGGGAAGCAATCTTGACATCCGTGTCGGGACGCTTGGAAAGGTCATCGACGATCTATTGGCTCAACTAAAGCAGCAAAACGACAAGACCTTAGTTTCTGCCATCTGGATGACCGAGGAAGAGGGCGTGGAGGAGAAGCGCGACGAGCGGGATGTCCGACGAGCCGCAGAGAAGGCAGGAGCTGATTTTCGGCTGTGGATAGACGAGAAATATTTCATTGATGAGTAATGCTGAGGGCATCACTACTGTTGAGACTATGAGCTGACCAGCGACAGCCGTGACTTGCCTTTTGACAACCCCTCAGATCTGCCTGACGTCTTCACGAGCTACCGGAAATCTGTAGAGCCATTGAGAGAGGCTCCTCGAAAGACCATTCCAACACCCTCAAGCCTACCCCCAATGCCTTCCGGGCTACCTGTGCAGACCGAACCCTTCTCGCTGCCAGAAACATATGACGAACTGGAATCGAAGCTGATGAAGCCCCTGAAAGCTGACCCGCCTCTGCCAGACCCTGTGTCGTTCCCTGCTGAGGCCAAGTCGGCCCATCCGTTCCAGGGTGGCTCAACGGAGGGTTTGGAACGACTTCAGTCATTGATAGGCTCGGGTGCTATGACACAGTACAAAGATACGCGCAACGGCCTCCTTGGTACCGATTTCTCGACGAAGTTGTCTGCATGGCTTGCTCTTGGATGTATCACGGCGCGGCAAATCCATTTCCAACTACTTGACTTCGAGGATGGGCGAGACACGCAATACCAAGGAGTAGCAGGTTACGGTAAGGGAGAGAACAAGGGTACCGCAGCCGTGCGTTTTGAACTACTGTGGCGAGACTACATGAGACTGTGCACGAGAAAGTTTGGGCCTCGCCTATTCCGCCTCGAGGGTTTTAGAAACGATACCTCGTATCTGTGGAAGCGTCCGGGTGCCAAGGGCAGCGCGCCAGAAGTGGATGGCATGTTTCGACGGTTTCTTCAAGGAACCACGGGCACCGCTTTGATTGATGCCAGTCAACGCGAGCTGTATCTCACAGGTTACACGAGCAACCGGGCCCGGCAAAATGTTGCGAGCTACTTGGCCAAACATCTTGGGATCAACTGGAAGCTGGGCGCTGAGTGGTACGAATGTATGCTGACAGACTACGATGTCAGCTCGAATTGGGGCAACTGGCAATATGTTGCGGGAGTGGGGAATGACCCCAGAGGTGAAGCTCGAGTGTTCAATCCGGTCAAACAAAGCTTCGACTACGACCCGCAAGGAGATTATTGCCGAGCATGGGTAGAGGAATTGCGTGGGCTGGAACAGCCGCAAGAGATATTTCAGCCGTGGAAAGTCGGCAGCGACAAGAGGGCTGAGCTTGGGCTGGAAGGACTGGAAATGGTGGAGCAGCCGCTCAAGAAGATCGATTTCACAGTGGGTGGTAAAGGCAAAAGAGGATCAGGAGGCGGTAGATACGGAGGGAGCAGTAGAGACAAGGCAAATGGTGCAGGGGGCGGAGGTAAAGGACGAGGAGGAGGTAGTTTTGGGGGGCGGGGTGGCTACCGTGGACGTGCTAAAGGAGAACGAGGACGACAAGGTTATAGACGACAAGGTCTGATGGACAAGGCTGTCAACGAGGTGGTGACGTAGAGCGTTCGGCCGATCTGAGGTGTAATTCTCCAAACTCAGGGTTAGTAGAGGAGCATTGGTATGCTCTATGACATAATGATGGTGTTTCCAGATGGCTCACGACGAGAGAGGCCTTTGGAGTATGATAGGATGGAGTTGATGGGCGCGGTGCACGGCAGTATGAATTTAGCCACCGGATGATTCAGAATAGGGGATGTGTTGCGAAGAAAAGAATACGAAAGGGCCAATAATATGGGACTAGGTATGTATGAATGGCCAGGAAGAATAATAGCGCCAACCTACCCATGTAGATGGATGAGGAGGGAGCCCCGGTCCCCTGCCGTGGGTCGTGACTCGTGACTCGTGAGGCGTGCCCGTTGAGATTGCGGTCACCCCCCCACTTAAGCCCGACCCCGAAGGAGGTCATACCCCGAGTCTCCGCCCCCCATCCAATGCAGATGCCGGCTTGTGCCCTATTAATTACTCGTAACTCCTGTACATTCGGAGCGTCGTACCTCGTAATTGCTTTTGTATGGGCTTTGCGTGTCGTGCCTCGGCCAGAGCAAAGACAAAGAGTGAATGCTGCTCAACGGCAAACACTGTTACTGGACTGCACTGGACTCCATACCGTACTCGTAGACCTCAGATCCAAGCCGAACCATTGCGTCGTACCCCTCTTCCATCGCGTTCACGGTCTCATCCTGATTCCTTTGACTCGTTCCTTGACACCTACCTAGGCAACTAACAAGGGTAGTCTAGTCTGTGCCATCCACCTGGGTGCCACCAAAGCCCCTCCTATATAAGCAATGCGTCAACCTGTGCAAACATCCTCATTGCGATCTTGCGAATCACAACCAACCCGCAGCCCCCGTTGGTGTCTTTTATATTCTCATCCTTGGTGCGAGGTCGCAAATATCAACTAGGTTATTGCTGCCCGGTCTAACCGCTTACATCCGCTCTCCTGGTCCGTGTCAGGATCCTCCTCAACGTCCAAGTCAGCCAGAATTATTCGGCGGTAATCCAAGCCATCCTCCAGCGGCAAGTATCCATGACTTGTTCGTGTCTTTCTGTCAGCACTCCTAATATCCGGTTTACATGATCCCTCCCGTCAACTGTCATCCCTCTGCAAGCTTTCGACTTGGCCTAAGAGACTGTCCCGCCTGCTGACATCGGATCGTGATATCTTCCCTTGACCGACCTGCCGGCTGTGTCAAGTCAACCTCGCTCCCTCTAGTTAGAATAGTTTCTGCTTGCCGACGCCTTCACTATCACAGTTCTGAGTTGGAGGTCTCCATTCTACTAGAACGCAACCACCATGGCGGTCCTCTCACTTCCAACCCCAGCACCCTCCCTCGTTCTTCTTGGCCTTGTGGTCCTCTTCTCCGTGTACCGAATCTTCTTCGAACTTACTACTGGAGCAAGACGTCGCCAGATGATCCGAGACAATGGCTGCCAGCCGCCGTATCAATATCCTCACGAGGGCCTTGGTGGCAAACTATACGGCTTGGATATCATCAGGGCCATGGTCAAATCTAGCAAAGAGGGGAGAATGAACGAGGTCTCCCGATTGAGAAACTATGGCAAGGGACACAAAACCCTACATTTCAGGCTGGCCCGTAAGCACAGTGAGTAGATTGCCCTGGGGTGCTTCGACCAAGCATTCTAACGAGTGACAGTTATTACCACCATCGAACCAGAGAACATCAAGACGATTCTGTCCACCAAGTTCGCAGACTTCTCTCTGGGAAGCAGTAGAAGAGAAATCATGACACCAGTCTTTGGTCACGGTATCTTCAACCAAGATGGCAAAGGCTGGGAACGTTCTCGCGCTCTGGTCCGTCCCAATTTCACTCGCCAACAGGTCGCCGATTTGGACATGTTTGAGGAGCATGTAGGTCACTTGATCGATTCAATCCCACGTGACGGCTCTGCTGTGGACCTCCAGGATCTTTTCTTTGCCTTGACCATCGACTCTGCCACCGAATTCTTGTTCGGCAAATCTACCAACACCCTGGCTCCTGGACTCGACACCAAATCTGGGAGTGAATTCGTCAAATCCTTTGTGTACATGACTGACTGTATGTCCCTGAAGTGTTGGTCTGGCCATTTGCTGACTCGTATCTCTAGCCGTCGGGAAAGCCTTCCGTTCAGGAGGTCTAGATAAATGGATTCCGAATCCCTCATGGCACAAAAACCTCAAGACAGTCAACGACTTTGCGGACGAAATCATTCAGCAGGCTATTGAAGACGTCAATTCGGGCAAGGTCTCGGAAAAACAACGCTACGTCTTCTTGTATTCCTTGCTCGAGCAGACTCGCGACCCCTACACTGTCCGATCGGAATTACTCAACATTCTGCTGGCTGGGCGTGATACTACTGCAGGACTTCTCACCAACACATGGCATGTGCTGTCCAAACGACCGGACATCTGGGCGAAATTGAAAGCCGAGGTGGACGAGCTGGGCGGCGAGCGTCCTGACTACAGTTCAATCAAGGAAATGAAATACCTGAAGTATGTGCTCCACGAAAGTCTGCGTCTCATGCCTGTGGTGCCAGGCAACAGTCGAGAAGCCGTTCGAGATACAGTACTTCCAGTGGGAGGTGGGCCAGACGGGAAATCCCCGGTATTCGTTCCTAAGGGATGGGTTGTCGGGTATTCTCCTTGGTCGATGCATCGAAGAGAAGACTACTACGGAGCAGATGCACTTGAGTTTCGGCCAGAACGGTGGGAAACTCTGCGGCCTGGTTGGGAGTATTTGCCGTTCAACGGGGGACCGAGAATTTGCGTGGGACAGCAATACGCCTTGATGGAAGCCAGCTATGCGACGGTTCGGCTGATTCAGGCATTCCCCAGGATTGAGAGCCGTGATGAACGGGAATGGCGGGAATGGCTTTCCATTACCCTGGCGAGCGGTGTTGGCTGCCGGGTGGCATTGTATGAAAAGTGAAATTGACCTGGATGGAGATGGGAATTGCTCTGGTTGGGAGCAAGGCACGAGGTCTCATGGCACATGCCATCGAATGGTGTATTGCAGCTCAGCACTTGATAGGCGAGGGTCTCTTCTCCATGATGATATGCGTTTTTTCTACAATTGACGGTGGTTTCCAGCTCACCGCACAGGGCATAACTTGCTGTTGAGCTCCGACAATGCCAATTCACTTCGCTCCATTGTATCCGCATGCATGTGTGGTTAAAGGGCAAGAAGTCAAAAAGGGATCTAGAATTCGCACTCCAAAATCAAAAACTAGGATTTGAATTGTCGACGAACAACGGCGCCTTACTATGTGCACCGACTTCGTCAGATATGGGCCATGGCATCTGCTACGATACAATGGCGGGCAAGGCGGTCTTCGACTCCAAGGCTGGAACCCACTCGATGACGGGGTTGGTGGGATTGGTTGTTGCCGCCTCGTGCCTGAGGCAAAAGTCTCGGAAAGTTCCACAGCTGCTCTGGCGTATTCGATCGTATCTGTACAGAGTATCTGCATCCACTTGGAGCAGCTCCCTGCATCTGTCGCGCGGCTGATCCAGGTTTGTATCTACCTGGGCCGCACTCGCTGGCTACTCGGTATGTATCCGTCCTCGCAATCATGAAGCGAGATGGATCAATAGAACTGTCTACGCCTCAGGAGTCCAATTTCTTGGGACGGAGGAGGATGACGACAGTTTCCCCAAGGTGCTGGGTTCCAAGTTTGGGAGGAGTCCTACATCCAAATACATACGGGGTAATTTAATAGGCATGTGATGTCGGGTACCTCGGCAATCATGATCAGAGGAAACCTTAGACGATCGGTATGTAGGGTATGTAATGGTGCGCATTTTCAAAGCTGGGGACAAGTCTGCCTCGCGTGGTCAACGGTCATTGAACGAGTGCTTTACTTGCAGGTAAGGCTCCTAGGGGTTGCTTCCTCCCTCCCCCGTGGTGGGTTTCCCTGGCTCTTTGCTCGTAACTGCATACTAGCACCTACTCGTACTCGGTTGGTTAACGACTTGACGACCGTAACTGACTATCGGTATCCGTACATCCACCTCCCCATGCCTGGCGCCGCCCTCTGCGTTGAATTGTCCCCACCCCTGAAAATGCCCAAAATGACCCTTGGCTGCATCATCTCCCCAGGTGAAGCCCACTGTTCTCGAGCTGCCGACGACCGGGTACTCCGTAATGGGCTTGGTATCTTGACAAATTTGGATTCATTCGAGGCTGACTGAACCGGGTATCCTTACCTACAACGGCACCAACTGACTAAGGACGGGGAGAGGCCGTTAAATCCCAACCAAGCCATATGGGCGCCATGCGAGAGCTCGTCCGTCCTCCACCGGCACGTCTGCAAGGCAGATATTTCATACTCGAAAGTGAACCCACTCTGCTCTTCTGACTCCCTGGTTCCGCTTGGCTGGAACGCCTTGCACATCACCTCGTTTTGATTTGTTGCTCCACTTCCACACGGCTGCGGTGGCATGTACAGTAGTTTCATCAGGCCCATCCACTTGAACTGTTCGATTTCAATGGCCAGCCACTCCACCCTTTATGAGCACTACCTCAGCACTAATATGACCTAACGTGGTCTTGGGGATGGGTTGATCCAAGAACACGGGCTCTCGTTACAGACGGGACAGCCCAATGCCTGTAATTAGCATTGCAAGCCCTAAAACCTGGAGTTGCCGCATCTCTGGCGATTGTCCGACTCAGATTTCATGCCTCATGTCCATATTCCTCACTGCTGAGTACGAGATATCGCCATCATCTTACATACCTCCTGAAGATCCAAACCTCATCTCCGTTCCCTACCAGTGCCCTCTTCTAATTGATCTCGACGTCCAACTCTTGTCTTCGCCTCTTCATTGTACCACGCGACTCCGCGCTCGCACCGTCTCATCCGCCTCTCGGTCACCTGTCCTCCCACGTCGTCTCACACACACACCCACTCGACCGCACCCATACACTCGTTTTCCTTTTCTCACCACCTACCCTGACCGACGACCACCGGGTGCACGAATAGTCCACACCAGTCCAAGCGCACTCATTCCCTACAATCAGACGTAAGGTGAACGGCCAAAGACCCAGGACGCCCATTATTTCACCCCTCACCGCCTCGGTCTCCTCGCTGTCCTTCTTCCGCTGCTTTAACCCACCTCACCTCGCAGCACCTCGCATCGCATCCCCATAATATCTCTCCACAAATGCGCAGGCCGACATGATCAATACTTCGATCCTCCCACTTTTCATCAATGGCTTCCCGAATATATCTACTTCAGCGCAGTGATAGCGAGAATGAAGCTGATGCCGTCGGTGCGAAAGATGGCAGTTGGCGTGAAAATGCGTCCGCCGAGGATTTGATCCTCGAGGCATGGAGCCAAGGATTTGTAAGTTCTTCCATCTTAGACCCGATATCATGTCATCGCAGCCTTTTCGTTGAGAACATGGCCTGTGCGCTATTTTCATGACCTGCCGTCTGGAGAGCATCACGCTAACCATTTGCGACACTCAGATGGTCGGAGCCCTGATCATCATGGCATGTATCACCGTTGCAAACATGAGAAGGGGCGTGCTGCTTCATAAACTCATCCTCGTTGAGGTAAGATGTCTCGTTCACCGTCCTCCACCAAGACTTGCACCCGGACGAAGCTAACTCATGATTCCAGCAACTGGCAGCATTGTCTCATGGTATGCTCAACCCCCATCCACCTCAGCGCCAGTCCTGATTTTCTCCAGGCACCTTCTGTTTCATGTCTTTCCGCGGCTATGGATGGTACCTTTCGAGCACAGCAGCCTTGCTCTATTGCTCGTGGGTTGTACACAATATTGTTGCATGGATGAAGATCCGTCCGTTCTTCACCGATTCAAGATCCATGTTCAAGCCAGAGACGGGCTTGTGGGTCAAGCGCATATACTTGGTCACCCTTGCTTGTACCGCACCACCCATCATCCTGCAGATCTATGACAACTTTCGATTCTTCAACAACATCAATGACTTCTACACCCAAGTGAGGCCTTACGAGCCTTTGTTTAGGTAAGCACTGAGATGTTGAACCGCGGCTCAGGATCCTTGCTTACCCATGCGCCGATAGAGATCCTTGGTGGGTTTTCACCTGTATCGCTTTGTTCCACGTCATTCGCAAATGCTACGGAACTGGGGTTTTTGAATTGATCAAAAGGTCTCCCCGTTTTGGCATCTTGCTCGGCGCTATCTGCCTGTCTCTGATTTTCACCGGGCTTGACATTGTCGCAAGCATTCACAATTTCATCGGTTCCACTGACGGGTATGCCATCTCCTGACAGGCCGAGAGCACCTACTAACTGCCTCTCAGTATAAATCCTTGGTGGAAGCTGTCGTTGGTTTTCAAGTGCTTGACCGACACAATCATGCTGGACGATTTCAAGACCGAATTGAAACGCTTGGGTATCAAGCGGTTGCAACAGGATGAATTACGTCGACGAAGTATGGCATTGGTTTTGGACGACCATACCAAGGATGATGATAATCAGCTCGAGTTCTCGGATGCTCTCAACGTCAATCCTGCCACGTTCCAAATACTACAAAGCACAGACACGAGCTCCAGCCAAAGTCCGAGGGGCCGATTGAGACATGAATCTGTCAGTGAATCACGTGATGACCAGAGAAATCACGTGGGCAGTTCGGGCAAAAAGATCTCCCGACTGCCCGGATTGAAGGATTTCAAATTCGATTACAAGAGGACTAGCAGAAAGAAGACTAAATCCGACGATGAAGAGAAGCAAAGACCAGCAACGGACGACGATCGACCTCCACCAGCTGCCCCAGATCGACTGTCACAGATGCGTAAGAGCTTAGGCGTAATCGATTATCACCCTCGCTAGAGCCAGGATCTCTGCTGCATTCCGAGCCATTTATGAGTCCAAGGGGAAAAGAAAGAAGGAAACGTTTTTGTTTTGACGAATAACGAAGGTCACGTCCTGTATCAACAAACGGCACGATGTGCGACGCGAACCCAGGGAATCGAAGGCATTCCCCATTCAGGAACAGGTTCTAGGATATATACCCTGTGCGGGACAGGCGCTGGATGAGGCTACAGTTTGGGCCATCGAACGGCGATCTGTTTTATCATTGCTGTGGTACGGCTCTGCTATATCAAATTTTCTGCGCTGTCATTTCCCAGAGGCTAAGGAAAAGGTATATTGTAAAACTCTGGCATCATGGCCGCTGATGTTGGGCATTTCTTCTGGCTTGAATCTGGCCTGTCAAATCACATCCATTCCATTGCTTGCCATCACCGTCCCAGTGTTCGTCGAGGATTCTCTTCCTGTGGGTTCTTTCCCGTTGGACCTGCCGCTACCGATTGGACCGACATCTTCGGAGGAAGGAGCCATGCATTTTCAGCGCATGATTTGCCCGCACGGATTCCTCCTGTGAAGTTCTCCGTCTTCATCCCCATCGTCCGCATGCTGACAGGGCCATTTATCCAAGAGAACATAGCTTTGCCTCCCGTCATATCATAACCAGCATCAATCTTGTGTACAACTACCGTGCCAACATAGTCCAATCCAGTCCACCTCCCGCCGCCATCTAGCCCGTATCACCACACCGCTCCTCGGATTGAATGAACCGCACTACTCACTCATACCTTCAACCACCCGACTTGCAGCCTGGCTTCAACGACATGTTGGCCTCTGCTCGATCGATCACATTATACGACGGCATGCAGATCTTTCCATCGAATGGCCCGAGCGAGCATTCGGATCAAGAAGATCTAGGGTCGGAAAATACAGATCTGGATCCTCCTTCGCGAGAAGTTGGATTGGTTTCTTCAAGAGTCAGTGACGGATCCATATCTACCCAACACCATTCTCTTGCCTGATGAATTCTGGCTGACCTTCGATGCCCGCAGACCGTGATTTTGAGCCCATTGGACCACGCTCCAACTGATGGCGCCAACGAGACTCTCCCCAATGAGAACCATGTCGTCCAACTCGACTATGATGAAGGTGGACCGGAGCAAGATCAACGGCGCAGAAGACGGGGTATCCGTGATTAGATATCAGTGTACAGACCAATGAGCAAACCACAAACATGGGCATGGTTCTACATGACAGCGGTGCTATGCGCAGTGACCATTCGGCAGTTGGTCGGCTCTGCTACCGGAGCAAAGCCTGGGAGTCTGGAGATTCTCTTTTTTCTAATGATCTTCCTTTCATATGTTCTTACACTTATCTTCGTGTGTCTCACGGGGCATCCGCGTTACAGGGTAACTCCTAAACAGAAGATCATCATGGCGGTGGATACCCTTTTCTTCTTTCATATCGCGGTTGTGTTGGGTTTCAGCCTAGGCTTCTTGCAACTGCTCTACGGTCCTGGCATTGAACTTTCCTAGAACTGACAGATCACGGCGGTATTACTGGGGTACACAATACCGTATACTGCTAGAATTCTCAAATTGCTTTAACACTCATCAATGAAGCCCTCAAGGGACAAACTGCTCTACATACTAGTCAGTTGTCAAAGTCCTTCTAGTCGTTGTTCCTTGCTGGTCCGTGAGATCCTGGCCATGCTCCACACACCACAGGTCCCTTGAGCAGCTAACAAACAGGCAGTGCATCAAGAAAGTTCTCTTCCAGTTGTCCCGTGGGTTGATTCATCTTCATCTCGATTCGTAAAGCTGCCCTTCGTCAGGGTGCGTGTGGCTTGAGACATGTAGCGCGGCCAAGATGGGGACAAATGCCTCCCGAATCCAGGCAGCCTGGTCACGGGGGAACTTGTGGGGAGACTTTGGATTGTGCTGGGCCAGCTTGGTCTTCGATCTTCGCGGACTCTTTTCTTTCATAAAGCTCTATCACTCATAGTGAGCAGCAGGAGCAGCAGCACAGGTGTAACCGCCACCTGCGCGAAACGTTATCTGATGCACAAGCTGACAAACCTCCACAAAAGGTAAGGGTTAGTTTGTTGTCTGGTCTACATACCTGAAAATTGGTGTCTCCCGTCCAGGGTGTCCCTAGCTCTTATGTAAAGTATTCGTGATATCTCTGCATTTTACTCCTCAGAAATTCCATCTCCTTGTCTGAATGAGACTGGTCAGTATCGATTTTTGCTAGGTCTCCCCCCCCCCCCCCCCGCCGGGACGTCGTGGGCGGAGCCTTCTCTTAAACGTTGTATCCTGCGGATCCATAGAGGGGTCTCGATGGAACGAAGCTCGGGTCGTAGATTTGCCCGACGGCCTTGGGCGCTGTCAATATTCGACTCTGTCACGGCGAGTCCACATTCTTCGGACGAGGGCTCAGAAGAGTAGGAGAGATGTGCAAGATCTCATCGACTCCATTTACCTGCGAGAACAGAGTTAGCATCGCGCTCAGCACACCTGGGGGCCACAAGCTTCGGTCTAGCCACATTTCTCCCCCTACATGCCAGCTCCATCAAAACTTACCTGTTGGCTTCTTTGTGGCACCACGGCAAGTGTGATGTCCAAATCTCTTGAAGCTGGAAGAAGCTTGCTCATAGTCATGGACGGCAGACTGCCGCCGTCAACGTCTTTGGCACTAAGATATCCCAATCTCTTCCTTGTTCTGGCAAAACTCATCATGACTTGTGGGCTGGAATGAACGGATATTATAACCTCATCAACTGATCAGTCAGGGAGGAAAGATCGCGGTCTTGGTGGGCCTGCGGCAAGGAGCAGGCGGGGACAACTCGGGGGCGAGGGTTACATATCTGTGGCTTTCCATAGGTTGGCAGGTCTGGAAAAGAGCCAACGGTGAGCACGCTATTGTTGATAGCTCTCGCAACTAGCCTTCGAGTCGAACTTGACACCAATGTCGATGTCATGATTGTTCGGTGATCCTCGACTCCTGTTAACGCTTGATTCCTCGTGCCGCCAACCTTGTCTACATACTCGGAAGCTGCTCATTTATCAGCAACACTCATCACAGCAAAGTCCTTCTGGTGATCAACAGAAACAAGATATCACTTACCTTGCTTCGCCTTCCAAGTGTGATCCTTGATGAGGCGTTCTGGAGACCAATATGGCCGAGTTTAGTTGCTGCATCATCTTGACGTGTCGCTGTTGCATTCGCCGGAGTTTGAGCCACACCTACAAGGCTTCAAGAGGTATCACGAGAAAAGAAACAGACGTGATTGAATGATTTGCATTGCGTAGCTAAACTAAGAAAGACCATTCAGCCGGACTGATGTGACAGCAACTGCCCGTAGAATGGTTGACGATGAAGACATGCCCGAGACCACCCGAATGGCGTGGACGAGCTTGCACATTTCAAAGTACTTTTTTTTTGTAATTCTTCTTCATTTAAGGAAGTCGATGTCGTGAATGGAATATGACTCATTGAATAGAGCCTCGCCTTTTGGTCGGAAGCAGAGACTTCAACTGCTTAGGCTCCCCTCACTGTTCTCCCGCCTGATCGACCGTGCTGAGCACATGTCGATTACTTAGTGAATCTGGGAGCTGAACACTCAGAACAAATAGAAGAAAAGTCGATCGAAGACTGTGATGCGTACTCCCGTAAGTGGTGATTTAAATCTGAACCTCGGTGGAACACGTCATGCTTGTTGTGGAGACAGGTAAAGAAGTGGCTTCCAGTCTTAAATGTACCACATGGCAAAGACAATTCCGTTGGCATTGAAGAGAGGCATCAATGGCTTCACTTCCGAGTCGCTGGGCTCCGAAGATCGACCTCCAGCCTGACCCTGCTTGAAACCGGGACCTGTTTGAGGGCCTTGAGATGATGCAATATCTTCATGTGCTTTGGCACGGTTGGAGGCAATGTGTGCATAGTACACAGCAGGATGAAGAGAAACGGAAGTAGTAGACCGCATGTACTGATAACAGTGCTCATAGATCATGTTCTGAATTGTTTCAGGACGATGATTAGTATCATCGTAAAGAATGGTGTAATGGACAGGTCGAGAAGTGCCCTGAAGAGCAATATGCGAATAGAGATAAAAGTCGAACTCATTGGGCATCGTAATATCTCGCTCAATAAGACAGCCAGGGAGAGGGTTGCCTTTCTGATCAGAGGCATCCTTGCCAATAGGGAAAGCTCGAATATGATGGCGCTTTGATGCGATAATGACTGTAATCTTGCCATTCCACTTATCTTTAGTAATCCCACTTAGGACCGCCTTGATCTCAGGAACCTCTTGATGGAGAACGTGAGCAAACTGGCCCTCAGAAACACCATCACGGAGATAGTAGACCTGCTGAGGAAGCTTTCCACCGCCAACCTGACTCATCCATTGAGTTGCAAGTGGTTTAAGCATATTGTGCCAGTTAGCTAAAGAAATCATCTCGACTCGATGACCATTAGTTTGACATGCTGCAGCATAACGACCACCAAAGCGATCAAAAGATATAGTGAGCGCAGCCATAGACGCTTGTTGACTACCAGGCGATGCGTGAGAGACATCGGCACCAATCAACATTGTTGGAACACTAAAGGCCTTGAAGCCACTCGTATTGTGAGGTAGAACTTGAGAAGTAGTACCGCCGAGTTTAGCATTGACCTTCATAAGTACATTCGAGTAGTATTGAGGATTACCTTTCAATACTTGTTGAATCTGCATGACTTGTGAAACGACACCAAATCGACAATCACAAGATTTTTTGATTCGAAGATAGTGAAAGGACTGCTTATCCTGAACCAGGAAGATGAGCAATTGAGGACGACGTTGGAACTTGTTGCCTGTCTCCTGATGAAGGATCTCAACGCCCTGACCAGCATCGGCTGGTAACATGCGGATATGGGGAGGTGAGTTAGCCACTCTACCAGAATGATTACGATAAGCTCGTGTAAAGTCCAAGGCAAACTTATCGATTTGTGCCTTATCAGGCTTAGTTCGACCAGGAAAAACTCCGATGCCCCATGCCACAAGTTCAGTGGGATTACCAGCGAGAAAAGTTTTGCCCTTGAGATCCCAACGGCCTTTAGTCCCGGGTTGCTCGACCCTATTACCGAATTTGATGCCTGGTGGAGGAAGAATGCGAGCATTAGTTTGAATATGCTGAGAACTAATCTTGAGACCATAGTTCTTGAGGTATTGGTCATTCTCCCAGTTGAGCCAAGATTTACCCTCGTTGATAGCCTTAAGTCGAGTAGCAGGAGGAGAAACAGCAAACTTAATCATGTTAGCAGTCTGGATCTCATTCAACTTGGTGTTGTAGCGCTGGCCGTTCTGAATATAAAGGAACTCCATAGGATACTTAACATTTCTCTTCGTCATTTCAACCAATGGAAGATTAGGAAATTGTAGAGCAGTGTTGTATTTGCGCTTAAAGTACTGAGCGACAGAGAGCATTTCTCCAGTAGGCTGTTTTGTATTGGGATCCTTCCATTCAAGCTTTTCCTGATGGGAGTTGTTGGTAGAGAATTTGTGGATCTTCCATTCTTTCTTGGGTAGTGGGTTACCTTGGTAACTTGCTTTAACAATCACACCTTTGAACTTAGACTGGAGTGCTCTGTGAGTAGTATTGGCGACCATACTACCATTGGTCTGAGTGGGTGTAAGTCGAGCCGCAATGTCAGCGGGATCACGCCAGCCACTGTTGGTAATAACTGCAGCAATGAGCGCAGAGGGCTTCCAAAAGCACGAGTTGGCAACATCGAGGTTGACAACCATCTTCTTTCCTTCAGCAAGACGCATTGATTGGTAAATACCACGCCAAACTTCGATGCCGCCACCGAGATCGGCACGCTCCCCATTGCGTTTGAAAAGAGAACGTTTCACTGAGAGAAATTCTGGAGACTGAGAAGGGCCCTCACGCAGGAGATGATCCATGAAATTAATGGCTTCAGCAACGGAGATGCTCATCTGAATTCGACCATCAAGGAACTGTTGAATGATGCTGATGTCTACTTCTCTAGTCTTCTTGATGTGAAGGCGGAAGCTGTTGTTGTCGCCGCGACTGGGACGACCCTCCTCTTGGTCAAGATCGATCATGAGACGAAGCTCACCATGATCCTTTGAGGACCAGGCAAGACGATTGCCATCATAGATCATTGCAGCTCCAGTCTTGTCCTTGCGGGCACTGGAATTCCAGACCTTGCGTTGGACCATTCGCTTTTCGGCACCGGATCCAATGACCACATCATACTGATAGATCTTGACGGAAGGAAAGCTGTTGACCTTGTATGCGTTGACATTGACTTGGACCGCCTTTCCTGTGGTGTTGAATCCGGGACGCTTGGTGAACTCGGTTGGGAGAGTGTACTGTAGATTGTCAGTACCTGGTGCAGCTATGTTGCGGATATAGGGATAGAAGGAAGGATTGTCGTTGGACGACATGGTGGAAGACAAGATGTGATGCTTTGGAGACGAATGTAGATAGGAGGGCATGCGATGATATGAGGGAAAGGCGGAAGGGAGTGGGGGGTGGGCAAGTTATTTATAGCCAGGGAGCAGCGACCTTGATGGAAGGAATGGAATTGTGAATGGCCTGCTCTCGCCCCAGACATTGACATTGCTGCGACAAGCAGCTGGTGCCGGATGGAAATGAAAATGGATAACAGAAAAGCAGTGCCCTGACACCATCTGTGAAAGAATGGCGCTGAAGGACTACAGCGCTGGAGGCATGGAGTGGTGAATGAATGAATGTGAAACGTTGAAGGAACGGAGAAAAGTATTTAAGGATGGGAACGTTGAAAGGAACGAGCATTGAAGGAAGAAAAGGGATCAGATGGTTAAAATTCCTTTCTTAGACAAACATGGACAACGTGGCTGTTTCAGGTACAAGACTTACCAGTTTGTCAATCTCGTAGAAACTTGCAGGCAAGTCGATGTTACGCAATGAATCCGTGTAGCGTGGTTGAGTGTCACGGGCTGGATCACCTTGTAACATGGGCGCGGTTTGGGTCTGGGTCGAGGTCGCAGAAGGACCGGATGCTTGGCTTGGAGGGATAGGAGGAGGCGCAGAACCTCCCTTGGAAGCGTTGGGAGAACCGCGACCAGAGCCGACTGAAGGAGCATTAGAAGCACGACGGCCCTGGGAGCCAGTGCCAGACGCGCTGCCTCGAGATGCAGGACCATCGAATCCACCGGAGACCTGGAGTCTGTCACCTCGGCGAGATGAAGTCTCCGAGGAGCCTTCAGCACCACCACCAGCACGTCCAACGCCACGACGTCTAGCAGGGCCTGACATGGTGTCAAGTAAGGTTCAGATCTGCAAAATGCTTTGTCGGTCAGGTCCATTAAACCAAGTAGGGGCAAACATGCAAGTATGGGCAGATGTGGTGGGTTTGTAGCGACTGTCGAATGGGATGGTAAGATGCTGAGATTTAATGGGATGGATGCCGGAACAAAGACAAAAGAGCAGGAGAGAGGCTTCAGGGGGGGAGGGGGGGGACACGTTGGGTGTGATCAGGCAAGGAAAGAAGCTCTTGCAAGATTCGGTCAGATGGAGGAAGGTGGGAAGATGACAGAGGGAGAGAACATTTTGTTGTTGTCGTACCAGACGAAGGGTAGGGAAGTGGCCCAGGTGGAAGTGAGAAGCCAGTGAACAAACAATTGCGTAACAAATCGATTTTTGCCAGGCAATGGGGGGGTACGTTTTGGCTGAGAGGAAGAATGGATACGGATGGGGTCAGAGGGAATCTTGCCGAAAGAGATGCTTACCTGCCTCAAACCGTCGACTGTTGTGTTGAGAATTGGACTGACCAAGGTCAGGCTTTGTGGGCGATGTCGGCCTTGCAACGAGGCGGCCCAGGAAGTGGTCCTTGAAAGGCCAAGGTCTCGATTGAAACAAGAAAGAGGTTCTGGGAAAGAGAATAAAGAAAGAAGGTAAGTTGATGGAAGTGGTTGGTTGGAAGGAAGGAGGTAAGTGGGTGTTTATATACCCTTGGGGCTCTTGCCCATGCTCGACGACTCAGCGATCACATGTTATGCCAAGACAACGACAAGGGCTTGACAGCAAAGTGAGAAATCAATTTGAACCTTAATTGAGGGTCATATTGAGTCTCACTTACAGCTGTTGTAAGAGACGAAAGAAAGAAAGGCTGAAACCAAAGTGAGTTGGGTTTTGAAGAAGCTGTGCAACCCGGACAAAGCAAGGGTACCGCTAGGCCCCGAACGGTGTAGCGGCAACTCAAATCCAACAACGCACTACTAACAACAGAAGACACTGATTTGTTGTGCGCCTTGCAATTAGAGTGAGTTCGCGATTCAAATTATAGCATTATGCACCACAATAATGCGCTTTCGACTAGTATCTGTGGCAGAGCCCCAGATTGCTGGCTTTGCGAAACCTCCTTGTAAGTTATGCCAGCCCCAGCAGGACCTCACTCTTGCCCATTGGAGAACCACGCCACATCGTGGCGCTTCAATTGAAATACTTTTGCTGGTAGTGTACACGTTCATGTCTTTCCCCATGTCCCCGCAATTCCCTCCGCCCGTGATGCACAAGGTCTCAATCAACCGTTATCATTCCAAAGCCCACACTATGCGAACCGAAATGGAGCTGCTGCCGATGACATTAGCTGAATGTATGACAAGCAGAATCTGGTCATGACTTACCACCTCCATACTGAGGCTGTGTGCCGGGAGGGGGAACAAAACTTCCTGGAGGTATTTGTGGCTGCTGATGCTGCGTATATGACGACCATTGTGCGGCCGAAGATTGCTGTGGCATTGCATGATGCTGACTGCCAATGCCGGATGGTGGGGGCAGATGCACATCACGAATCAATTCAACCACAGTTGTCGGATCAAACTTGACGTCGACGTAGAGTGAGGCTTTCGGGAGGATACTCAGAAGATACGTGATCTGTGGGGGGAGCGGAGGAGGAACAGGGAATGGAGGTGGACCTGTCGATGGGTTGAGCTGTCGTTGCTGCTGCTGCTGCTGAGCCTGTTGATTCATTCGACGACCAGCGGCACCCTTGAGAGGAGATTCACCTCGGGCAAGCTTACGAGGGCCAAGGTCCTCGAAATCGTCCGGAAATGGCCGTTTGGGCGAATTCGTCGTAATGGCGTCGATCACTTTCTGTATCGGCGAATTTAAGGCTTGTTGTACTTCCACCGAGGGTAGGACGGTTTCAGGAACTTGGATCTGCTGTGGTGAAATCACTGGGTGTGCACGCATGGCATCAAATGTCGGGGTACTATAGCGGTTTGTGAATAGTTGAAGAGTAGGGTCTTCGGGGAAGTGCTTTCTCATCCGTGCTTCCAGGCTCTGAACTTGAGCCAGCTCGCCGTATTTGGACTCATAATCATGAAGATAAGCAAACAAAGGTTTGGCTTTAATGGTGTATCCTGCATCTTCATGCGTGATTAGTCTTTTGACCGTGGTCTCAAAGACGGCGCGTGCATTGGTCACATCATTGATTTCAAACAAATGTTTGATGTACTGAAGTGGAAGATAGTCATCCTCAGGAAACAGTTTCATTCCACGATCCAGGATCTTGGTGCCGGTGGGATCTCGATAGCAGTTCCACTCAATACGAGCAGATTCAACATAGAAGTCACTGGTCAGTTTCCCGCGTTTGCGCGCTTCGCCAAAGACGGCTCGGAACCCACTAGGACCGCGCTCCGTTGGTAGTCCTTTGCCTTGCACTCGGCGAGTGGCCCGCATCAGAGCGATCCAAACATGAGATATCATTCGACTGAGGAGATCGGATTGAGCTTGGGCGCCTTTCTTAATGGTGCCTATCTGTGCATTGAGGACTGCTTGCTTGGCTGCAATATTGGCTGCATTGATCTCGTCTTCTTCGGCTCCGTTTCCTTCGCCGTTGGTAGTCGCAGAAAGTTCTGCTTTTTGGATATCTTCTTTCTCTCTGACAGATACCTTCTTTACATGCTCATAGAGAGCATCTAAGACTCCATCATATGGCTCACGGATCTTCTTCATACGCTCCTTGGCACCTGGATCACTTCCTTCATCATTTTGAGTGGATCCTTCAATCCGGTCGGCGAGTTTGAACGCTAGAAGTGGAGATTCGGGATTGGATGCGAGCCCCTGGTTCAGAAATTTGGTGCCGTCGGAGTCCAGGTCGTTGGCAAAGCAGAATTCGGCGGCGTCGTACCACATCTCGGGCCAGAATTGCAAAGCCATAAGCGCTTGTTTATAGGTGAACAATATCCGCGATCGATATTGCTTGATATCTTCATCCTTCAACACCAGATTATCGTCTTTCTCCCACTGAATCCACTGGTTCCAGAGAGAAACTTGGTGTAAGTAAGCATGGTGGCCTTCATACCCCAGTGAGGGAGGTAAGCGTGGGCGTGTTGTTCTGTGTAGGTCTTTGGTCAGATTTTGAAGTTGTGTATACGCTGTCCGGGCCGTCATGTACGAGGGCGATTTTTCCTGCAGATATTTACGGCCCTGGTAGCAAGTTAGCAACCTATGGTGAATCCATAAAAATCGAGCCTACGTTAATTTTACTCAGCCCTGTCTCGAAAGAATCGTACTCTTTCCAGAGCGTGGTGGTGGCGGCTGTTGGAACGGCAATAGCTTTCTGATATGCTTCACGCAAAGTATCAACTTTGGCAGCATCCTGCCAACCAGAGCCCCCGACAGTACCAGGCCCCGTTTTGAGGAAATTGATATAATCTTGCCATAGAGTGCCCGAATCTTTATCCATGCCGATGGTTTTGAGGGCAAAACTAAAGGATTCATTAATAATTTTGTATGACCTTGCCACATCGCCCGTTTGCATACTGTTGCGACGGCGGATGTAATTGATGTATAGGGACCAGAGCTGGACGTCGAGCACTTCAAGAAGAGACCGGCTGAAAAGGGTTTCCATCGCATGCTTTCTATCGTTTCCTTCCTCGTACTTGACGTAGGCACACCATTGCTCGGCCTAAGAAAAGGTTAGTCAGGCCGAGGAAGAAGTGTGAAAGCCAAGCACCTACATCTAGAGGGAAGACGGAGAGATATTGATCGTAGACTCGACGAACGTCATCTTGCTTATTTCGACTCTTCAGCTCTTCGATCAAGTCAAGATAAGCGGCGGTGTCACCCCGTGGGTCGTCCTTGATGCGATCTTCCAAGATACCAACAATGTCATGAGCAAGTCTCGACTTTGGAACAGCTGGGGCAACAGAACCATTCACATTCAAGCGAGGTGGAGAAGGTTGAGCCGACGGTTCATGAGACGTAGATTGAGCGGGTGTAGCAGTTGCAGCACGTGGTGCATGAGCATCAGCGCCAGAAGGAAGAGCAGAAGAGGGAATGTCAGCAGGACTACCAGATGCCTGGACAGGAACAGGAGTGATTCCATTTTCTTGTTCTGGTGACTGGGAAGTTCTATCAAGGGGGATAGCAGGGGCAGGCGTGGAGACATCGAAGTCCAACCCGACAGAAGGATCATAGACATCAAGCTCGTCCTTTTCATCCAGGGAACCATCCTCTTCCTCAACATCATCATCAACTTCAAAACCACCGACTATGCGGGGTTGACTTTGGGCGGAAATGGCAGGGTTGGGTGTTGCAGCTTGAGAGGAAAGCTGGCTGGCAGGTTTCGTAGGAAGCGGATGGAGAGGAGATTGAGTTGGAGATTGTATTGTATCAGGTAGATTATCGAAAGAATTCAAATCATCAGATGAGGGCGCATTTAAGGCATCAGCTGGGACCGTTACACCATTAGAGCCAACTGGTAGTGATTGTGCTTCCATGCCTAACGGCGATGGCAAACCCTGTAAGGGAGTCGCCATAGCGAGAAGTGATCCTTCTCCACCGGTCGATCCAGGCGGGTTTTTGAGATGAGGAATCACGAGAGAAGCAAGGAAGCGTCAACTGGTCGCGATGGTTAGCCGCAAGAATTGTCAGGTGTGAATGTTCTGTTACTCACCGAAGAAGAAGCAGGGAGGAGAGGTGGTGCTAGTTCATAGGGACACCATGTGGTAGGCACAATGAGCACACAGTCAACGGGATACGGAGTGCTTTGGAAAACAAAGAATGTCAACAGTGAAGTTGTGGGAGAGAGAGGGACAACCCTTGGAGAACAAAAAAGAGATCATATCGGAGAGAAGTCACGTGACTCGGAGAACCTTCCTATTACTAGATAGGTAGTGCATTAAATCACTTAGTGATCTTACTGCTGAACCTGGCCAGTTGGGACGACTGCTACGCGGAGCCAAACGCGACCACGGCCACAGCTGGGGCACGCGCTTCGGATCTCAGTTGGAGTGGTATTTTGTCTGCCAGTGGTACATTCATGCTGCGCACTCTGCTTCACCTTCCAGCCACAACAACACACATAACTGCCGTTCAATTGTTTATTCCTGTTCGCGCACATCCCTTGCCACTTTTCATCAATCAATCGATACGTCGTTGCTTCCACACAATCGCGCGGACCTCAAACTCTTCGCAATCGCCTCCCCACACTTCCCGCGACAATGTCGGTTGTCTCCTTGTTGGGTGTGAAAGTGCTAAACAATCCTGCACTTTTCACCGCTCCTTATGAGTTCGAGATCACCTTTGAATGCCTCGAGCAACTGCGCGAAGGTAGGTCTGCCATACAGTCGTCGCATTTACGCCCTCGGTAGTGGAGACTGATCTATCTACCCCTCCAGACCTGGAGTGGAAACTCACCTATGTCGGCTCTGCAACCTCTGCCGAACACGACCAAGAATTGGACTCTCTTCTCGTGGGCCCTATCCCCATCGGCGTCAACAAATTCATCTTCGAGGCCGACCCACCCAATCTTTCCCGCTTGCCCGCTACAGAGATTCTAGGCGTCACCGTCATTCTTCTGACCTGCTCCTATGATGGGCGAGAGTTTGTCCGCGTTGGTTACTACGTCAACAATGAATATGACAACGAGGAGATGAACAATGACCCGCCTCCGAAACCTATCATCGAACGAATTCGCCGAAATGTCCTTGCAGAAAAACCGAGAGTGACTAGATTCGCCATCAAGTGGTATGTAGTGATCGTTACCGGTGGTATCCATCCCTCGTTACTTTTCTTACAATTTCGCACAGGGATTCGGAAGAATCAGCCCCCGCTGAATTTCCGCCCGACCAACCAGAAGCCGACACACTCGATGATGATGGAACCGGGTACGGCGCGGAGGAAACGGAGATGCAGGCTGCCTTGGAGCAAGAGCTTCAAGAGACAGAAGAAACTTTGGCGCAAACGCCTGAGCATAACAAGACTGAAGGCGACAAGAAGATGGCCGAAGGGGACGCCGGAGACTCCAAGAACATCAAGGGAGAAGACGAGGATGAAGACAGTGACGCCGGCAGTGAGGATCTCGAGGAGGAGAGCTCTGAGTCGGAAGATGACGAAGACGAGGAAGAGGGCGCAGAGGGTGAGGACACAGAGATGGGCGATGCTGATGAGAAGGGTGCTGCAGGCACGGAAACCAATGGTGAGCAGAAGGCGCCGACCAATTCCCAGCCTGAGGTCATGGTCCATTAGTGCCGTGTCTTCTTTTCTCGAGCGGAGCAAGGCGTATGGAGCTGATGACCTTGGGATGTGGTTCATGAAATTCAACCTGGCGGTATGAAATGAAAGCAACAGCGAAGGTGTGAGCAATCGATGACTTCTCTTGGATGGTTGGACATCGAAGAATTGCTTCACCTCTTCTTCCACATGCATACATAGAGTATGATACACTGTTCATACACAAGACACAAGAGCGATATTTGCTCTGGACTACTAGGCTAAGACTAAATATGTTAAGCATAGACATTTACTTCGACCCAAGACTCAGGGCAGGACGAGAATAGAGATGAAAGTGTCTCACAAAGATTTGGTTTAGACGGCGGAGAAAACAGCTGTGACGTTCCTGCCACACTCGATGCGCTGCTCCATGCTCACCTTTCTACCCTTGAGAGTTACAGTATGCTTGGGGGTGGCATGGAAACGATGCTCCTCTCTTCGGCCCGCTTCGATTTCCGCAGCCATGTCCAGCGGGCGGATATATTGGGGCGTGGCGACGTTGTTCCTCTTACCACTCCCAAGCTGGTAGAACTCATTCCCGCCCCACCAGAGCACATCGGCGCCCCAATTTGTATCGTTCTCTGTTCCTCTCTCGCTCGCATCTAGGTAAGTCACATTCTCCATGATGGCCGACGCATGTGTCGAACCGACAGAGATCTGAGCCATCCGGATGGGGATCACGGTTCGATTCTTCTCATCATACTCGAAGAGACCGCTGAGTGTGGGCACTTTTGTAGGTTGATCCTGGACATGTGTCCACTTTCCATTCCCCAGTGACCCTCTCAGGCCACCACCAGTCGCCCACACGTCTGCTGTGACTCGACCCAAGGTACGGATCTCCGCGGGATTTTCAGACGGTCCAGCCACACGGGTGGCATCGACTGAGAAAAAGCTGGATGTGCCACCTGCCGAAATGCTGGTAACTTTGGGCACCTGGTTGGTACCTTGGTATAGTCTGTTAATGGGAAGAAGGGATGGAGTGTCAACATATGGGGCTTCAGGGTTATAGTTGAACCCGAGTTGACCGGAACTGTTGTCGCCAAAGGAGAAGACTCGGCCTTCTTCGTCTAGAACTACAGAATGGAAGTCTCCCGCGGCCACCTGCTGTATTTTAAAGCCCCGCAATGTTGTCAGCTCATGGCACATGTCGTAGGCACCTTCCGGCCGTGTAAGCCAGGTTACGCCAGGGACTCCTAGTTGCCCTCTGCTTGGGAAGTCCTCTGTGCCTGATGCAGCTGAATAGACGCGGCCCTTATTGGTGAGGAGCAAGACATGTTCAAGACCACCACTAATTTTCATGACCTTCTCGCCGATTCCTAGGTTCTGCGGCGAGAGCTTTCTGTAGCTTGTGCTGGCAGAAGTGCTCAGGAAGGGGATCCACGAAATTTCGCTGGGTTTGTAGCCCGTCTCTTGATCAGACTTCGAGACTGGGATAGAGTAGACGGTCCCATTGTTCGATAGGCCAATGACTCGGTCTCGGGATATTTCAATGTTTTTGAGATCTTTACCCTTTAGAGTCACTATTGGCTCCGTGGTGTCTTCAGAGTAGGCTTTCCCCCACTGCACGAGGTCTCCATTTTCAAGGACAGCGGCACCAAAGCCCCGATCGAGCTTGAGGTCTCGTAGTAGCACATCGTCGAAATATGACAATCGTCGAGGGGTCTTTACGTATGGCTCATTGGAGTCTGGTGATGCAACCTGCCCGATATTGGACCCCCAAATATAAACACCAGGATTTTCCCAGCTCTTTTTGACTTGTAAATGCTGTGAGCTGATGAGATCTCTATTCTCCTCCTTTGAAGCCCCCCTTTTCCTCTTAGATTTTTCGATCCTGATCTCTGGCAATTCGGTAGCGGGGCTTTCTGCCAAAACCTGAGTGAAGGGACTGGTATTATAGATCAATGCAACCGTGGCAGCCGCAGCGAAGAGGACAACTGAATGTCGTTTCCAGGCTTGGTGATGGTTGGAAGGGCTAGGGACTCTGGTGGAGAAAGTTGTGGACTTAGGAAACAGTGTACGGGTTTTGGAGGTAATGGTTGTCGATCGTGATGACCTAGTGAATTGATGAAGCGCCGAACTACCTATGCTCCTGGAAGCCATTGAGGAACAGTACGCGCGATTCATATATATCTTGAAGAAAGACAAGACAAAAGCCAGTCCAAAGCTCACATTCAAATTGATATGTCTCGACACCGTATTCGCGAAATGGAGGACGTCATTGTCGATTGTTCACCGCCCTGAGAATTTGTGGCAGAATTTCTTCCCATTTGGGCAACCAAGCAATAGCCCATTAAGAGTCCACGACTGAGACTGGAGGCTGGTCTTGGACATGTCAAACTGTCAATTGTGCTGGGACTCTTGCGAGCATGAATGGATGCGACTGTCATTGAGTTGGGCCTCTATATGACTCGAGAGAAACCATCCACCATTCCTGGCTCAAGCCATGGCCTTCCAGATGAACATGAGTGATCCACAAGATGCCACCCTAGCACGACTCGAGAGTGCCGGGAACGAAGTCGATCTTCTCAAATTGTCCGGTGACATAGATGAAGACTTGCTGGACGCCAGTCTAGATGAATACCAGTACGACCAAGATGTCTCCCAATCCAATACTCTTGACTTTTCGCTAAAAGATATGTAGGAATTACCTTGATCAATTGGATACCGCGCGTTCCCATCTCGACTCCCTTTTGGCAGACACCGCTGCAGTACTCGACGAACTATCCGAAATCTCTGCCTCTTTCAAAGACATCGATGTCCAGACGAAGAGCTTCCGAAAACAGTCTGCCAATATCCTTGAAGAACAGCGCAAGAATGACTCGGTGGCACAGAATATCGCCGACAATTTACGCTTCTACGAACCCTTGGAACGAATCACGAGAAGACTCAATGCCCCTGGGGCTGGAGCCTTTGTCCGAAGCAAAGATTTCTCCGATATGCTTGTTACTCTGGATGAATGCATAGACTACATGCAGACGCACACAAGTCACAAAGAAGCCGAGAATTTCCGGTCACGCTACCGACTGCTACTTACACGAGCTCTGACTCTGGTTCGGAATACGTTCATGGCTGGAGTCAGAGAGACCACAACGGAGGTCGCAGGGAGGATCGCGGCGAAACAACTCAATGATACAACGATGTCGGCTCTGCTATACGCCAAGTTCCGAGTAGGGGCGGCAGAAATGAAAGAACTCGGTCTGGAAATTCAAAAGCGTGCGAATCCTCCAGCAGAGGCTGAACCGGGCACGGAAGGAGAATATCAGAGCCTCATGAACGAATTGCACGCCAGTTTTGCCGCATGTCGAGCAAGATTGATACTCCCAATAGTACAACGTCGACTCACCGAGATCGGACAAGCCCCCAGTTCCAAGGATCTGGTCCAACTTGCGCGCTCCAGTATTAGTTATATCCGTGGTATGTGCTTGGACGAGTTTGAGCTCTGGGGCGAATGGTTTCACGGCTACCGAGGGGTCTATGAATTTCTCGAGTCAGTGTGTGAGCCACTTTACGACCATCTTCGCCCACGTATCATTCATGAGAACAAGTTATCGAAGCTCTGTTCTCTTGTGACGCTGCTGCAGACTAGATACCTCCACGACGAAGAAGAAGATGGCCCTGTTGACATGAATCAACTCGACTTCTCCTCCTTGATCCAGCCAGCTTTAGAGGATGCACAGACCCGACTGCTCTTCCGTGCACAGGCAATTCTACGAGATGAGATTGAGAATTTCAAGCCGAAGCCTGACGACCTCGACTATCCACGACGCACTTCACGGCCACCAACTGCAAGCACGCCTCTTTCTGGCCGCCGCAGGTCACGAGATCCAATAACCCGAAAAACGCCGGAGTTTGTCGATGAAGACTCAGGCGACGAAGGTGCCTTTTCCTGGACCATTGCATCTCGCCGTACTGCACTTCAAAACTGCTATCCCACGCTTGCAAAAGCCATACAACTTCTGTCAAGGATATACAGACTGGTCAACTCTTCCGTCTTTGACGATCTCGCTCATCAAATCGTACATCAAACAACGATCTCTTTACATTCTGCTTCCCTGCAAATATCTTCCAAGTCCTCTCCTGCCGATGGACAGCTCTTCTTACTGCGAAGCCTTCTTCTTCTGAAGTCCCAAATCGTCGCCTTTGACATTGAATACGTCACGCCTGATGTTTCGTTCGATTTTTCGGGCGTCGCTAGCACTTTCTACGAGCTACGCGAACGCGGCGGGCTGTTTAACCCGAGGAGTTGGGTGAAACTTTTCAGCACGGGCGGTTTGTTACCTCGGGTCGTCGAAAACATGCTGGATGCGAAAGTCGAGCTGGATGGACGTCTTCGAACGGTGATCAATGACTTCACAGCAGGGTTCGCCAACGATATGACAAAGGAATTACCAAGGGATGTGGAGAAATCGAGTGTCAAGATTGAACACTTGGACAAGGCGGTTTCAACCACGCGCAAGAACGTTGAGAAAGAAATTCCCATCCTTCGAGCGAAGCTGGAGCAATATATCGACGATATTCGTACCCGAGAAACCCTTGTCGCTGCCGTCGAAGATCAGGTCGTCCAAATCTATGAATCTTTCTTCGATGGATATGTCTGGCGGCTGGGCGGGAATCGCAAGATCAATGGTACGACTCAAATCTCCCGCAAGGGTAAGGGCCCAGAGAATGCTGTATGGGATATCGATACGTTTGCGGAGTGGGCAGAGGGCCTTTTCAATGTCGCATTGCCAAATGTCGAGGATGATACGGCGAGCAATGCCGTCAGTCGGAGTTTATCGAGAAGTGGTAGTCTGTGAGATAGTTCTGTCACCAAATAAACAGATGATCAGGATAAAACATGCGTATTAGTGCCACCAAGGTTGAGTTTCCCCCTTCCCTTCCCTGTTTGGAGCTGCTGAGCGCGGTGAATCCATGTCTGAGCCGCCTCACGCACCCCGCCCGACCTTGCACATTCCCGAGCGACAATCTCCTGCACATGCACCCCTGTGTCGCTTGTATCAAGAGGCATGGTTTCAGGTACAGTGAGCGATGTTGCTTTGCCTTTCGTGATGGCCTTACTACGGTTTCCAACGATTCCAATATTTCTTGTGCTTGGGATCCGCATCAAGGTAACTTCCGCATGGAGACCGATTTCTTCCGTGAGAGCCACAACTTTACGAGTCAAGCACGCATACATACTCTTATCGTCTGAGTGATTTGCTGCCTTTATTTTCGCTGCACGCAAGGTCTTCAAATCACCCCCCGCAGGCTGCGCTTCAGGGTCATTGATTGTTGAGTCGGTGAACTGCGGATGAACATCTTTCGGGGTGTATCGATGCCTCGCCCCACTGAGTGCATGTGAGCAGCAAGGAATTGCAAGAAATGGAAGCGGTGAGCTTGGAGAGGAAAGGTTAGCTAAAAGCGGTGTCCACGGCGTCAGTTCATCGGCATGATTGGAGATGATGAATGTGCCTGGGGGAAAGAGACCACTATGGACTCTGGTGTCTGGTAGCAAGTCTTCGAGCTCGGATTCGACCGTGGCTAGGAATGGTTGCGGAATGCAAATCATCTCGTCCAGGAACTCATCGATCCCTAGGACTTCCCATGTCTTTCGCCGACGAGCATCAAACCCTCGACCAGCATAACCTTCTTTGATCAAGATATAAGTGAGGACTCCATTGCCGCATGCAATGTCGACGAATCCAGAGAAGTCCGCTGTTGTAGCATACATTTGCCTCCAAAGTTCAATTACAAACGCGGCGATAGAGAGATCCTCGAAGACATGCTTAGATGGTTCGGTCTTCTCGACCCACCGAGAAACGAGATCGGAGGCGTACTGCTGCTTCAATCGGCTATAGGTATTTTGGACAGTGTGTTGTGGGAGTATTGTGTCCTTCAATGCGGAAGGTGCCATAGAGAACCATGATGCATCGCCCTGGAGCCCATTGGCAACTTTGTGCTCCGGGGTGGGGTTCTTTGCTAGTCTGAGAAAGGTCTGGAGAAGAGAAACAAATGTGCGATGCAAACGACCGGGTACCTCCTTGTGAGGATCGAAGGGCAGGTAATGGATCGAGAGTGACGCCTCGTCTTCCTTCTTCTCATATAGATAAGCGAGGGACTGAACTGGAGGGTGATACCATGGTATTTCATTCTCAGACTCGATACGTGGGACGTAAACCACAATGCGGCCTGCGCTGTGGGGAGATTGAGAGATATCGTAGATATAACACCATTGCTCGAGGGCAGCGTCAAGTTGTGGTTTCCTTGGAATGAGCTTTCGCAACACCTGTCGCTTGAGGATGGCGCCGTCGATGATTGGAGCCGCACCCGGTCCAGTCTCTTTCAGCGAATAAATCGCATTATTCAGTCCACCTTTGTCATCCTCGGAGCTTCCTTCATGACGGTCACTTGCGACGACGAGACCATATGCTTTTTCCTTCTCTGACGCTGTCTTTAATATCTGTGAACTATCGAAGACGACGTCTGCTCGAAATAGATGGGTCGAGTTTAGATTCGGATTCTCCAACAGAAGATCGCTCACTTGAGCAAACTTGGCCTCTGAGAGATCTGGACAAAGCTCCTTGTAGTCCCGGTCCGTCTTCCAGGGACCTTCTCCGCTTCTCAATATCATTACTGCATTTGTCGTGAGAATAGACGTCGTAGGTCCCCAGACAGTGATAGTAAGATACAGCGAGATTGAGCTATCGAATATATTGGCTTTCTTCTGTCCCACAATAGTATATCTGCATGTGATCGAGATTGCTGCTACATGAGGTCCCGTTGGATGAGAGGGCCTGGGAATAGATTACCTAAATACTTGCCTAGGGGTATCTAAAGCTACGCTTTATGATTCTCCAGTGCGTAAGGAAAGGGCACAGTAAGGCTTGGCGCCTTAGCTAAAAATTGACTTCGTTATATGGAATCTCTCCTTTAGTCGAAGAATTGCCACAGAAATTGCTCCCTCGAGACGTTGTTTTCAACATCCGGGTGGCACAATTGTCGCGTGAGACTTTTACTCTTCGATATAAGCAGGAAGTGTAATTAATTAAATAATTAGGAGAAGCCAATTAGGGGAGTACTATAGAGCCTGGGAGCTGTTGCTTGGCCGACTAGGGTGAGAAAAAATGGCGAACAGTTCGATGGAAACAGGGCCCAATTAGCCCATTGTAAATTTGCCAGTACTCCGTACAATATGAAGAGTGCGTCCAGTTCCCCCGGTTCATGATCTATCTAAAATCCATTTGCTTCGACACTACTATACAGCTTCTACCTTCATGGTATGAATGGCTTCCAGCTTGCTCGGCCCTGTGCTCTGAAAAAAACTCGCCTTGGTGCCGCCCCACGTCTCAATTGTCTTTCCTTTGCTGTCTTCGATGGCCTTGGCTTATGTACCACAGCGCTGCCTAAAGATGGAAGGCATGGTTCTGAAGAGGAGCAAGTGAAGGACGCGCCGCACCAGAGTATCAAGATGCTGCGTCTCAACATCATTGCGTATATGGCTTCTTCAAAGCAGTGCAGGCAGGGCTATTTGAAACGATGAGGCCAGCGTATGGAATATTCGAGATGCGCCTTTATCTCATGCTGCAAGGATATCTCAAGCTCAGCAGACTGTGTCTGTGCAATAACGCTTTTCCTCGTTGTCAATTTGATACCCGATATCCTTCTGGATGATGTCGTTTGCCAGCTCTGGCTTCGTCCCACGCTTGCATTTTCCCCCGCTCACGAACTTCTCTTTGATACTCCATCTGTGATTGTGATTTCTGATTCCAGTTTGAGGGTTGATCCTTGGTGAATAGTTTTTGCATACCAAAGCCGATGCAGACTGAGAACGCAGCGGCGAGGATAACCAGCAGAACTATAACGGAGTCCGGCAGAGCGTCCATGGTTTTTGACTGTGGCGGCAAGTTTCCTGAGCCGAGACGGAGCCTTCACAGTGAAGACTTGAGCTTTCTGGGCCTGGCTTTTTGTTGTTTTTCCCGTCGAGAAAGGGTGATGATGGCGCACTCGAGGCCGAACCACGAGTTTCTTAGGGAAGGAGGCTGGGCAGATTGGAATTCTGGGTAGTGAACGAGAGACTGGAAATACAGACCGCAGAGGCTCTGCGAGGAGCACCTTTACCAACATTATTAGATATATAAGCACAGCCCATATTTGAGAGATTGCCGTGGGCATGGGCATGATATCTGAGACCTCCCTGACATTGGCAAGTCTGAAAACTGAAATCAACACGAACGAACCAATGACGACCAAGGGCATATAGAGATGGGAACAAGCAAGCTCCTACACTGGGGACTGATGCTAATAGGCCTCAATCTTTAGGAGTTGGAATATTCCGGAGCCGAGTCCACCGACAGCAGGATAGCTATCGTAAACGCTAGACCGAATCTAGCCATCAACACGACATGTCCAATCAGAACACGGCAGGGGCCAAGGGGACGTAAAACGGGCCCCCGGGCGCCTGGCACGAGTCCATCGCTAACCCTCTCCGCCCGGTTGGAACGGCCGCACGAAACATGTCGTATTCCCAATTGATATCCATACTACGGACTACCTCCTGGCACTAAACATGTAGGTAAGTCATGGCAATTCCGTTGATTATGTCTTCCATGCCAACGATAGACCAGCACGCCGTTAAGTTGAGCTCCCCCCAAGACATCGCTCCAAACAACGGCGATGGTGCAGATCCGCAGCTAACTTGCATGGATTAATTTTTCTTGGACGCTCGTATCTCCCTTTGCACCCTCCAAATAGCGCTGCGTCTCGTCAGCGAACCCAGTCTCCAATCAGTGGCATCTCTTTTCTACGAATGGTGGATTCGATTACATCAGGTGGTAGATGCGTGCACGACGGGCTGCCCACGCAAAGTCCAAAAATGGGTGTCTTACCTGCAAGTGAGTACCATTAATCAGCACCCCAATCAAAGGGCAAGACGGGAATCCACGTTCTGACTGACACAGAGTCCGTCGAGTAAAATGTGACGAGACGAGACCCTATTGTCGGAAATGCACCGAGACTGGGAGGAAATGCGAAGGGCCCAGCAGTCTGGATCTTCGCTTTCGTTTTGTCGACAACTTCTCCAGTTCAAGAACCAAGAGTGCAGTCTCGAGGATCCAAGTCCTCTCGCCGACAATTTCCATCCTTCAGCCACAATGCACCGAGATTGAAAGACGCTCTTTCGATTTTTTCATTCATCGTGCGGCACCCTGTTTTGCGGGTGCCATCGAAGATGACTTTTGGCTGCATGCTATCCCATCTCTTGCCCTGTCCGACTCTGCTGTCTGGGATATAGCAGTATCAAGCAGTTATATGTTCGAAAATGTACCTCACGAGGCGCTGTTAGTTTCCTTCAAGTCAAGTTCGACACCACCCGCCACGGGTGCACCCCACCGCCAGGCTCTGAAGTGGTACAACCGAGGCCTTTCCAATCTCCAACAGCGAATGGAGCGGAACGAAATGGATAGTACATATGCTTTACTCACTTGCATATTGTGTACCTGCATAGAGTTTCAGCAAAACAATATCGGCAATGCCATGGAACTCATTCAGAGTGGGTTCAAGGTTTTGAGTCAAACATTGCGCAGTAAAAAAAGTACGCAGTCGGCACAAATGGGTGTCTTCAGCGAGGTCATCGTGTCATTTTTTACTCGACACGCGGTCGCCGTAGCAAACTTTGTCATGCTGCCACTTTCGGACTGGTCTGGCGATGTGTCGCCCACCAATGATGCCGGACGATCTGTTTCATCCCCATCGGATCAAGTCTCTAGGATCAGGTCGCACCTCTTCCATCTCATGTATCAAGCATATCAGACCGTAAGGGTTGCCATTCTGATGTGGCAAGACGTCGAAATCATCAAAGGACTTTTGTCAGCGCAAAGGGTGACCATTGATGAATTGAAAAGGTGGCGCGTTTCATTTACCGGATATTGTTCTTCGCACCGGGACACCATGAGTGGTCGGGATATGCAACTATTGACATCACACTTGTTGATATCCTGGAATGTTTGTTACATCTGGTTGGAAGCTTGCACCGAGATCAGTGAGATGGCATACGACAAGCACATGGATCATTTTGCCGAGATACTCCTAGAATGTGAGCGTGTCCTAGCCCTAGCTGTGCAACAGACGGTCGAGGGGCAACCACGCACCAAGATTGTAGTGGAATTGGTGCCACCGCTGTACTTCACGGTGATGAAGTGCCGTGATCCAGTCCTGAGGAGGAAGGCACTTGCTCTCCTCGAGAAAGTACCGCCAGATGGACCATGGGCCGATGTCCTGACGGCACGAGTTGTTCGGAATGCCATTACACTGGAAGAGGGCCAGCCATACAACCCTGTAGACCTTACGGAACCAAAACCCTTGTGCGAGCTACGCGCACGTCCCCTACCGCCTGAGGACCGCCGATTGCACACAATTGCGTTCACAGGCCAGGAGAGAACAGATGTCGGCTACACGACCTGCTTGCAGCTGGGAAAGATCGCTATCGACGCAAGTGGGAAAAAAAGAGCCGTCCACGAAACCATTCGAATCCAGGACTCGACAAGAATGGTCGCGCTCTGATCTCGGAATTTGAAAGTGTATACGAGATGGGACTGACCTTGATGTACCATCGTCACCTGCGTACGCCACGCCTGCCGACTCCTCTAACTAGGTACGCATACATGCTCAATCAGGAGTCACGTGGATGTATGATAGATACCTCACCTGGTTAGTATCGGATAGAAAGGACATAGAAAGTTGTATTTAAAAAGGTGGCGATGCGCAATGTAAAGGTAGGAGCAAGGTATATCCCACCTCTTCGTGAACGAGGACAGCGTTTTACGCCGAGTAGATGGTTAGTTACCTGAGAGTGGAAGGCTGTTGTGCACGTTCACTTTTCTACCTGTTCTCAGGGAGCGAAGGCTGGATGGAATTGGCTTTGGGGTATCTTAGGAGGCTCAAGACGTTTGTTCTCATCTGGCTGTTCTGCTCTACTCTTCCCATGAGTTTCGGGCCTGATCATAGAGGAGTCCCTTCGAGGCTCATATGTAAGGTTCAAGGAAGACCCTATTCTGCATCGACTGATGACTACAAAGGAATTCGACCTCCTTCTGAAACTTTGAATGATATGTTTGACTCCTTTCTAAGTCGCTGGTCCACTGCTCCCGTCCTCAGGCGCTGGAGACGAAGCAACCGCGGGTCCGGCCGCGCCATTTTGCACGGCAGAGAGGTACTTCTCGTGTGCCTTGCGCTGAAGCTCCCAGTCTTTCTTCAGCCGCTTAATTTTCGATGCTGTCAGCGCCGAGCCATCCTTCGCTGTCGTCGGGATGCCGTCTGGGTCCCACGCGGAGTAGTCGTTGGAGTGGGGAGGCTTGAACATTTCGTGCGGAGGGACTCGTCCTCTCTGCAGTTTTTCTAGTGCTTCTTGCTCGCGCTTCTTTTTCGCTTCTTCCTTCTGGCGAGCGCGGTCTTCGCGTTCGCGGCGTGCAGCTCGGAGTCCTTCGGTCACAGGCCGAACGAGCGCGGGAGCATTCTCGCGGTCTTCCAGGTAGATATCAAGCTGCCAGAGATCTACATCTCTGACACGATCGCATAGAGCGATGATCTGCTTATTGAGGTCCACCGAGTCCGACGGTGCGGCTGCTTCTAATGCGCTGCGGCTGAACTCGCTCAAAGCACGGGCGTATGAAGGTCTGGGCCGTCCGCTAGAAGGGATGTCTGCTTGTTCAGGAGAACTGGAGACGATCTTTTGGACCTTCTCTGCTGTGATTGATTTGGCAATAGCGGCTTGACGTAGCTCATCTCTTATTTTCGCAAGTGGGTAGACAAATTCCTTTGCCGCGTCGGGAATCTCGATGCCCTTCCACCCTATTGCTGTAGAGTCGGCAGGAGTATCGCCATTGAGACCAAAGATGTTGACCATGCGGGTGACAAAGCGCGCGGTACTGATATGATCCTCGTAAGTGAGGTCAATCTTCTTGGTACTGTTGTAGGCATTGATCAGAGTGGAGATGGAGGCCATGGCGGCAGTCGTGTTAAAGGAATCTAAGAGGGCAGCTCGGACTCTTCCCTCTGTGTCTTGTAGAACATCTTGGAGTGCTCCATTCTGATTGGTGGTATGCTTGGCGGTGTTGATGTTGTCGACCGCGTTGAGGAAGAAATTGTCCACTCGATCCTCCCAACTTCGACCTTCTAGAACCATGTCGTCCGTGATTTCGATACCGTCTTTCCAGCTACCAAGTAAGAAAACGATCCGCAGACTCCTCGATGTCCAATCTTTTCGCACATGCAGGGCTTCCCGAATGGTAGTGAAGTTTTTGAGGGACTTGGACATCTTGGACCCGGCTATGGACAGGTGGCCCATGTGAATGAAGTAATTGACCCACTGTTTTTGACGGCCGTCAGCCCAGAAGGCTTCACTTTGTGCCAGCTCGTTGTCATGATGTGGAAACGCCAAGTCAATACCTCCGGAATGTATGTCCATTTGACTTCCAAGCTTTCCAGAAGCCATTGCTGAGCATTCGATATGCCACCCAGGTCTACCCGGGCCCCATTCGCTGTCCCAACTAGGCTCACCAGGTTTCGATGCTTTCCACAAGGCAAAATCTGCATCGGACCGCTTGACGCTATCATCCGCTTGCGAAAGAGCGCCCTCGCCATCTGCTTGGAGGTCCTTGTCATTTCGGTTCCAGGGCTCGAGTCGCGCGTACGGGAAACCAGCCGCCTCAAATGCCTTGATGTCAAAGTAGACAGAACCATCGGCGGTCCTGTAACCTAATTTGTTGTCGACAATCTTCTTGACGAACTCAGCGATCTCCTTGCCGTGCTCGGTCACACGAACGATCTCGTCGGGATCCAACACATTTAGATCGTGCATATCCTGGAAGAATCGATGCTCATACTCCTTGGTGAGCTTCGTGAAGACAGCATAGTCATCACCTCGAATGGACTTGCCAAGTTGTTCGTCTAGGACCAGGTACATTGGATCGGCAACTCTGCTGTAGAACTCGTGTGGTGTAAGGAGTTTTGGGTCCTGCATCAAGGCTTTTGCTGTGGTTCGGGCAGTTGTGATGTGCATTTTGATCTTTGCCTCCTTATCCCCCGGTTTGGTGCCTGGTTCCAGACTTCCTCCGGCAAGGATATCTCCGTAGCTCTGTTCGACTACACCGTCGAACGTTTCAGGAGTCAGTAGTGTCTTCGGGCCTATTCTTTTCAGGTTTTTCTGAATGTAGTAGTGCCACGCCTGCCGGACATCTTGCCGAACTTGGTCGTCGATGTATCTTGGCCTCAAGTCAGAAAGCTTTTAGTTGTGATGGATGGGCTCTGAAGACGGTACCTATGCTGCTTCTTGTATTCATCATAGAGATGTCTTTGCCTTCCCCGCAGAATTATCTTGTCATCAACGTCGGTGGTATTCATAATAAACTTGATACTGAAGTGAAAATAGTCCCGCAGAATCCGACGAATGATGTCTGTGGAGACATAGTTTCTGGCATGACCCAGGTGGGCGTCGTCATAGACAGTAGGACCGCAAGCATACCATGAGATGTGCTCAGGCTGGATCGGAATGAAGGGTACTTTTGACCGGGTCAGGGAGTTATAGATTCTCAATTGCGGCTGGTGAGTTGAGCCAGGGGGCTGAGCCCAGGGAGGTTGAGACATTCTGGACGCTTTGCAAAACTTGGGAGCAGAGGAGCAGAAGGAGCGTCTCAAGTAGAAGAGAGCGGGAGCACTATGTGGGTTCATTGACTCATCTTTGTTGCATCCATCCTTCACGGGCCCAGGGCTGGGATGTGTCAGAGATGCTCATGCAAGGCGCAGGCAGGGTCTGGAGGAACCCCAAACAAGACAAACATGCCAAGTCCGCTTAGGTGAGGCCGCCCATTGAGATCTCCCGAGATCACTTTCCAGTAGCGGAGGGCCCAATGTAGCCTAAACCAGCGGCAGCTCCCGCCCCCAATAATGCTGATCATCCAGGCTTGGGCTTGATGGGGCTGTTAGTTTGGCTACAGTCACGCCTACTTGACAGCTTCCACAACAGTCACCCAACAGGTTGGACCTCACAATGTTAGTAATCCAGGTCAACGTTAGTATGAATCAGAAGACGGAGAAGAAGAGCCAGTGGATATATCGCGTTGCGACGGCCAAATTCTCCCATAGTGTGCAATATACTCTGCCGTCAACCTCTAACACTCACCATCGCACAATCTCAAGGCTCCTCTTTCTCACCACCCGCTGACTCACCCGGTCTTTTCTGTCCATGTGGTTGATGCTTGATCTCTCTCTGCCCCTTTGTTCGCCTCTTGGCCTCCTTCTTAAGCTGGCGCTGGCTTTTCGGGACATTCGATGTAACATCTACATGCTTCACCCATTTTGCTTGAGCCTCAGCTTCGTCTTCTTCACTCCATGATCGGGGCAATACCGCAAACACGAGGTACGACGTATGCGTTTTCAAGTCTGGTTCTGTTCGGTGAATCAGCCTCCCACCGTCGAAAGGGAGAGTCTGCTGTTGCTGATTTTGATCGACCTTGGCCCAAACCCTTGCCTCCTCAGGGTTGCCCTTTTGATGACTCCTTGCTCTTCCGTTGACTTCTCGCAGCTTTAACAGTGCCTCGTTCACATCTGCTGCCATGGTGTTGACTCCCCGCATCCCTTCGTACTGCAGGCTAGTATATTCCCGCCGGATGTCGATTCGCCTGTGCTGCACCTCTACTGTTTCAATTTCCAGCCAGTCGAATCTTCGAAGAGCTGATATCGTTCTCTGTACCTGCTCTATGCATGGACTGAAAGTGCAAATGTAGACGGGTGAACGGTCGTCAAGCGCAGAAGGTGTTCCATCCTGAGACTGTCGTGTGAGGTGCGGTAACGCTTCCCACGGCGCCGGAAGATCGAGAAAGACTGCGTTCGCGCGGGGTGAGGTTCTTTTACTAGCCTCATCGTCGTGAAGGAGAAATCCATCCTTATACACGTCTCTGTGCATAGCTCGCACTATCCTATCCAACCCATGCTCCAACATCTCCGCCTGAACCTTTCTGTGTCGTTCCGCGTGGAACTCGTATGAAAAGACTTTTCCATGGGTGTCAGAACTCTCCGTAAAGCTTTCTTGACTTACAATATCCTCCACAGGAGGATACCCATTAAATACAGCTCTCGCAGCGGCATGTGTAAAGCTTCCACTTCCACTTCCGGCCTCGATCAACCTTGTCCCCGGTTGGGCTCTGATCCTGTGCAATATGTAGCTGTAGTCCGGTGTATAAACCACCTGTGTCCTGTGAGGCAGGTTTCTAGTCCAGCTTTCAGGTGTAGGTGGTAGAACATGCACAAAGCCAGAACTCGCAGCAACGGCGTCTTTGGTGGGCGCCGAAGAGGCATCACCATTTGGAGCTTTGTCTTCCAACGCATCCGCTTTCCGCTTCTTCGCGTGCGGCCGCTCCTTCCTACCACGAGAGCCGGTATCCACGCGGCTTGCTCGGATCTGACTGCCCCATGGCATACCAATAATAGTGGAATGTGGAAAGGAGCCGAAACGGGTATTGGTGACCATGCCTTCCGCGTAGCCCCGATCTTCTGCATCCTGAACCTTGATCGACAGGACCACTGGGATAGAAGCATCCCGGCGCAGATGCAGAGTTGCTAGCTCGTGTTCTTTGGCAATCGACCCCGGGGTGAGAAACGAGGATGTCATTGTTGGGGAAAGCTTAAAAAGGTCGTGTACAGCTCAGGAGGGAAACCGAGAGCACCTTCGTCTACGCTACTAGAACGCAAAAAAGCCTTATGCGGCTCCGTTTGAGCTGTCCCAGTTGCTGACAATTACCTGGGCGGACTGTGGTGTGGGAACACGAAAGTTTTAGCAGGACTGAAAGAGAAGTGAAAAGTCGTGTCACGTGATATGATTGGGGTGTCGACACCGGGGATTTATCTCCTAGGGGTCAGCACGCGCAAGGCTGTGGGTTCGTGGGATAATTCACAAAGCTAGAGAGCACACTTTTACTACGGGTTGTAGACATAGAGAGGAGTCTCATCATTCCTCAAGACATTTTGCGCCAAACTCTGTAAAGATCGAACCTAATCCCAAGGTTTCCGAATACCCTCGCACACCAAGTCGCGCTCCGGAAGTGTGCCATTCGCAAAGAACGCTCTGACGATGGGAAAGAGGCATCTACTAGGATTATTCTCGGTGGAGCAGTGGCCTGGGATATCTTGAGTGAGTACTACACTCCCTTCGTGTCCTTTGGACATTTTGTGGGCATTGTATACAGGCGTCACTGGATCTGCAGTGTTGCCAATGAATAAAAGCGGACTACCTCTGGGGTTATAGTCTGACAGTTTCGATCGAAACGGCCCATTGAAACGATTTTTCGATGACGGTCTCAGTGACCATGGCCAGTGGATGCAATGGAGCGTAATCTCTGCCCAGATAGGTGCACTCAGCTCGGATTGAGACTCCAAGAGAGCCAGGTAATTGGTGTGATTGGCTTTGGTGCGAGCCGTAATATCATCTCCGTCACCGCACAGTATCGAGACTGAAGCTTCCGTTTGCCAAGTATAGCCAAATTGGAAGGGCTCACCAGAGTCCTCGAGGGACACGGTCCCCAAGCCTAAGAGATTTGGAATAGGAGGTAGGGAGGGTGAAAAGCCTCTGTGCTTTCGATGCTGCCATAATTCTCCGGTTTCTATGATTGAGCTTGCCGTTACCAAGTCCCCACTCGCCAATACCTGAAGCCATCGTGCGAGCAGAGGCCAGAAGGAATTGGGGAAGTACAGCGACGTATGAAGCGATATTCTCAGGATGTAGTGTGTGAGGAGAACTGAGTTGCCTGCAACGATCAAAGGGATTGGCTCCTCCTTGAGCTTCTCCAGGAAGGCGTCCACCCGCGCACGAATGTCATTTGGTGATTTATTGGACGGCTCGTAGAACGCGCATTTTGGGCCCGCCTCAAAGCAATATTCGAAGAACTTCGACCAGGTCTTAGCATTATCGCGGAGATTTGAGGTCCACCCCGTTGCAGCGTAGTCATCTGCGTCGACAACCCCATCCAAAATAATTCGACCGACTCGTTCCGGGAACATTGAAGCAAAAGTGTTTCCCAAGTACGTCCCATAGGACAGGCCCCAATAGTTTAGGAGCGGGACATCCTCTTTGGGATCTTTAGTGAGCTTTTGTTGCTGATTGACCGCCAGCGGATTCGCAGTTCGCAATTCAATCTTCAAGTGTTCATCGAGCCGGTCCACGATTTCGAGCATATCCCGTGCTACCAATGCAGTGCTGACATATTGACGAATGTTCGATCCATCTTCAAAGTCGCCAGAATATTGACAAAGTTGGCCCAAGCCCTGGTCAAGTCCCCACTTCACATTGAGAGCATCAGGGAAACGATCCAAACCACCCGCGCCAATACCCAGGATAATTTGGGCCTGTCTAGCGGCATCGTCGTTGAAGCAGGCGACATTTGGTGTTGTGTACTTAACTCCACGAGGGTCAAAGGACAAGATATCGAAATGCTTCTCACTGTCCACAAGGCCTTGTAGCGATTTTCCAGAACTGATCAGGATATCAGTGCCGGAGCCTCCTGGACCCCCAGGATTGACAAGTATCGCTCCACCATAGGATTCATCCGACCGATCAACGACAGCAGGGAGTCGGATTATGGCGACTGATATGTTGTTTGGATTCGACCGATCGTTCCAATCCAATGGCACGACCAGCTTCGCACAATCGAAAGAACCGTCATAACATTTCTGAAAATCGAGCTTCGGAGAGGACTCAAGTTTACCCCAGTCAAATGGCGTCACAGGAACCTCTTTGTCGGGTATCGGAACGAAGACGGCTTGAGAGATGGTGGCTAGCCCAAACCAAAGGCATCGAGTGAGTGTCTGGACATTCGAACACATACTTTAGATCTCGATGTGACTGCCCACTTGAGGTTTCTAATGAGGGAGAGAATTGCCTGCTGCTCGTTGTGAAGGATGAGGTTGGTGTTAGAGATTACACGATAGGGACAAGCGCCAGGCGGGTCAGGCAGCTCCAATGGTACAAGTAGTACTCCGTAATTATATTAGATACCGAGGGCCGCGCCGATTGTGGACAACCAACCGAAACTACCTCATTCTCATCATTAGCTCTCTGGTTAGGTCGTCGAGACATTGCCGCCGTATTTTGAATACGCAGAAGACCAAGAGAGCGGTCTATTCAGCAGCTCGGCTACACTACCTACTTCTAAACCCGGCTCGGCATATGGAATGTACGAACAAGCCACTTCTAGCAGTATTTTAAGGAATTTTAATCAACTCATTTGGTGGTCGTTCAGCATCAACCGTGACCGGGGGACCTGACCTGATGGTTTCGTGGCTTTCTCTTCTTCTCTCTCATAGATCCTAGGGCTTTCGTCCCCATATGAAATAAAAAGGGACATAAAGGTGAGCCTTTTTGTTGCGTAAATCGTTCTTTACCTTCGCAATGACAACCTGTGCCTCCTCGTTTGTGTACCCAAGTACTCGGGTGAAAAGAGCCAAGGTCATTGGTTCGACGGCATCAAATGATTGTGCATGATAGAACAGGCCAAGTTCTTTGTTTTTGTGGCCTTTTGCCCACCTCCCGATTGGGACCTACACAGCGTTGTCAGTAGTCACGAAGACTCGCTAGGGGAGCATTGCGTCTATCCTGCTTACTTTGTGTATCTCTTGTTGTACGTCAACGAATCCCGCTTCTTCCATGTAACCCTTTATTAAATGGGCATTGGCGGACGGTTTCCCAATCTTTGCACAGCCCTCATTAAGTTTACTAACCCAGTCCATAAGTTCCGGAACGAGGGATGCCGTATCGTCGTCCGAATAGATGGCACAGGGATATTCCTGGCTCTCAAAAATCCCACCTGGCTTAAGGTGGTTAAATACTTCAGATACGAGTTTCTTCCAGTCCGTAATGCTACCGATCAAGGCTCTGCCATGGATGTAGTCAAAGTGCTCCGTTTGAGGGTACGCCCAGTCGCTTTCCAAGTCATCCACGTAGAATTTGACATTCGGTGGCACCCAATTAGGCTGGATGGCACTCAGATCATTACCAACGATCATGGACTCTGGGAAATCTTGAGCCAACTCGATCGGCCAGATGCCAGTCCCCGTTCCCATATCGAGAGTTCGCTGAGGCTTGAGTTCCTGTAAGGGAGCTCGAAAAAGACCTCCATCCAAAATCAGGCGGAATATGTGATGTAACAAGTCAAGACGGTCTTGTTCTTGTTCATCGTTCGGAAGAACATACTTGCCCTCGTGGTAAGCGTGATAGCGCCGGCCATTCTCAAATTTGTAATCCAAGATCGATGGAGCGAGAGATGTGGACAGGAGAGACCCAGCTACGGAGTCTCCAAGACCAGAGTCATTGTCGACGCTGTTGGTCTGCTGCGAGTGTCAACTTGGATCCTGAAAGAGTGTCATTGCCTACGTTTTCCACATCAACGACAAGTCCGGCATTGCTCTCATCATGCCCGATGTGACTTCCAGCCGTAGGTTCGGCCATTCTTAACGCGATTGTTGGCGGGGAGGTTTCAACCTGTTTGGCACTCAAGAGTGAAGTGTTGCGAAGAGTCTTCTCAACAGTTTTATCTGAAATCGAAAGGTTTAGGTGACAGCGAAGCAACAAGGTTGATACTTGAAGTGGGCGCTTGTGATCCGCATTAGCCCCCCCCCCCCACCCCGCGGATGTAGGTAATGGGTTCCTGGGTTTAATAACGTTCTGAGGAAAGTGCAATCCCTTTAGGGTAAGCGAGCAGAAGACTCAGCCCCAGACGCTTCTCCTCCCAACCCGAGGTGAGCTCCATATTCGAGGGGTCCTGGTAGATAAGCGAAAGTAAAAACGGAGGAGAAGTTCTAATGCAGATAGGGTTCGTATGACAGACAGGACACGTCATGTCTGTCATTTATTGGGGCGCCAAGATGTCTGTCATTTACCCGAAAATGACAGCACTTTGTCACTTATAGCTAGGAGTTTAATTTCTTGGCGCCTACTAGTAAATCTACGAGTACGCTGTAGGCCAAAATTTTATCTAGACAATCTTTAGTGTATAACCAAGCCTCTAAAAGTACTTAGTGTCATGGCGTCTGTCATTTATGCTCTGCCAGTCATTTATTGCTATTTGTCCGTCATTTTACTAAAATGACGGACAATTTCGAACCCTAGATGCGGGTGATAGAGGAACTTATGTAAAAAGCATGCCACCCGGTGACGGACGGCTCCTCCCTTAACTTAAAAGCGCATTCCGTCTGACCTGAGGCAGCCTGCTTGTCTCCCAGCACTAATCCAGCTCATTGTGGTTTTGCCTGACTGAGATTTATTTCAACTACCAAGCCGCTCTGGAAAGCCACCCGGTTCACGTGCCGTGTCCTTGGCACGTTCAAGTAAGTGCCTGAGGTGGAAGATGGGGATAATTAGTGACGCCATCATGTTTTACGCGTTTTGCTTATGTACTCGTACATTAGCTACAGGCACGCATCCCGCTGCCCATGGCCTCAGTTAGCTCCCAACTACTTCAATACAATGCGAAGATTTGAGGTAGAAGGTGGACAATATCTCCCCGTCAATGTCACTGCTAGGTATCGGTTCTCATGATGGCTTCTCAGCGAGCGCATCTGCAGGCACCTGTCGCCCATCCCTGAGGCGAGCGCGACACTGAACCACGAACACTCGCTCCAAACCAGCTGCCCTGGGTCTCGATCATGTCATCCTCTCAGCCCTTCTTGCCTTCACCTTCACTGACAAGTGGCATCAGGAAAAAATCACGTTTCACATATAGACAACTGCATCTCCTGGGCCAGTCCTCCGTCTCCTGCCCACTTCGTTGCATTGCACTGATTGATTATGATGCCTTCTATGCACAATGCGAAATGGTGCGCTTGGGAGTGGGGGAAACCCGACCACTGGCCGTGCAGCAGTGGCAAGGCCTGATTGCGATCAACTACCCTGCCCGTGACTTTGGGCTCAATCGCCACGTCACTGTCGCCGAGGCGAAGACCAAATGTCCGGAAATAGTCGTTCAACATGTTGCAACATGGCGAGAAGGGGATGATAAATGGGCTTATCGGGATGACGCGGCAAAGCATATACAAACAGACAAGGTGTCTCTGGATCCCTATAGACTGGAATCGCGGAAAAGCCTGGCGCTCGTCAAGGAAATTCTGCCACCGGCGCCCATCCAGAAGGTCGAGAAGGCAAGTATTGACGAGGTCTTCTTGGATTTGTCGGCACAAATTCATCAAATCCTTCTTGATCGATATCCTGAATTGCGCCATACACCCTATGACGATCCCACAGAACATCTACCATTACCACCTTCGACGGCACTCGACTGGCAGGCTGACGCGCTCATCGATCTCGACTCGGCCCAGACTGAAGACGATGATCCCGATTGGGACGACGTTGTCATGAATATAGGATCGGAAATTGTGCGAGACGTTCGTGCCAAGATTCGTGAAACCCTGAAATATACGTGTTCAGCCGGTATTGCACGCAATAAAATGATGGCAAAGCTAGGTGCGGGTTACAAGAAGCCGGACCAACAGACCATTGTTCGCAACCGAGCTGTGCAACATTTCCTCTCGGGATTCAAGTTCACTAAGATCAGAAATCTGGGGGGCAAGTTAGGCGATCAAGTCGTAGATGCATTTGGTACGGAGGAAGTCACTGAACTGCTCAGTGTTCCCATAGAGCAGATGAAATCGAAGCTCGGGGATGAAACCGGAACATGGCTACATGGAATCATCCGTGGCGAAGACAACAGCGAGGTCAATTCCAGAACGCAGATCAAGTCAATGCTTTCGGCAAAATCATTCCGACCCAGCATAAACAGTACAGAGCAGGCCAATAAGTGGCTGCGGATCTTCGTTGCGGATATCTATGCAAGACTGGTGGAAGAAGGTGTACTCAAGAATAAGAGACGGCCCAGGACCATAGCTCTCCATCACCGACAAGGTGGGCAGACAAAATCGAAACAGCTCCCAATTCCACAAGGTAAACAGATTGACCAGACTATGCTTTTCGACCTATCTAAAACACTACTCGGACAAGTTATCGTCGACGGGCGCGCATGGCCATGCGCGAACCTATCCTTGAGTGTCGGCGGGTTCGAGGATGGTGTCTCTGGTAACAAAGGCATTGATACCTTCCTTCTAAAGGGCGACGAGGCTAAAGCTGCAATGGACACACCGCATCGAAGCCATGCTACAACACCGATCCAAGGTGAAGGACGTCCAGCGAAACTTCGACGTCTTGACGAGCTCCCAAGCATCGCTCGGTTCTTGTCCAAGGAGGATAGTACCGGGGAAGGTGGGGTCCAGTCCCCAGGTACCACATCCGCCGATAAACTTCACCAAGGAGAATTTCGTGCGAACGAAGAGGCCGCGGACATAGATATTTCCCTGCTCTGCCGGTCGAACATTGCTTCATTCTTCTGCAAATCATGTCAAAAGCCGGTCAATGAGACAGACCGGACGGAACACGAAGACTGGCATTTTGCCAGAGAACTTCAGGAACAAGACGCCCATGTTGTCACCGGTCCGAGCAATAGTCGTCCTCCAGGACCACAGAGTAGTAAGCCAAACCGTGGTGGGACTGGTGGTCGAGGTCGGGGCTCGAAGCCAGAAAAGGGGCAAAGCCGCCTCACCTTTGGCTAGGCCAACCGGCTTGGGATTTGGTAGTCCATCCACATATGTTGCTAATTAGTGAGTTAGCTCTAAATACTTTGATCCTTATATTCTTTGTTAAAAGCCCGGCCGATGACCATTCGCCGGATCTCGCTCGTTCCGGCACCAATCTCGTACAGTTTTGCATCCCTCAGCAGTCTTCCAGCAGGGATCTCATTGACATAGCCATTCCCACCCATCAACTGAATGGCGTCCAAACCACATTCTGTAGCTCTTTCAGCGGCGTATAGAATCGCGCCAGCACAATCTTGAGTTCGGATTTGCCCTTCCTCATCGACCTTCTTGGCTGTTGCGTACGTGTAAGCCTTCGCGGCCTGGAGCTTGGTGTACATATCCGCCAACTTGCCCTGGATCAGCTGGTTATGGGCGATGGGTTGGTCAAATTGTTTGCGTTGATGGGTGTATGGAAGAACGAGGTCGAGGCACGCTTGCATGATGCCCAGCGGACCGGCGCTGAGCACCAGTCGCTCGAGATCCAGGCCCTCCATTAGAACAGTCACGCCATTATTGATCCCGCCGAGGATGTTCTCGCTCGGCACGAAGACGTCCTCGAACACCAGTTCGCCCGTGTTTGATCCACGCATGCCAAACTTGTCGAGTTTCCTGGCGACGGAGAAGCCCTTGAAGCCCTTTTCGACAATGAACGCGGTGATCCCTCTGCTCTTCTTTTCTGGATCGGTCTTCGCGTATACAACAATATAATCGGCTTCGGGCCCGTTGGTGATCCACATCTTGGTCCCGTTGAGCAGGTAGCCCCCGTCGACAGCTTTCGCTGTGGTCTTCATGCTGACGACGTCGCTTCCCGCCGAGTGTTCCGACATGGCCAATGCCCCAATCTTCTCGCCTGAGATTAGTTCGGGCAGGACTCGAGCCTTTTGCTCCTTGTTGCCGTTCAAGCTCAGCTGGTTCACACAGAGTTGCGAATGTGCGGCGTAGGACAACCCGATCGACCCAGACGCCCTGCTGATCTCCTCGTTGATAATGCAATGTGCCTGGTAGCCCATGCCCAATCCTCCGTACTCTTCATCGGCCGTGGGACCGAGGAAACCTGCCTCGCCCAGCTTGCGCCACATCTCATGAGGGAAGTTATTGGAGGAGTCGGTCTTTGCAGCGACTTCTTCGGGGATTTCTCGCCGGGTGAACTCCTGTACTCGGTCACGAAGCTCATATAGGTCGTCTGCGGTGGGTGGTTCGAAGCCGGAAGGGTGTTTGGAGGTCGACGCTGCTCGTATTGTTATTCTGCTGACGGTCGAGGTGAGGAGTTGTGGTGTTGTCCGCACCACGCGAGTGGTCGGTCTGAGTAGTCTTGGGGCAAGGGAGGAGGCCATCGTGAAGTTCCTGTCACGAGAATAGGTCGAAAAGCTCTACCGGATGCTTGAAATTGGTAATTTGAATGGTGTTCTAACAATTGAAAACAGAGGAGGGAACAAGTTGATGATGCCTACCACTGACGCGGGCCGCTTCCGTGTGCAGAGGAATGAACCACCGACAATAACCGTCTGCCGAGGAGACAGAGCTGTGGGGTCGAATTACGGGCAACCACCCTTAGGAATAGCTGTTGCTGTTTTAGTGAAGGTCTTCAGTAATGAGTACAACATCTCTGAATGTGCACCAGTGATGCGTTGATCCTAATGGTCAATGTGTGGAAAGGTAGGTTTTGTATGGTGAACGACAGGCCATTTTCGAGCACGTTTTGCCCCTAGATGTGAGTAAGGAGTTTACTGTTGATAAAGGATAGGGAGTTCACAAGTTCCGTCGAGGTTTTCCATTCTTCTAACGAAATATGCCGATACTTTGAGGGCTTGCGCCGGTACTATCTTCCAGTGCTCAGAACATCCGCTCCCAACTCAAACCTCTAACGCCCTGGGTAAACTCCGTGTCCAGGAGCCCCGCTTTGTCTGGTAACATTTGGTGCATTAGACTTTGGTCGAGGGACTTTCTCAATGAGTGCACGCCTGTATCTTGTGCCGTCTTGGTGACGGAGCAAACCACCTGGTCCTTTTATCAAAACACCGATAAGTCTCCTATATGAGTATTAGAAAAGCATTCTGCTGAGCTCCTCAAAGATCGAGGACTTACCACTGATCTCCCGACAAAGACATCAGAGATATAACTCTCGAAACTTCATCGACAAGAGCGGGTATACAGTGGGCTGGCACAAACCACTCATAGTTGTCGAGAGGCTCGTCGAATGGGAGGCCAGGAGCGTTTGTGAGTCGCCAGTGTTGGTTCTTCGAATCGTGAGTGGCGTAATAGGACTCGAGCATGAGAAGTCGTCTTTCAACCATGATAGAACCACTGGCTTTTGCCGGGTCGGTTGAGCAGCTTATGTATTAAGATAGGTGGACAACGCTATTTGAGAGCGGCTGCCGGCGAATTTCTGTTTGATTTGCGCAAGGAGATCTTGATGGCTTGAGGCAATTGGGTTGGAGAGGGCCTCGTGCAAACGCACTTGCGGTTCATAGTGCTGTTGCTGGCATGTACAGGAATTAAGAGAACAGGTGGCATAATCGGATTCTTTAAGGAGCTCAGAGTGATGGTAGAAAGGCGCACAGGGGATAAGGCAGGTTCCCCTGTTTAATGAGAAGACTGAGAGGAGGAAGGTGTGGCAAACATCATCAAGGGGGGAAAAAGGGCGCTGTCCATGTGTTTAGAAGGAGATAAAGTTAGCGTCAACGCTGGAGAGAGAAAGAGGGAAAGTCTTTAGTGTTGTTCTCATCGCGTACAAGGAGATGTTGGGCGTGACTGAGCTGAGGACATCTCTGAAAGGCCGTGGGCAGAAAACGTCAACAATGCCTTGCGACGCTGCCTGTCCCCGTCTCGAAAACCTCATCAAATTCTTTGGCTCTCAGGCGGTTTCATGTATTGTGAAGGGATTAACAACAAGGTCACCATCAGTAGTTCCTTCTCCTTCTTTCTCTGATATAATTCGAGAGATGTGAGCAACAAAATCTTCGAGCCTCGAGTCCTCAAAGTTCAGTTCCCCATGTGGAGCAGAAATCAGATCTTGCCTCGTGGAACAGTACCAGAATTACACAGAAGGAAACAATATGAATGACATTGGACGAATGTTACCGTAAATGCTCGACAGGTACAGAACGTTGATCTCAATGTCGATCGAAGTCTATGATAACCCAGTCTTCGGAGAATCATTCCCCCTACCTCCGATTGAGTTTTTCCGAGAAGGAAGCCGGTAATTATACTAATTATGCCACCATTAGCCTAGCCCTGTTGCTAGCCCACGTACATTCCATGACACCACCTTGCGAAGAGGATTTCACAATCCCAACCGATTGCAATCTCACTTTTGTCGGCTGCAGGACTTGGGATAGTGCTCCCCGTGGGCTGAGGAAGTCAGATGTGATTTCCTGGTTTCCCCTTCAGGCTTGTCCATGCACACTAATTCGATGTACTGCAGCCCTGGTTCATTGATGCTGACCGCCTCTCTCCAGCTTTTTTCGCTCCCACATTGCGCACCAACAAGCCAATTGTCAAAGACCACAGCGTCATCATCCATATCGAGAATGCCATTACTCAGGGGGGCCAGAAACCAGATTTCAAGCTAAGCATGTGCATTTCGCCGCGGCCACCCCGGGTTCGCTAGCCAGACCAATCCTACTACGATATTGTGCCTTAGGGGACCTCCTGCTACTTCGCCACTCACTGTTTACTGTTATCTCTACCACATTAGTGATCCACAAACTGTGGAACCAGTCACTCTCCATCGTTGGTAGACGAATATATGGCGTCAACTTACATCTGTGTCTGTGTCATTGTCCAATGATGGTCTGTGTCCAATATCCCGTAGTCGCCTGGACCACTGCGGAGGACAACAAGGTTCTGATGGTCAATACAACGACAGCCATCGATATCTCCATGCACGAGATCATGAGCCCACAATAATCCCATCTTTTTCAACACCAGCCTAATGCAAGCTCGCCGCCTCCTACGTATAACTCGAACCTCTCTCGCACAGTCCACCTGATCATTTCTTTGCTACATACATCTTCTCAAGACACCGTGCTTCAGTTTCATCAACTCAGTGTGCCTCTCAACATCCTACCCGCTGGCCATCAAGCAACCACTTAAAATGGCTCCTATTGCAATCACTCCCCCACCGGTCGAGGCAAAGGCGAGGCCAAACCTCCACCGCACTAACACTGCTAACATGGGCACAAAACGAAAGATCATATGCTTTTCAGGTCTGCTTTCTTAATATTGTGGCAGAGATATTGAAATACTGATCCTATGGCCAGATTTTGATGGCACAATATTCATGCAAGATACTGGCCACACTCTCTTCGACAACTTCGGTTGTGGTGCCGAGCGAAGAGCTATCCTCGCTAAGCAAATGGAAACTGGCGAACGCACATTCCGCGAGGTCTCCGATGAGCTGTACGCTTCGCTAGATGTACCTTTTGAGGACGGCTTCGAAGTGATGAAAACCGCACTCGAGATTGATCCCGATTTCCAACAGTTTCACGAATTTTGCGTCAACAACAGCATCCCCTTCAACGTAATCTCTGCTGGGCTCAAACCCGTGCTTCGGCGAGTTCTTGATCACTTTATTGGCGAGAACATGAGCAAGCATATTGATATCGTCGCCAATGATGCTAAGATTGCCGAGGATGGCAGCAAGTGGGAAGCGATGTGGCGACACGACACAGATCTCGGCCATGACAAGGCACAATCTATCAACGAGTACAGGGAAACCGCCGCTCTCCAGTCCGACAACGGCACCATTCCCTTGATAGTGTTCATCGGAGATGGTGTCTCAGACCTTCCCGCAGCACGAGAGGCAGATGTCCTCTTTGCACGACGTGGTTTGCGGTTAGAGGAATACTGTATCGAGCACAAGCTCCCATTCATCCCGTTCGACACATTCGACGATATTCAACGCGAGGTGATCAAGATCGCCGAGGTCGATGATGGCCAGACTCATGGCAAAGGCTTGCCCACCACCTTCAACCCCCGAGCTAACATGTGGCGGCGTGTCAGCAGCAAAGCTGCGGTGCCGATTTTCGCAGCCCTGAGCCCAACCAAAGAAGAGAAGGCCTTCATCTGGCCCGAATCTTTCACGCAACCAGCACCAGCTATCGTGCCCAACAAGGACGACGCCAAGGCTGCCGTCGCTGCCCCTGTGGCATGATTATCCCCTCGACGACCCACGTCCATACATAGTCTTTCTTCCTCTATTTGCGCCCTGTAGCCTTTCACAAGCCTCGTCCAACCCTTTTCGTGGTACGACACATCTTTCAAAAATATTTTGTCTTACATATGTCATTCCCGTTTGAGCAGATGCGAATAGCGGCTGGCGCTTTTGGGGGGCAGGGAGTTATTTTGTTACGCATGGCACTGAAAATTACAGCATGAATCTGCAAGCGAAACACTTTTTGCGCATGGTCTAGAACCTAGATAGAACCTCTTTGTGACGCCCAGATGGTGATGAAGCAAAGATAACTCACGCTAGATATGCATAGAGCAGGACATGAAATCTTAGTAATGATACGAATTCATTCCATATAGTCTTCCCACTGTTTGTTTCACTAAATTCACTGCGAGGGTCTATCAAGATCGCATCCCACTCTTGGGGAATGCGTGTGTGTTGGGAGTACATTACTGAGTAGTTCATGAAACCTAGGTCCTGAAACCACTAAGGTCCGTGTTATTGCATCGCTGTTAAAATGCGGTCAGAACAGTTAGCGCAGCGGCGCTCTTGTTTAAGCCTGTGGCGAATAACAATGAAAACCTGTTAAAAGAATAACCACATCCCGACCTTCTTCGCCTTCCCAATGAAGATACCCTCTTGACTTTCTTTCAAGGCGAATTTCCACCTGCTCTTAGTCATCACTACCTGGCTCTTGTGAGAAGCAGTCTCGGGTGTGTAATCCGACTGGAGATCGTAACGGTCGGTGATCAGATCCATACGGTCGAGATGTACGAATTTCGTGCGCTTAAGAGTGTCCAGAACAGGAACATAACTAGTATGATGGGCAGCTCGACGTAGAAGGACACGAAGTCCACGGCGCTGAACGTCGGGCTGAAACACGACCAGCCTTGCACAAGCACGAGAACAATATTGAGGCCGACCGCGAGAATCGGACCGACGGGATAAGTCCAGTTTCGAAATGGAAGGAGGTGCTCGAGGCCTTGGGCTTTGCTACCGGCTCGGAACCGCAGTGAGGAGAGACCGATGCAGATCCAGGACAGCTGGTTGGACACACCGACCAGATTCTGCAGCCATGACCACAGCTGGCCGGCCCCGATACAGCACGCACCGAAGCATAGGCCTGAGATCGCAGACGTGGCCAGAACGGCCACCCAGGGCACTTGGAACCGATTCAAATTTCCCAGGAATTTTGGAGCGTACCCGTCGACAGCGAGAGTGTACATTAGTCTTGAACCGGCGAACAAAGCGTGGTTGCAAGCCGAGATCACACTTGTCAGGATAACTGCATTGATCAAGCTGCCTGCGGCGTTGCTTCCGGTCTATGTGAAGACGATGGTCAAGGGCTTGTGGTGGTCGATTTCTCCGAGAGGTTGGGGTAGTTGTAGGGGACGTTCAAGCCGATGAGCAAGACGCTGAGAATGTAGAAGAGCAGAATCCGCCAGAATACGTTGCGCACCACTTTGGGAAGATTCTTCGCCGGATTCTGCGTCTCGCCGGCCGTCACCGCGATCGATTCAGTGCCTCCATACGCGAACGAGGCGGTCACGAAGACTGATGCGAAGCCGCCTATTCCGTTCACGAACGGTGCGTCGCCTATGTGCCAGTTGTGTCCGCCGATGTATTTGTGGTCTCTGTTGCCGCCTGCGTTGACCACGATGCCCAGGATGATGAAAATGCAGATTGTGACCACTTTCAGAAGACTGAGCCAGTACTCAACCTGCGCAAATATTGTTAGCGGGAACTTTTTCTCTGGACTCCCTGATTCAAGAACTCAGAACTCACCCCGCCATAAACCCCGACAGGCTTCAGATTCAACACAATAACGACAATCAAGAAGATCAGACTGATCGCCCAGCCGGGGAAATTGTCCGTCCAAAATTTTAGCAGCAGTTGAAGAGCGATGATATCCGAGGCCGTCGAGACCGCATCATTGAACCAGTAGTTCCAAGTGAGGGCAAAGCCAAGCGCATCATCGACAAACCGCCCGGCGTAAGTACAGAATGAGCCAGCCACGGGCACGAAGGCGGCCATCTCTCCCAGGGTAAGCATCGTTACGAAGACGATGGCACCCACAATGCGATAGGCGATCAAGGTCGATGCTGGGCCGCTGTGGCCAAAGACTTTCCCGTCCCCAAGAAGATACCTGTTCCAATCGTTCCTCCAATCGCAATCATCTGAACTTGTAGTGCGGATAGCCTACGCGCAAGTCTGTCTTCTTGGACGTGCCCGTGGTTTGTTCCATGGTTGCTGGATGCCTGATCAAAGACACTCGACGAATGCTCCCTCGGCAAGCGAAGAACGGTTTCTGGCCCAGTCTTCTGTCCTTCTCTATCGTAGGAAGTTATCGTGGTCCTCTTTATAACCCGCAAAGAAGAAGTCGATGGAAAGCGGGCCAAGCCTGGTTGATATCTATTGGGGGTTCCAACTTTTGGGACTGACTTAGACCTTCGGAGCTCCGATTTAAGACTGGTCGTGTTATGAGGGTCAAGCAAGCGGAGTGGTGATCTTGCCCGTGTCGAAGACGATGTCCATGGAATCACGTTTACTAACTTGGGAATGGAGTGGACTGGAAACTTACAGGTACGCAGCACGTCAAGTATTTCTACAGACTCAACCCGGACGGCGATCTGACGATGAAGTCATGCTCATCAAAAAGGCGCGTGGGCTCTTTTTGGCAGGAGGTAGTATTCTTCTGGTAAGGATGAAAATTCTCGTTGAGAGGCATTCCAATGGGACGCGACGTTGATGGCGTGCGGATGACGATATCACTCAGGGGAATTAGGGATCACACTCTCGAAGAACCTAGGAAGCACCGTCTTACTAACCATGGTTAAACCAGCACTTGACCAGGACGGGGCGCCACGGCCCAGCATGGTTACGAGCTTTAAGCTTATTACCTAGGCACCTCTCCCGGTGCTTTTCCAGGCTTGGCATCCCCCAGAGGGGCCGCTTTTGGGCGGTCGAGGCGCCCATCACTCATGGATTTACGAGATTGTCATTGGGACCTCGGAAGTGCAGTAATACTCGTATGTATACGTCGTACTCTCCCGCAACTTGTTCCCTGATTCGCAGCGCCCAATATGGGACCACACAAGAGCTGTTGCTATGGGGGGTTCTATTCTACCACCCAAAAGCCGAGCTATGCTACTGCTTTCGATAATAACAAATTGCAATGGGAGCGGAACGCCATAACTTTCTCATGGTAATTCGAGTATGAGATCCTTTGAGAGTGTGCCGTCTCTGAGAATTGTCTGAGTGGTCTAGTTTCCGAAATTTGAGTTAATTATAATCACCAGCTTCTCGCCTACACGCCACTCGTGCGGTTCATTTGGTCATGAACTCAGCCTTACGTGTGCAAGGCTGTGGAGAATTTGTTCCGATTCGCCATCGCCCCTCAGGCTTTTCTTCCATCGCCGAGAATAGTCGCCATCTTTTCAAATTCTAGCAGCATAACGTTCACATATCTGTCCTCTTGGGTCAGCCTGTCAAGATTAGAGAGCCATGGCTCGACCTCAACGGGACCCCGCTCCTAAATCTAGTTCTTCACCATCAATTGAAATACCCGCAGCGTTCACAGCCCGAAAACAGAAGATCCTGTCAGAGCTGCAACAGCCTGCTGATGAGTACACCGACAAGTCACCCAAAGGTAATGTCGATGCCGGGATTCGGGATCTGATTGATGAGATCAACGGGATAGAAGGCTATGTCACAACCAGTAGTTGTGCTGGCCGTGTTGCTGTGTTTGTCGAAGGTGGTGATGCTGGAGATGGTTCTGGACGCGGGGAGGCTAACGTCAAGGATGAGTCAACGCTTGAGCTTGAAGCTGGACTGGATAAAGATACTCGAAGCGAGAAGAGAACAGCAGCCTCTTCAATGAGAACATCTCCCGGTGGCAAAGGAGGCGGGCATTGGCTCTACGTCTCCCACGACTCGATTCCAGTCTCGTCCTGTCGAAAAACGCATGGGAGTCACCAATCGGACCATTTTACGAAGCTGTTCCAACTCGCCTCTCCAATTGTCGCGGATCTTCAACAGACACCTTCTCAGTCCAACGGCAGCGACCCAGCCCGTACGAAGATGCCGCGGCTCGTGCATCTTTTGTTCTCTCCTCTAATACTCCATATACATTGTGCATCCCTCGGGCACGCTCGACCCTTACTTTCCGCGGCCATAAATGCAGGATTTCGCGAAAGTGGAGTACAAAGTCTACGTGTGCTTGGCGATCAAAATTCGGGCGTAATGGTCGCTATCAGGACAGCGGGCCTGGCTTTCGAGACGGTCGTTGGAGTTGTAGAAAATGTCGAAGGTCAAGCTCAAGATCAAGAGGTCAGGAGGATTGTGAGCGAAGACTATCTTGCCATGTGTGCCACGGTGGTGAATGAAAGATTCAAGTGGAATGATGTGAGGAGGGAACGTCTCCGAGCGGAAACCCGTCGCTTCATTGGAAGACAGCAGGGGGAGATGAGGGAAGACGAGGATGAGCGCAGGCTGCGGAAGAGGAGGGAAGGTCTGCTCAGGCAACGGCAAACGAAAATGGACAGCGAGTCTGCCAAGAAAATCGAATCGAAGAACTTATGGGATCGAGACCAGGATGGATCATTACATGGTGGGCTCACAAGCCTTGATCTTGGCTGTGCAGTCAACCTAGAGGAGGAGAAATTGCACCAACTATGATTTGAAAGTTACTCTACTCGGCATACACGGCCACTATTCAAAGTAAGGCTCCCTGGCCACCTTTCGGTTTTGTCCCCTTTGCCAACAACATTTCTCTCGGCTCAATTCCCTTCAGGATCACCTTCTCACCATAGACTCGGACCCCAAACTCGGTCAAGCCAGCCGCCTCAAAGATCTGCTTGAGGTCCAACTCAGTGAACCCATGGTGTGCGACGGTGTGTGCGGCAGGGTGGTCCTTCTCGTAGTTCAGTGGAGCGTGTTTGAGGAAATCAACGATCAGGAAGACACCGCCGGGTCTCAGGCGGTCCAGAAGCCGGGACATGGTCAGAGGAAGATCGGAGAAGTGATGGAATCCCATACCGACGACCACAAGGTCGAAGTCTCTATACTTCGGATCGTCGAATTCCGCTGGCGTACCTTTCGGGTCCAATAGGTTACCTACGACGGCGTGTGCGTTTAGCTTTTGGTCGTCGCCGTCGTCGCCGTCCAGGGGATTTGCAGCGCAGGCGTCGGAGACAGGGTTGTAGCGCAGGTTGTAGGCTTTGACCATGTTCTCGCTGAAATCCATTCCGATGTACTCGGTTGCACGGCCAGCAAGAGCATGTGTGATGGTGCCAGGGCCGCAAGCATAGTCCAGCACCCTGACTGACCTAGCTGGTTCGACATCCTTCTCAAAGGCGACGCCTAGATCTATGAAGTCGACGCCAATCCAGGACACGTTAGTGAGGATGAAAGCATTGACTTGGTTGATGAGGTCTTTTTGCCATTGTTCGGACGTATATGACGCAGCATATTTACTATCTGATCAGCCTGGAACTTGTTGACCTGGGCAGCCAAGGCAGCTGGCCCTTGCCGAAGAGGGAGACAGATAAAGACCTACTTCCAATGCTCCCGGTTTATTTCAGAAAACGACCCTGAGTCTATCGGAGTTTCATGGTCGTGATGGTGGTGTTGTTCATGGTCGTGATGGTGGTTATGGCTGTGAGCATCGGCCATTGTAGAAAAAAACAGGACCAAACAAAGAATAAGTAGGACTATATTGAATGCGAACCTCATAGAACTAAAATAGTCGATAATGACAAGGCAAAGTTCGCCCTAGAACCAAGGCCCAAGCCTTGATATAGCTTCTCGAGGGTGTCGGCAAGCTAAGGATTTCGGAGACATTCACGGAGACATTGCCCTTCGTGGGTCGAGAACAACGGTGCTATGATTCGGTGGCTTCAGACTACCATCCCTTGGCTTTGCTGCCTGTGCCGTATTAGTCTGTAATGAAACAAGTCACTCAGATTGTGTACGGTTCAAGTGGTGTGTGATTTTCGAGTGGTCTTAGAAGCAGATATCGGAGCGAGGGAAAAGTTAAACTTTAGGTGTTCACGAGCTCATGTGGCCGAGAATAGCACCTCCCACTTCTATCATGCAGTCACATCGACTAAGCTCAGCAACTTGTGAAGGTAATCTTTGGTGATTGAGCTTATTTTACAGCTTGACCAGGAGAAGGTGTAAAGGGATTTTGCTCAACAGAGGGAGAAGGACCTCGTAGATAGCTTGACGATTTGCAAACGAGGCCAGTCTCTCTTTCGCGAAGTTGTTCGGTGACACTTCTATGGATTCCAAGTTTTTGGTGCCGTCGGAGACTTTCTCGATGCTATCGCTCTTCACTTTCAGGAGACTGATACGCAGCAGACGATTCTTTGATAATGCACAAAATGCCTAAGCCGAAAAGTCGTGAGTGAAGATAGAGATTCTCATTGAATAAGCGATGACGTCACTTGACACGAGCTGCTGAACTGATTGACGCGTCTGAGGCGCGATGAGTTAAGCAAGCCCCTTTCTCTTGACGCTGGCACCAGGAAATAATTAGTACATCTCTAAACAGTAAATCCAGCTTGAGCCAAGCATCTTTTTGGCTACTTTTTCAACTTTTCGTTTGTTTGTTTGGTTTTGGAAACCTCATCTACAGCAATGGCCGGGCGAAAATCAGCAGGAGGGAAACGAGCTTCAACCACTGCCACTGCCACCATGGCTAGAAAACCGCAGAAGCGGCAACTGTCGACGACCCCAATCACAGCCACTCCTGGCAGCAGAGCGTCCAAAAGATTGAGGGAGTCAGTGCACAGTTCTGGAGGCGCCAAGGCAACTCCAACAAAGAGCAAATACTTTGACGGCCCCGGAAGCGATGACAGTGATGTAGACGAGACACAAGATGATGATGCGGGAAGTTCCGGTTATGAGGACCCTGATCGTAGTGATGATGCATCAACGACAGCTCCATCAGCTGCAAGCGACGACGTCGAAGATGAATTCGATTCTGCAGAGGATGCCAAGCCCAAAAGGAGAACTAAATCAGTTGCTCGCTATGGTAAGGCTGGCGTTGGTGGTGGTATCAAGTCTGCATTGACCAGTGCACGCAACGAAGCTACAGAGCTTTGGAGGCCAGGGATTTCGACGGGCTTGGGTCCCGGAAAGCAAGTATTCATAGAGAAGCCCAAACCACGAGGAGACGGCGGGATCAAATATGAACCTACGAAGATTCATCCCAACACCATGGAGTTTCTGAAGGATTTGAGGAAGAACAATGATCGAGAATGGCTCAAAAGTAGCTACACTATTTCCTTCCTCCCCTTCCTCCCACTCACTCACTCTCCGCCGCCCCTCTCTCTCACACACACTCACACATATCATGGCATGGTATGGGCTTTGCCTGACGGGAGCACCTGCTTACGGCTGTTCACTCCACAGTGCACGACCCGGATTACAGGACGTCCTGGAAGGACTGGGAGAGCTTTGTTGAAAGTGTAACGGAGAGAATCAGTGAGTTGGATGAGACGATTCCAGAATTGCCGCCCAAAGATCTTGTGAGTGTGGTCTATGCACAACATAATGTGTCAAGCAGCTATGAATGAGCTGAGCTGATGCTCCTCAGGTTTTCAGGATATATCGAGACGTCAGGTTCTCGAACGACCCAACCCCTTACAAGGTGAGCCTCTTGAATCCCCACCTGTTCAATATTGCAAGCTGATGGTATTTTGTAGCCTCATTTTTCCGCGGCATGGTATTTTTGAACTCATCGCGCTTGTCGAAATAGTGACACTCACGACGAACAGGTCTCGCACGGGCCGGAAAGGTCCCTACGCATGCTACTATGTTCAAATACAGCCTGGCGGCAAGAGTATCGTCGGTGCGTAGCTCATAACTCCGTGGGACGTCATACCACTGACTCTTTATATGACAAGGCGCTGGTCTGTGGATGCCTGAGGCTCAGCCCCTTGCTCTTCTGCGGCGAAATATCGACAGGAAACCACACCTGTTAAGGCAAGTCTTGACTGAGCCACAAATGCGCAGTCAGATCCTAGGAGGGATACCGAACGACGAAAAGAAGGCTGTCAAGGCGTTCGCCGGTCAAAATACTGAAAATGCACTCAAAACGAAGCCAAAGGTACGTACAGAACGTACGCTTGTGACCTCTCCTGCCAAATTTGTGAGCAATTGCCTGCGTTGATCTCGATAAGCCACTACGCCGCTACGAAAAACGCTACCTCCAAGCGTTTCTGTAACGATGGTTGCCAGACCACAGTAGCGACCAAATAGTCTGGCTCGATACTAGTGCGTGATGACAGCGTCTGAGGCATCAACATTGCTTGCTGGAACAGGCAGTCGTCCAAGTCTATACAGAAGTGAAAAGACGAAGCCCACACTTGGTGGGAAGAGGGGTAGGCGGATGTCCCGCCCAGCGCAGTTTGAGCCACCAGGTTCCCTCTCGATGCTCATCAGCGAAAGTAGCTGCTCTTGGTACACAGGAGGCGCTCTTGCCACCAATCCAAGGTTACTTCTCACATGGCAAACTGACTAGGGGCACGGGCACCGACCTGTCCCAGAGAGCCGGTCGATTCGTGCCGTTTTTTCGTGCTCAATACTACTGCCAGCAAAGGGCCCAAGGAACAAAGGAGGAGTGGACATGCTGCAAGCTCGTGACAACCCCTCGCCTCTGAGACGCCTTGTCTCGGATCGTCCCTTGTTTGCCGCAGGAGAAGCTGTGCGCAACTTTGATCACTGACTTCCAAAACACCCTCAGGAATTCGTCCCCTTGTCCCAACACAATCTGCTCTGGAGAAGCTATCTAGGCTCAGCTGACAGTTGTGTGTGTGTAGGGTTATGAAGCGGATAATCCTAACATCGAATTGCTTCGATTGCGCAATTTCACCCTGGGCAAGACGATCCCAGATGAAAAGATCACGGGCAACATGGGACTGGAAAATATCATGCAGCTGATTGGCGTGATGGTACCCTTTGTGAGTCCACCCTTCCATTTTCAATTCGCGTTCGCCTCCGTTGTGTGGCATGCTATCACCCTGATTGTGGTGTGCGGGCGGCTCCGCTACTGGGCAGCATGACCATCTAGTTCTCGTGTGTGATAAAGTGCTCCATCACTTAGGAAGCCAGTCTATCCATGACCGGAAACCGCGACGAGGTGGGCTGAACGCGAACCAAACTGCGTCGATTTTCAGATCCTCATCGGGTTGTGCCAGTGGCCCACAATGGCCCTCACATGTAAACCTGGAACGATTCTGCGAAGAATTTGAGCAAACTTTTTCTAATCACCCACCATCATAGGTCACATATCTCAATAGCATAGTCATGCCAGACGAGGGCGATGACGACGACGAAGATGGAGATGATGAACCGAGCACTACAGAAGCTGAGGATTGAGGCAATGGTTTGGGAGCAAAGGTAGCAATGCGAGGCTTGCCACCACAATAAAAGAGGCACCGACACCTAATTGAGAAGAAGCAGATGTCTAAGACGATCGCCTAGACACGAGGTGGCTCGTGCTGGAGTAGTATATGAGTGACATATTGAGAGTCCATGAGTCGCATATAGACTTGGCGGCCACTCTGGGTAGCAAAACAGAACCCGGGTGTCACGTTGTAGTGGAGTCAAGCTTTCACGTCTGTGTAAAATACCACCGTCAATGCGAAAATGGGTGTCCCTGGCGCCTTTCATGAAGCTGTCATCGGGCATTGACGCATAGAATCCGAGCACAGGGCTATGTACTGTGTGTGCTGCCTTCGATTGGTGGTTGTGGCAGGGATGCCTGTATCAATCAATACTCGGAGGGATGCGACAGGCTTTGACCGAAAGGGCAACGGCAATCATGTGTGGCAAGGATTGAGAGAGTTTGTGGGTCGCTCGCCCTGCCGGGATTCCTCTTCAGCTGAAACGGTTCGGGGAACGGATGTGGCGAGTACTACCTAGGCCTAGTTAGTAGTTGATAGCTTACTCGTATACAGAGTCCGGAGGCGGTGAGCAAATAATAATGGGTCAAGTACGGAGATAAGTCGAAAGTCTAAGTCGAAAATCTGTCGAAAGGGAGGGGGTGGCTTGCAGTCGGTGGGAACTTGGAAGGTACGAAGTAAAAGCGCAGCAAGATCGCCTCTTCGTCTTCGCGCCGGCTTCCCCTTCCCGATACTAAATGCAGCGCAGTGGACTTGGACGTGTGAATACCCGTAATGTCTCCAGTCTCTTCTTCTTGACTGGGGGATTGCAAGTGCAATTGCTGATGTCTGGGCTAACCACGGAGTCATTCGTTAGTAAATCGACCGTCTTCTGCAGCGGTGGAACGAGCCGCTGGATCGCGCATATGCCTTCGGTCATGTGAACTGGTCAACGCCACGGAGAAGAAATAAGATCAAATGACAATTCAGGCTGTCAATACGAAAAAACGAATCTTACCTGTACGGATATTACGCCTGCCTAGCCTTCTCATTGAGCCTTGAGTCGCCGTGTTTTTCTTCATCGACCATTCGGTGAATGCTTCTTAGGTAGGAAAAGTTATCGCTGAAGAATCCGAGCAGCCAGTACAAGTGGGACAGCATCGTTCTGACACTATCTCATGCATTTCACATTGCAGCGCCGCAGTGGTGGGAGCGATTCCTGCTTGTGTTAGACCCAGCTGGTTGAAGGCCCTAAAGGTGATGGGGCACACGTGATGTTGACAAGGTCTGATGACCCCTGGAAGTTGAGCGACGGTTTGCCTGCAAGCGATCGAGGCCAGAGCCGGCCCGCGATGGCTAGAGATCCGATTGCTGGTGAGACAAGCTCGAGGTGCTTTGCAAGGGTCCCTCTCCCATCAGAGAAACCAGCGACTCGCTTCCATTCTGTTGGTCACACCTGTGGGAGTGCCCGAGAAGCCGTTCTGCAGGCTTGGATCGAACCTGAGTGTCAATCATGGGTTGATCTGACCAGTGAAAGAACGCATTTCCCCAACGACAAACAGGACGCAGTCAATCAGCAAGCGCTCCCGATTGACACGTATCAAACTAACTCTGACCCGAAGTGTGTCTTTGTGTCATCATCTCTCGACCTTCCACTCATGCACCACGTCAGGTGCGAATCCGCGGTTCGGCGCCAAACTGACCTGCTCCACCCTCTCAACGTCTTGCAATAGTGCGCGGTAGGGAAGGGGTGTCTGGAAGAATGGGAATTTAAAATCTGATAGGGCCGGAAGCCCTTTGTCCAGTGAAACCCTCGGTACAGAAGGTTGCCTATGCAATGCATTTCAGTCAGCTGGTTATTCTGATTACTTGGTATGTAATACTTCGGGGTGCATCCAGCTGGCAATCTCGGATTGGTGCAGGGGTTGCAATGAAGACCGATCAATCTGTATAACTCCTTGACCTGACGCTCATGTCAAAGGCAATGTCTATGCATAGCAACCCGACCGGATGCGAAGTCCTAATACTGATGTTGCGACCCGAGCGCAGATAAAGGGCCGTTTCAAAGAAATACTGCCTTGGTGGGAAACCTTCAAAGCATGCAGTACGGAGGATGGATACCTGGTATGCATTGCGGAATTCCTGGCCACATCACAGCACCGGCGGTCTGTCAAGTTTTCTGTTCGATGCAAAGGACTAATTGCAGGATTCAAGATTTGGAGACCCTCAGAAGTAACTAGTCACTAGTATGTAGGTCCTCGTACCGAGTATCGTGGCGGTGGTGCATGACTCGGTCCCGTTGCCTGGGACAAGCAGGAATTTTCCCCATTCGAGTTGCCTGCGCCAGCGCCAACGCCTGCGTAAGTAAGACGGGCTGCGGGCTGATCCGAACCTTCCCTTCCCCTCGCCCCCTTCCTCCCTGGGCTCCTTGATGATTATGGGCCAACTTCTCCCCTAGCTCCCCTCATTGCAGACCTATCGGCACGACTGGGACCAATTGAGGATTTCGCAGCCCTCCACTTTGTTCGTGGGGCCTCTCGGGCCTTCAGAGCATCCAAAAGATACTCCGTCTGCAAGCCCATTGTTTTTTTTAGAAATCGCAGTGCTCCCGAGTAGGGAGTAGGGAGTACGGAGCACACCCAACAGAATGAAGACCTACAGTGGGTGCTGAGAAATGCTAGCTCAGCCTAAGGTGTCCCTCGGGCCCATGAAAGGCGTACCTCCCAAACCCTCCGTCCTCGATTCTCTTATTTTCATCCTCGACCGGTCAGCGGAATCTATTCGGTGTGAGTGGTATCTTAAGGACAATTCCAAGTGGAGAAAAGACAAGAGCATGACCAAAACAACACCGGTTACAAGGGAAGCGACATGCGCCAGACACCCAGAGGCTCTTTGTCCAGGGAAGAAGCTGCAAGGTAGCAGGCATGACAGGGAGTCTCGAACAGAGGCTAGGCGAAGCTAATGGGCCGGATCTGTACGGCAACCCGATTCGAAATGCTGTGGGGGACGTATCAACCGCAGCATGCAGCCCAATGCGCAGGGTACATACATACGTTCGAAGGTCAAGTGATCGAGGCGCAGGACCACGATTGGACTCATGAATGAGGCACCGTTCTGCGACAAGTCTGATCGAAGTCAACCAGTTTCTGGTTTCTAGTCGTCGGCATCTTCTGGACCGGGGCCTTGACAGCTTCGATGAGCTGATGTCTGTTCACCGCTCTGCCTGGAGTAATCTGACTGTCAGTTTTTGATGACGGTCTAAACCATAAACGACTCCGGAGTATCATCCCACAATTGGAAAATACGAGGTGCCTCCGACTTGAATTGGGAGGCTGGCCAAGGTCAAGGGGGCCATAGCATGGACTACCTTGCACCGAGTACTTAGTACGGAGTACTCATTGGGCCAGTTGCCACCAAAGATGGTGGAACGAAGGCAACACGACAAACAAAAGAAAAGAAACCGACAAGTAGAGGAACGCAATCTAGGATCGACCAATGGTAAGAAACGGAAGAACCGACGTGTTGGTAGCACAACTTAAACGTCACCATATCAACAAGCAGCGGCAGTGATGTCCGAAAAGAATAACACATGACAGGACGGAGATGACATTTCAATTGCTTTGTACACGCGTGCTCTGTACACAACCGGGACATGACCTGCAGCAAGAATCAGAGAGTGCTTGGTGTTGTACTGGTCGATTTGTCATGATGGGTTGTCATTCCGAACTTCACACCTGCCTATACCAACATTTAGTTCACCGAAGATGGTCGCTGTTGGGAAATAGGACGGGGACGGGGACAGGAACGAAGCGGAAAGTCTCCGTAACCTGGAGCAGAATGACATACGAGGAGTGATAATCTGGTTTCTGGTAGCGTTGGTGCTAGACGAGGTTCAGTTGTGTGGTGCGAGAGGAGAGTGTCTAGGGACGGACTAGAGTTTGGAGTTTAGTTGGTACCGAGCACGGAGTACGGAATACGCAAGTACTATTAGTTACTGTGTACCAACTACTCGTTGGGTACGAGTAGGTGCTACCTAGCTGACAGTGACGACTCTGCCCTGTTGATGTCAAGACTCAAGACTATTACATACAGTTTGGGACGGGCACGGCTCGAGATGCAGAGTGCATGCAGTAGCGGCTCATCACAATGGATTCTGGGCTCTGGGCTGCATTTTGTTGCCCCAGGCTCCCTTGCCTTCGCCAAAAGGCGGAAGGGAAGGGAAGGGAAGGGAAAGGGAAGCAAAGGCCAAGCTGCTGCAGCTCGCAGATGCAATGCATGCCGCCAGCGACGCAAGGACCGGCCCAAGCTAAGCTGCTGCTCGCGTCCAGGAATCTATACCAGTTGCTGCACCTATTTCACAAGCTGCAGCGGCTTAAAGCCTCAGCAAACGCAGTTGGCGGTGACCCAGGGGCCACCATTTGCTATTTGCCATGTGCCATTTGCCATGCTGCCCCGTCGTTGACTTGGGGTTTCGAAGACAGACATGGTCGGTAGGATGGTCTCAAATCACTCCAGCAGAGTGCCGCTCAATCTTCAACTCCACAGTACTTGGTACATACGAGAGATACTGTACGTACGAGATACCTCGCAGTGGATCTGACAGTCGATCCCTGAGTTGTTGCCTCTCATACTCCGTAGAGGTGGAATTCTCCCCCGGGGAACTACCTTTCTCCATTGTCATTATTATTCCCCATCCTTGACAGCTGGCCCGTACCTGGTCAAGTTACCACCCAGGACTACTCAACTCGTACCAGCCAGTTTTTCCAAGTAGTCAAACGTCCAGATCTTCTTGCCTGACACAGATTTATTTCCTCCTTCGGCTCCTTCCATCCTCTGCCAGTCGGGCCTGGCTCTTTCCTACCTCCCTTCCTGGCTTCTGGCTCCTGGCTCCTGGCTCCTGCGACCCAAGAGCGGCCACCTGTTCCATTTTTCTACCATTTTCGGTTCTTTTTCGCATCGCGTCGAATCGAAGCCACGTCCGTCCAGTGAGCTAACAGCTAACTCCCTGTGGTACTCGTAGTACTCCTACTCCGTACCCCATCCCTCCTACTACTAGTCCAGTCCAGTTCAGTCCAGTCCACATCCCACGCTCTCGCTGGAGTCACCGCTCATCCAACTCCAGCTCTCGCCCCTACGCTCATCCACCATATCTTCTCACCACCCCCGTTAGTCCTCAATCCTCTGTACTCGAGAGGGAGTATCCGTACGGATATTCGTCGTACTCGCACATACTCCCATCCCCACACTTGACACTATTTTCCATCACCTTCTGGTCCGATAATTTCGGTCCTTTCCATCTCGTCTCGTCTCGTCTCGCCACTTGCCTACCCGCAGCAAGTCATCTATTGCATCCCAGGTCCATGCGGGCCAATAGAGCACTCCGCACCATCATTTATTGCCAGAAGCCCTCATCTCCTGCCCCTCCTTTCTCAAGTCTGAGACTAGCCTTCAGCCTGCTGACCAATAATCGGCTCTCGCGGCTGGCTGCGGCAGCTTCCCAGAAGTCCACTCCAACCCTCAGAGCCATTCGCGACAAGTTGGATCGTCCACTCACTTTGTTCACACCCACCCTCAGACTCAAGCAGTCCCGCCGTTCTAGTCGGGCAAAGGACCATCTCGCCCATCCCCTTCGCCTTCACAACGATTCCTCAAGGGACGAACCTAGCCGCACAATAATCACCCACTCTGGCAAGCGTGTCGACACGGCTGACATCTGCATTTGCACCTGGCTGCTCTAGTTTGCCTTTTTATTGCGCAAGCTGACTGGCAATTGCCCTCGCTTGCCCTCCCACTTGGCCGCCTCTCACATCCCACTTTAGAGCCTTTTTTTTCACTTTCTCCCACAATAGCCTCAAGGGTTCCTGAAGGTCTGCACCCACGCCTCCGCCCTTGCGGCGCGCCATCTCCCGAAGTGGATCCTGCATGTCTGCCGGTGACGACTCTCACTCTGCAAGCCATCTTGTCCGCCCACTCCTCACTCATTCGTCCTTTCCTCAACTTTTGCAAACCACTCCTGTCCAATATATTACGCTGCCCAAAACCTTTTGGCAAAATTCGGATCGTCTTGAGACAAGTTGGTGTCCGACCGCACCATCATCACCTGGATGTGAAAGACATTCCACCAAATCCAACATCCTCCACTAAAGGATTACATTTTGTCAACTATTACTTACCGAACAGTTGATTAACCGGCTTTTCTTCTTCCTTTCTGTCGAATACTTTAGCACTTTACTACCCCCGATATCTGTGCGTTGACAGCAAAAGAGGAGGGCCGGGCGGTTTTATTGTACAACGAGTATCCAGTGCCAAAGGTACATCCACCCTGAACGCCCCGCGCGGGTTGACAAGTGGCACCTCAAAAACCTGTCAGGGAGGGGAACAGCTCTCCGTATTGTGCCTGGTACCCTATAACTTCTGGAGGAGTGAGCCCTCCATACGTACACAGGTACCACACTAAAGGCCAGGGGGGAACGCGCATGATCTTTTGGCGTCGTTCAGCCCACAAAATCTACCAGGGTCACACTTTGCAGTGGAGCCTCTCTAGGTTTCCAGGCGGTGCCTCTCACCAGGGCCACTATCCTTGGGGAGGCTATTTAGCTCCCAAACTCTCTCAGGCAGCCGACGCCGGCAGAACAAGTGTAACTGGAGGGTGTCCAGTGCACTCATTAGTTTCTCCAGGCTAGCCACTACTGAGTACGAGCACTGACACTGGACTTCAACAAGCCGGGCACTGGCACACATGCACCTGGCACTGCACCAGCATCCTTGTCGCACGGACGCGCTAGCCTTGACCGTCCCGACTTATCGGGCCTGGGGGTCTTTCCAGAACAGACTGCACAAGGGCGAGCGCCAGTAGCCTAGCTCCCTCCATCCTGTCTGCCCATCACTCGCCTGTCCTCAGCCTATCCTATAACCTAGGCAGCTTGCCACGCTGGAGTTCCAAGCACCACAAGCACACCCTCTCCACCACCCAGCATTCTATCACATCTCCAATCATTCCTCATCAACGGCCTTTTTTCCTCCCATCATCGTCATCCCTCAGCTTGTCACTTCCTCACCGTTCAGTCCACTCTTCCTCTGACTCGTACCCTTCTCACCACCTCTCTCACGCCTCTCACGCTCACCATCGCCTTAACCGGCTCTCTCTCGACCCTCAATCCGCCCTCCCTTCGAACACCTGATCCTCTGAACAGGTCACAACTCGTAAACCCACCCTCCGATCTCTTCTCAGCCTTTTGCCATCCGAGAGCAAATAATATACCACTCTCCTGTCCCTCCATTACACCCTTGCAGGACCTCCATCCTCTTTTTCTTTCTTCGCTGACATTCCGCGCTGCTTGCGAGTGCGCTCTTGATATCCTCGACCTCGAGCTGGTTCTGAGGTCGTCAATCCCTTGGGGTTGTTTTGCCTTGTCTTTTACCGCGCTCTGAGAGCACACCATCTTCCCTGCCTTCGATTGCTCCTCCCCATCCTTGGACGGTCTTTATCTGTTGGACCCATTCGACCTCAGCCTCGGCAACTCCTAAGCCGTGTGTTACTCTTGGCCAGGATCTGTATCACACATCGACGCCTCTGAACATGGCGCAAATGGCGGACCCTAGGGAATCTCAGCGCCCTCAATATCCTTCTCCGGATGACCCAAACCAAGGTGGCTACTACTCGCAACAATCTCCTCGAGGAGCCCTTCCTAGGGATGATCGCAGTTCGTATCCTCCTCCAGATGCAGGCCGTCAAGGACAGTATCCGGATCCAAGGGCAGCTGCACCATATCCTCCTCAACCATGGCCACCCGCTCCACATAGTGCTTATCCTCCACCTCACCACTATCCAGTAAGTTTTTCACTTGTCCAAAATGAAAATTTTCAAATCTGAAGCTGACCACACCCTTGAAAGGACCCTCAGCATCCAGGCTATGCCTACCCACCCAGAACGGATCTAGGACAACCTCCCCAGCAGATGCAGCCAGACCCCTATCGTTTGCCACCACCGCATCCATATCCTGGCTACTATCCTCCTCCTCAGCATTACCCCCCTCCTCCTGCTGCCGCCCCGAGACAGCGAACTGCCATCGCCTGCAAATACTGCCGAAAGAGAAAGGTATGCGATCGACAGTGCCAAACGTGAACCCACGGACTAATATTCCTTCTCCAGATCCGATGTTCCGGCTACGATAGTTCTCCGGATGGCCGTTGCCAGAACTGTGTTCGGTTCAACCAGCAATGCTTATTCCACCCTGTCTCCTCACAGGCGGCCTTTGTTCCGGCTTCTGCTGTCTATGGTCCTGGGGGTGCGAGAGCGCCTGTTGCTGGTCAGTCTGATAATCGGCCTGGTCAAAATGGAGAACAACCCATGCTCTATGGCGCTCATGGACAACCACTTGGTCCTCCTGGTCCACATGGTCAACCTCAGTACAGTTATCCTCCGGCGCCTCCTCCAGGCCATTATCCTCCACAGCCGTATCCTTACCAGGCGTCCCCGTACCCTCCTGCGGCGGGATCGCCCTATGACGCACAAGGGCAGGCACCGCCTGCCCAGCATGATGAACGTGTCAGTCTCAAGCGTCCCCCTCCTGATGATGACCCCCACAATGAGAATTCTCATGCGTCCCAGTCTCCTCATCCCAACGCTCGTCCTCGCCATGGTACATATGACTCGCGTGCCAATAGTAGTGGCAGCTATGATTACCCAGACCCCACCAGCGGAGCCCCAACGTCGCCTGCTACCTCGACAATGAGTTATCAGTCTTACCCGCAGCAGCAGTCCCGCTATCCCAATGGCACCCAGTCTCAAAAGGGAAATGCCTCGCCGCCATCTGGGCTTACTCCACAGTCAGCGCAGAGTTTCAATTCGCCTCACCATGGCCCAAACCATGATGATGGTCGAACTCCCCCGCCCAATCAGCCCAACTCGGCCGGCTCATCCGCGAATGGCAGAAGCGGCATGAAAGTCCATGAAATGCTTGGAGGGCCTTCGGCTGGAGGACCAGAACAGCGTGGCAGAAGCGACAATGAAATGCTGAGCAAGCTCGACCGCAAGAAGTAGTAGACTGGTAAGCCGGGGTGACAGGAGCGAAGCAGTCTCAAAAAAGCCTGAATTTTCCGGCCTCGTGGTCTCGAGTGCAGAATTTTTGTTGTTGCGCTCATCGATGGTCCTTTATGGGAGAAGTTCGTTTTCGTTTCGTTCATCAGATATATACTTAGGGGGCAACCCACATCTCTTTATTTTCCCCATCAAGAAGATCGGTCTTTACTTGGAATCGCTAGCGGATATGAATGGCGGTCTGTTTTTTGAATCGACGATTCCCACTGGGCGGCTGTTTGATTGAAAAACCAAAATTTGTCTATGGCAACCACTTGCAAGGCTCTTTGCGATGGAGGCTGGCTATCAGGGCCCCTGCTTCATACCACCCGTTGCGACTGCGAAATGAAATGTAACCTGGGAGGCTATCTGTTTTGTTGCTTAATGCACTTTTGTATCTTGGGAGGCAGCACTGATTTGTTATTGTTTTTTTCCCCCGCATGGATCGAACCAATCGCATGGGGATTTTCATGTACTCATAGTGGTTGGGTGCCTCTTTGTCATGAGCTGAAGCCAAAGCATTCTGCCGCATACGCCTTAGTTTTCTTGATCCGTGCCTTTTGATTTGAGAGGCTTCTCGAGTATGGGAGTCAGAGAGAGTCAGAAAAGAGGGTTCAGAGGACTGGGCAATCGGCGATATATTAGGCGGAAGTCATGGGCAAGAAGGGGGGGGATCTAATGGACTTGTTAATGGCAAAGAAGAAAAGAAGAAGCAAAGGAAGCAATTCTATGGGTTCAGGTGTCGATTGAGGGACAGATCATCAACGAGGCTGCGCCAGAAAACATTCGCTCGACCCTTTTCAACAACACGAGATGGTCTGAATACATCCGTGCAACAGAACGGTAGATATATCCGAGCAGAGGTGGAAGAACTTGCGAGATAACAACTACTGTCCTTTCAATAGTGATTGATTTGAAATGCCATCCCGTTTTCACCAACATCTTTGAAAGCTCGTCCAAGACGCGGCAAGCTGAGCTGTCTTTGTCTTGTTGGCCTGTTTATTATTATTATTTCTAGATCAGTCAAGTATAGAGAGGACGAGTTTCTAAATCTGGTCTGGAGTATGCACGGCCACACAGTTGCAACGGCGGGCGACATGCATGATGAACATGTCCCCCTACAACGGCGTGATCCTAACCTGCCGACCGCCGGAGCTGGAACCAGCATGCTTCCTGGAGTGGCTAAAGGTGCGAGTCTGTCCTCTCCTATGTACTCACCTACCGTGACTCATTCGGGTACCTATACCTCTGGGCATACAATGGTCGTGCTTACTACTGCTGGGGACAGGCAAGAGCCGGGTGGTACTGTGCGAGTAAGAACAGCGGGGCAAACTGCAGGGTGCGGGCTGCGGGCAGGAAGGGGCGTGTGCTTGCAGGCTCTTGTGCCTTGTGTGGGTAGGTGAATAATCGACAGTACATACATAACGATATTCTCGGGTTCTCGTTTCGCACATGCACATTATCATTATCGTTATTGTTGTTATTGTTATTTGGGCTTCCTTCTCTGTGCCAGTATTGGTGGGCACGAAGAGGAGCCTTTGAGCAAAAAGGGGATGCCACGGGCCCAAGGGGGAGGGGAGGAAAACGTGGCATGCCAAAAATCAAAGCAGAAGCGAAAGCGATGCCAGGTCCGTGGGCTTGGGCACACGGCTGATTGACCCTGCCCGCTTCGTCGCTCGGTTGTTAGGGACTTTTTCGAACCAACCCCTCCCCACCCTCAATAGCCCGCTAAGAGAATCGTAACCGCCGGTCCCTCCTGTAGCTTGCTCCATTTATTTATTCCGTCAGCGTGGTTTGGCCGCTGGCTGTGGCCATGGCCGTGACCCGGCGGCCGGCGGGTAGCGCCGCGGGGTATGCACATATTAGGCAAGTCACGCCGCGTTGGCCCTGCCAATTCTTGCCTGATTGGTCCAAGTACGCGTGCTCCGTGATTACTCCATAGGCACGAGCAGGCATGTACTCCGTACTCCATGAGTACTTGAGTATCCGTACTTCAAGTACTACTGAGTATGGAGTATGCGTACGTGGGAATGGCTGCAAGCTTGGCCGTTCCCTGGTACAATACTCCGTACTTCTACTCGTAATCCTCAGTACCTTTGGCCGACCCCCAGGTCCACGACGAGTACCTCATAACGACGGTACCCCCTACGAGGAATGCCCAGGGCCTCTCAACCAGTGTTTGTTGGCGGTGAAGAACTGGGCAGCCTTGATGCGGACCATTGACACTTGGCCTGGAGGCATGGGATGCAATTGAACACAAGGCTGACGAGAGAAAGAGGCTCTACCACCAAAGTCTCGAGCTAGCCAGATGCTCCCGAGTATTCGGCGCCTCCGATACGTATGTAGCCTGATACGATCGACGACTAACACCGGTTCGCGCGCCGGGTAAGGCCTCATGAATACCTTTGGCCCCAGATAGAGTCCTCAATTCCATTTGCCGGGAAGTGCTTGCTTGACACACCTTGCTGTAGGTACAATCAACATTACTACACACACACACACACACACACACACACACGTGCCTTGTTGGATGCGGATCTAAGCAATCGCGTGCTCTTCCTTGCCACCTACTTACCCCAACAGAAGCGCCTCGCTGCCTGCACCAAGTCGGCCTTTACACTGCTTGCCTCCTTCTTGAGCCAGATACGACATTCAACCAGGGATGGCGTCCCTGCTCCTTCCCTGTCATTACACACCGTGACCACCAGATCATGTGAAGAACCGAAATGAGAAAATGTATTAAATAGCAACGGTAACTCGTAGAGCTTCAGCTAATGCATTGATTCTGTTCTGCTATCGGAGCAAGTCTACATGCATATTCACTTGAATGCAAGTTGCGGCCTATTTGCCAATTGCTAGGCCATACCGATGCGATGCTGTGAGTCTCCATGTCCCTGTGTTCGATTCGATCCAATTCGATTCGCAATGCCAATCCATTTCCATGCAAGCAAGCGCCAGCCCATTTCCATGCCATGTCAAGCAATTGCTCTCGATGAATCTGTGGCTACTTCAGCTCCCTGGGGACTTTTGACTTTTGTCGTGCTATTTGCACACCGCAGATCGCCATGCTTGACTCCATTTTCTCCAACTTCATCCCCCCCCCAATGAAATAAATCCCAATTCAATCGTTTCATTCGTCACCAACACATCCATTCCTTTGTACTTGGATTGTATTGGGATTGCTCGCTGAGCTGAAGACGTCAATGCTTAAGCCCCTTTGCGAGAGCGAGCACGTAAGAGACCACGAATGGAATCGCGTTCCTCTTCCTCTTGTTCATCAATAATATCCTCCTCAAGGGAGAATCTAGCTTTGTGGACAACGGTACCAGTGCTGCTTGCAGAAGATGAATGGTAGTCGGATCCTAATTCTTCCTCTTCAGCGATGGGATCCTCTTCAGGAGAGAACCTAGTGTGAACAAGGGTACCAGGGCTGCTAGAGGATGATGCGCGGCCAGGAGTGGATCTAGCGGTTTGAACGAAGGTACCAGGGCTGCTCGCAGAAGCTAAGCGGCTAGGAGAGGACCGATTGTTGTGAACGATGGTATCAGTGCTGCTCATAGAACCTGAACGGTGGTCGTCCCCAGGCTTCCGCGAACCATCAATGCTAGGGCGATCGACGTCTTCACTTCTAGATTTTCGTGAGGGAGATCCCGTGGTCCGAAAAGAGGCCACTGAGCGATCGGTCTTGGTCGGACTGACGCTAGTACCAGACATGCGACGAAGGGTGCGGGCCGGAGACAGGTTGGCGGGCATTGTGGTGCTGTCGGGCAGAGGCTTGCTCGGAGGCGTACCTTTCAAAGGCGACCCAGTGGTTTTCGAAATGACTGGGAAATCGTAGTTCGATGAAGCATTGGACGGAAAGCGACGTTGATCGCTGTTGCGGCGCAAGCCTCCCGCTGGAGATACAGCAGCAGATCCATCACTTGCATTGGGAATGCTGCCATTGTACTTATCGCTGATACGTTCAGAGGTTGACACAGTGTCAGAATGCCGGAAATTGATCACCGTACCATCTGGTCTGGTAATGGGAACAGCCTGTTTGGGACGATATAGAGGAGTCCGAGTCCATGGCGTCGTGTCCTGCGATTGAGTAGGTGCGGCAGAGGGCATGTAGGTCTGATGCGGAAGTTCAATGGCAGAGTTGCGGCGAGCAGTACTGATACGGCCATCAGTAGCAACAGCAGGGCCAGGACCATTGATGTCGCCTCGACGACATGAAAGATCAGGAGCTGGAAGGGAGTTTCCATCCTCGAATGGATCTTCGAGAGTGCTTGGTTCTTCACCAAAAAGTCCATATCGGCTTAGGTAGATAGCCCAGCCCTTCTTCAATGCCTGTGCGAGGAATTTTTCTTCCAAAGCTGCAAAAGCTTGTCGAGTGAGTTGCATTCCACTATCGGTGGCGCGAACAACGAAACAGTCCTCAACAAATTCGACACCAAGGTGAGGCTCAATGCCAACGTTTTGAATGCCTCCATAATCGCGAACCAGGGCTTCCATACCGGATTGAATGATGTGGAGCCACATGCCAATATCTTGGTCAGAAAGTTTGGTTGGGTCAGGGCTGAGACATTGAAATGGCCAAGCTCTAGCATAGGCACTCAAAATAACTCCACGACCTGGCCCAGCAGACATGATGACAATGCTGAACTTCTGGCGTTGCGAAAAGGCGGGGCAATTCATACCAGCAAAGACGAATTCCATGAGGAGCTTGGTGTCAAGTCCAACTTCACGACGCTCTTGCTTCAAAGGATCAGCTTTGTCAACAAGTACCTTGAGCTGTCTCATGAAGGACAAATAGATACCGTCTCTTTCTTCCATGGTGTAGAGGTCAGTAGCGTACCATGGGAACTGAGAGCAGTTAGCATGACGCCCGCCACTGAATTTTTTGTTTTCAGTCCATACCTTGTACAAAGTACTGATCATCGATTCGTAAGGGCGCTGCTGACTGCGTTGGGCGAATGGAGACTATAGGGATGAAGTTAGCCTTGTCATAGATGGATTCTCCTGAAAAGGTACTTACGCGGCCTGGGGTCTCTGCGTGGCGTATCAGTCCGTTCAACTCCTCTCTTGTCATGAGGCCGTTGAAACCAGACGAGTATGGATCAGTATTCTCGACCAAGTAAGGAGCACCGTTGTTGTCTTCATCCCAGACGACACTGCGCGCGCGTGGAAACAAGTCTTGGAGAAGCTGGGCTTGGGAGCTGAGTTCAAGATTGACCATCCGTTGTCCGAGTCTATTGAATTTCATGCCACGAAAATTGCGGTCCACAGCATCTGCTGCAATATCCTGGGTCTGAACCTCAATGAATACATCCATGGTTTTACCAGTGGAACGTTCCATTATGATGTGATATGGATAACCATCACGGTGTGGTTGAAGGATGTCTGATGTGGTCACATGCTTGAGCATAAATTGTTGGACTTCAGCCATGGTGATGCCATAGGGGATCTAGAAATGAACGCACAAGGTTAGCGGGGGTCTTCTGATATCAACTGCAGCTGGTGAAGCAGATTTCAGTGCGACGGGGATAAAAACCGGCTCCATTTCATGTGTTTGAGCAATCCTGATTCTATCAACCTCGGACCGTTTCCGTGGTGCCACAAATAGACACCAGGAATCCCGAACTGGGCCGTGAGATGGAGGATGTTCAAGCTTTTCAGAGAGTAAAATCGGTAGGGGAGATAACTTACATTCTTGATTTTGATGACTCCATGATTGGTAGGGCCGACGAAGGTGACCGGATCGATGATGTGAGGTTGCGAACCTGGGCCAAAAGCCGTGGTAGGAGACTCAGTACCAACGCCTGTGGTCATGGTTGCGTTCTGGGAAATTGGAGGGACGCTGGTCAGATAGGCAGTGGAATTCATCGAGGAGAGTGGAACCTGGGGATGAATGGCATTTGGATTGAAGCCAGAAGTAGTGTTGTTTCCTGCCTGCCAGTTGTACTGAGGCATGGAAGCTTGAAGATCGAAGCCACCAGGAAAGAAGGTGAGGTTAGCCATGGCGTTCTCGATTGGGACTTGAACACCAGGTGGAAGAGGATGAGCACCCTGCAAGCGAAACCATCCGAGATCTCTTGAAGGGGCCCATGCCATGATGGGAGTCAAAGGAAGAGAGGAAGGACAGTGTGATTATGAATTAAGAAGGGAGAAGCAAGAGGTGGAGTGGAAAGATATAAAGAGAGAAGGTAAGAAAGATAGAAAAGGGAAGAATAGGAAGAGGGTTAAGATCGGTTGGGCACGGTGGGGAGGGAAGGAGAGAGTTATCTCCAGTAAACGTGAAAGTGAAGAGGAATATCAGGCGGTCCCAGCTTAAGCCATATACCAGTTTCTGATGTACCGCAAAATGTCGCTGACAGTCGAAGGTAGGGGAGTGGCAAGTGGTGGCTTCAGATAAAGGGACGACTGAAAGCTCTCTCATTCGGCAATCTGAATAAGTCTTGATTTGGAGGGCCTTTCTTGCTAGTGACAGATAGAAGAAGGCAAGGCGTCTTTTCCAGTTTCGTGCAATCGGTCTTATTGAGCAGCAGTGATGCTGATGTCTCATCAGTTTCTGGACAAAGTCTTCACCATCCATCACATCTCTAGCGTGAACGAACAGTCAATGCCTGTGAGCACTTTCATCAACGATTCAGGCCCCTACAGCAGACTGCCTTGCTAAAGCTTGAATTCGATCAAATCTTAGTCTGGTGAGGTATCACTGGCGTCCAACAAGAGAGTCTTTCATAGTGACAAATTCGCATGGGAAACAATGGCAGAGATATCTCAGTGCAGGCAGCGGCACTGCCTCTTTTATTAGCACCGCATCTGATTGCAATGCATCTTTATCGACGCTTCGGCTATCGACAACGTCCGGGTCATGATCCAGTGCTATGGTCACGTGAGCTTCGGGGTCAGAGTTCCTTCATCGATGGCAACGACCTCCTTGCCCAGAGAGAGGGAGTCTGTGGCTTTGACCTGCCACAGTTGGTCGCTTGCGTGCTAACTTACGCAATGACTGCTTTTCAATATAGCCGACTCCGACTAGTCGAACTGCACAAGGTAAGTAAGATTGCTCCACGAGGAGCTTGACAAACATACCGGAGTCAAGAAAGATTCAGCCACAAACCGGGCCCTTGCATTCAACTGGGTATACAGTTAGCCGAGATAGAAGACAATAATCCGGCGTGCTACATACAAACAACTTCATTTCGGATATCTCCTTGTCGACTTCTTCCATAAATTGAATGATGAAATCGACTAGCTTGTGCTTGAGCATTTCCTCGGTGTGTGTGTTGGTGATCAGGAAAGAGATATCGTAACCCTGGAGATCATCAGACGAGAATGCTCCACAGCAGAGAGGTGACTGTCTTGAAGCATACCTTGACAGGTTTGCGTCTCAGGATGAAGAAAGACTCCGCTCTTTGGGTTAAGAATCGGGTGAACTTGTGAACCAGGATGTTCTCAATTTCGTCGGCCTGCTTGATCCTTATGCTAACTCTCACGCTGTTCACACTCGGTTCTATTAGGACCTTCTCGTTCTCATTCCGTGCGACCGTGAGCGGGTTGAGTAGAACTTCTGGAGAACTAGCAGCCTCTATCTCGGGGACATTGTGCCGTTCTGAGGCCTGGGAAGCGAAGTTTGACAGAGAGAGAGCAGCAGTCAGTGATGATCGGACGCATTGCAGGTACGGGCGGAGAGATTGTGACTAAAAGGAAACATCAGCACCATATAAGGAATCTGAGAATTGCAGGCTACAGGCAGACCATTTTCAATGCTGTCGATCAGAGCGGGATTGCGAGAATGTTGTGGTTGTTCTACCGACTCATCGAAGCGAGGAGACTTCGTTATGTTGGAAGTATTGAGGAATGGCTGAGCATAAGTCTCTATAATCTATTTGTCGGTGTGGAGCTGAAAGGACAACTATTGCAGTGAGACTGTGTATTGAATGTTGGAGGGGAAGCCACTGTGCCGCCCGCATAAAGCCAGCCAGCATGACATCCTCAGCACCTTCCCTATTCCAGTTTGGTGCACGCGGTCATTCACGTGATTGCTTGGCAATTGTTTGGGAGCCACTGGGAGCACGCAAGGCTGAGGGTTTTAGTCATATTCTTGGGTATTGACACGCGGGAAGATACAGGCAGGACAAATGAGATGAAACTATGACTAGTCTGGCGTTGACTAGGCACGATTGAAACTTGGAATGGCGTATATAACATGCTGGAATATATGCACTGCGATGGACACCAGTGTCCATTTTGCTCACAACTTGCCTGACTTCTACTTCAAAACCAATCCATCATCCTAACCGCAAGGCACACCTCGAACTATTACATATCATTATATGCTACAGTAGCTGGATGAAATGTGCCAAGGCCAGTAAGTAGGGACTTGGGTCACCTTGCATCTAAAACGCAGAAGGATCTAGAAGCATTTGAGTCTGAAGGATCGCAGGCTCAATGCAAGGCAAGGGGCTTGGCACGATTCGTACTTCGGACGTGCCTGGCCGGGTTCCGCCATAATTAGTGCTTCGTGCGAGGAATACCAAAACACATCGCTTTGCCTCCATGCGGTGATTCCAAAGCACTCCCTCAGTCCCGACTCCATCCCATTTCTGTTCAATCCACAACGCTCTCCTGCCTATTCCAAAAGCATGGCGACTATCCCCAGTAAGTCCCAACACTCCAGATTCCTTTGTGGCACCTAATTTCCTAACGATCATTAGTAACTATCAAGCACCAAGGCAAAAAGTACAATGTCGACCTCGACCCTTCTACCAACGGCGAAACTCTCAAGTACCAGCTCTTCTCCTTGACCGGTGTTGAACCTGATCGCCAATCCCTTCTCATCAAGGGTGGAAAACTGAAAGATGACACTGATCTTTCCAAACTTAATGCTAAGCCTGGTCAAATATTCACAATGCTTGGTACTGCATCCGCCGAAGGCAGCGCCTTGCTCGCCCCAAAGGAGAAGCCTAAGTTCTTCGAGGACATGACCGAAGCCGAAGCCGCTGCCCAAGAAGGTGCAACACCTGCTGGTCTCCAGAATCTGGGCAATACTTGTTACTTGAACTCCGCTCTACAAGTCTTGCGGAGCATCCCCGAAATGCAGGATTCCTTGAAGCTGTACAAGCCTGACCCTACGGCACGGAGCAGCCTTCAAGATCTCAGTCGCTTTGGTCTGGATGGCTTGAGCGGCGCGACCGACTTAACTGCTCAACTTCGGGATCTGTACAAGAGAATGTCTGAAACGCAAGAAGGATTTCCTCCACACATGTTCTTGAATGCCCTTCGATCTGCCTACCCCCAGTTCGCTCAAAAGGCCAAAAATGGTCACGGCTACGCACAACAAGATGCCGAGGAAGCTTGGTCGCAAATTCTTCATCTCTTGCGCCAGAATCTCAAAATTACCGAAGGTGAAGCCGATAGCCAGGGGAAAGTGGCCTTCATCGATCGTTATCTCGCAGGTTCTGTCCATTCAACCCTGACCCCTCCAGCTGAAGCTGGTGAAAATGAGCCTGTCGTTGAGACAGATGACTCATTTCTCAAACTTGACTGCCACATCAACATCACCATAAATCATCTCCGAGACGGCATCCTGGCTGGTTTGACCGAGGAAATCGAGAAGCACTCTCCCACACTGGGTCGTGACGCGATTTATACCAAGACATCGAAAATCACAAGGCTCCCACAGTACCTTACCGTTCATTTTGTGAGATTCAACTGGAAGAAAGACATCAATAAGAAAGCCAAGATCATGCGTAAAGTCACCTTCCCAGAAGAGCTCGATATCGTTGAGTTCTGTACGGATGAGCTGAAAAGTCGACTTATTCCCGTGCGTGATAAAATCCGAAACATTCGAAAAGATGAGCAAGACGTCGAGCGTGCGAGGAAGCGACAAAAGCTGGCTCATAAGCAGGAAGCAGACCGTAAGCATGACGAAGCCATGAAGGTGGAAGCAGCCCCAATCGCAAAGTTAAGAGAGCAAACGGAGAAAAAGGAGTCCAAAGACAAAGTCCCTGAAGGTGGCGACCTCGATGTTTACAAGACAGATGTTGAGTACGAAGCAGAACGTGCTCAGTCAATCAAGCAGGCCAAAAAAGAGTTGTTCTCTGTGATTGATCCCGAGCTTGCAGCTGATGAAGGTGCAAACAAATCGGGTCTTTACGAATTACGAGGAGTGATTACCCATCAAGGGGCAAGCGCAGACAGCGGGCATTACACTAGCTTTGTCAAGAAGTCAGGCAAGGTGGTTGACGATCCCAAAGCGCCTGGTGGCAAGCGTACAGAAGAGGATGGCAAATGGTGGTGGTTCAACGATGACAAGGTTAGCGAGGTGGAGCCTGAAAGAATCATCACCCTTGCTGGTGGTGGTGAAAGTGCTTCGGCCCTTATTCTTCTCTACAAAGCCATTGATCTACCAACCAAAGATGAGGTTGAGGAAGAAAAGTAGATAGTCAGCTGTGATTTGGAGCGAACATTCTGCAATGGTTGAAGCGTCTACGGCATGCATAGCGGAAACCGGGCCTTGGTAGACAAGACAACCTCTAGACTAGTAAACAGAGCCTCATGGACATGGTCTCGCCTATGAAGTTGAATCATTGGAAGTTATCTGGTGAGTTACCAGACATCATCATAGGGATTTGGAGGCGAGGCAAATGCAGGCACGAACATCCGATTTTTGGCGCGACCCAATCAAGGTGCAGCTGTAATTCGCTTGTTGGCAAACTTGGGTGTGGATTTTACGGAGATAACAACGCGCGATCACATGACCGACATGCCCGCTCTTGGCACCCACCAACTCTGACTCTTGCAAGTTTCTCCCAGACCTCGCCTCGCCGACACCAGACTACAACCACCACTATCGACTCCATTCTACCACGATCAATCTCATCATCTGCTAAACCCATATCGCAATCATGGGTAAAGTTCACGGCTCCCTCGCCCGTGCTGGCAAAGTCAAGTCTCAGACCCCCAAGGTGAGCACCCGAACTCATTGCGCAGGCACCCGCAGTCTCGCACCTCCTCCCGAATTGAATTCATCGATCATCGTGGAAAGATGGGAACAAAGGCTTACAAACGGATCACAGGTCGAACCCCAGGAGAAGAAGAAGAGCCCCAAGGGCCGTGCGAAGAAGAGAATAACTTACACTCGACGATTCGTCAACGTCACATTGACCGGTGGCAAGAGAAAGGTATGAATTACCACAACCATCATCGACCGTGACCAGGCACTTATAATTCTATCCAGATGAACCCCAACCCGACTTCATAAGACCCAGATTTCCTTGCATGGTGTGTTTTGGAAGGATCGAATTGCTATGTACAGCGAAATGGAATCCATGTGGGAGGAGGATGGACGATGCTTCCACCAGTCATGGAAATGATGATCAATGCTGAATTTTTCATCACGTTTTCTCAAAATGCTCGGCATATGGTGATTCAGGGTTAGATTCCCCAGAGCGATGCAGCCAAGATGCATATGGCTTGAAGACGGGACCTGCATAATGAATCGGCAAAAATTTGAGGCGTTGCTGGCTGTCACGTCGATAAAACAATACCAAACAACAGATGTGTTCCGTTTTTTTGTTCCTTATCTGTCTTGTGTCCTTCCGCTGCAGTTTCCATCTCCGCGATGGTCGGAGAGTGCCTGCCGCCTGCACCCCCGAGGTATATGATTCACTGCGCTGAAGTTGGGGAAACAGGTTAATGCCCAAGGTCAAGCACGTTTGCTACCTAGGCGGACATGGGTTGGAAGAATAACGAATTCTAGATGATGATGTCTTCCACCTAGTGAGCAAACAGTTTTACAAATTCTAGAATGTTCAAAGAGATACCTTATTAACGGCCTAGTAGCTACTCGTTCCAACAAGGATAGCCTATATTTAGGCTCCTGTTCATGCTGTGGATCGTGGGCAGGCGTCCTACTCACTCCAGACGAGGTCGAACACCGCTACAAACCCCGATTTTTGTCGACAGGACCAACCCGCCACCGGGTGGGTATTCCTTTAATGTGCACCCTGATATCCCCTAATTGAATAGCTCTAGTTCTATCTCTCACAACTAACGCGATCTTCCACATTTCACGCCTCAAGTGCTAAGCAAGCAGCCGCCCGTCGCAGTCGACTGCCTCGTGCGATACCCCTTTCGTCGGCACGTGACTACAGCCTCGTCTCCATCGTTTATCTGTCTTACCCACCTTCCCACACGTCCTGACCACAGTTGACGGCCCAAAGGCGGTCAGAACGCATAGAAATGGCAGACATACGAGGGTTGGCCCTGGATGCAGGCATTGGCGCCATTTGGGGCTTCCTCGCCTCATCGGCGCAGTATGACCTTTCCCTTCAAATGCTGCGAGACGCCTATATTGCCGGTATCCGGGCCTACGTGGGCTCCTTTTGCAACGATAGTGAGGCACAGGATGTTTCTAGGATTGATTTCGATACCCATACACGCCAGCTTATAGACCAATTTGCCATGTCTCGAGAACTTCGCTTTCAAGTTAAAGCTGAATCTGCCCTCGAGGCGTCTCTCTGCGGATACGGCACTCTACGACGAGCTCTGGAATCGCCTTGTGGTCGATGGCAATGCTGTAATGACACATGTGGATATTTCAGACCTGCAGACAGCATCCTCGATCCCAGAAACACGCATGGCTCTCCTGAAGTACCGCGACGAATACCTTCAGCCTCGCTATCCCACATTTGAGACACAAGACATGGCTCACATGAGAGACAAGGACTACTTCAATTTCTCTGCCGACATGATCCAGAAATGCGATGAGTGTATTCGAGGATGGGCGCAACGATTGGCCGACAACCACGAAAACCTGTGGGGAGACGAGGCGATCGAGCACGGACGAAGCCCGAACGAGATCTACAAGTATCTACAGCTGGACAATGGTTTTGGAGAGGACGAGCAAGCCAGAGACGACAATGCCAACATTAACGACGACGAGAGAGCCCACGAGGATACGGGCACAGTTCAAGGAACAGCAGGCAGTACTGCCACTGGAGCCACAGCAACCCAAAGCTCACAGACCACCACGAAGCGCGGTCGCAGACCACCATAAATCTTAGCGCACCCCCATACAACGAGTGGTGGCAGAAGAGCCCCGTCGCGGTGCCAGAGGCAGATTCTACTGCCTGTCGTGTGGGCCCGATGGCAGTCAAGGACTTTCGGGAAAACGCCAGCTCGGCCGTCATTTTGAGGGTGTACATGGCATTGCCAGACCGGATGAGACAGTTTAGATCTCGATGGGTTTCCCACTCTAGGTATGGTATGAGTTGTTGTTGGGAGATTTGGGCAAGCCGCGAGCATTTGATCCGAGCTGAGAAGATGCACTGATACGAGGCTTTCCCTCGCATTTAATGGAGCCCGGAATGCTTTAGCATTGGACCGAGTGGGCCAGCATGGATAGGAGTGTCTGCCGACTAGCCGAGCCATAATGGGAATGCTGGGAAGGAATGCTTTCGTTAGCGAACCACATAGCCTGCCGTCAGATAAGACGGCTGACTCTTGAACTCCGTAGAAACGATGGAATCACCAATTCTGCGTTTCGGAATGCACGAATGAGCACATTGTGCAGTCTCAGACTCTTTTCAATTGTAAACTTCTGACAGAGGTTGGGTTACACCTATACAAGATTTATCTGCTCAACAAATAACCAGAAAGGCTCTTGTCCAAGGGTGCCTATTGGATCACATCTATGCTGTGGAAAATGATCTCAGATCGATGCTCGCTTTAACTCAGCATCTCAGCCTCTGGCGAGCCTGTATCAGAAAGATATATCCCGCATCAAGCTCGATGTATCAGAGAACATATCGGAAGTTCAAATTTTCCTTGTCCGTCTCATTCGTCAAGGCGAGGTCATCTGGTGATTCGATCCTTGGAATGCCATTATTTGCGGATTGAAGACGATCGCGCCGCTGGTTCTCACGAGAAAGCAACACACGAAGTGTGGCTACCATTAGCGAAGAACAGGCGAAACAAACTGTGGTTGCTAAAAAGCCACTCTGTGACCGCATCAGCTCTTGGACACCGCCCGGTTATAGGCTCCACTTACACGATAATGAGGGGCCTCAGATGGGAAGAATAAGAACGGCCCGATGATGTTCCCGGTAGAATATGCAATAAACATCATGGCACTGGCAGGTTCTAGTTAGTATTTACTATCAACTGAATTGGAAGGAGAGTCACCACTTACGATGCCACAGCTTTCTTCGTAAATCCGGCCACGTTAGAGCTGATCATTGACAAGCTCAACGGGATGCCCGCCACGTATCCAATAAAGATGAAAATGCCAAACAGATTACTTCCTAGGTTGGGCCCATAGCGTACAAGAATGCTGCCGACTAGACTGACTAGGCACAGTGACCCGGCGACGATGCAGCGGCAATTTTTGAACTTGCTGCAGAGAAACGTGGCGCCCAGGGCGAAGATACCGTGAACAGCGCCAAGGGGGATTTGCAATAGATACACATGCAACCTATCGTAACCCATCCCAGCGAACACAAGACTGCTAAACTAAGAAACAAACTGTCAGTACCGAGGCAGATACTCAAGGGTTGGTTTCTTATCATACAGTGGTAAATGCACCGTTAGGGATGGAAGTCGCCAGCATAAAGATCACCAATAGCCAAACTTTGATATCGGTCATGGCCTCCCAAACCTGCTTCCACTTAAATTGATTATCTTTCATTCCAGTTTGGTTGCTTCGAATTCGGTCGACAGCCCTAACTCGCTCGTTCTCAGTGAGGAATCGAGCGGTGGTTGGCGTGTCAGGCAGCAGCCATAGAAGAACTGCGGCCCAAGCCAAAGTCATGACACCAAATATTATAAAGAGCCACTGATGAAGATGAGTCAGCAAATATTCAAAACGATGCGATAGAACGATAAGCTGAAATGCAATGCAAACCGCATAACGGGCTGACTCTTCTATTCCTGCTTCACGGGCTTGTACCACTTACCCTCCATGGGCCCAAACTGTGCTTGATGTGGGCGATCGCGTATGCAAGCAGGCTGCCGAACATAACGGCCAAGCTGTTGCCACAGAACCACAATCCATGCCTGAATGGCTGCTCACTTCGCTTGTACCACATTCCCGTCATCAGTGAGAAACCGGGAGAAATTGAGGCTTCAGCTGCGCCAAGGAAGGCTCGGACAACGACCAACCCGACAAAATTGGAAGTCGCAGCATGGCAGGAAAGACAGACCGCCCACACGATGCTTCATTTGGTATGTCAGCTAGGATAATGATGAGAGAACTGTCCCTAGAGCAATTGCATACCATGTAGCACTGAGGTATTTTCCCAAAGGCAGACGGACCATAAGGAATGAAGCTGGGTAGCTGAAGAGCAGATAACCAAAGTAGAAAACGCTACCTGACCAGGAGTATTGTGTTCCATGAAGACCCTCGATTCACTCAGTCAATTAATTCTCAAATGAATGGGCGAAGAGCCGCCAGAGGTTAGCTCACAAGATCTTGAATCAGTCCCATCACGGATGCAAAGTTCAGCGTTTGCTTGTCAAGAAATTGGAGTAGATAGGATATCGTCAAAAGAGGCATGATCCTGCAAGGACAACATCAGCAACAAACCCCGGTAATGTGCCCAGCAGAGAACTAACCAGCGATCGATCTTCCTCAGCAGTTGCTTCTCCTCAATCGAGTGCTGGCCACCATCGACTACAGCGAACGAGTCTTGTTCATGAAGACTGGAAATGTCTCCGATGTCTTTATCCATGGTGATGCTCCGAGTTATCACTTTCTCGGGACTTGCCATTCTTGGGATGAGAGCTACGCTTGCGTAAGAACTCAGGGCTGCTTGATTATGATATACGTGTTTGACAATAATGTTGAAAGAAGGGTTGGTGAAGATGCTTTATAGCTAGCGATGAGATCTAGGGATGTCCGTGTCTTTGGTTTACTTCATAGGGCCAGGTGCATGGCGTTGCGAGGAATCGCTATCATTTGATCTTATCATTCCGCACAAATCCGTCAACGGGAGATAATGTCGGGAATTCTTAAATCAGCGATGGCAGTGAACAATTCCGGGGTAGAACTTTATCTTTTTATTCTCTGTGGATGTTCAGCGCCAGCGATCTCGAGTATCTCGCACTGTAGAGGGCAGGGTATTCGTAAGAGCCGAGCGCTTCTGATTGGCTCTGTCGGCAAAAGTGGGGACTCGTCGATGTCTCCCGATATCCTTTTACGAACCCCGTGGGGTTTGCTGAGATACCATGACAACCTGATGTTTTAGCGGGCTATCATTCTCAACGAATGCATCCAGGTAGCCGAGGGCCCAAGGGGCATGTGTGCAAACATCACTGCAGATAGTGCGCGTGTAGTCCAGATCTCAAACCCCTTGATAGGTTGTCGGCGTCTTTTGCGGAGGAACATGGCAGCCAGGTAGCTTAGACATCTCCGCACATATTTATTTTGTTGCTATGCTGATAGTTGTAGATAGTTGTCTTGACCATATTCGAGGAACATTGTCTCTAGCGCACAACTCCCATCGAGCAAAGCAGGCGGGAGTCCAAGATTGGAGAACAGTACACCCGCTTTTCGGACCTGGGTCTTGATCCAGTCTTTATGGATCGGATCGCGCACCTTCATCAAAGCCACAGTGAGAGGCCAAGCATAGCGGTATATCTGTTGTGGAAGTTCATGAGTGGACTTGTAAGCGATGGCTAAGAGTTCAGACAGTGTCCCTTGAAGCCATTGCGGGTATGGATCTTCACCGTCGATGCAGGTGTATAGTACCCTAACGGCGTAGTAATCCAGACATGCATGATACACAGTCCATATGACGCGTCGGCCATTCGAATTCTTGGCCATTTTCGCTAATGCGAGTAGATCGCAGAACTGCTGTTAAAGAGGTTAATATCGTCTGAGCGGTGCAATGACTCAGTAGAAGGCCACTTACCTCGCCGGTCTCTTCGATCCTCTTCCAGAGTCTTGCCTTACTTTCCTCAACCAGGCTGCCCTGAGCTGCTGCTACACCCAGTTTCCAGACGCTCAATTTTAATTTTTGGCAGACAGTTAGGAACGACAATCCGCGGTAGTTCTCTACGTCATCCAATAACTCTTCCACAGGGTATTCAGAACCCCAAATCTTAGGCAGACATCGTCGCGCCTGTTCGAAGACTTGATCGTAAGCTATCGGCGATTTTGCTGGAGCTGATAACAGGTCAAGTGAGAGATGACCACCGTTCATATTACCCAATGCGAGTATGACATCGTGATATCTTTTAAATAGTCAGTCTTTACCTCGAGTCATCAGGTCATACGTACGCAATGAATAGCAAGAGCTGCTGTGCAACAGGGGGAAGATTGTCTCGCTCATCAGCTACGCTCCTATCAATGTATTGCTGAAGGAAGGAGCGAATGCCGTTGAGGTGCACATGCGAGGCACTGACAAGTTCTGGATCGTAGAGTCCCACAAGAAGGATCAAAAACCAGATTGAAAAAAGCGCTTCAATGTCTTGGGGTTGCGGTTGAGCGCCCGACACACGATCCAAAATCAAAGAAAGGTCCTGAAGTGCCAAGTGAAGGTAGTTCGTCGCAGCTTCTTTCAATTTCCGTGTCCTAGCAAGACTTCCAAGGGTTGGAGTTGCGTCCTGGAATTTCAATATCTCTAGAAACCGCAGTTCCATGGAGGCAACGGCTATGAAGCTCCTCATAACGCCAGCTTCCTTGGATGCTATTCTTGAGTGTACATAAGAAAGCATGCTCCACCTCCAGGGCTTGCCCATACGAAGAACCATAAGAGATTCGGGTACATATCTGAAGGACTGCATGTCTTGTGCGGACAAAACAATGGAGTTTGCTAGGGGAATGTGAGTTGTCGAGAGGCTTGGTCGCAATGAGTCTTGCCTTCCTCCGCGGTAGGCCTCCAGAGCCTGATGCATGTTTTGGGAGGTCGACAATTGTACGACCTCCTTTTGGGTCTCATCGGCTGCATCTGCGGGTTGTTGCAGGCACTCAGCCTGAGGTTTTGGAACAGCACTTGCCAGTGTTACAGTTCTTGAAGATGTCGGTGCCGAAATGAATTTGCGAGCTGGAGTTGAGGCTGCGCGGACTCTCTGAACAGGTTGGCCCCAGTCGCATCGAAGCCTGGCCTGTGCACATCGTGAACAGAGTGGCTGCTCCTCGTCGCACTTCACTTTGCGTGTGCGGCAGGTGGTACAGCCTTGTGATAGCGTTAGCCGAGATGAAGATCAGGCCCAGGGAGCTTGCATATGTACCATGTCTAGAACGAGGCCCATGCCGACCAAACTGGGGTTTCACTACCATCCTCACATCTTGAAGCGGTAGAACTATCTTTGATTCGGCATCTCGGATACTGTCCTCGGATGCCTGAAGCACACTTCAAGAGAGTAACGTTGAGGTTGTCTTCCAAGCGGGGTCGAAGGAGGACGAGATAAGCTCTGCTGAAGCGCGGAAGCTTACCGTTTGTCCCGTATGCAGACCGACGATCAGCTCGGCAAGAATCACTGTTGCTTCGATATTCTAATTGGTTGACTCGGCAAAGTGATTTCTCCCCTATACTAAATGAAGATGCACTGAAGATATCCAGATTGAGCTTTCCAGGGCCCGAGGAAGGATATATTTTCGGCAATGGATGTCGTGCTGAAGGCCAACGATGGACCGGCGGTCACTTGAACTGGTTCCCATACTTCAAATAATACAACGCCCGGGGCACGTAAGCGTCTTTGAACGCTATCGCCAGAGTAATTCGGGTATTCAGCATGTCTCCTGGCCGACTATTCAAAGCCTTGACTCCAGAGAAGCTTTCAAAACAGGTAGCGCTCTCAATAGAGAACCATGAGAATGAGTTGGCCGCTATCAATAAACATGTAAGTCAAGCTGAACCATCATACGGCAAGATTAATTTCTCGCATCCTGACCGTGACTTTAGATTCACGATAACCCAGAGATACGATTCCAAGAGGTCCAAGCCCACAATTGCATTTGTGACCTGCTAGAAGGATTAGGATACTCGGTGACAAGACATGCTTATGGGATCGACACATCATTTGAAGTCGAATACGGCAAAGACGGACGGATTGTTGTATTTAATGCTGAATACGACGCACTACCAGGCATAGGCCATGCATGTGGCCACAATCTAATTGCCACAAGCTCGATTGCATCGTTCATTGCAACCGCCGAGGCTATTCGTGACAACGGGATTAGTGGACGAGTGAGACTATTGGGGACTCCAGCAGAGGAATCTGGAGGAGGAAAAATAAAACTGATCAAGTCAGGTGCTTACCGAGGAGTCGACGCGTGCATCATGTCCCATCCAGGGCCAGCCTCTTCAACACACTACGACGGGACCAAGATTTCTGACGGAATAGCAGCAACCAGATCGCTCGCCCGGAAAAAAGTGAATGTCACATTCAAGGGGAAGAACGCTCATGCCGGGCTCAATCCTTGGGATGGGGCCAACGCGCTTGACGCCGTGGTGGCCTCCTATGTCAACATTTCTTTGTTGAGGCAGCAGCTCCAGCCAACAGCACGTATTCATGGCGTTGTTCGCAACGGTGGCATGGAGCCCAATCTCATTCCCGACGAAGCTAGCCTCGAGTATTTCATCCGGGATGCAAGCGCTGCCGGTGTGACCAATATAGCGAAAAATGTCGACGCTTGTTTCTGTGCCGGCGCGCAAGCAACAGGCTGCCGTCTGGAATGCACCTGGGACGAGTAAGTTGCACCACTACCTTTATTACTCACAGAAGGCTTGGAATTGACATTGGGACAGGGAGTGCGACTACAAAGATCTGAGACCAAACATGACCATCGCCCGCCGTTTCACGCAAAACATGTCGGCAATTGGTAGAACTTTCTTGGCAGACGGTCGCGACCTACCGATCGGGGCATCTACAGACATGGGTATGCCCAGCTTGCCCGCATTGTGGATAGAAGCTTACAGACATTGCAGGCAATGTCTGCTATGAAGTCCCGAGTTTCCATGGTTTCTTCAGTGTGGGTCCAGAGATCCCGGGGGCCAGTCCGCATAATCCAGAATTTGCGATAGCGGCTGGAACGAGGTCTGCTTACTTATTAGCCATGGACAGTGCAAAGGGGATGGCGATGACGGCGTATGATATTCTGTCGGATGATGAGGTTGCAGCTGAGGCGTGGGAGGAGTTCAGGAATGAGTTCCGGCAATGAACTGCATGAGGTTGACTGCAGACTAATTCAGCAGCCCACGTAGAGCAAGCTGCGAGCTTCTGGTCCACGGCGGCTGTTGCTTCCTTGATCGCTATGTGTGATTTGCTTCACTATGTCAATATGCATATGTCCTCGGTTCTGACAATTGCGGGAGAGCGTTTCCTTAGAATCCGCCGCGCCGTAGCAGAGTTGATTCACCGTAGAGTATGTTCATGAAGCGCTGCTCTTGTTGTGCACTTTTTCTTGCTGCGCCAAACTTATCAAATTGAGAAGTTGCTAATACACATCCCTACTCTCTTCTGTTGAGACCTCGCGGTGACGCGCACCCCTTGGCAGTAGTTAGTTGATGCTGCTATTTCGAGCGGCATTACGCCGCAAGGCGAGATGGGTTGCTCCTCAAATAACAAGGCTTCGGCGAGGGCAGCACGACGGCCACGGTCCCCATAAGGAATACTTCCAAACCCCGGGGAGGACACCACTTCCTGATACCTCGCCCTACACTCCTCCGCAGACGACTCCTGCAATCCAGGGCCGCTCAGGCCCATCGCCCATTATTCGGGCTGCGCGATCCCTGTTCTGGGCCTCGCTCTTCTCGACCCTCGGTCTTGTTGCGGGAACAGCCTTAATTACTTGGGAATACTTGCAACCGCCTTTCGAACCAGGATCGCCGGAGGATCAAGAGTTATTCGAGGAGATTGTAGATACATTGGATAGCCATCCACTCGTTGAGTCACTCAGAGAAGAGAAATGGATCGAGGATCCTAACTACAATGATCACCTGGTTCGTACAGGCAAAGGTCTTCACCTTGTCTCGGAAAAGCTTGCGGGGACTCAAGGTATCACCATGAGAGCTTTCCGACATCCTTCGCAAGAATACACAATGATGGTGTTCTTCCTCGGGTTTGGCATAGAAGGCTGGCCGGACGTGGTAGGAGCAGACTTGTCACAGCGGATGATGTTCGGGACTGATTGTGCATATAGATCCATGGTGGCATCATCACAACCTTGCTTCAAGAAGGTATAGATCAACACATCCAGAACTTTTACTCCAAGGATGGAAAGCTACAAGGACAGGTGATCAGCATTGACTTCAGGAAGCCGGTCCGACCGGGAGATATCTATGCGATTCTCATACCTCCCGGCGTATCTGATAGCCCGAATCCTCCGCAGCAGAAACGCGTCCAGCTGGTTTCAATCCTGATGCACATAGAAGGAGCTCCCCGAGTTCAGACAATCTATGATGCTGTATCCCAGAAACAAGAACATACAATCCAGGTACCATCTTCCAAAGGCGATGATATCCAACACGCGATTGCCACCGTACAGTTAAGACTTGGCAATTCTGAAAACATTGATCAAGATGCATCGGACGATAGCGGAGATGATGATCGGCCTTGAAGCAGCAAATGATGCATTGGTCTTACCTCATCTCGCCTCTGAGCGAGAGCCCTACGTTATTGAGCAGCGCAACGTCTGGTTCCAAGTTCCATGGCGACAATTCCCTGGACTTTCGGCTTGAGACATCCGCAACGTTGCCAGGGATGTTGGCCGCTTAAACGCGGTGACAGGGAGCCGCACCCTGGTGCAGGATGTTCGAACCTTGGTCGAGTCACCAATGATTTAATGTGTTCGACGAAGGGTCCCGACCGATGGTCATTTCGGAATCTCGCCTTTCATTTATGCATATCTTTATAATCATTTCCCACGACTAGGGACGAGCATGAACTCGATTCGCGGTGCTGGTAGAGTAGAAACGGCCAGAACGAGTCAAGATCCATTCCTTACTGGCGGGCCGCAATTCGGGCTGGGTATCGAAATTGCGGGGAATGATGGCACGAGAAACAGTGCAAGGGAGCCCACCACCTACCTTGAAAGCTAGCGCTGACATCGCTGGGTGTAAGTGCTATGCGCAAGGGCACGAGTCAACATGGTTGACGGTTTGGGTACTGGGCTCTCACCTGGGCCAGGCTGTGGGGTCTCCATAAATCAAGCATCCCATGGAAATGCATCTCGAGATATTTGAATTTGCGGGGTTGGCATGGTGGTGGCGTGGGTTAGCCGGTTTTGGTTTTTGCATCAAAGTCACTAACTACCTGGTCAGGTTTCGGTAAGTTACCGGGTAAAGGACTTGGGATGGTCAAGGCTGCATGAAAAGTACCGAGGAACCCATACACTCAGTGCCAGATGTGGATGGTCTGAGATTCAGTGGAACGGACACGTTGACTCGATTCCGACCCTAAAGGGAAGACCGGACCAGACTCCTCATCTGGCCAGATCCCGGGCCTTGCAAAGTTTTTGCGCGGACACTAGATTCATTAGCAGGCCATCAATCAAATCGTAATGTTTTCAACTAAGTGAGCACCGAGACACGCGCTGCGAACAAGCGCAGCGGTCTGAGTGTGAGTAAGGATGTGAGCAGTGAGCACTCGGTTGAAAGAGAGCAAACCACTGTGCTCGGATTTCGGCGGACCCGAGAAATGCAACGAGAGCCATGTGTTTTCGTTTGACCAGCCGGAAGCATGGGACGCGGCTCTTTGCATACAAGGAGACCAGGGAGCCCGGGAGGAGAAAATCGACAGCAATCATTGGCGGCTGGCTTCCTTGGAGAAACAGAATGCAGCAAGGCGTCTATATCGAAGTTTGACAACACGGGGTGGCTTGGTGAAATGGAGCGAGGAAGGCTGCCTCGTCTGACCGAGTGATAGACCTGACCGCAGGCATTTCTACAGAGTTCAGTAGCGAACCTTTAGGGAGAGCTGCTCGGTATCTTACGAATAGGTACATGGATTGACAGCCGAAGGCTGAACAGTGCCCTCGGCCTTCCTAGGGGGTTCAAAGGTGCTTCGGGGGGCTTGACTTCTCCAGCTTTGGCTGGCCGGATTGCGGAGAGTGATCTGCTTTTCTGCTCCAGGATTTTCATGTCGCTAGCCTGGGCCAAGCAAAGCCTAAGCACGGCACCCCCAGTAGCCTAGAGAGCCTAGAGCCCCTAGAGGGCCTAGAGAGTCTTTGGTCCCACTGATAAGCAGCTTCATCAATGGGCGTATTTCCGTCGAGAGACACCACTGACCACACGTAGTCACCGACTCACCGCACACCTCTCTCGGTGCCTCGAAAACACGGAGCAGGATTCTGGGCTCTAAGCGCGCACTGACGAGTCATCAAAGTCCTGAGGAGATTACCGATCGTCATTCAGGTTCGTTGGAGGTGAAAATGGTGGGCGTGGGCGGGTTGGGCGTGGTGCATTGACGGTTACCAGAGTTGGTCACTGGTATATCTCTGCTCCGGGATGACACCCTGACCCACCGAGACCACCAAGATCAACTATAGCGGCAGCCAGCTAGTGGCGCCGGCCTTAGTTAGGGTGTTCCCCCCTCCTCTTTTCTTACTCGTGGGCTGTAGCTGGGCGGTGACCAGGTGTCCCTTAACCTCGCTTAGCCCTTGTGCTTTGGGTAGCTTAGGGTTGCTTGGAGCCCTCGGCCCCAGGTCCTTCAGGGTCCCCTCCTGAAATCCGGGGCATTGGGGCTATTAATCAGATTGAAAGAATGGAATTATATTCGGTCCAGCAGTAGTCATACATACCTGGTTCACGTTTACATCGTCTATTTCCTGATGCCGAATGGAGTAGAAATCCCACGGCTGTTGTAGTCAGCGCGATTATGTCAGCGCCCGACCTCGAATAGTGGTGACAACGCCTCCAAAGGAATCGTGAATAAGCGAGGTATTAGCCATTGGCAACGAGAAGAGAGGCGTCGGCCCGCTGAGAGGGGAAGATCCCACCGTCCACCTTTCGTCACCTTCTGTTGTCGAGGCGAAACATGATGGGGCTGGCAGATGGGTATCCCACATACGGCAATACCAAGCAGGAAGGTACACGGGCACGGAGGACTTTCCATGGCCTCTGGACTCGTCACGTCCAAGTCAGCACCTCCTGGGCGCGCGGTCAAGCACCCAGCATTCACGCTTGTGAGAGTCGCGCTTTCCAATTCGCTGGCTGGGAGATCTTGGAAGGAACAGGAACATGGCCGGGGCCCCAGTCGATACATTGTTTGCTCTTTCCTCTTTCCTCTTGGGTTCCCTGCCCACATGGTCGCCACCTGCTGCGGCTTCTCCATCCCCTTGAGTCTGTGAGCCTGTGAGTCTGTGACATTGCAATCCATCCGTCCCATCTTTCTCTCCATACCCGGCGATCCACATCCCCAGACAACTCCGTGGTCTGCTCTTCTTCGCCTCCACTTGAACGCTTGAGACTTCAGACTAGCCATGCTTGTCTTTGGCCCTAGTGTTCTGTAGGTGCTCCACTAAACCTCGATGGTCGCTGATACACCCCCCTCCCCTCCCCATGACCAAACAAGTCCATAGTTTCCATATCTCTGGTCGCAATACTTCTCCAGACCCGCCGTGTGTTGAATACTGAGATAGCCTGGCCTATCCCTACTCGTGAATCTTGGTGACCAAGGTTTTCACGCCTTTTCTGAACCGAATCGAACATCCTGATCCTTTGCTGCTTTGCCTACATCAATCTCCAACTTCCCATCCCATCCTCTTCCTCCACTCGGTTCTCTTTCTCCCACTTCTCTTTTCTCTCTCATCCATTCCCCCTACTCTTCTTCCAACTCATCTTGAACTTGTTGACTCGTGCCCTCGACTGCATTCAGGGTTCTTTTGACCTTTCCGCCCATCATGGCAACTACTGAGCCGACCACCGCCGCTCAGCCAACGACAAATAGCTCCAGCGAGAGTATGCAATCTCCCGCGAGCTTGAACAAAGACGCCTCGGATCATGTCGAGCAGGTCCACACCAACGAAAGGGTGCCTGGCCATCCTGGCTACTATGAGAAGGATGGTCTGCGGACATATGGCGATGATGAAGACCACGACCATGAGCCTCCTGTGAGCCAAACCTATCTCCATTTTGCAGAAGACGCCGTACTGACATGTTCAAGATGACCGGCAAGAGAGTTCTGGCACTTGTAGCACAAGCCTTCCTCTGGACTGGTTCCCAAATTCCAGTATACATCCTCGGTGGCGTCCCACCATATATTTATGCAGATATTGGTGGAGTTGATCGCTGGATTTGGTTCGTTCTGGCCTATTTATTGGCCCTTGCTGCTATCTGCCCCTTCGTTGGCTCAATCTCCGATCTCATCGGGAGACGCTGGGTCGCCTTAGGTGGCTCTGCTCTGCTTGTCATTGCCATGATCATTTGCGGCGTTGCCAAAAACATGAATGTCTTCATCGGTGAGATTCCTCCGTGACTGCCACACAGGCCCCCCCCGGAGAACACTCTGACATTGTTGATATAGTCGGCATGACCTTTTCTGGGGTTGGTGCCGGAATTTGTGAACTTACTTCTTTGGCTGTTACTGCCGAGCTCGCCCCTACTCGCTCAAGAGGAAAGTACGTCGCCGTCTTGGTGTTCACCATTGTGCCATTCTGTCCATCCGTCCTATGGGCTCAATTGATTGCCAGCCACGCCGGATGGCGCTATTGCACTCTCCTCTGCGGCATCTGGGCAGCTATTGGTTTCTTCGGCACCTTGTTTTTCTACTTCCCACCACCTAGACCAAATTCCCGGGGCTTGTCCAGGAGAGAAATCATCAGAGAAGTTGATTTTGTCGGCGGTGGACTTTCCATCACAGGCATGATCGTCTTCCTGGCTGGTCTGCAATGGGGCGGATACCAATATCCTTGGAGTTCGGCTCATGTTCTGGCTCCTCTTATCCTTGGCGGCTTCCTACTCTTCATTGCATTCCCAATTTGGGAGATCAAGTTTGCTAAATTCCCCATGTTCCCATCAAGGATGAAGAAGGAGGCTAGAACCCTCTCCCTGACTCTGATCATCACGGCAATCTCCGGTGCCAACTTCTTTTCTGTCATCATGTTCTGGCCGACTCAAGCCTTCAATGTCTATGGCCATGATCCCGTCGGTGTCGGAATCCGAGGTATCCCGATTGGCTTCAGCATTTTGGCCGGTGCCTGTATCGTCCTATGGCTCCTCTCGGTCTTCCGAGGACACAACCGAGAGCTATTGGTTGTTTCGTCCATCCTCATGACGGCTGGCTGCGGCGCTATCTCCATTGCAACCCGCGATAACCTCAATCAGCTCTGGGGACTTTTGGTCCTTGCTGGCCTTGGAATTGGCGGCATCGTCGTTCCTGCGTCGATCATCACTACCATCATTTGTCCTGATGACATTATCGCAACCATCACCGCTCTCACTCTCTCAATCCGTGTCATTGGCGGATGCATCGGCTATACCGTCTACTATAATGTCTTTGTCAACAAATTCGTTCCTAATGCCACCAAATACATTGGTGGCACCATGGCCTTGGAGTTGAACATCACCAACGTCACATATATCACTCACGCTATTGAGTATACAGCTGCAAGCTTGCTTCCAGCACTCAAGACCATCCCCGGTATTGGCGACAATGAGACTGCATACCAAATGGTTGTGGTTGCTGGCCAGACTGCCTATGCTGAGAGTTATCAATACGTATACCTCACCAGCATTGCATTTGGATCCATCAGTATCATTGCTGCCTGCTTCCTTGGAAACATCGACAAGTATATGGATGAACACGTGGCTGTGGTCATGAAATAGGCATTTCATTTTTGTGAACAAGTATGGTCGAACGGGTGGTTGGCATTGCTGTTGAACAACTACGTCCCCACTTCCGAGGAATGAGCTTGCCTCACCAGATCCCTCGTTCGGGCAGATCCGGTGCTGAAGAACTGCTCTAATGAGGCGATGCATCGGAAGTTGGTTGTGGTACATACTTCGAAAACTTCCTGTCAAATGCATATATGTTGTGCAGCATCTTTTGAAACTTTCCCTGCTCCCAGTCCAGTCCCACACGGTACTTTATGCCTTGGTTTTCTCTCTTGCGGATTTGCCTCTGCGGCAAAATGTGTTCATGTATCACTCCGTCCAGCTAAGAAATGACTCTGCCGGTCTGTATCGATGATAAGGCTCGTGAATCCTAGGAGGAAAGCGCCGGTCATCCTTCGAGCCCTTGGATTCAATGAAGTCGTTGCCATGACGCCACCATGGAAATTGCTAGCCGTCATTTGCGAGCAGCAACGGGCCTTCGAGCCAACACAGTACATGTGAGCAATGAGTTAAAGTTGAAACAAGAAGCCACCCAGATCCACACCTGAGGTGCAGACAGCCAGAACTATATATAGTAGTCTCCCAAAGGGAGAGGGGCCGTTCACGGGAAAAGACTGGAGCCTTTTCATGTCATTGTGCGTATCACGTTATTGGCCAGTGAACACAGAATGCGTACTCTCCGTATCCAGACTGCCCAATTGTCACAATTGTGCACAGATGCTAGTAGCTGAAGACGATACACGAGTACGATAATATAGGTATATATACGATGGGTGACGCCCCACAATAGCAGGTCGCTACTCGTCATTGGCTGTATCCTGTCCCGTATTTGTGCCTCGGCTACATAATGGTCGAGACTCTCGTTATGTTTTTGTTTCTCTAATTAAGCATCAAAAGCCCGTCAGGATTAGAGACGTGGGTCCAGATCGAAAATCAAAACCCACCGAGTTGAGAAGGCCGGAGGGTTCGACATTGCCAACAACACATTACGGGCGTATTCCATGGTTGAGACAATCCGATTCGACCTTTTCTATCCCTGGCAATGGCCTTGCCCGCAGTCAGAAGAGACTGTGGGTCGAGCTGCGCGACGAGTCTCTTTGTCTAACAATTCTCACCTCACCTAGTCCTCACCACGGCTGGGGGTCGCTTGGGCCCGGACGAACTATTCAGCCGAGAAGAATCCTATTCCCACCAGTGAGGCTGGCTTTGCACCACGACAGGTTCCAAGGAGCTGTCTATGGCTTAAGCTTTAACTTGAAGCGCCTCTTCCCCGTGAGGGGGATGCTGAAGAATAGTAATCATGGCACTGCTAGGTATTGAGTTGTCAGTCTACTTGAATGAAGATTCCTGGTAACGGAGTTCTACAGCTCCATTTTACCAAGCCCGCTCAATTCCATCTCTGTGGGGGGTTCGCCGGCTCCGTCTTCCATGGCCCCATTACACCGGGCCGCCTTTGCATTCGCGTCAGCGTCAGCGTCAGGGAACCAGAGCCTTGCATTTCCATACGAAATGCACAATTCCTCTCCGCTTTTGATGTCTCGGAGCGCACTGTACACGATCACGCCAGTTTGGGTGTTTCGCTTCCACCCAATGTTCTGCTGGAGTGTCGAGTGGTTGAACATGCTGCCGAGCCCGAGAGCAATCGCTTGAGTCGTGGTGCGGCCGGTTGGTGATGGCCAGTAGCTGTTGGGGTAGCTTGTCAATGACACGCATTGGAAGAGCAGATTTTCGTACAAGGAGAAAACAGCTTGACGTGGTTTGTACTTGCCGAGTAACTTACTATGTATAATGCTGAAGAACAGTATGTTGGGTATGGCTTTCAACCTCATCTTCAGTGAAGATTAACACCGGGCTGACTTCCACGATAGTCCCACTAGGGATATTCTGGGTTGCGAAGACTCCTCTCCCTATAACATACCATCACAGGAGGTGTTAGTCAAACGGAGAGAAAGATTGTCTATGAGTGCAGGAGACGGGGTGGTTTGGTCGGGGTTTCACGCAGACAGGTGTACTGATGGCCTCATGCTTGGAGGCTTCAATACGATTGGCAAGGACAGCATTTCCCCTCCGTCTGATTGGGTGGGTTGAAAGACCATTTGTCCTAAGTTCCTGCTCCATCTCCATCGAGTTGACTTACCTTTGGGGGTATCCGTGACAAGCACCAGTCCAGCGGCCCTCGTCAAGGCTTGGTCTGCCTTGAGGACTGCCGCACCATCTGGCATCTGGGCCGAGGCACAAAATCTCCGGGGCCGCTAGTAGCAGCCCCTGTGTTCAATATGGTGTGATGCAGAAGGTGTGTAGCTCAATCCAATTATCGTATAGTAAAAGTAATACTTGCAGCATCACAATTGTGCAACCTGTGTAAGGATGATGCGTGATTGGGAAGCCTTGGGCTCCTGGATCACAAAAATTTTGTGTGCTGGGGTTGGCGGTGGAGAGAGTGACGTCATAATTGGCCAGCGCCCACCACCGTCGTGCCTGCATGTTTTACATAGTTGCCTATCTCCTTTCCTTGGTTTTGCTCAGTTCATCTCATCGTCAATCCCATTAGAATTACCTCAAGCACAATGGCTTGGACTTCTAATCATCCGGAACATTCATCAAACCGATCCCGGTGAGAGACCCTGCATGTTTCCCCACGGAGGTCATGTTTTCGACATGACTAGATGGCCAGATTCGTACATGCGGCATTTTTAACCTCATCCCCGTGAGAGGCCGCTCTCACTGTATACGGTGTTCGCGCTTCCGCTAACATCCGCCCTGAGCCTTTGCCAGACCCATGATGCTGATAGGCCTCTACGGCCGGAGCCTTACCAAAGAGCCTGAGGGTTGACGTGTTTCAAACACGATGAATGGCTCTCTGCGGTTTCATGTGCTTATCATCCCCTCCCCGGATTCATGCTAACCCAGAGTTTCGGAGTCTTTCTTGCCGTTGATACGCTCATGTTTGAGCCATATGACTCTGCTTATACGAAGACACCGAGGTCGACGTCATTTGAGAGGATTACCATCTTACCACATCATTCTGCACAAGGCGTTCGTTTGAAAAGCATAAGTATTTAGATCTGTCTCGTTGTTAGTAGCACTGACACTCAGCATTCAGCATCACCGACGATTGAAAGAATAGTCGCACTTTGTGCAATCCATCATAAACCAAACACGATAAATTCAAATCGATTCAGTCAGCACTCCATCCCTGTCCTTTGTCCAAAGAAGCCTATCTCTGAAGTGTAGACCCCACAACACAAACAATGGCGGAATTCTTCAACGGTATGGCGATCGACCAGCCTGCTGGCACAGCTCGCCGAAACTCGCACGCTGCTGACTCGTGGTTGGAGCCATGGCTCATCAAACACGTTTCATTCTACCGCAAGCACTTTTCCAAGAATGGCAAAGACGAGTCGCACGCTACGAGACGTCACAGCGTAATCTCCGAAGCTCTCAAATCGAGAGAGAACTCCGTAGCTGAACCGTTACCCGATGCTGTTGTTGCAGCTAATGCTGCCTCCGAGGAGGGGCAAGCCACTGATGCCATGCCTGCTCCAGTTGAGGAGAAACGCAGGGAGAGTGAAGAGGCCTTGACGGAGAAGAAGAGCAAGCATGGCCATAACTGGAGGTCGAATATCGGCTGGCTGCCTCATCCATAAGTCTTTCGCACGTTTGAAGTGATGCCCTGACAGGCTCACGTTGTACAATCATCAATTACATTTCGACAACTTGGGGGCCAATGCGAGGGCAGAGATTATGACAAAGATTATCGAGGGACTATGTTTTTCCTTTATCTGTACTATACCCATACTGACTATTACCTTATGTATAATACCTTGGCACATTAATATTACTAGTATCTCGCAATACTTCACTAAAGGTTCATCTAGAGCTGACATTCAGGTGTCGCCCTGGAAAAGACCTTCTCAAGAAGCATGGGCAAAACGTATGCCTGTTCCGGCAGGGGCAATACAATAAATCAGGATCTGTTTACTTCTCATACAACCAGACCTTCCCTCTCCTCCACCCGCGGAGGAAACAAAGGATGTGGATCTGATAAGATAATTTATCGGCTCCGGCTGGCCAATGAACGCTGTTAGTGATTAGATTAGATGCAGAGTTTTCCGCGCTAGAGCCTCGTCAGCCTTCACACCTCCTCGCTCTCTGCCTCTTTGGTCGTTAAACGCATCGGCTAATGAGCTCAAGTTCAAGTAAAAGCCGCACGAATCCTTGGGTTCCTGGTCCCCTGGGTTCCATTGCAGACATTTCCTGCAAATTGACCTGCGGAGCCATGTTCCAAGGTGGCCCTTTCCGTGTCGGCGTCTGGCCGAGCGTTCAGTGTGGGATGGATCACTATGGGCGATAAGAACCCACAAGTACGGTGCAAGATCCGGACTACGAAGTCTTGACTCTCAACACGACCCCGGTGGCCCGTTATTATTGCCGACTGGCTTGAGTGATTTAGGAAAACTCTGGGACTGTAGGGGTCACAAATGCAGGCTAGGCTCGTGAAGAAAAGCCGTCGGCTACAGAAACTTTTTGGTCCAACAACGAAGATAATTTATATACGATGATGAACCACGATGCTGAAGTATCTACCATAATTCCCTTCTTTCAAATGAATCTCTACCCAAAGACTGTCTAGGGCCGTTTTCCCCTCGCTTATAGTAATTGAAATATGGCAAATGCTGCTTCGCCAGTCCGGCCGGGAGCAGGTCAGGAATCCAGTGAGATGGTTAACTCGGAGAAAGTGGTTCCCACTGTGCTGAGCGAACTCGATGAAACGATGCTATCCTCGAGGGAGTCGGCTGAGTCCAATGATGGCACCGAGAAGCCCGAGGCGAGCCTGAAATGGAAGATCGTTGCGATCCTCTTGGTGTCCGCCATCGGCTTTGGCTCTCACTGGAGCTCGGGCATCACGGGGGCGATGAAAACGACGCTCAAGAAGGAACTGCAGATCAACAACACCCAATTTGCGCTCTTGGAAGCAAGTGAAGATTTTATGGTCACGGCGCTGATCCTCTTCAGTGGCCTGGTGACGGATAGGATCGGTGGAGCAGGTACCTGTCTCCCTTACCCGGAGTATTCTGGGGATTCATTGATGATGTTCCAACGGCTGATCGTCTCGATATAGGTGCCATCCTATACGGAAATGTGATATACTCGATTGGATCCATCTTGATTGCAGCAGCGGCGCAAATTCGTTCGTACCGTTTCATGGTAGTTGGAAGGATCATAGCCGCGCTCGGCGATATTGCTACGCAAATTGCGCAGTACAAGATCTTTGCTTCGTGGTTCCCTCCCAGCAGTGGGTTCGCGTCGACATTGGGTTTGGAACTTGGGATAGGGAAGATTGGGTCTTTTGTTGGAAAGTCGAGTGCTAATATCATTGCGAAGGTAGGCCTGCCATTCTTACTGAGTTTGAGAGACATGTAGCTGATAGTTGTACAGAACACTGGGAACTTCGCTTGGGTCTTCTGGGTCGCAGTTATCATGTAGGTGGCCAACCCTAATACACTGAAGCGATCTTGAAGATGGAAGCGCAGGCACGAGTCCGTGTACTGATGTCTTCTCGCTAGGAACCTCTTCACCAATTTTATGACTGTCGTCTTCTATCAGTTCAACAAGTTCGCCACAAAGAGATTTGGTTCGGTTTCGGATCCGGCAACGGGTGAAAAGCTGACGGAAAAGAACAAGAAGTTTGAGATCAAAAAGGTCCTGGAGTTACCCTGGATCTTCTGGTGTATCATGATTTTCTCCTTCTTCCAGACCAGTACTGCTATTGTCTTCACACAAAATGCGACTGAATTGGCGGAGCAACGTTTTGGGACGGATTCAGTTACTGCCGGTTGGTATTCGGCCACGTTGCAATATGCTGGTAGGTTCCTACTTGTCGAAACATGTATTGACCTTCCGACTGATATAAAATAGGCTTCTTCCTTGTGCCATTCATTGGAGTTTTCATTGATTTGTACGGAAATCGTGTGTCGCTTAGTAAGTGTCCGATCACTCTATGGGGTCAATGGGTTGAATCCTGACAATACCAACAGTGGTGATTTGCGGAACAGGAACGTTCCTCGCCATGGCGTTAGTCGCCTATAGCCAAACAGCCTCGGGCAACGCAGCAGCCTTTGGGATTTTCGCATTTGCCCTTACCTTTGGACCTACCGTGATCATTGATGGGATCCGAACTTCGATGTGGCATCAATCCGTGTTCGGCTCAGCTTATGCTGTCAAGGTTGCAATGAATAACTCGTGAGTCTGCACCGAGCTGCACCCAGCGTGTGTGGAGGTACTGACATCCGAGCAGTGTCAATATCATCGTACGCGTGGTCACGGGAGTCATTCAAGATCGTGACAACAACTCTTACGATAGGGTCAGCATTTTCTACTCGGCATGGGCCGCAGCTGCCGCAGCCATATCAATTATGCTGGTGGTCCTTTCCATGAAATCGATTGACTTGCGACATCTGCAATGGACTCGCAAGCAGCGTATTGCGAAGGGTGCAATCATCAACGAACGCAAACGACGTTTTCATGACGAAGATGGGGAGAAGAATAGGAAGATTTCGAGGATATGTTTTGGATCATTGATTGTGTTGATCCTCGCGGCGTGGTCGGCATACTTTTGGGGTGTCGCAACAGGCAACAACTCGTGATGCTGTGTAATTAATGAGACGTCTATACTCCGTACATGGGGTGAGTGGAATCGGGCCGAGGCACGCGCAGTGAGGACGAGTAGATTTTGTGCATTATCGTCTACCGATGGCGCAAGATCGGCATACTCAGTTATGCGAACTAGTACATATTTACGATAGTGTGAAATTGTTCTCGTCCGAGAGACATATTCTGTCGGACGACACGATTCACGGACCCTAATGGGCACCGGGGCTTTGCCAGCGCCAAAGCGCGAAGTAGTTGCCTTATCTGACCGTTAAAATCCCGTCTGAAAGAATATATAATCTTGAATTTCATTCGGGCGAGATATCACGTGATGCACTAGCACCAAAACGGGCGATTTGTAAACGGATATCGGACATCTGGCCAATCGTTGGCGTTGTTGGCGGAAGATGGTGAGTCGCGAATGCAGCCACGCGTCTAGGTTTAGGCCCTGCAACTAAAATTAAGACATTTTGAGTCTGCGCATTGAGCCTACACATTGTGTAAGCCACCAGGGTTGCAATTGTAAGCAAAGGAAAAGGATAGAGAAGAATTCTCGTCCAGCTGATGTTGATTAGTGCGCGCACAATGAGGCAGAAGAATAAAAGTTGGCTAGGGCTGACTGCGCATTCACCACCTAGAAAAGGGTTGAGGCCTCCACGTTTGAGAAAGAGTCGGATGTACATATTTCATATATACTCGTACAGTACTTCCGTTCAGCTCCTCGCAACGCCTGCAATCTGTGCTGCACACGCCATCCAGTCATTCCAGTCATAGTATCCGCACGCTGTCCTCGATCCTCGACGCATCTCGCATCCCAGCCGGTCCCCACCCGACTGTCAACCTTACCACCGCCCTTCAGCTAGTTCTCGCCGTCGCCCCGTTGTCCGTTGCTGACACCTTTTCTGTATCCTCTCTTTCTCCTGACCCCTCCCACCATCCATTCTGCGTCCTCCGTCGTCTCTCTTTCTATCGCCCTGCCACTCCTACAACACATATCAACGTAACCACCATGTCTGAGCACCAGATTGTCATCATCGGCGCCTCTTTCGCCGGTCTCTCAGCTGCTCATGGCCTCCTGAAGACTGTCCTGCCTACACTCTCAGGCAAGCAGTTCAAGGTCGTGCAGATTGCTCCCAATGAGGAGTTCTTCTGGAAAATTGGTGCACCTCGAGTCATTGTCGACCCTGCCTCTCTTCCTCTTGAGAAAGCCCTTCTCCCAATTGCCCCCGGCTTCAAGAAGTACACCCCTGAGCAGTACGAGTTCGTCAAAGCATATGTCACCTCGATCGACCCTGCGAGCAAGACCGTCAACACCAACACCTCTGCTGCTATTCGTTACGATTCACTCATCATCGCCTCGGGCACTAACTTCGCTACTCCTATCTGGACGGTGTCAGATGGCTCCGAGCCCCTCAAGAACGCTCTTGCCGACCTGCATCAGCGACTACCTAATGCTGAGTCCGTCCTCGTCGGGGGTGGAGGTGCCGCTGGCGTTGAGACAGCCGGCGAGCTTGGCCAGGTCTACGGGAACAAGAAAGAGATCACAATCCTGTCAGGCACTACCGGTCTATTGGCCAGCCTGTCGAATCCCAAATTCGGGCAAGACGCAGCTGCTCGCTTGCAGAGAATGGGAGTCAAAGTCGTCAACGACAACGTCCGTGTTGTTGAGCATACCATGGCCAATGGCAAGGACGTGTTGAAGCTCAGCAATGGAGAGACCAAAACAGTAGATGTCTACATCGAAGCAACTGGCGACAAACCTAACACCAAATTTGTGCCTCAGGAATGGCTGGATGCAAAACAGAAGGTCAAGGCCGACGCACAGACTCTTCGTCTAAACGTCCCCGGCGTGACCAATGTCTATGTGTTTGGGACAGTTGGTAGCTACTCAAATGGCTCCGTGGTCGATGTTCAGTTCGCCAAGGGTGCCCTCTTAGAGAGCGTGAGGAGTGACCTCTCTGGAGCTGGTAAGTCGAACGCAAAGAAACATCCTGACAAATTTGCTGATAGCGATACAGAACCCGGACCACGGACTAAGAACATCTACAAGAAGATCACCAGCGACATGATGTTTGTTCCAATTGGCCCGACTCAGGGAGTCGGGGCAGCATTTGGCTGGAAGGTCCCGAGCTTTCTGGTCAAGTTCATCAAGTCTAAGGACTTCATGATAGGCAATGCGGCCAAGACAATTGAAGGCACGGCTTAGAGAGTGCAAGGAGGACCAGAACGTGATTTGTTTTTGAGCACAGAGGTTTCATACGTAGAGATACCCAAAGTCTTTCGATTAGCGGCAACCCAGCTGTACCCCTTGTGGGGTGGTTGGGTTTTGCAATTGCGTTACGACAGATAATATAGTTAATTGACCTGATAGAATCAATGTTTCTGTCGGGAAACGTAGGCATTATTGCAAGGCATTGAGTATGCGTATCAGTTGTGGTTGATTCTCAGACTATTATCCTCCGCGTCATTATGATTATTATTATTATTATTATTTGGCATCGGATCGCGCACCTGCCACCCGCCCTGGCGTGGGCGCGCCTGCACCCAACCGGACTGATGTCGTTGAGGCGGCTCGCGAGTTTTTCCGATATCGCCTCGAGGATGGCAGAAACGCCTTCGGAGCTCTCCCTGCTACCAAAAATAATAATAAAAAAGTCCCGTCGACGAGTTTACACAGTCAGCGAAATATGCTGCTGCATTACTCAGGCTTCTGAACCTGGTATATTGTTTGTTATTCTCTTGCTCTAGCCGATCCAATCGACCCCTGACGGCCTTCAAGATGCTGAATCGGGCTGTGTCCAGCATCGCACCATCTTCACATGCATTCACTACAGTTCCAGTGCGGAGTAGCTGCTTGAGCCGACCACTGCGAACGTTAAGAACTCCTTCTCTGCGCGGCTATTTTTCTTCCTACAAATCCTCGTCACGGCCTGTCCTCGTTCCCTCAATAACCCCTCGAGCTTCTGCTTCCACCTACAAAGCGTTTAGCACTACCACAATCATGGCCAAGTCTACTAGAACAGAGACCGACGCCTTTGGTCCCATCGAGGTCGAGTCCGACAAGTACTGGGGGGCACAAACGCAAAGATCACTGGGGAACTTCAATATCAATCAGCCACAAGACCGTATGCCGGAAGGTGTCGTGCGAGCTTTCGGTATCCTCAAAGGTGCTGCCGCCACCGTCAACATGAAATATGGCCTCGGTATGCTCTGAGCTCTCCTTCCGCATTCACTTGATCCTCTGCTCTGACAAAACACGCAGATCCCAAAGTTGGTGAAGCTATCCAGCAAGCTGCTTCCGAGGTTGCCAGCTTGAAATTGATCGATCACTTCCCTCTCGTCGTCTGGCAGACTGGTTCTGGCACCCAGTCCAACATGAACGCCAACGAGGTCATCTCCAACTGTGCCATCGAGATCCTTGGAGGCCAGTTAGGTAGCAAGAAGCCTGTCCACCCCAATGACCATGTCAATATGTCCGCCAGTTCCAACGACTCCTTCCCAACGGTCATGCATATTGCCGCCGTCCTAGATTTCGAGGAGAAGTTAATCCCGGCCCTTACCAACCTCCGGGATGCCCTACAGAAGAAGAAGGAATCCTTTGACCATATTATCAAGATTGGTAGAACTCACTTGCAGGATGCTACTCCCTTGACCCTGGGGCAGGAATTCAGTGGTTACGTTGCCCAGTTGGACCGAAATCTTGAAAGAGTCCAGTTTGTTCTACCACACCTCAGGCAATTAGCCCAGGGTGGAACTGCCGTTGGTACTGGCCTCAACACCTTTAAGGGATTTGCCGAAGGTATTGCTGAAGAAGTCACCAAGCTGACGGGTACTAAATTCGTGACTGCTCCAAATAAATTCGAGGTCCTGGCTGCTCATGACAGCATCGTCGAGGCCTCAGGAACTCTTAACACGCTCGCATGCAGTCTTTTCAAGATTGCTCAAGATATTCGATATTTGGGCTCCGGTCCTCGCTGTGGCCTGGGAGAGCTCATTCTGCCTGAAAACGAGCCGGGTAGCAGTATCATGCCTGGCAAAGTCAATCCTACTCAGTGTGAAGCCCTGACTATGGTTGCTGCACAAGTTATTGGCAACCACACTGCTGCTACCGTTGGAGGTCTCAGTGGACAATTTGAGTTGAACGTTTTCAAACCTTTGTTGATCCGAAACCTGCTGCACAGCATCCGAATTTTGTCTGATTCAATGAATGGATTCGTGGATCATTTGGTCGTCGGATTACAGGCTGATGAGAAGAGAATCAGCACTCTTCTTCACGAAAGGTTGGTTGCTCCAAGCTGCTGCCTCAACCCTTACACTAACATGTTTTATAGTCTTATGCTTGTCACCTGTCTCAACCCGGTCATTGGCTATGACATGGCCTCGAAAGTTGCTAAGAATGCCCACAAGAAAGGCCTGACCCTGAAGCAATCCGCTATGGAATTGAAGGCACTTTCTGAAGAAGACTTTGACAAATATGTCCGACCTGAGCTCATGCTGGAGCCTACAGAAAAGAAGTAGTCAGCGGGCTCCGTCCAAATACTGAAAACATGGTGAGACTGTCTGTTTCTCCCAAGTCCGGCTGAAGCCAACAATGGCTCTTCAGTGTTTAGCAAATCTACAACATTTTCCTAGAAGTCACAGATATCAAAATCAATATTGACTCGGCTTGCTTCGACCTCAGGTCGTTACGTTACCTTTAAGCGAGACATTTCTGTCGCAATCCCCTTGCTGACATCTTCAAATCAGTAAGTCCAATTGAAATGTAGAGATATGGGCCCAACCCATGGGTACCGAACGATCGAGACTGGCTTGAATATACCGTGAAAATTCTAGTCTCCCTGACCGCGGATTTTTCTTATGAGGGTCAATGGTCTATTCCGCTTAACAGACCTCTCCCAAATAGCATTCTGTCCAACATCCGATTGGGGCAGGAAGATCACTGGTTATGGGTACCCGGTAAACCCGCTTCAAACTGATAAGTGTACAGTGCTTGACCGGTAGATGCTCTGCACTTTGGACGAAGACGTACTTTCGGCCATCAATCCGTTTTTCAACCTACTCCCATTGTCGCAGTAGAGCAGCCGAAGCACGTTGCTACGCAAACCAACATTTGACACCAGATCGAATGAATGTAGCTGCGAGCCTCCATTCAAGCAATAACTCAATGACTAAACCCTCAGACCAGATTCGCCCTCTAGAAAGAAGATCAATTGTGGGATAGTGGTGCTTCGGGCGATTGACACTCAGACATGAACGTGCACCTCCAGGAGACCTACATAGTGAGGATGCTGGCATGGCCGATGCTGAAGAAAATCTGGATATGACCGTGAACCATCCGGCCAAACACCATTGCTCACATTCGGCATGGCAGCACTGGTCGTGGAAGACCTCAGAACTGGATGTGAAAGACTGGAGGATTGGTCCGAGCACGGGAAGGAAGAGAGACAAGTCACTATCGATGATTATCATCCTCATTCCGGAGCAGTGCCCCCGTGCTTCACCAGAGGGGGTACCAATGAAATATTCCCGACTCCGCAGCGACGAAAAGTGAGATTTCTTGCTGCCCTGCCATGAATGGAGAATCAGATACCAAGCAGTGTGGCTCACCAGCAATTTGAGTCCACTAAGTCTTCTAAGAGGCATGAGCGCTGTTGTTCCCTCGGCGATGGGCAAATGCCCCATCAACTGGATACCGGCTCCACACAAAGAAAAAACGCTCTCACACAATCGAGGGGCAATGTATCGCAACGGTCCACCATCCAGGAGGATCGAATTTGTCTGGAGAGAACTCAAAACATCGTCAAGCAAACTAGAAAGGTTGTTTTGCTTAGCTAGCAGATTCCAGAAGGTCAAATTGATCTCCGCGCGTGCGGTTGACAGTCTTAACGTATGATCAGGGCCGAAATGGTGGAACATTCGGATTCGGGAAAGCAGTTGAGGCTTTGGCGATCGTCACTGTGGACCACCGAGCTGTATTCTCGCGCATCTTACACTGCATCAAGAAACCTTGCTATGCGGCAGGTGCATACGCAAGGATCTTACGAGTTCGCATTAGTTTGCTATGTCCACCGCGGCTCCTCTGCCTCCTCTCGGTTCTGAGCTGACATCACCATCGTCTTGTGGATCGCCGAGCCAAACGTATGCGAATTCACCGGCCTCGTTTGATCGGACATAACCACGACAGGCCTCCTCCGAACCATTTAGCTCGCCTCCCGGACGACGACCGAAACGCTATCCCCCATCTGTATCGGTTTACCACACGTTTCTCGAAGCCAAGCCTACACTTGGAAGCAGCATGATGTCTCTTTGTTTGGCCACATATGGGTAATGCCCATACCCAATGGCAGTCTGCTGTACCGGAATACCGATAGTTTTTTCCCGCAGAAGCTTCCCTGAGACAAGCCTAGCCCGTCAAGAATACATTGTGCAAAGTAATGAGAAGCCAGCCAGGTGTCCCGTGACATGGTCATCGCACAGATCGCGGTTGACAGCGAGCGCCTGTGGCTGAAAGCGAACAGGTCTCGAGATATCTGACAAGAATACTCAACCACCAGCCCCTGGCGACGACCGACAGACCGAGATCTGAAAGAACGAATTGGTCAGAGTGGCGGAAGCTCGAGGCGGAATTCTATATGAGTCTTGACTCCTTGGCCCCCAGCATATTCGCCAGAACTGGCCAGTCACTACTACCTTGGAAAATAGTTCCTGCAGGCACTCGATTCCATGGGATCTCCCTTGGAACCCCGGTGGGCAGTTTTGAGGTGGGGTCGGTTGGAGCTGGTGTCCGAGGACTTTTGATCTCTACTCAAGCGATCAGAGCGAAAATGGTGCCGATTCCATGGGCTTGGGCTGTGATGTAATTTCTTCCCTAGGGTCTCCTCGAACACGTGTGGCGCGCCTGGCATCTGTGGCTCATGCATGCATATACAGTAGGCTAGGGTCGTGTGGATTCTTGTCTCTTAAATCGACGGCAAGCCAGCTTCACGGTCAGAAGTCAAAAGTCGAGGGAGTGGTCTGTTTCCATGCTCCAGGGCTTCGCGCAAGTGCAAACGTTCTGGTTTTCAGAGGAGAGAAATCATCAGCATACAGCAGAGCGCGAAATTGCAGTGATTGAACGTAGGTCCCCAGTAATTGGTGATGTATTGTAGCTTGTCTGCAGCAAATGGAGAGATGCTTCTCAATTACAAAGATGGCCTGATTTCGTGAAGCGTCTGTCACTACTTGCGATGTTTTCCGAAGTTGTGGCTGTATAGTGTGTGACTGCTGTGAGTTTATTTGGAGCGAGTCGAGCGTTCTACTGAGTAAGGAAACGTGCGTACTGTCTACATACAGATCTCAAGCAAAGGTACTGTAAAAGAAAAAGTCTTCTGATACACACCACCTAGTCTCAAGATGTACATCTGCTTCATAACCGCTTCTCCTGGGAGTACCGAGGCCGCAAGAAGAAGAGATGACCAACATGTATCTATCTCCATTGAACATGTATCAACTGGAGGTTAACTAACTTTCTTTGGCTGACGCAGCTGTCAACACGCTCGTGCCCCGTGAAAGCATTCCATTTGATATTCGAGTCTGGAGTTCACACGACCCTTTTGCCGTAATCGCTAGGGGTGGGAGGGCGCCACGCGAAGTCTCGAACAGACATCTATGTATGTCTGCCTCCATCGCCTGTCTTCTTCGCTGTGGCGACGGCGATGCAGATTTGTTTTCGAACCATGAAGCCCTCAGCCAAACGCCTGAAGGGGTGGTCTGCCTTTGACTCGTTGGGGCGCTGCACTCGCCGGACTGGCCGCTTGATTTTGCGCGGACATCAAGGCACCGCCCAGATTCTAGGGTTTCTCTACGGCTCGGTGTCTGATCTTTGCGAAGATGGATCCCCGGCGGATGCTGATGCCCGATGGCTAGAGTCACATTGAAGAGATTGATTTTGAAAAGGGATCTTGTTTCAAGGGCGAAACTCGGCCGAGTTTTCGCCCTGAGCCTGACTCTTGAACGTGACGTTGATGATAATGATCGACGGGTACGTCTCAGCGCCTTTGACTCGAACGGTAGGCTTGTCCCTTGTAAGTTGAAAGTGATCAGGGTGATCATTGGTGGAGAAGGCCTCGGGAAGTGGATGATTTAGAGTTTTCACCAGGACGGTCACGGGAACGGCCGGGATCAACCATTGGGGCATGAACCCTACAGTATCTAGTCGCGACTCCAGAGCAGCGGGCGAGCAGGGGGAGCCCGGGATGGGACACCCGGATGGGTTTGGGGGCCGTGCTTAGGAGAAACTTGGTTTTCTGCAGCAACGTTGGGCACATGAGATCAAAACCCTGACGGGGCATTTTTTGTATGTACTTACTGTATTCCGTTCGTGGAGTCCTCCATTGCATTTCAAGTCGCAAAGATTCCAGGGGCGTTGATCGACCGATCGATCCCTGTTTCATCATCCCTGCGCAAACAATACGAGGTGGGGGATGATTACCACAAACGTCGAAGGGAGCCACCGAACCACCACTTGGGTCGTCATCATGGTTCATCAATCGCAATCAAAATCCCCTTCGCTTTCTGCCAATTGCTTTTTGGTTCAGGGGTGGATGATCGGAGGTGAAGCATACGGACAGAGTGTCGCCTCGCGTCCTGCCCTGCGTCTTGACTTGTGCGCTGTCTTGCACTTGCGTTTACAGACTTCCTGAGACGAGGAGGAGGGATGGTCTCTCGGCTGCAGGGCCCCCCAGGCTCCAGGCGAATATTTGGCGGTGACCAAGCTTTCTTGACAGTTCCGAGTAATAGGTTGGTGACGCCTACTTGGATTTTGGTGAATCACCAGTGACAGTAGATTCACAAGTGTGATTGCGGTGGACATTGCCGCATCGATGAAATCTGGAGAAGATTGCCCGCGACGTTTCCGTTCTTCCCGTCAACACCGCCCAGATTTGGCCCGAAGAAGCCTCGAATTAAAGCCTCAGGACCGGCATTTGCTAGAGGGACGTTGATCGTCCCGATACAGTTTAGCATCATCCCAAGATACCAAACTCACAGGGTATCAGTACCTAATCGGGTAGTGGAGGTGCTGGTTGGCATTGGCTGGAGGGAATTCACCTTTTGTCTATACGAGGTGGGTAAGTTTTTAAGGGGAGAGATCATCCACTAAGCCAGAGTCCAAGACAGCTCGCTGCTCAGAAACAGCTAGTCCGTCCACGTGTCGGTTGTTACCGGCGTGGTGGGGGAACGGTTTCAAGTTTCTCACGCACCTGGCAAGGGTGGTGGACGAACGGAGTACGATTCCCGTGCGAGCATGCTCATACATATGTAGGGGGTGAAAGACGAAACCGTTGTGCATGTGCCGTGACTCTGTGAGAAGTGTGTAACGCAGTCTCTTATCAAGGTGTCGCCAGTTCAGAAACGACCAACATTCCAATCGCTGGCGTCCGAGCACAGGTGCAACTGGGCTATTGCTAAGGGCATGGCACAGAGTAACCCGTACCGTACCTAGTTTGCATCCTTGCGCTCTCTCTCGCGCGCAGGATAGAAAACATTGAGAGTGATACTTGCAGCTCTCTCAATCTTCAAACACGGCACAATCACGAAGCTAAAGGCACAGATTACGAGGCGGACTAGACCATTCTGGGCCGCGCATTCCGAGGGAATCGTTCCGAACTTCCTGCCATAGCTTGACCCGTCACTAGGCGCATGTTGAATTGCTCATGTGCGGAGGTCGCTCCGCAAGTCGTCGAGATGGAGGAGGGGACACACAGGAAAACCAAGCACATTAACTGCACCACCTCGTATGTTCACACCGCAACAAAGTTAAAAATTCTCGCACAAGCATCAGTCAGCAGATAAATCCCACTCATCTCGGGCTGGGCGGGGCTTGGCTCCACCTGTCTATTCCCGAGGGTTCTCGGAAGTCGGTCATCTTCCGACATGTCGGTATATGTCCGGGAGACGCTTCTTGAAAGTTTTGGGGAAGAAAATGGAACTTAAACTCTGTGAATCGCTTATGAGGTTAGAATGTAGGCTATCCGGTCAAATAACATTGGCAATGAAGAGCATCATCGTAAACGTTGAGCATCATCACGATGACACGGCACATATGTATGATAAAATCTCAGCGCGGATTTGGGGGAAAGACACTCCACGGCTCTGCACGCCAATTGCTCGTAGAAGAGATGATCGGCCTCTCGGGATCATCCCGAAAACTATCACTGATCATAGTGAAACGGACGGTTTTGTGGGGATGCTGACACAGTATTTTCCAATACTGGCAGTCATCTGGAACGATCCTCTCCAAGGATGCGAAGTACCCGGATGCGTCCCGCAGCCACAACAGGTTGGGCTGCGAAAGGGTTCGAATGATCAAACGCAGGTCACAGGTTTGAGTCCGGTCCGCTTGTCGCTCCACGGCTTTGCACTTCAGCCAAAGAGAGACACACAGCCAAACTAAACAAGGTTGTTGAAGAAGTCCAAAGGCTGGTGCCAGGCGCCAGCCTGCTAATAGATAGCGGTTCCGCACGTCAGAAGACCATTGGATCCTACCCGGTTGTTGCGAGATTCAATTGGTAGCACTCCAACGGTAGCAGGGCGCGGCAATGATCTGCACAAGGCTGGCCACTGTGAATCCAGGAAAATCCCAGAGAGTTCAGATGCGACTCGCGACGAGAACAGCGGTTCTGGTTCAGCTCGATGGAGACAAGCTGTAAGATTGATGGATAGCTTGACTTTTCCGAAATCATGGGTTCAACCAAGTGTCCTGTTGTTGTTGGCATTGGGCGTTTCTTGGGGTGTTTCAGAACCCGCTGGATGCAACCGCACGCTTGCGCTTGGCGAACTGATAATCAAAGGTCGAGCACCATGGGAATGCAATAGTCACTCAGGGTGCAGCCAGGTCCGATCTGATCCTCACTTCCTCACTTAAAGAGGCAATCTGTGGATTGGCAAGCAAACATGGTCAATGCCCTCATCGCTACTTCGTGTGTGGGGAACAGAGTACGGACTACATAGGACATACATCGTTGCCGTGCCTTTGGACCGATCGTGGCCAGGCTGGAAAGTGATGGAAATGGAATAAAGGAAACTCTAAATGAGGAGGCTGCCACGAGGTACGGTGAGGCGAGTCGAAGCGAGGTCCACTTTCTCGAGGCCAACTCTGTGAGTGATGCGCACAGTAGTCGAGTCTTCGTGATTCAGGAAACTTCCACTACTTGTAGGTGTGAAGCTAAGATGGGTCCACGCTCTGAGCCGGATATGACAACCTCCTTACCGCTCCTTGTGCTTTGCTGCTCTTCGAGGTTGAGACGGTACCTCTTGTCCATATAACTGTCGGCGGGACGTCGCATCAAAAAAGGACCGACAGGGGTAGCCTCCACACCGGGACCTCCACCGACGCCTCCATCAAATTGCAAACGTGGGCCAGCCACAGAGTTGTAGAGGTGTAGGTGTGTAGGTGTGAGTTGTCTGTGAACGCCCAGTGCCCGCCAAATGACCCAAAGCAGTAACCGTCAGGACGAGACTAGCAGGCCGAATTTAAATGAAGAATGCCTTGCTGGGCCGGTCCTGGATTCTCGGCCAATCCCACCCTCCGTCCCACAGCCGTCCCACCGAGGTCGCCGAGTGACCAATGATGCAATGTTCCGGGAGAGGGCCAGTGGCTTGGTGGACAGGGGCACATGTGCATGAAGAATAAAATGCTCCGGCGGGACGAGGCACTTAAGGTTCCAAGAACCACAATTTTCTTGCACGGTATCATTCTTCGAGAACAGCAAGATTAATAGTGGTGGCTGCATCCGTCAAGGGCCTACTCGTAAGATCGATAATGCAAGCTGACGACTCCCTCAGCGCTTGGCGTGCAGCGCGCACGAACCCCTGCTTGCAAACTCAACGGCGTATGCAGCACGACTGAATCTCGGATGATGGAGTGTGAGACTGATGAAATCGATGCAAGCAACCAGCGGCCACAATGGGAAGAAAGATTGCAATACCACCGGCAAAGAAAGAAACCCCTTGCTCCTCGTCGCTCCCAGCTCGGTGCTGACCACCGACAGGCAAGGCTATTCCGACGTGGATAGAAGTGGACCAGTCACAACAGGACTACGGGGCAGCCTGACCCGGAAAATCCCTACTCCACACCGGCAGAGGAGCTAAGAGTATCCGCTCAAGGAAGGCAGCAGGGCGTTGCTGGTGTCGAATGCCACGTGAGGCCCCACACACGCCTTGGCATGACGGGCTTAGCCTAGAAGTGGGCCAGTGACGCAGTCTTGGCACCAACCTTGATGATGAGTCCAACCTGTTTGGTGGAGAGCCAGTTTGCTGGATGTTGGACACCCCACGAATCGATTGCACGGCTTGATGGTTTGGATGACCTGGAGATATCCACGCCCACGAGTCGAGTTTGGGGTGATAAGATTCCTCCCAGCAGCACCGGGAGTCGGTGAGGCACTGCTATGGTCTACCGGAGACATGACCAGATCAATCGCTGGAGAATTTGCCCATTGGACCGAATACCGATTCAGAAGGCGGCCTTCATGTCCATGTTCCATCGCACCAGAACGGTATTGTATAACTATGGAGGGAGATGGCAGGCGAGGTAAGCAGAAAGAAGCCAGAGTGACCTGACTAAGAAAATACATGCAGCATCTCGTCCTGTTCCAACCGGCCCGGCAGAGCAAGTCGGCCTTTTGCCCTGGTCTTGTCTGGTCTGGGTAAGGAGGGAGAAGGATGGGAGTCAGGCACAGGTGTGAGCAATAGAGCATACGGAGTGCAGAGGCGCCGCCATGTGACCACTAGCCTCCACGCATTAAGGGTTAGGTTAAGCAAGGCAGTACGAGTGCTCCGTTCTGGTAAATCATCGACTAATTGCTAGGTACCTCAAGGGCAGATCCGGGGGACTAGTTTGAGAAGCCCAGCCCAGCAGAGCCCAGCCCAAGCCCTGCAAGGCCAATGCTCGGACGGAAGGCTAAGCGAATAAGAATTATAATGCTTGAATCGAGAGAGCCACCCACTCGACCGCCGCATCGTATCACTTTGCTGTCCCATTTTCCACAGGCTGAAATCGCCATTTCCACGGGCTTTACCCATCGTGGCATCACACGGTGAGACGGTGCGTGCCATGGCGGCCATTGAAGACTTGGCCAGCCGTTGTTCTGGTACACCGAGGAGCTCACAAGTAGCCTGTATCGCTTTTAACAAGGTCCAAAAACGGAGCACAGCAGTGATGCTGACCATGATGCTGGGCCGTTCCAACTGTCCAAGGACAGGCCATGTCGACTCTTGTCGCTCTGTTCGGATTCTTCCAAAGCGACCCGCAGAAACAGAAACTCTATACAACAGGCTAGCCTCATTGGTCGTAAAGCGGTATGGTGGAACTGTCTGAACGAACTCCCCCCCCCTGCTGTCCCCTGATCCCTGGTGATCCTGGTCGACTCGTATGGTCCCTGACACCCTGAGTTGGTCCCCCTTATGCCCTCCACCCTGGTAAAGGATACTGAGCCAGTACTTTGTTGGCAATTGGCTTGCCGTGTATACTGCTACCAATCCTCATCTTGGTAGAGTTTGAACTCTATTCAGTTGGACATCCTTTTCCATCTTTTGCATCACGCAGCACGGTGATATTCATTTCACCATTCCTGATTCGACCCTTCTGGCGGAACACCTGAAGCTCTATTTCAGACGGCTATCCGCAAGCATCTGAAACGGCTGATGCCCAAGCACTCGCCCTCTCTGCATATTAACGTGGCTTGCTTGCCTCAAGCCCCAGCTCCATTTCCCGTTCTATTGTTCCCGATGGTGTCATCTTTTGCCTCCCATCTTGTATCCATATACTCAACTCTGTGTATCAGAGGCCTACACACCTCTTTACCTTCGCCATGTCGTTATCATCGAACGACTCTGCCAAAAAGCTCACTCGGACAAGAGAGCGCAAACCCCGTGGCCGAGGCCTCCGCACGCGAACAGGATGCCTCACTTGTCGGAAGCGTCATTTGAAGTGCAACGAGGCTAAACCAGTCTGCGGGCCTTGTACTCGAAGTAATCATTCTTGCGTTTATGCAGACCCGTGTGCCCCTCATCCAGATTCAACGTCAGCTTCAACATCCAACTCGGCCTCTAAACAGCCTTCTACCACGCCTTCTTTGTCTAATTCTGTCGCTCCTTCAGTCATCACAAATCCCGACCTTGAATACCCAGACACACCGGAGGGCTTCGACCTGGCCCTGAGGACCACTTGGAGCCATAGGAATAGCCCCTGCGACGACCCAGCACAGCTTGTTTCTCGAGCCTCCATCTGGCAGGCGAGAAATGCCCGCCTTACATCGGCTCCTCACTCCGTCAATGGAACCGAATACGACAGAATGGGTGGCATGGCCGCCCACTGGACCCCGCTTTTAGAAGACTTAGATTCCACTCGCTTCAGTCCGGGTCCTCCGTCGCTGCACAGCGAGATGATGTCCCCGTCTGTCCCATACGGACATTCATATGGACCCGTTACTTATGCTCGTTCGCGCACGGGCTCAGAAGATCTCCCAATTACTTCTCACCCGGCGAGTTCACGGGCGAACCCAGACGCTGCGGTTGCGAAATGGTTCGGACAGCTGGTGGGCGACACCGATTTGCAACACGAGGGCCCTCGTCCTGATGCCGACTGGGTTCGTCGGAGGAGAAGTATTTCCCAGACGCAACAACCGGAAATTATAGACTTGGCTCAAAATTTTGCGTGGGAGGGCCGACAGTATTCCCCCCATCCCATAGATGCGAGCGCTGCCGACCCAGGAATCAGTTCAGGTCGCGTCTCCGAGGACCCGGCCCAAGGATTAGAGTCGCCTCCTCCTTGGCGGTCCAAGGCGGCATTGACCATGAAGCCGCGCGAAGTCGAGATCTTTGACAACTTCGTCGCTCGGATCAGTCGTTGGCTTGATCTGTTCGATCCCATGCAAAATTTCTCGACCCACGTGCCTCATCTAGCCATGCATAATTTTGGCCTCTTGAACGCCATCCTTGCTCTTTCCATCTGTCACCTATCTCTGACGCCTCGACGCGCCAACAACATCACTCTCAATCGAACCGACGCTGTCCAGTATTACCACGAGGCACTCCGGTACATCCAGGATGCGATGAGACACGATTCCTACAATAGAAGCGACGAGCTTCTCGCCACTTGCCTGATTATTTCCGCATATGAAATGATTGATGGCTCACGGAAGGATTGGGAGCGGCATCTCCAGGGATTCTACCGCCTTCAGCGATCCCAGCTGATCCATGGCGAGTCCAAAGGCATCAAACAGGCCGTTTGGTGGGCATGGCTTGGTCAGGATATCTGGGCTGCCTTCAGAGAAAAACGCAAACCTTATACCTCCTGGCATCCCACCAAGGATTATGCCAATATGAACCCTTACGAGTTCGCGGCTCGCTCTGTCCACTTGATGGCAAAAGTGGTGTCGTATTGCTCTCAGTCCGAGATTGAGCAAGGCGAGCTCAATTTCAAGAGCCGAGTAGCTAAGGCCGATCATCTGTCTAGCCTGCTCGATGAGTGGCATCGACATTTACCAATGGAATTTAATCCCTTGCCAATTTCGGCAGAGGCAGACGGAGTATTCAAACCGATTTGGGTGCATCCCCCAGCATTTAGTAAGTTCTCCGAGCCTCAGACCTATGAATATGACGCGTACTGACCGTTTCCTTTTTCAAGGCGTCGCACTCCAACTGCACTATGCCGCAAGAATTCTGCTAGTTTATCACCGGCCTTGCTTGCGAGGCATTGGTGACTTCATGGCAAAACAAGCAGGGGTCAAGACGTACACTAACGCAACCTGCGGTCTTGCTTCAACCCTGACGGACGATGCTTCTGCCATCATGTCGTCCCAATGTCTTTTCATCGGTAGGCAGATCCCAATCTCTGTTTCTTTCCAATTAGCTGACCCACCTTTTCTTAGCTGGCCTGTGTATCCAAGACCAACGAGAACGACTGGAGGTCGTCAGGCTGCTCAAAGCTAGCAGAGACCGAGCCGGGTGGCCTTTCAATCCACTTTCTGACTATCTCCAAATGATCTGGAAAGGTTTGGCTGAAAACCCTCTGCCTTGAAGTGCCCACCACCCCACGATTGCCGCCTTCGTCAGAGACGCCTCAGATGACCGGCGAATAACTGAGGCAGCAATGACAAGGTGGCAGCAATGCGCTAGTCATAAAGATGACTTGCACTTTAGATGATCAAGCATCTCAAATCAGGACGCTCGTCTCACCCAGAACTAGGTCAAGCGCCTGAGATTCTCAGGTTCTTCTCCTGCGCTTCGGACTGTAAGACACCGAGTTCACTTTTATTTATGTACCGTCACATTGAAAATCACACTGAATGGCGCCTGCTGGTGGTAGGCAGCATTAAGGTTGATTGTTCGACCTCAAGAACTGAACAGCTGGCAAGCTCCAGGTCCCAGACTGATTGTTCATCGCCAATAAAATCAAAGCCAAAGGCGGCCAACGGCCTGGGAAACGCCTGGTGCTTCCCTGGAAGCGTGGTACAGGGTGATAGGCACGAGAGTCTTCACTCACGGAAAGGATGCGCGGGACACGCACCATTCTTTGCGTGTGCTTGATGACTTTGGTCCCCGTCCTTGTCAACGGACATTGGACTTGGTCTTGACTCTTTCTTCTCCACTTCCCATATCCGAATCAGCGAAATAGCCGATCGTCGCTGAGACAACTCATTGTGAAACATATCTGGCGTTTGCCCCCATAGAATTTCGCGGGTGGGACATATTTTCAAAAGCCGACGTATGCATAAGCTGGCCGACAGCACAGCGGAGGACGAACATTCTTTTTTTTGGGTTTGGCTTTTTGAGCGACCATAGTATCCTTTCTTTTTCAGGAACCCCTGCTAGGGTCAACTCAGTGATACCACTTGCGGAGATAAATATTAGTACAACGGATCATAAAATCCTGATCCTTCATTCCATCAGAGAGAGTGTTTCGAGTCCGACTTGTTTGAATTTTATCGTAGTTGTGCCGTGAAGCCAGGAATGGATGCCTTGCACATCAATCCTCGGGTCCACATATCTATGTTCGGAGATTGGCAAGCCTGGAACCTTGTCGAGATATATCATACATGGTTAGATATCACCCGATATATCAGCCAAAGTAAGTCGGCTGAAATCGTCAATACCCGGAGACCTGCGGGGGCACGTTTTGCTCAGAATATCCAAACGAACAGAAGCATAGTATTGATGAACAAAGATGAAGGATAGAGGGAGGAAGCTGGTCTGAGCAGACCTCTGGGGTGGAAGAAGGTAGGAGAGAAGAATTCCGGCGGAATAGCGGGACTGCTGGAGATGTTATATGAGATGACCTAGCGCAGCTGAGCAGAACTGACGATGCTGTTTCGTCCGCATGTCAGATCCGGCTTGCTTGCTTATTGCAGCGGCAGGGGAGTGCTAGCCGGTGCCCGGTGGACCACCCCGTGGGACTATGATAGCAACCAGGCGCGTGACGTGACGGGCGGCGCGAAGGGTGGGCAGATACCGCTGTATAGTAACAGGGTGCCTAGGTCTTGATGTAATCCTGTGAATGATATGGATCCCCGATGTGGATGGAATACTGGTTCTGGGGCATGATTCTAAGCCAGGATCCCTGAATATGGTGTTGTACAGGCTCGCTTTGTGGGCATGCAAAAGAATACTTGGTGAGAGGCACGCGTCTGTCTCACTAAATCTACTGTCTATCCACAGTGGCATGACTGCTGTAACCGGCCAGTGCGCCATTTTCACCTGAAAATAACTGAAGAACTTCGGAATGCGCAGGCGAGAAGCAATGGCGGGCAGCTGGGACGAAATACCATTGATCCGTCCCGTCGGAGAGTGTTACCTGAAGTCACTAATTCTTTGTACCGCTAGGCAGACTTTGTGTGGAGAGGGAGTACCATGTACCTGGTCCTACGCCCCATATGAGGAAGAGGGTCGAGGAACATGAGCAATTGATCCGTCTCGGGGACACTGCCAAGGCTCTCTATGTATATTCTTTTGCTAGAGGATGTGATATATATGAGATCGTGCCACACCATTGGACACCGGTAACTTTGCTAGCGGCTGCTGTATGTGATAGAGGGGGCGTGATGGTGGGACTACCGCACTGACTTATAGGAAGCATTTCCGTCCAGGTGAATAGGATGATAGCGGCCTGGGTGTGCCCACAAGCGGCCTTGCCTAGAAAGATTGAGCGAGCATCGCCATCTTACCCTTCCCTGAGCATCCAGCGCTTCCAAAGATCTAGACTCGATGCATACATAGTGTAGATGTGGTGATTCTACCTTGCACCATGGGTATGAGATGAACAAAAGAACACTTGTTTTGTATGTATTTTTCGGTTTTTTAGCAGGCGACAGGTCCGCTTTAGCGGTCGGTACCCAGGGAAACGCACGGACAGACGACTATGGTAAATCTCGGAATGGTGACCAGAAATGCGATGGGGCTGGCACCGAGACGAGGCCCTGGTCCGCGTGAGTAACGAATCAACTTTCTGAGAATATGAGTGAAAAGTGGAGTTGAGCCTGTTAGTCACCCACCAAGTGGATGCTGTGGTCTATGCTAGTATGGGAGCATTGTCATATCCAAGTTTCAGGAGGAGAAATAGGCGAAGCACCTGCGGTCGGTATCTTGAGGCCTCTCCCAACAGGCGGAGCGAAGCGCAGATTTGTTTTGTTCTTGAAGATAGAAGAGGCGATATAGAGCATCTCTAGCAGAGAACGCGCGTTTCTGTGGCGGTCAAAGATGTCCTCGGAACACTGAATCTCTCATCTTGAGAACCTGTCAGTAATGCACCATGGGAAGGCGCCCAGCAAACGGAGGTTTTAATCCAGACAAGTCAGTTAGGGCGGAAGACAGTCTGCGACCAGGATACTCCGTAAAACGATGTGGCATCTGTACTCATGCCTCGTACAGACCGGGCTCATATGGGGCATACGAATACTCCGTGCCGACAAACAAGTGCAATAACGAGCATCGTTTCGGTCCGCCCGACTCAAGACACCAGCTCTGCGTGTGGAGTCGTGATCATCTTGTTGGCGGACCGGCATCCTGGCTATCTCCGCTTAGATATGTGCGAATACCTCGTATGTACCCAGGTATCAGAGGACCGGCTCGGCTGAAGCAATGTGGCTTTGATTGGGTGGATATTTAGTCTCAGCGATGGTGTGCGCACAGGTGAACGGAAAAGAAAACGAAAACTCAACTGTGTAAGGTGACAGGTGTCGTAGACTCGATTGTCCGTTGTACCCACAATCAAGTTCAATTGAGTAGTCGATGTTGAGTTATGACTGCGAGCGTAGGCCACTACCGCCAAAGATGATGTCAGACAAGGCTGAACAACGAGATGTGTCTGTCCGAGTACTCGTAAAGTGATAGCAACTCAAGACTAAGATAAGAAGTTTCTTCAAACCATCCCACAATGATACAGTTTCCCTCAACTAAGTCATCAGATCTGAGAATTGAGTTTTCTGGCGGACCGTTGAGGCTACACCTATTTCTGGGCCGAGGTAGTGGAGAAGAAAAAAGGAGATCGTAACCATGCCTTGGGCACCAATGGACGATCTCACTGACTCTATCCTAATTGCCTGAGCATCCACCTCTCATTGTACCCAGTCGCGTGAGCCTTCTGAGAAAAAATCATTGAACTTTCGTTTCTGAATATGTACTCGGAGAAAACTATCATAGAAACTGTGGGGCTTTCAACACGGAACGGTGGTTATCAGGAACCATTCAGTGAACAAGTGGGTATTAAGGTGCTAGAGTGAGTCCCTCGGCTCGAGCAGTCTTGAAGGAGCCTACTCGTAGTAATGATAGGGAGGCTCGACGTACACAAAACTTACGCTCGCTGGACGCGCTCACCACATTTATCATCGAGGAAGAGCCGCATAACCACGTGACTGACACCGCAGCCTTGTGAATTGCCGTGATAGAGATATAGAGGATCTTTAGCCAATCTGAGGATGGAGTGCTCGATTCACGTGAGCTAAATCTAACACGAACCAAGTAAGTAGCTAGGCGCTCGAAAAACAGCCCGAGGGCCTCTCTGGAAGTTCGGGACGACGCCGTCGCGAGACTGTATCCATGCCTCGCTCGAAGGCTCCTTCGTCGCCGCCCGCAAGAACCCTCAATTTTGATTTTTGATTTTGATTGTGATTGTGACTCTGAATGCATTTCTCGACTGGAGCCCATTTCTCTTCGCTGCTTGTGCCTAGAACGCAGGTAGACCATAGGGCATCAGGCTACGTGAAGCTTTTAGCTAAGAATAGTTGAATAGAAAACGACGTCCTACGAAGAATGACAAAACGAGTCATGGCCCGTGGCTTCCATCCCAGTCTTTTCCACCCAGAAATCATAACTCAACCCTGCCCATGCTAATAATGAGGAAAACCAAGGTCTACACAGTCTTCGAAAAGGCTGAAAACAAGGTCCCGGCAAATGTCATCCGTGGGTAAAATCGTAACCACTTCTTCCCAGTTCCTTCCCTTTCTTCCGTAGTCAGTCCCATATACAGAGGCCAAACGCTTCTCAGGATACAAGAACATTCGTGTTATTGTTCAAAGAGCTCTTGTTCTAGCATGTCGGCATACATCTCCAACGCACTGCCAATCATATCGACAATTGCCCAGCTAGTGTTGCCTTTGAAAGTTTTGCTCCACACTCGGACCACTGCGACTGACAAGGCTTTCATCTTTCTGGTATCTTGCAGTAGCTCTCGTGATTCATGTAGTAGAGTGTGATCGTTTGCATCGCCATCCAAGGGGATTGTCATTTCTGTTTCATCCAATAGGCTGCGTACCCAGAGCAGAAGCTTGCGCTCGTGCTCCGTGACTGGAGCACCACCTTCCCTTTCCAATCGCGATAGTATGACTAGCCATTTGGATAGGAGGAATGCGCACTCGAGACTACAGAGAGAATGTTGTATGGACCAGAAGAATGTCTGGGTGCGGGCGACGAAATCAATCCCAAGGCGAACTGGTATGGACAAAGCATGTGCCGAATGGAGAAGCGCAGGTGTGAGACGAGGGTCGCGGCGTATGTCCGGGGTATTGAGGAGCGCCGCGGCGATCTGTGTCGCGTCCCTGGTCTCGAGGTGCCGCAATGGACCCATGTCGACATGCAGTCGAATGTACGCTAGTCCTAATAGGGCTGTTGACGTGAAGGCAACCGGTCCGTTGGGATTTTGAGGATCCAGACTTGATTCTGGTGTTCGTCTCCAGCCCGTCTTCCATGAGCTAAGGCCGCGGTCAAGCACAGAGATATCCTCGATCCTCAAGCTAGATCCTGCAACCCCTGGCCAAGCCAACGACAGCTGTCGTGCGAAGAAGATTTGTTGGATCAAAGCATGAATCAGGACATAGTTGCCAAGCGGTGAGATCGGGGTTGGGGATGCTTGACTTTGTTTCGTGAAGAGTCGAGAAAATGCAACCTGGAAAGGTATTGACGGTGAGGAATTGGCTAGATGCAATTTCTTCCATTGTTCTGCCGTCGTAGCCTTCCATTCATTGGCCGGGTCAGGAAGGTTGAGTTTTATCTCGGAGTTCAGAATGAGGGGGGGGATATTCCAGGTGATTGAATGGAGGTTGAAGAAACAGTAGACAATCAGCTTGGTCCGCTTTTCCCCTTCACTCCTGATCCATTCCTCCCAGGTCGAATCTTCTGGAGACTGCGTTACCTCAGGGGAAATAAGGCCTGATTCGCGAACAAGTCGGGCAAGAATGCTCTGGAATGCTAAGGCTTCACGCAACAGCTCAGTGTGCCGTTCCCACGTGGCGAAAGCACTTAGGAGGAGGAGGGCCTGGATCGAGTCCATTTGCTCCTTACTGTCCGAGGGAATTGCATCTTCGGGTGAGATGTACTGGAATGGGCTACTAGAATGACTCGGGGGGGCAAAGCCGCCTCCTGGAGGGGACTGAGCGAGGGATCCTGTTCGTGGCCTGTTCCATGAGTGAGGAAGCGCTAGCTCGTCACGACGTCGAATTTGTTCCATCACCACAGCTTTAGCAGCGTAGAATAACTCAATTCCACGACTGTTTTCAAAGCGATACTGTGCGCCAACCGCAGCCAAGGCCAGTATCAACTCTGGTGCACTACCGGCAACCTGCAAAGTGGGCACATGAATAAAAGGCAGATGCTCGTGGAAGCCGTTGACGTAGCCAGCCAAGTACCTAGAAAGCGAATGTCTTGAGGGCGGAATAAAGCCTTTCGGCATGACATTATCAAAGGCCCCCAGCTTGGAGGCGAAGATTTGTCGATCGGAATCTGAGACGTCCCAGTTTGTTCTGACCTTGGCAGCTTCGAGTTCTTCGACGGCAACACTTCGAGATTCTGGTCCTTTGATGTCAGGATCTTTAAACTCTGGCTGGAGGGAGGGTAGTCTGGAGCCAAATCGCGAAAAGGTGCCTGTTTCATCCTGGGGAACACCGAGTTTGGAATCGGTAGAATGCTCACCGTTCAAATGAGGTCGGGAAATGTTGAGGTGGTCGCCTCTTAGCTCTGGCGACTGATAAGATTCCACCTGATCATTTCCAAACATAGTGGCATACCATTCGGAAGAAAGTCCTACACTATCAAGGAAGACAGTGAAGTCCTGCATGGGGTCACCCAGGTCAGGAGGCTCAAACATGGGCGTTGGATGGCCGTAGCCTTCTGTAAGCATTCGAGGCTGGTACTGTGCTTCTGACACGGCGGGCAGGATCTGCTGTAGAGGCTCATGCAGCTGTTCATGGGAGACTTGTGGCAGGTTAGACATATAATGATCTTGCCCACTTGAAGCGACGTGGCTAGCAGCGTGAGAGAGCAAATTGAGGTCATAGCCCCATGAAGGGTCGAGAGAAGGTGCGCCCATGACAGGAGGTTGTTGTGATGAGATACCGTTGGTGGGCTGCATGAGCTGCGGGTCCAGCATGTCCATCATGCCTCTCCCTTCGTGGGGAGCTTGAGGCGACATGAGCGGTTGACTTTGCTGCGAGGTGATGTCCATGGGATCGGACGAGGGCTGATGAGCTGGCTGCGGCTGAGCCACATGCGCAGTCTCGTTGAACTTCTGCACATGATGTTTATGGGATTTTCTGGTGGTGTGCTGATCTTCCTCGCCCGGATGGACGAGTCTCTCATGGCGGACAAGCAGGTCGCTGCGCGCGAAGGTCTTGGAGCAGATCTCACAGATGAAGGGCTTCTCCTTGGTGTGGGTGCGAATATGTCTTTGAAGGTGTTCCTATGGTCAAGTGGTTCAGTCAGTCAATGGCCGAGGCAAATAATCGGTGCTTCCTGCGATCATACCAAGCGTGCAAAGAGGCGCTGGCAATGGGGGCAAGGGAGGGTTTTGGACTTATTGCCAGACTGCTTCCTTTTGACCCTGCCAGAGGCCGTCGCCGACATTGTCGAGTCCATGGCAATCAAGTTGGAGACGGCGATGCTTGGACAGCGACCTCAAGTTCTGGATGTGGAGATACGAACAGTCAGGTTTGGGAATGTGGAAGGTGAGGGGTTGAACTTCTGCAAGTTGAGGGGAAGGAGCTATCGAAAGAATCGGGCGAAATTGTGGAGGTGGGAGGAGGAGGAGCAGCAGCAGCGGCAGGGCAGCCCAGAATCAGCTGTTCGCCCTGCGAGTCTGTGACAGAGATCGGGTGCGAATCCCGTATGGCATGGAGTCCCCAGCCATTTTTCAACTTCCGAGATCGAGAGGCTAAAGCACAGGCGAATGGGATGATTTCGGTAGTTGCAGGTTGGGAGGAGGAGGGAGTGGCAAGGCACCCACACGGCCAACGGAGACAGGCCTAGTACAATCACGTGCAATGCCCTCGCTATATCATTTATCCGACTGACCCGGGAGTCCCACCGAAAACTCCGAGTCACGTGGCATGACGAGTGGCCTGATGTCAAAGTCCATCTTTGTTTGTTATACACTTAGGTAGGAGATACATAGTACGACAGCTCTTGGTTCACCAGCTCATCAAGCCAGCTTAACACCCTGCACCACGAGAAGGTGGCTGTCATCGTAGGGCAAAATGGATGTGGTCATCAAATGCTCCAGGTAGCCCAGAACCCTGTTCAGCTCAAAAACGAGGCCCGATCTGGTACCTGCGAGATCAATGACACTATCAATAAGATCCTCCTGATGCCTGATCCACGGGTAAGTTGTAGTCTTGCCCTACGCCAAACCCTCCCACCACGACAAGAACAAAAAGCAAACGCAAAGAAAGGAAATGTTTTTGGTGGTCTCAGAGCCGAAGCCCATGTTGAACCATTTTCTGGGGTTTTCACGTTTTTGGGGGTTGGTCTCACAGGAGCATCGCTCATCTCGGACCATTTTCTGGGGAGATTCTCGAGTTTTTTTTGGGAGGTCCTCAGAGCCCGTCAGCTCATCGAAACCAATTTTGGGGAGATTTTCCAGCTCTTTTTAGGTTGGTATCAGGCATCTTCTTGTCTTCAACTTCCCTGCTTCTCTGCATCCACATGAGGGTTTGCAACAAAGTGAAGTCCAGGCGTCCAAGGACTCACTGGTCAGCAGGCAGCATCCGTCATCAGCAATAGCCCTGCCGAAGACTTCAGCCGCCGTTTGACCCTCGCCTGACATTGAGGTCAGCGTTCAAATGCCCGTCAGCAAGCAAAGAACTCAGAAAAACCTTGGCTGTCATCAATGTGCCGGTGTTTCAGGAATGAGCGGCTCAAAATGTAGCTCGCCCTCCGCCACCGTACAATATCCGACTGGGTTACTGACATTGTCATACCCAAGCGCAAGTTGATCTTTCAACCAATCCTGGAGTGAGCGCTGTAAGGCAGAAGCCTCAGTCTCCGCCTCTGGACACCAGCACGGCGAGCCCTCGTGCAGCTCGTACTTTTTCTTCCCCTCGTCCCAATAACGAATCCCTCGGCAACGCTTGCACGTGAAGGCACGGGGAGGCCACCCAGGGCTGGGAAGATAAGCCGTGATCAGCTTCTCTTGCCACATGACTTTCTTCTTGGGTTCGGATTTCACTCCTTGGCCAAGAGAAGTCAGAGGTGCGGGCTTTGCGTCGCCTTGGTCTTCAGCTCGGTGCTTCAGGATCGATCTGGGTTTGACCCCTTCACGAGAACCCCTGAGCGGCTCCTTGCCGATACTACCCTGGTTCCGCGCAGCAGCCGATGACAGCTTCTGCTGGGTCCTGCCTGCACCTTTGTCCTTAGACACCGCAACATGAGTGCCTGAAGTGTTGCTGCATCGTACCTGCCAAGTGGTAGGCCGACGCGCAGCAATCGATCTCCAGACACGAACTGGGAGTCGGGACGCCGGTGTATCCTTCGTGACCTTAGGATGAGCGGCAGTCGTGTCCTTTGTCGTTCTCTCTTCACTGTCAGAGGCCTGGAGAGAACAACGGGAAAAAGCGCAAGAAAGGCCGACCCAGACTGGAATCTTAGATCCCGCTGATCTTGCTAGGGCTTTCACCTTCGCTACAGCTTTGGGGCCCTTTCCTGGCTTTTGCCCAGACTGCTTCTCCGACGAACCTGAGACAGATTCTGAAGAGAGTGACGCCGGAACAGCTGTCACGATGATACCAACAGAGAGCTTAGGGGCATCCTTGCTCTCTGCCAGACCAGAAGAAAGTTCAGTCGTTGACCGTCCTCGGAGGACACTATTGATCAGCCATGGGCGAGCCCTGGCATCCCTCAAGTGCCTCCTCGAGTCAGACTTACTGGAGTCTGTCATCTCGAGGCGACCACCTAGAGAGTAGGATATCATTCCGAGTCAGCATGAGTACACGGCCCAGAGTAAAAGTTCTGGACTAAACGATGGGCCAACGAGCTATGAAGCACAGAGCAGAACGACTCGAATTCTCTCAGGAACTTGCACTCACCAGCAACTCCCAACTTGAATCTCCTAGCGTCTCTCTTGCTATCAACGGAAGTCTGCATCGCGGTCAGCAGTATCGAGAGCAGTCACAATCAAACAAGGGGGAATGGGAGCATAGGATGAACCTTGGGAAGAGAAAGAAAATGAGGGAAGAATGCTCAAAGTGGCATTGCCTTCCCTTTTAACTTGTTGTCACTGTGATGATCGGCTTTGCTGACACCCAGGTATACTGGAGAGAATACTTTTTGAAGTACATGGATCTGAATGGCCAGAGACCCGTCAAAAACTTTGAAAGCATGTTTCTTACAATGGTGTCGTTGTTTGGGCAAAGAGCACCTGGGAAACTGCTCCAAGCTCCAAAGTATAACATGATACGCAAGACGGAATGGAGAACAATTCGTGTTTTATGACGGAGGACATGAAGATCAGACACAGTCTGGCCATCACGGTGGAGAGTTTGAGTGGACCCGGGATTGTCCTGGGAGGATTCGCTGAAGTCCGATGAGTCTTGCGACTGGAGCTCCCAAAGAAAAGGACCCAATAGAACCAAGTTGTTGTGGTGGCGAACCTCGTCAGATTGGGGATTGGGTATACAATACCAACACTGTTGTTGTGCTGAAGGTTGGTATCGAGTGAAGTGGTTTGTAGAAATATGGTTTTCTGGAAGTGGAGCCCTTCTCATTCATTGACTTTTGAACTACGGATCGGATCTGCCATCATATTCAACGGCGTCGCATGCGATGGAACCAAGCGGAGAACACGCGTAAGATGACTCAAATAACAATCAATGCAAGATCCACCCATCTGGTCTCTATTGGATGGCTGGAGCGAGTTTCGTGGTACTGACCAGAACCCTCTTCAACATCGACCCTTCATTTTGATTGGCTAGTTGCTGACGCCAATTCCAATCAATACATGGAGCAGTACAGCTCTGAATAACGTTGTCAAGGATAAAGCCGAGTGTTTCGGTTGCCTACAATGCTTCGGAATACAGTGGCTTTCAAGCAGCGACCTAAGGCTATCTCATAGAGGTCTGGACTGCATACTATCTCTGGCTCCCTATTCCCAAGCCCCTGACAAACGAATGAACCACAATCTGGGCGCGAGCAATTGCTGATAAAATGATTGCTTGCGCCTCTGCGCTCGCGAGTCAACGAATTCAACTTCATAAATCGCTGGATAAAATATCAGATCGGTGCAGTCAAACGAAGGCGGGGCTTCCACCAAATGGAGCTCGCTCGTCGGCGCTGATACTTCTCTCCCCCCTGCGACTTTTGAGAAAATTGCTGACCATCCGTTTACTCCCAAATAACCCTATCACTTTGGATGCATTTCGGGAGATTGATGAGGACGAAGAAGTTTTGGCTAGCTCGGTATCACCTCCGATCTCTACAACTGCCATTCTCAAACCCCCATAACTTTTGGAAGCTCGAGGTGCAACACTCAAACGGCTATTTCCAACGGTATCCGCATGTCCAGGAGTTCTTTTGCCAAGATACATACTGTCAAATGGTCTATTGTGTGGTGGGACGTCCATGTCAAACGGGCGACTCAGCCTCGCAACCAATCGACTTTTGGCTCTCTGCGCTGGGCTTTCTTCAGCGTCACTGAACGTCCTGGACACTGTCCGAGGGTTACTCGTCGGAGTGGAATGGGTTTCTTTGCGCGGATTGAACAGAACTTCGCTGGCTCGTTTCTTGAGGTGTCCATTTTTACTGCCATTCCTCGACTGCAGCTGTAAGCGGCCGGGGGTGCTCAGGGGCGGACTGCTATTCTGGTCGATTGACCGGTTCTCTTTATTGTTGCCCTCACTTCCCGCCTGCAGAAGAGCAGCTTGAACAATTGGCAAGTCAGACTGTAGTCGTTGAGCTTTACCGTCCACATAATTGCTTGGTTTGTCCTCGAGGCTGGGACGTTGAGTCGGATTGCGCAACTTATCAGAAGCAACACGCTTGAACAAGGTCTTCATCCTAGCGCTGGCACTGGTGCCTGTGCGAAGATCGGTACCACGACGGCTGGTCATGTATCCCAGATTCGGGTCACGGACGCCCAATCCTACTACGTCTGATTTGCTTCTGATATCGAGCCCAGACTCTGAAGTGATCCGGTTGATTCTGTTCATACCGTCCTCGGAATGTATTTGAGCTTGCTCTCGAACATGATTTCCAATGCTAACATCCCTTGCGCCCGAACTAGTCTCGGATTCAGATGTGCTTGTAGCAATTTTGGTACCTGAGACAAGCGTAGAGGTCGATCTCGGAACAATCCGCATTGTATGCATTGGTTCTATCATAGATCTAGACTTTGAGAGCCGGGTTGGAGGCAGTACCACGCTCGCAGAACTTCCATTCGCGGAAATGTAGTCTTCGTCGGACAACCCGTTTGTTGCTCGTGAGTATATACTTTCACTACTACTGCCGTAACGTGTTCGGCCGAATCTGCGAGCCTTGAACTGTCGATTGACCAATATGCTGCCGTCGTCTCGACTGGAGACACTGCCGCCATTGTACTTGTGTCTTTCGCTAAATAATTTCTGAAATGGACTGGAGCGTGCTGACCTCTCTGGGAAAGAAAAGGGGTAGAAGGGTGGGCATAGATCCCGTTTTGAAAGGTGCCGTTCAGCTCCGTTCATTCCCTCCCCGGACTGCTTAAGCGCTGGAGCTTCGTTGGGTGAGACTCGCGACAAGATCTCATCACCTAGGTCTTGCTGCATAATTGAGCAAGCTCCATCACTTATGGATGGTTCGCTTTTCACCATACGGATAGTGGTGCCCAGAGGGACTGATGAGGTTGTGTGAATTCTATGCCCCAGATTTACAGCTTCCAGGGCCGCTGTTGTTTTCTCAATCTCAGCTTCTTCTTGTTCGATTCTTTTGATCAAAGCCGAGTAGACGCGCTGACTGTCGATGGGAAGTAATGGTCGCCCTTCACTTGTTGTTGACTGTAGAGGCTCTTGGAAGAGACTGACACCACCAATGTGACGTCCGGCTGAAGACGAGGGCTGGTGTGGTCCTCCATCCTCTTTGATGACAGAAAGCCGATTTCGGTCAAGTGGTCCAGAACGCATCGCGACAGACCCGGTCGTGCTTGAGTTTGTCCAGCTGGTTACTCGAGATCGGGCATTTGAATGCAAGCTCTCCCGACTAGAGGCTGAGTGGAGGTCATGTGCAAAGGTATCGAAAACTTCGTCTTGTTCATTGGCGAAGCTTGACTTCAACCCGTGGGGGCCATCTTCGTTAATGACTTCGTATTTATCGAAACCTGAAACGGTAATTGGCCCATCAGATTGGTAAAATAGATCAGCTTGCTGTGGATGCGAAATAAATTTCTTGATCAAAGACCCTTTCGCAGGTGTCACGCTGTCTCCCTGAATATGGATCAAGCTTGACTTCTTGATAAGACCGAGCTCATTGTTCTTAGCGATTCGGCTCTCTGCTCCGTGTTCTCGCGTCAAAAATGTACTGCGTCTCGTCTGCACGCGTCTCGCTGCAATTCTAAACTTTTCTCGACTCGAGAGGCGGATGCCCCGCCGTTCGTAACCTCGAAAGTCAAAGTAATGGGCGTAATCCCACAAGGCTGTGGTTATCTTCTCTGGGCTTGGCTTAGACGTCTCGCCTGTTCTGGTGCGAGGTTTTCCCAAGGGCTTGATAAGACCAGCTGAAGGAGGGTCAGTCCTTGTTTGTTTCCCACAGGAGTCTGGCTCCTGACTACCTTGATCCAAAGGGTTCCTTCGCATACTCAAGAACCTAGAAGGCCTCGGCATTGGTGTTATCTGTCCAGGATCGGCATTCGTAGGGGTTCTCGACGCGGGTTTGAGTTTGCTTAGGGACCGCTTGAGCCGGAGGATCGAACTGGACTGGTTGTGAGAACGCGGCAGGCGGGGGGTGAGCATAGATTTTGATTTGCGAAGCTTGTGGTAATAAGAAGGTAAGGCGCCATAATTCTCGTCCGAAGAAGCTGTCTTCATGGCGCGTTCTGCGGCTATCAATGCATGATTACAAGCCCGACAGTTGTGAGGCAGAGGATCGCTTTGCTGACACTCGGTCAAAACCATATTGTACTACTACCTGGTAACCAAAATTTGACCGGGCTTTTACTGGGGGAGATGATGTGGTATGTGAACGGCCAGGCAGAGGAGAAGTCCCAAGTATCTGTTGAGGAGGCACAGCATGACCATTTGGAAGGCGGCGTCTCGTGCATGGAGAAGGCACGAAAAGATACCATTGTGAGCAACTTCCTCACTGCATGCTGACTGATGCTGAAGGCAATTGCAATCGAGGAGCCGTGGTTGCTTAGCCGGCACCATCGAAACCAAAAAGATCAGTTCAGACCTACTTAGATTACTGCAACTTACCGCTACTAGTGCCATTGTAGAAGAGTTTGACCCATCCTCGGGAGATGAAAGAGTCTCCCTCAGGAGTGTGACACCGACCGTAAAGTCGACCTTTCATCGAGCTCAGGCGGAGTGCGGCTGCTCGTTCGAGTGAAGGATTTCCGCAACCAGAGAGACTAGTCGTATTCCCATAGGGATACTGGACATCAAAACTGGCTGCCAGAGACAGACTCGACAAACCAAGACTTTAAGTTAAACCAAGCCTCTCTGCTGCAGTTCTAGAGGACCCTGCATGAAGGAGCCTTGGAAAGAGAAGAGGTCAACAATCATTCTTGTATGTGCGCGATCACGTGGGGCAGGAGGAGCCTCGGGAAGGCTGCGGAGAGAGCCGGACAATGTTTTCCCCCTGGGTCTCTGCGGAAGACAATGGAAGGGAGGATGCCGTCGACCCGACCGTCGACCGTCGACCGTGGCTCAGGCGGACGACAGCAAATACCGCGTACTCGGTAGTAAATCGGGAGTAGTAGTAATAGTACGTGTATGTACTTAGTTGGCGACTAAGACTAAGTAGTTAGATATTTGGAGCACTCGCAGCCGGCCATTGATGACTGCAGTGTGCATAACTCGTCAGTTATAGTAGGGCGCCAGCTGCCCAGCACAGCCCACTTGTCTCACTACCATTTCTCGGTCCTGCATCTGAGGTTCATTTTTAGCATCATGGGACACTTGTGTCAAGACCAGCGCCCGTTAGCCAAATGCAAAGTTCCTCGTATTTGCCGATCATGATCATGATTGCGAACGGTCAATTATTCGTTGGGTTGCACCGGATTTCAGTTCCCAATATGCACGGTACTGATCTCCTCCACGAAGAGGGGAGTTCGAAGCGGATGCGCAATCAGAGGCCGAAAGTGGTCAAGAGTCAAGACACCTAGCAGATCAGGGCGTGTGGAGCATTGGTTATCATGTATCAGATTTTTTAATTCTTCTCTGGTCACACACACTCCAAGAGCTGTGACGAAGTCTGTTGATAGATTATTCTAAGTTACAGTTGACTTCGTGTATCCAAAAGGAACAGAGTATTGGTAGGTAGATGAGTAGGAAAACCAGCTTGCTGACTCATATGTCATAGTCCAATCAGCCATTCCAAGACTTTTCTTCCTTTGACTTTTCGTCGGGAGGTTTTGTGCTCGGATGGTACGAGGACAATTCTGCCCCCCATTTGTAAACTCGCAAGAAAGGACCTAGCTCATGCAGAACACTCAGCTGCATGAGGTCGGGATGTGAAAAAAGATATGTAGTGGTTGTTACACAGACCAAGGGCTGAAAAAGTACCCTGGTTCATCGATGTACGCGTAGAAGTTTCGAGTAAATGCAAGGTGGATCCGTTATTGCCAGACGCTAATATGCCCAAAGTTGTAAAGAAGAAATTGCTCGAGACGCCAGCGCTGAAATCCCAAACAGGCCGGTTCCAAATCATAGTCGAAATTGCTAGAATGTCAGTGGGGTAAATCGGAAGGTTGAATGTCGGCGTCGTGGTCGTAATCGTCATGTGAATCGTAATGGAATAACTGGCAGGTGGCAGTCTCCGTTTCCGCGTGCATTTCCAGAATCAGCGTCAGTTCGGAATTCTGGAGGCGTGCGAAGGTGCCAAGTCAGGCGGTGGGAGAGATTGGGTTGCCAGTTGGAAGTGGTGGACCGTGAAATGAGTGGTTGATTATCGGGCCTCATCTGCAGGGTACAGCGGCATGGTGACATCAGCCCCAAATGACGTAGGGGACACCCCCGACCGAAAGTTGGGCGGCTGCGTGAAGACCGATCGGAATGGCTTGCTGGGTTGACTGCGGAAGTTGTACATCTATACCAGACTGTCAATGATCGACCCAGGTGGCATGAGGTGGGCATGCTTCGAGCAGAACATACCTTGCATTCGGTGCACTTTCCACCAGCAACATCACATCGCCCACGGCAGCCCCGAGGCTGATTCGTGCAGGAGAACATTTTGACTGGAACTGTCAGATGGATGGCAGTGACAGGGCCAGGAGAGGTGGCTATTGCAATGCCAGACGTTTGGATGGCGAGTATGGATTCTTGTCGAAACCCTTAAGAGGGGCAGATGGGTAATGGGTGGTATGGCTGCTCGGTATAGACAGTTGGGTCTAGCTGTGTTGAGTTTATGGTGTCGTTGCAGGCGTTGTTGACTGAGGCTGTGTTTCAAAGCTCGAGAGGCCAAGTTGTGAAGAATGTGGATGAGTGTGTGAGAGATGTTTGAGAGATGAGGAGAGGCTGTCGGGTGAAATAGAGGATTCAAGGATAACAACGGGGAAGGCAGCAGTTGATATTCGGCCAGGATCTGGCGCGTGTGAGACGATCGAGACGTTCGTCAGGCCGGCGGCCCACTCGTGTCCATCACGCTGCCAAGATGCCACAGTAGCCTGCCTGCCCCTGGCTCAGCGTTTTCCCCGTACGGCGTACTGTACAGTAACTGGCACTAGCTTGTGCCCTCTGCCCTATGCAGGACGGGGACGGTACTGCGTATTACCGCGTACTCCTGCGTTTTACTGCGTCGTACATCAGTCCAAGTCCTCGCCCTGCCTACTTGGAAGTCGCAACCTTACTTGGCCTCTCCCTGCCCCGTCGTCGACGCCAGGGTTTCGTAATAATGCATGGACTCGTAATAACCTTTTACTCCGTACCTGGTCTCCGTTGAGGCCCTCACGACTCACGACTCGCGGCTCCTACTCCTAAGGTTGCACGTCCCTTGCTCCATGGTCCACGGCTAACAGCATTATGCAGAAGACGTAGTCACCATCATGGCTGAGTCTGACTCCAACTTGGGCTCGTTCACTCGCTGGCTTTTGGTTTGCGGATCATCAACTCATCGAAAGAAACAGCCGGTGCTCCGTGTGTTGCTGCATCGATCATTCTGGTCCTATTAAACACGTAAATGCCTATTCTCACTTGTCCTGCGTAATGCGGTGACATTGCACTTTGTCCGTCAACTCCTTCTGAGGTGTTCAATGTAACACAACACTAACCCTCGGGGTCATGGGCAGTCGAGATGCTCATGTGTGTGTCCCGTTGTGTCTAAACTGCCCTGTGCTGCACTGCACAGCTCACCTCACCTCACCTCACCTCACCAAACTTTTGTCTTCGGAGACTCGTCAGGCATAACTGCGGCTTGCCCGATACCGGTAGAGTTGCCAATGCAGGCTGTCGGCACTTAGCCTTCCCTAAGAGCCCACCCAGAGCCCGGCCGACGGGGGCCTTAGTCATGCCTGCCAGGCTTCACTCTCTGCCTAACCTGCACCGCCGGGCGGATAGCTCGGGTATCCGCTGTCGCGACCTGGTAAACTGAAATCGTAATGCAGTCTCTACAACGAGTACTCCCTGCGGAGGACAGGCACAGCATCGACAGCCATCGCACTGCACCACTTCCCATCGTCTGTCGGCCCTGGGCTCGGGACTGCACAGATCTTGATTATGGGATCGAAGTCGCCAAATCACGCCCGTTTTCCTACAGCCTATTTTTGACCCCTAATGCCGGCTAACCCAACTCATATACACACACACCTTTGACCCGACCCTCAGCTCAGCTCAGACCACCTAGCCCGTACCATTAGGTTCGACCTATCACAGGGATGAGTCGCTACAGCCATTTTTGGCCGAGACATGCAGGGAACAAACTCGGTTTGAAGTCAACTTCCAATTTGCTTCGCGTTCCATTCTTGTTGATGGGCACACAACAGCTGAGCCGGTTCGAAGCCGGACGGGTGGCTGGCGGTCCAGGCCTCATGAGACTCGACCAGCTGACGGTCCAGACCTGCCTTCCATCAAACGGCATGACCTGGATCACATTGCTTACACGAACCCGGCGCGAGCTCCGATGCTCTGATGCTCTGTAACCTCGGAGGAGCGTATTGAGGGCCCTTTGGTGTTGCAAAGATTCAACACTGCGAACTCTACTCATGTTTGCGTCGGGTGGTCGTAGTTGATCAACTGCTGGAGCGAGGTCATGCATAATCAGATCACTCATAGTACAGTATGCAGTAGTAGCACGGGTAGATTCCCCTAGCCTCGAGTCACGGGGCAACCATAGCAGTGTCATGTCAGCTGCACAGTCAGTCGCGTCTGTCGGAAGATTCTGCCTCAGAGATTGAAGGGCGAGGTGGGGAAACAAAGACGACTCATCAGCCAGCATCTGCTTATAATCGATGCCCATTTGGGCCCCGGGGGTACCGGTCCTTCATCTCCCGTCCGGAGTCCTTCGACATGATCGAACCCTTACACATACTCGTAAATCATGTCATTTCCGAACCACCCAGAGTATCCATAAACCCAACTACTCGTACGAGTTACGTGTGCAGGAGCCATGCCAGGAGGGAGTATCTGTCTGAGGCATAAGGTAACCAGTAGTATTAGTAGTAGCTCGTACGCCGTGCTCCGTTCTCGACTCGCCAGGCCATCTTCCAGAAAGAGAGTAAGGTTTGGGTGGGGGGGCCCCAGGTCGCTGATCAACGGAGACTACTCGTACGCTTTCCCTGGCTCCCGCTAGAATCAGCGTCGAAGCATTTCGACCTCGCGTAATCCTGCTACCTCGTTCGGCAGAGCAGCCCCATTCAGCGCTTCAATCAGTTCGTTTTTTTGTTGGCACAGGAAACTCATCCTGAGTCACCAGTGTAACTCCACGTTGAGGATAGGTCTGAGAAAGAGAAAGGTGCCCTGGAATCCCGGCCCAAGGACCCACTGACCGGCTTTGTCTCGATTCTCACACGATGAGCAACGATCTGATAATCAACCAACCACCCACGACACCCAGAATCGTTGCCAATGCCAGTCCATTACCCTCCCGGGTCAATGCCAGGTAAGCACCCATACCCACAATCAATTCCTTCCTCCGGGCCAATGATCTGCGGCTTCTCCACTCGTTGTCGATGTTGAACGGAGGTTCCTGGATATGACTTGCATTCGTCAATGGCCTCAATGGCACCGTCGCTGACAATGCAACGGGACGATGATCCGAGGTTGCAAACAACGGCAGACACGTGTATTTCTGTGGGTCAACCGTGACCCCGTCATTGTGCAGAAACAATATTCGGTCGCACCAGCTGGGCCAGCGGTGACGCGCCCAGTCCCATTCTTCTCCTCCATCCAGGGTAACAGCTTTGCTCGCGTCAGTATTGTACTTGTAGGTGGGCGGAAACTCGATGGGTGCCTCGCTCAGGCCATGCAGAGTCTTGCCAGCCTTAATTTGCTGAGTGAGCTGGTCGTTTGCCAGGAGGTGCGTAAAATGTTTGGGATCTTCCTCGTCCTTTGTAGGTTGAGGGAATTTTTCTTTGGCATCTTGCGGCGACGGTTGAAGCGATGATGTGCGATAGTTGAGATCTCCAGCGAAGAAAAGGTATGAGCTTGGTGAATAGATGCTGTTTTCGTGTCCGTCTGCGGGTACGGGGGGCTGTAACAGGGGTGCATCCTCCCTTTCTTCACCACGTGCGATGGGCTTCTGCCTAGGATTCGGTGTAAAGACAAGTCTGCGAACAATGTTTTGGTAATCCTCGTTCCGTTGATCAAGTCCATCTTCCATTGGGGCAAGGTGAGCCGCAACAAATGTCAATTCAAGCTCTTCCGAGTCACTTGTTTTGTACCCTAGCCTGATTCCAGCCGCACCCTTGTTGCCCATATCACTGACGCCAAGTCCCACCTCGGCTGTGTGAAGCCAGTTGACGTTGTCGACGACATCGTCTCTGGCAAAGACCATGATCGCTGTCAGGCCGAGATTGCTTGATACCACATTGACATAAGTGTGATCTTTGGACGCAAGCTTGACAACCTTACGGAACGCGTTGAAGTATGGTGTGAGAAAGGATCCTCCTAGAAATGCGGGACCAATCGGGGCAAGCTCTTGTAGGGACAATACAAGCAACTCTGGTGATGGCGAGTTGGGCTCCAGCGCATGGAACAGGTAAGGTGCAAAGCTATCAGGCTGGACAAGTGTACGCGCGCAGTTGAATGTTAGAAGGTAGAGACTGAGAGCCATTGCGGGTGTAGCAGCCGAGGATGAGCCCACTTCCCGGATGCACACTTCTATTCTTCTATCACGATAGCGTGCGAGTAGATGTCGAGCAACTCAAACTATGACAGCCTCATAGAATTGCCGTTAAACGTCGATGGCTACCTTACTTACTTCACCACTTGGTGGGAAGTCAGCAATTCAAATTCGAGCCCTACTGAGGATCGCCGAGAAAGCGATGACATCATCGGTCCCTCGTTTTGCATCGACGGTCGATCCAGCCTGTTCCGCTAGTTGAACACAATGCCACAACATATCGTATACTCGTGAGAGATGTTGTCACTCAAGAAGTCGAAGGCTAGTTTCGAATCTCACCGATGGTGGAATGTGCTAGTACTAGTAACCGAGAGAGAGAGAGATGAGTAAGCCAAAGAAGCTCTCGCCAATGGGTCAGACTTTGCATAACGACAAGATCCCTGTGAACATCTTGTAGATCGAAACACGCCTCACTGAACAGTAGATAATCGCGTCAACGGAGACCATGTGGGTGCCATGTGGGTGCCATGGGGTGGAAAAACATTCTTGAATCTTCAGCCTCGTGAGTTGAGCCAGGAACGTTGGAATCTGTCCATGGTGCTGGATCTGTGAGGTGGTCGGCCTGAGGTATTCAGACACCTTGCGGGGTGCAGGCGGGGTGCTCCAAGCGGTGAAGCTAGTAACCAAGCCCCTTAGGAATAAGCTAGATTTATATATTTTAGTAGCAGCTTTCCCTCCAATAACCCGTCATGACAGCATTAGTGGTTTAGTGGTAAAATCCATCGTTGCCATCCAACTTCGATGGGCCCCGCGTTCGATTCGCGGCTAATGCAATTTCTTTTTGCCCTGCTTCCCATGCTTTGAATTGGCATATGTTATATTCATAATAGTAGCAAGGCCGTGATGTCGAACTGGGTATTCCGAGTGGGAGCCGTCCATCTGCGAAACTTCGCACGTCATAAGAAAGTGGTCGAGGCATTATCTTTTTCGTGGCAGCCTGGATTTTGCCAACCAAATGAAAACTATTGTTGCATCGCTGAGGATCTATCGACTCTGCTCATACATGAACAGCTAGTTATGTTGCACGGCACAATGGCGAGGCCGTTTAATTTTCACGGTAGCCGAATTTCTGCTCTAAAAAGCTCCCAGGTCACAAACACTGGACAGCGGTATGAAAACAAGAAGGTATCCCCAAGTCCCAAAAGGGGAGTCCCAGTCTGCTTTACAACTTAGGCCCAGCCTTACGCCTATTTTCACGGTCTTTATCGCGTAGCAACCTCCGGAGGATTTTTCCGGAGGGGCTCTTGGGAATAACGTCAATAAACTCGATTCCTCCGGCGAGCCACTTGTGCCGAGCCTTCTCCTTCTCAACGTGTTTGCTGATGCTGCGTTTCAGGGCGGCTTCGCTTTCCTCTAATCCTACCGAGTTCGACTTGACGACAAAAGCCTTTGGTAACTCGCCCGCTCTGTCATCTTGAACGGGGATCACAGCACAATCAGCCACGGCCGGATGGTTGAGAAGGCAGGCTTCCAGCTCGGCTGGTGCAACTTGTAGACCCTGTTTCTTTGTCAGGTGTGAAGTTTATGTAAAAAGGGGGCAGCGGTTACCTTGACTTTAATCAACTCCTTTATGCGATCGACAACCCAAATGTGCTCGTTGCCATTTGGGGACTTACGAATCTCGACCTCATCACCCGTCCGCATGAACCGACCCTCAGGCATGTCCACGAAAGTCTCTTTGGTGGCCTGCTCGTTTTTCAGATATCCCAAGACGATACTGGGTGACTTGACCAGAAGTTCTCCTGCTTGGTTGTATCCTGTGATCTCATTACCTTCTGCACTCATGATCTTGGCCTCATAGCCTGGAATGAGACAACCCGACGATCCAAACCAAATATCTGCAGGCGTTGTGGAGCAGACGACTGTACACGTTTCGGTAAGACCATAACCTTGTCGGACTTGCCATTGAGGGTATTGGGCGGAGAGATCTTCGGCTGTCTCCTTGCCTAGAGGAGCAGCACCAGTGAAGATCTGTCTCACACTCGATAGGTCGAATTTCTTCAGAAGCTGAGGGTTCTTGACCATGGCAATGATGATAGGCGGCACGATGTAAAGTGTGTTGATCTGATATTTTTCGATCGCGGTGAGATAGTGCTGCAGGTCAAACTTTGGTAGGACGATCACACGGTCTCCGCGGTAAGTCGAAGCGTGGCAGATGACGATTAAGCCGTAGATATGGGATTGAGGTAGTAGACCGAGGGCAACGTCCTGATAACCCGGCCTGATCTTGTCGCGGCCGAGCTTGTCATATACAGAGATTTGGACTGTGTTGGCGATCACATTTCTGTGAGATATCATCACACCTTTCTGCTGGATCGTTAGAAAAACCAATTTGAAGCACGGATCGACACAGACATACCGGTAAGCCTGAAGTACCACTTGAGTAGCATAGAAATGCGGTCTGTCGTGCGCCCTGGCCCTTGGTCCACTTCACAGGCTCGATCTCGGGTGCTGATTCACCTTCCTTCACCAACTGCGAGAGGGTCTTGAACTCTTTTGGGTATTCCCCATCGCCTGGAACCTCGCAGATGAAGATCTTGTCTTTGGAGATGCCAGACTTCTCAGCGGCCTCCAATGCAACAGGAAGTAAGGGCAGGACGGTGAACAGAAACTTGGCGCCGGAATTCGTCAACTGGTGCCTTAGCTCATCCGCGTTGTATGCAGCATTGGCTGGAGAGGAGACACCGTTCAGTCGATGGATAGCCCATGATAGGGACATGATGTCGATCTGGGCTAGTTAGCGAATTGCGGGTTCAACTGGGCATTCACCGTACTGTGTTGAGCGCAAAGACGCCGACGACTTTGTCATACTCGGTTCCTTCATTAACTTTCCACCCGAATTGCTGGGCCAATGCGCGGGATAACTTTTCAACATGCTCCTTCTGTTGGGAAGCAGTTATTGACCTCCCACTCAAGGCGCAGGTGTATGTATCCCAAGATTCGGAGTAGGGACGTCTTCCGTATTGCTCATCCAACATGAAATCGCATATGGGAACATTGTCAGGGATCTCTGGGAGTTCGGGCACCCATTTCTCAGGGTAGAAGACCATCTTTGCTGCAGTATGATGGTAATCAATGAAGAATACAAATGAAGGGCCGCGATATTTAGCCAGAGAACGACTGCAGCTGTCGGCTGTGCATATGGCAAACCTCCACCGGAAGTCGAGAAGAGCTGATGCAGCCAGGGATGCAAGCTGGAGATAACTGGGAGTCGAAACCCTCCATCGCGGAGTAAACTCGCACATTATTCGTTGATCTTACCCGAGGTTCAAAAAGGTCCCATGGGGCACTCCGTCTTGGTCATCCGCGGGCAGCGCCGGCCGGAAGATTTTCTGGAGCAGGGAGCTCCCATCCCGCGTAGAAAGATTTAGTGGTCACCAGCCGATAGACATGCCGAGACCAAGGTCATGCTGCCGAAGCGCTCGATTGAGCTAGGCTGTTTGCTTTTTGGTAACGGTGAATGGCAGCAGCATGAAAGAGTCATGGTGAAAGTCCATGATATACGTCTGGTACTCCGTACATAAAATAATGGATTTGATGGTTCTTGAAGAGCAATCGGGAAGATATTTTGCGGATTGCGGGTTTTCGTCGAATTTCATGCCCTCTCCACAAATCGGCCAAGTGTTCGAGAACCGAGCTCGTTCATTTTCCGCTGTCGACCACCGGCTGTGGCGTTTCCTCGTGTAACATTTCAAGAAGAACATGGGCCCCAAGGCAACCTCATCCATGCTATTCGGCGCCTTGATGATCGACGTTGAGAATGTTCTCGTCAAACTCCTCTCTCGAGAATCTCAATGTAAGACGTGAAAGCCACGTTTCATACGATCATGCCCCCGCGGGATGGTGTCGGAATTGTCCCTTCCGACCACGAGTTCTTGATTTTGGTTGGTTGCAGCTCCGCGGCAATCTCTCGGAAAACTACGACCTCTCCATCCACTGAGCAAGCCCGGTGGCCCCGGTCAAAGCGGCTGGTCAGAAAATCAACACAATGAACCCAGCAGATAGGTTTTTCGTCATTGCGGTGGGTAGATAGTTTCTTTATGCGACATCCAGAACAGTACTGTACTCTGTATCGAGTACCATTTCTTCTTCTTATCACTGTTATCATCATTGTCAAACCGTCCCAGAGTCAATGTCTTGACACTTGCCACCAGCATATTTGCGGATCAGATGCTACATTATGTGCGTACTTGTATGAACATGAACTTGCCGAGGTAGGTTAGAGGGCATACATACATAGATGCATCATAGTGTCAGTGGAATGCCCCCAACCGTTGAGGTTTCGGGCTGCAAAAACCAAAAGCCCCAGTATTTTTCATCACCGCGAGGGTCCGTAAAGCACACCATTCTTGCTCTCTTCAGGCGTTATCTACCTCGGTAGCCACAATATGAGCTTTGGTAAGCCGATAACTAACAGTTTCAGGCAAGTATCTATCGTACTGGGGAGGCAGCTAGCATTGAGTGGTAACCTTGTGTCCATGGTGACGGGGTTCAATTCCCTTGCTGGAATTGTGAGTACTATTTGAAGAGCACGGCGTTTGTTCGGAAGGCCGCTTGCAACTCAGCCTTGTAGCCTTGTCACGTGACTCATGCTCGAAGCTGACTCAACTCTCCGCACCCTTCATGTCACCGAGAAGTCAGATGGGCACTCCGTGCCCGGTATAGGGGACTTGCCGGGACCGGGAGATGATGTCTCGTTTATCTTTCTTCAACTTTGGGTAGATAAAGTAATGATGGTGAGGTGGGCTATTGAGATTGAGCAGCTCACCATATCCCAAAGGAAGACGCAGGAGTGCGGAGAGCATTGAAATGAGATATGGGGCCGCAATCAAATGTGTGCGGCTTGGAAAGTGGACAAGCCGCCCCGGAGCACGAATTCCGATTGAAGAATGGGCTGCTGTCACGTGCAGATGACGTTGTTGCTGTAGATCCACCCACGAGATCACGGAATACGAGACATCACACCCCAAGATCTACACAATCTCGTTTCCCGCAATCTAAGATTGACCCTCTCCGAAACAACAAACATTCGCCACATGAAACGAACACGAGCTGGGGACCTGAAGATCCTTTTCTCTCAGGAGTCAAGACTCAAGACTCAAGAGTTCAAAGGGAATATTCACTTCTGGTCTTTTTCTTGCCCCATCGGCGGCGTCTGACTTATTGGCAGAGAAAGGCCAGACCAGCATTTATAGCTTCTCCAGGTGATGCTTGGCATTGTACCTGGGCTTTTGTGCGAATGTACCCTATTCCGCCCATGTAAGAGCACTATAATTCATGAATCACGAGCAACACATTGCCCCAGGCCATTGTTAGAGACTCTACGGAGTATCGATTAGTTTGCAGAGGCCTGCCGCAAGCTCGGATGGTTCATGTTACTCCCCACGTGGGAAACCTGCCCTAGTTGGACCCTGGGCGGATGATGAGGTCCCGCTGCTTCTTCCTACTTGTAGAGTAACCCGTACCCTTGGGCGCCGAGGCATGTACCATCTTGGAAAAACAAGATTTCTCAAATCCAGCATGGGTGACCCTGTGCCAGAGTGGGCGATTCATGATCTTCTTATGATCTTCACTCTGCTAGCTATACACGGATACTAGCCCGTCAGTGCTAAGTAGTACTCATAGTTGAGGAGGCTGGTTGCAAAATGCTGCTTACTCGTAAGGCCTGGAAGTGGTGCGGAGACTGGCCCGAGGAGCCCGAAAGAGACTCTGGGCGCGTCCCGCACTACAAAGGTCAAGCTCCCCTGGTCAGACTTGTGCACCAGTGCAGCTAATTGGAACCTTGATGAATGGGATAATTCGTATTTGCGATAACGCAATAGAGAGAGAGAGAGAGAGAGAGAGAGAGAGAGAGAGAGAGAGCGGAAGCGAATGAGGACCTTCAGCCTCTATCCTGCACATTCCCTGCACATTCGAAGGAGAGCAGTTTACGGATCGTGCGAGACCTGGCTAATTAAAAGAGCTCGACCGACTTCGGCGAGCAAAAGAGTATAGGTAGGAAAAGCCTCCCATGGCAGACTGCTCGATGTTGGCTCATTGCGGGAATTTCGTCTTACATGCTAGTACATACCGTGTACGGAGTATGATGAATCAAGATCTCGTCACACAAACACGTGGGGTCTCGGAATACGGTGAGCGCGAGGTCCAGCCCAAGAAGCAAGAAAGACGTCATCCTTACGGAGTACCCGTACTGCGTACGAATCAGATACAAGTGACAAGACTACAGAAAGCAAAAGGTGGCTGAAAGATTGTGGTTGAGAGCAGGTGGTCGTGACGAGTGGGCAACATTGGTTAGAACTGGCGAGGTTTGAAAGGATCGGGGGTAGTGACTCGTGACTCGTGACTGGCCTGCAGAGCACCAGGGCGTGCAAAGCAAGACACAATGCATGCAGTGTCTCTACAAGCGATGGGGGGTTTAAGGTGACACCGCAGGCGCCACACATTACTCTGTATTGTCGTACAGTAAGTGCATGACTACTGCTACCCATACGATTGGATCGGCCCCTCAGTCAGGGCAGCAGAGCGAAGTGCAATTCAAGCATTAGCACACACCTTGACCCAGTGCACATTGGTACTCGTGCGCTGTCTCGTTTTCACGCTGAGGCGGGACTGCGAATACTGTATACACATTTTTAATTTCGTGGGAAATGGGTTTCCGCAGCCTCGGCTGAGCACAACTGTGTCCTCAACAGACCCTCGGAAGGTGTCGTAGAATATTCCCTAAGATCGACGAGCCTTGCACAGCGACAGGAGGGGAACTTCATATGGACAGGACGTCCACCAGCAGCTTGAGCCTTCACTGATTGGGTACAGGCGTGTTGATAATTAATATTGACACCCGATGTTTGCCACCCGGAAAAGCGCGCCGTGAGAAACATGACAGGCCGTGGAGAATGGTCAAAGTGAGGAGGCCTGCAAGAGAGCAAGGTTAAACTTTAAGCTCGGGCAAAAAACAAACATGATCGCAATCAATAAACGGTCCATTTGAGGAGCGGCAATCTCATCCAGTCTGCTCCAGTGGTAAGTGCCTCGTACAGCGCAAAGATGACGTGGGTAGAATAGATAATTGACCGGCCCATAACAGACAGAAATAAAGCTCAGGCGATGATGCACCCCGAGCCTCAAAGCGAAATTCAAAAATGACCAGTGGCAAAAGGGAAGGATCGATAAACAACGGTGCCAACTGCCAGTCTGCCAGTCTGCCAGTCTGCCAGCTGCCAGTAAATCGGTGCTTACGAGTAAGGTATTCATGGTTTTGCTGGGTGAAGGAATGTTGGCAGTGCGATGGCCAGAGATGGTTAGACTCTGGCTAAGAAGAGAGACACCAGAGCAGTTAACGCTCCTTCCGGCAGGCACTGACCCAGCTAGTCGAGGTCCCAACGAATCGCCAGTGGCTGTAGATCGTGGATATCTTGCTGGGCTTCCTGGTGCATCCTGGTCATTGCGCGGGCTCCAAGGGTGGGCACCTGCCAGCCGGCGCTATCATATCGCGGCTGCCCACTAGCAAAGCATCCTAAAAGCTCTATTGCTCTTATTTCACCTGCATCATCACTTTCCCGTTTTTCCCTCTTCCCATCTCCACCTCGAGCTTCATCTTCATTGTTCTTTCCCTTCCCAGTTTGCCATCTTATCTGGGCGACAGTCATTGGCGACTTGGCTCCATATTTCCGTATTTCCATTAATCCATCTATCCACCGCCTATCCACTGTGCACCCACTGTCGCTACCTCTCCCAGCTCGCCAAAATCTCCACGACCCGGCGGACTTGGCTTATGGTGACCGTGCACGGAGTACATACTCGTACGGACTACGCAGTCCTTGTCTTTCATGACTGCTACCGATATGTTGATCGCCCTCACGCTCAAAGCTTGACCACCGCGACATTATTGCCCGATTCTCACAAGTCAGTAGCTTTTCCCAGTTGTTTCCTTGCCCACCTGCGTGGTGTCCCGCCGCTGCCATTGCTACTACTCACCACTCACTAACTGCCATCCCTGTGCCCTGTTTACAATCTTCTCGCCTGCCTCTTACTTTCCCACCGTTCCTTCCTCTGTACGCATCACCACAGCACACCATCCCATCCACCGACTTCGTCTTCCCTTCTCCCCCGGTCAACATTACACCTTGAAACAACCATTTCTCGCATCTTCCGCATCTTGTACTCATATCCATCGGTCGCTAGATACACCAAGGCGACTCATTCCCCACAGTTGCCATTCCATTCCACCTGCAGGTCAGCACTCGCCACTTATGTCGACGCGGGCTTCTTCGACAATCGCTCGTCTCTGAATCATCTGAATCAGAGTCTTAATTCCCACGCGTTCATCCCTTTATATCTTCATTGAGTCGACTGGCGGCACAAGAACTTCCGTCCCCCTCTGCCACCAAGGTCCCTACGACCCATCGATCTCCGAAGAACCAACAAACGGACCGCATCTTTCGTTGAGACAACCCACCGCTCACCATCTGAACAACTCTTCACAGAGCCACAAGCGGGCGGGGACGCAAGCTCAAATGCCCCTGCACGCTTGACTCGCCGCATTTTTGACACTCCAAGAGCTGGTTTAGATTGGTACAAGATGCTCCTCAACCTCCCGTCTAGTTCTTACTGGCCCACCGCCATGTTATTTACCATCCTCTATCAGTTTCTGGCACTCCAAGTCCATGGGCTCGCAATTTCCTATTGCTCGCCGGAGAACAATGCTGGCTCGTTCCCAGTCTGTGAGTTTTGTGTAGATCCCCTTCTCAAATCAGAGACTGATATCGATGTCGCTAGACTCGTACATATACCAATCCAATGGAGAATGTCAAGGTCATTGCCAAGGATCCTATGCCTTTGCTGTCCTTCAAGGCGAAAATTGTTGGTGCTCCAACTATATTCCCCTGGAACAGGTCAGCACCTCTGATTGCAATCAACAATGTCCGGGCTTTCCAGATGATTGGTGCGGCTCCACCGATGCCGGCTTATATGGTTATTACCTCCTTGGCGCAGCCAATCCCTTGGGTACCTCATCTGGAATCGTTGCGTCCGATTCTACCACGGCGTCATCTCCCTCGGTGAGTACTTTCCCACCTGTGTTTGAGTTTGTTGTCTGCCGTATACCTTTCCTTCTCCTTCAACGGTAATAACCATCGAGTGTTCTCAGAGTTCCAGTGAGGATAACTTGGTGACTACGTCGAGTACTACCACTACGGAATCTTCGAGCTCCAGAGTATGAAGACTCCATCTTCCTTTCTTTTGTGCCGGGCCTACGCCCAATACCACCATCCCCGAACCTTTCTATCAGCGTGATATATCTTCGGCCAACCAAAAACTGACCAGAAATAGACTCGGTCATCCACTACTCGAGGTTCATCGACAAGCACATCCTCATCCGCGGCCTCCCAAACCCCAACGGAAATCTACACGAGCATCACTACCGTGACTGGTGAAGTTCGTACCGTCGTAATTACTCCAAGCTCCACAGCTACTTCCGATGCTACGCTTGGGCAGTCCTCTACGGGAGGGGCTGGTGGAGTCAACACAGGAAAAGTCGTTGGGATCGTTCTTGGAGTTGTACTGGGAATCAGTGTGTTCATAGGAGTCGCTGTGTGGCTATGGTTTAGACGGCGGCGTCAACATCGTGAGCAGGCGTCCGGCACCGAGAGCACATACACCAATCAAACAGGCGAAAAATCTCCCTCAAACAACATCCCGTCGCGGCAAGTTAGTCAACTGTCGTCATCGGGACTGCTGGGGACCAAGGCCCCTCGAATCAACACACAGGGGATGACACCAGGTAATGATCCACGAAGCGCCAACACGGCGTCGTCAGCATTCGACCGGCGAAGCGTGAATACGGACGCTAGACTTAACCCGTATGCGCTGTATATTCATGACGAGAGCCGCCTCAGCGATGTATCGCTTCAAGACAACCAAGATTATTCGCGACAATTAAGAGTAGGTTTTGACCGAATTGTCCGGGAGTTCCGCTGTGCTAATAACTGTCTAGGTCGCAAATCCTGATCCCTGAAGCTTGACAAGGATGTCAAATTGGTGCTGAACCACTAATAACACTCGAGAAATCGAGTCGACGGCCATCATTTGCTCTTGATATAACGAAAGTGCAAAGAGGGTCCCCACGGCCACCAGCGAGATTTGCTCCGGAGGAATGCAGGATTAGGAAGCAGCACAGCACTGGGAATCACTGTGCCTTAATGGAATGATCTAACGACGAGACGTACTTTCTTCTTCGTCTTGCAAGTATGGATGCTTGCTTATTGAAATATGGCATTGGGAGGTGTTCTCAGACGCATTGTACCATAAAGGATATGAAAAGGAGGCATTGCCACAAGGCAAGTAGTGGCTGGGGCCTGGATGTAGCTGACCACGAACGAAAGGTGGGCTATAAGGGCCTGGGCCGGACAGGTCTGACCACACGACAGAAATCAGATGCTTTTTCGGCGTTGGCACAGGATTTGACGATGAAGCGAGTCGATTGTACAGTGTCTCGGACCATTGTCCTCGTCGTCTTCAAAGATGCCCCGTTTAGCATGAGGCACCATGGTTTACATAGAAGACCACAATCTATGTCAGACTCTAACTTGGTCTGGTGACTTTGCGTTTTGCCACCACCATAGTCGGTAGCCGGTGATTTGTGTGCGTGTGCAAGTTTCTGTTGATCCCGACCAGCTGATGCCCAATGATGGAGTTGGCGAGGTAGGAGATGAGGCAAGAGATTCGGCTAGGAGGCTTTGAACAAGGCTGTCCTGGCTTGCGGGCTATCGGTAGGATGGACAAGGGGCGGAGAAGGCGATCCCTATGACGCAGGATGGTTAGGCTGCAAGACTTCGGCTTCAAGGCAAGGTCCCTCGGACGGGTCTGGCCGTTTCTACTACTGTTGCTTAGCCATCCTTCTCCAGCACGCCTGGGCGTCAGTATGAGATACATGGATGGGTGGCAAGCTGTAAAGGAACGCATGGAACAAACAACAAACACTGACAGAGGCTGAGTTGACGAGATGCCACAAGCTGGACTTGGTTCTTTGCATAACCCGACATAGGCTGGATACGACAAACACCAGCCAGGGCACTTATCTATCCTATCAATGGTTAATGGGTTCATGGTCTCATGGGAGTGAGGGGCGAGTAGCGTTGAAATTCCTGGCAGCTGCAGTGGTAGGGCGTCTTTTGGAGTCATTGGGCTCGAATGCATAATCTACGTCACATGTTGGTGGCTGCCACTACTACTAGGCTACTAGCATGAGCGCCGACTCAGGCTTGCTGCCCCAGCGCCTACGCCTAAGGGCTCCCGAGTATGGAGTACGGAGGGCTCTCAACGCCCAAACGCCCCAGCCAAAAAATACCACCAGCTGAGCGTTGGCCAGGTCAAGTTTCTACCAGGGACGACCAGAAGCTGGTATCCATCATCCGTACTGGTAGTTTAAAAGCGGTTCATTATTGCACAAGCATCTCCGCTGAATCTGCACGTCGTCCCATTTCCATCACACACTCTCACACTCTCTCACACTCTCGGGTCACAAGTTGTCAAGTGCAGTGTCCGCATGCACCGCAAACGCAGCCCACCTTCCTCTCCTCTCCTCCCAACTCACCTCACATTGCCTAACCTCACCTCATCACTTCCGAGGTCTCATCCTTCCAGCGGTCTCCAGCACTCAACCAGCTCCCGTTCTTCCACCCTACGCCTTTGAGACTTGCTTTCCCTTCTTGCTTTTCTGGACTTACTCATCGGCCGGCGTTTTGTTCTGCTGGATTTGCAATCATCTGTCTAGATCGGCCTTTGCGAGCAGCGAACTCAGCTGTCCAACCCTGCCCCGTATACAATGGCAGGCCGGCGTTATGCCGATGACGTCTCCACCTATGACGACCGACGATCGACCGTCTCGAGAGGCGGTCGAAGGGTGTATGAAGATCGCTATGTAGATGAGGAGATAGACTACCGCCGGGCCTCTCCTGCACAAGGGCCCCCAGCTGTGCGAGAACGAGAAGTTGTCATTCGGGATGACGTCCGAGAGCGATCTTCTAATACCCCAGCTTTCCTACGAGAAGACTATGGTCGAACCGCTGCTGGCCCCGTTGTCCTCAGGGCCAGAGAGAGAGAGGATTTTGAGTTTGTCCCGCGCCCTCGTCGTCGATCTCCTTCTCTAGAACCAGAGAGAAAGATTGAAAAGGAAGAGATTATCATCACAAGAGATCAATCCGAGTCCCGCCCTCCTCCTCGGCAAAGGGAAGCCGAACGTGAGGAAATTATAATCCGCAGAGACGAAAGGGAGCCTGATCGGCGGCCTCCACCACCGAGGGAACGAGAACGTGAACGTGAAGAAATCATCATTCGACGGGAGGAAAAGGATCACGATCATAGGCCGCCCCCTCCCCGCGAGATCAACTCGTCCAAAGATGAGATTATAATCCGACGGGAGGAAAAGGAGAGCGACCGTCGTTCCCGTTATGATGACTACAGCGACACAATCTCTCGCAGAGGTGGACCCCGGAGTGAAGTCGACCGCGACGAAATCATCATACGGCGAGAAGAGGAGAAATTGGATCCCCGTCGGTACGACGATTATGCCTTGGCACGGCCAAAGTCCCATGAGCGGGCGAGATCTCGTGCTCGACGTTCTAGCAGTGGCTCCAACGAAGAAATCATCATTAGACGTGATGAGCTAAGGGGCCGCAGTGGTGATATCGACCGTCAAGAGATCATCATCCGCAAGAGCTCCCGTTCACCATCACCCTCTTCCATCTCCTCTGCCCCTGCTCCCCGTCCCGCTCAACCTCCTGCACCACAAATCATCAATGCTCCTACCATCCACCAAGAAGTCATCACGCATCATCGCCACATTGACCACGGCTTCGAGGTGCAATACCCCACCCGGCCAAGAGTTGTTTCTCGTCCTCCATCCCCTCCCAGTCCTCCCTTACCTCCGCCAGCCCCCGCTCCAGCTTCCGTACGAGCTCGCTCCGAAGAACGGATTCAGATCAGTCGGACCCAGACCCGTAATGGCCGCACTGAGAATGAAGAAATCATCATCGACAGGAATGAGGCACACACACCACCACGAAGCGTGGCGCCATATTCCACTCCGCCCCCTCCACGGGAAGCTTATTATGATCCTCCTGCCCGACGTGATTATCGTGGGTACGAGCGTGATGTACAAGAAGAAGCCGAGTATTACAATCAACGGGCTCTTGATAGGGCCTATGTCGGCGAAGCTTACCATGGAGCTACTCGCGACTGGGCACTGGTCGATGTCCCACCTGGCACCAATCGGGTCAGGATGGATGGTGCGGGCGGTGGCGCCCAGGAAATTACATGGCAAAGATACAATGGTGTCCGCCGCAGCAAGTTCTTTCCAGATGGTGCTGAGGAAGGCTACACTGGTGAAGTCGGGAGACACACTCCCGCACCGCTACCTGCACTACTACCTGACCCGAGACATTCCCCCGCTCCTGCAACCAACGGAGATATTGGGAAGAGATATGGTAAGGAGCGCAACCCGACAGACGGTTTGTGGACCGAGGTTACCAAAGACTTGGTTGTGAAGGAAGCCATTCAGGAGATGGGTTACGAGTATGAGGAAACTGATGATTTCTATTATATCATTGCTTATCTACGATATGTGAGTCTATTCGCCCATCAAGGATCCTGCCGCTTGATCTCTAACCTTGACAACCAGGAAGATATCTCGCGACTCGTTGGCCTCTCAGAAGACATACGCAAGGAACGCAAAAAAAGAATCAAGGAGATGGAATGGGAGAACCGAGTTCTTCCTCCACCAGTTGAGCAACGACCACTTGCCATTGAGCCGCCACCACCTCGTCCCCGACAACAAGACTGGGCTAGAGAAGAAGAGAGATATATCGAACGTGAAGTTGTCTACCGAGGAGGTCGCCCGCCTCCACCGGTCGGTTGGAGACGCTGAGCTCAGACCGTCTTCAAGCTGAGTTCCCTCAATATGAAAACGAATTTCCTTACTCTTACTAAATGCCATAACGCTATTTTGGCATACGCGGACACCATTTTACGACAATTACATACACAGCTATGACATGACGAGAGCACGAAGGACGTGAAGCAATTTTTCAAATCCTTTTCTGCTTCTTTCTTTCGTGTCCAGTATTCCTAAGCGTTTTAGCTTCCCATCGATTTTCTGAATGCATTTCAGCAAGCGTGCGGTTCTCGAATGTTGGAGATTGAAACCTCATGGATGATTTGAAATTCTGGAGGTGATCATGATATGAATGACCTTTTGTGATATAGCGATTATGAAATGTAGGAGTGGATGTTGAGGGGTATGATGACACAAGAGGTTGAGCAGTACGATTTAGAGGGCGTGGTGGACGGGACTGGGATGTCGGAAGATTATATCCAGGAGATAAAATCGATATCGTTGATTGAATCGATCCTGCTCTTCTCTGACCTCACAGTGAGTATGAAGCATCTCCATGCGCATGAATCACTTTGACACGTGACCGTGTAGGCCTTGCGGAAATAAAGCCTGGCTTAAGCCTTCAACCCACTCAGCAATATTGGCGCGTAGTCAGAAGAAAGACAGAGTAGACAGATACCCTAGCGTCGAGCTTTGGTTGTTAAATGACTACTAGTCCAATTGATGGGCACTGTCTTTGTACTGTACTCTCTCAATGGAATAATCGGCGCTCCTAGCGAATACACTGGATGACTCACAATGAGCCTTCTATTGCTCGTATGTCTCGATTGTCGATCATGACCAACTTTTCCCCCGGGTGAGCGGTGGCTTCAACGCAGTCGGCCAGTCACCGAAGTACCTACGTAGACGCAGTAGCGGGCTAGATTAATTTGCTCATTGATATCGCATAGTTAGTTAGCTTCCAATCTTGACGTTGAGAACACCGCGGTCTCACAAACACCGCCAACGACCTTTACATGAGACACACACGAACGACAGCCCGTGAACGAGGCATGCTGGATAAAGCCAGGTTCCTCGAGCGGATCACCGCGGACGCCGAGTCGCACATTGAGCTCTTGCAACGGTTCATCCAAGCACGGTCACCGAACCCACCAGGCAACACTGCAGCGGCGGCTCAGGTGCTGCGGGAGTATCTCAGTGCACGCGGAGTCGCGACGGAGATCATTGCCCCTGACGGGCTGGAGAAGCCGAATTTCGTGGCCGAGTTCGTCGCGGGGACGGTGCAGCGGCAGCGGAGCATGGGGTTCAATGCACAGATGGAGCTACGGGGTCAGGGTCAGGGTCAGGGTCAGGCCAGAGAGTCATTCTCAACGGGCACCTCGACGTCTTCCCGGTCGATGCGTCGCAGGACCCGCGCTGGACGCATGACGGGCCCTGGTCAGGGCACTATGACGGGACGTCTATCTTTAGGCGCGGCGGGGTGGACATGAAAGCCGGGACGGCGGCTTCGGTGATTGCATTTGCGTACCTGCACCAGCACCGACAGCACCTGAGGCGGAAGCACAGCAGCGTGGCGCTCACGGTCGTGAGTGACGAGGAAACAGGTGGGAAGTTCGGCAGCAGGTACCCCCTCGAGCGTGACCCAGCAAGGGAGGCGTGGAAAGGGACGGTGATGATCAACGCGGAGCCCGGCGGGCTGCAGAGCATTCGGTTCGGGGAGAAAGGCACGCTGCGCATGACGTTCAGGGTCGTGACGCTGGGCGTGCACGGCGCGTACACGCATCTCAGCGAGGGCGCAAACCGAATTGCGGCTAGGCTGATCGGGAGGCTCGTCGACGTCGTCGAAGCCATCCAGCCGGAGTGGGATGACGAGGTCCACAAGCAGCTGAAACGAGAGGAGGTGACGAAGGTGATTGATGAGATCATGGGCGAGGGCGCGCACACGAGCGTGCTCAGGCCCACGGTGAACATCGGCACGATTCACGGCGGGATCAAAGTCAACATGATCCCGGACCGGTGTGTCTTCGAGGCAGACATCCGGCTGCCCATCGGCTTGCTCAAGAACGCGGTGTTGGCGAGGATAGACGAACTGCTGCGCGATGAGTTCCCCACGACGGCCGCGTATGAGGTCCAGGAAGCGGCGTCGAATCCACCGTCGCACTGCAGTCCCAGCCATGAGATGGTCGGCGCACTCGCAAACGCCGCCGAGACGGTCACTGGGAGGAGGCCACTGGCCATCCCGTCGCTGGGCGCCACCGACGCCAAGTTCTGGCGCTATCATCAGGTCCCAGCCTATGTGTACGGAGTCGGTCCGGAGACGATGGCGGCCGCGGTCGACGAGAGGGTCAGTGTGAAGGAGTTTCTGAGCGTCGTGAGGACACACGCGCTGGCCGTCTGGAGCTTTTTGGATGGTGAGTAGGGAGTAGCCTCTCTCGCTTGTGCCGAAAATACCAGGAGAGAAACGATGAGGTGTGCGTGGGAATGGACAGGGGCATGAGGACGATAATGGGCCAATGTCCAGCTGGACTGATCAGAAGTAGCTGGAAGAAGTAGAACGACCTAGCTTCATAAAATATTTCGAACTGGTTTATTGTCTTTTTGATCCCGTCTGGTTCAACGGCCTCGATATTTTGGTAGCTCATCTATTCCTCCCCCCTTTCGGGCTTTTGTATACGCCCTCCTTTTTGTATATCCAGAGCAAGCTCACGTTCTTATCTCATGGTAGTTGAAACACATGAATCCAGCCACATCTTGTTTCTCCTGACATCTGATAGTGAATCTCTCACAAGTGCACCGACGTGTCATTGAAACCTCCGCCTTACGACTTTGCGAAGTCAGCCAACCATTGTGCCAGCTTCTGTGCATTCTCAAGCGGGACGGCGTTGTAGTTGCTCGCCCTGATCCCTCCGACGGAGCGATGACCCTTGAGACCCAGCAATCCACGTTTCTCGGCTCCTGACAGGAACGCTTTCTCCTTTGCCTCGTCAGCAGAGACTCCAGTCTCGGACTTTCCAGAGATGATGCGGAAGCAGATGTTCATTCGACTGCGAACGCTCTTATCAGGGACGACATGATAGGCATCCGGATAACTGTCGAGAGTGTCGTATAGAAGTTTGGCTTTTTTGTCTGCAACTTCTTCTTGGCCTGAGACCTTTTGAGAGCCAAATGCGGAGACAAGGCTCTGGAGAACAAGTGTGGCAACGTATAGGTTGAAGATAGGAAGCGTGTTGTAAAGACTGTTGTTGGAAGCAATGGTCGAGAAAGAGAACATGATCGGTGGAAGTGCTCCTGAACTTGGAAGAACAGGAGAAAGCGCGTGCAGGAATGCTGGGGGCGGTACGAGGCTGAGTAGGGATTTACGAATAATGACCACAGTGATACCGGCTATACCCAGGTTCTTCTGAGCGCCACCCTAGTTCAAGGGTTAATTGAGGTGCGGCACAGACCACGAAGGCGTTGATGTACTTACGAAGATGACACCGAACTTGCGAACGTCAATTTTGCGACTGAGGAAATTACTCGACATGTCGGCCACGACGATTCTTTCATCATCGCCCACCAAGGACTCTGGAAAGCTTGGGAATTCAACGCCGTCCACTGTTTCGTTATCACAGAAATAAGTCAAAGCACTGTTTGGTGACAGCTTCCACTCCTTCTCGGGAGGAATGACGCCGAATTTGCCATTGTTGCTCTTCCTAGCATCGACAGCCACATTGACATACTTGGATCCAATCAGTCTCGTCGCTTCTTGGCTAGCTTTGAGAGACCAAGATCCTGTGACTAGGTAGTCCGCCTTGAATCCAGATTCAATCTCGTTTTTCACGCGTTCAAGAACCTCTGCATCTTTACCTTCGCCGAGTTCGGCCACTGCCTTTCTCCGGCGCTTCTCGATCCAGGCGCCAGCTAAATTCTGCAGAGCGGCACTGAACTCTCCAGTTCCCCCGGCTTGCATGAAGAAGATGTCATACTCCTCTGTGGGGATGTCATAAAGCGTGGTTAGTGCCTCTTTCGCATCTGCTAGAATTTTGTTGGCAGTGGACGAGCGATGAGAGATTTCCGCCAGCGAGAGGCCAGTGTTTTCAAAGTTAACAAAGGCTTTAGCACTGGCCTCGATGACAGGTGTGGGTAAGGGCGCCGGCCCAGCACCAAAATAGGCCACTTCTGAACGGTCTGGCATGGTTTTTCTGAAGTGACCAGGAAAGTTGAGTTAATACGGGTTAGTAAAGTGTGGTCGACTTAGGAAGAGTGGTGATGACGTCGGCTGTAGTAGATGTAACCCCGATGACGGATTCGAGGCTGGCTTGATTTCAACTATAACCTGAGAAAAATGAATGAAATCTAGAATTCCCCAGGCGTAACAAGATAAATACCGAGTTAGGTAGGTAAGGATGAGTCAACGGAACCTGAAAAATATGGAGAAAAGATGTGATGCGATGTCCAGAGTTTGACTCCCCCGCGAACCACGATTCATGGCGCACAACCGAAACAAACTCTTGGCAGGGACCAGATGACTTCAATTACCCTCAACGTCCAGCAGCGGGTCGAACCATGCAGGCACGCCTTGTATATAGCTTATTCTAGTTTCGGGGCATTGGTTTGGCCGGGGCTGGCGACACTCAGGTGCAGAGCGACGAGATTTCAAAAACAAAAGCATGCAATGTTATGAGAGCTTTGGTTGAACAAAGAGCCCTTTGGCAGTATCTAAGGATAATAATGATACTGCTGTACCAGTTCCAGCGGCCTGTACATGTCAGCTTCTGTCTGCTGACGAGGTACCTAGAATTGCCCCTTGGCGTCTGATTGCTCAGCACTGATGGAAGACGCTGCAGCAACGTCTCCTTTTGAAATTCGACGCCATGATTAAGTGCTCCCCAAATTCTTATTCAGCCCCTGTTCGTCAAGTCGTGCCACTTGTAATCCCCCTCTGCAGCCTCGCTAAGATCTTCAAGACGTCGCCGGCAGGGTTTCACAGACTTGCTGAGCTTCCGACGATCGTTCCGACGACTGTTCTATGTCCGGAGGAGCAGCGTCCTCATCGGTGGAACGAGTGAACGAGTTTTGTGGAGGGTCGTTGACTTGGTCGAGTGGACTGTAATTCCAAGAACATCTTTGCTTTATGAGGCTGCATGCTAGATTTGGGTAACTTCTCGAGACATGTTGTGGCTTGGAAAGTTTGTTGAGGGACCAAGTGATGGACTCATTTGTCTCTAGAGCCATACACCCGTCAACGGAAGATGCTCGGATCCAGCGGCGCTCATGTTTGAACCAATGGTCAATGCATGGGCACGAGAATGAGACGTCGGCCCGTTGTATGATGGAGTCTCGTACATCGACAATAGCAACGGCATGAACGCGAGCCATGAGAGCCAAAATGAGCAAAATCAAGAAGAATTGCATGATATGATGGCGGTGTTTAAGATGGTGAGAACAGTGTCCGAAATGGAAGCGAGGCTTTAGAGGACTTTGCTCGTTGATAAGCCCTGGAGAGGCTTGTCGACAATGACCAGGCTGGGGTTGTAAACGCAGGCTATGAAGGAACAATTTGAACATGAAGCGAAGGAGGGGGAGAGAGAGAGAGAGAGAGAGAGAGAGAGAGAGAGAGAAGGGAAAAACGAGTGATCCGTAAATGTGCTCTGATTTGGGACCAGATCGGTGCCAGACTGACATTGAGGCAAGTGCTACTAGAGTATCACCAGTGGTGACGGGTGGAAGGCGCACCTTATGTGAAGAGGTAGGAACGGAAGGTGCCCCTTTCACTCATCCAGCTTCGCCTTCCATTTGGCATCATGCATAACCAGGTTATTAGTCACAATGAAGGAGGGAAAGACACCTACGTCTCCATGGAAGGATGAACTCATAGTACTGAGCTTTTGTCGTTCCCATGAGGGCTGGCAAAACGAAGGTTGGGAAGGGAGGTGACATGCTCTGTCCTGGGGGAACACTGAGCTTGATATTGACGTAGGTAGCTTAGTTAACAGTACCAGTAGTGTCAACTGATAAGGCTGCGCTTAGAAATAGCCGACCTTACCTAATCTTATATACGAGTCCCTCCGCTTAATTAGTGTATCCTCGGTCGTGCTGAGCCATGCGAGTCCCTTGCAGCAATACCCACTTTCATGCTTCCCTCAGGCAGCAACCATTCCACCAACTCAGCCTCTGCAATACGTATGTACGAGTATCATCGCAGAAGCCAGGCAGTACATTTCCGGCGTAAATCTTAATTAAGCCCACAAATAGGTTTTCATAAGGCGACCTGTGGGCGGCTGATATGGCAGTAGTTATAGCGACAACTTTTTGCTCGTATCGCTGTCAATCGCGAATGATTAATTCAAGAATTGTAATACCTAGCCATACAATCAACGACCTTCCCATCTCAAAGCCACTGAATCCCACCTTATGCCGCGACGTCCACATAAGAAGTCTCGGCATGGCTGCTCAGAATGTAAACGTCGTCACATCAAGGTTCGAAACCCTTACCTCCCACCGAGTTACGAGAATGTTACAAAGAGCTGTTAGTCTCTGACTTCTGGGACTACAGTGCGACGAGCATCATCCAACCTGCGTGAATTGTAAAACGGCGAGCTTAAGATGTGCCTTCTCGTCTGACGATTCTCCCAGGTCGACCGCGACATCCATCTCAGCTGTCGTGGATTCGGGCATTTCCGAGACTTCGACGCCGGTCATGACTCGGCCGGACATCATCCAGGATCATAATGTTGCAGGCCCTCTTGACACGACTGCAGCGAATGCGGAATCCCCTTTGAACATGGACCACCTTGAACTCCTCCACCACTACTGCACAGCTACCTACCAGACTTTTGCTTCAGAAGATGAGCTTCAGAGAGTTTGGAAGGTGGTAGTTGTCCGCATGGGAGTCTCTTTCCCCCCTCTGATGTATGAACTTTTATCGATTGCTGCTCTCCATTTAGCACATACTCGACCCCAAAATGCTGCTTGGTACCATAGAAAGTCAATCGAGCTTCAAACTCAAGCGTTGAGCACCTTTACCGCACAGAGGAACGTTGACGAATCAAACTGCGGACCAGTTCTCGTATTTGCTTCACTCTTAGGGCTGCATATGCTCTGTGACCCCGACGGAACGCAGGATTCAGACTTTCGGTCTAATCAATACCTCAACCACGTCATCCGGACGGTTGGGCTTTTACGCGGCGTGAAAGGGTTGACTTTTGCGAATTGGGAGCAGCAGCTCAGACAGACGGACCTCAAACCACTTCTCCAAGTGCAACAGCCGGCCAAACCTTATGATATCCCCCAGCCATGCACTGATCTCGCAATGATCGCCCACCACTCTGATCTTAGTAGTGAAGCGAGCGCGGCGTATAGTCGTGCCATTGAAAGGCTCCAGTGGGCATTCTGTGTATCGCGGACGGATTCTCAAAGACATAGCACGTCCAACTGGCTTTTGGCCTGGCCGATCCAGTTGGATGAGGAGTACTTGGACTTATTAAGTCGGCGCAAGCCAGAAGCTCTGATTATTCTGGCGTATTTCGGCGCCTTGATGGTGGATTATGAAGACTGCTGGGCAGTAGGAGACAAAGGTTTGGTCTTGATCCGGGAAATCAGTGAACAACTCGACCCTCGATGGGAGAGATGGATGGAATGGCCCGTTTCATTGCTCCCAACTGAGGGTGGTTAAAGCAAACTTGGGCCCTCCCTCAAGGTTGGCTGGTTGAAGGAAACATTGCCTCAAAGTGCGGAGTCCATCGAGGAGACACTATGGAAGGAATGTAATGTTCGGTATCTAGAGACGCAGAAACTTTAGCGCCCTCGTTGTCCTAGTTCCCAGTGCAGCTAGATGTGGCGACCTTGATCCACGCCAGTCTCGGGCCCGAGATGCAGCGGAGCTTGATCTACAAGGTGCCAACTCCTGACTCCCGACGCAATTTGATTCAAGATGTAAGGCTGGAGGACCGAGTAGTGTTGCCAATTTCGTTAGAAAGGATGAACAACAAGGAACCAGACTTCACTGCCACACTGGGTCCTTGACTTGATACGCCACGGCCGAAATCTAGGCAGAACCATTTCGTCGGTGTAAGAGCGTTGCCCCTGAGATGGGCTCATAAACATTGCACAAGATGCACAGCGCCTTGCGCTAGTCTGTATACTGACGGTAATACGAGACAAACCGGCTCCTGGGCCGAGTATCAGTCGGCCTGTCTGCCTCTCCTTATCATTGTCGGTTGAACGCGTACGCTCGGGAGACATACCAAGTTTGTGGCTAGCCTCGGCTGTTGTCATTGGACAATGCCATGCCAAGCATGGTTCCCTTTCCATTCCTTGAGTTTCTCGACAACAAGAATGTCTTTGCTCAACCTCGCTTAGGGCCTTGGACATCGTTCTCTCCCCTTTCGCACGGTCTCCTCTCAAACTATTGACTATCCTTAAAGACTTAGTCTGGCCCCCAGGCGCTCTCTTTATGCCCGGCACGGGGTCTCTCCATGATGTTCAATCAACTATGTCAGCACTGCCACAAACCCCATATCACGACTTCCAGTGCTGTGGACCTCATTGTCCTGCTCTGAAACATAGACGCCCAACAGGAAGGCCCTTCTCCTATTGCGAACCGAGTACGAGTTACGGATACGCGTTTGTCTGGAGCAAATAGCTTGCTATGAGGGCTTCCATGCACTTGTATAAAATACAAATGGCTTGCGCCTGCAGCATCAATATCAACATGCTCGTACATCTTCTGCCAGCTGACCATTAGGTTTGATTCTGAACACATCAATTGTTTTTGATTTATCCAGCTTCTTCGTTTTGTAGTGTCTCCTCATCTCTCATTTCCATAAAACCTCTCCGTTTTGCACTAGTTGTACGATTTACCAGGATGGTCGAAACTTGTGGTGATGGGGAGCACAGACTCTACCCATTCGAGCCTTCCACAGCAGCAGCAGCTATATACGCCGTCGCGTTTGGGATACTTACTGTGGGCCATACATTTCGGATGTTCCAATCGAGGCAATGGTTCATGTCAATTTTGGTCGTCGGCAGCAGCTGTAAGTCTATCACCTCAATGCGAATGGACATACTGATCTCCCTCATAGTCGAAGTTGGTGGCTTCGCTGTCCGGCTGACGAGTATCAACGACCCGTGTACCTTGGGCATATACATAGTACAATACCTCCTGATTCTCCTCGCTCCTTCAATATTCTCGGCAAATATCTACATGATTCTTGGGAGGACAATCAGAGCAGTCCACGGCGAGGCCTTGTCCCCTATCCGCCCAACCTGGTTGACAAAGATCTTCGTCACTGGTGATGTCCTCTGCTTTCTCATCCAAATGGCCGGCGGTGGCATGCTAGCTGGCGCTGAGGGGGACAAGAAGAGAGCTGACTTGGGCAAATTCACTATCCTGGCAGGCCTTTTCCTACAAATCGTTCTGTTTGCAGTGTTCATTGTCGTGTCCTACATATTCTACAACCGTCTACGCAAGCAGCCCACTCCGCGGTCTCGACAACCCGAAATTCGTTGGCTCACCATGCTCTACGTCCTCTTTGGTGTCAGCATGCTTATCACAGTTCGCAATATCTTTCGCGTCGTCGAGTACGCTGCTGGGGAGGATGGCTACCTGCTGACGAATGAATGGCCAATGTATGTCTTTGACGCAACGCTCATGCTCTCCGTGGTGGCAATCCTGTTATGGTGGTTCCCTACCCTGATTCGCCCTCGAAATGCCTACATGATGGACACTTTGGAGTCTCAAGCACCCCTCACGGATCGGAGCCAAACGGGCTACAAGCACGTTTCAAGCGACTTCCCTTCATCGCTTCCTCCTCGCCACGGCTATTAATCATAACGGAACCGGGACTTTATGCCCATTGGGATGATCAGGATGGTGGATTTGTGAACTCGAGGGAAACGTCAGATCACTACCTTCCTCAATAAGGAATGGTAAGAGCAACTGTCTAGACCGGGCGAAATTGGTGATGTTCTGGGTCATTAGAGGGAGGGCATGTGTATAGGTGCATGGTGGCAAGTATCTAGAAGGTGGGTTCCAGGACTTTTGGTTTGAAGTAGATTATTGGCAGCAACTCAAGTTAGGCTTGATGAACTGACGGGGAATGATAATCTCGATGAATTTCCGCTTGTACTGGATTTGATGCGGAGGAGGCTTCCAGATGGACTGATAATGGAGGATGGTAATTGGTAACCTGCTGAAACATAGGCAGCAAGGACTATGGCACTCTGTGAGAGCGCTTCTGGGAACTCCTGCTCTAGCAAAAAGGAGAGTTCCGGACCCTATCTAGAAGTGGAATCTAAGCCACTTTGGGTTTAGAGCCAGAGGGCACTGCAAGGCTAATGTGCACGTGAAAAGGTCCTTCCCCAAGGCACACTCGCTCCACTCCGAAGGCGGTGAAGCAAAGTTTCACACCGCCCGCATCAATTCTGCCCGCCAACACTGTTTAAAGTGCAGCGCAAACAATCCCATTTCTACGAGGAGACAAAAACTTCACAAAATCGAACAAGATGCCAGGGCGAGGTGGCCGCGGTGGCGGTAAGAAAGGACCCGATCTATCCTGGGAAGATCCCCAAGATCTGCCTAGCGGACAAGCCACTCCTATTGAGAAAAAAAAGTTGCCACCTCCAAGGTTTCCCCCCATCGACTTGAAAGTCCCGCGGCCGATTGATGCGAAGGAGCTTGCCGGTGTGAAGAGTTACCTGCGCTTTCGCGATTTTGTTCACAATGGACCCTATTACTCTGTGCTCCAGTCGAGCAATCTGACGGACGACAAGGGAAGGGTCCATAAGCGCGCCGGATTTGACCCCTTCAATGACCAGGAAAAGTACACGGCAAAATATGAAAGAAAAAAACGGACAGTGCCAGATTTAAGCACGCGGGACTATGGTATGTTCCCCCCCAGCACAGGAATAACCACTAAAGCGGCCATACTGATGTCTGCCTCATAGCCCTCCACACATTTCCCCAAGAGCTCTGGTCGACGTTAGACCCAAAAAGAAAACATCCCCTGTGGAGAACAGTGGACAACGCCGCACTTCTTGATGCTCCAAGGAAGAACCTAAAGCGCAGGCGCGAGACTTTAGCAGTGGGAGATGACGAGGATGATGGTAAAGACCAAGCAGGATCCGACAACGGAAATGACACAGACGAGTCAGATCCATTGCTGAGCGGAGCCCGACGGCCACGGAACTCGGCCAAAGCGGCGAAAGAACGACGAAGGGATCCCACGACGAAGAAGTCTGGTGAGAAGAGTGGTCTGGATGCAGAAGACGATTATCCTGACGATGAAGGCAGGGATCATGATGACTTGGACGATGATGGAGAAGGCGAGGATGAGCCCATGGACTCTGAATTTGAGGAGTCGGACGATGGTGGCGGCGACGATTACAATGCCGAGCAATATTTCGACACGGGCGAGAATGATGACGACGATTTCGGTGGCGGTGATGATGATGGAGGGACATATTGAGATTGAAGGGAAGTTCAATTTTCACTCTAGAGATATAATGGTCTTAGGAAGATCCTAATTCCCACGAAGACTATGTCCAAATTGGCATTTGGTCGGCTCTTGTCCATGTTATGGCAATTTGATACCCATGCCTTGGAGCTTTGACACCTACCTTCCCCGGCCTTTTTTTTTACAATCTTGTGGACATGATGCCATCACGAAGGGGAGCCAGCGTGGTATCTAAGAGCAAAAGCCCTCGGATAGGCGGCGGCATTGTGCCGCGAACCAAATGCCCTTGCACCCCAGAATCGCAGCAAAAGCAATCTCTATGTAGTAGTAGATGTGAATAACGCACTCAAGGTGAACGTGTGGATCTCTGCAGACTAAGTAGAGCTCCAGGCATCCAAGCCTTAACACCGACATCGGGATTTGCATATATTTCTACGGCGGAACAATGTGTACCTGTGAACAGTGATTTTCTGTCGACCACGCCACATCGCCAGCTGTTTGTTGTTTCTCCCTCGTTTTCTAGCAAACTTGAATGCAGCGGTAACATGGGACAATAGGCAGGCGCTGAATCTCATTATGAGTAGGTTCCAAAAACGGGACTATGACTACCGACAACGAACCAAACCAGGATAGATTCGCCCTGATCCTCTATGGCACTGAAACAGGGACCTCGCAAGACCTCGCCGAGGAAGTCAGCCGATGCCTCGATCGATTGCACTTCCACACAGATGTGGCCGGTCTGGATGATGTGAGCTTCGGGCACTTGGGTCTTTACGTTCTTACCGTCTTCGTCGTCGCAACAACTGGCCAGGGTGATTTCCCAGACAATGCTCGGAAGTTTTGGACTAGCCTTCTACGAAAGAAGTTGTCGTCTACCACTCTTGTTGGTACCGAGTACGCCGTTGTTGGCCTCGGCGACAGCTCGTACCCCAAATTTAACTGGGCTGCAAGGAAGTTAGACAAGCGACTTCGACAGTTGGGAGCCACTCCGATTATAGAGTCATGTGAGGCCGATGAGCAGGGCGACGAGAGCACGGATGGGGCATTCCTAGCATGGCTGCCTCTATTCAGAAATACAGTGCTGGACAAGTTTCCTCTGCCTCCAGGTCAAGCTCCTATCGCGAATGACATTCTCCTTCCCAGCAAGTGGCGACTATCAAGGAGCACTTCGACTTCTCGAGAGGAGTTCCGAATCGCTCAGAATAGCTCAAAGCCAATATCCACGGATAAGTTTACAGCTGCCCTAGAGGTGAATGATCGAGTGACGCCACCGGACCACTGGCAGGACGTGCGATTCATGACTCTTACAACAGCGGAAAAAGCCGATTACATGCCTGGTGATGCTTTGTCGATTTTCCCTCGCAATCTCCCAGGGGATGTTACATCACTGATAGAACGTATGAATTGGCATAAAGTCGCTGATGTTCCTATCCATTTTGTTTCCTCTAGCCCATCGTCGAACCGAAACTCCACTCTGCTTTCGGCGACATCAATACTTACTCGCGAAGACCTCACCCTTCGAATACTTCTCACTGAGCACTTAGACATCAATGCAATCCCCCGCCGATCGTTCTTCGGAGCAATCGCGAACTATACGTCGGACGACATGCACAAAGAACGCCTTCTAGAATTTACAGATCCACAGTACCTCGACGAGTACTATGACTATGCCACTCGGCCGAGAAGGAGTATCATCGAGATTCTCCAAGAGTTCGATACGGTCCAACTACCTTGGGAAGAGGCGGCGAATATCTTCCCAGCATTGAGGCCTCGCCAATTCAGCATCGCAAGTGGTGGCGCCCTGAAACAGACGGCAAGCGGGCATACAAAGTTCGAACTTCTCATTGCTATCGTCAAATATAGAACAGTTATCAAGCGTATTCGAGAAGGCGTCTGCACCAGATACCTGGCACAACTCCCCGTTGGGACCAAACTTGAAGTAGCCCTGAAGAAAGAAGGCCGATTCGCGAAAGCCGAAGGCCTGCTAGATAAGAGTCATATTCTAATCGGAGCTGGAACGGGGATCGCGCCTCTTCGAGCTCTGATACATGAGAAAGTATCCCATGGGCACATTTCTGGATATACTACCCTCATGTTTGGCTGCCGGAATGAAACGGCCGATTACTTCTTTCGCGACGAGTGGACGTCAATTATGGACCAAGAAGGGCCACGTGACGATCGATCATCGGCGCAGTCTGGTATGGAGGTGATTACAGCATTCTCGCGTGATCAGAAATCAAAGGTCTACGTGCAAGATCGGATCCGCGAGAGGGCGGATTTAATATGGAGATTTCTCTGTGAGCGGGCCGCGACCGTGATTGTCTGCGGCGCTTCAGGGCAGATGCCGAAGGCAGTTCGGCAGGCGTTGGTGGATGCACTTGCCAGTCAAGGGGCAGTGAGAGCAAAGGATCTCGATGACGGCAAGGGAGGAGGAGGAGAATCCATCCAGAGCCAAGAAGATGCAGAGAAATATCTTGCAAGACTTGAGAAGGAGGGAAGGTACAAACAAGAGACGTGGTCGTGATACTGCAGTGGGAGAATAGGAAGCTGTTCAGAAGAAATCTTAAAAAGGGTCTACACGTTGACCCGAAACTTACATTATATGATGGGGGCAGAGTCTCCATTGATTAAAAACAAATGAATCATGATATTCTGTGCCCGGCCTGCTCCCCATCCAGCCCAGTCGTTTTCACCAATCTGTACAAAAGGGATAGCCAAGATACATCCTTCATCTTGGGGGAAATAACAGGGAGCAGTCATTCATTACATAATTTGTGCGTGCATACTTTTTCCATTCCCGCGAGCACGGAGGATTTTCTAAACCAACACACTGGCCTTATCGACGCATGAAGAGCAACCGGTCTTGCCAGCGGCGACCTGGCTGGGCGTACGAGCGTAGCTGGGCGGGACGTCGAGGGCGGGGTTTCTGAGGAAGAAGTTGCGCGGCCGCAGCAGCAGGGTCATGGGCTCGGCGGGCATGACGGGGTAGTCTTCTGGGGCGGGGAAATGGGTCAGGCCGAAGGTGTGCCAGAGCACAATGTCCTCGTTGGCGATGTTCTGGTTCGGATTGCTGGCGATCCATGCCGGTAGGCCTTGCGACGGCTCACCCGAGGTCTGTGGCACGTGGCGGCCTGCGGGATGGATTTGGGCGTCATCGTCTGTGCGAATGAGGAGTTAGTATTCGACTGGAATCAAACTGTGGTCTGTAGGGTGGCAGCATTGGCAAACTTACATTTGGTGACGTGAACGGCGTGTCGTGCAAACCCAGCACGCTTCCACACGAGCGAGCCCTCTTTGGGCAGGAGATCGGGAACCTCTCGGCTCACGAGTTTATATGTTGAGGGTTTCTTGCTGTACGGGTGGAGCTTGTTCTCGTTGGAGATATCCCAGGTTCTTGAAGAGCTTCCCTCGTAGTTGGCCTTCGCCTCGGTCGGTGTTGTATATTTGGTCTTCTTTGCGTAGAAGGCATTGCCGTAGAAGTTCTCGGCTGAGCCCGGTTCGCCGGCGCCCCGCGCGGCGTCGACCTGGAATACCGTGTTCTTCTGTCCGTCCACGCTTGGATCGATACGCAGGCAGAACAGGTGCTGATGGTTGTGCGCGTTGACACCAGGGTAGACTTCGGTGCCCCAGCCCTTGGTGTCCTCGCCGGGGTTCATGGGGTAGGTGTTCAGGATACCGGTCAGTTTGATCTCGAGTTGGATAGTGCCATCCTGATGGAAGATCCAGTAGACGCAATATTCGTAGTTGGCGGCTGTGAAAATGTGTGAGATGATGAGTTTTCGAGCACGCGTGACAATGACCGAGTCGTCACGGAAGTCGGTGTGCTTGAATAAGATGCCGTTATCTTCTTCGTGGATACAGACGGCATTCTTAATTGTGTTGGCTGCGCCGGCTCTATTGACAAAGTCAAAGTCGAGGTAGTGAATGCTTCCCTTGCAGTCACAGCCCAGTGCCAGCGAGTTGGTCATGTAACCGCCGCCATATTCGCCGAGATCGAAGGCGTGCTTTCGTTGATGAGGATGCTCAGGATTGCCGTATGGGACAACCATCTCGGCAAGGGAGAGTCGGTAGAAGATTGGGCGGACCTTGTTCTCAGCTTTATCAAAGTAGCTGATGTTGTTGAGGACGATTCCTTCTCTGTAGTTGAAGCCGATATGAACTGACCAGTTTTGCCATTCAATCGTTCGGCCTTTCATCGTGAAGCTAACGCCTTCAGGTTGAGTGATGTTGATAGGCTTCAAATCAGTCCTGAAGCCACCTTGGTCCTCGATCGATTTAACATGGTAATTGTTGGGCGGCGCCTTGCTGACTGGGCGGCGAACCTTGGGCACGTCAATATGAATGATCTTCTGCTTGTTTGAGTCGTAAATTGGGCAGAAGTCCAAAGCAAATGAATATTGAGAATCGTCAACATGTGGTCGGTAGTACATCAATGCCTGTTGTAGTCTGACTCCGGTACCGAAACGTTCATCGTAGCCAATGGTCCAAGGATCACAATAGACCTTGTGCATGTCCTCACGAGGAATACCGATCAGGGCACACTGCTCAATAACCCCTGGATCTTCACGAACCACGTGCTCAACAGCCTGAAGATCTTCCATGGTGATCAACGGCTGAACATTGGGGGTTTCTTCCCATGAGATGACCTTCTGCTCGTTGAGATCAACATGACCGTCGAAAACCTTGCCATCTGTGGAGATGACTACGACATCGGCAATACGATGAGGTCGTTGAGTATGCTCGGGATCAGCCAACCATTGCACCATCTGGGCCTTGGGAGGCTCGAACAATGTGACGGCATTGTAATATAGTTTGCCGTGTTGTGCGCGAAGAAGAGAAACAGCCGTGTCGATCTCTAATGTCGTTAGGGGATCAAGAGGGTGAGGAGGAGAAACGGTGTTGGAAACCTGCTGGGCCAGCTGCTTCACGCGTTCGAGAACCATGATGGTAAGGGTATAATGAGGTCAAGAGTCGTTGGCACAAGCAGATCAAATTTATGGCCTTGGTCCAGGAGCAGAAGAGCCGACGAGATTTCCAACCGGGACTTACAGAATAAATAGAAGATCCGAGTGTATCTCCTCACGATCAAAGAGGCAATGCTTTGCTTCGCGGGCATCATGACTTGGCAACTGGTTGGACATGAGCCGATGCATGGCAAGCTGTATCAGTATCCCATTGCCGGTGGTCCAAGGATTAAGTAACGATAAGTCAGATAAGGTCTGGACTTTGGATCGAGTTCTCTCACTCGTTGAATTTCGTGGTTGCTTTCCTCTTTTTCGCGTTGGTTCGAGGGTATGGCAATTTTTACCAATTTCGGTTAGTGCTTCTCCAAGCCCCACTGATTGGCTGAGGCTCCAGAAGATATACTCAGATAGTGATGGATCAGTCGTGCGCCGAGAAAGGCAGCTTACCACGGGCCCTGATGTCCTTATATGCTGCCGGCGCATCGGATCAATGGCTAAGGCATATAGCTACTACTCAGAATCTCATATGTGTGGCCATTATCACATAATAATGGATGGTGCAAGCAGAAACCCAGGCTTGTGGTCGTCAAGACAAGCTTGGAAGACTTGCATTTCCACATGACAAAGGCAGCTTATGCGGTTGTTAGGATGATTGGCTTTCAATTGGAACGACGAGGCTGGGATAGAAGTGCCCAAGGGCCGATGCGTGTAGCTCTTTTCTCGCAGTGTTTGGCCATTGTCCACCCGCGCGTATAGCCTCACAACATGCATGCTCTCCTCTTGTCTTTCGCATATGTACAATTCCCCCACTCTTCCATTTGGTCGGTCGATGCTTTTGTTCTGGGTATCTCTGGCCCACTCCAGCACTTGGTGGTGAGCCGAAACATTGAATGCTTCGTGGCTCGGTCTTTTAATGTTTGTCACCATGTCCCTCGCCATGTCCGTGCGAATCCTTCAAGAACATTGCCTCAAAAATCACATAGCCTGCGAAAGCCACTGTAGCAATCCCCAACCCCGGAAATGACCCCTTGAATCGATTCCATCTCGTGAACGGACCGTTATATCGCCATGCTTCACTGCAAGCTTGTCAGTCTTAGTCTGCACAAATACACGCAAGAAGCCCACTTTCGAACCCAAGGATCTTTTGCTCGCCATTCTCGACTGGTCGCGGCATTGGTGAAGGCTTTCATATCAAAGCCGGTGGGATTGGGAGGAGCCATGATGTCCGTGAGAAAGTGCGGGTCGTGGTGGACAAGTTTAAGGCCTTTCCAAAGACACAGAAAGTTGTGCCTCGAGGCCTATATGAGTAGACCTATCTTGGTCTGGAGCTTGAGGACAGAGCGTTGGACAACATCACACGAAAGGCGAGAGGAGAAGACTCGAGAGTCCTGACGGAATCCGAGGCGGTGCCAAGCTTGCGTCTGAAGCTGCTCATGGTCCTCTGCACTATAATCACGTGACTTTGTCTGGCCGCGAAACCGAAACTGCACTTTCAGTCGCCCGATTTCGATTTCGAGATCAAGTCCATCCACCTGCCATTTGAACACTCATCAACTATTCGTACTCATTCTCTCCCTGGACACGCACAGCCACTGCCATTACATTTCTCGTTTGTGACCATGTTCTAGTCAAGAACATGAATCCCTCGTCTGTGTGTTGTATATGACATCTCCCTTTCACCCCTCCTCCTTCTCATATGCGCCCGCGATGAGCACACCTGAGTCATTCGCCCTTTCACCATCACTGCAATAATGGCACCGCCTCGTTACACAAACCAGTCCTTAAATGGTCCCTATCACATCCCACAGAATCACTTGCAGTCACATGCTTCCTCCCATCAGCATGGCGCACTCCCTCCCCCAACCCACCTGGGTACACCATCCTTCGGTGCGGGTGGCTCTTCCAACGCAAGTCCCTTTGCCCTTGCGGGAAACCTCAACAATGGCTTTGACCGCAGCATGCTAGACACAGGTCTCTTACAAGCTCAGATGGGTCAGATGGGCTTCCCACGGGGCGGTCCTGTTCAAGCGCATCAACCATACGACCCTCTTGGTGGTCCACTCGACAATAAAGATGATGCCCGCATTCGAAATGTATGGAAACATAACTTGAAGGAAGAGATGGCTACATTGAGGCAGCTTGTTGATGAATATCCCTACATTGCTATGGTACCCATCCATGGAGGCTCCCTTACTTTCCATTGCGTTAACCCTTACCCACAGGATACGGAATTCCCAGGGATAGTTGCCCGACCCATTGGACAATTTACGACCAAAGCAGACTATCATTACCAGACCCTGCGTTGTAACGTCGACCTACTCAAGATGATACAACTAGGTATCACCCTCTTCAAATCCGATGGATCGCTGCCTCCACCTGACGCGACTTCGCTACCGAAATCCCAATTCCACCAGAACTTAGTCCCTACTCCCTGCACGTGGCAGTTCAACTTCAAATTCTCTCTCGAAACTGACATGTACGCGCGCGAATCAACGCAGATGCTCACCAAGGCCGGTATTGATTTCGATCGTCACGCTAAACACGGAATAGACCCGAACGATTTTGGCTCCTTGCTCATCAGCTCAGGCCTTGTGCTAGAGCCCGATGTGCACTGGATCAGTTTCCACTCTGCCTACGACTTCGGTTACCTGATGAAGCTCATGATCTGCAAACCGCTTCCAGAAGACGAAGCTCAATTCCACAAATATCTCGAAAAATTCTTCCCTTCGCTGTTCGATATTAAGTTTATCCTGAAGCACACAGGAGTCAAGGGCACTGTCAATAACAATCAGCCTCTCACACAGGAAGCGACCATGATGGTCCAGCGAATCATGACTAAGTCAGGTCTCCAGGATATTGCAGAAGAACTTGCCGTTGCTCGGATCGGTCAAGCGCATCAGGCTGGCTCTGACTCTCTGCTGACGGGGCAAGTCTATTTCAGAATGAAGGAAAGAATCTTCAACGGAACGATTGAGGAGGAGCGTTATCGGTCGCAAGTTTGGGGTCTGAATGCCCAAATGCCGACTGCAGGAGGACCTGTTAGTCGTGATTTCAATACCCCCAATATGAATGGTGCCACCTTCTACAATCAGAATGGAACACCTACAACACCGCAAACTGGCAACATTGGCATGGCTGGTGGTCCGTCCCACACACCTATCCCCTCCAATATGGGCAGCATGACACCCGGAGCATTTGGTAATTTCCAGTACCAGAAGGCAATGAGCTAGAGGCACCCATACGGCCACCCATATGGCTTTAGGGGAGAGCGGCGACTATAATGGTGGACGTTTTCGTTGACTCATGTGTCATTGGACCAATCAGGGCGAAGCTAGTGGTGTGAAATGTAGAGGCGGGCTTACCGCTGAACGTCTCAGCCATCTATCTCCCCCGAGATTTTTCAGCGCCTTGACTTGCCTACTTTGCCTCTTAAGCCTCGTTGGTCTATTGACTGGAACATCTTATCATTTCCATAGCTCTCTTTACTCGTTCATATTGGGGCGCTCTGGGGAACACCCAGTGAACCTCACAATGGCCGTTGTGGCCAATCCACAATGCTCTGAGTTTTTACTTGTTTTTCCATCCCAGGATTGCACCGGAGTCAGCGATGTGTTGTCAGATGATGACAGCGTGGTAATCAGGGGGATTTCGGTGGAGTGGGAATCTTGCAACAAGCGCATGGAGTAAAGGGACGTAGGGAGTCATCTGGCGCAACAGGAACTACTGTCCAAGCCTCTCAAAGGAGCGGACGACCGACAACTGATTGCGGAGGGAAGTGAATATGGAAAAGTATTCCAGGTGTACCCTATTGAGCTTCGTGGCCTTCTTGTTACTTTCTAGTACTACCAGAAACGCGAGGTTGGGCCTCCCGAATTGAAAAACTCGTTTTACTTCAATGTGGAATTCTCTTCTTTTACCTACAGTATTTGCCCGAACCTTGTATTTCTTGGACGGCTTGAATTGAAATTTGGAAGGGGAATTTGCGCAGTAGATTATATAAGTACCTGGTGGACAAGCGTGGCGCAAACAACAAGGCTTCAACCAGTGAGCCCACTAGCCACTGCTTTTCCATCCACGCACTTGCTACTCCTTTACCGCTTACAAGACCAGGTTCTGTTAGACGTGGGAAAATTCCAATCCCTGGTAGTGGGCTGTCTGTTCATTCATTTAGTTAGGTATCTACTCGTAATTACTCAGCCTCGCTAACTAGCTCGCAACTAAGCAACCAAGCAATGAAGTAAGCATCCAAGCTCTATCGTCGTTATTCATAGCCAATCTCATTCTCACGGTCGAGCCTGACCTGTCGTTGTCATCATTATTACTCTAGTGGGTGGCCACGAGCATACGTAGGTGCTGCTCGTTTCAGGGGCGATTGGCCGTCCCTCCATAGTGGGGAGAGTGTGATGTGACTCATCTGCCACGTTCAGCAGCGCATATTCTTCAGCTTGAATTTGACAGTCCTTCGTTCTAAGTACGAGGTAGTCTATCGGTGTGTATCCCCTTTCGGTTGTGTGGTGCTTGGTAACATGTCCAAGAGATGGATCATTTTCAACAATCTCGTCTTCGCAACGTCGTCGCAAAGGCCCTTCATTCCTCCCTTCGCTTGATCTGTCTAGGTGACGATGATTCTTGCTCTGCGCTCGTGAGCGGAGGACATTTTCAATTCTGAAGGTTGGAAATCCTGAAGTTTGATTCTATCATGCGTAATTTTCCGAGAAAGCGAAGAACGGACCCAGGCAGTGTTCAAGATCCTAGGTACCTCTTCCAGCCCTCACGATACAGTGTTCTCCGGCCCTCCTCTGCAACACCGGGTCTCTCGCCGATCAAAAATCGTTCCCATCTGGCATCCCGGCCGGTTCCAAGGCAGATGATAGTGCTGTTGTCTGCCCAGCCCAGAATTCCTTTTTGAGGGCGCGATGGGAGCGAACCGAGGGCCGGGAGATATGATAGGGTAGATCCATTGAGACCGGTGATTTCATCACCCATCTCAAAATGTGCGGATGCGAAAGAGTAAATGTCGCTGAAGACGCGAGGAAGCAGAGGAATTTTGGAAAGGAAACCCCATTTTTGATTGATCGCGGGCTCTTCGTCTGGGTTGGGGGGGACGTGTGGTGATTGTGACCGCCGGCTGGTCGGGCTCACAGGGCTTTTCGGTTGGGAGGAGGAGGCTGACACTGGGAGGTCAAAGACATGGAGAGTGGACTTGTCGGAGGTGACGGCAAGCATTGCTGAGTTAGGTGATATGGCGATACTAAAGATATAGGCCGGATCGACGCCACGACGGAGCTCGGCTATTTTGGCACAGTTTGAGGTTGAGAAGACGCGAATCAATGTACCTGCTTCGCTGGCCGTGGCGAGCAGTTGTCCGTCCGGGCTCAAGTCCATGGCTCGGAGGGCGGACGAATGCGCGGGAATGATACTAACATTTCCGGATCCCAGCTCAACGAGTTGTACTTTGCCTGGAGAACGACCGGGGAAAGCAACCAGTCGTGATCCGAGGCAACAGAGGCCTAGAGGATTGTCCGATGTCTCGAAGACTGCGGTCTTCTCGGGAGGGGAGGAGAACTTGTAGAGATGGAGGCTGTTCTGAATTGCAATGGCTATCCAAGACTTTGTCAAGCGTACTCGAAGGACGGCAGTCTTCAACTCGAGAGTGATTGCGACCTTCTGTTTAGCATCGTCCCATATCACGACCTGAGGGGGGTGTAAGAATGACGGTGCGTCATGTGGAGTGTCTCATTCATAAAAGAAATACCTTTGTCTGTGGCCACCGAGGATTCTTTCCACCTCCTACTAGAGCCAGATAGTTGTATCGCCCAAGCATCTCTGCTGTGCCAACTCCAGCATTCAAGTCTGCAGGTCTCTTAGTGTCGAGGCCGTATGCGAAGGAGTTGGAAGATTTACCTCTGGAGACTTTCAGTTCACACGGAAATGTGTTGAAGACTGGAGATGAGTATTAGACGACAAGACAGATAGATCAGTGACGCTCCGACTTACCACAGAAGCCTATGTCCAGGCCAACAGCAAAGCAAGTGGCATCGTAGTTGAATGAGGCACAGAGCGAGACAGGCCCGGAGGACTCATCGATGATTGGACGGGTGTTCATGGTGAGAGTGTGAGATGACCTCTTTCATGATGTGGTGTTGTGGGACGTAGGGATGGATGAAGATCTACAAGAAAAGAGGGAGGAGGTTTCGTGAGGGATCGACATGGGATTCTTCGGAGTCTTCAGATATGCCCATCTGTTTGTCGATTCTGCAAGTCAAGTCAGTAGGCAAGGCCGTAGCCCGCAGCGGTTGGAGTGCGATAGGATGAGGTGCAAGTAGTGTACGAGTAGCGTGTCTGTGTGACGATTGAAGATGAAATGTGCCAGCAACAGGCGTTCATCAAGCATGACGCAGTCTCGCTTGGGGCTTGGAGCGGTGTGGGTTCGACCTGATGAGCTAGCTGGGCCGCCTATACCGTGAGTGATTCTGGGCTAAAGAGCCTGGACTCTAGGTAAGCATTAGGCAGTTAGTTACAGTTCCCAACCACTGGCTCCCACCAACACCAAGCCTCTGATGAATTCCCCCACTTTTCCCTGCCAAATGGCTTCAACCACACATCTCGCATTCAAACCCCAAGTTACCCATTCACCCCATTCAGAAGTCAATCCTACTCGTCAGATCACCAAATGGTGCATGCCTGCAAGCCTGCAGACTGTTATTTCGGATTTTTGACCTCAACGTTCCTCAGTATTGTGGCTGTGCAGAACTGATCACAACCAAAATTCCCAAACGATGTCATACCCATCGAGCTGCCCACGCGACCTCATAGAGCTGTAAAATCCTGCCTAGTGTCAATAGCCTTCACTGAGATTCCATATCTCTGACTAGACCACCTCGATTTTGGAGTTGGTCCGACCCAGCTACTGTCCCACTATGAGGTAACCTGACTGCAAGTCATTCCGGATAACCCGTAATGAGCCATGTCTCTAAAAGCAAGTGACAATCTCGATAATGGCCAGAAGTCGCCTCAGCCATGGAAGGCCGCCGATCCTTGGGCTCCGACCTCTCAAGCTCCTGGGGGATTTCCTGGTTCCGTCGATCCGTCGGCGACAGTTCCTGCGTCGGCCCATCAATCTTTATCAGCCGCTGTTAAAGCTCGCCAAGATGAGTACATTCGAAAGAAAGCACTGAAAATCAAGATTGGTACTTGGAACGTGGCCTCAATCAGTGGTACTGAGAAAGACCTGGGCCCATGGTTCGTTGGAGGATATGGTGTCAAAGGTCTCTCCCAAGATTTGGCCGGCCTGGCTGTCGAAACCCAGACGGAAGGGGCCGTGAGCCATGATATTGAATCTGTGGAGCAGCAGGAAGCCCGAATGGCTAAGAAGAAGACAACTCTACCAAAAGATGATGTCCCTGCAGTAGAACATGACGAGCAGATTGATCTGTACGTCTTGGGCTTGCAGGAAGTCATTGATGTCACCTCCATGACGGAAGCTGTCAGACCGTATACTGATCCGAACCCGGGCAAAAAGTGGAAGAAGGCGCTCGCAGATTCCTTGCCTACCGGCTTCGAAAAAGTTGCCGAGCAACAACTCCTAGGTCTCTTGATTCTCATTTATGCCTCACCGCAGTTGTATCCAACCATCAATTCCGTCAGCACATCAAGTGTTGGCACAGGTTTGATGGGCTATTTGGGCAACAAAGGCGCAGTGGCCGTCCGGATCATGATAGGAGAAACGACGAGGCTGTGCTTCGTCAACTGTCATCTTGCTGCTGGAGCAGATCAAACTGCATTGAATCGACGGATATGGGATACAAGTCAAGTTTTGACCCGGACAAGGTTCTCCCCAGTAAGTCCTGATGGAGAGGTCGTCGATGGGCCAGAAGAGAAGATTGGAGATGAGGACTTCGGATTCTGGTTTGGCGACCTCAACTATCGATTGGATGATATTCCAGGAGAGGATGTCCGAAGATTACTCTTGCTTCATACTCGGAATGAGTACGATATTGCCAACAAATCCAAGCGCCGTATTGATAGCGAATTGGGCTATCTGACTGCACCTTCCAACGAGCCTATTGTGTCCCACAAGCACTATGAGTACAGTGATGTGGAGCTTCCTGCGTCCGAGAGTGCAGTCGAACCACCACTTGATCCAAAGTCGGATCCAGCTTCGCTTCACACCACTATTCAGTCACTCTTGGCACATGATCAATTACGCGCCCAGCAAAGACTACGAAAAGCTTTTCACGAAGGTTGGAGAGAAGGTGAGATTAATTTCTTACCTACCTACAAATATGACGTTGGTAGCGTTGGTATGTTCGATTCTGGAGAAAAGAAGCGAAGTCCAAGTTGGTGTGATCGGGTTCTATTCAGGACACGTCGGGATAGAGAAGTCTATGAAGAAAAAGCGAAAAAACTGGAAGAAGCTCGAAAGAAAGATGAAGCGATGAAAGCTCGTGGCATTGATGAGGCAAATGCGGAACAGGACGTCTTATTCGACTATGATCCAGATACTGACGGACTCGCGTATGGGGACGAGTGTGATGAGTATGACGAAGAGGAGGATGCCATTCATGACGCCGAATTGGTCCGTACAAGAGAGGAGTACGGAGACCCGATCGAGCTAAATCACTACATATCCCACCAGAGAGTGCTCTCCTCCGATCACAAACCCCTTGACGCCATATTTACCTTGACCTACGATGCAGTTATTCCCGAACTCAAGGCCAAAGTCCACCAGGAGGTTGCACGAAAATTAGACAAAGCAGAGAATGAAAGTCGTCCGGCTGTCACCGTGGTAGTTGACCATTATTCTGAAGAGACAAACTCAAGCGCTGACGATGCGGCAGACATAAATGCCGTGCAATTCGGCCAGGTCTTCTATGGTGAGAAAAAGACGAGAACTGTGACAGTTGCCAACACTGGACAAATCACGGCAACAGTCACATTTGTCGAACGACCCTCTGAATCAGGGGATGACGGGAAGGCCGTCCCGTCATGGCTAGAGCTTAATGTTGAGCATCAAGTCAACGAAAATTTAAGTCAAGAGGCGAGCAAGTCTCCTTCTGGATTCAGTCTCTCGCCTGGCGATACGATAGTAGTTAGTCTGACCGTCGATATATCAGACGGTCAGACGGTGCGGGAATTAAACATGGGCGACTTACAACTTGATGACGTTTTGGTTCTTCGGGTTACTCATGGGAGGGATCATTTTATTCCAATTAGAGGGACCTGGCTTCAATCATCCTTTTTCCGAACCCTTGACGAACTCGTGCTTGCTCCAGAAGGTGGTGTTCGCATGCTCCGAGATTTGCGTAGGAAGGCCTCCACTGGAGGTAGTGACGCACACCACTCGGCTCCAAAAGAATTGTTCTCCTTGACAGAGACCATTCCTACTCATATCGAACGCTCGGTTGCAGATTGGTCAATGCTGCATGGGGAGGACACTCCACCGTGGCAGTACGATGGGGTTGGTTTGTCTTGGCCATTTAGTCCTCGGACATGGACATTTCATGGAGAAGAACGTGCTGAATATCGTCTACGCTTGAGAGAGGCTCTAGACACAGCGCAGCCACTGGAGGAGAGTTTCGATCCCGACATTGCCTGCATCATCAGACTCGAGGTGCTTGCGGAAACGCTGTTAGAGTTCCTCCGGTCTCTGGGAGATGGGATTTTGACCGCCGAGGCATGGGCTGAAGTGGAGCAGCGGTTGAATACAGCGGAGAAAGGGAAAACGCAGCTAACGCCGGATGAGATACAGGATACGGTTATGGACTCAATATCTCGATCTCCAGTCCATAGCGTATCATTCACGTTTATCACGTTCATGTTGATGAGAATCGTCAATGAACTGGTTCCCTGTGGAGTAACTCAAGCCAACGCGCCCGCAGCAACATCTCCCAATCCATCGCGAAGATCAAGGACCTCCACTTTATCGAGTGAGTCTGGACAAACTTCTCAGTCTGGGCAAGAAACCCCTGGAAGACGAAGTCTTTTTGCGCCATTGCGACGGCGTCGAACTCAGAGCATCTCGACGTCATCAAATACTGCGGCAGATCCCAAGTCTTCCACCCTTGAACGGCGGCACCAACTCATCGATGCTTACACGGAGATCCTAGCACCACTTGTCATTAGATCGGAGAACGACACGAATGTCAAGGGACGGGAAAGGAAGGCATTGGAATTACGCAAGAAACAGGTGTTGGAGGTGTTTCTGGATGCTAGACATGTATGATGCAGGAAAAGGTCAGATATAGAACGGGCTGCCTAGAATTGTTCCTAGAATTCCACGCGCTGTCACCCAGAAGGGCAATTCAAATGGTTCAGAACGCTGTCCTTGAGATGCCTCGATTGCGTTGTTGCACGCGGTTCAAGTTCTGCGGCGTTTGCCTGTCCGAGGTCTGAATGCCTCTCTCCAATTCACGAGTGATGAAAAGCCATCTACCCTCATGTTGACATGCTCCTTCCACTCCAAGCCAGCCTGAAGCCCAACTCGCCCGCCAGATGCCTCCGGCCTTTATTTTCATCATCTCAATGGACGATGTTCTGAGGAGCAGCGGTTGGGGGTCCCTCGGCTGTCACATAGGCTTTGCTTAAGCCGCCATCAACCACGAATTCGGTGGCATTGACAAAGCTGCTTTCATCACTTGCTAGGAAGAGAACTGCCTGTGCTTGCTCAATGGCCTCTCCAAATCGACCACTGGGAAAGTGGACCTCTCGTCTGTGCCTTTTCTGAAGATCATCACCCAGCCAATCCTGCAACAATGGGGTGTTAAGGGGTCCAGGACACAAAGAGTTGAATCTGATGTTCTCTCGTGCGTGGACAATTGCCAGTTCTCGAGTCATAGCCAGTACAGCGCCCTTGGAGGCTGTGTAGGCGAGTTGGGGGGTTGCCGCACCCATCAAGGCGACAAAGCTGGCCACGTTGATGACGCTCCCGGCTTTCTTTTGATGGCGACGCATGCTCAAGACGGCGTGTTTGCTGCCGTACCAGACACCCTTGACGTTGATCGACTGAGTCAAGTCCCAGATCTTTTCTGTGGTGTTGATGGCATCGTCGTCCTGGGCGTGCATGATGCCGGCATTGTTGAAGATGATGTCGATGCCACCGTATTGGTCCTGGGACCCAATTGCGGCAGCGACATCCGATTCTTTCGAAACGTCACATTTGATGGTTGTCACACGTGGGCAGTCGGGGACCAGCTCTTTCACCTTCTCGAGTGCCCGGGCAAGTGCTGGTTCGGAAATATCGGCCATAAGCACTGAAGCACCCTCACGGGCGAAGAGGATGGTCGTTTCCAAGCCAATGCCTCCTGCAGCGCCCGTGATGACTGCATTTTTACCAGCAAGTCGACCTGGTTTTTGTTGTGTGGCCATGTTGTCGATTCCGACTTGTCTTGATGCCCACACACTTGGGTGGAAGTGGGGTTATGAGGCCGTGGAAATAAATGTAAATAACCACTTTTCGGGAAACGAAGAGAGGTGTATATAGTACGTTGTTGACTGCACGGAAAGACGATTGAGGGAGGCAACGCAAGCACAATAACAAAAACGAGATACCTGTCAAAGGCGAGTCACACGCAAAGACATCGAAAATTCGAGTGTGGAACCATTATCTAATACCAGTATCAGTATCCACGACCAGCGCAAGTCAGAGGGCGTCGGTTGCCCTTGGCCAGCCGGTGCCCTTGGTTAGGGTGCACAATCCGTGGTCCGTGGGATGGCAAGCCGCCGGATCGCAGTAGTGGTGGGAAACCGAAAAGCTTATGCTTCGCCCTTGCACATGGGGACATGGCTAATCGTTGATTTCAGGTGTACAGTACATAATGATAACCGCGAGACGGGAATGATATCCACCGATCGACCTCGGAAGATGGATGATAGGCAACGGAACGACCAGGATGAGGCCGGGTTGTTTACATGGTGATGATCAGGAGCAGCCTTGCATAACGGCGGTCTGATATTGATCCTTTGGGTCATCGCAGTTGTCTCGCTCTTCGTGTCTAGCGGTGCTCTGTACACACCAGGTGAGACGAGTCGAAGCACTGTCACATCCTTTAAGTGCTTCTCGCTCGGTCTAGAATACCGAGATGCGTGCCCTTATCTCCCCTCAATGCGCATCAATGGCAAATCTTGTGGTCAATGTAACGCCAGCCTTTCCCCAAGGCCGATGACGCCGCGCAAAGGGAGCTATCGGACTAGCATACCATAGGCGCCTCGGGCTGCCTAACTAGCTAAAGTACAGGGTACTCCGCCCCTTGGGAAGGGCCCGAGGGGTACTGTGCCCCTCGCTCTTAGGGGGAGCTTATCAGCACAGAGGGACCCGAGGGAGGAGTCTCGACTCTCGACTCTCGACTCTCGAGCTTCCTTTACTCCACCTGAGCCAGCCCACCTCCCCTCCCCGATGCACCTTCCCACCAAGCTCCAGCTGTCCATCCTTGTTTCCCTCCCAATCAACGCCACTGACGAGGGTACGGAGGTACTTCGTAACGACCGTCTTGATCTCGCCTCCCCGCATGTCCTTTACTTGTCCCTGCTCATCACCTCGTACCATGCCATAATAATGCTCGTGGTTGCTCCCTATCACCTCTTATCCCTTCCTTGACCTGTGCATTCGTATTCCCTCTCTTCAACTGCACCTAAATCCTCTGTGAAGCCCAGCATGGGGAGCAAGAAGGAGAATGAAATCCTTACCCTGGATCAACTGCAAACCGAATTGGCCGATGATACAAAAATCAAGGTGGCTGGCATTGATATCGATGGCACGCGCTCATTCTCCTGACTACACTGCTTTTGCTAACACAATCAGGAATCCTCCGTGGAAAATTGATGTCCAAGAAGAAGTTTCTCTCCGTTGCAAAAGATGGCTTTGGTTTCTGTAGCGTCACCTTCGGCTGGGACATGCACGATCAGACCTACTTCCGAGAGCTCGAAATCAGCAACAAAGAGAATGGATACAAAGACCTGGTCGCCAAGGTTGATCTCTCCAGCTTTCGCCGCATCCCCTGGGAAGACAATGTCCCTTTCTTTCTCGTCAGCTTCTATGATCCAGATACCGACAAGCCCATTAGTGCTTGCCCCAGAGGCATCCTCCGTACCGCGGTCGCCAAACTGCATAAGGCTGGCTATGGCGCCATGGCCGGAGCCGAGTATGAGTTCTACACCTTCCGCGCCCCTAGAGACGATTCCATCCAGACCAAACATGCCACCTCAGCCACCACTGCTCCTTTCTTACAGACAAATCCTGTCAATGCCCTCCCGCATCTGACTCAAGGAATGTTCGGATATTCACTGACCGATCCCATACACAATCAAGATTGGTTCTATGGTATCTGGGATGCATGCGAGAAGTTCAAATGCAACATTGAAGGTTGGCACACTGAATCCGGCCCTGGTGTTTTTGAGGCTGCCCTGGAGTTCGGAGAGATCACGGAAATGGCCGACCGAGCAAGTCTGTTCAAGTATGTCGTCAAAGCCATCGGCAGCAAGCACGGAATCACACCGTCGTTCATGGCCAAACCAAAAGAAGGACTGCCAGGAAACTCCGGCCACGTCCATTGCTCCATCGTGGATAAATCGGGCAAGAATCTTTTCTACCGAGGGGAAAGAGATCCAAATCCCCCATATCAAGACCTTGAATATGTCTCAGATCTGGGTCGCCAATTCCTTGCTGGACTACTCGAAGGCCTTCCGGATGTCATGCCAATTATTGCTCCCACCATCAATTCTTACAAGCGGCTCGTGGAAAATTTCTGGGCTCCGGTCACCGTCTCTTGGGGTCTTGAGCATCGAGCGGCATCCATTCGAGTTATTGCTCCCCCTACAGCCTCTGCGAAATCAACGAGATTCGAGATCAGAGTCTGTGGTGCAGATTCAAACGCCTCCTTGGTTCTCGCAACCATTGTCGCACTTGGATGGAGAGGAATTGAGAAGAAGCTCGATATTCCCATCCCACCTCTCGGTAAAGGTGAAGAGGTGGGCGGCTCTGCCGATCAAGGGGAGAGACTTCCGAAGAACCTCAAAGATAGCACAGCAAGATTTATGGCTGAGGAAAGCATTGCACGCGAAGTGTTTGGAGATGAATTTGTCGATCACTATGGAGGTACAAGAGAACATGAGCTACGATTATGGGACGAGGCTGTTACCGACTGGGAGGTGAGGCGCTACATCGAGACCGTATGATGAAAACAAACTCCCAATCATTTTCTGGAATTTGGCGGAGGCGTCACGGAGCCGTGAATGTATCTGATTCAAATTTCTTGTATTCACTACTGAAGAGCTTCATGTGGCTAACAATAGGCTGCTCCCAAAAGGAACGCAATTTACAACAAGACTGGGTCTTCCTTGAACTGTCTAGCAAATGTGGCCTTGGACAGGCGCGCAAAAATACACCAACCATTGGTATTCGATCGCGAATGAACTACAACGCTAATTAAACAGACAGGTAACCCTTCACTGTTCATTCCATTGTTCCCAATTGTCTCCCTCAGACACACATCTTGAATCTCAGTCACTCCTTTGTGCAAATGCTATATATTTAGAAACAGCATTGCCTTTATCACCATGCAATTCTAGCTCTTCTTTGTGTCAATTTCTACGTGCTCCAGTGAGTATACCTGAACTCCTCAGACTTCCGTGAAAGGAATTGTTGTTTCAGTCTTCCTTTTCTACAATGTGTATTTCTTTATCATTTGTATATATTTTCTTACGCTACTTTATTCAACAGTATCATGGGTGTCAATAGTCGTCCAAAGAGAAGCTTCAAGCCCACTCTCCGACTCCTTGAGGCACAAGGCTCGGTCAAGCCTATAAGAGAGACACCCCATCTAATCAAGAGCACCGGGGACGTTTCCAAAAGGAACAGAGATGGTCTCTGGCCCTTGCAAAAGCTCGAGACTTAAATCCAAATTTACCCAAACCCCACACGCCATCCATAATAGTAAGCGACAGACGAGGAGCATTGTACGTCGTCAACCTGATGATCGAGCTCAAAAGCTACGCAGTGCCTCCCTGGCAAGAATCTACAAGGAGATTGACGCTTTTGCCCGACGAGACAGGTCACAATACTGGACGCCAAAGGAGCAGAAGAAGTCGAACGATGAGATGGACGCCATCCACCAAATTCTACGACAAGCCAGGATGATCCGATCGCTCCATCAAATTCGATGGGAACAGCACAAATCCTTACGAAGACGGCTCAGCACTTTCCAAACAGATATTCCAGCCGTCGCCAGGGCTGTGGCACGGGCCAACGCAGATTGGTCGATCACAGGAGACATACAAAAAAAGTTTAAGGACTTTTGTGAGGGACCCAATCTTATGATCTTGAGTATCTGCGCCCACTCTTAGACTTTCAAAGACGCTATTTTTTAGGTTGGATGAGGACAGTCGGCAACTGAATTTGCCAGAATGGGGCGGACTTTTCGCCATGATCAGATCTAACGCTTCGAGTCTGGAACTATTCGCGCAGGTCAGACATTTGACATAAAAGACGTCCCTCGAGCACTCGACCAGCCATTTTGGCATTCTCTTGGACCGCGTTTTCATCAAACCCTATAGCATCCCTGATATTCAAAAGGAAAGCTTTGGCATCAAACCTCGCGATTTGGACAAAATCTATGATGTCGGTTTCAACAAGGAACCAGGCTCATGGATTGTTCCTGGAGAGAAGGGCCCCGCCCGGAGGAGCAGGATTGAGGCTGGAGAAACAACGGAATCGACGCTGTCCGAGTTCAACAGAAAGGACCCGGCACTTGAATTGCTCTCCAAACTGGACGTTCTTCAGGAAAACATCGACGAGTCGGTCGTTGTACCAGGCTGTTGATACCTTGAATGGCTCAAGCCGCGTGACAATAAGCAACCGACCGATCCTCAGTTCGCTGGCTACGAGAACGAGGACTGCTTTGTTTGCAGCAAGAGAGGTACAGCAAAGTCTGCCAGAGACAAGACAAGGCCATGCAAGTGCACGGACGGCGACCTGCGAAGGTATTATGGATAAAAAGATACGCTCTTTGAGCTGTTCGATACTGAGCGATTGGGAAAAGGGGTGCGGGCCTCGCAGGATATCAAAGCCGGCACGTCTATCGGCGAATGCGTGGGCGAGGTCTATCCCCAGGACGAGGAAGGTGGTGAGGACTGGATCCCTCGCCACGGGCACGACCTGTACCTGATGAATGCCACCACTTTGAACGGCGCTCCAAAAGGGTGAAAGAAGCTGTACTGTCTCGACGCCGCCAGACTGGGCAACTGGACGTGGTACATCAACCACAGCTGCCGGCCCAACACGTCGTACATCTCAGTCAACGTCGGCCACCGGCAAGCCGTTCTGATCAAAACCAGAAAGTCCGTCAGGTTCGGCGACGAGTTGACCATCAACTACAGCAATTGGTACTTCAGAAACATCGACTTGGGCTGCAAATGTGGGAGGGGGTGCTGTCGTTGCTGGGTCGAGGAAAAAGTCCCGACGGAGCTCCCAGGGCAGATACCCTGAAAGAGGCGAAGGCTAAGGGAACGGCTCCTGCTTGGGCGATGGAGGACGACAATGTGCCGTTCGACAACCCCCTGGCAAAGAGTAGTCTTGGCCTCGCCGTGGAGGAGGTCAAGAAGAGGAAGATGAAGAAAGACCCTAATGATGAGAAGAGTGATAGCAAGAGGCAGAGGAAGAGAGGATAGAGTCAGATCGTTATCACATCAATATCATGCTCAACCGTGCCTTGTCTATTTCGACCATTGAGAGTTTGCGAATTGTGGTGTCGCTTTGAGTGCTCATCACCCAGCTCATATTGTCCTCTGTGATGACTAAGGTTCGCCCGCCCCTCAGATCGAGAGCCTCGGGTCTCAGCCTTGCCAACTTCTCCAATTTCAGGCACGTGACTGTGCCCGAAGCTGCTCACTTTTTGGGTTCAACACTCTTCGATCTTGAGAACGAGGCATAGTATTCACACATGCGCCAGGCCTGACCCAATCGTGATACATCAAGACATGGCCTTACAGTGCCCATATCAACGTATCTCGTACGCAACATGGCGCCTACAACTCATCCGTACTCTTTATCACACTGAATTCGAGAGCCGTGCTCCGAGGTCTCCTTTCCAACGAACCCGCCGCAAACACTACTACAGCACCTCCCAGCATTACCAGGGAGATGTTTCGAGGCGATCTCGCGACACTTATTCCCGCACGCCAAGGTCTTTGCTTGATGACTCTATTGCTCGCCGAAACAGCCCGCAGAACCCTTTCGACTATGATGGCGTTAGCCGCATGAAAGGCGTCCTTGCCGAGGTAGACGAATTACGCCAGAAGGTCGGGCGACAGACGTTCAAGAGAATAGCGCACACCGTTCCTTACGAATCCCCAGTGAAACACAAACTCAACGATCCTCATCGACGCCGTCACAAGAGAATAGCGACCCAGGAAGAGATTGCAGACTTGGAAAACAATGTTTGGGCACGCATCCTCGCCAGTCCTATCCGAGCGTGTTTTAGCAGCGGGACAAGGCTACCGGTGGCCCTTCTGAGTAATTGGAGCCTGGTCAAGGAACCAACATCGGATTTGATATACACCTTACCGACAGAACTGGCAGATTTGGACGCCTTTGAGGAGAAGATGGCGGCGGAGATGTATAAAGAGGCATGGAGATACAAGGCTGAAGAATGGCGAGCCGCTGCCCAAAAACGCCGCGCCGCCTCCGGGGAAGGCCAAACGACTGAGTCCCTGGATGAAGACTCGAACGTTGGAAACAGCATATCCGCAACGAGACCCAGAGGTCGCCATGACCCCTTTTCCACTCGTATTTTTATGTACATCAACTATCTTCGCCACCTCACAGCCACTCTTGGGAAGCGACGAAATGCCGACCCCTGGAAAGACGTAGAAAAGGACAAGCCAATTGCCTTTAACAGCGCTCGCCTGTTCAATCCCAGAACTCGAGAAAAATTGGGAGCAGCCTCTCACTACGAGTTCAATAGGACGCAGGTTGCATTGGCAACGGGAGAAATGGAGAGACCGACCCCTGAGTCAGACAGGTTCGATTTCAAGGACTCACACTGGCAGCCGGACATCGACGATCGTCTGACTCGTATCTTGCAAAAGCGGATTGTCCTTGCAATGAGGGCAACTGCGGAGGTGCTGGACGGGTCCCTTCGAAAGCAGCTTGAGAGGAGAATCCTTCCCTTGCCCATCCCCCGGATGGGGGAATTCCGCATTCAAAGGCGTCACGGCTACCCCGAAACGCTCCGCGGTTGGCAAGGGGTTGATGATCTTGAGCGTCAAGAAAGAAAAGACTCTGACAAAGCCTTTGATGAATCACCCTCCTCGCAAGAGCTGGTCGATGAAGCAGGAAGGCCGGCAGATGAAGAGGCGCAACCACCTCCCTCTTGGCTGCCTGGGAGTATTTTGCTGCACATCGGCAAAGGCAACCTTGAGAAGCTCCTGGTTCCAGAGACTGAACCATCGAGTGCCTCCCAAAGACTCCTCCCCCCACTGCCGAGAAACAGCCTGATTCCAACCATGGTACCAATAGGTGGCGCTTACCGCATCCCAGCCTTTTCTCTGCATCGCTTTTTCACCAGCTCCGATAACCCCAACGATATCCCCGAGTCAGCGACCGCCAACCTCAAGGAACTGGAAGACATCATCAACACCTGCGCGTCCTTCAACCTTTCAACCCAAACTGCCACTTCATCCGCGCCCGTCAGGCCCACGTCTCCACTGTACTCCCCGTTCCCCGGGTCTAAGCCTCCAATTCCGCAAAATTTCTTCCTCCTGATCAAACCGTTTGCCGGGGCGCAGAAAAACTTGGTCGAGGAGATCTGGCGCCTCTGGCGATACGTGGGCGGTCGTAGACATGGCCGAGAGCCGTCCCTGGATGATCCCGATTTTGCGCCGAAGCTGGAAGACGACGGCAGGGATGATGTGTTCGATGTCGAGCGAGAGGATGCCGCCGTGCCGACGGAGGATCTGACGAAAATGGCAAGAGACCCTCCTGTTCCAACCACGTCGTCGTCGTTTGGGCTCACCATGCCGAGCAATCAGTTTAAGAAGTGGTTGGACGATCGATACTCGACCGCAGGCGAAACGGTTGGAAAGTGAAAGGCCCGCTCGGGCGAGACTCGCATCAACAGACGAAATGGAACAGTAAGTTGTAATGTGATGTGTGCCCCTTCCATATTCAGCAATGTCTGAGATATAGAAAAGATGAAAACCTTCCTGTATTGTATAGTAGTAGTACTCCGTACATCACTGATGATGAAGCGACTACGCCCGGGGAAATCATTTCCACGTGTCCACTGATGAAATTCGATCCTTAAGATTCCTCAGAGCCTCGCCTGCAGGAATCCTCAGTTCGGCACTATCTCTGTCTGACCCATTCTCTGGCCGCTTGCCGCTGGCCCGTCGTGCACTGAAAAAGAGCTGGGCAATTCCTTTGTACCCCCCATCGTAGTATGCCGGATACTGCATATCTCCATACACGTAACATGAAACTCCTACGCTGAACCCTGCGCACTCTCAAGGCGACGCGACGCGGTAATAATGAAAAAAGGAGTAGGAAATAAGTAGACCGTCCCCGAAATTCCTCCTCATGCCATTAGCCATATCGATTCGCGAGCCATTGTCACGAAGATGACTTGACCATGTTCATCGATATATTCGAAGCGAGCATAGACGAATGTACGAATATTCGGCGGCAGAGGGTTTAGCCTACTCGGTAAGCGTCGTAGATGACTGTGGGGGGGAGGGGGGAAACAATTAGCGTTGCACTCTTTTCGCAACAGCATCACATCACATTTTGCGGGTCAGAGGGTCTCACCTTCACCAGAGCGTCTACAGCCACTTCCCATCCACATGCAAGCATTCAAAAACGCATACCTCTCGTCGCCGGTCTCGAGTTCAATAGACATGCGGAACTTGTACTGGTTGGCAGGTACTTGATCTGCTTGGACATTGTCGTTCAACCGCTCGAGCACCTCCTTCGGTCCCGTTCGCCAGCCTTTCGACCTCGCGGTGATATAAGCGGGCGGCTCGTCGTTGGTCTGCAGGAGATAGGTGGCGTCGACGCGTGTGGCCAGGTCGCGCACCACCAGTTGATTGTCTTGGCCTCCAGGCTGGGGGAGTTGTTAGTATCGTATCACTGGCCAAGGGTTAATGGTAGAGAGGTCTGGACTTACAATGATGATGCCTTTGCCCCACCTCCCGGCCCACTGTCCTCCGACAATACTGACCCAGTCGCGATGTCCATACAACGCCGATCCCACGGCTATCTTGGGGTTGAGCTTGATGCTGATGCGGAAATCGAGCTCGAGAGTCGGGGCTGGGATCTGAAGGGAACGGGCAATGTCTCCTTCGTCGAAGCGGTGGAGGAGGTTGTTGGCCGGGATAGATTCCTTCATGACGTTCTGATATGTAGCACACTCCAGGAGATGCTGTCGCTGTCTCGAGGTGTTCTTCGCGCGGATCTGGTTGCAGTAGATGCATTGGACCGAGAGGCACTTGTCCTCCTCCTTGGCCCTGAATTCCACGAATGCAGCATGGACATCGTCGAGAGGTGGAGCGGGGAGGTTCGAGCCCGGTGTGTTCTTGGGAGTCTTGTTCTGGGGCTTTGGTGTGGTCCGTTGTTGCATGGGCGTTGAGCTGGGACCTTGAGGTGTCTGGGAAGCCAGAGAGGAGGCACCATTCGGGATGGTCTGCATGGGAGTGGTGTGAGTCGGCAAGCCACTGTTCATGGTACCATTGGTGGTATGTAGATTGTTGGGAGTGCCGAAGCCATTGGAGGTGGTGATGCCGTCGCCAGAGGACTGGGGACGAGGGGCATTGGGATGGTTCTGGAGGCCGGGACACTCGAGCAGGTGTTGTTTCTGACGGGAGGTGTTCTTTGCGCGGATTTGTTGACAATAGATGCACTGCACCGACATGCATTTATCGTCCTCTGTAAGGGTGTGGAGACACACCGCGTTGGTCAGCTAACTGGGACTGCAAGACTGCAAGCGCATGTTGGAACTTGTGACAGTATCGTAGTAACGTGGTGGTATAGTACAGTCTGATACTCCGTACTGGGGATGACAATTACGATACTGGAACCGCGCTGACTGACCTTTAGCCTTGAACTCGACAAATGCCGCGTGCACGTCTTGATCGATTGTTCGTCCCATGGTGGAAGTTGATGATAGATGGCCGCCTCGCTTCTTCGCCAACCACGTCGATGTCGATGTTGATGTCGATGGCTCAAATTCTCGTGATGCTCGTGGTCGTCGCAGTCGGCAGCTCACGCGGTTTCCAAGGCCCGACCAATTCGGCTAGTCCGGAACTCGATTTCAGTTCCCAACCGAATCAGTGACACTTGCCGTCTGACACGTCGATTCACCCCCGTATCGATTTGAACGGCCTGGGTAAGGTCGCGCAGAAGGCCTTGTTTAAGTTGAAAATATAAACTAAATTCATTAGAGGAATCACAGACGACATTTCCCTCATTCCCATGGTACATCATGCTCGATAAGACCCGGCAATCTCCCTACGCCGTGAAGATGGTGCAAAGCAGTGGCCTTATGAATCTGTCAGACGGCCGTCATTAATCAGCTCGGAATCATCCCTTCCTCGTTTCCCGTTTCCCGTTTCAGGTTTCATGGTGAGCCTGACGGTTTCCATCGTACTTGATCAAGTACGCAGACTCCTGACCTCACAACCTTAGCCTCTTAGCTGGGACACCTGAGAACGGCTGCAACCAAATGAAAAGAATTGCTTGATTCTACAGTATGTCAAAATGATCGATATCAATCTCGAAGACGCGGCCTCGTAATGACCCAGCTACCCACTCCCGCCAAGGGATAATTCAAATGCCTCAAATCTGCATAACGTTCCCATAGAACTTAATCCCAATTTCTCCAGGAAAGATGTTTTCTCACTGACGATCGAGGGGCAGTTTGTTCCTCTTGCACTGCTGAGCAGTGGCTACTACTGACTATGGAGCGGCAGAGAGAAGACCTGCGTGTCTGACGTCTAGAGACCAGATGAACAGTTCTTTGCAATACTCAAAGCTCTTTTCATCGAAGATGCCATTACGTCGTCTGCATGCAACAGACCACAGCCAAAGTCGCCATTTCTCGTTGCTACCAGGAAGCGAGGAGACTAGGTTGCCGCCTTCCCGGACAAAGCCGGCTTGGATTCTGCCTCTGGTGGCTGAGACAACACGCCCTTACTTGTGTACAGAGACACAAACGAACTCATCCTCGAGAAGGTCATCAGAAATAGGATGAAAGCGATAAAACTATCCCATACACTTTCGCGGCAGGCGGAGGGCGGAAACCGATCTGAAGGTGGGTGGCATCAGCTGCTTTGATGATCTCGGATAATTAGACGGCTTTGTTCTGAGCCTTGCAGTGTTGTAAACCAACAGAGTCTCGCTAACGGAGCAACTAGGCATTCGTGGTGTGAGATTCTGGACGCCCTTTGAGAGGCAAGCCACCTGATCGACACAGACGATACTGATAGGAGTCGGCGGCAGGAGTGGAAACTGCAAATTACCACTTCCAACGAGCGCTGTGGACAAAGTCAGGCACCCATCATTATCGGTCAGGCTGGTGTAAGGCAGAAACCTGGATAAAATTGCACCTATTCGTCAATGTCAGCGAACCGAAAAGGACACGCAATGGGTTATATTGATAGCTCTGGAGCGCCATATGTGCAGCAAAGCACCCCTGTATCTTGTCATACGTGTAGATGCGACGCTCACCTTGCAAACTCAAGCAGCCACTCAATTAAGAAGTAGACGACGTGACCTATATACCGTGTTGTTCAATAGCATAAATTGCAATTCAGAGACCTGTTGTTCATCTAATGTGGGTAGGATGGCAAAAGAGGAAGAATAAGGGAACTTCGTTGAATTCGCTCTGATTTTCGTTTTTGGGGACGTCAGTCTGATCTAAAAAGTTGGATCTGCATTCCCACTGAAGTCATGACCAGCCGGTATGCAATCTCGATGGATTCCACACGGTGACAGCACTTGCTCCCACTAATACACTCGCTATGGCTGTCCACTCGAGCAGAACGCACCATACTTTTCCGCCGAAAAACACCATTTCCAACAAGAACTGCTTTACCGATTGCTCTTTGCGACGCGCTCCAGTTCGTCCTTCTTCTTGATGGCATAGGAGTTGCTGCTTCCCTTGGCAGCGTTGATCAGCTCTTCAGCAAGGCATTCAGCAATGCTCTTCACATTTCGGAATGCGGCTTCACGTGCACCGATGGTGAGGAGGGCGATGGCTTGGTTGACACGGCGGAGAGGAGAAACATCGACGGCTTGTCTTCGGACGGTACCAGCGCTTCCAATTCGAGTGCTATCTTCTCGAGGGCCGCAGTTGACGATGGCATCGACGGCGATTTGAATGGGGTTCTGGTCGGTCATGATGTGAATCTAGAGAAGTCGATGATTAGCCCTCAATTCCTGTGCTGGAAAATGCCACCTCCTGGAGTGATCAGCAACATACAATCTCAAAAGAATGAGCAACGATGCGAATAGCCATTAACTTCTTTCCGTTGTTTCGGCCGTTCATCATGAGGGAGTTGGTGAGTCGCTCAATGATAGGGCATTGAGCCTTTCGGAATCGCTTTGCGGCATATCGACCGGCGGAGTGGGAGATATAGACAGGGGATCTTATTTGAATGTAATCGCTGTATACATTTGTTAGTAAATCTGCTCAGGTCTCGAGTCGTGGTTGGTGTCGTACGTCAAAGAGATATCGCGGACTTCCACATCTTCATAACTCCATTTGTTGAAGAGCTTGATGCTACCAATCTCGTTGGTGACTTCCTTGGGAAGAACGGCGTAACCAGAGACAGGGTTCTCGACTTCGACCTCGCCGTTGTCCGACATTTTGACGAGTGTTGGTATTGCTGGAGTCGTTGTTAAACTTGTCGCAAATGCTGTAGGAAATTCTGTGGGCAAAGAGAATTGTGTGCGGTGCGGGTGCAGCCAAGGCACGGGTGGGTCTGCTTTGCCAAGACCATTTCACGTGACTGGTCGGGAGACTTTCCCTGGAAATGGGCGCCCTGTGCCCGTAAGATTTCACGAGTGAATGTCAACGACCTGGACCTCATATGCCGATGCGGATCAGTTTGCTAGTGCTCCTAGTAATGGAACAACTTTGAGTATAATCCTAGAATGATCCAATGCTAAAAAGGCGTGTCTTTCAGAACTCCAATGCTCCAGGTCTGTCTAATGCGTTGACCGGCCACATGTCAATGCACTCAACGTGGTCTTATCCAAAGAACTACTGTGAGACTCTTCTTTTTTGCTAGAAGCTGACCGTGAGCCTTCTTACGTTGCCACATGGTCTTGATTAATCTTTTACAAGTCTACAGCATTGTACCACTTCATTGACAACATCTGTGGCGTCAGAGGCTAAATTTGCTATCATGAAGAAATCAAATTCCTCTTCTCCCGACCATGTCATGAGCTTCACTCTCCAGAAGGCGCCATACTCCTATTTTCATCTTTCTCTGAGGTCCTTGATTGCAACATCACAATCATCACCTGATCTTGATGAGGTCTTAGCTCGAACATACCTCACGCTGGCCCTACAGCAATACCTAGGGCTCACTGGGACTGCCATCTCCATTGACATTCTGAAAGTCGAAGATCGAGATGTCTGGATTAGAGTGCCCAGTGAGGATGAGGTCGCGGTCACTGCAAGTCTAAGTCAATGGACAGGATCGAAAGACCTTACTTGGCGAATTCAACAGAGAGGCTCCTGGCTTGGTGCTTTGGTCGGAAATTTGAATGCACAGAAATTATGGACGCTAGAAAGCTGAGAGACATCTTGGATTCAAAGTAGTTTGCGCTTTTTGAAACGCCTCTCATACAAATTCGGGTTTCCGGAGAAAAGTCAGGAGCCAACGAGCACGACTTAACCGGTTCCGCTAAAGGGGATACGCTCAACTTCTATTGGCGACATGGTTTGAGCCCTGATGCTCTGCGCTCATCTAGCCTCAAGACCAATACTTGAGGGCTACCTACAATTGGAACCCCCTTGGTTGATCTATCAGCAGGGTTCTGGTTGATATGTCCCAACCTGCGGTAGTACAGCACCCCTGACCTTGGGATTATGATCAGACCATCGTTACGATTACAGGCAGACAGACATCTCCGTGCAAATGCCATAATATGGAGGAGCTGCAAGTGTTGATATAATTGTTTTACACTCATCAAACTCCAAAGATCGATTGCATCGAGACACTGCACCTGCTAACCCAATTTCTCTTTTGAACATTTTTCAGAATCTACAACATGAGTACGGTCTTAGTGGAAGCATTTCTTACAGCACTCTTTTTATACAAGACTTGAGTTTCAAACCCAAATAAACATTTGCGGGCGTGATGGCACTCGCGTTCTCGCAAGTGGGTGGCGGTAACATCCACTACATCCCACGTGTGAAGCTTCGAGCTCACACTCAGAGAACAGACTGCATCAAACAAGCCCCGACGCCGGCCACGAAATGAGCTTGACGCTCGGGTTTCATTGGAAAAGAGAGACATGCAGCAGGGCATGGAGATAGCAGCTCAGCTTAAATCCGATAGTTGATACTAGGTTTATCATGTTATAATGCCCGGTCACAGCAACGGTTCGGTCATAAAATTGAAGGATTTCCCGAAGCAGCCTATCAAAGAGTACATCAAGCTGGTTCTCGATGCACAATCGATCTGGAGAGAGAAGGATTTATATTGAGCACAGCTCGCTCATCTTGCGGCCTCTTCAGCACGACCGAACTCGAGATACCCCCAAGAGACAGCCAAGTTGTCAAGTCCTTGGTCCATATCGAAGCTTACATTGTCAGACTCCCTGACTTCGTACCGGGTCGTCGAAAACTTTTGTCGAACTACTATTGTGAAAATGTCCAAGTCAACCTTGCCCAACATCCCCGCGATGCATCGAGCGCTTGTCCTCCACTCTACGAGAGACCCGTACGACATGTCAGTTGTGGAGAAAGAGACACCTAAAGCAGAACTTGGGAGCGCAGTCGTCCGCATACTTGCGGCTGCCGTCTTGACCTACGCTGATAGGGTATATAGTGGCAAGAAGCCCTACGGCTATCCAGAACCGTTTGTGCCTGGGTCATCTGCTGTTGGGCACATTGTAGCTGTCGGTGAAGATGCTACCAAGCTCAGACCCGGGCAGCTCATATATTTCGATACCTACATTCAGGGTCGGGATGACACTACGACGTTATTCTTGCATGGTTTGTCCGGTGGTTTTACCCCGGGCAGCCACAAGCTCATGGAAACCGTATGGCGCGATGGCACGTATGCAGAATATGCCAGGCTACCTCTCGAAAACTGCTTTCCCATGGACGAGGCACGATTGCTGGGCAACCCTGCTGGAGGCGGTCTGGGGTATAGTTTGACTGATTTGGTCTACCTCTTGACAATTTCAATTCCTTTTGGAGGACTTCGTGATGTTGATGTCAAAGCGGGGGAGAAGGTCATCATTTCACCGGCCACAGGTGCCTTCGGAAGCGCTGCTGTGTTCTCCGCTCTTGCAATGGGCGCTCGAGTAGTCGCAATGAGTCGGACTGTCAGTGCCTTGGAGCCATTGAAAAGTCTCGGCTTTGGAGACAGGATTCGATTCGTCCCAAACACCGGAGATGTGGAGGTGGACATCAAGGAACTGACCAAGGACGGTCTGGCAGACGTGTTTTTGGACATCTCTCCTGGAAAAGCAGTCAAAAGCACACATTTCAAAAGTTGTATCCAATCACTGCGACGAGGAGGCCGTGTGAGCTTGATGGGTGCCCATCAAGAATTGACATTGCCGACTCAGCACATCATGCTTTACGACATTACAATCAAAGGCAAGTGGATGTACACGAAGGAGGACATGCGCGTGATGATCAATATGGTCGAGACAGGATACTTGAAACTGGGTGAGGCGGGGGGCATCAAGACGATCGGCACCTTCCCACTCGAGAAGTTTGATGCTGCCTTCGACGCAGCGTCGAACATGAGTGGTCCAGGTTTGCAAGTGGTCATTGTTCCTTCATTGCAGATTGTATCGCAGGAGGGAAAACGTTGATCGGACTGCCCCTTGTCCCTGCATCGAGCTGAGTATGGCTTGTGTGTGCTTTTGAGACACAGGATTCGAAATTTGCTCATAATAGGCTCAGAGCTAAAGGGACTGACTGGTATGTCTTCTTAAATCGAAATTTGATTCAGTACCTTTCCCAATGTCGAAAGAAGCGGCTTGCAGGGATTATCTGGAAAACTCGGAGAAGAAGAGCCCGATTCTTCCTCCTGGTAGTCAGATATTTGTATTTGAGTTTGATCTTATTATAAAATCCAAGGATTCTAGTAATTGTGATCTGAAATTTGAATTCATAGAACCAGTATCAATAGAACTCTGAGGACGGTCACGTGCGTGGCCTCCCGGCAAAGCATTTTCTCCAAGTCCTGAGTCCAGGGACGGGAGACTTTTTTGTAAACCACGAATCTGTTACCTACGTCTTTCCGCGACCTAGCTCATCCACCACCGGTCATCTCAAGTACCTTTTACCAACTACAGCTTGGTATTGAACGACGAGGCGACGTTTCGCATTCAAAGACACTAAGCGCTTCAAACAAACCACGCTCCAACCATGGATGACGATTTCAACATCTCGCCGGAGGACCTGCAGCGCCTCTCGCCGAACGAGCAACGACAACTGCAGTTATTCCTGCAAAGCGAGCAACAGAAGAGCCAGATCGCGAAAAGTAAAGATTTCCTTGCCACCTAAACCCCTCCACATTCCCGCGTTCTGAACCCTAGAGCAACATGCTCATCACTTGCAATGTACATGGAATTTGTACATCAGGTAACTCACATGCTGAATTCTTGTTCTCGCGCAGACACACACTCCCTAGCCGAGATCTGTTTTAAAAAATGCATTACAAGCTCGATAACGTCGGGGAAGATGGCGGGCAAGGAGGAGACGTGCATGAGCAACTGCGTCAACCGCTGGTATGATTCGAATCTGCAGATCCTGAAGCATCTGGAGACTTTGCGAGCCAGTCAATAGCCGTGGTCCTGGGCTTATGATGTGTCGGTGGGCTGGTCGATGTGTCAAGCGGCCTATCTTGTATTACTACATAGTCTCGATGAGAGTATAGAATGAGTCGGGAAGACGAAGATGGTGGCCGCCTTAATTGTGACTGAAATATTGTTTTGCAGGACATTTTGGTCAAGGATCACTTGCATATGGCTGGAGAAAGGCTCTCTTCTCTATATCAGGAGGTGAGGAGCCTGGACATCATGTACCATCATCATGAATCTCACAAAACCATTCACTGGTGTTCAATTGATATTTGACTCGAACGAGATAGAAATAATTCTGCTCTCATTTTCTTGTTTGGAAGGCATGCACCGATTCCGAACGGCGCCCTGACATCTATCTTGAGCTGTTCTCGTTCCGAATAGTTTTTCCGTTGTGATTTTGAGGCATCAATGAAGACGCATAAAATAAGATCGCTCCACTGAGTAAAAACCCGAGCCATGCACCCGTTACCGCCCCTTCAAATCTCCTTCTACACAATGGACAACTTCGTCGCGGCAATGTCAAGAGCATCCACATCCGTCGTTAATCTGGCGAAAGCCTTCTTCGTTCCATCTGGTCGGATCAGGGTGTTGATCTTGACTGTGTCCACATCGTATAGCTTCTTGAGTGCTTCCTTGATCTGTCTTTTGTTGGCCTTTGTGTCGACGATGAAAACCAGGGTGTTGTGCTCTTCAATCTTTTTCATCGCACTCTCAGTGTTGAGTGGATGAATCAGGATCTTGTGATGGTCGAGTCTTGTCTCATGGGGAATGGACTTGCGAGGGTACTTGGGCGATCGGGAGAGAACAAGGGTCTTGGGTCTGTGAAAGGTCGTGGATTTGCGGATCTTGCGAGCCTTTTGTGCGTGCACCTGTAGATATCTTATGAGCTGGTCATTCATCCGATCGGCAATGCAAATCGAGAACGTACACCCTTCAACGTAGCTTTTGCGGCCTGGTTGGCTTTGGCATTGGGCTTCTTAGAGCCACCTATAGACCGTAAATTCGTCAGCAAAAGTTCGTCACAAAGGGACTGGTTATCTAGAGATCCATCTCTGGTCTAGGCAGGCTCTGCCCTGCGCTTCTCTGTACTCGGGATGTCGTCCATCTCGACAGGTAGCCGGAGTCTCTAGAACCAAGGGTTGAGGAAGAAATGAGGGATCGAGATCGTACCTTTCGGCTTCTGTGTAGGAGGCGCCATTTGTGCTGTGTTTGCGCCGAAGGATTGGTGTTGCGATGGTCGTCACAAATTCAAGCTGGTCAATCTTCAAAAGTGGTTGGGTCTTTCCGTAAGTTCGAATGTGTGCGCAGTGCCAAGAGTTTTGCACCCTGCCAAGTTGGAATTCCTCAGTTCGATAACTACGGTGGAGCACAACCGCCATGGGCCGACGCGTCAAATAGGAGCGAAGTCTCTGTAGCACGTTCTCGGGTCAACAACACCCTTGCACATTTAATTTCAAATCCATTCAGTCGATAAGGTGAGGCTGTGGTGCGATGTTGTGCGCAGCCTTATCACATACAGTCTCCGGCACTAAGCCGATTGAATGATTCGAGAATCAAAATGTCCGAAGAGCAAAGCAAAAGCGAAGTTTACGGTGATCCCACGGAAGCAACCCACCAGGAAGAGGACGATGCAGATGCTCTTTTGGCTTCACTCGAGGAAGAAGATGATTCATGTTACCGTTCTCGAAGGCTCCAGGAACTCCGCTCCGCGAGCGAGGCTGCGAAAGCGCCAAGAACTCTCACAGCTACAAGTAAGGCATTCATTACATTGAAAAGCGACGACGAAGCACTCAGCTTCACCACACAGCATGAAAGGGCGGTAGTCCATTTCTTTCACCCTGAGTTCGCTCGATGTAGCGCAATGGACGTGCATTGTGAGAAGATTGCAGAGACACACGCACAGCAGCAGGAAGCAGACGTGTCTTTTGCAAGAATCGATGTCAAGAATGCGCCATTTGTGGTAGAAAAACTCGGAGTCAGAATTCTACCATGTGTGATTGGCTTTGTGAAAGGAGTTGTTAAAGGCAAAGTCACTGGATTTGAAGGATTATGCTGGGATGGGAAGGAGGAGAGTTTCGCCGTTACTCGCGCTCTCGAGGATACGCTGATAAATTGGACTGTATTGAAGAAGAGGTATATTCTTGGTCACTTGGACGATGATGACAGTGATCATGATAATGCAAGGGAGGCATTCCACGAAGGTCGACGAGGGATTCGTGATCGCAAAAAGACGGCAGCGAACGACGACGACGATGAATGGGATTGATGATAAGCAGAGTTGACCTGCTCAGAGGATGAGACCTACACGAGAGAATCCTATCAACGGGGAATCAGGGTTCCATCTCTGCTAACCCACAAGGCCATCTCGTACTCGGTATGAAGTGCAATTCTCAGCAAGATGAAGCCGATAGAACTGAGCATTAGGGACGATTCGAGGTTCTGCTAGCTGCAGGTGCGTCAACGCGGATGCAGTTCTCCGACATGGTTTATGAGATTGCGACCAGATAGTCGACCTGTGTTTGAAGGTCTCGCATCAACGCCGATCAGGGAGGGACGCAATGGAAAGCCATGCGCTAGTCCAAAAGGCGACTTAAAGGTGATTAGATAACCGGAAGAAGTCGCGGGAGCGCGGACGCCAAAATGATAGATCCATGGAAAATGATATTGGTGGCGGGTTAAGAAGCTGAAGCAGAAATGCTTAAGTGGTCTCTGGGCCTGCTTACAGTAGGCGTTGGGGGACGGCCTCAAGCCCCCTTCAGTCCCTACAAGATTGACGCACGTCAGCCACGGGCCACACGCCATAGGCGTCCCTCTTAGTTATACATGGGTGGCCAACGATGGGGCACGACTCGTACTCCGTCCTCAAAAATTTCATCCACCTTGCGCGTCGTGTGTCGTCCCCTTTTTTCCCACTTCAACACGTTCTCCATTCTCTTCGCCCAGTTGCATGCGCCCCGTGCATCTTCCCTTTTCCCACCATCAATCTCATCTATCGAGTGCTGCCTTCTTCTTTTCTTGCCTCCAGATCCTTCTTCACATTGATATACCTTCCACACGTTTCATCCTGCGGTCTTGTCTGCCTCCACTCTTTTCAATCTCAACAACAGACCCGTTCAGCCTAGCACTCATAGCCACCATCGACAGCCATCATACCTGACAATGGCCGAAGAAGAGAAGAAGAGATTTCTCGATGGCAACGAGATGGAACTTGGAGAGAAGCAGGGCAGGACTTTCAGCCCTCCGCAGCATTCTCCTCCCAGGTTCTCGCCGCCCTCGAGCAACTGGCAGAACAATCCCATTCTACCCGTCCTGAGTTACTGCGCCTCTTCCATTTTCATGACCGTCGCCAACAAGTACATTCTCTCGTTTCCAGACTACAACCTGAACTTCCTCCTCCTGGCGGTCCAAGTTCGTCATGTTCTCTGCTCTCATCAAATCTCAAAATACTAACACCGGTACAGTCCACTGTTTGTGTCGTGGCCATCCAATCCTGTAAGACTGCAGGCATCATTACCTACCGAGATTTCAAAACAGATGAGGCCAAAAAATGTAAGACATCCAGCACACGACCAGAAAAGACGCATGCTAATCTTGACAGGGTTTCCCGTGTCACTGCTACTCATCGGCATGATCTACACAGGCACCAAGTCCCTCCAATTTCTCTCGATCCCAGTGTATACGATCTTCAAGAACTTGACCATTATTTTGACCGCATACGGTGAAGTTTTGTGGTTCGGAGGCTCTATTTCTTCGATGACCCTGTTTTCCTTCGGATTGATGGTTCTTAGTTCCATCGTTGCCGCTTGGGCCGATATCAAGCATGCTCTAGAGTCACACGGATCTCATAACGCTGCCGCTGCAAACCAGCAGTTGGCGACATTGAATGCTGGCTATATCTGGATGCTTTTCAATTGCTTTTGCACTTCTGCCTACCTTCTTGGTATGCGCAAGCGCATCAAGCTCACCAATTTCAAGGATTTTGACAGTGAGTTCTTTGGTTTCCCCTCCCAAATTGAGCCATGCTAACGAGCGTCAGCCATGTTCTACAACAACCTTTTAACCATCCCCGTCTTGATCATTGGATCTTTCATTGTGGAAGACTGGTCCTACGTCAATATCGGCAAGAATTTCCCGGTCGATTCCAGAAATGCCATCTTTGGAGCCATGATTTTCACTGGCCTTTCCTCGATTTTCATCTCATACACCTCTGCGTGGTGTGTCCGTGCGACCTCCTCCACTACCTACTCCATGGTCGGCTCACTCAACAAACTTCCGATTGCCATCTCCGGTCTCATCTTTTTCGATGCGCCAGTCACCGTTCCCAGCGTTTCTGCAATCTTCATTGGATTTGTGAGTGGCATTGTATACACCTTGGCAAAGGTTCGAGATAGCTCAAAACCGAAGACTGGTCTTCTTCCAACTTCCAACACAATGAGTGCCAGCAGTCAGAGCAATCGTGATAGTCTCAAATCATAGGCTGCACGCAACGACTCGAGCGGCCCCCGAGCGCAGTCACAGACTAGGAGCAACTGAGATTCTATCAATAGAGTTCAAACTTTTATTGCATCGCGAGGCGTTTTCGGGAGAGATCGGTGTTTAAACAGGAGCCTACAAACCTATGTGTTCGGAACAGGCGACTTGATCCATTATACGAAGTGAAATAATTGTGATGGAACAAAAATGTCCTAGATATGTTAGAGGTGAACCCTTTCTTCGTATGTTGTATTTTTAGGAGCCGTTGCCGGACTGTGTCAGCATCCAGCATATTTCACTTTGACGAAATCCAGCTGGACTTGGAGAAATGAAGAAAACTTTCTACGAGCAAGATTACTTACCCATTGATTGTTTCTATCAAGCTATTGTGTGGTTCGAATTCTATCAAGAAACAGGCAAAAGAACAACTATCCATAAGACTATCAAAGGTCAAAGCCAAGGAGGATTCGGCATGGAGTTTCAAGTCTCCGAACAACCATCAGCGAAATGGATCTCATCTCACTTCCTCGCAAGCCGCCAACACATGTTGTGCTCTGAGTTGTGGGAGCAACTCTCAGGCAGCCACTTCACGTTCGTGTCAGCGACGACTCTTTCTCGAATATGCGCTTTGCCCTTTCCACAGTCGGCTCCTCATTTGCACAGCACGAAAGGTCGACACGACATGGGAGGTATGCAACGTCGCTCGGCCGATGAGCCTCAGAGGTCGTTGTGGTGCCTGAGGCGGACAAGCCATTTCTTTTACCCAGATGGTGATCATGGCTTTCCTCAACGATTATTTCCTGTCCAATTATCGAGACATTGTCTCTCTTGCATTTTATTTCGGCCGAAGCAGCCAATCAACAGATCATCTCCACCTTGTCAGTAATTCTAAAGCAGACATATGTACGAGGTATGGAGTCATGAAACATCCAACGGTCCGCGGCTCTTTTATGCTAGACTCGCCAATTAGTATAAAGATATTGCACGCGCTGTGCGGGTAGGACTCCTCTCTCAACTTTTCATCCTCACGCGCTGCCTTTGCTATCATATTCATAACAAAGATGACTTCCAAAGCGATAACCTCTTTGCTCGCTCGCCACCGCCAATTGGCTCCCACGGCGGCTGTCTTTGTTTCTCCATTATGCTTGGGAAGCATGAACTTTGGGAATGCTTGGAAGGCCCAGCTTGGGGAGTGCACCAAAGAGTCTAGCTTCGAAATCCTTGATCAATATTTCGAGAAGGGTGGCAATTTTATTGACACTGCCAATGCTTACCACTATGGGGAAACTGAGACTTGGTTGGGAGAATGGATGCAACTGAGGGAGAACCGAGATCAGATTGTCTTGGCCACCAAATATAGTGGTCTTTATAACATGCAAGATCCCAAGATTCAAATTCGCTGTAACACCCAGGGAAACGGGTCCAAATCGCTGCGACTCTCAGTAGACTCGTCGTTGCTCAGGTTGAAGACAAGTTACCTCGACCTGCTCTATGTTCACTGGTGGGACTATACGACGTCTATTCCGGAGCTGATGCACAATCTCAACGATCTGGTGGTCTCGGGAAAGGTTCTCTATCTTGGTATCTCAGATTGTCCAGCATGGGTGGTCTCCAAGGCCAATCAGTATGCTCGTGACCATGGACTTCGTCAATTCGTTGTCTACCAAGGTATGTGGAATGCCTCATTGCGCGATGTCGAGCGAGACATCCTCCCAATGTGTCGAGCGGAAGGTATGGCCATTTGTGCCTATGGAACTCTTGGTCAAGGCGATTTCCAAACCGAAGCTAGTTTCCGTGAGCGAGAGCAAAGCAAAGAAGGGCGAAAGCAAGGCGCTACCTCACTTCGAAACAGGCAAATATCAAAGGCTCTCGAAACCGTTGCCGATTCAAAGCAAACAACCATCACCAATGTTGCACTCGCATATACTCGACAGAAAGCGCCTTATATCTTCCCAATCGTTGGGGGGCGGAAAGTCGAGCACATTAAAGGCAACATCGATGGGCTTTCTGTATCATTGACGGACGAAGAAGTTACTCAAGTAGAGTCAGCTTACGACTGGGACCCGGGATTCCCACACACGTTCCTCAGTGGGACCCTTCGAAAAGGCACAGACGAGCCACAGAAGATGGCTAGTCGTGCAAGTGAGGTTTGGCTCACGGCTATGCACGGCAATTTTGACTGGGTGGAAGATCCAAAGGCCATTTCAACTCCTGCTTGTTGACCGAATTTGTGATTGAGCCCTGGTCGTAATGTTGTGCCAATGGCGAACTCCATCATTTCAGAAGTTAGAGACATGGATCATGAGAAGTACTGGTTTCTGAGCATCTTATGACGCACCTTACCGCTCAACTTTCTCCAGTAGATATTGACCATCGTCAATATGCCTCACAAAAACATGAATGGAATATGGACTATGGTGCTATCAATAGAGTTTCGGCCGAACGCTAGCCTAGCCTTGTACAAGAACCAGGGATGCCCTGGATTATCTTCCGCTCACAACCTTTGCTAAATCTCACCAGTTGTAGGAGGACCTTCTGACACTTGCAAGTCATTGTCTGTCGTCTGGCAAAGAAGCCTGACACGTCCAAACTTCTAGACCTGAGTTCCTATTCTGCTTAGACCGTTCGAGCCGATGTCTGGCGGTCATGGCATCAGTCAACATACAGCCAGCAAGCCAGCCAATGCTTTCGCAGCGTCGACCCGTCACTTCCTGTCTGGAGTGCTATCGTCGAAAACAGAAATGCAATCGACGCAGACCATGCAATCAATGCACGTTTCGAAAGATACCCGAGCAATGCATTTTCAGGGCCGACAAAGCTCCACCCAACGGCGTAAACCAGGCGCGATCTGCCCGTGGTCTCAAGCCTCATCTGGAGGAAGAGCCACCCAATGTAAACGCTGTTCCAACCACAAAAGGTACACATCTTCACAGTGGCTATTTGGCAGATGTGGGTGCGGCCAACCCTTTGCAACTGCGGAATGGTGTGGAAGATCAAATGATACACCAGACCTATTCTATCTTAGACCCACAGAGCAATGTTCAGCACGTTTATTGTGGTCTCCTAGGGCAAATACCACCGGCTAATATCACACAAGAGCTTCTGAAATTCTTCTTCGAAGATCTTTACTGGGGTGCAATGACTGTCGATGAAAATCGTGTTCTGAGTATGTACGAAAAATGGAGAATGGTCCCTCCTGAACACCGTCTCAGGCAGTGTGAAAATAGACTGCAACGAGAGTTGCAATGTTTTACTGCACTGCTCTTCCAGATGCTCGCACAGGCACTTTATGCCCTACCATTGAACCATGTTGCCGCAATTACCTTGGGACTTGCCAACCAAGAAGACCTTGATCGCTTGTCTGAAACATATCATATCAACGGAAACCGGCTGGTTCAGCTGATAGGTCGACATCAACCTACCATGTGCTCTGTTGAACACGACCTTCTTGCCTTTTGCTGGCTCAAGAATGCTGGTCGATATTCTGAAGCATGGTACCGTTTGGGCGGTGCAGTCAGGTATTGAGCTAGTCTCATCTTGTGAATGACAGTTGACACACGTATGCAGGCAAGCACAGCAATTAGGACTGCATCGACTTCTACAGAACGTTCGCCAGTGTCCCGAGAGCACTCTCGAGTCAAATCTCCTCAAGATCTGGGATCTTGAGCATCAAAAACGGCTTTGGGCGAGGCTGTTTGTCTTGGACAGGTGGGCAATATTCACTCTTTTCCATCTCTTCTGACGGGCTCAGTGCTGTTTCCCTGGTCCTTGAGAAGCCCCGGTTCCTCCATCGAGAAGATTGTCTTGTCTCTGTGCCGCTCGATTGTGAATATCCAAGAGATCCAGCTAGGACCATTCCAGTACCGAATGAGGGTGGAAAGGCCGCGAAGACGTCGCTTTCACTTACCCTGGCTCACAGAATGCACGACATCATCTCTCTATCGGCTGGCAAATCTCTGTGTCCAGATTACTCCAGAGTAATGCATCTTCACACGGAGGTATGTACTCTTCGAGACAACCTGCTCTCTTCGTGGGAAATCGACCCTGACAGGGTTTCCTCAAATATGAGTATCTGCCAGCTCGATCTGAAACGTCTCCTCTCTCTAAAACAATTTGAAATGGTCCTATTTAGTCTGCACAAACCATACATTAAAACCCAGTCTTCAAGTTATATGGCGGCGGTCAATGCCGCGTTGCGACATTTGGATCTACAATATGCGATCTTTGAGGCCATACCTTTACTGCAGAGAAGAGCCCATGACAATCCTTTCTACATCATTGATATCTCAATATTCATTACCGGCTTATCAGACGAGGGAGCCCTCACAGGTGCTTTAGAGCAGGATCTTCACAGAAAGCTTACTTTACAAGCAATAGAACGACTTGTCGCCATCAAGAGACTGAATCCGGCCGCTGCCTCAAGTGAGAAGATGTTGCGACAGTTCTGCCAGAAATTCCCTCGACAGGTACAACCGTCTTCCTGGGAACTCTGGCCTGCAAACTTGTCAGATAGCGCCGGATGCCTGGGTCCTGGAGGTATATCCTCACCCCGAGACTTCTCTGAGCAATTTCCTTATTTCCCCCATACCAGTTACTTCGAGTGTGCAATGGAAAATGTTCTAGAGCCCGCACATGCTCTTGGAGACCTCTGTTTAGACTGGTTGGATACTAACCAAGAGACATTCCACTGTCGGTATAACCAACAGTGATACACACAAGATTGAAGGCTTTTGGGGTATCGAACGGTATATGCATGGCCTGGATGCAAGCGGATTGAAATTAAGTTTAAATTTCCTCCTGTGGTGCCTTATCAGTTATTACCCACTCACGTAACAGTTGCAAAATCAATTCCTAATGGTTAGGCGGCCTAGTCAATAATCCCAGGATTTGTGCTAATTATTATTTATGTAACTAGCTAGTTATTCAGCATTCTCCCAACTCCAAATTCAGTCAAACGCAGGTGGAATAGCTGGTGCCTGTTCGTGGTGGAACATCACTTTCAAGCATCCCCAACTAATTATTATTATGTTTCGCAGTTGCGTTAACGGGCATTGAGCCACAATGTACTCGGTGTTTCGTCTGCACAACTCATGAAAAGGTGAAGATCAATTCCCCGGTTCCAACGCACTTTATGACTTGAGTTTGTGAAGATGCATTACTGGCGGGGAGTCATCACCCAGACAAGCTTTCTAGTTGCTCAACCAATATATCTAGGGGTCAGATACTGGCTCAGCGATAATACTTTTCCCTCAAGGGCGAACTTAACATGGACGCTTCACGTGCTGGTATGGTTGTACATAGCAACTCGAATCAGCTGGCCATTCTTCACTTCGCCGTTGCGTCGATTGCCGTCTCCCCCGGGCGAGAGATTTTTGATATGTCATCTAAATTTCAATGCAGGGAAACCTCTCACGTCCGTCTTTGAAAATTGGATCAACGAGACGCAAAATGACGGTATTATTGTGCTCTGGGGTCCATTCTACCTTTTCCGCGAGATCATTGTAACCCAGCCTGACGCAATTATGGACGTACTGAACTCCCGCAACTATGACTGGGAGAAGCCAGCAATGACCAGGACTATCCTCACTGCGATCCTTGGGGAGGGCCTGGTAAGTGTTGAGGGGAATGTGCATAAGGCCATGCGACGGGTGGCAGCACCAGCATTCTCCGGCCGCCAGACGCGCGCCCTGGCACCTTTGTTTTACTCCAAGGGCCTCGCGCTCATAGAAGTATTAGCTCGGCAGGTAAAGAAGGCTGATGGCGGAGTAGTGGAAATTACTGGTGCAATATCTCGTGTCACCCTCGACATCATCGGAGCGGCTGGGGTAGGAATGGATTTCAACGCACTCGATGATGAAGAATCGAAGCTGGCAAAGCTCTATGAATTGGTAATGGAACCACCTTCTTTCTTCATGCTAGCCGAATCTCTGTTTCCAAGATGGCTCCTCCAACAGTTCGGGTGGAAGGGCTACAGTAAAACCATAGAGGCGCAATCGCAGCTGCGGTCAGAGGTTCGAGCACTGCTTCAAGAGAAGAAGGCAGTTATAAACGAGGAGAAATCAACGCCTCACAGCACAGATATCATTGCAAGCATAATGAAGTCTGGCGATTTTTCCGATGACTACCTCATAGGACAGTTGCTCACCTTTCTCGCTGCTGGGTAGGTTATAACCTTCTACCCCATCAATGATGCTGCCTTTTCGATGTTCTGACCAGCTCATCTCGTTTTCTAGCCACGATACCACGGCCTCAGCCCTCGTGTGGGCCACGTGGCTCCTATCGCGGCATCCCCAGATCCAAGATCGTCTCCGAGCCGAGTGCAGCGCCAAATTACCTAACGGCCCTGTATCAGAGGTTGACGCCGCAGCCTTCGACCCAGAGAACATGCCATTCCTTGCTGCCGTCTGCAACGAAACACTGCGTCTCTATCCTCCAGCACCTAGCACTGTTCGCGAAGCCATCGTGTCCACAACGATCCGCAATGTGCCTATTGCCAAAGGCACACTCGTAACAATCCCTCCTTGGGCCGTCAATCGTAATCGTGCTCTCTGGGGTGCCAATGCTGCCGACTTCATCCCTGACAGATGGATCGACGGCCCTAACGCTGCAAATGGAGGAGCAGAGAGCCCATATTCATTTCTCACTTTCCTGCACGGTCCGCGAAGCTGCATTGGGCAGGGCTTTGCGCGACTGGAGATGAAGTGTCTTTTGGCGCTGCTCATCACGAGGTTTGCGTTTGAAACTACCTCCCCTGATCAGATGGTTCAGATTTGCGGGTTCATTACCATCAAGCCACAGGGGGGCTTGAGGTTGAAGGTGTACGATCTCAAAAGCAAAGAAAGATGATAATAGATGATGTTTCTAGAGACCGATCCACCCTGGCGTCCATCATGGTCTTTGGCACAGAACAAGCGGCTTCCTGGCTGTCAGCAGACTTGAGTATGGAATAGGATGATAAAGGAGAATGTTTCGTACATTGAAGACAAAGTGAAGAAGAGATTGCTCCGTTTTTGTCGCAGGACTTGAGACTGTAACCGGGCTCCAGGAGGCCAGGGGCGTGGAAGAAGCAGCGGCATGGCTTGTCCCCAAACAGCATTAGCCTTAATTATAGAGAGCTTTGGCATTTCTTGGCGCGAACGTATGAGACTCGGGAAAAAGAAAGTCCTCTGGATAGTTACATATCTGGACGTGCAGTCTTCTGGCAATCCTCCCCAATTCACAGAATAAGACTCAAAATATGGCATTGAAACAACTTCCGTGATAGTGCGTATGGTAGCCCGACCGTCAGATGCCGCCACGGCTCGCTGAGCCACGGAAAATCAAAGACGTTCACAAATGGGAAAGGTCAAACGTCCGGCTAGAAAGCATTCGAATCACCATGACAGTCCCCAAAATAGCAGAAGTGCAGTTGTGAGACGTCAGCATAGCCAGAAGCAAGCGTTGCCGGCGAAGAATGCGCAAGAATTTAAAAGCAGAGGCGCTCCACTTCGGCCAAAGATCCCATTCACGAAGCATGATAATATCCTGCTCTTGGGTGAAGGTAAGCTACATACCTTGCGGGATCATACCTGTGAATATCTACAGAGGTATAATATCTGACTGAAAATTATGATACAGGGAACTTCTCGTTCACCTTGGCCCTAAAGCTTCACCATAAGTTTTATCATGTCATCTCGACTTGTTTCGACACAAGGGAAACTCTCCACACAAAATATCCAGACATCGCTGGGACGCTTTCGCAGATTGATCCCGAGTACCTGGACATGTGCGATGGGCTTCCCACATCGCAAGTCCCCGAGAATGAATGGAAAGGCTTTTCCCCGTCACCGTCACCCTCAAACAAGACCGCAAGGAAAATCGATGTTCTGTACGGGATTGATGCAACGAAGCTTTCATCGGCACACAAGAAAATGTTACGAGAATCTACTCCTTTCACGAAGATTGTCTTCAATTTTCCACATGTTGGAGGGTTAAGCACAGATGTGAACCGTCAGGTACGCCACAACCAGGAACTGCTGGTTGGATTCTTCAAAGCAGCCAAGGATCTGTTGTCGTCCCCTGAGAGGCCAGCACGAGTCAACTCGCAATCCGAGGTCTACAAAAGTGACGAGGAGTATTTGTCAGACGACATGACTAATTCGCCTCGTTCCAACGCAGGAGCTGTGAATGGGCAGGTCCTCGTGACGATTTTTGAGGGTGAACCATATACTCTGTGGAACATCCGAGACTTGGCAAGACACTGCGGATTTAAAGTGGTTGAGAGCTTCAAATTTCCCTGGTCTGCTTATCCGGGATATCAGCATGCTAGAACTATTGGCGATATCACCAGTGGACATGCTCGAAACGAAGATGGCAAGCGGAAAGGGGCATGGAGAGGGGAAGAAAGGGATGCTAGGTGTTATGTGCTTGAGGACAAAGATGCGGTACCCCACGTTGGCCATGCAAAAGCAAGCAAGAGGAAGCGTAATGAGAAAGACGATGACAGTGAATAGCCGGGACCATACAACTGTATCTGTGATCCTGTCTAGTCAGGAAAAAAGTACAAAACTTAACGTCGGAACCTTAGTGATAGATGTTGCCTAAAATGGTTGGTGCATCCGGCAGACCTACTCTTTCTGGTAAGCCCTCAACCTTAACTAGAACTCGTGTTCCTCTCTTGCCTCTCTGTGTCTTTCTGCTCCCCTTGCAGGTTCCACCTTCTCCACACAGACTTGATCAGCCTCTGAAGCGTGTCTTTATTTTCGCGAACCAGTCTTCTATCTCACTCTTGCACCAAGGCTCATTAATTCCATCAGCCCTCTACAATGTCAGAGGAAGCCCCCAGGAAGCGGTCGCGCTTCGACCAGACCGAACCTGAACCTCGGAAACCCTCTCGTTTCGATCGACGCTCCCGGTCTCCATCCTCTAGGCACACCGAATCTAGACGGAGTCGCAGTCCACTTGGGAAATCCAGTCAATCTCCTGCAGCTGGAGAGAAAAGCGGCCCAGCTCTTGATCCTGCTGCCGCAGCAGGTGAGACACAAGAAGCAGGGCTTTCCAATTTGGACCATCGCTGACTGTTTTCACAGCCGCGGCTGCTGCAAAGATCAACGCAGACTTGCAAGCGCGCAGAGCTATTCAGCATGTTGACGTTCCTCCCATCCAATCTGTAAGTCGGCAGACTCTAGCAGCGTCTTTCTTACACCGACTGACGGTATTCCAAGGCCTCCTCGCCTGCCCCTGTTAAAACCCCTACAGCGTCATCGGGACAAAGTACGAGCCAGGTTGATGGCGAAATCTACATCGCCGATGGCGACTACATCAAGGACATTGAAGTCAACGACTTGCGCAATCGATATACCCTCACTAAAGGGTCTACACAAAAGATGGTAAACTACCCTTCTAAATGTCCATACATCCGCAGGCTGAAGCAGGCATGAACAACAACAAGTTTGTTGCTCCCGTCGCCGCTAATTCGTTATAACATGCAGCAGAAATTGACCGCGTACGTTTGCTGACCTCGATTGTGCACTTAGATTAAAGAAGACACGGGTGCCGGTACGCCCTTAATTGCAATTCGGATAGAAGATACAGATGCTAACTCTTAGCTTGAAAGATGTCACGACTCGCGGTTCATACTACCCGGACAAGAGCATGGCCACGGCAGCGGTAGGGTGAAATGTTCTCTTGACACTGGTCTATCCTCCTAACTTCATTTAGAATCCTCCTTTGTACCTACACGTTACGAGCACCTCTAAGAGCGGTCTGGAGAAAGCCATCGCCAAAATCGAGGAGCTTATGCAACAGGAGCTTCCTAATCTTGTCGACGAAAGACGGTTCCGTAGGAGAGAGCCTGAACAGGTCGAACGGGATGAGTTTGGCAGAGTGAGTCAAATGAGATGAGGCCTGAGCGTCAGAAACTAACAGCGATTTAGCGTAAATGGCCCGAAGAGCGAATTATTCTCGATATGGAAAATATCCCTGGTTTCAACCTGAGGGCTCAAGTCGTCGGCCAAGGTGGTGCTTACGTCAAGCACATCCAGCAGGAGACGGGATGTCGAGTCCAGATCAAAGGTCGTGGTAGCGGCTTCATGGAGCACAGCACCGGGCAGGAATCCGACGAACCCATGTACCTGCATGTGGCTGGCCCACAACCACAGCAGGTCCAAAAGGCAAAAGAACTCTGCGAAGATCTTCTTACAAATGTACGCGTCAATTTCGAACATTTCAAGGCCAACCCACCTCCACAACGACAGGAATCCTACACCGACGGATATGGAGCAGATGCGAATCGGAGTTCTTACGGTGGTTATGGAAGAGATAGGGTTCGAGATAACAGTTACTCACACAACAGTAACAGCTACAACTCTGTCTATGCTGGCGCGTCATCCAGTCCGGCTCCTGGAACCGCTGCCTCGCCTACCGACTACGCAGCTCAATATGCTCAGTACTATGCCAGTCAGCCGGGGGGTGATCCTTATGCTGCTTATGGCGGCTACCAAAACTACGTTGCTTATTATCAGTACTACCAGCAGGCGGCTGCTCAGCAGCAACAATCACCTCCTCCTCCACCTGGCGGCGATGCGAACCCACCGCCTCCACCAGACAACTCTACTGCACCACCTCCTCCACCACCATCTGGAGGCTATTCTGCTGTCCCACCACCACCAGGACTGTGAGCATAATTTTAGCTGGTTGAAGAGCTGACGAGTCAAAGTTTGCATCAACCACCTGTGAAACAGATCCCACAACTGAATGGTATGCCCTAGGCTCACATCAGCTCACTTCTTGCTACTACAAGGCCTTGCGTTCCACTCTAGTTGAGGGAGGGCGGTTTGTATCCCACTTCGGTAATTTGGAATCTCATGATTGGAAGGCAAAGTATTCAAAAGCAAAGGAATAATCGAGAAAGCTGATCGGTCAATAGGGGCCAGATCCATTAATTTCATTTCCATCTGTGTTTCAAGCTGACCAAACCTAGCGTAGCTGTAACTTCCCTTCCCGACGAGGTGTGTGCCTTGTCGACAACGGAAGACGTCATGCTCTGTACCATCGTCGTTATGGAGTTTGCAGATTGAGATCCTCCTTGTGCGGAAAATGTAAGTGGTTTTTGGTGATAGTTAACTCGTCGTTCAGACCATCTCCCCTGCATACTGGCACTTGGGGGCGGCCAAGTGGTCAATTACGATATCAAAATCACGTGATCTGACTGTGTCCTTGGCCTTGATAAACTCCATGCTCCGTCTACCCGAGGTGTTGGATATTGGATACGCTGGGAGTGCTGGGACTGCTGAGACCATTACCCCCCCCCATTACAAGACAGTCTCTCAAAGTCCTTTAAATGGGGCTCTCTAGTGAAAAAACCATCTGGCTGTAGATATTATTTATTGGTACAGTAATACATGTAGCGCGTCTCTAATCTACAATGATAGCCCCCTACTGTGAGGTTCTTTTCCTCATGGTGTACAAGATTAAATTTAGCGTGTAACTTTTCCCTCTTCATAGTTTTCTGCTTGCTCTGCGACGATACGCCTATTCCCGCAGTGGACAACAGGGACGCTCGCCAGTCTGGGACAACAGAGACCAAAGTACCCCCCAGCCGGCACCGTGAAAAGTAACGGGCGGCAAGCGAGGGAGAACTAAAAAAGAAGCCCTTACCACCATATACTTGCGGAGGGGTGCCGCTCCTCAAAGGGGGGGCTTGGGGTTGAAAAGCGAGGCTGTAGGTTGTTCGCACTTCATTTGGCCCTCCTGATGGTCGCATCGCTCGCCTTGGAGGCCAGACCACGACTCAGACCTGCACCAATCCCGCGACCGAGGGTCGCGAGTTTGCTGCCTGCCCAGGGGTTGAGGCGCACATCGTCATCGATCGCGAGTGCTTGGGACGAGGCGTTGCTGAACGACGTCTGCTCGCGCTGGGGGTCGATCGGGCTGTCGAATGAAGTCCGGAGTGTTTGCACGGGGTCAAGCACGGCCTCTTCGCCGTCGAGGGCAGGGCTGGCGCGGGATTGGGATTGGGATTGGGATTTGGCGTGCGACTGCGCATATTGCACCTGTGGTCGAGGCTGCTGGCCTGCTTGCATTGACACGGAGGAAGCCTTGCTGCGCGCACTGGTTGCAGCTGTGGCTGATTTAGTGCGTTGATGGGACTGTGTGAGGGCAAGCAGGGCAGTCAGGGCTGCGGCGTCAGAGGAGCCTGGTTCGGGGGGTGGGATGAGCACGCTAGATGACCTTTGCAGCTGCGCCGCTCCTCCTGAACTGCTGCCGCCGCGGCTGTGGCCTTGGCTCTGGCTCTGGCTCTGACGACGGGAGAAAGGCGCTGATCGGGGATTCAAGAGGTGCGAAACGGACTCGGAGTATTCCCCGTTGTCGTGGTTGAAGGGTGGCGTCAGTGGCGGCTCCGGGACATCGATCTTGCTGATCAGAGCGCAGGGACAGCCGCAGCCAGTCGGACAGGTTTGATGTTCGTTGAGGTTCGCGAGGTCTTCTTCGCGACCGAGCAGGTCGGCGAACCGGATCGAGGGGTCCAGTGGTGACGATGGAGGCGTGTCTTCACTGGGCCGGCGAGATTCGATTCCAGTAGACTTCACGCGCTCCACGGCACCGCCGAACCAGCCTTGTGCGCATGTAAAGCATGTCAGGTGTCCGCATTGTAGACAGGGGATGGATAGGCCTGATACGCTGCGGTTGCAGATGGCGCAGACACTCCGTTTGGGGGGCTTGGTGGCCGACAGTGAATTTGAGGTGGAGCTCGACGTGCACAAGGTGTTCACGCAATGCCAGCCAATTGGGATTCCGTTCTTTTCGATGGCTCCCAATGGCTCGCTGCAGCGCGGGCAGCAGCGATGGATCACGAGGCCTCGGGGGCTCAAATCCCGGAGCTGAGAGGTGGGAAGGGATTTTCGGGGTGGGCGTTCCAGGAACGTAGCAGTGTGATGTGCGCTTGGATGTGAAGCATGGGCAGTTAGGGCGTGTGCTCGATTTTGCAATGCACTGGAGCTGTCGTTCCTTGTGTTCAAGTGGTCGAACTTCTGGATCTCCGCTCGTTGGATGTGCAGCTGCCACACGTCGAGAAGATGAGCATAGCTGGCTCGGTAGTTCCTGCACTTCCGTTCTAGGACAGGGTCTAGTAGGGGGGATCGAGCGTAACCTTCCAAGTCAAATTTGTCCTGGTTGAACAGCCGGGTTTTGATCCTCTTACGCTGGGGTGGTTTCTTTTCGTTGCGTTGTGTGAGATCCGAGGTGCCGGATGCAGTGATAGATCGTAGACTCCGGCAGCTGTCCAACTCAGATTTGAGAGGAACGCTGTCCTTGTGCGTCCGTCGCAGATTGATGGATGAAAGTGATGAGCGCAGTCTCCCGGATTCATGGCTATCCTGGCTGGCGACCTCACTACCGGGGATCGACGCCCTCGCATTTTTGTGTCCGCCTTGGCCCCCAAAGATGCTTGAGGAAACCCATGCAGGAGCCAACGAGCCAGATGGGCTGTACCTTTTGATACTAGAGTTTGTAGCAGAGGAGGAAGGGTGATTGGGTGGTGAATTTGAATAAGATTGTGTAAGAGCCGATAGACTAGCTCGTGCTGCTGAGGAGTGGGCAACACTCGAGCTGGGCTTGTGGCTCATTCTGTTTCCCTCGGGTGAAGTTGAAACTGATACGGTGGTCGAGTAAAGAGGCAGGTGATCGCTCATGTCGTCGCCCGTAAAGCTATGGGCACGTGATGACATCTGACTTGCCTGCCGGGCTAAGCCGGGGCTGTGTATTATATTCGGCCTTCGTTGGCTGTGCAGAGCCTGTGTATTTTCCGCGAGATGACTTTTAATTTTCGGGAACGCGCTGACAGAGTCCACTAGGATATAGCCTTCCGGGACGACTTCATTTCGGAAGAAGGACCTAGCCACAGCTTTCGAGGGGAAGTAGTCTGACCGAATTCCCAGACACTTGCTTGGCGCATCGCCACCTGGTGCAGAGGGGCTCCATCCACGCATTGAGCCATGAATGGGAGCAGGGGCGAAAAAGCAGGACATCATCGCAAGCATTTGTACATCGCCCAGTCTCTCAAAATGGTCAAACAAAGCAGGTAAGAGATAGGATGAGCCTAGAGGATGATTTCCCCATCGAGTTCGACCTCGGGCCCCATTCCCCAGCTCAATACCTTGTTTGGCGCTTTTCGGAACGCGTGTCAGCGATCGAGCAATAATAGAAATATCATATGCAGTGGTATGGCTAAGATCCGGCAGGACCTCCAAGGGGACGGAGTCATCGAGTACGAGCCCCATGAGCATCCATACAGATGCAAGATCATCCAGAGCGGCACTCTCGGCCACTCCTGCATTGTGCTTACACGTCTCTTTTGCGTCTCCGAAGATCATGTAATCTTCAGCCAACTCTCGTTTCGAGGGTAGTAAGCTTTCGAAAGCATGCATTGATATGGTACTGGTACGTGGGGCTTCGGCCAGCTTCTGTCCTCCTGCTGTGGAGTGCATAGATCGGTCTGGTGAGCGTGACTGGTGTTGCAAGCCAGTCACGGGAAGGCGAAAGGATGAGCCACCTCGGACGTTCTGCTCCGTTTCGAAGGAGGCAGAAGAGCTGCTTGATGACTTCCATGAGGATTCAGAGGTATCGGAAGCAGTATCATCGTCTGCTGTTTTCATCCCGCCTGTCATCTTATGAGCAGGCGAACTAGAATGCAGGCGGCCGAACCCTTCAAATAAACGATTCGAGTCGTATTCTTCGAGATCTTTCACACCAAGTGTGCCTAAGAGTGAAACGGGTTCCTTGGACCTCGTAGGGAAGAAACACACTAGTTTTCCAGTCTCAGACCAAACGGCGCCACAGCCTTTAGGGATTGGGACGCTCATATTGGCCGACGCATCCAACTGGCCACGAGCCGTTTCCATTTGGTCATCGTCGTCACTACTCGAGTCGTCCGCTGGAATTGTCGATGGGTCAAGAACCTTGGAGTCGCTGATGGATTCACCAAGGACCCAGGCAACGATTTGTTCCAAGTTTTGTTCTCTGAGAAGATATCGAAGCACTGCTTCAAGACAACCTCTCTTCCTCGAGGCATAAGTCTCCGAGATAGTCTGTAATTCCGTGGCCAAGTGCTTGTGTGTTGCATCATCTAGCGCGCCAGTCTTCTGCAGGCTCAAAACTGCATTGGCACCTCGAGGATATAGTTTTGGAAAGCGCATTTCGACCCGTAAGTATATTTGACTCTGCTCTTCCCCCCAAGGAGCTTGAAGAGACATGACAGCCTTTCGGTGTGGTATGTCAACGCTCTCGAATTCGACTTTCTTGAACTTCTCCCCAACTTGACGTATTTCTTCCGCAATGGTGTCCGGGTCCCAGGAAAAGATTTTGACGTTCTTGAGCCAGGCGATTGGGTCTGCCGTCTGTCGATTATTCCCTCTCCCGTGCATGCCAGATCGTTGTGCCTGACGGTTGCCTGCGACCCAGCCCCGGAACTGGGAAACTGGCACTCTGTTCATGCCCACATTCGTACTTGCGCGGGGTCGAGACTGAAAGAAACTTTGGCGAGGGAAGGTTTCACTGCGAGGGGTTTGCTCCGTTGGCGAATCTGTATCGTTTGGTTCGTCTCGAAAGGTCCTGTAAATGGCTCCTTTTCGAGTGAAGTTCAGGCGCTGGACTTTGGATTTCCCTTGCTCGTAGCCAATATCAAGGTAGACCTCGGGGTCTAGTGCATGCAGTCTTAGGTCTCCATCTGTGCCCCAAGTAACTAGTTGGAAGTCTCTGTTATCGATGTTATCCGAGATGGTGCCTCGAGAGCGCCACAGAAACTCTTTGACTTGGCCCTCATGGCCTCTGAACGTTGCAACAGGACGGACGCGTCCGCTTTCGAGTTCGCCGTGAACTGTCCTGCGGTCATACAGGTGCAAGTTGCTGCTGCCTCGCTGTGGCATGGCGAGTAATCCCCAACCAAAGGGAGTATGGCGGGCTCTCCAAACAGGAAAGGTCGTCTCGATGACGCGTTCTGGCTGGTCATATGAGTTGTCAAAATCCCAGAATTTGATGGTCTTGTCGAGGGAGCAGGTGACAATCTTGTTTGGGTGATGACGATTCCAATCGATGCCATAGATTTTTGTCCCATGAGCTTGAATGGTCCTCAGAGGATATGCCCCATGCCGATCGTCCCATATGTGCAGGTACTTATCGTGAGCGCTTGCAATGATGTGTTCATCCTGCCGGCTCCACTTCACTTGGGTTGCGCCGGCAAACCAGTCCGAGAATGAGTTCACTGGTCTCATGGCGGCACGCAAATCCCAACAATGCACGAAGCTGTCTACAGCGCACGTCGCAAGGACGTCTGGATTGTGGGCAGAGAAATTGATGTCAGTAATTGCTCTGGTGTGTCCGTGGAGGACAAACTCAACACTGTCCTGCCATGAGCGAGCTTGCAAGTTCCAGACCAAAGCCTTCTGATTCGAAGTACTGATTACCCAATAGTCGCGCGAGGCAAAGGGGGACCATTGCACATCCGCCACTTCCCATGGTGTTCGATGGGGCAAATAACGAGGCGGGGAATATGGTGAGTCTAGGTCAATGATATGAAGCCCTTCTTTAGAAGCTAGCACAACGTCTCGACCACTAGGGGAAATGGACATGGCCCCAATGGGCTGCTCCAGGTGGAACGAAGCATCTTGACCAAAGGTTTCACTTTCGAATGGCGAAGCAGGTCCGCGCCGAGCCATTGTCAATCAGAACACTGTACCTCGTGGAATTGGATTGCAAGACTTCTGGTGGCAAGTCTGGAGTGCTTGGAAAATACGCGCGATCGCTAAGTGCTGGCATCGAGCATGGTACATATCGCAGACCCGGTTGGGGAGATCGCAGGCACTTGCCAATGAATCTGTCGCTGGTAGATATTGGTCAGGTCTGGGGATTGCGCGGTTGATTGCGAAAGGAATGATTGGTAAATCCAAGGCACAAACAGGCTTAATAGCTCTAGTTCATTAGAGGCTGGTTATGTTGTCCGCTTGTTGTATTGGTACGAAGGCGAGGCGATTTTTCAAGTAACAACTCGCGGATTTTCATGGGAAACAGAGTATCTCTTATGATGAGGCGACGGAGGAAGCGCTGTCGAAGCTGTTCATTCCTGTCACCAGCTCAAACTGATCAGAGATCCGTGATCACCCTTCCAAGCACCAACGCCAAGAGTCTGAAGACTATTAGTAATATCTTAGTAACCATGAAGTTGCAACTCCCCGCGCCGACTACAATAATCATCTGAGACATAAGTTACTAAATTCCCATTCAGCGACTTACGCTTCTCACTATATAATAAGAATAAAAAGTATTCTTTTAGATTTTGAACAAAATTGGATCGATGGGGAATCGATCCGCGGACCTCCCATAGACACGCGTACAGTGATGGAAATGGGAAGCAGGGGGACCAACATATCTTTATCATTTGCATCACACGTTATCAAGTGGAAGTAGAGGGCACATTATTCATCAAGAGATACGCTGGCGCTCCTAGGACAATCACGAGGATGTTGCTCGAGCTAAACTCGTTGTGTAACTTGATATTTCCTCTCTCCCTGACCTTCCTTCACAGCTCAAACATAATGTTGACCGAATGCCCAGACTTGGTGTCTACGGAGTACACACGAACACGATGGTAAATTGAAAATTCCAAAAAAAGCCTGGATCGACGGGGAATTGAACCCCGGACCTCCTCTAAATTGAAACTACCGGAAACGGTAATTTGTTGCTAAAGAGGCGCGATACCACTACACCATCGACCCCGATCCGAATCCTGGAGGACAGGATCCGGTTACTTGTTGGGGAAAGCTTCTCATCCGAAATATATCAATTAACGTTAGCCCTGGTATGGTATAAGGTTGGACTAGGCTATATAGGCTGGGCAAACCCTTGGGCTACCCAACGTGTAATCTATTTAAAGCACTTCCTGATAAAACGCCAAGACCTCCTAATTAGGAAATATCATAGTCCAGCAAAAAAAGTAAATCTCTTGCTTCTCGCTTCTTTTAGCCAAATAAGAAAATGGGCGCTCATTTCGGGGCCAAGACTAAAACCCAATCAGAACCCAACTAAAATACGAGTAAGGATTGCGATGGGTTCTACCATATTGGAACCCAACCCGGTGCTTATTCCCGTGGGCCCAAGTTATGTAGTATTAATTAAGTTAGCTGTGTCAGGGACTCAGGACGCAATCGTCATGCGTGGAGAGTAACCAACGCCTGCTCGCCGATTCGCTTTGCATTGGTACTCCGTACTACAAGGCAAGTTCAACATCCTCCGAGCTCTAGCACCCACCTGCATCAAGGAAAGTGCGATCCAGTGGAATAAGAATAACGCTGGTCGCATTTACGCCCCCTTTTGATTCCAACGACTCAGTCCGATTGTGCTTCTCTTTGTGGGAGCTTGGTGCTTCTTCGGACACATGCCTACAGACGAGCGATACGGGGTCACCGCCAGCAATAAAGTCTTCTGATCGCCGAAGTCCAAGAGCAAGCCAAAACTGAATCGGTTTCACCGAAAGTGGCTGCTCCTGTTCATGAACATGTTTGCATCCAAATGATCAACGAGTGATGCCGAATCGTTACATGCAGGCTACCCGACGTTGCAGCCCCAAGCTCCTACAGCACCTCGTCTTGGACAAGAAACACGCTTTCCTCTGGAAATCAAGAACCGTCCGTCATCTCTGCAAAGGATGTCTCACGATAGGAATCACTGTCAAAGTGCCCACTGAAGGGCCCCTCTCTGCATCGAGAACCTCTGAGTTCTACCAGGGCAATCTCGTTGATTTCGGCAATATCGCTTCGCTTAAACCCATGTCTGAAGTGTCTGAAGTTGCTCTGGCCGAAGACCCAGGAAACTCGGGATGATGGAAAGGTCAATGTTGTAAGCCATGGCACTGAAGGGAATTGGGATCCAGTCAGATGGAACAGATGACAATTGCTGGTGGTGATGGCGTGGATATTCTTCGATGAGGACATCAAGTCTCATATCGTACTTGCAAGTTTCCAACAGGCTTCTCACTGATGAAACCTCATTTATTCGACAAAGAACTGCTCGAAGTCTTATTTTGCGTGACTGTCCGTTCTTAACCCCGTCCTTTGTAAAATGGTCGTTCGATCATCAGCGCGTTTAGGACTCCTCCACGGTCTGCACACTGGCATTCACCAACCATTAATTTGGCCTTCGACCGGGCGCAGACATGACTGAGAACCACACGTTTGCACCGGGATGTCCGGATAGCGCAGTCAGTTCCGCTTTTGATGTTCTCCTCCAACAAGCCCTGCTGGAGAGGCGAAGTGCACCGGGCCGGGCGCACACGCATCAACCACCAGCAAAACGAACTCCCATCTTTGTAACAACATGGCCATCCACCGTAACTGGGAGGCGCAACTTAGTGTGATTGGGTGTCATCTCCAATCATGACTCTATCAGGCATCTCCGGCTGCCTTGCAACTTTTCAGGCAACGGCTTGACCATCCACATGGACAAGGTTTTCGCAAAGACTACCGGATGCGTGGCTAAATGTATAAGAAGGCAATCGTAAGACTGTTTTCCTTGGTGCTTCTTGCATCCTTACGATCCTTCGACCAAAGCGAGAACCTGTTGTTTTGACTCTTGACATCCTACCTCCAACATGCCCGGCGCAATCATAGACGAGACTACCTGGGTGACGACTGAAGTCCCGGGCCCAGTGTCCAAGCAAAAGATCGCAGCATTGGACAAAGTCTTTGACGCAAGAGCAGTCCACTTTGTGGTCGACTACGAAAAAAGCCATGACAACTTCATCGTGGATGTCGACGGCAACAAGTACCTCGATGTGTACAGTCAGATTGCTTCAATCCCTGTAGGCTACAACAACCCAACTCTCATCGCGGCTGCAAAGTCACCGGAGATGGTCTCGGCCCTTGTCAACCGCCCAGCCACGGGCAATTTCCCAGCAGAAAACTGGTTTGCCCTCTTGACAGAAGGTCTCCTCCGCGTGGCCCCGAAAGGCCACAACAGGCTGTTTACCGCACAATCAGGGTCGGAGGCAAATGAGTTGGCATACAAGGCAGCATTCATGTACTACCAACGACAGAAGCGGGGCGAAGGTGTGGAGTGGAGCGATCACGAAATCCACACGTCGTTGCACAATACCTCTCCTGGCTCCCCAGACCTGTCCATCCTGAGCTTCAAGAACTCTTTCCACGGACGAGGTTTTGGCAGCTTGTCTACCACCAGGTCAAAAGCTGTGCACAAACTTGATATCCCATCCTTCGACTGGCCACATGCACATTTCCCGGCCCTAAAGTATCCTCTCGAGGATAATGTTGAAGCAAACAAGGCTGAGGAGGAGGCCAGCCTCAAGGAAGTGGAGGCACTCATTACTTCATGGTTAGTAGAAGATCTTCCCATGATTTTCTCAATGTGATATATCAAACTAACAATCGCTCCCAGGCCAAACCCAGTTGCCGCGGTGATCGTCGAGCCAATCCAGAGCGAAGGCGGCGACAATCACGCCTCACCAGCTTTCTTCCAGGGCCTACGATCCATTACCAAGAAGCATAACGTGCTCCTCATCGTCGACGAGGTGCAGACCGGATTCGGCGCCACCGGCAGCTTCTGGGGCCACGACCACTGGAACCTGACCACGCCACCGGACATGGTGACATTCTCGAAGAAAGCACAGACCGCCGGCTACTTCTTCGGCGACGAGAAACTGTGCCCGGACAAGGCCTACCGGCAGTTCAACACCTGGATCGGCGATGCCGCGCGCGTCCTGCTGTGCAACGCCGTCATCGACGAGATCCTGAAGCGCAACCTTGTGGCCCAGACTGCGAGAGTGGGCGAGCAGCTGTACGCCGCGCTCGAGCGCGTGGCGGAAAAATATCCCGAACACGTGCACAATCTGAGAGGGAAGGGCCAAGGAACGTACATCGCGTTTGACACGACCAACGCTGCGGCTCTGGTCAAGAAGATGAGGTCGCTGGGTATCAACATCGGTACCTGCGGCAAGGAGACCGTCCGGCTGCGCCCAATGTTGATCTTTGAAGCCGAGCTGGTCCCCAAATTGGTGGGAACCCTGGAGAAGGCTATTCTGGCCATACAATGATACACTACAGCGAGTTTTCTGCCGGGAGAAATTTCTTTTCTTTTCTTTTCTGCCTTTGGGTTTTATCTAGGCTGGGCTTGAGCGAGCGAATATTCTCGGATTTTCGGGCAACCAAGGAGTTTGGGCACTTCAAGCGGAAGATTTTGGTCTCAGAACCCACTCCGGTAGCTATTTCCCAATAGTCATTCGATCCCAATCTACATACATATCAGGAAACTTGCTACATGCTGGCACATGCGACGGGATCAGCCGTCACCCGGAAGAGTTGGCTCATTTGTAACGTAAATGAGCCAGCTTTCGCGCCGTTGCGGGGGGCGCAGTTCTGCCTCGCCCACCAAACTCTTGAAATCGCCGAGCCTCACCACCTCAGCCTTGCATAGACCAGTTCACTGGTACCCGGCCCGGTGCACCCAATGGCTTATTTATTGCCCAAGGACATCTGCGCTAGGTGGTGGAGAGGGACGAGACTTTATGGAGTCCCGAGCCTGCTCCATGAAATTTTAGAAGGGGATGCTATCAGCGAGCCTCGACAGTTGCACGTTGTCCAAGGCGGGTGCTTGAAAGGGAACAAATGGCCTAAGGTCGCCGTGGTCTGAGGACTTTGGCATGCTAAAAAACATGGTGTACTTTACATAAGCTTCGAAAATCTTCGAACGCAGTAGTCGTCTCTCCCCGCTGCTCCTCTGCCTACACCAGTAAGAGCACTGGGTGTTGTAGAAGGCGCCTCTTATTTCCTGTCCTCTTCGAGTTGCTCCACCTCGCGAATTTTCATCTCCAGCTCAGGATTCCGGACTGGTTTCTCCACGGTCACTGTCGTCACGGTCCAGACCGTGGGAATTACAATAGCTAGAGCGCCCATTGAGAGACCCCAGTTCATTCCCAGTTGACTCATAGGACTTTTATGCAAAGCATTGATTCTCCACGCCATCGCGCCACCCGTTGCTTGGAAAGTTTTGTAGGAGCCAACCAGTACTGCCGCCCTTGACGTCGAGTTGGACTCCGTACCGATCAGCCAATAGCAGTATCCCTGCCACAACGCGTCGTACATGCCATAGAAAATATACAAGAAGATGGGTCCAGTCGAGATCGAGCCCTGTGTGTAGTCGACATCTTGCTTCAAGCCGGCAGCCAGTCGACGGTCTTGCCACTTCTGGAACGCATATCCGCCGCCCCATATTGACATTCCGGTGACGAAAAGAATGACCCATCCCACTCGAGCGCGCATTGGACGAGCCAAGAAAGGCAGGTCTAAAACGAGACCAATGAACAAGCCCCCTAGCATCTGTGCGATCCAGTATAGCGCGCCGTTAAGGGACCGAGAGCGAATATTGAATGTCATTCCGTTGACGTTGTTCTGCTGGTAGGAGTAGAACACATTGGCGCAGAAGAATAGGGGTAGCATGCAGGCCACACGCCAACTGGCCATGGTGCGAACCACGATCTCAACCGTCCCTCGTAAAGAATGTTTTTCCTGTTCAACAGCGGCATGAAGCTGGGCGAGCCGGATCCGCTTCGGTGAGCAGATGAGGAGACCGAGGCCCCAACCAATTAGCATCATAATCATCAAGGCGATATATGTCGAGTCAGTGACCGTGCCAGACTTGCTTCTGAAGTTGAGACCGAAGGAAGCCAAGCTGCCAACGCCGCCTCCGAGGTTGAAGATGATCCAGAAAACCGCGATTGCTCGACCTTTCTGTGACTCAGCCACATAAGTCGTCATGATTGCGCCCTGAACAACCCAGAGCATGGAAGCACCAATACCGAGTATGACGCCAGATGCAATGACAAAGGCTCCATTGTCATGATCTGGTGCGAATCTCATTAGCGCTGGGTTTTTGGTCTTCCTTAAGCCCCGACTTACGATTGAAGTTGAGGAGGCTACCGCTGTAAAGGGCGTACGTCCATCCTCCAAGCATGAAGCAGATTCGCGGGCCGGTGTACGTGAATAATGGGGACACAATGAGCAATGCGGTTGCCGCGGTTGCGGACAAAAGCCCAACTGTTGCATTCGCGGCGACGGTAGGGTCAACCTGATGGCATTAGCGGCAGTGTCAAGGTTTACCTAATCGCATTATAACTTACCTGGCCGCTGCCCCCTAAGCCGCCCAGTGCGTTGTACATCTATGTGTCGCTTATTTATAATCAATTGTACAGGGGCGGGCAAACTTACCCCTGGGCAGCAGAAACAAATGAGACTGATGAGCACGATTTGAGTCCATGGGTGTGAGTAGAAAGACTTGACATTCGAGAATCTTGATCGAGGGCCCTGTTCAATGTCTATCTGGCCATGATTAACTGCCTCAATAGCAGGTGTCGCACTTTGATTGACCATCTGTCCAGGTAATTTTCGTGTAGTGAATTTTCGGCTCAAAAATTGTCGATTGAACAGGTCCGCGGCGCTTGTTGGACATTAGTATGCCTCGAAGACATCGATGCTGCATTCTGTCATGCAAGTGATCCAACCGGTCACGTAACGCGGAGAAAGGAGTCTGCCGTTACATCACAAGATTGCCTCCTCAGTATGGCCACAACGACCCCAGAAACTGTAATGGTGAAAAGATAAGCTTTCGACCAAGCAAATTCATGCACTTTGGTGGATCGCTATATGTGTTTAGCGAAGATAGGACATGATCGGCAATCTCAGTAATGTTTAATTCGGCTCGGTCGGTGTTCTCCATGGGCATAACTCGTGGTACGTGTACCCGGGCGGTGATTATAATCCACCTAAATCATTCAGGAATTAAGCAAGATTCCAGCCGCCACTTTGTGAGAAATGCTACGGTAAGCAATTAATGAAACAGTAGTACCGGTTCGACAGTAGTAGCCATGACTAATCCTTGCTTGTCGCAATTGGATTGACCGGTCACGTCGCCGGAGCAGTCTCGGGGTTTTGACCTCTGCCATTATTCATCCCTTCGGAGAGTATTGCTTCATCGAGAATGTTACTGATGATTGAAAAGTTGTAGTCGCTCGACTGTATGCAATTATTGGAAGCAATGCCAACTCAATCCGACCTCCGTGGGCTCTCTGCATTGCACACTGAGCAACAGAATCCGCACAGTCGGTATATTGATGAAGTCTCGGCGCCTCAACTGTGTCAAATTATCAACAACGAGGATGCCACAGTAGCGGGCGCCGTCCAAAAATGCATCCCTATCATCGCGGAGTCAATTGAAATACTTGCTGAGCGGGTCAGAAATGGAGGCAGAGTGATATATGTTGGCGCTGGGACAAGTGGAAGGTTAGGCGTTCTGGACGCCTCTGAGATTCCTCCAACATACTCTGCACCAGAGCGACAGTTTGTAGCGATCATCGCAGGCGGAGATGTTGCCCTCAGAAAAGCCCAAGAGGGAGCTGAAGATAATGTGGAAGCTGGTGTCAATGATCTCAAGGCTCTCAACCTAGACCCCAAGGTCGATTCATTGGTTGGTTTGGCTGCTTCAGGTCGAACACCTTATGTGCTGAGTTGTCTCTCTTATGCTAAATATCAGGGCTGCTTCACAGTTGGAGTTGCGTGTACTGAACCTTCAAGGATGAGCACGAGCAAAGATGTAGACTGCATGATCAGTGCGGTTGTTGGGCCAGAGGTCGTGACTGGAAGTACCAGGATGAAGTCAGGCACGGCCACAAAGCTTGTTCTCAATATGTTGAGTACAGGCGTGATGATCAAAATTGGCAAGACTTTTGGCAACATGATGGTCGATCTGAGAGCAACGAACTTGAAACTTCAACAACGGTCGCGAAACATATTGCGCAGTATTTGTGGTTCAAAATGTCCTGAGCGCGACGAGGCACTGGATGATATGTTAAGCAATTGCGGTGGAAGTGTCAAGACCGCAATAGCCTCGTTGATGCTAGGGATTCCGGTCACAGAAGCGGTTGATCGCTTGAATGATTCAGGGGGTAGCCTTGCGAAGGTCCTTAAGCATGAAAAAGCCGTTCCTACGGAGCCGACCAGCAATGGTAGGCAATTTGAATATTCTCTCTGTGTTGACGGTGGTGGTAGCAAATGTGCTGCTGCCATCATCTCAGCAGACGGTACGATTGATTATGGGGAAGCTGGTGGTTGCAATGTCACTGATGCCGGAGTGGAAGTAGCCATGCTATCGATATCTCTTGCCATCCAACGAGCAGCTGACTCCTCTCCAGTTCTCTCTGGGAGACATTGGGACACACTCTGCTATTCCTCAATCTGGGTTGGCTTAGCAGGCTATGATAGGCCTAAAGTTGCTTCACAGGTCAACCACGCACTTGAAAGGCTATTTCATCGTAAGCGAGGGCCGAGATTGAGGATCACTAATGACATCGAGCTCCTTGCACTTCCCTTTCTCGAAAGGCATAACATCAATAATGCCATCGTGCTCATTGCTGGGACGGGCTCAGTTGCTATGAGGTATAAAAGAGACAATGATGGTCTCTTCAGAATTAGTCGCTTTGGAGGTTGGGGCCATCTGATCGGCGATGATGGATCAGGCTTCGACATTGGCAGGAGAAGCATTCGCCATGCACTTGCTGCTCTGGACGATTTCAAATCAAGGGCCAGCTGCGAATATGAAGATCCGGAGTTTGATGAATTAACTCGAATCGTCTTGCAACATTTTCAGCCAGACTCCAGTTCTAAGCTCGACTATGATCTTCTCAGTGAAATCTTGAACTCCAGCCCTGAATTGCCCAATAAAGAGCGAATCGCTCAGCTTGCAAAGGTTGTGGTCGAGTTGAGTGAAGATGTCGAAGCGCAAGCAATAGTCTCAGACGCAGTGCAGAGTCTGGTCAGGCTTGTCCGGTCAATCGCGCCGTCTAGACAGCTAGATCTGAGTGATTCCGCTTTGGTGCTCGCAGGAGGATTGATGCAGAATGATGTCTTCAAAAGACAGCTGGAAGGAGAACTCTTGAAAGCTGTTCCCCAATTCAAGCTGGTGGAAGTCGTAAAGCAGCCTGCGTTACTTGGTTCTCAACATCTTTTGCAGGAGGAGTTATTGTCTCGGTAAGCAGTAGCCATGATGTAATGAGCTGCGAGCAGCTGATAGAAAACGATCACGACTCTCCCAGCGATCTGTTTTGGGTCTGCGAGCAGAATATTGGTAAGAACCATGACTGTCTAAGGGTGTTTGGTGAGGATTGCTTTCTCGTGTAACGAACACGAATGAACACAAAGGAGAGAAGATTCGAATTTGGGCATCGGAATGGCGAGAAATGAGGTAGCCTGGTACAGGAATAGTGTTGATTATTTTTGATGTAGGGCTCTAAGTCCTGTCCTGAGAGAAGGGCCGCCGGGGTGTTCTCTTTGGATCTCACAATTCTTCATGCTGGCACGGGTGCCAAACATGGCCTGTGAGCGAGAAAAGGTGTTGATAGATTAAAACAAGGCTCTGGTTTGCAACGGATCGGGCCCTCAAGGATGGCGTCCCCTGGTATCTGAATATTCATCATACTGGCGAGGTTGCCAAGGCACGGCCTGTGAGCGAGGAAGAAGGAGGAGGAGGAGAGAATGAGGGAGAAATGGAGGGGAGAGGTAGAAGAAGAGAGAGGTAGAGGAAGTGGAAGTAAGTTGGAAGACGGGGAAGGATTGCAATAAGATTATGAAGATAATAAAACCATTCAATTCCGGAAGCATCATTCTTGCCGCACGCCCGGTATATAACTTGAAGCCAAAAGAAAATAACCACTAAGTCATAGGCATTCGACTCCAAACCACCACTAGCTTGTCCTGATGATCAACCCGGTGGAGTTCACTGAGAGAAATAGTCTATCATGCCTTTGCAATTGGTAAAAAGGCCGTCGGACGAGGTGGACATGATGATGACAGATGATCGAGAGCTATTGGGTTCTTTCGAGATAAGACATGTGTAGTTGTCCAAGTCTCGGTCTTCTTGCTGATAGCCTTGCCTTGAAGCTTCGTCGTAATTTGATTTGAGCGTACACCATTAAGGTGATTGGCACAAACTCTGCTGGGCATGCATCTGGTAAACAAGTGTGAAACTTTGGATGTAACACTTGTCAGAAATATTGGTACATTGAGCCATTGTTTGCAGTGCTTTTTTGTAACGATTGACTTGTGTTTCTTCTTTCTCCCTCCTTTTTTAAGGTTTTATGTGTACATATATTCCATGTAAGTTACGGTTGGCCCGACTTGCTCGGCTCAACGACGGTCTCGAAATAAGTTCAAGAGTGATCAGGTTCAGTTAACCGCGTATGGCGACGTAGGACTGGATGAGGATTAAAGGAGGACGGTTTCGATCAGAGTAGAGTGTGGAGAGAGTTTGATATAGGATAACTTAGCGCTCGTCGCCGTAATGAGTCAAAGGTTCAGAAATCGAGGCGGGTGCGTTAACGGAAGATGGCTTAGGACGTAGGATCGAGGTATCCATATTGTTGCTACCATTTTGTCACCGGGAGACAGGAATGACCGCTCGCACGGAACGTCTAACTGCCGGAATGTTCAAATGAGGTTCGGCATTTGAATGAAAGTATCCAACTGCTATGGTCCATTGTAATCCTCGGACAGTCGAGGTAGCTTGGGCATCTTATAGGAAGGCTTGTTTCGTCTTCCGTATGCGGTCGTTTGGTCTTGTTGTCCTCGCAGGTAAGTGGGAGGAGGATGAAGTAGGAATATGGACCTCAGACTGGCTCGTTTGTGATAGTGTTGCGCAAATGTAGAATCGACCGAAATGTACGGTATATGTATAGGATCTAGGTAACGTTAATGATTCAACAGCCCAATGCAACTAGTTAGTGGGTAGAAAACTTACCAACAAGTGGTAGATGCATGCTAATGATCCAGAGCTAGATATAAGGTAGAAGGTCCATCGAGTGTTGTCTGTGTTCTCAGAAGGTCCTTCTGGGAGTTCCCTTGTTGTCTTGAATGAAAGGATGAGCCTCGTCTAAGTCTTCAAGGTGTCTCTCAAGTGGATCTGAAGTTCAGGAATGAGATGGATGAACAACAGAGGAACAGGGCGGAACAGGGAGACTCATATAGCACAGGCATGAGTCAGAAGCTGATAAATTTGGCAATTCAATGGAGGAAGGAACCACATTCAATTGCAGTCTCTGAAACAGCAAGTTGTCCCTGGGTTCCAACTTGCTGAATGGTCGAGTTCATCGAACGCGAACAGGTCTCAGGTCGAATGTAGATTACTTTGAATATTGATAGACAGTTGATCCCAGGCACCGCTCTCGAACCTGAAATGATTTACTCCAACCCACCATGTTATGGCTGGTCCTGCGATTCAAGCACTGAACAGCCCATCCTGACTCCCTTCGGCCCGCTCTCTTCTCCTACTATCCTCCACAGCCTTCGCATCCGCGTGCTTACCGGGCTCAAAGACATACATCGGCCACTCACAGCCGACTGTCCTCTTCACGATCGTCGGGAGGGCCCTCCACACGGACGGCGGCATGGGGATGAGAATACTCGTACTTTCGAGCCATTTTCGATGTTGTTTCCAGGCTGGGCCACTCGGACCATCGTTTTCGAACTTCTTCTTAGCGCCAGGCCGCTCCTGCAGCGTCAAACCCGACACGAAGAGCAGCAGCAGCGTGAGGAAGAACGCGCCCACCATGCTGGAGTACTGCGCTGCGTAGGCGCCGCTACCCTGCGGGATGTAACCATACGCGGAGGGTGAGACAGCGAGGGTGAAGATGCCGAACTGCACGAGGATCTCGCCGAAGTAGTTCGGGTGTCTGCTCCACGCGAACAGGCCGACGTCACACGTCCGACCTTTGCTGGCTTCACTTGAGCGGAAGCGATACTTCTGCACGTCGGCGACGGCTTCGAGGAGAAATCCCACTGCCCACATGATCAGTCCAACGATGTCGGCGGCGGTACCAAATGTAGGCTGTACATATCGACCCGCGACATTCGGCGAGTTGAGAATGGTCACGGGAAGGCTGACGGTCCAGACCCACAGCATTTGGAAGACCCAAAAGCCGAGGAACGGAAAGAACTTGTCGCGCTTGTCGTCAAAGCGCGTGTCTGTGCCGGTTTTGAGGATGCGGAATAGTAGGAAGCCAGAAAGTCGGAATGCCCAAAGGATGAGAAACAGTGATGCGAGGATTTGCCGTGTTGTATGTGTCGCGGAGAGACCAAGGGTGAGGACAGCGAGAATGATAAAATTGGTGCCGCCAGCAAAGTCTAGAAGGAAGATTCGCGTTAGCTCAGAAACATGGACAGATGTCTGTTCGGGTGTGTGCTGAGAGAGATCCCAATATCTTCATCGAAAGACGAGTATGTGTCGTGACCTCGAAGCATGAACACCGCATATTTGGCAACCTCATGCCCACCCAGACCAGCTTCTCAAGGAGTAAAATTCGACTTACCCGTCAGCTTATCGAATTTACAGGTAAAGGCGATCGAAAATCCAATGAGCTGGTACGCGACGGTGACCAACAACGTGATGGCGAGGAAGTAGTCGTCCAGCACGCGGTGGCCGGCCATGTTCAAGGTATTGGACTCTCCTCCTCCAGTCTCGACGAAGCACGTTGTGATGTACACTCACAAAGAGAGAGAGAGAGAGGGCCTTGAAAACAGTTGTCTCTTGTCAAAACCACACCAGAGACGTCGAGCACTGAGAGCACAAATTGGGGGTTCGGGAGGGAAACAGATTTATCTGAAACGCCAGAGGTGTCCGCCACACTACTGTCTCGACAGGGCCGAGGAAAGAAAAGCAAAAACAATCTTAGACGTCAGAGAATCGGAATCCACGATCACGACCATCGCGGCAGCCGAAGGATACATACGTCGACAACGCACGTACGGGCACGGCGGTCGCAGAGTCTGCCAATGTTGGGTCTAGTGGGTGTCTCCATGGCTCATGGGCAGTGGCTGTGCTTTGGTGATGGTGTTGAGCCTGGAGAGTCGCGAGGCCACGTTCATGACGTCGTTGATTTCGGCAGCGGATCGGCCCTGATCGACCACAAGCTCGCATCGGGGATTTCGGTGCGCGGGAAAATGTTCCTCCGTATCGCCCAATGGGTACGTAGATTAAGAATTAATTAGCACCTCACGTATGATTAAACGTGAATCACGAATTCAACGGTCCTTGCTGCCAGTGGCCACCTGGTTGTTAACCTAATTTACATCTTGCCTCCAGAAATATCCGGATTATATAACGGCGGATCTCGCCTCGCCATGACAAACAAGTTGCGAACATTTAGCACCGCATAAGGCGCTGGAAACAACATCCATCGTAAGCAAATTCTACAGTTTGGCCTTTCCGGTTTGTTTCTTCCGCTCTTCGAACCACTCCTTGACTCGCTGTCTGGCCACTTCCACGACCTCACGGTCTTCTACCGTCGCTGGGACGTTGACTTCCTTATCGAAGTGACCCTCGGCACCATTCTCCACAAGCTCTCGCAATACCCGTCGAAGCGTCTTACCACTGCGAGTCTTTGGGATCATGCCTTTGCCTTGAACGATACCTCCTAGTGAAGCGATTGCACCGATTTGTGATCGGACAATATTGTTGATGCCGGTGAAGAATTCCTTTGACGGCGTGGCCGGCAGATTCGAATCAGATGTCGTTGAAGGTATCACAAATGCAAACGGTAAATGTCCTTTCATGGCATCCGGAATTCCCACCACACATGCTTCAGCAACAGAGTCGTGGGATGTGATTGCTTGTTCGATGGCACCTGTAAACCGTCAGTACTGCAAATTCAACCTCTCTAGACATATTCTTACCTGTGCTAAAGCGATGCGCGGCGACGTTGATAATATCGTCACTTCGACTCATGACATGTACATAGCCATCTTGGTCAATCATACCTGCGTCGCCCGTATCCAACCATTTGCCATCAAATCGCCTCAAGTACCCCTTGTAGAAGCGTGGATCGTCGTTAAATAGAGTGGTGAACCCAGTCGGTGCAAATGGCATGGCCAGAACGATATTGCCCATCTTGCCTTGTCCGACCTCTTTACCCTCATCATCTACGATGCGGACATCGAACCCTGGCATGGGTTTGCCAGCGCTACCAGGTTTAATGGCTAGAGCCTTGTGCTCGTCGCGACTGTGATGCTTCTGCCCGATCGCAGGGCGGAGGGCAATCCCCGTCATGGGACTTCCAGATTCACTTGACCACCAATGATCAATGACTCGAGCGTCCGGTGCGGCGTATTTGCTCAAAAGCTGTTGATAATGTGTGATGATGGAAGGTTCCGATCTCTCTCCAGCCAGGAATAGAGCACGCAGATGCCTCAAACGGCCCTTTCCACCACGATCTTTGAAGAACTTGTCCGTCGGGTCTTCTTTCCTGATGGCCCTCAGAGCAGTAGGCGCGGTGAACAAGGTTGTGACTTGGTGTTCATCAACCATGCGCCAGAAAGCACCCGCATCAGGAGTGCCAATGGGCTTGCCTTCAAAGAGGATTGTTGTTGCTCCAGCGAGGAGAGGTGCATATACAATGTATGAATGACCCACGACCCAACCGATATCACTACCGGTAAAAATGACATCACCTGGACCTTTGACATCAAACAGGTATTTCACGCTCAAATTCAATCCGACAGCATGGCCACCTGCTTCACGAAGAACGCCTTTTGGTAATCCAGTGGTACCACTTGTGTAGATAATATAAATACCATCGGTGCTCTTCACCGGAACAGCCTCAGCCCTGAGACCTCGAGACCTTGCCATTTTGATCAAAGCCTGCCAATCACTCTGGCCCTCGTCCTCTTTGACGGGATTCCACCTCTTGACGTCTCGCTGCCAAATGATGGTCTGATTAGGCTTCCATTTGCTCTGCTGGATCGCGCCTTCGACCAAGGGTTGATAAGCCAGAGGACCTTTAGCACCCTCAATCGCACAACTGGCAGTCAGAATGACTTTTGGCTTTGCATCTTCTATTCTTTGCGCCAAACTGTTGGCAGCGAATCCACCAAAAACGACGGCATGCATCGCACCCAGTCGGACAGCCGCCAGCATGCCGAATATCGCCGGTGGAATCATAGGCATATAGATCAGAACGACATCTCCTTTCTTGATGCCCTGATCTCTCAACACGCCCGCAAGCAGTTCCACTTCATCCAACATCTGATTGTACGTGTACTTCTCTTTCGAGCCACTCACGGGACTGTCCCAAATCATGGCAAGCTTGTCACCATTGCCGGCCTTGACATGGCGATCTAAGCAGTTGTATGTTGTACTAATCTCACCATCTGGAAACCAGGACCAGTGGGGATGTGAAGTACCGTCTGGTAACTTCTTGGTGGTCTGGCGGAGAGCAGCACTGTATGGTCTGTGCCAGTACAGCTCTTTGCCATGTTTGTCCCAGAATTTTTCAGGGTCAGATAGAGATGAGGACTGCACCGCGTCCTGGACTGTATTGTTAGGTGACATGGTGCAAGTACACCTGCGAGACGTAGAGGACGACCGAGGGCTTTTGTTCACGGGAGGGAAGGAAGATATCGCAATGAAGAAGGATGAAATGAATAGGCTTGCCGAGATAAGCAGAGAAGACGTTTGGAATAGTGAAGCGGAGGGGTCGACCGGCTGGTAAAGCTGAGCGTTGCGTCTCTGAACACGGTGGATGGAGAAATATATACATCCAATGGAACCCCTAGCCGCAGCCTGACATTTTGTTTTCGAGGTGGCGGGATCCTCCAGCGGTCAAAGTGGTATGCAAGCTGTTAAACCTGACAATGAGATCGGAAGCGAGACTGCACAAGCTTCCCAAATGCATCGGTGGCATTGCCAGAATATGATGCCGAGGACGAAGCAGGGCCCCAGCAACGGTCCGGCCGGCCCAGCGGAGTGAGGTGAGTGAAGCAAAGTACTCGTACATCATTTGATCGACGGCGCGGAGAAGGAGATGAGGAGATGGGGGTTTGGGGAGAGCTCCGAGACGGTTTTTCCGGCCGGGCTCCTTGGCGGCGGTTGGGTGAGGAAGGAGCTTTGGTTTGTGGTCTGAAGTCCAGCTGGGCAGTGGGCACCCATCAAGTGTTTCGCGGGGGCATGAGACTAGAAGACCGAGAGCTTCCCTCGGACTTCCATTCTACGAGTACATACGGAGTACTGTACATACGGAGTACTGTACATCGGAATTGTCTTGTCTATTATGATGGCTCGTGAGTGGCATGACAAGCCATCCTTTCGTCCTGCTACGGTAACAAGAGAAAGGTAGAGCCGAACAGCGGCCCGATCAACCCCATCCCAGTGGTGGTTGAGACCAAGAGACCGAAACATCGCCGATGACTAAATTGGACTTCCCAGTCAAGTCATGATACGGCTTGAACCTCCATACGATACTCAAATCCACCGAAGTTAACTTCAGACGTGACAAGTCGACGCAAACAAATTGCAGTACATGTTAGGTAAACACGTTAGCAGTACGCGGGCGATGTTAGAAATATGATTTCTGGAGGACACTGCATCGTTCTTCCCAAGTCCCCAAAATGAGAACCATGAACACTGACATAGTAAAGAGAACTAGGGAAGACAAGTGTTCTGTTTGTTTCAGTGGTATGCAGCAAATTTCACATTTTTGGATGCCCCGGGAACACACGATGCAATGCTATCCTCAAAAATATCCATTCATTAACTAATGACCAAATCCCAAGGATATATCAGGTGGATCTGCACCCAGGATCGTACAAAAACGTCCCACCCAAGAAACATATCCAGAGCCGACCACAACTTTGTCCGAGGCGTCGTCTGTCGTGGCAATGCAATCACGTTGCATCACAAGCACACTGCCACAATAAACGGACCGAGCTCTGTCTTTATACCCATGAGAAGCACCGCGTTAAGAACAAAAGAGAAGCCATAGAATCCAGAATGGGCAGCCGAACGTTGGTTCGGCCAGACTAGCCTTTCCAGGTCAAGGCCCCAAACATTCGACCATTTATAGGAGGAAAGCGGCGATGGCACCGACACCAGCAAGACCAGCGCCAACGTTGGCAACGAGGGCGTTGGCAGCGCCAGTGTAGGTAGCGGCGGCAGGCTTGACGGAGGTCGAGCCCCAGGCGGGAGCGCTGGTGGTGGTGGCAGGGGACACTGGGACAGCAGATGAGGTCCAAACACCTGGAGCAGGAGCAGTGGGGGTCGTGCTGCAAGAGGTTGAGGTCTTGGTGAACACAGGGACGGACACAGTGCAAGGGCAGTCGGTGATGGTCAAGGTAGTGGCAGTGCTGACAGTCCAGGTCTTGCCAAAGTGCACGATCTCAGTGGGTCCCGGACAGAAGGTGGTGATGGCGGTCACGATGGTAGTGGTCCAGGAGTCTGGCTCTTCCCAATCAGCCCAAGTGGTGGTCGCTGCCGCCGGGGTGGTGGTAGTAGTGACAGCGGCCTTCTTGGTGGTGGTGGTGGTGGTGGAGGTCCAGTCATCCCAAACAGTGGTGGAAGAAGCGGCGACAGGCTTGGTGGTGGTGGTGGTCTTGACGGTGGTGGTAGTGGTAGTGGTGGTCTCATCACCCCAGGCGGGGATGGCGACGACAGAGGTAGCCAGAGCGGCGACAGCGGCGATAGTGACCTTCATGTTGATAGATGGTGGTAGTTTCTGATTAGAAAACTGGAGAGATGTTTGATAAGGTTGAGGGTTGGTGTTTGTGAAAACGAGTGTAAGTGGTACTAAGACCGGTGTTTGTGTATGGTGCTAAAGAGCGACTGGAAGTTGGACTTCGATCTTGTTGATGGAGGAAAGAGAAAGACAGAGGATCAGCACGGTGAGTAGAATAGATATATGGAAGAGCTCGACGAGCAGGACAGTTGGGAGCTGGTGGCATGTTGCAGCCACAATTTCGACCGGGGTTCACCACGGGCCAATGGCGATGTGCGATAGGCTGATGAGGCTGCGCCATGTGGAGGTCACTATCCAAGCCCTGGTAGACCTTGTCAAAGCTACCCCTGACGCCGCTTGGTGATGGCTCCACCCGTCCACCCACTCTCCGAACTGCAATCCACCATCATTTTATCCTCTGGACGCTAAGTCTGGATACTAATTTCCTTCATTTTGGGGCAAACTTTTGCTGCGGCTGCCCGCTTTGGCCGGATGATGAATGCTGTCACTGTCAGATGCAATGCCATTTTGCTGAACCGGTTTGTGCGGCGATAGACGATTAGGGATCATATCATGGATGATGTCTGTCATGTATTATTTCCTCGCATCATTGGCGGCGATCTGAATTATGGACGTTTCGGGCAGTCCCAGTCTCGTGATTGGTATGAGGCGGGAAGGAAAGCTACTCTCGCTTATAGTGTCCCCATGTTGTGGCCATATTTGGCGCAATTGGCGGGCGTTGGCATGGAGGTCCTGTGTATACTCCGTACCTGGTACGGAGCACCGAGGCCATAGGACTCAAGACTCAGGGCTTAAGACTCAGGAGTAGCGGTCACCTGTGTGCCGTAGACCATAGTAGGCGCTGTTAGGCGGCTTGTCTCCCCCAGCTAGCTTGGGGCATGTTCAGCCGAGACAGACGAGCAGCAGTACTCCGTCCAAGCAGTGGCATAGCGGGAATTGGTTGCAGCACTTGTGCGCACAGGAAATGACATGGTAACCCAGCTGATCGTTGGTACGAGGAGCGGTCGCAATTCCTTGGACTTGTTTCGAGTTTGATTTCTGGGCCAACGGGTCGCGCTGGTCTGCAATGGGAAGCGAGCTGGGGCCAGCAGTTGTGCACGAGGAGCACGGGGAAGCTGATGGCAAAGACCGATTTGTCCCACGACCGGAGCACAAAGGCTTGAGTGTGCTTGTTTCGCAACGGGAGAGCGCAGTTGGTCGAGGACGGAGTGTGGTAGGAAATGCGAGGTAGACGGAGGCAGCAGTGGGCAGGTGGGCCTGGTTGATCTGGCGGTTGTCGGAAATGAGCCAAGCCTCGTCTGGCCAATCAGCGCTCGGCTGTCTCCTGACGAGCCTTGCTAGTCAAATTTGCTCGATTGCAACTTCATCTCTTGCGCCCGTGTCAATTTCTCCGGTTTTTTCGAGATTCCCGTTCCAACTTTGGCTGTGGACTCGTAGTCCAACAATGTGGAAGACATCCGTCGTCAGTGGTCACTTCTCGGTGGTTCCCTGGCAGTGGCCAAGCCAGAGGACCGCGGGCGTCTAAGGTGGCAAATACACAGCTATTCCGTACATGCCACGGACGACGGCTACCTAAGACCATTCGAATCTCATTTGATCGACAATGAATGGCGAATCGCAGTGGTCCTGCTCACTCCTCCCTACTAAAGCTCCATGCGAGAGTGGAATGGACGCCAATGGCTACGGAGGGCTCACTTCCGTATGTGGACGCAACTTGCGTGAGCCTAGATGACATGCAGACCACATACGCCATGGGCATTGTCATGGTCCAGGTCCAGGTCCAGGTCCATGCACAACTGTCTGCAACATGTTAGAACTTTGTTATTTCCTTCACCGACTGGATCGCTGAGAACCACGTGCATCGGCTACTCAGGAGTCAGGACGTCCTTGCACAACTAGATACAAGGGACAGTATAGTAGTATAGCGTGGATGGCAATACTCAAATCGTTTGCGCCATGACCCGAATGCTCCGAGCTGTCTGTTCGTAATGATTCAAACCCACGGTCCAAACGCGCTCCATACAAAGCCAATCGATAGTCAAGTCAACAGCCGAAGCTCTCTGAAGCGGTTTGCATCTGGTGGATGAATAATGATGTTCCAACTTCCCCCGTCGCGCACGAGTTTCTCAAAATAGCTTCCGGCCAAACAGTGCTCAATCCTCATGCCACCGTGGACCCGCTTCCAGGGGAGGCGTCACTATCTCATGCATACTCTGCACAATGTATCAACAAACAAACAGTCGAGCCCCAGTCTTTTAATATGGAGATGAAATAATGTCTCGAAGATAGAAATGAACCCCACCACTTTTTCGTGGTTATTTGTTGTTGAGTGACCACCCGACAACGAGCCGAACGTGTCCCTCAAGCAGATTTCTGGATCACCTCTCTCGCTCGGAACCAACTCCGCCATCCCAAGCGAGAAGAAGGTCAACACACAATTTCTATTATTATGAGATGCCGACCAGTTGAACCCTTGGTCCGCAAAGGGAGTACATACTCCATACAGCCCCCATCATCGACTAGCACGCAGACACAGAAACCTTGCTCTCGACAGGGATCCGTATGCTACCCACGCAGCACTCGGTAAAGTTCCAATAGAACAGGCGAAAGACGAATGGCTTCCGTACCGAAACAAATCGTATTCATTCCATCAACAAAAATCCCCAGCACTACTGTAATCAAAAAGCGATTTTACTCGTACCGCGCATACTACTCCGTCCGGTGTCCTCGGCAGGGAGAAGTCAAACATGCTCAAATGCAAAACAGACAATCCCCCGCTGGGTGGAAATCTATATTTGAGACATGCGAAATCAACATTTGCGCCTCCTTGAACGGGATGGTGGAGGATCGGCAAATCCGACGGGTCCCATGGGTCCCCATGGGCTGGAAGGCTCACTGTCAGGAGAGTCGTAGATTACTAAGTACTAACTGGACAGTACGAGCCATAATTTCAACTACTGGTGGATGTCACTACACGTGTGACTCAGCTCTCCTGACTATTGAACGCTTTGCTTGTGGATGACATGTCCATGTCTTCGTCGTATCTTCGTTCGTATTCGACAAACTCTGCCAGAACTGCTGGAAGGCTGATGAGAAGGCAACTAACCACCATCACAGATGCCACCCAAACTACTCGTACCCCGTTTCAACCTCATGTGAGGACGCAACGCAAGACTCCATTTCAAATTCTGTTGATTGTTCTATGAACTCGAGCTTGAAAGTCATGAGTCATGATGATTCATGACCCACAGCTCTGTTGTAATCTATCCGAGCTTGCCAGTCAGTCACTGACTTGAAAATAGTACATACAGCACGTTGAATACCATCTCGGGCCTTCTGAGTCTTCTGCCACGATGGCTCGCTCAATTGAGACCGTGACTCTCATTCACCTCCTGCATTCACCCAAGCCAATTGAACCTTCGAATTCATACCACTCGGGTTTCATCGAGGCTGACCAATCAAGGTGAAAGGTGTCCCATGGAGGTTGACTTCTTACTCGGACCTTTAAGAATGGCCTCGTCTCTGTAAGCCATTCGGACCAAAACCTTCTTCTTCACTTGCTCAACTTCATCTTCCTCGTTTCTCTCGACAACCATGAGTTCTCGGAGCTTCTCCTCGATCCTGCTACCAATTCTGTTCTGATATCCCCCACAATATCCAATGATGTCAAGTTGATAGCACTGGATATCGGTCATGGCATTCAAGAGGTGAAAATGGGAAGCACCGATTTCGCCACGACCTCCAAACATGAAGCCAAATCTCTCCAGGATGGTATGCTTTCCAATCAAACGGAAAACGCGATGCAAGTGTGGATCGTAGGTAAATTTTGGAAATGGAACAGTCAGCGGTGATCCATAACGACCATGGCCATTAGTCATAGAGAAGGAGATGTATTTCATCTTGGAGATGTTGACTGGTCCAATCGTCTCGAAGAAGCGTCGAACATCTTCGTATCCAATTTCTGGCCAAGAAGATTCGTAGTACTTGCCGCGATGATGGCGACTTCTGGCGAAATGGAATGAATTCTGGCCGTACAAAACTTCAGTGCCTTCCTCATGAATGATCTTGCAGGTCCTCAAGAGTGCTGCAGATCTACTTAAGTCTGAAGGGGAATCGAATTCAATGGGTGCCTTTCTGACCAGGGTCAGGCGATAGATGCGATCACGCAGCTCCCGTGGAAGCTTTAGGATACCTTTAAGCTCGCCGGCAGTCTTATCAGTGGTGGCAGGAGAGTCGGTGAGGACAGACGCGTCGTCCGTGTCTGAAATTGTGTCTGCCAATGTCAAGACTTGAGCCGAAACGTTGTGTGGGTTGTGGACAAGCTTGAGGCCGGCAGAAGTGAGAAGATCAGCCAAATTGAGGTTGATGGTTCCCAAGCCACCTGCGTTGCCGTTAACTTGAACCGTGACAACGGGGACAATAGGTCGAGGTGCATGGTTCTTTTCAGTTCTTTTGTCTGCCCAGAAATGGTCATCAGACGGCTTTGACAGATCCGTATAATGATCGTCGGCATTGGCCGACAGTGGGGGAGTCTCCGGAGCTAGACCATAACTCTCACGATAACGAAGCTGTTTCTTATCACCCTGAGGTCTGACAACCTCCTTCTTGGCCTTTCTCTTGAAACCCCCCTTGCGATTGTTGGACGCGGTTGGCTTAGAAGCAGAGCCGTAGTCAGAACGATCAGCCTCTGAGCTGGAGTCGGGATCAGAATCGACGACAGACAAAGGGTCGCTGGCTGGGTTGGTGGTGGTCATCACGCGAGCCTGGGAAGAGATTGCCTTGGTGGCTGAGCGTCGGGCACGAGGAGCTCCCGTGATTGACACACCAGAAGCGGCCGTTGTGACAGGGGCAGCTAACGGCAAGGTGCGTCCTCGTCGTCTGATTCCACGAGCCATGTTGGCTGTTGTCAAGGACGATGTGAGGGCCAATCCGTTAAAAGATTGGTGGCAGAATGGGTTGTGGTTTGGGTCGATGAGAGATTGGGTGAGAGGTAAGAGAGGATGCAGGAGAGAATACTTATCAATCGAATCAGACATGAAAGGCACGACACGGTCAACACGGTCAACACGGTCAACACCTTCTCACAGGCAGGCAGAATGCACGATCAATTGAGGCAGTCGAAGCTGCTGGACACTTGGCGTCTCGCGACCCTCGTGATCACTTCTGGCAGTCGCCAGCGATGTCTTCCAGCGAGAATGCCGGCCACTGTTCTAGGTGTATCTTCCAAAGAACTGCATGGCTCCCATCTTGAACTCCTGGAATGCAGGCTGGCCCTGCAGGGTCACGGTGAACGACGAGGTCATGATTGATGTGGCGGGGATGGAGTCACGTGCACAATGAGACACATGTCGTAGCCAGCTTGGGAATTGGTTCGACTGTCTTGAATAACCATGATACGAAGGACACCTCTTGTCCACCCATTCCTAGTGCATCCTGTCCAGAGAAGGAATGGTACCGAGGTACAGATTGAGATTGATCGAGCTCGAGCTCGAGCATCGCCATGGCTGTCAAAAACAACGGCAGAATGATGAACCAATATCCACATTAAAGATGTCCATATACCTGCGAACAAAATAGAACAAAATAGTGTCGAATCCAACACCATTCCACAGGTTCCATCGCAAGAGTAACAACGTATTTATCCAATCAGGCACTTTCAAATTGTCTCTTAATGGTGGTCTTGGACCCGAGACATCTCAGCATCTCCCACAGGCCTCCAACCGAAGCTGAAGCGCGAGGATGAAAACGGACGTGGAGGTTCTCTTCATCTTGGATTTAGTTGTGAGGAGAGGGAAAGGAACGATGGAGACGGATATCGTTGGATTCGGATGAAAATGTGGGATCTCGCCATACTTTCTAGATACGACGGTCACGTGAAATCACGGGATCCAAGGTCCAGATTTGCTGTCTTTGGACTTCGGGGTAGCCTCCGCATCCATTGGACTTCGTTCCATCATCGAGGTTGCGCCACTTCCAACGAAGTCTGAGGTACATTAGCTTGGACATCCCTCAACACCAAAGCAGAGCAAATCCTGCTCATCGGCTGTTCATTCTTCAACTGTGGTTGGGTACTGCATGTCGTTACAATATCCAGGCCGATAACCATATCAACCTTGGTTAAATAACCTTCGAGCGAAGGCCTAACTCTCCACCTCCCACATTGTGCCTTGGAGGGTGGGAAACAGCACTGCACTTCTCCAGACAAACCGGCCCACGCATTCGGAGTATTTGGCCATGTCACGCCCAGTCATGTCAAAGAGACTTTGGTCACCAGCCCCCTTATCGACCAAGTCATCAGTATGCATCTCATGCAGGACGAGCTTCCGTGGATTGTCATCTACAAGGACTCTAACGTCCTCCCACACCGAAGCACAGAATAAGGCCAGTTAGAGTTTCTCTTTCTTTTGTTTCTGAAGCTAATGTCGATCCAGCTGCTGGGGGACCACCTCAAAGATGCAGACCCCGACATTTTTGACATTCTGCAAAGGGTAAGCTCTGAGATTATGAGTTCCGGTCTCCAAGCTCATGGGCCAGGAAAAACGTCGACAAAAGCACTTCATCAATCTCATCCCCTCGGAGAATTTCACATCTCAAGCCGTATTAGATGCATTGGGTAGCGTGATGCAAAGTCAGTATTTCTCTCTATCAAATAATGGAATGCCCAAGCTAATATCTGTCAGACAAATATTCTGAAGGCTATCCCGGTGCTCGATATTATGGCGGTAACGAACATATCGATGAGTCCGAAAGGTTGTGTCAGAAGCGAGCCCTTCAGACCTACCGACTTAGCCCTGAAGAATGGGGCGTGAATGTCCAAGGTTTGTTACGTTCAGTCACATTATAGCCATCACGCTCCTAATCAAAAAAAGCCCTTTCCGGCTCCCCAGCCAACCTGTACGCATATTCCGCGCTTCTGAACACGCACGATCGTATCATGGGGCTGGACCTACCCCACGGTGGCCACTTGTCCCACGGCTACCAGACACCGACCAAGAAAATCTCCATGATATCAAAGTACTTTGAAACATTCCCTTATCGCCTCGACGAAGCCACAGGCTTGATTGACTATGTGAAACTCCGGGAAAACGCATTGCTGTACCGACCGAAAATCATCATCGCCGGTACGTCCGCCTACAGCCGACTGATCGACTACGAACGATTCCGCGCCATTGCCGACGAAGTTGGGGCTTACCTGTTGAGCGACATGGCCCATATCTCGGGCCTCGTCGCCGCAGATGTCATCCCAACCCCATTCAAGTATTCCGACGTGGTGACGACCACAACGCACAAGTCCCTGCGCGGGCCTCGCGGCGCGATGATCTTCTACCGCAAGGGCGTGCGACGGACGAACAAGAAGGGCGAAAAGGAGATGTACGACCTCGAGGGCCCCATCAACTCCTCGGTCTTCCCAGGCCATCAGGGCGGTCCTCACAACCACACGATCACAGCACTGGCCGTAGCCCTGAAACAAGCACAAAGCAAGGAATTCAAAGAGTACCAGCAAACCGTGCTCTTCAACGCCAAAGCGCTCGCCGAGCGGCTCGGCAACGGCGCGTACGCGGGCGGACTCGGCTACAACATCGTGTCCGGCGGGACCGACAATCACCTGGTCCTCGTCGACCTGAAGTCCAAAGAGATCGACGGCGCGCGCGTCGAGCGCGTCCTCGAACTCTGCGGCGTCGCAGCCAACAAGAACACCGTCCCCGGCGACAAATCCGCGCTCAAGCCCGGTGGCCTGCGCATGGGCTCGCCCGCGATGACGACGCGCGGGTTCCAGCCCCACGACTTCACGCGCGTGGCGGAGATCGTCGACCGAGCCGTGAGCATCGCGATTAAAGTCGATAAGAAGGCCAGGCAGGACGCCGAGGCCAAGGGGAAGAAGAGCCCCGGTGCGGTCAAGAGCTTCCTGGACTATCTGAAGGATGGCACGGAGGTATTGGAGATCCTCACCCTCAGGCAGGAGGTCGAGGATTGGGTGGGCACTTTTGGTGAGCCGTGGATCAAGGAGGGTGCGTCCCACTGATCTTTTACTTGGGGACAAAACGTAATCTGGAATTATGAAACGCGGCGCGGTCAGTCGGTTGCTGACCTAGCGGGTGCCTAGGTACCTCAGTGTAAATCGCGTAATACAAAAGTACATGAGTGACAATTGATGTCTATTTTTAAAACAGTTGCACGTGACATGTACTGCAAATCCGAGCTGTCTCTGTAGACGACTTGAGGCCACGAACTGACTAGACGTCGAGGAACGGTGTGTGCTTTTAGAAGAAGAAGGAGGGGAGAGAGAGAGAGAGAGAGAGAGAGAGAGAGATTTGTGGACTGATTCAGGGACAGGAATGAGAATCCCAATCGATACAATTCAAAGTTTTGGGTCAAGTTCTGGACACCCAGCTACCAGGGGGGCATTGGTGTCGAACATCTTCGTTAAAGGAGGCACCCATGACCACCCGAGCCAGGCCACACGTTCCATGCACAATATTCAATTCTCGGTGCATATCGTACACACCGCCACCGCCAGGCCCACCGCCAAACACCCCTCCCATCGAGTCCAGCCACGTCCACATGCGCCAATTTCGCAGGCTAATGCTCAATATCATCCCAACTCCTTCCCTGCACGGCGTTCAACTCCACCATGGACATGACCTTTCCAGTCGTGAAATAACCCGCGTGGATCTTGGCGTCAATCTCGACCCTCGAGTCCTCAGGGATCATCTCGTCTGGGATCGGGACTCTCTCCAAGATAGGGATCCCCTGTTCGACAATGGCGTCGTGCTTCATGTTCGACATGCTCAGCATGCGGTCGATCTTCTTGATGCCCAGCCAGTGCAGGATATCCGGCATGAGAGCCTGGAACCGCATGTCCTTGACGCCCGCGATGTTCTCGGTGCGTTGGAAGTACTCGCTGGCGCGATCGGCACCGCGTTTGCGCGCGTTGTACACCAAGTATTTCGTGACTTCGCCCAGCGCACGGCCTTCCTTGCGGAAATAAATGACCACGCCGGATCCGCCCTTCTGTGCCTCTTTGACGGCTTCCTCGATGCCGAAGATCAAATACGGTCGGCACGTGCAGATGTCGGAGCCGAAGACGTCGCTGCCGTTGCATTCATCGTGCACTCGAAGGGCAAGTCGGACCTTTTCGTCAGACATCTTGGCGGGGTCGCCAAAGCAGTAGACGGTCAACCCACCGATGGGTGGCATGAAGACTTTGATATCATTTCTGGTGATGAGCTCGGGGTAGGAGCCTCCGGTGTGTTCGAAGAGAGCTCGTCGCAGGGCGCTCTCCTCGATCCCGAACCTTTCAGCCACCCCGGGAAGATACCACACAGGCTCAACGGCGAATTTGGTGACGCTGAGCTCTCCACTCTCGTTGATACAGATCTTGCCATCGGGCTTCAGTCTTCCGGCTTTGACACTCTGTTCCAGCTCCGGGATTTTCATATGGGCTTTTGTCACTGCGATTGTCGGGCGGATGTCGATATCCTGATCTTTGATGTACTCTTGGAATAGCCACGGTGCAAGATGGCCAAAGGGATCCATAGCGACGATCTTCTTCTTGCCGTGCCATGCGGGAAAGGGACCGATGGCTGCTGCGGGTTCGGTGTTGGTGAAGTCGGGTTTATGTTCAAGGTCTAGGTTGTTGCTGGCAACGGCCAAGGCGTGATATATGGAATACGAGCCTCCATGAGCCCCGATTGCATTTCGTCTTCGAATCGTATTATGGTGACGGCTGACGACGATCGGACCACGTTGCTTATAATCCTCAAGCCCCCATTCCAGCGGTATGGGATCAATGCCAGATTGACCGGGGTAAGTTGTCAGGATGATCCGGGAAGTGGTTGAAGACTTTCTGGCAGTTGGAGATGAAGAAGCTTTGGCCAGTAGAGCTGACTCGTGTGCCGGAGATTCCATCCCGTTTTCAGATTTGGCCAACTGCGTGGCATCAAGGCTGGGTGAATCCCTGACTCCAGAGCTTGAACCTCCACGCCGCAACTGATTGACCGAGTTCGCGACATCGAGACGGCTTTGAAGCGCTTCAACATTGGCGGCGAGCTGAGTGTGGTCGGACCTCATGCTTTTGAGCGTAGCGAGTATTCCGGCGAGTGTTTCACCTATGGAGTTGTTGTCTGGAGGCATTTGAGTGGAAGCCATATTGAAGTATACGTAGATCTCAAGAACAAAGTTGTACTTGTCGACTAGGACACCTCCAACAGACTACTAGCAATCAACAGGGACAAGAAACAGCAGGTGGTGTCCCTTGGCTGTCAATAATGATTTGGCAGGGTAGTGAGAGGGTGACGACAAAGACCGTAACAAACGAAGATAGCTACGTGTTGTTAACAATGAAGCTGTTTGCAGCGGGGTCTCTAGATAATCAGGGAAGGAGGGACTTAAGAATGGGCACTGTCAATGAGGTTGCATTGTTGAGAGATAGGAGGTTCGGCTTGTTGATCGTCTGTGGTGGTCCGCCACTCCAGCTGACCGTAACTCGATTGACTGTCGGGGGACTCCGTGATAAGATACTGTACAGGAGGGCCGAAGGCCTTCCTCCTTCGACCTGATCACGTGACCCAACACCTGCCTCCATGTAGCTCGCTCGATTGAAACCTACCAAAATGAACGGACTCATTTGGGTTCAACTTGAGATTGATTGTGGCCTTTGAGTGGTCGTGTCATGCTAATGACTAATAACTGTCCAGTCTTTGGTGGGGCTATTTCAACATTTCCTCTCCATTTTGTTTAAGACCAATTCCACGCTATGCTATGCTATGCTATGCTATGCTTGCTCTGTGGATGCCCCCCAAGAACTCAAGGTCGATCCGTAACCAAATGCCCTCTTTTTGACCAAAAAAAAAAACACACAATTTCCGACGGTTGCCGCCATATGTTGATCATTCTTGATGCAAAATAATCGAGTCCAAGACGCATTCTGCGATGCGAGCCCCGTAATTCATACTCATAACAATGACAGATCTAGTCACTTTGCCAATAATGCCATCTGTAAAACTGAAAACCCGGCAATCATCCACCGGCAGCTTCAAAGCTATCACAAGACTCCTCATTGGTTGCCCCCTCTCCCTCAAGGCTGTTTGAGATTGCATGCTGTGGATGACCTTAACATTCACTCAATCCTTGCTAGCTTAACCAGTTGCCAGCGCCCTGCGCTCGCATACTCCAGGAACCAGAAAAGGAAAGGTCGTCTTTGTTGAATAATAGTACACATTAATTGTCGTTCGGTGGATTCCGCCCGTTGTCTTAATCTCTATAGCTTCTTTGTCCAAAGTCATCCAGAATGTCGTATGAATCAGGCGAAACCAAGGTGAGATGTGTGGTTGCATGCACCATGTCGAATATCGATCGTAAGAGACAACACAGCGCGGTCAACGGTGCGACCATAAGCGGGACGATTCCATGAAGACATCGTTCTCTCGCTTGACACGCTCTTGATAGTCGTTAATGCTCGTGTTCGACGTGCTGAGAGTATTGTTGGTGTAAATTGAAGATTTGCCCGAACCTCGAACTGGCTGTCGATAAACACCGCCCACGTATCCACGTTCGAGGGCTAGGGGCTTAAGGCTGGAGGCATCGAAATGATCGATGAAAACTTTGTCGAGGGCACGATGCTTTGGCTTCGAATACATTTCGTATTCTTCGATACAGGCATCAAGAGTCCAGCCGGTGACTTTGCGGAAGCATGCGGTCATACATCCTGTTCTGTGCTTGCCTTTGTTGCAATGGATGAGCATCGGATAATTGGTGGGATCAAGCATGAGGTTCAGAACTTTCAAAACAGTTTCGTGCGAGGAGAAGATTTTGGGATCTTTGTTAGCGAGGATGGGGATGTGGTGATGGATGATGCCGTTGGTGGAGATGAAATTTTCGTAGTCGAACGAAAGCGGTTCTGGGACCAGGGTGACGATGGTTTTGAGCTCCAGATCGGACAACTTCTCAAAATGAGCATAGAGAGGATAGCTGGAGCGGTAGATGCCAGGGGCGATCATGGCGAAGTTGACGGGTCTTCCCGATCCGTCGGGGGTGGGAGGTTGAGATTTGTCTTCACGGATCGTGTTGGAATCGGATTGGGTGGTGTCGAGGGCAGCTAAAGAGGCTGCGAGATCGGTGGAATCTGGCCACTGGCTCGCCATTCTTGACTGAGACCCAGTTATGTGGTGGAAGAGAGCAGATGAAGTGGGAATGAGATGGGTGAAAATTGTCGCGACGGGCGATCAGGCGATGGAGATTCCACGTGCTTTGCGCGTCTCAGCGTCTCGTGGTCCAAAGCAAGCGGTGACAAGACTTCCAGAAAAAGTGATTGAAGGCGTAAATTGCTGGAGGGTCGGGGTATGTCGCTGTTGGATGAACTGGAGTAAGATTCAAATTGAGTAAAGACCAGTCGGTTTGAAGGAATGAGTTGTGGAAGGTGGTTTGAGGACGTTTGCGGTTTTGTGTGATTTGATGAGAGCTCCAGGTTGAGGACCTCTCAAAAGGTATACCAGTCGACTAAATGATCAACATGTTTGCGGGTTGGTAGAAACCTTGTGAGTTGTTGCACTCGAGGTCCGTCAACGCTTTCCGAGATGTCAATGGTGCTGCTAGGCTGTCCGTGAGGCAAGCGCTGGTCTATTATTGAAGGACCTGACAATGACCGTCCCAGCAATCCGGGGAGAAGGACTGTTCAAGTTTGAGTGGATCTTCCTTGAAGAGGATGAGACAGCCAACTATCTTGACCTGAAACGGTCTCGACAAGATCTGAGAACGAGTGGAGGCATGTTGGCAGCGAGATCTGGAGGGCTCTGCAACGAGGGCACAACAGAGTGAAAGACGCAAGGCGCACGTGAGGTAGGAGGAGGAGCGAGAAGCAGAAAATTGGAGGTGGAACGAGGTGTGCAAGATAGAAAACACGCCAGGTCGAAGAAATTGTAAGGTTTTCGATGGTTCAAAGTCAAGACGGCGACCGGGGAGGGATATTCGAATATGACTAGTTGTACCAAGAAGGCAGAAAAAGCTAGAATTAGCGATGGTGGGAGGAGCCAAGGCACGTGACTGCCCAAAGACACCCACGCGCGGGCAGGCAGAGGTGTGTGCCCGGGGGCGTGCCAGGCACACTTTCTTGCTGGTTCGAGAACCGAGACGCGGCAAGGAAAACAAGAAGACTCCTACTAAGAGACTAAGAGCTGATGGCCGTGAAACTACCCAAACGAGCCCGTGGCGCGCAACCTGAAGAACAACGAACCAGGGCCGAAAGCCTGTGACAAAGCCTCTCTCTCGCCCTGCCCCCCCCAGCTGCCCAGGCGAAAGCCCGCCACCCACCCAGTCACCCGCTGACAATTTCGGCCTGGAAATTTCGGTGGGACACCTCCTCGAATCTACTAGTAAGTACGAGCCGAAGGGGCCTGGGGGCTCGGGCTTAGGCAGCACTCCATACTCCATACAGGAGTCCTCTCAATACGAGTACGCCTTTTGGTATGCCGTTTGCCGCCTCGCCTGGAACCCATCGTAAAAAACAGGGCACATTGACTCTGTGAGTTGTTCCACACAACCAACCAAGCTTGGTTTCTCGAGAAATGGCCAGCAGGATCAGACTCCGATTGCGTGTTGATGACGCATGGCATGATCATACTCACGCTCAGTACCCAGTCTGGTGGACGCAGTATCACGTGTACGAGTAATCCTCTCACGTCCGAAAGTAAATACCTGATCATAATTGCATGAGGCAAATTTCGGACCAACGTTGACCAAGAGTCTTCTTCATGTTGACATATTCTTGTCATCAAACATGAGTCAAGGGTGATTCATTCATTGATTCATCATGATTGATTACTCGGTACTTACAGTAGTCTATCCGCCGGATCCAATAGGTTACCGACTGCTTAGTCGCTCTCCGCCTCCCCCTCCCTCGCCTAGTCCAAACATCCGGGTGGAATTTCTCCAGGCAGCTTCACAGACCTCTTCCACAGAAATCCCTTTGACGCGGGCGATCACGTGAGCCACCTGCACTATGGTCGCTGGCTCGTTCCTGCCTTTGACCATCAGCCCTTTCTGCCATTTCTCCTTCTTGACCGCCTTAGGCACCGCTGGGCCGTCTTTGAGATATTGTGAGGATGCGTGTGATGGTCTGATTTCGCACCATGGCCCATCGGTTTCGAGTTGCAGCCTGTCCAGTGGCACCGCTTTGACCGCCAGTAGATTCTCCTCTGTCTTCATGCTGCATCCATTGATTCCAACGTCAAATCCCAATTCGATCAGCGCTTCTAGTTCGGGGACAGTGCCGGTAAAGCTATGCACGAGACCACGCTTCGGTAATCTATCCAATCGAGCCCTGATGATGTTCTCGAAGTCGGGGCTGCATGCTCGGGAATGTAAGAACAGCGGCAGTTGCAGCTCCACCGCCAAATCCATCTGCATTTCAAAATATTTCAATTGAGTCTCTTTGGGAGACAGGAACAACCGATCGTAGTCCAGTCCGATCTCCCCAAAAGCAACCACTTGTCCCTCACTCTTGGCTCCTTGAACAAGAGCCTGAAGGTCGGCAATCAGCTTGCCGGGGCCACCCGTGTAGCGATCGAAGTCTTGCGTCGAGCACGGATGCACGCCAACGGTAGCATAACAGATCTCGGCTGTCCAACAATCAGTGGTCGATCAAGAGCGGGAACACAGGAAGGCCTACGATACTGCTTGGCCAGATCAATGGCACGCTGGGACTCCACCAGATTAGAACCAGTCACCATCATTTTCATACAGCCAACATGGCGTGCGCGCTGGATAATATCCTCTAGGTCATCCTCGTGCACCTTTTTACCGTGATAGGAGCCTCGAAAAACCGGATCTCCAAGATTGATACCGACCTGGATTTTGGATCAGCTTCCAAGATCTCGGAATCTCGCTCCCACTCACGCACGTCTGCATACCTCAAGGGCGCGGTGGTATCTGTCATAGTGACGTAGCCGAAACTTGTTTGCTTTTGGTGTGATGGAATTCTACCGTGCCATCTCAGTCGTGTTGAGTCTTCAAAAAAGGATCAGTGATGACTCAACGGGGAGGCAGACATGACTGGATGACATCAGACATACGAATTGAGAAGGGAACGAAATCACCATGAGCGAATGGCAAGGCTGTGCTTTTCAGGAGACCAGCGAACCTTGCGTTGGCAGTCAGAAAGGTCTGGACTGGCCGTGACAACATCAGTTGGTCACAGGTTCACCAGCCTCGCATGAAAGAGGACAAGGAGCAGGAAGCGGGATATGGCAAACACATTACGGTCTCCAAATTCTGCGTCTGAAACACTCGGCGGGAGTTCCTCCGAGGCTCCGAGGACTCGCCACGTGAGCCGGACTATCTACTCCCCCAGAGGTAGTTAGTGCTCCGCACTCCGCATCGCTCTGAACGCCGGCGTGCCCTGCTAAAGAATCTCAACCACCTGGGAATTGGGTGCCATCCATTGGACAGCGGTCGTTGAGGCTACAGATCTCACTTTTTAAGTAGGTAACACGGCAAAATGGCCGCTCGTATGTGGAGGTCATCAGCCTGCCCTCTTCACGATAGATCGGTCATGCAAGGTATTAGTATCGAGGCTCCGCCGCTCCGCCCTTCATTTCTGTCTGTTGACCTGAGGACTCCCAGCATAATCACTAGGTATGATTCGACATGTCACAATCCCAGATCTCAGTCTCTGAGATATCATTACACAACAAAGACACGGATTGTTGGATCGTCGTCGATGGCCAGGTATGGGACATCACAAAGTTCGCACCGGATCATCCAGGGGGCCCTGGCATAATATACAAGTTCGCCGGCAAGGATGCCACACAGGTATATAACGGAGTGCACGCGCCTTCAATACTGAAGACCAACCTCCCAAAAGACGCCCTGAAGGGCACACTCGATCGATCGACAGTGACAAAAGAATGGGCGGCGCCTTTACCAGAGGAAACGCCCAAGTCTGCACCTGCATCATCAATAGAGAAGCCACCGTTGGACTCGATCATCAGTGCGCACGACTTCGAACTCGCCGCCCAGCACAGTGCGACCGCGAAGACATGGGCGTTCTACAGCTCGGCGTGCAACGATCTGATCACGAAAGACCTCAACGCAATGTTGTTCAGCCGTGTGCTGTTCCGGCCACGGGTGATGCGCAGGGTGGACCAGATCAGCACACGGACGACCATCCTCGGGCACGATGTGTCCTTCCCATTGATGATCTCCCCAGCGGCAATGGCTCGTTTGATTCACCCAGACGGCGAGCTTGCCATCGCACGCGCCACTAAATCGCAATCCATCCTGCAATGCATATCGAACAATGCGTCCTACTCAGTAAGCGAAATCGTCTCCCAGCCCTCAGTCTCAGAATATCCCTTCGTCTTCCAACTCTATGTCGACCGCCAAAGGCACAAATCCGAGGCTCTCCTACGCAAGATCACTTCCCATCAAAACGTGACGGGGATCTTCGTGACGACGGACGCCGCGGCCGCTGGGAAGCGCGAGGCGGACGAGCGCGTGAAGGCGGACGAGACGATCAGAAATCCCATGATGACGTCGAGCGCGACGAATGACAAGAAAGGCGGTGGCTACGGTCGTCTGATGGGCAGCTTCATCGACCCGAACCTCAACTGGTCGGACATCATTTGGCTGAGGTCGCAGACGACCTTGCCGCTGATTCTAAAGGGAATCATGTCCGCTGACGATGTGCGGCTTGCTCTAGAGCACGGCCTCGACGGAGTTGTCCTGTCGAACCACGGCGGCCGGAATCTCGACACCAGCCCGCCTGCACTACTGGTCCTGTTGGAGATCCACGCCCGCTTCCCTGAAATCATCACCCAGCATCATCCACACTCCACTGCCGTTCGGCAAAGGCGGACACGGCCATTCTCGATCTTTGTGGATGGCGGAGTACGGCGAGGCACCGACATTCTCAAGCTGGTATGTTTGGGTGCCGTGGCGGCGGGGATTGGACGGCCGGCGCTGTTCGCGACCAGCTACGGCCAAGAAGGTGTGGAGCATTTGATTGAGATCTTCAAGGATGAATTTGAGACTGGGATGCGCAATATAGGTGTCACGAGCATCGAGCAGTGTTCTCCTGAATATGTCAATTCCGGCGCTATTGATAAGTGGGTAAATAAGCGGAGGGAGCATCCGTATGCTCTTTCTTGGGTGTTGAGTGGTGGGCAGGTTGAGAGGGAGAATAAATTGTAGAAGATTAGAGAGGCGTTCGAACGCGTAGGTTAATAGAAACGCTGGGTCTGCAAGGACATCCTTGTTCCATCGCTTCTTGAGTAGACATGCCTTACGATTCGGACATCTTGGTCATGTTGAGAGCTATCTGTATTAGCCTGTATATCTTGGACTAATGTGGCGCTTAGGGAACTTGGGACGCTTAGTGATTAAGCAATCAAAGAGCAACACAACCTCGACAGTCAATGGGTCCAAGGAACACTCTCATTGCTTGATCGATGCAACAGGTCCGTCAAGTCAAGACTTGTCAAGGATCGAAGTCTCTCAATTCTCCTTGGGGCAACACCTTGGGATGCGCTCCTTTCTCAGACCAAGATGTCTTCCACCGCCATGCCTCATCTTTCGCCTGCCCGTTGGACTTACCGTCGAGCACATTTACCACATACCTTCCGATGTTGGGGAGGAATTTCCAGCTATGGAAAGATCCAGCAGTCGCCAAGTAAAGATTGGACAGCCTTGCATCCGGATGCTGGCAGATCAGCTGGTTTTGGTCCGGGGATATGGCGTCCCAGCAGATGCGCCAATCGTCGGGACTTCGATCATCGACAAGCATTTCCGGTATCCGCTGGCGGATGATCTCTATTGATTGCCGCTTGAGCTTCTCCGGTATCAAGTTTTGGTCTGGGGCTGGCACTGAAATCTCTTGGCCTGTTATAGGGTGTAGACTGGTGTTGCGGAAAGTATTGGCGTTTGTGAATTTGAAAAGACGGTCGCGGTTGGGAGGCAGGACTTCGCCTTGACTGCCGTAGATTAGAACAGGCATCTGGCTGTAGTGATTGGTCTCCTGTTCGGAGAGTTTGAACGCAGCGACACACACTCCCGCGGCTTGTAATTGCTTCTGGATACTATCTTGGGGAGAAATCTGTAATTCTCTCTCCAGGGGAGCCAAAAGCCACGGGGTCCACGCGCCGGTCGAGAGGAGAATCTTTGCAGCAGAAAAAGTGCGGCCGTCAGACGTCCTGACACCTACAAGCTTACCACCTTCTCTGAGAAGCTCAGAGACGCTGCCTACTTCGTGCTGAATCCCGTTATTCACGGCCTCTTTCATCATCGCCTCGACCGCCAGCGATGCATCAGCCCAGCCAGCGCTGGAATTCGTGTAGGCCGTATCGAACCCTGTCGTGTTGATATTAGCCAGCACACCATCCCAGCCGCTCTTCACCTCATCCAGCGTGACATCAGCAGAGGTGTCGGGTCGACCAGAGTTGCGGAAGTTCTTTCGGATCCTCTCGGATAGATCGCTGCCTTTCTCGTCCAGTGCAACCCAACCTGTCTGATGGAAATAAGAATTCAGGAAGGGCCATGAGGTCCACGCTCCCATTGCTTCATACGCGAGATCCATATAGAATGCCTTGCTATAATCGGCGCGGACGATCTTGTTGATATCGCTAGATGCTGCGAGAGGGGAGGGGACGTGGTCTCGGTCGAGAACCGTGATTCGAGATGGATTAGGGTGGGAGAGGGAAAGGTGGTACGCTGTGCTGGTGCCGAAAATGCCGGCTCCTACGATGAGGATATCACTGTTTAAGGGGACATGAGAGGCCATGGTCATCTGCTTGATTGTCCGCTCGTCATTAACGAGTGTTGTCGCAGATTTGTCTTGTCATTGACATGGCGGGAGTCCACGCATGAGTCATGTGGCATCCCCGCACGAATATCCTGACTCGTTCAAAGAAGAAGATTACCTAAGGCACCTTGCAGGGCAGTCACCCAAGCTGGGCGGGTTGTGCCTGCCACGAGGGATGAGCACCGCCTTCTGGTGCAGTGCTATTCACACTGACCTAGGTACCGTCCTCGAACTCCCTCTCGGCCTACGCGTCCTCTCATGATACTCGTCCTGCGTCAGTGTATCGCCTCCTTGTCACTCGTGTATTCCCAGTCGGCCAAGTTAAAATTATTGTGCCCCATAATTTTGGTGCCAAGGTACAGTAATTAGGAAGGAAGATGCCAAGTTTGGTGCCTGGGACCGCCCCGTTCCTTCCAAGATTGGCCAAGGTACCCCAAGAAATCTGTCAAAGCTTCGCCTCTAACTTTGTACCTACAGTGGCACCTCCTCTATCAGCTCCAACTCTCAATCAGATAACTCCCATTACAACGACAGCTACAGCACTATTGAGGCGCTGTCTAGCGACGAGAAATGCACCGTGTAAGCACACGCAGTCCACAGCAAAGATGAGCGGAGTTATTCTGTTAAGCGATATTGCTGGAACAGAACTCAGATCCTCTTCTCCAGCCCTTGCCTGCGGTTTCTCGGCACGAGTGCTGGATCCCACCCCCCGCACGTGGAATGGTTCCATATTCTAGAGCAGGGCACAATCCAATCAGCCGGTCGGCCGGTCGGCTGGGCAGAGAGCTTGTCAAATGCTTCGGATAATAACTCGATATTTTGACTCGCTCTGGCCTCATTATAGCCGGGCGGTGTGGGCTGTATAGGTAAGCCTTTGCAGTTCTGAAATAGAGCTTTCCATGGCTGACGCGTACTCGATCCCCAGACGACCCTGGCCTTGTATCTTCTGTTCGAGTATGGCACCTCGACTGGCCACCATATGCACATTATAAGGTCGACATGTTCATGACCATATGGACTTTGTGTCTTTCGGAGTTTGCTTTGGACATAGAAATGCCGGTTGTCGTCCCCAAACAACCATCCTTGAACAGACGGTGTCTCTATTTGCCAAATTAAACTGGAGCTTCCCCAGCTTTCCCCCGATGCGGAAGGCAGCCTTGAGATCACTATCTTATTAACCGGGAGACCCCGAGACGCCTCTAGATTGCGGGGGCACCGGCCAGGGGGCCCGTTTGCCCAAACTTCTACATATTCCGAGCGGCAACTGACGATACCATGCGTGTGTAGACAGGCAATATTGGCGACAACAATTTACCCGGCACCGTGGCAAGTGAATGCGATTCGAACGGCAGTGGACTCGCTCGCAGGACTTATATAAATACTTGGAAACTGCTGGCCAGCATTGTCTCTGACTAGAGGTTTGTACTCAATCACTTATCACGTTGCATAGAACGCAAAACGTGAATATTTGTCCAGGATGGCGACAACCCAAGAAGAAATGGCGAAGCTTATGGCCAACGTCACACCGTGGTACAAGGACCCTGGTCGGAGAAAGCTATACAGCCTTTTGTTGATCGCACTGCTTTCGGCTGCAACTAATGGATACGATGGGTACGAGGACAGACCTCTGATCGTTACTTTGCTCTAACGGCGTCGTCCAGATCCCTCATGAATGGAGTGCAGTCTATCACTTACTATGAGGATTGTAAAGCATCCCAAACATCACAACTACTCGCAGATCATTGATACAAGATTCAGATTTCCATCACCCTCACGGGTCCGAGCAGGGATTATTGAATGCTATACAGAGTGTGGGCGGGGTGGTCAGTAAGTGTTTCCCGTCGTCTGACACCTATTCACCTGTTGAATCGAGGCGCTCATGCTCCTACAGGTCTTATTCTGGCACCATATAGTGCCGATTATGGCGGGAGGAAATGGACCATTTTTCTTGGGTGCCTGATTGTTGTTGTTGCCGGGCTCATTCAATGTTTCGCCGTGAACATTCGTATGTTCACTGCTGCTCGTTTCATGAGTAAGAACCCCACGCCCGGGAGCTGAAGAACTCTCCATGCTTTGGACGAGGAATCTCACTGACTATGTTGCTAGTTGGTCTTGGATCTGGCTTCTCCGGCCTGGCTTCGCCGCTGCTCATCACCGAGCTTGCCCATCCTTGCGAGCGTGGCAAGATCACCGCCTTATACAAGTATGCCTCTCATCTGCCATTTGCACGAACTCTCGTAGACTGATCATTGGGCAGCACCCAGTACTACTTCGGTGCCTTCCTGGGAGGCTGTAAGTCAAGGGTGTCACATCGTGTCTATTTGCGCTGATTTTTATTCAGGGATCACTTTCGGAACACTTTACATCAACTCAAACTGGTCGTGGAGGCTTCCCAGTTTGCTGCAATCAGCCCCTTCCTTCGTCCAATTGCTCTTAGTTTTGCTTCTGCCTGAAAGTCCGCGTTGGCTCGTTTCGAGAGGCAAGGACGAACAGGCACTCAATATCCTCGCCAAGTACCACGCCAACGGTAATCGTGAAGACCCTCTGGTCCGGTTCGAATATGCTGAAATGAAGGTTTCCATCAGGCAGGGTGAACAAAAGGGACGTTGGTCTGAATTGTTCAAGACTCGTGAGTCTTTCCCTACACATTTCGAAATAATGCCAGCGAATGGGCCTAATAATTTGATTTCTCCCAGGCGGCAATCGCTATCGTGTGTTTATCTGTCTCTGCTGCGGTGTCTTCTCTCAGTTCTCCGGGACGAGTCTGACGGCATATTACCTGCACAATATCCTAGAAGCCATCGGTATCACTAGCCCGAACTACCAGAACAAGCTCAACGGGTTCATCTTGATGGTAAATATGCTTGAGGCTTGGTTTTGGGCCCTGATGGTAGACCGTTTTGGCCGCCGTCCGCTCTTCTTGATTGCCTCTAGCGGAATGTGCTGTACGTTCGCCATCTGGATTGCCTTGACCGCCTACCAGCTCAAGTTTCCGGACCAAGTGGGATACGGAAAGGGAGTCATCTCCATGATTTTCTTCCATAACTTCTTCTACAACTTTGCCTGGTAAGTCCCTTGCAGTGCCGTCTGTTTCACTCTTCTCGCTCGATCATCGCTGACCGGATGCTATCACAGGATCTCCCTCAACGTAGCCTACCCACTTGAGATTCTCAGCTTCAAGATCCGCGCCAACGGCCTATTCATGCAGGGCCTGGCCACCAACATTTGCCTTGCGCTGTCTCAATACATTATCCCAATCGGCATTGCGGCCGGCAGCTGGAAGTTCTACTTCTTTTTCGAAGGATGGCTCCTCATCCAGCTCGTCACCGTCTACTTCTTCTTCATCGAAACCCGCGGCGCCACCCTTGAGGAAATCAACCGCACTTTCGACGGCGCCGAGGCCGTCGAAGAGATCAAGGCAAAGGCCAACGAGGCTGTTGGTGTTACGGACATTACTGAAATTGGTGATTCCCACAGGAAGGGTGGCAACGATGATGTCGGTGTCGCGGAGGTCACTCATGTGGACGAGATTCGCGAGAAGTCCTCCTAAGCAGATCTTCAATGGCCGGCACGGGGCAATGGGGACGGCTCTTCGTGGGCGACTACACCAAAATCGCCGGGTGTTCGCCCGATGAGGTACACGCAAAATGGCCTCTCGGCTTTCAGGCTCCGGTGGTCTTAGGTCTATTCTGTAACCGCGCAAGTATGTTGCACAAAAGTCCACAGATTCTTTTAGGCTATTAGTTGCACGTAGTATTTAGGTCGCATCCCTGCACAGGTTTGGCGAGTTGCTTAAGCGTGTTCTGTTCCAAAGTCGACGACGCATTGATCGCGAGCCGCTGCGACATCGTACGTACATCATCGGCGTTTCCTTGACGAGCCAGGCGAAATTGCTGGCGATGTCAACCAGATTCTCGCGTTCAAATAGTCATCTCTACTCACACCATGTGAGAATTTATCCGCTTCGTACGTACTCCGTACTCGTAGCTGTGTGCATGTCGTGTCATGTCGTGTCGTGTCGTGCCGTGTCTGCCGAAACGACAACGACAACCTCCTTACGGCGATACGGAGCCCTACTCGTACTTTCTTGCTTGCCAAACGAGGCTGAGCGGCATTGAGGCGGGCGCCGACACCGTTGTCTGCACCTTTATCTCGGCTTAGCTCGAATCTAAGCATTGGCTAGGACGCGTATACGGTGAATCTCCCCGGCCCCGAAGGAGAAAGCCCCTCACAGCGTTTCATTGGAGACCAAACAGGCCCTGCGATCTACCTCCCGGAGCAGACTACAGTACTCCATACGTAGGGAGAACAGTGGACACAGAAAGATGCTGACGTTGGTCATCGGAGCCAGTGGTCCAGGCCAGGCCAGGTCAGCCTCTTCTTACCATCCACTGAACTCACCGGCGATTATCGAAAACAGCAGTAGATAGATACGTGGGTCTGGCTCGGCATTTAGGTGGTCTGGACGATTCGATTCACCTGACACTTCAGAAACGAAACACTTCTTGCCTGTATCTATCTATAATCGGGCCTGCCCGCTGCTGAGCGCCTCCCAGTCCTTGGGCTGGAAGGGGACATAACGATCGGACTTAGGAGGCAGCCAGAGGAAGACATCGTCTTTACCTTCAGGCGCCTCGGTGCCGACCTTGCCTGGGTCGACACCTTCTTTCCGCAGGGGCACTTTGTTCTGCTTGTGATTGTGGATGTGTGTGCTTGCTTTGACCAGCCGCAGGAAGACCGGCACGGCGTAGCGTGGGAGGCGCGTGCGGATGTATGCCAGGAGCTCGTTGTAGTCCACCGCAGGGCCCGTGTAGTTGGGGTCCAGGTCGATGGCGGCGCATCCTGCCCGTCCCTCGTGGTTTGGCACCAGCACACCGTAGACATTGGCCTCTGCAATGCCTGGGAATTGTCCGATGGTCAGGGCGACTTCGGCCGTCGAGACGTTCTCGGATTTCCACCGGAAGGTATCCCCGAGTCGGTCGAGGAAGTGCCAGCGGCCTTCGTCGTCCCGTCGCAGAGCATCCCCAGACCGATAGTAGATGTCGCCATTTTTGAAGACATCCATGACGTATTTTTTGTCCGTCGCTGCCTGCGCACGCCAGTATCCTTGAAATGCTTCCTTGTTGGGAATCGCCACAATCATCTCACCTCCTTCTTCGTACGACGCCCTCCGGGCAAATCCCGTTTTGGGATCCCTCCAGATATCACCCGTATCATGATCAATTTGGACGGGGATGTACGTGTTATGTAGAGCCGTCCGGAGCAGCAATCCATGGTGGCCGACACACGCTTTCAAGAATGGGCCCTTATCGTGGTTGAACAAGGAAAATATACCTTCGGTGGAGTTAAAGAATTCACCAATCTCGGGAACATTGAAGCGCACCTGGAATTTCTCCCAGACATCGGGTCGTAATCCATTGCCGTATGCGAAGCGGAGTTGATGGTCTCTCTCCAAGGGATGAGGCGGCGCATTCAAAAGGTATCGCGCGGTCTCGCCAACGTATACGAAGCCGGTCGATTTGGAATCGTGGATATCGTTCCAAAATCTGGAGACGGAAAATTTGGGTGCTACTGCGATGCTGACACCTTGCAGGAGACATGAACCTGATGTAATAGCGCCAGTACCATGATACAGAGGCATTGAATTGTACCAGCGATCCACGCCTGGCACGCAATCACAAGTTGTCATCGAGTGCGCACACATTGCCCAAACCCGCTGAATAGTGAAAGCACAGCCTTTGGGAAGACCCGTGGTACCACTGGGAGATCATTAGTGTACATTGTCTGTCGCTCGAGAAAGATACATCCTACCTTGTATATATCAGAGTCCAAGGAAAGCCTCCGGTCGTGCCGTTACGCCACTCGTCACCGGGACGATCGACGGGAAGAGAATTGATCTGATTTTTAAGAGTGTCATCTAGAATGACGATCTTCATTCCCTTGGCTTCGATTTCCGTTCGGCTATCGTATACCCTCCGTTGGCACGCATCGTCGACATCCACGATGATTAATCGCGACTGACAGACCTCGAGACAATGAAGTAAACCTTTTCCTTCTAGATTATAGTTGATGAACGCTGGCGCAGCTCCAATGGCCATGGTAGCAAACCAGATGAACATGAAGTGAGGGGAATTGGTCAAGTACATAGCAACCAACTCCTGCGGTTTGACGCCTTCGCTGATCATGTACTGTGCATAGCGAATGGTGTTTTCGTAGAGCTCACCATAGGTGTATACTCTTTCTCTGGACCAGATGGCCTCCTCATTCCATCTCTTCTTGCAGGTCTCTTCGAGTACGTAGAAAAGGCTGACTTTATCTTCTTTGACGACACGGGCATATTCCTTTTCGCCTTTCTTCAATCGCAGGAGTAATTCGAGGTCTTTTCGGAAATGGAATTTGGCATCCAGGTACGAGGCGGCGGCCCATCCGCCAGCAGCGAGGGCAGCGGTCGTCGCTAAAGAAGAAATAGAGTCAGAATACGAGATCAAAAGCCTCAATGGACAATGGGTGACATACCAAGAGCCATTACTCAGCACAATACGGGAATGATAGATTCTCAACGCTAAAGGCACCCTCGTGTTGCATGCGGGGATCGTTGGAGGTGTCCAGTTGTCTGGCCCAGGCGAACACGGATTCTATGAGTTGAAACGAGAGCAGCAACGCCAAACACTGCCAGATGGAAAAGAGATGAAAGAAATCTAGTAGGGTCTTGCAAAGGGAAGAGCAAGTTTCTGGGAGATAACCAGTAAGAACGGGATAGAGAGGCCGCCATCATCCCAAGGAGAAGTAAGCCCATCCACGAACGCCCTGGGAGATACCGAGGTTGAATCAACTTTCCAGCCAATGTGGCGTCGGGTCGGCAGTCGGAAGCTCCTACGTATCTTTGAGGGGAACGGAGAGGCGTTGAAACTGGGGGATTCCACAGGATGCGTGGGGAACGGATCCACGGCGAACGTGACTCCAGATCACGTGGGGACCTGACGCCTTCCGTCAGGAGGAGAGCCTCGCGAGAGACCAGCGGTCATGGGGAACCGGTCATAGGAAATCCGGGGTGAGGGATCAAGGCAAGCCAGACACGATCAAGGACACCATAGAAATGGACACGAAATGAATGCTTTATATTTGTTTATCATTATATAATGTACAGACTCACCGAGCAACCTCCTTGGAACTGTAAAAGATCGTAGCCTAGCAAGTAAAACTGTCGCATTATACGACTGCTTTCTCCGAATCCCCAAGTCTCACCTCTTCCGGCTGATTTTATCTCGATCAGATCCGCTCCGTAATGGTGGACCATATTTGTCACAATCTCTCAAACATCGCTCCAGCACCCGCAGAACATTATCTCGCTCGTAATCATCATGAGGCACCCAGAGTTTGCGAACCGAGTTGTACACTTCTTCAATGTGGGCTCGCGAGCCTGTGCAGCGTGTGTATGCACGGAGCATCCAACAAACCAAAGCTTGGGAGGCTCGGACTTGATGTGGTGCATTGGGTGAATCCGGACGGGTTTCTGGGTCAAAGTCTGACCCATTTGCCAGATCAATTCCATACACGTCTTGTTGAGTTGAAGCTGAGGGACCTGTGTTTGTTCCTGCGCCCAAATCGAGGGGCATGGGCCTTTCTCTTGAGGATGGGTCGGTAGGCTCGCTTGCCTCTGGATCACCTTGAGGAAAGGAAGGCGATTCAAATGTATCGTTATCCTGAGTCCAGTTTGGATCAATGGCCCGGGATGGCGGAGGCATCACATATTCACCTTCTTGATCATCAAGTCTGGGATCGCCCAGAGGGTAATACGCTTCTTGTTCTACGGGGTCAGAAGGGTTGTTCTCGCTGCGTAAAGACTCCTCGTACTTCGCTTCGTCGTCAAATAACTGTGCATGAATTCGTTCAATATGTTTACGACGCTCTCGAGGGAACACTGCCAGGTCGATGACAAATTCATTCCAGGTGCTCAATTTTCTCAAACTTGGCACCGATGGGGCAGGAGTGCCGTCGCCCTCACGATACCTTCGTTCCTTCTCTTGCATGACCTGGTTTACCTCCTTTATAGATGGTAGATTTGGTTCGATACCGTCGGCCCTGGCTCTCTTGTATGCCTGCCTATCTTTGATAGCTTTTCGACATGCGTCCCACACCGACGCCAATCTTCGAACACTCCAAGTAGCGTCGGGATCACCTGAGCCCCCGTGCAGAGCGAAACCTTTGAACAAGAGCTGGAACAGGATGGTTTGAAATGGTAAACCAAACACCTCTGCCATGTCATTTAGCAGAACGACAACTCGATCGAGATCCCCGGAGACGTTGATGTGGTAAGCGATGAGGGCGCGAAATGTCGTGTGATCTGGGACGAGGGGCATGCTGTCTTGCAATTCCCTGTGTTGGTCGGGCAACAAGTCCTTCAACCTTGAGCTTCTAAGGAGCACTCGATTGAGGTGATTGGATGCCATTTCATGGCCGATTGATTGCTCGCCCGTGCCCGGGTACCGTTTGTAATATGTCATCTGACCATCATCTCCTTGTCGGACATGCAACTGAGTATAAAGGCTCTTCATTCGCTCATAGATTTGCTCTGCTGCCTCGGGCTCTCCGGCATTGAGGAGCGACGAGATGACGCAGTTGAGAACGAGCGTATCAACTATTTCACCAGCATCGACAAAATCCCGGTACGACTTTCGAACAGCGTCCCCGTCCCGACGGAGACCGTGAAAATATATGATGCTTACGCGACCAAGGCGGTTCAGACGAAGACCACGATCATGCATCTCCTTCAGAATTTTCTGAGCCACAACATACATGTTTGACCTTACAGCCAGGTCAAACAGTATATTGAAGGTGACATGGTGTGCTTTGACTCCAGCTTGTTGTTCCATTTGCTTCCATATGTCAAATGCTCTCATCACATCTTTGCGGGTGACTTGCCCAAAAGATCTCCCTGCCAAATAGATAGCAGATGCCCATTCATATCGGGTGATGGGCAGTCCGGCTTCTTGCATGTCATCTATGAGTGAAAGATATCGAATCATGGTCTTTTCGCTCTTTTGCCAGGGAGTGGCCATTCGTTGCAAGAACACCCTCACGGTACCTCGGGGCAAGAAGGCCACTCCAGGTTTAGGCAATTTCTGATAGGCCTCAAAAAGCGCTCTGTTAGGGGTGTCGTCATTGAGCAGCAAATCAAGGAAGACTTGAGTGACACGGATTTCGTGCAACTTTTGGCTTTTCATTTGCTTCTCAATCTGTTCCAACGGTGAGCGATAGTCCGTGTCATGATGATAGAAATCCACATATGCTTGAGGCGGAGCGAAATCCTCAGAGAGCTTGAACGCATAATCCTCCAAGATTGTGGGTGTTGGAGAATGATCCGGATTTTCAGGGTCGAATCGGGTGCGCATAGAATGGTAGTAGAGGTCGACGAGATTTTTATAGTCTTCTCTGGACAGAGAAATAGACTGACTTTTGACTTGATCGCGAGAAGGACTTCCTGATGTGGGATTTTTCTTCATCGCAGTGTTCAAATCATGCTTTGCGCGAGCCAACTTCTCCTCCAACTCCCTGACTGACTGCAACATCTGTAACTGTTCTTTGAGAAGGGTGGGATCGGCCTCTGTGTCCGTTTCCTCCTTTTTGGGAGCTTGTTCCAGCTGTTTCTGTATTTTGCCGACATCGTGGAAGAACGCAACGGGCAGCCGAGTCTTTGCGGCGAAATCTAGGGTATTGGAGTCGAAGAAGCTCCAGGCATTGTCGGCCTTTGCAGAACCTACAGATCCCTTATCACGGCCGCGCATTGCTTCTATTGAGTCTGGTGCTCTTGAAATGGCGCTAGTGCTGAATCCTCGACATTGTGCAACAGAGCTGATCGCCTTCAGCTTGGTAGTCCTGCATCTGGAGGTGCGGATGGCATGGCATCGCGCAGGAGCTCTCTCCGCTTTTGCCTTGTACGATGCTCGAGATGGCGTACAAGAGGCGGCCCGAGCGAGAGCAGAATAGAAAAGGGATTCGGAGGACGGGTCATGGTGGCGACGAGGGAGAGTTCCCTGACATCTTGCGGCCGTTCCCAGTGCAGGTGTTAGAAAGTCAAGCAAGGTCGCAGGTGATATGGAAGTGGCATTGCGAATGCTCTTGCACCCGGGGAACCTGGAAGATCGATGCATATGCTAGGGAACATGATGCATGGGACCTCTGATCAAGACATTGAAGCGATTGAATGCTAAGCTGATAGGTCGACAGTCCAAGGAAAATTGTTTCTGGAGACTGGAATCTCGACTCCATATGAAAAGTGCTGGCGCATGGTATCCACCAATCATAACGCGTCCTGGGATTTTTGCCCCGTAACCACCTCAAGACCTTGCGGAGCACCATTGTGCTCCGTATCCAGACCTTCGGATTGTTCAAGACCAAGCTGCTTCCACCCCCCCGAGTCAAGTCGTCCTTCATCGGTCCGCTGACCCTTGACTGACAACAAGCTCCTCACTGTCGGCCCGCCATGGGCAAAATCAACCTCACCGCCCTCAATGTCCGCAGAAGCGCCCTTGCAAGAGTCAGGGCCAAACAGTACCCAAATCGGCCAGCCTGGGTCGACGTTCTCGCCGATATTCCTCCCGCACAGGTCCTGACACGACCTCAACCTATCCGGCACCCTCTGACACATACCCGCACAAGGACACTCCCTGATGGAACCACAAAGCAATATTCTATGGCCATCGAGCAAAAGAAATCCAAAGCCGCAACGAAGAACCGGCATCTCTTCACCCCCCACAAACTGCGTTATGAAGAAGACTCTTTGCGGACAAGGTTCTTCAGCGACCATCCCTGGGAGCTAGCCCGCCCTCGGGTTGTGCTGGAAACGGACGGAGACCAGTATAAGAACGCAGACTGGTCTAAGGGACTGATGCAACCGGGAATCCAACTCTCTGGCGAATCGGTCGTACAGCGGCAGCTATATCTGCTTGAGAACATTCCCGACATCACAGTCGCTCAATCCTACGACATCGCCCGGAAAGAATTCTACGCCCTGCGACGGAAAGAGGAGACACGAGATAGGATCGCCGCAGAGGAGGCCCGCCACATGGGTGCACGCTTTGGCATGTCCTACAACCAGGTCAGCATGAAGATTGAGAGCGAGATCTACGATGAATGGGAGAAATGGGCACGTGAACAGGTCGTTGAACAAATGTCAAGGACGGCTGCGTTCGAGGGAACTTCGGGCATGAATATCGAGCAAGATGTGCTGGATGAGAACGCCAGCGAAGACCTTGACAATCCCTCAGGCCAGCGAAAAACATCATCAAACCTTGGGAGAGCTGTCTTCGCCAACGAAGCTCAACAGACCACACGAGTGCTAGAACGACGGTAGGATTGCATAGTTAGAGCGGCCACCCATCTGTACAAAAGATTCTTTTTTTATAATGTGCCCTTTACCTTCCTGGATGGTTTGGTCTTCTATTCTTCCTCTCCACTGTCTGGAAGGGTAACTACGTCTTCAAAAACGCTGTCGGACTACTGACAGTCACACTTTCCAGCCACCCAGGCACGTCTCGAATCCTCTTGATCTGGCCCAACACCATGGCAACGTTCCAACGTCCCTCCAAACCTACCTTGCCGGCATTTTGCTCGTGACGCCCGACTTTCATACAAATCCGACTTCTGATTGTGCGCAAAAGGTTGCTGTTCCATCTCGTATTGACCACCAGGCCCGAGACACACACGGGCTCCCAACCAGGCCAGTTTAGATGTCCTTGAGCGGACCAGATGCTGTCTGAGGATAATTATAGTCAGCAGGCAGAGGGAAGGTGTCGATGTCCGAAGCATCGCAGAGCGCTACAACAAATAGCCTTGCTTTGGTGCTCTCCAATATTTTATATGGACCAATGCACTCTGTGGCTTTAATAGTGGAAGGATTTGAGGCTCCATTGGAACGAACACACAAGCTAGTACTAAAGCGGTTAGAGCCACTCAGATTGGCAGGGCTGAAACGTCCAAGACAGACTCATCACATCCCAAGCATGAAGCAAAGTTTCTCGTTCCGTACTCACGAGTGGGCAGACTATCCTCATTGGCAATCCGAGTGAAAGTGAGGTTGATCTCATCATGCAATAGTGAACACCTTTTGAGCTTTGAACGGTCCCTGGAAATGGCTGCACCGTTTCCCAACACCTACCATCTACGAACTGTGGCTTCCACATCCGCCAAGTCATGTTATATCTGCCTTAAGCCGTCTGAAAAGGTTCTCATCACTCCCAACAACAAGGTAAGGTGGCATCTGAGTCATTGACAACTTGAAAAACCCCTCTCGTAGACGACTGGCTCACCATAATGAACTATAATTTATCAATTGACAGGATTTCTTCTACATCTGTGCCAGCCACCTCAGTGACCGAGGGTTCGCGTCGCCGGTGGTGGATGCCGAGGCCGAGGCGGCCAAGAAGAAGAAAGAACTGATGGACAAGGAGATCCAGAAAGTCAAGGAGGAATACGAAGAGAAGCAGCGGAAGAGAAAGTCGAAGAAGTCGGGCAAGGATGATGACAAGGACAAGAAGAAAATGGATGAGGACGGCGATGACGGCAAGGCTGAGAAAGAAAGGGATGAAAAGGTCGGTACTACCATCATGCCGTCATTCCATCATCCGAACCTGGTCTCCATCTTCGTTCTACCCACCCAATGGTCCAAATATATATTCTAACACCGGCCGACAGATCGACGCCATCAAAGCGGGAGGCAATGGCAGTGATACAGGGGCAGAAGAACTCCCACGCATTTACGCCCTGCATAGGTATGTAGGCTGTTGTTTCCGATCCTTTCTCCAAAATAGGATCTTCTCCCCTACGCCTTCGTTGTATATGGCCCAGCCGACTGACCCTCCCGCCCTGCTCGTCTTGGGGAAAACAGGCATTTCTATCAAATGCGGCTCGACAAGCTTCGCAACCAAGAGGTGGCCAAAAAGAACCAGCAGCGACTGAATACTCCTGGTTTCTTTCCCGCTACTCCAAAGGGAGACGTGGCTTGACGATGGACTTTCGGGCCAAGGTTTCTGGCATCCTGGAAAAGGCAGTACGTACTCCATCACATGTTGTCGGTGGCTTCAATTATGATAAACTCGAACCTTGAACCTCGAAACTCAAACCCCCGTATTCGCCTCTTCAATAAGGCTCAAGAATCGCGCGATGTAATGCTATCCCTGCCCCCACGCGTACGGGTTACGACAGCAATCTTGTTGCTTGCGTCAAGCACGAGATGATGATACTTAGATTGCGTTCGGCATTTAAATGAATGCATTGCGTCCTCTCGTCCTCCATATGGAAACCGGCGATGCAGGATGAAGCACTCACACATACTCTGCCACAACGCTCTCCAACTCCTAGCTTTAAAGGAGTCGGTTGTGTAACTCGTAGTGACTTAGAAACAAAACCTGATGTACATCATGCTGCGTGTCCCGGGTGTCAACAGCAAGGCCCCTCCACCTCCACCGCCGTCCATCGATGTACAAAGTACATACATAGTATCTGCCGCACAATCGCAATCAGCAAATGCCACGGATTGAACCGTTGCATCACCCATCAGTAGGTACAGGGGAGATCAGCGCGACGCACCGCACGAAAACAGCCCGACGGCTCTTTGGGCGAAACGTGGGTTTTTATTTATTTGGTGGCCGAGCTAAATGCTACCTACCTTCGGTAGGTAAGTAGTCAACTGCTATGTATGGGGCCTCGTCCCAAGGCTCCTCGCAACGTGCATGAAGCAACACGAGCTCGGATCGTGCATGATTCGTATTTTGAATCGGTCAATCGGACTGACATCAGCGGCAGTATGTGATTGTTGTTGTTCTTCAGCACGTCGATGGTCGACACCCGTTCTTTCCACACACACAC